CGGCTAGCGTCGCAGCATGCGCTTGGTGTTTGCTACTGGGCGAATGGACAGATCGAGGACGCTGTGAGGCTGCTAGAACATGTGGTCAAGGTGCGGGACGATACACTTGCAGAGACTCATCCTGATCGGCTAGCATCAGAGGGCTGGTTATGCTATATGACTTCGAACCAAGATTAAATTCGACTCTTTCTCTTGAAACGTTCCCGCTTTAAGCATTTTCAGCAACTTTGCTTGATGCATCGCTTCAAGATCCCTCAGGCGGTCAGGGGCTTTCAAGACCATGCTTCCAGGGACGAGTCTGGGGACACACTTAAGCATAACGATTGCGACTCGACAAAGACCTATACAAATCGTGAACCTATCTCAAGACATATCAAGAGCTGCAGAGTACTCCGCTCAATCGCAAAAGTTCTGAAGACATGTCTTGCATGTCTGGAAGATTTCTGGCATACCCATTTGACAAAGCAAATTTAAGCCATATGGACTTAGTTCTCTAAACCATGTGATTTCCTAGTACATCCTCGCAACCGGGATCCTTCATCAGATTGCTGGGATATTGTCTGATGCTATCACTTCGCCAGTTCGCACTGCTTTACTCGGTGGCGGTGGAGCTTCTGATGCCGGTTCCTTGCGCTTACGGCTACGCTGTCCCTTTTGTGCTGCAGCCTTGTCCTTTGCCGCACGCCTCGCCTTAGCCTCTTCCAGGTCCTCGAAACTCATCACTTTCGCCTTTCCTAACACGATGGACCTGGTCGATCTACAAGCCTTAGCTTCGTTGTTGATTTTGGAAAGAAAACGGTTGCGGTCCTTCAGGAGGGCTCGCTCAGCGAACGAGATCTGAGCAGCATTTGCGAGTTTCTGTATGCAAGTCTTTGTCTCGTCAGGCACGTTGGTGTCTTGCTTAATCATGTTGTGTAACGATGTAAGCGCTTCCGCTGTCGCCGGCGCCACCGGCGTGATGGGTGTTTGAAGCATTACATCAGGCGCACTAGTGCTGGTAATGGCAGCTCCTGAAATAAAGACTTCAGCTGGAGGTCTCGGGACGTCTTTCAGCACTCTATCCGGATTGAAAGGGTGCAGACCAGTCGCAGACCAGTCGCAGACCACCCAGCTCTGATATTCCTTTGGGTCAATGCTCTTTCCCTGGCAGGACTGTACAGATAGGTAAAATGCTCTTTGCCAACTACGTCTACGCCTCCTCGGTTCAGACGTTCGACTTGATCCCGATATGCGGTCTTCAAGAGTACAAAAGGCCTGAAATCGCAAGGCGGGTATACGACACAAGATTATGTTGTTAGTGAGACAGAACTTCAGGATCTCGAGCATTTCGTGGCTTCCGAAGCCAACGCACACAAGCACACGTGGCATTCCATTAGCTTGTGCTTTGGCCTGAGGATTGAATACAGGCGTAAGCCACTCCAGACTGATCCTGGAGTCGGTGTAGCCGTTCTCAGAGTGCGCATAGTGCCATCCTGGGGTCTCGTGAGTGGTCCAATTGCTACCATGGGTTGAAGCGAGCCAGATAATGAGTGGCAGCAGCGCCCTGCCATCGGCACTCACGCATTCAATCACGGTGACCATCGCTTGAACGTTCTTCTAAGCGAACTTCCTGTTCATCTCTCGTGTCAACTCCATAAAACCTCGTAAACTGCCAGCGGGAGTAGCCGTCACCAAGGAAGGGCGCTTGCAGTCGACCAGTCAAGAAGATTAAGCATCATGCCAGCAACGCCTCTTACCATCCCCAACCATCAACATCAACACTCGCTCAAGCTACAACCCCACGACTCAGATGTCCTGCCAAAAAACACTTATCTGTTCAACTGCAACAACCGTCAACATGCGGTTCTCCATCCTTGCCCTTGCCGCCAGCGCCCCTGCCGCAGTCGTCACACCGCGCACCGACCACGGCTCCTGAGACTGCACCGGCAGCGTCTCCTCCCCCGCCAATGAAATGACATCCATGTCTGTCGACACGGCCTACAACAACGCCGAGCTTGCTGCACCCGCTGAAGTCAGCGGTACACACCGCTACACGCCAGGTGCCGAGCCCAAGGAGGAGGCCAGGTGCAACAGATGCGAGTTTTTGCTATGACTTTCACGGTATCCGTAAGTGTCGACCTGAGGAACGGGTATTGGCAGGGGAGGCGCTTAGCTGAGAGTGCGCAGGCATGAGCCCGTCACAGAGATGGCACTGCTCCTCCATTTCAGCCGGCTCCTTCAGCTCAAGACCCTGCAGACGGTGGTTCTCTTGCAACTTGTTGTTTGCGTCTTCTTAGTCTTCGTGGAGATGAGCTTCGGCATGCTGAAGAGCGCGTTGTGCGGCTTCAACGGCCTTGGTAGCATGGCCGATACGGATGCTGTTCTCCATCTCGATGATGCGGCGCTTTGCTATACGTTGAGCGTGCATGTGGTGTACCTTGCCTCGTTCGAAGTCGCGCAGCTCTGTCGTTTCTTTATCCGTTGCAGCGCGTTTGTCTGCCGATTTTTGTTCTCTGTAGTGGGCGCCATTGTTGTTCAATAGGTTGTAGTAGAGTGGTTTGTTGTTTGCTTGAAAGCGGTTGAGTAATACGGTGGATGCCCATAATAAGCAGGATGGAAACGACTATAGAGTAGTGCATTCACACCGGGCTGGATGGTGGCCCAGTGAAAGCTCCAGAGCGGCGATAGTGATCCCTTTCCCTTGCTGTTGTGGTGTGCATTAACTAGTGAAAATCGCAAAACAACTTCACTCTAACCCGGATGTGGCAGCAGCAGCAGCAGAGACTTTCGTTGTTGCGATCCCAGTCGTGTTGATGTTGTTTTTGTTGCTACCATCGTCAGCCACGAGGAAGGAGCGACCCGACTGCAGTGTAAAGATGACATTAGGAAAGTAGATGTCTATCTTTGTGATATCCAAACCTGCAGCAGCACCCCTACCACACCTCAGCTGCCACGAACATGCCACCTTCTCAGCCTCTCCTCCTCGTACTCGTCCGGCTCCTGACTTCCCTCCCCTCAACCTCCAAATGCGTCGTCTTCTTCTCAACCTTCACCACCTCTCCATCCCCATTAATCCCATAATGCTCCGGAACCAACACCCTTCCATCAGCCCCCACACCCGGCGTCGCCACATGAATTCCCTCAACCAGCACCTTCTCTTTCTCGGGGATGTCGATATGCTTTGGCTTCTCCGCGCGTCTCGTGCCGAGCGGTGGGTCAAACCGCTTGCGCAGCGTCTTGATCATCTGGGTGAACCAGAACCAGTTCAACCCGTTCAGTACCAGGTTGGAAACGAGGTATGCGAAGGCGAGCCAGAGGGGCACGGTTTGATCGTCTGCGAATTGCAGTATATCTGTGCGCTCGGTGGCGCCAACGTCGATGGCTGTGGCGTTGTCGAAGCTCTTGATGGCCGGGTCGAGGAAGGTGACGGGCCCGGCGTGGTACGCGGTCCAGATGTCGCTGAAGACGCGGATGGATTGGTATGTGCCCCAGAAGAGGCGGCAAGACATGAACGTGAGGAGCAGGAGGATGCCGTTGATGAGTTGCAGGGTCGAACCGGTGAGGGAGAGCTTGTCGCAGAACCAGTGGACGTTGAGGAAGGGGGAGGAGAGTTCGTAGAGGATGAAGGTTGGGGCGTAGAAGTTTACGAAGGGCCGCTGGGGTATGTTAGCTCTCGACCACGCATCTTCGTCTTGGGCAGCCGATCTTGGGCGATTCTTGAGGATCTGAAGGAGCAGAGGAAGAGAACACTTACGAAGCCCAACGAGAAGACGCACAGCGCGCTAATAGCATGGAACAGCATCCCTACGCCAAACACGCCAATATTTTGCACCGTGACAACCAGATCCCACAAAAAGTACCCTCCAGCAAAAGCCTGCACCAGCCCCGTGCCTCCCGTATACCCATGCACCCTCTCCACGCCTCCCATACTCTCCCTCTCCTTGTCATTCCACATAACCCATAGCGCTAAGCCGCAAATGACCATGCTCTGCACAAACGACACAATGTGCACGTCCCAGTTGAGTTTTGTGCGCGCGTTGAACTGCGGGTAGATAGTGGGGAAGAAGTAGCGGCTGAAGGCGGGCGAGATGTGCTTGTTGGTGATGTGGTAGAGCGCGTAGGCGAAGGCTACTTCGTGGAAGTGAAGGGACAGCGTGCGCAGGTGTAGGGCGTCGGCGAGGGGCTGCACATATTTGACAAGGTACTCAGGGCGCTCGAAGGGGAATGGGTCATGCATCGCGGCGGTGGTGTAATTCAGTCGTCGTGCTGGTGGTTGGAAGCTGCGAATGAGGGGTGCGGTGGGCGGAGAGGTGTCGCGTGGGGAGCTTGGAGCTCGGGGGTCGGGAGCTCGAGTGGGTCGGGACGGTAGAAGAAGACAAAAGAGCTGCTTCAGTCGCGGGAAGCTGTTGAAGCGGCTCTATCGCAGTCGGAGAGGTGAGACGGGGAGACAGACAGCGACTAGGTGGCGGTGGGTTGATGTTGCCTAGTGATGTCGAAGTGCATGTGCCCTGCCCTTAGGGATGCGGCGGATCGCCAACCTGGGTCATCTCCGAGGCTTAGCGAGCTTCGAACCAAGCTGCGCCAACGAGTTACATCAGGGCTGTCGCGTGCAATGTGTCTCACGGCGTCTTCGAGTCACGAAAGACACGGGAACACGTCATGTTCAAACTGTTCAAGTGCTCTGGAAGTTGCTGTTCCGCAAAGTCGTCATTTTGACAGCCGCCAGACGAACCTTGTTTATTGGGATGTTGCACGACTATCTGTCAAACGATCTTGATCTTCAGAAATGAGCATATGGGTATCAAGAAGAACATGGATAGCGAGAATATTTTGCGTATGTGCGGTGTCACTTTGCGCTCTTTCAGGCATGCGGGGCACACGGCGGATCTCAATGGAGTGTGTTCTGGTCGGTGGTGTAGTTTGAACCAGGAGTAATACGGTAGTAGGCCTTAACGGATAGGGAACCCAGTGGAAGTTCTGGCATAGTCTACTGTCTGGGTGTGGCGCGTGTCGAACAGCAGGCGTGTACGGCTTTCCCCACAGAACGGAGGAGGATGGGATGGTCCTGCATGTGCTGACAGATTCAGGTTTCCAGGAACGGCATGTGGATGTGGTGGGTAGCGCGTGTGTGCTGCTGCTGCTGCTGCTGGTGCTGCTGCTGTGTACAATGAATGCTTGTTGTATCTAGGTCCTAACCGCGACGCTGGTGGTGGTTGATAGCGGAGCCGAACCGTATCATGGAGTCGGTACAACTATGGACTCGTACACGGTCATCTACGGTGGGGGTGAAGGAGACGCGACAGGATGCGCCTTGCGACAGGGATCATTGCGCTGTTAGCGAAGCTTCGCCAAAAAGTTCCGAGGCCGAAGCTACGGCGGGTCCCAGCATCGTCTGATCGTCCCATTCACGGCGCGATGAAAGCCATAGGGAGGTCCCTTGTGGGCCGTCGAGCTTCAAGTCTACATGATGCTTCTCGGGTATCTCGCATCACACCATGCATCACATCCCGCACATTCACGAAACCCGCATTCGCGCCGAAGCCGATCATCGACATCAAGCACATCCGGCAAGCCCCCGGACTGTACGAGCAGAACTGCATAGATCGCAACTATGGCGCACACAGCAAGAACTCGTGGCGAATCATCGAGCTCCACGAGCAATGGCTGGCTCTGCAGCAGAGCGCACGCGAACTGCGATCACGAAACAAGCAGCTGCGCGACCAGATAGCAAAGGACGGGGCAGAGAAGCAGAAGGCACTCGGCGAGGCCAAGGCAATGAAGACCGAACTCAGCGAAGTCGAGGCAAAAGAGACGCAGCTGCAGGAGGAGATTGAAGCATTGGCGCAGGACCTTCCGAACCTGAGCAGCACGCACACACCAGTCGGCACCGAGGCTACGTTGGTCGACTACATCGGCGAACACCCCGATCCATCCAACTCGAAGCCGTGGAAGTCACACGTAGACATTGGCCAGCAGTTGGGGATACTGGACTTTGCAGGCGCATCGCAGACTTCAGGCTGGGGGTGGTACTTCCTCGTCGGCGACGGTGCTATGCTGGAGCAGGCGCTTGTGCAGTACGCTCTGAGTGTCGCCAGGGGGAAGCGCTGGAAGGTGGTAGCGCCGCCGTCACTCGTGTACTCGCACATCGCGTCAGCATGCGGTTTCCAGCCACGAGATCAGAACGACGAGCAGCAAGTCTACGCCATCGAGCAGCCAGAGAAGGACAAGGCAAAACCGCAGCTGGCTCTTGCGGGTACAGCTGAAATCCCACTGGCCGGCATGAAGGCCAACGCTGTCTTGAACGAGGCAGAGCTCCCCCTCAAGACGGTTGGCGTGAGCCGATGCTACAGAGCCGAGGCTGGTGCACGAGGAGCGGATACAAAGGGCCTGTACCGCGTCCACGAGTTCACCAAGGTCGAGATGTTCGCCTGGGCCGCGCCCGACCAGACCGGAGAGGACCACTTCGCCGCAACGGACGCATCCAGCTCGGAAACCGTTTTCGAAGAGATGCTCGGTATGCAGCACGAGATCCTCACCGCGCTCGGTCTCCACTGTCGCATCTTGGAGATGCCTACAACAGACCTCGGCGCAAGCGCGATCAGGAAGCGGGATATTGAAGCCTTCTTCCCATCCCGACGGTCGATAGACGACGGCTGGGGCGAAGTCACCTCCACGTCCATGTGCACAGATTACCAAAGCCGTCGACTGCACACTCGTCTGCGCACTGCCCATGCGAACAAGCTAGGCTTTCCGTTCACGCTGAACGGCACGGCGCTCGCAGTGCCGAGAGTGCTAGCAGCTATCTTGGAGAACCACTGGGACGAGAAGAGCGCGACTGTCAGGATACCACCGGTCCTGCAGCCATTCATGGGAGGACAGACGGAGATCTCGAAGCAAGCATAGCATTGGCGTGTGTGGACCCAGATACATGTACGATACTGTTCATAACCCCCTGTATAATATCGAAGAAGACTCTGCGGCGACGTTGAGCATTTGATGGCAGCGACAGGATTGTATTTGGCCCGCACGCTCGACGCCTGCCCTGCACTCGCTGTCAAGTCGTCCAGTCGCGTGGGGCGGCTGTGGTTTTGCCTCCGAGGCTGATTCAAGCGGTGGCCGGCTAGCACCCGCGATTGGCTGTGGGCAGTTCGATGCCGGGCTGCAAGCAGCGAACAAGAGCAGGTGTACACGCCACACCCAGTGTTGAGCGATGCAGCAGGTCTGCTGAAACGCTTCCTACACCATCTCCTCGAAAGCACTCATCTCGTACTACTGCGTGTGTTCCCGCTGGTCGACAGTCGCACGCGGTGCCAGTGCTTGGGTGGGGTCACTTGAGCGGGCCCCGGCTAGCGGACCAGCCTTCAGATCAACAACGACACGCATCCTTGAATCCTTGAGCCGCAGCAGCATCCCGGAAGCGCAGCCACCTGCTTTCGACGCGCCCCTCCTTGCTGTCGAGGTGTGACAAGCGTCCAGCCATCTCGGCCGTCGCAGCGTGAGGGCGCATCGTGGACCGACAACATCTTTGCATCCGCCAGGTACTCTCATCGCTCACGTCACGGTCGCAAGCGCGGTCGCAAGCACGGTCGCAAGCACGGTCGCAATCACGGCCGCAACCACAGCCGCAGCCGCAGTCGCAGCCGCAGTCGCAGTCGCAGCGCATGGTTTCCTACCCCGACTCCCAGGTCGGGAGCAACGTCAGCGCCGAGCGCGCCAGCTCGCTCACCATCCGCCGCCCGCCCTCGGTCGCCTCGCACTCCTCGCGCACGTCGACCATCCGCCGACACCGCCCCCACCGCTCTGGAGGATCAAGCTATGGAGGGAGCAGCGTCGGGTCGCAGAACGAGTTCCCCGTCTTCACACACACGGGCGACGTCGAGATCGTCATCAGCAACGGGCGCAGGGAGAAGCGCTACCTGCTGCACAAGCTGATCCTGACGCAATGCTCGGGCTTCTTCGACGCCGGGACCAGCGAGGAGTGGTCGGGCGCTGGCGAGGGGAGCGTCGCGCAGAACATGAGCGCGGCGGCGCTGGCGAGGAACCCTGCAGGCTCGCGGCAGGACAGGAAGAAATGGCGCTACGAGCTGGACTGGGGCAGCGACGACGACGTGCCCATGCTCGTGCAGAAGGTGCTCCTTACCCACCCGCCCAGCTCAGGCAAGCACATACTAACACCCACGCAGCGCGCACAACCCGCCTTCAGCACAGTGTTCGGCGACGGCACGCACCCACCGCCCGCGCGCAACAAGCCCATCGCCCCCTCCTCAAACTTCCTCCGCAGCACGACCAACTTCTCCACCGCCCAGCTCTCCACCGCCCAGCTCTCCACCTCCACACCCACCCCGGCTCCCCTCGACCCCGACGACAATACCTTCCGCGACTACGATAACCTCTTCCGCATCTTCTACAACCACGCGCCCTCGCTCGACACTCTGAACATCGCAAACGCCTACGTCGAGTGCAAAGCACTCCTCCAACTCGCCGACATGTACTCCGCCATCGACGTCATCGGACCACGGGTGGATCACCATCTGCTCCGCTTCCAGGGGCGGCTGTGGAAGCAAATCGCAAAGTACCCGCCGAGTTACTTGAAGTTGGGGTACATGGCGCGCTCGAAAGCGATTTTTGCCGAGGCCATGGTGCACGTTGTCGGGCAGTGGCCTGCCGCACTCCCTCAGCTACGAAACCAGGTCCCCGACGCGGTGCTTGATCTCATAGAAGACAAGTTCGAGGATATGGATGAGCTCAAGGTGAAAGTCGAGGTCAAGCTGTTCAGACTCAGTCTCACAACAAGCCGCGGTGAGCGCGTCAGTCCGAGTTCGAATTGGCTAGACTGGATGGCCGTCTCCCTGTTTCGCCAATGGCTCGCTGAGAACACAACACCACCTCCCGCCCCCATCCTTAAATCCCCAAGGAACGGGAGTGCGACTCCGCGCCCAGATCTCAGCGCGAACTTTAATACCGGGAGGGTGTTCAGGCTCCTCGGCGCCGGCGGACCCAGCTACCTGAATCACGACGAATGCAAGCGGTTTCTGCGGCTGCAGCACGATCAGTACAACCGCGAGAATCTGAAGAGGTTTGAGAGAAGGATCGAAGAGGTGAAGAACAAGGCCAAGGACGCGGTTAAGCCGCTGATGAGGAATTTTCTGGAGTTGGATCTTAGGGAAGGGGGGCTGCCGTATTTGACGTGTACGAGGGTGGACCCGCAGGATTTTCCTTGGGATGCGGTATAGGGGAGGTAGAGAGATGGAAGGAAGAGGAGGAGGGGGAGGAGGAGGAGGAGGAGGGGGGGGGGGGGGGGGGGGGGGGGGGGGGGGGGGGGGGGGGGGGGAGAGGAGGCTGGGAAGGTGTGGGATTTCGTTACGCGGGTTTTGAGATTGGATTTTTGGCGCCAGATACCCTTGGATGTTCATATTGGCTTGGTACTTGCACATAGTAGATAGTTTGACGATTTGACGATCGACGATTCGAGACGGCAGACGAGTAGTTCATGAGGACGTAGTAATGACAGCGATGTACGCTGGTCGTGCATTCTCAAACCTTTGCCGTTTTGCTCGCGTTCCCCCGTGTACGACTCTGCGGTTAGGTATAGGAAACCTCTCGCCTCTGTCCTGGACTTCTCATCTTCGCCACACTACATTTGTTCCACCGAAAATGCAATGCCGTCACAGACATGCACCTGCTCACACAAGAGCGGCCCAAAGATCCCATGTTCTCTTGCTCTTCTTCCAGGCTGGACAAAACTCTTGCAGAAAACCGTCGACCTGCCCTTCGATGTGCCAAAATCAATCTCACACAAGTCCATGCCCGGACTGAAAGACCCGTATATGGGCTCTGCGACCTTGCTGTTCAACCTTTACTGCTGCAAAGCTCTTTCAAATCAACGAGCCACAGTTTTCATGCTTGGTGTCTGGGTGGCAGACGAACGTGCCAACTCCCTCTACGACATGTCTGTCTTCGCCTCTACAGCATGAATTCTTACGCATATAAAGAATGGCGCTAACTGATCCTTGACCGCTTACTACACACGACAGTCTTCTGCTCAAGAATGGCTGTACAACTCAATGATGCGACCGCTCTTCCAAAACAACCCGGTCGTTGAACTATGTTTTCTTGTTCTGCGTCTCCTTCAATCAAAGGCTCCTCCCAGCTCTGTCGATGGACCAAAAACTACTTGACGCAATTCCATGTTCAGAAAAGGGATGTCGTGAGCCACTGTTCCTGTCACTTCCGCTGTTGTTCCACGCCAGCGTGGAGGTACTCTGTAACGGTGTAGAAAGCCTTCTGAGCTCTAGGGTTAAGAAGGTCGGCCTTCTTGACCGCGACATACATACCTCCAACTTTATGTGCCAGTGTCTGCGTAGGAAAACATAACATCACCGGATCCAATTGATGTCTGCCTTCGACTCTGGTACTCGAATCCACACCGCACGCTGCTGCATAAAAACTCATTGGGTCTGCCCCTCAAACGCATGACTATGCAGCTCCCTCACAATGTCCGAAATACAATCCCCACTGTATCCATGTTGCGGTTTCTGAAACTTGCTGCGATCCACTAGATGTGTCGGTTTGCTGTAAGCTGTACTGACACATACAACCAGCGTACCTGCCCCTCTGCTACTTTACTACACGAAATATCTCTTAGTTTCAAAAGCTAGACGCTCAGCACGCATGTGGTGACTGCCAAAGCCTCTCAGCCGCCGAAGCTATGGATTCTGCTGTGCTTCTAGCCCCAACAAAAGTCTTGCTAAAGAAAGGGAGAAAGCATTTTCGACGTCTGAAGGACGAATGCGACCATTCCATGTCCGCCAAGCGTTCGTCGAAACAAACAGATCGTTGGTGCCGCCCCTGCTCTCCGTCAATGATGGTACGTCGACCTTCAAGAAAGCACCGCGTTGCTCTTCATGTGCTACTGCTTGTCTGAGAAATCGAAACGTCACCACGATGCAGCCATGTCCGCCTTCCATTCTGCAACTTCAACGCGTATAAAGCAAGAATCGGCCTTTCTTCCTCTGATTGTGCAACAACTGTGCAGGACATATCACAAAAGCATCGTCCCGATCGGTATATGTTTAACCGTGACTGTTGATGCAATTTACCGCCTGGAAATTCGCCATCTCCCATTGCATGCCTCCAGCAAAAGAAGCTTTCCACTATCTTCATATTCGAGCCCTGGCGAGCTGTAAATTGCAGCATGGTTTCTTTTGAACCTGAGTGCTGTCTCCATATATACATAGATCTCAGCGCAGGCTTGGACCTTAGCCACTACCGTCTGCCTGGAATCAATAGAAACCAAAGCTTCCCTAGATCAGATACATGTTCTCAAACGCACACAAAAGCTCGCTTTGTTGTTTTCTGTCTATTTCTGGCAGTCTGAAACCCTATGTGAGGAGGTGCATGTGCGTGCTTGGCGACTACAATATCCAATATATGGAAACCTGTTGATTGATATCACGACCTTGTTGCTACACATTGCCTGTGAAATCTCCATAACTAAGCCAAGGCCTCCTTGTGTGAAAATTCCTCGAAAATTGTTGGGACCCCTTTGCTGTTATTCCCTCGGGTCGAACCACATCCACTGAAGTTCTAAATCACACCGGAAATGGCAGGTGTCGAAGACTTTGCCTGAAGCACTCGCATGGCTGACCGCCTCATGGAGGGAGGACTAAATCCAAAATGCAAAGATCCCTAAAGCCATGTTGTCTTCTTTTTCACACAGAAGCCTGTTCAAAGTATTAAAAGCCGTGCCGACAACATGCAGGGTTGCTAAGGCTGGGAAAGGATTTACACCAAGTGCCTTTGACAACTTCGCACAAAACTTCGAACCCAAATCTCGTGCTATGAAGCAGGCATCGAGACTTGAGTATGTAGCCATTGTGTCTTTTTAAATAAAACCATAAGCGCGTTCAAACACACTCGAGCACCTCAATCCGGTTGTATCTCACTACACCCTGCTGGCAGCAATGCGTTTCCACACCTGCTGGCAGCAATGCGTTTCCACACCTGCTGGAATGCTCTAGGATGTTCAAAGACTCCAATAAGCACTCCAATGTTCTCGATTGAGAATTTGAAGTTCATGGAGGAGGAGGTGATGATATTGTGGAGCACTGTGTGCCTCTAGAGTGACACTATTATAATGTCTCGCACGCTCCCCATCTATCAACCCAGTCTAACCCTGTCGACCTGCGCGAAATCAAACCTTGTTTTTACAAGTTGAGGTGCCGGCTTCCTGAAACCTCCGGGGTGCGAACACATGTTTGCTTTCCGCAAATCGTGTCGGCGCTCAACATGGACATCAACTGTCAGAAAGTTTTATAGATTGCACTCACCCTTACGCCGCCTATAGATTGCCGAGGTCCTTCTCCTTGGGACTACTGCCTACAGACTCTGCCACTACCACGTTCATTCGTCACGTTCTTTCTGCCCTGCGGGTCTGCCCCACGACTATTCCTCGAAATCAATCACGATCGTTCGTTACGTCTTGAATATGGTCTTTATAGTTCGGCAAGCTGACAGCCCATAGATGGTTCATACTACATAGCGTTCTTACAATACGCTGCATGCCCTCATACCGAGCACCACTTTTTGCTGTTATAACCAAAGTACAGTACAATGCCTTCGTGTCCCGCCACGAGCAGGGACCAAAATCCATGGCTTCACGTATATAACTTCTCTGAAGGGCGGGGATGCCCGTCATTACGAAAGATACCCAGCGGCCAGTGATGTGCGCTCCATAGCCTCCGCATCATCATCCTTGGCCCACTCAGCACCCTCCGCCTCTTTCATCTCGTACCCAGTCTGCCAGTTCATTTTAGAATTGCCCGCCCCAGGAATCCGCCATATCGCGCTGCAACCCGCCACGCCCACATCACCCTCTCCTTGACTACAGTCGAGACATACACCCAGCATGCCTTCTTCCCGGAAGTCAGTACGGTCAGCTATGATAAAGTAGAATGGTTGGATTGTATCATTCTGGTCTTGGAGGGCGTTGAAGTGGCCGTTCGCATCGCGCAATAATAGGTTGCTGGAATCTGGAGTAAGCGCTAGTTTGGAACTGTAGGAACCTGAGTCGCCGGCATTAATGAGGGCCTCCAGTTGCTGGCGAGAAGCAACAGTCAACTCGATATGTGTCCAACTACCGCAAAGTTTTAAACAGCGTCTGAATTGATGCATGTCCTTTGCCAGTCATGAAAGAACAAGAGATGCATGCGATAGACTTCGGTCTCTCCTTTCTTCTGAACAAAAATGATCCCAAAGCATGAAGCAGTCGCCAAGTTGACCTTTCCCTCCATCCCACGCTGGTTCAATATCTATGCGACTCCATACATACCGCCTGCTTCTCATGTTCGGTCCGATTTAGAGGAAGACTCAGCACAGAACCAGTGGAAGCTTTCGCCGCTTCACTTACCGCCATCTCTCCGCAAAGATGCTGTATATCCGCTTTCAAAAAGAGCCAAACGCCAGCACTATGTCTCTCCCTTGCCTGAAATAAAAAGCTCTCCTACTGTTTGTTATGTCCCGGCAATTCCGCTCTTGAAACCACGAAGTAATGCAAGGCATGATTGCTGAGTTGTCGAAAACTCTACATCAAGAACTTCATGATTAGATAGGTCTTGTCACTATCAACTCTATGCAGAATCCTTGTGACGCGATCTGAAAAAACAGGCTTCGAGGACCTAGTTCTGAAAGTGAGGCTACCATCAGCGCCTCCATCGCTCTTGTGCTGCAGTATCTGCTCAATGTGGAGACGACCAGCAGAAACCCGGTCTTGCTCACCACGATACGTGCGCACGCATATGAGCGCTGGGTAGTCGTACAGCCAGAGCATTGCATCTCAAAAACCTATCGTAAATTACATGGAATAACTGCCTCCTACTCTTGTACGACCATGTGCGTTGGCCGATGTAGTGTTGGGGGCGCCAGGCAGACAAGATGCCTGAAGCAGACTGAAGACGCAGTCCGCTTTGGACGCGCATCGCGATAGTGAGATAGAGCAGCGCTGTATATGTAGCAAGTGCAGGTGTCCTAAACGGGAAAAAGTGAAGCGTGCGCGCCTTCATACTCATGCATGGGGACGTATAGTCGTGGCGCATATAGGCGTCCTCGCACAACAGCACCTGTCAAGCTGTCAAATTCACGCCAGCGTTTCACAACGCGCAGACTTTGTCTTCCTTGAGCGCATCTGACCCAACAACCCTGTCGTGGCAACATCGCCAAGACAAGATCTGCGATTTATCTCATTGCTGGGCGAACCGTTGGTCTGAGTGCTTGCGGCCGAGAGAACCAATGTTTGTGCAACCTTGCGTTTTGTTCAGGTCGGCAGCGCGGAAGCAGCCCTACGACGGGCGCTATGGTAGCTTCGATCGAAGAGATAGGCTTTGCGGGGATAGTGTGTGCCGGAGATGGTGTTGATGCTGAACAGACAAATGGGGTCGAGGTATTGTGCAGTGTTGAGCCATGCTGTGTTGGGGTCTTACGTGCTGTGAAGAGGTGGGGCGACTCTTTGTCGTACTTGCACATACATGTCGAATACGGTCAAGTTATACGCAGTGCGAGTATGGTAATTATCGGAGCATGGCTCGAAGTGGGTCAGCATGGCTGGCCTCCGCATTCGATGATGGCAGGAAACACTCACTCTTTGCCGACCTGTTTTGTCCAACAAAGTCAAAAACGCCACAAAGCTTGACGACAGCACTGCAGCTGTCAGTGAAAACTACCACAAAGGCACAGTTGAGTTGATTATCGTTTTTGTATCGTCTGCAAGTACTCATGCATCATGCCGTGCGAGCGCTTCGTCATCCATGGTGACATTTTGCGATCGTTCTTAGATCGATTGCGGGAGAAAACGCCTGCGAAGGGCGATGATACGAACGGGACTATGCAAGGTCCCGCTGTCATTCGAACAAGATTGCCGTCGTCTCCGTTGTCAGTAGGAACTGGTGAATGCACAAGGTAACCCCAGGCAGGAGCGCAAGGTCTATTGGGTAGGACCGCGTGCACGGGTGTTTGGCGCAACGCGTCTCATGCTCCCGTCTTGCACCCCGCTCGATAGAGGATTTGACAGGTTCGTTGCACGCGGTGCACTGGACATGGAAGTTCGATCGAACAATGTGTGGAGGTTTAGTTCATAGCGTACTGATAACATGTGATGTGAGCGCTGCAGTGTGGCGCCATGGTTGGAGATAGTAGTTACAACGAGACGCGGTGCGAGTTATGCTGCTGTTTTTTGGCTTTCGAGTCAAGGATTAACTATATGTGAACAGACGGACCGCAATCTGCCTGTGTCACCAGCATTACGCTTTACGGCCGAATTCTTGTCCATTAGTTAGCAGGTAGTTGGCTGCGACTCTGAAGCGAGATTGGCAAAGACAAACGACTCGAAGCTCTCGAAAACGAGAAATCCTGCCGCTCGAATGTTCTTGTTCGTGCGTTGGAATCCAGTCATGAAACCCATACGGACACTCTGCAGTCCGCGAGCGGCGCTGTTGGTTTGCTCGTCGTAGGACATGTCATCACGCTGTACTGGCATTCTACCATCATCAGCCGAGACTCCGATGGTGATTCTCAGTCTTTGGATTTTACCCCGATTGAACTTGCAAGTTCAGTCGTCTCGGCGACATTTTGCGCGCGGAGACAAACGCTCAGTGATTTCTTGAGCTGTGACAGACGGGAATTGATGCATCGTGAGGATTGCCGCATTGTCCGGGGTCGCTGTGGTGATCGCACAGTGGGGTACTGAAGAGGGTCGAGCGGAGCAACGCGCCTAGACGGCATCGCATCTGAGCGCAGAGCTTGAAATGAGATTACACTGAGACCACGTCAATCAGCGATCCAAAATACCGAGTAGCCTGCTCGGTGTCGTGCTTTCGTTACTATTTCCTCTGTAGAGAAGTGGCAGATTAGCCCAGTCTTGAATGTGCGCAGCCGTACCCTGAGGGCAGGTTTGCGTCATCAGCACTTCACAACGTCCGCTTCCTATTCGCAGAGCAAGGCTGCATGTATGGTAAGGACACCCTTGTTCGCTCACTTACGTCGAGTGGGTCGTGGTACCATGGTCCCGGCGTTGTGTAGCCCCGGCGAGCGGGAGAGATCCGCCGCAGTGAAGCACATATCCTCACCTCCTCCGGCATTGTGCATGTTACCAGAGTCGGCAGACGTGCATGGGCACCTCGGCCAATAGACACCGATGATGTGAGCGAGTCCATGCCTGATGCCACCAAGTACGCAGCTTTCCCCGTAGCAGATTTGTGAGCTGTTCAAATCTGCCACCGCCGGCCCTGTGCAGTGACAGCGGCTCCAGGATGTGGATCCGGACAGGTCTGCAGGTCGCTTCTCATGGGACAGGTTTGTGAACTTCGGTTCTAGAAGGGCATGAGGACGCCACTTCATGTTAGCGACCACGGTCCGTAGCAGCTCAGGCTGCAGCTTGGCCTTCAACATTATTGAGCGGTCAGACTGTGAAATCATACCGCCTTCCAGGAGATAACAAGCGCTTCCAATGTGCAGTCGCGTGGATGAAATCCATTCCTTTGTTCGTGAGCGTCCGGTGAGGCACAGTTTGAGCAAATGCTCAATGTCTGAGTTCATTTTACACACTAACACGAGATGATCGCGATATAGACGGCTCGGTTGATTCGCTAGATTGTTTCAATTTGGAATCCACGATGTTGTGGCTTTTCAGTGGATAAACTCGCCAGAATAGAAACGGCTTGTGTATTGAGCGGTGACCGTCGAGTATCGAAAACAATGACAGTACTAGCTTCTCGGACCGACAATGTCTGAAGCCAATCGTTTGCAGGACTCATCTTGCAATTACGCAGCTGTCCGATGTACTCCCAAAAGAGAGTTCTGGACAGGGTTACCCACGTTTTGCTGTGTGGAACGAAGCTTGTATGACCTTCGGCAGGCTGCAGGCTTCAATGTCAATCCGTTCGTATTGACAAGAAACGACAGGGCGACCTTGTCTGTAGAGTTTGAGCGAGCGAGGCTGGCACAGGTGACGAGTAGTACGACTTTGATGTAGGCGATCGTGCGGAGTGCAGATAGCTGATGTCGTATCCTAGGAACTTTTGATCGCTTCCACAACGCAAGCTTCAGTCGACATGAGCTTGGCTTCCAAACTCATCTCCTCCTACCTCAAGTCTGTGCTGCAGTTCCAGCGAAGTTGGTGTCGATGCCAAACAGTCGCCCTGGGTTCCTGGGAAACGGGACTTGTCACCAATGATTCCAGTGGACTCGCACGTCCCTTGGCTGATTGGGGTTGTTTTGATTGTATAGACCTCAAATGCCTTGGACAAAGGCGGTGCGGAAGAGGAACTGGGCGGTATGCAGGGTTCAGGCTGTATGAGCGTTTGATGCAGTGCTACACGAATCCTTCGAAGCCATCCTGCACCGCTGCACTGATCTTTGAGTAGTGCTTGCGTCCACTAATGGCGTTTGATCCAATGAAAGAAACTGCCGGATAGAAGTCTGACAAGCATCTGGTGTGCGCCATAGAGCCTCTTTGCGCACATGCACACTGGACGCCTTCTGCACGGCGCTTGGTTGCGTGAAGGTTAGCGCGCCGGCAAGAGCAACGCTTCGCTTCATAAGAAGCACTGTAACCATCGCGAGTCCTCTTTTCTGTTTCTGTTGCATTCGTCACTCTTGAACTCGAGAGATCGAATCACTTGTCGTTTGCCGAGTCGTCAATATTTAACAGCCGGAGCAGCCTGTCGATGTAAGTCATTGTTCCGTTAATCTCCAGGTGAACAGATACTGACCTGTTCCTCCACACAGTCTATAGCCGATAGTTGTTCGAGACATTGGACAACTGAAGCGAAACCATTCATTGCATCTTGCACAAGTACATCTCTATTGCCACGGAAGTGTGCCGTTTGCCGAACGGGGCCAGCTTCGTATCGGTACCATCGTGGTGCCCACGCCTTCTTACTGCCGCTGTTCTCGGTTGGGTGCAGGTGTTGTCCACAACCTTCATCTCCGGACTGCGTACGTATGCTGAGCGGTTTGCGTTCCTGTCCAGCTACTGATCGTGTTCGGGCGTTGCACGCGAACTGTCTGATTGCCTTCGGCCATATTCTTGGTTCGTCGTAAAAGGTGGCTGTCCCATCCTCGTGGACACGGTACAAACGAACCATCTGCAGGCCTCTTTTGGCCGCCACCATTTCAGAGTATCATCCCTTACCTTACTGAGTCAGGATCGCCGCTGCTTCTCAGATTATGAACATCCAGTCTCTTCTCAACTCTCCCAGTGGCGGCAGTGGCGAGTATCAGCGTGCAGCCCCTCCATGTCCGCCGTCCGCTCAACGCTGCCTGGCTCACAGTGTCGTCCCAAAGAGACAGAAGCTAGCCAAGGACGCTCCGGTCTTCTCTGAAGGGACCAAGATCGTCGGCCATGTCAACTACCCCCCTCATGAGGCTGGCAACGACCGCATCCTTGAAGCTCGACATCGCGAGTTTAGTGTCTTTCCACTCGGTCAGATTCTCAAGAAGGGAGTGCGACACATCCCTTACGCCAGCGACAAGAAGGACTTCCTTGACAAGACTGGCCGCGATGCCTTCAAAGGTAAGTGCGTTCGGCCCACTGTGAAGACGCTGAGCTAACCAAGCTACAGTCATCCAATACACGTTCAAGAGGCCTGGTGAGGACAGGGAGTACGTCGTCGTATGGGACTACAACGTAGGTCTTGTTCGCATGACACCCTTCTTCAAATCGTGCAAGTATCCGAAGGTATGTCGTTATCATCAATCGATAGCATTGTTGCTGACCATTGTAGACCGTGCCGGCAAAGGCGCTGAACCAGAACCCGGGCATGAAGGACATCAGCTACAGTATCACCGGAGGAGCTCTGGTTTGCCAAGGTCAGCCCCAAACATTTGCAAGCATAAAAGGCTCACTGACGCGTCGCAGGCTACTGGGTGCCGTGGCAAGCTGCCAGGGAGATCGCAGCGACATTTTGCTGGGACATCCGTTGGGCACTTACACCGGTCTTCGGCAACGATTTCCCTCAAATCTGCAGGCCTCCTCATGACCGTAGCTTCGCCAAGTTCGTCATCGACCCCGAGATCGTGAGGTTCTGCACCTTAGAGACCGCTCGCTTTAAGGAGGAAGGTGCCTCATACCGACTCTTGCAATCAAAGGCACTGTCGCCGGTTATGACACCGATCATGGCACCACCGACGCCAGTCTTGACTCCGCCGACATGGAAGCAAGACGTCCTTCCTGTATATCCCGAAAGCGGCTACGGCACCGATATTGAGCGGAACGGCAACACCGTCTTCTCACCCCAAGTGTCTCCGCGAAGTCTCTACATCGTCAGTCGTTTCACTTCAGTCAACGGAGCAGAGCCACCTACTTCGCCAAACACGACATACTCCTCAGCCACGTGTACACCAGTCGTTGCATTTGCTCCAACACCACTGATGCTGCCGACATCGATTCCGGACGAACCATACTGCAAAAGCTTCCGAACGAAGCGAACATACTCGAAGGTGGCGTACAACGACAGTGACTGTGGTGTTGCAAAGATCGATACACCACACAATGAGGTGCCAGATCCCATCCAGGACACCTGTCCGGCTGGGTCTCATTCCCCCCGTACTCTCGAAGCAGCCGAGATCTTGATGTCGCTGAGTGTGGTGGCACGCAACGTAGCGGCGTTGCCAGAGCCCAAGCGCACTCGTCGTGACTTCAGGTCCTAGGTGCTCCCCACCTTCCTCATGCGCGATGATGACGCATCACTGTTAACAAACACACCATGGAGGTCCCTTCTCTCCTCGTCGCTCACGACGCCTCCTGCCTTCGGTCAGTCACACCAAGCAACAACATCAGCATTCTTACCTTCAGAACGCTCGTTCTCTTCAACAACCAAATCGAGTTTCCACCATTTCCGCGCTTCCTGATTTCCTTCGCAATACTCACTCATTCTTAGGTGGTGTTCCGGTCCAAGCACACATCGTCGGTACTCTCGTTCCAGCGCGCATCGTTGATACCCTCGCTCCGCTATCGCATCAGCTTAGATTCAGCACGTATCGTCAGTCCTCTCGCTTTACACCTGCATCGATAACGTCATTAAAGATATCCTGCTGGAGCCTCTCGCTTTCCTAGCGCGCATCGTCGGCACACTCGTTTCTCAGCGCGCATCCGGTCTGGCTTTCTTGCTCTCTACTAGATAATATGGCGTTCAGGTCAGCATCATTATGAACATCTTACGAGTAGCATCATAGAGCCCAGCTTTGTATATACCCCTTAGTTTCTGTAGATAGATGTCTTCACTGGCGACTTATCCAATATGATTGACGAGCCAAACCATCGTCGTTCTTGCGATCTCACATCCTTGATTCTGTCATGTACGTTCGATCAGCGTATATACAACTGGCTGACTTACCTAGCCGCCGCCTTCAAATTCTCAATCTTTTTCTTCGTCGCAGGGATGACCTCCGCCTCATTCCAGACATACGTCACACTCTCCTCCTGAATCACCTTCTTCGCCCACTTATCGAACTTCGGCAACCTCTCAAAGCCCTCCACCACACTCTTTGGCAACAGCCCATTCTTACTAAACGAGTACACCCGCAGATTAAACGGCGCAGTCAACGCCTCCGCCAGCGTCACCTTGCTACTGCCTCCAAAGAGTGGAGGTGCATCCTTAAGCAGCGGCTCAATCTCCTTACCCACCTTGTCCAAAATTTCCTTCACAAGTTCCTCCTTTTAGCCTCATCGTCGGCGGGCAGGATCTGGAACCAGTTGCTCCCGATCTTCTCGAACCATGTGTCGACAAAGGAATTGATGCGTTCTCGCACGAGAGCGGCGTCGGCGGTGCCGGTAGCAGGGACGAGGTGGGACGTGTATGCGTCGGCGAAGAAGCGCGCGACGACGCCGGGTTCGGTGAGGATCTGGTTGTTGAATTCGATCGCTGGCACCAGGCCACGCTGGGGGGGGGGGGGGTTGGACAAAAGCAACGAGCGGCGACAATTGCAATGAATGGGTATGTGCAAAGGGCGAATATGTTGGACTATGGATTAGGGAACGTACGGGGTTCACTTCAAGATACCATGGCTCGCACAGCTTGTCGAGGTCGATGATGACTTTGACGCACTGCAGGCCGAGTTCTTTGATCACGATGTGTGCGCGGTGAGCCTAGGAGCAGCGGTGGTTGGTGTAGACGGTGATTTTGTCGCCCCATCTTGGATATAGTGAGGTTGTGATATCCGAGTCAGGGAGCTTTGAAGTTAGGCAGGCGAATGACTAGTGATGACGATGCAAGGCGATGCTGTTGGAGATGTGTACTTCAGGCACACGGAGTATGTCAATGGTCTTTAGTAGGCAGTGGACAGTTGTTAATTGTAAATAATGAAGCTCCCCTCATCATGCCCCGTGTCGGAACGCTTTTAGCTTAGAAGTCAATGTATTGCATCAGATTACCTGGACATCGCATGCTCTATGTAGTGGGGTATTTCTAGCGCCGAACTTCTACTCTTTTCGCCCGTGTGGAGCGGAACGTAATGCTGTCTGATTGTCCCCCAATACGTATAGTAGAGAAGTACGTTCGCAGGTATGTGCTCGCTGTGCTTCGCGCAATGTCCTCAAATAGGAATGACAGCCTGCTGAACGCGTGCTTATGACTGCCTCTAACAGGTGAGCAGCTTGCAACCGCGACAAACGCTGGTTGCGCAACGGTAGCTTTGAGCTCTCTGGTCGAGAGACGTGCTGGGCTTATAGGTCGCGTGACCGATCCAAGGATGCTTCTTGGGGTGCGCTCCGTATGTTGCTGAGAGGATGTGAGGATGTTCCGGCAGGGATGTATGTTAATCCATTGTTGCTGCTCAAGCAATGACACCGTCCCCCTCAACTTTCCATTCCATAGCATTACTGTCCCCCTTATTCTTCGCTCTGCGCTTCTCATTGCGCTTCCGTCTACGCTCCTCAGCCTCCTGCTCCATCTTCTCCTTGCCCGACGCCAGCCGGGCATCAACATCAATAACCTCGTTTTTCGCATCCTCGTCCCTCTTCCTCTTCAGATACCTTAAACGATCGCGCACCTCTTCCAATGTAGCGCGCCGTACCTCCCCCGACTGTCCCGTTGCAACCAAATGCTGCTTACTATTCAAATGCTCGATATACTGAATATTGTCTTTGAACGTAAGATCGCAGGCCTGACAGTACGCGCCCGCCCCCTTTCCCCTCTTGCCTACAGCAGCTGCTGCTGATGTGAGCGTCTGCTTGCCAACCATCTTGCTCCAATCTATGCGCTCTGAGCGTGCTTCGGTCTGGCGCAGATCTTCGGGCGTTGAGGCGCGCCGTCTGTAGGTCTTGCCTGCGGCTTTGGCTTCATAGCGTTCTTTGGCTTCTTCGCGGTCTCTGGCCTCCCGTTCTTTGGCCTTTTTGGCCATCTCTTCGCGGTCCCATGTTTTCCGGAAGTCGGTGTCGCCGCCGCCAGTCGTGCCGTATGCGCCTGCTTTGCCGCTCATTTTGGTGGTAGGCGGTTGCCTGTGATTGCGGGAGATGGGTTCGACTGGAGTGAGGGGTTGAGAGGCAGTAGTCTGGAATAGTGTGACAACTTGATTATAGTTTCGAGTATGTGTATGTAGAGTGGTATATCTTCGAGATTGGTGTGCACTGCGTCGAGCTTCGAGCACCAAAAGTTCCTACCAAGCAATGCACGGACTGGCAGGTGACAGCTTGGGCAAGTTTTGTCGAACGGCCTTGTCGATTTGACAACCACAATGCGGGGTAGCCGTGCGACATGAGCATGCTGTGACAACATTGCAAAGTATACTCGAGATCGAGCTGACTTATGTTCTTGCTCCCTGAAGAACGTACCAAGAGATTGAAAGGCTCGCTTGATATCGACAGCTGCCATTATTCCTAGCGCCACCGTGCTGCCGAGGAGGTTGGATCAGCAGTGGAGCTCTTAATTGCCAACTCATTACGCATCACCATACATGACCCATCTCATAAGCAACACAAAGCTAGCCATTCTCATGCTGTCCTTCCCAACGTCGTTATGTAACATGCATCTTTTCACCGCCTGTGCCTGACTCTCGAACTGCCAGCTTCGCCTCCAACCTGTCCTCTCTCACAGCTATATAGCACATTCACCCACGCTGGGTCGTGACCATGTATAAGTGTCTCCTCTGAAGAGGGCCTTGACTATGGATGCCGAGCCCAACTGCGCAATATGTAGCGCACCACCACATTCGGGATGTCTCTGCGAGTCAGAGCGTCTCCAGATCGCCCTCGACCAGGCCGAGAGCAGGGCAATGGATGATAAACAGGCCTTTATACGGTATGCCTTTGTCAACTAGATCGTTCCGATCAGGCGACTGATCGATGTACAGCGACTGGGTAATCACCCACGCGCGCCACCACATCCAACTCGCCTTCCAGCGCCTCACCACAATCCGCCAGCACGCGCAAACCGCCTACCTCAACTCCCTCCCCCACTACGACGTCTACATGCGCTTCTCCGGCGCGCCCCCCATCCACCCCATGTACATCCAGCAACTGCAATCGCAGATCGCCGAAGCCCACGCCGAGTTCAAGCGCGGCATCGACCTCGACTGGCGCGCCTCCGTACTGCGCTACCCTGAAGTCCTGGATTACTTCTACAGCCTTGTCGAGTTGAAGCTGCCTGCCAAGGACCATCGCAGTGTTATTGAACCCCCGTTTGCGGCCGCGGGATATCAGGACAGAGGGTATATGGCGGGTGAGCCGAGTCGAGTGGGTGCAGACAAGAAGACGATGAAGAAGAGGAGGGATAGTGCTGGGGCCATGGGGCATCCGGGGGTCAGGCTCATGAGGATGCAACCTCCTCAGGCCCCGTCGCCGCCGACACAGCATCCTGGTTATCCTTCCGGCTACTACAGATGATTCGCCAGTGTGGTAGGTATGATTTCATGATCTCGCATTTGCTGGCGTTGCTTTGGGTTATGAATCTCTTTCTGCACCTGCATTTGGTAGATGTTTCCTTACCGTAAGCATAGCGGGGAGTTCTGTCTTAGCAAGCACGCTTCATCGTTCAGCGCAGCAAGTCTGCTTCAATAAAGTCCATTCGACAATACGTCAATACAATCAGACATCCAACAAACCCGAAGATCAGAGACAGCCCTTCAGCCTCGTGGGGCCGGGATAACGTGACCAGGCTATCTGCGGGTGAACAGCATCCGAGCCTTGCCGCACCGTCCGACTCGCAACTTGTGCACCTGCTCGTCTTGCTCGCAAAGTGATGATCTTTCTCGCAAACCGAATATGGGCACCACAGGTCTTATGACGAGCGCCGTGCAGCCTAGAAATGCGTCGCGATAACACGCTTGGGGCTGCCTCTCTCGGATGTCCATCTCACCTGCGTTTGTTATGGCAGAAATCCCCGGATTGACTGGGCTAGGTTGGGTCCACCGCCTTCTAGAATGTGGGACGTCCAATGATGTTTGGGACGACGCTGCACTGGCGCACGCCGACGAGATTGTCGTCAGAACGGATTCGAGCAGAGTCCCAATCCTGTCCTCACTGGAGTTTGGCTTGAGCCGGCAGCCAGAAACGACCTCTCATCAGTTCGCACCACGTCCGGGCTTGCAATGCACTCAATGATGATGCAGAAAGCGAACATAAAGAACATTTGTAACTTCAAAGCAGCGGTAGTCACTGGTTGGCACCTGAGTCAGCAGTACAAATCCTTCAGCCTCCTGTCAAAAGTGGGTGCACCCCGCCAAATTTTGATGGGTCCGTCATTCAACTGCGCGCCCTTCGAATTGACATCCACGCACTAAGCCGTCCTGGTCGCGACTAGCGTGCTCCGATCTGACTCTGAGCAGGCCTCTTCTAAGGCACTTATCGCTCAAATCTACATACACGCCTTATACTCTCCTTTGACATTCCTGTTTCCAGGTAGAGGGCGTGTTTGTTTCCACTATATTGCACCTTTTCCGTCGTCAATTGTCTCGTGGTGACAAATCAGCTTTGAGTGGCCATCACCATGGCTGCTCCGAACGCCGATATGGCGCAGTTCTTCGACTTTGGCGAAGCAGCTATGCCCGATGTCCACCAACAAGTGGGTCAGGATGCTTCAACAATACAGACGAGTGAGAGGTGAGTGGTTTGTCATACATTCGTTAGACAATGCTTTCGACCTTATTCAATGCGGAATACTACGACTCTCCTAGTCTTCAAGCTTGTTCGGCGCAGACAGGTCCTCGAAAGCTTTCACAATACACGGAATCATGTCTCAGTACAACACTGACATATCATAGTCAACTTCTTGATGCTTTTCTGGAAACGGACAACCTCCAAACCGAAGCATTCAACACAGACTTCTCGAGTTGGCTGCCTGGATACCAGAAACCAGCCAACCCTTGCGAGTATTGTCGTTCGAAGTCCCTTGAATGCTTTATCTATAACGCAAAGGGCGATGGAACGTCAGGTTGCTCGCCTTGCAACAATCTCTTCCGACCATGCAGCTTCTCTAACCCAGAGTTGATGCCCTACCGAACCCAGAGGACCGCTTTGGATACGCTAGATGTCGTGGGCGAGGATGACGTTCACCAAATTGGTGGCCTGACCCGCAGAAAGCAGTTGAGGTCGAAAGGTCACATTGGACCTATCGATGACGAGAGTGGAGACCTTGGCCCCAAGAAAGGCGCTGCCGCGGCTCGGTTCCCACGAGCGGCTGTCAAGATCCTGAAAGACTGGATGCTCGAACATCACGAACATCCCTATCCAACTGAGGAAGAGAAGGAAATATTGGGCCAACAGACTGGCCTCTCGTTAGGCCAGATCTCGAACTGGATGGCCAACACACGGCGAAGACAAAAGGCGAGGCCTAAACGAAGCTCGTCACCCAGTATTCGACCAAACACGCAAGCGCTCAACATCCCAGCGGGCAGGACTTGGGAGTCTCTGAGTAAGCACACCCTCGCTGAGTCTAGCCAACCGCAACCCTCGGTGATGACTACTGGCCGGTTCTTCAAGTTCCGCGTCAATGGTCAGCATCAAGAGAGCGCTGGCAAAACAGACTCGGGTTATGGCATTGCATCGACTGTGCCAGTGTTACAACAACAGAATTGTTTCGGTTAACTCGCGATAGATCCCTTCGAACGATGGAAGCATTCTCCCCCTGAAAACGAACCTGCTCCCCTGACGGCTATTGCCCAGGCCGTGGAAACCTTCGACCTGCCCGAGAACGCTAGCGCCAGCAGTAGTTACCAGCACCTCTCGTCTAACAAAAGTACCGACAGCTTCTCGGTCTTCAGAGCGCCTTCGCTGTCGTCTTTGGAGACTGGCTTCACGAACATGTCTTCTGGATCCCTCGGCTCCCACAACACAGCCTACTCGCACGGCTCTAGGCATTCTCTCGGGTCGATGAACAGCTTGAAGTCGAAAGAGAGGCGCAGGCGGCGACGCATCCCCACTCGAGCCCCCAAGGACGCCGAAAATGACGCTAACCGTCTCTTCCAGTGTACATTCTGTACCGATCGTTTCAAGTCAAAGTATGACTGGTCAAGGCACGAGAAGAGTCTTCATTTGTCGCTAGAGAAATGGATCTGTGCGCCGTTGGGCGAGGTCGTTGCTGACACCACAACCGGCAAGAGTAAGTGCGTCTACTGCGGTGAGCTCGAACCGACTAAGGTTCACCTCGCCACCCACAACCACTCTGCTTGCGAAGAAAAGGGCCTTGAGTCTCGTACATTCTATCGAAAAGATCACCTGCGGCAACATCTGCGGTTGATGCACGATGTCAAGATGACTCCGAATATGGAATCGTGGAAGTCTGAAGCACAGTACATCAAGTCAAGGTGCGGCTTTTGCGGTATGGAGTTCGACAAGTGGCAGGACCGAATCGACCACCTGTCCAAAGAGTTCCGGAATGGTGCGAACATGAAAAATTGGAAAGGTTGTCGTGGTCTTGACGCTTCGGTGGCTGTACACGTCACCAACGCCATGCCTCCGTACCTTATCGCGGACGAGAGCAAGTCGCCGTTCCCTTTCTCGGCGAGCAATACCAACAGTTGCAGTGTAAGACTCCAAGAAGAAGCGTGTGCAGACAACCATCCAAAGCTGACCGAGGCACAGCGCATGCCCGTAATGCTTAGCAGCAAGGACCTAGAGTACCTTGTCCCGAACACCACCAACCTTTCGGATGCCTATCAAGGTGACGGACACAATGTAGGCCCTATCGTGCTTCAAAATACCACATCCCAGGACTATTCGTCTTCAGAATCACCAGACAATCATTCTAGGGCCACTTGCTGGGAGATTTTGACGCTGCGCTTGGGTCGGTTCGCCCGCCAACACATCGAAAAGCATGGAGCAGGTACAGTCACCGACGAAATGTTGCAAAAGGAAGCTCGAATCATCCTCTACGGTGAACCTGATGACCCGTGGCATCAGACCGCTGCCGATAACCCGGAATGGCTCAACCTCTTTAAGAAAGCCCATGGCATCGACCACACCATCCAAGTGCCAGGTACGTGCATTTTTGGCATGCAGATTGCCAACATGACGCTAACCATCGCAGGTGTATACTCTCAACACGAGATCTACGAAGACCTCGGTCTCGGCTCCGCCGCCCAACTCGACCCCAGCTTCAACGTCGCCAATGTGCACGCCTTCAACGTGCTTAACCTACCCGCTAACGATCCGTCGCGCGCTCTCCAATTCGAGTGCTCCCTCTCTGGTAGCACAGCAATGTACGACCACGCGCGCCACCTCTCCTCCACACAATCGCCCCACAGCGTCCCTGGCCTGACGGGTTCTACATCTGCCTCCCCAACGACAACCGCATCGCGTCGTGCATCCGCGATGGCAATGGCACCCATCACCGAGCAGATCTGCACTAATGCGGATCTGGATATGAGCAGGGTGATGGATAATTTCCACCTTCCGAGCTGGGATCAGCTGCCGAGTGAGTTCCAGAACCCGACAACGAGCGCAGGATTTGAGAGCATGATACCGATCAATGCGATTACGAGTGCGATGGGTGTGAGTTCGAGTAATGCGCCAGCGACGATGGCGTGGGATGATAATGAGTTGAGCTTTGATATGGATATGGATTTGGATTTTGCGACGGAGATGGCTAATGCTGGGATGGCGTCACAACTGTGAATGGTCACGGGGAACGGCATGAGTAGACATAGAACTTGTAGCGGATGTCATGCGTGAATGATGGGCGCTGTGGTTCTCTCCTCTAGGTTCGGGGATGCAGGCGTTGGTACGGTGTTGGCGTTCAAGCGGTTGCAAAGTGAATTGACGAGTAATAAAGTTCTTCCAAGTCCGTCAACGTTGTTCCTCAAATTTGTGACTCTTCACGATCCTTGGCATTTTCAACTCCGAGGACGACACTGCCGTGCCACTCCAGCTGCAATTCCTCTCCACCCACCTGCATGACCCCGCAGATCCACGTAGTCTAGACCTCCACACTCTTGCCACTCAACCATCACTTCAATCATGTTATCCTCTATTTCCAAAAGAAAATATACATTCTTGGTATATAAGGTAGGTAATCGAAGCGGCGATTATCATCATCGGGCGTTGTGGCGGAGTGGTTATCGCGACAGACTTGAAATCTGTTTCCCTCGGGAGCGTAGGTTCGAATCCTGCCAACGTCGCTTTTTTGCTCTCCTGTACCAGTGCTTGAGTCTTCTTTTTGCAAAAGGTAGTAGTTGCACGTGTTCACAGCGCCCCCAGAACACCATAACGCCAATCTCTACTTGCTCCGTCTTTCTTTTACCCATGTGAAGACCAACGTGTACCAAAGCCTTCTACACAGTTATGTTCGGTTTCTCAACTCTCAAACACCATTCTTCCGGGTCTCGATCGCCTCAGGTGTTGATGCCTCATCTTCTTTATCAATCTCCTCTTCGTAATCGTCTTCACCCGCCTCTTCATCCAACGCCTATCTCAAGCTCTCAGTTCAGGCTTCGTACTCTCTTCCATCAACATCATACTGAGCCGCCGTAGCACCCAACGTCGGCCACTACTTCTCGCGCAACCTATCCTCCTTCGCCACCAGCATTCCTTCCAACACCCCAACCTTCCCGCCCTCGAGCTCCTCTCGATCCTTCCACACCCCCACCCGACCATCCACCAACCCGTTCCTCTCTCAAAATGCCGTTCACGCCTCCAATGCTCATCGCTACCCAGCACCTTCGAACTCCCAATCACAAAAAGCGCTTCTTTTGCCCGCGTCAGCGCAACATTCATTTTTCTCTTCTGTCCCACCAGTCCCATGCCTCTCTTCACATCGTCCTCCATAAACATCATCCTCATCCTCGTCGTGCAAATAACCATAACCCTTTTCTGTAACCCCTGAAACGCCTCTAGAAGACCAATATTGACGTCCCACAACCCGATCCCGCCAGCGTACTGCTGACTCCGTATCATCGAACGTAGAGGTTTGACTTGCGCAGTGAAGGGGGACATAATGTATATGACTTCCTGCTTTACACCGGACTCGAATACCAGTATAGGAAGCAGGCGAGTCGTGCTTCGCTGATGTTGTACCAGCCGCCATTATCGCGCTTGATTTCGTCGGCCAGTCTGCGGGGTTTGGAGGACGGGCCGGATGAAGGCCTGACATTGGAGCGGTAAAGGGGGTGATTGGCGTATAGGGGGCGGGCGAAGAAGCGGGCGAAAAGGGAGGTAGAGAACGCAGAGTCGTGGGATGCGGTGCGTGGGCCGAGTTGGTGCTCGCCACCTGCCATTACTAGACGTGGTTGGGCATGGTCTTGTGGGTAGGCTGAGGGTGGGCAGATGATGCTGATCGCTGGTAAGACGTCGACTTCAGTTACCTGAGCGGCTTCGTCGAGCAGGAGCGCTCCCCAATGTAGGAAGGGTGTTGGTGGCTCTTCTTCAAAGTGAAGTGCTGCCACCAGAGCCCGCTCCATGGTCCAGAGATCTGCATTTGTCAAGCGCGCTTCTGCCATTATGACGGCATCGCAACATGAGGTGACTATCACGCTGTACGATAGCAGCGTCTTGAATGGCGGTATATAGAACATACCATCCTGGATATAGCAATACTGCAGCAGTTCACGCGAGACTTCGTTATCGGCTCTGTTCGGTCCGTTGAGCCGTAGGAACTGTTTGGGTGTCAAGTATTGCTTCAGCCGCATCGCGAGAGTGTCTGCTGTGGCTTCAGAAGGCGCACAGAGTAGCATATGGGCTACATCTGTGGTGTTTGGTAGCTGCATGGCTACCCCGATGAGTGTCTTCGTCTTGCCTGTCCCTGGTGGCCCTGATATGAGGTACGGTAGGGTCCCGTAGTCGGCCGCACATATCGAGTTTACGGCACGCGCCTGCGCGTAGTTGATGGCGTAGTCGAACAGGGTGCGATGGGGGGCGTTTCTTAGCTTTGTCTAATGTCGTCCGTCGCTCTTTGTTGGGAACAACACCCTGTGAATCCAGTCATCCCGTGACTCTCAAAGAGGATTTGAAGGAACTGGCCTTGGCTCGAGATTGAATGACGACTCAGAGAAGCCATCGAAGTCGGCTGGGACCTTCATCCGGTCTCGAGATCCATCCTCGAGGCTTCGGCCAATTGACAGGAATGCACTGCGCTGGCCCCGCAGTATCCTCTGCTTGAGTGAAAAGACGACGTTCGCTACCATGGGTAGAACATTTTGATCGTAGTATGGGGTGAGTTGCTCCAGGCTATCCACTCTCAAGTACACAGTCTCGTGAACCCTGCTTACACTTGTAGACAGAGGTATTGTATTGCTTCGCAGTCCACAACCGATACATAACATAAAGTCCACCGTCGCCGACGAGTAGTGTAGGCATCTGAATCGGATTGCCGCCCCAGTTCACCCATAGTTGGCGAATTCGTAAGACATTCCCTATCTCAATAAACGTACTGTCTTCCCGCAGTCCGGATATGGATAATGTAACTGCATGAGCAGTTTTGGTTGGAGGCAGTGATCAATGATTGTATTGCTATCTGTGTTGTTGTTCGATGATGTTGTTTTTCGAGCTCTCAGTTCGGAGGTAAATGCACTTGCCCTCAGGTAGTGCCTACTACAATAGGGTATCATGTGATTAAGCCACGTGGTTACAGATAAGGCCCAAAGGCGGGTGAGATCAGGCATGGGTACGGCCTGTAGTGGAACTCTGCACAGCGCGTGCTGCTCATTCTCGTGCTCCTTCGCTGCATGTTCACGCTTCAATAATGATGCAAAGTAATGCACGTATAATTGCTCAGTGAGCTTCGTTGTTGGTGACAAGTCATTGGCGAGTCATTCCTTGTCCAAAGCGGGCTAGTGGGCGAGAAAGTATATACCGGCAAATTTGCAATTATATGCACCAAATCCAATCTTGTGTTTTGTTTCGGTAATGGTATGTTCCCAGCCACTTCTTCATTAATGGCTCGCAGCCCGGATGGAACGTATGATTTTGCATAAACGTCGAAAAGAGGTTCTGTGTACTGATTGACTGATTCTCCAGGCAGAAGGAGGCCTGGCATGGTATCCTGCGTGGTATTTGGTGTGCCTTTGCAGGTGCTTGGTTGAGCCCTGAACTCATGGGTCCCTGCAGAAGTTGGGGCTGACGATGGTGGCGGTATTGGTAAGCTGGAGAGGGCGGTGGGCACCGTGGGTACCGTGAGCTCCGATCTTTGGCCGTGTTTGGCTGAGCCTGGTATGAAGGGGATTGCGACGAGCCTCGCGGCCGCAGTTTCCTGGGCACTCTTGCGTACCCCAGGTTTGTTGTGATTACTCTCGTCGAGTACCATGACTTGTGATTATGGTGTCTGGTAGTTGAAAATGTATCAAATGATCTGTCAAGCTGTTGACATGACACGTGTGCTGATATCGACAGATCCTATGCCGAAAGGTGGGAAGGGAGGAGGTTCCATAGTGGACTCTACTGTACAGAGAACGTATTGTTACACCATGCAGCCACCATCAAGCACATGGCCATCGTATCAAACAGTATCCAATAATGTTTGCAACCGGGTGTCGAGCGAGAAAGTGACAGTTGCCAAAGACATGGGCAGGGCCAAGAGCTCTGGGCTGTAGGCAACTGTGGTTATATGTAACTGACAAGGGTGTATGAAAGGGCACTGCAAAAGCAGACTGAGGTTCTGAGCTCGTTGAATTTGGAGAAATATCGGAACAAGTAATGACCAAAATTAACAAATAAAACGCTTACTTTGTCATTGCTGGAGTCAAGGTGTGCGGTGATGACGAGAAGATCAGGGCGCGGATCTGCGGATGAGGCACGGGCCTCCGAGCCAAAATGGCGCGTTGCAGCCTCGCAGACGCGACTTCCCTCCTTTCTTTCATCCACATACCTCGTCTGGGATGCCATTTCGCCCGCCCTTCAGCTCACAGATGCACGCGTGAAACCAACACGATATTTCAACGTCTACAGTAAGGTAGAGTACCGCTCCAATCGTCATTCCTGAATCATGTCAGTTCCTACAGCTAGCTGCACATCACGTTCGAAAGGCCCCGAGTGTTCAAGTTGGATATGATATTTTTCCTTTCCCTATTTGCCTAAACTCAAAATCACAAGGCTTTGGGCATGAGTCTCCGAGGCAACTGAAACCTTCGCAAAACCCTGCAGTCGAAACACTTCACCTCTGGATACATTGCAAAGGTCAAGCCCTCAGTTACTGCAACGAAAACGTCGTTGAGCGCTCGCTTTCTCATATACAATTACCTCAGGGCTTCCCCTTCACAATTGACGTACGTCGTCAATACTGAGCATGACGTCTGGCTTGTGACTGACGGTGGACTCTTCTCAGCATTTGGAAGCCACACAGGTGCAGTTGCTTCTCTTTCACAACCTGGACTGCCAGACACGTCAAGGCGTTCTGCCGACAGTCTCCATCAGACCCAATGGGACATATGGGGAGCGGAAAACCTGCGGCAAAAGCCCATCGAGCTGCGATAACCCGGATTTCTTACCCCATATAATAGTGGCTCGAGTTTTGTTCCTTGTTGAGATGGAAATCGTGAAGGATTTTGATAGAAGCGGCAAGTAGTACTCTGCAACCAGGAATCTGACCCCTGTATGACTGTCTCAGATCGGGAAGGTGGGTTTCATAAGGCGAGCGGGCGACCGCGCTTTACCCTCTACAATCAGCCGTCCTTGAGAAGTGGCTGCCTGCAAGCCCCACACGTTCCGTTATCGATTCGCTACCACTCAGCCTGTCCGTACGCAGCCCGCTACGCTGACGTTTCGAAATGCCGTCAACGGTCAACTCCTGCGCTGGCCCACTTCATGCAACGTTTCGCAATCAAGATCATAGGGCTCAATACTATTGCGCAAACGTGTTGAAAGGTGGATCATTCGGCGAACGATACCATCGAGGGAAGGATCTGATCATCGAGCGGAGACTCCCGCATCGTCACAAGGTATTGCTCTGATACTCGACGCCCGTGCAGCCATGTGCGTGATATGCCGGCAGTCGTTCTCGAGACGAGGATATGCCTGGATATCAAAGCCATGGATTTGGTTCCAGCCCGGAGCTGACATTGTCGACTGTTTCTCCATTCTATACCTGAAATGACAGTGCGCCTCCAAATGATATCTGCCATGTGCTTACGGGAAGCTAGTACTAAGTCAAACGAGGCCGGCCATGCACATTCTCTGTTTACGATGCTGAATAGCAACGAGAGCACACAGTCGACCGATTGCGCAAGCCTGCTGCCGAAATGTACACCAAACTTGCTCGTGAAATCTCCTGCATTCGTTTTCCCGGATCTGACCCATTTCAAGAAGGTGAGGGCGTGGTGTGGCTCACCCTGCATGCTCGTGTCCCGCCCGTGCTTGCAGCTCTGGGCGTACATATTAGGGCCAGCCACATTGTATAAGTGAATATTACGACGCTCGTCAGACCTCTCTCTATGTAACAGACGGGCTTGCAACCTCAAGGCTTCGACCCTGTGTCGTGTCAGGATGACTTCGAGGTTTCCCACAGCGGCAGAAATGCTATATTTTCCTTCACCCAACTATGTCGATCCCACAACGCGAAGGCCATTAGCCATTGGTATTATCACACCAATGACAGTCTTGGTTGTCGCATTCATCTCTTGTCGCTTTTACAGCCGAACAGTCTTGACTAAGACGCTTGGCTGCGATGATGGGATCATGCTTCTGGCAGCTGTAAGTTTGAAGCACGGTTCCGAGAGGCAATGAGCGGTCGGCTGAGCAAACAGATCATGGCCGTAGGGAACAATATTATGGTCATCATCTCCATGTTGCCCCAGTACCAGATGGGCTATCACCTTTGTACGCAACCAAAGTACAACACTCGATCCCCGCCACTGATCATTGTTAGGGGACATACGCCCACAAATTCTCTATGCCTCCATGAAGGCTGCTCAGGTATGTGAGCCAACAACGTCAACGACTCCCAGCTCACAGCGTGGTAGATGGGCATGGCAACGCAATTGCTTTTCACGGCGATTATAACACTAATGAAGGTTGCGATACTTTTGACATATCTGCGTAAGTGATTTTGTTCAATGGATGTCTCTGTCAGACTATCCAATGCTTACAACACCGAAGGTATCTTTCCCTCACGACTTAACAAATGGTTTTGTGGCGTTATGATATTCTACACCATTTCATTGAACGTGGCTTGCTTCTTCATCACACTCTTCCAATGCGCGTAAGACCTCTCTCTTCGGTGATATCTAGGCATCACACTAACATGATTCAAAGACCGGCAAGCACTTACTGGAATATCTTCAAGTATATCGGCAGGACCAAATGCCTGAACATCAAGGCGATCTACTACTTTCACTCAGCGCAGAACACCCTCAGTGACTTTCTCATCTTCCTTTGGCCAGCTAGAGACCTCCTCAACGTCAAGGTGTCTTTGCGACAGCGCGTTACGCTGATATGTATGTTCTCGCTCGGTGTTATGTAAGTTTGTGACTTGTCCTTTTGTGTGTAAATACTAATATTCTAATAGTGTATGTGTCGCCGGGGTTGCGCGCTTGTATTACACGCACGTCTACTTACACTCATATGACGTCTTCTGTAAGTTGCTGTGCCTGCTTATTGAGACCGTCGCTCACACAAGCTTACAATCTTAGGGCATGGTGCTGAGACTTTTATCATCATGTCCGTAGAGAGCAGCATTGGCATAGCGTGTGGCTGTCTACCCGGGTGCAAACCACTGATGAACCGTCTCTTCCCACGATACTTCGGCTCCACGAACAATTCCACAAACCAGTATCCACGCCGATGGCAACCAAATCACGCGAAGCAGATTGATGACGAAGAATCAACGCAGCTGTCAGTGTCAATAAGAGGGGAATCGATACGGCCAAACAGCCCAGCAGCAACCCAACCTGGAACTGCTGCACAGCCAGTAGGCCTCCATCGATCTGCATCAAAGCAGACACAGAGGGCTCTCGTTTCCAGCCTGAGCCCTCAATCCTCCACCCTCAGCCGCTCCGCCTCACTCACGACAACACCTACTATTAACGCCAACAGCATGCGAACACCGAATCTCCACCGCTCGCCGTCGCACCTGACACAAAGTACCTTCACGACTACCATCATCGCTCAACCGCACCTATCGCGCTCAACATCACGACACACATCTAGATGGGGCAGCGTTGACCTCAACAAGCCCTTACCAATGCGACGGACACCACTTGCTGTCGCGGCGCGAATACCGAGCGCAAGCGGCTTCCGGAGAAGTAGAAATGATTCGAGAGAGCTTAGCGCTATCAGTAATGCGAGTACAGAGATGTTCATTTTGCAGGGGAGAGGCAGTGGGTCAGGGAAGCAATCGCCGGAGAGGAAGAATAATGAGTAGATAGGGTGGCTTCATTACAAAAAGTTATAGATCAATTAGTTGATATCAATGCTGTCCGCAGTGATACGTGACACCTGTTCGCATGTGGATGAGGTATAAAGCCTACACTTGGCTCTCCTTGAAGATATCCCTTCAGATACGGCAATTTTGTTTACTGGTTTGAAAAGCACACCGAATGATGGTATGTTTTGGGCCCAAGATATCTCACATATGACACATGTGCATCTCCAGACATTTCTGAACAATACATACTGTGGAGGATCAGCCAGCGTCACAAAAGGACCCAAATGCGATTCATGTCTAGACCTTTGGCTTACATATGCATGCAGCGTTTTGTCACGGTTGTTCAGTGCTGAAGTCACTGCATTGCTCGTGTGTTTATCATGATCGTCCATTTCCAAAAGTCCCCGAAAACCTCGACATGTCTGCGCCGTGAGAATGCTACAAGAGAGGATTTACTGTTCATATGACGTCTGTGATGGACTGACAAGGATACTGAAGCAAATTCAATGCCTTGCATTTTCAACTACCAGGGGCAAATGTCCTTAGATCTTCAAGTCGTGCCAATGCCAAAATCACCCAAAACCCGGCGGGAAACCCAACATGGACCAGTTATGCTAGAGTGCGCATAAGAGTACTCGATACACCAGTACATTTTCCGCGTTACTGTATGACCTCTCAATCTCAAAATCGTGTTGTGCATGTGCGATTTGGAAGGCTTAGAGACTTGATATCGTTGTACCATGCCTTAAAGCTGGAACTTAACAGAGTCCCGCGATAGGTCCCACGCAGTAAGCTGTTGACAGAGCGACCATGTGTATGTTACGGCTTCCTACCTTTGGGCATCTGTCACTGATGCTGTCGCCCATGATAGCTGGTCTGAGGGATGTGTGCTTACAGGCTCAGGGAGGTTGTACCGACGAGCCGACCGACAATGATCGACGCAAGCTTCATCTCTGAGCCGCACTTTTCATGTTCCTCTATCAGGCTGTTGTGTGGAGGTTATCCATATAGAGCATAGTCGGCTAGAACGGGCAATGGAAAAAGTGGGCCTGATCGACAAGACAACCAAAAGAAATCACCTCTTGGTGGGGACAAGCAATCTTGACAATCTTGAAAATTGCGGCTGAGCTTCGTAGTGAGTGAAAGCAAGTGCGAGATAGAGCGCCATTTTTTGTAATCTGCCGAAAAACAAACTTCTGGTTATGACCATCGTTGCGGTCGTGGATATTGCTTTATCCAGTATCGTCTGATGATACTCTTTGCTGTTGGCTGATGAATGGACTGATGAATGGGCTCGCCCGTACGTGGATCTGGGAAGTCAGCGTGCAGTTGAGGCTCCGTTGACCCTATATCGTAATGACCGTATCGTGTTCCCTACACTCTGCAGTGCGGGTGCGGTGTCGATCAATCTCGGATGCCGGAACATGAAGCAGGCACACATCTTAACTTGCACAGCACGAAGACGAAGAAGGAAATCGAAAGACAGGTTATCGAAATTGTACGGTCGAAGTGGTTTCGACTGGACCTTGACGTCATACACAACAGTTGCTCCTTGTAAGCACTCACATCCATTGCTTCACATCTGTAAGAAGCCCTGCAGACTACGAGCAGTATCTGACTCCGGCTTGATGGCTTGCTGCGCGAATTGGGATGCCATATCAATCAGTACAGTCTCAAAAGCACGCCACAGGAGTCCAATCGACGCAGCATCGACAGTGCTGTTTGTGACGATTCGGATTGTTGCAGAAATTTCATACTTCCCATATCTGATTACGAGCAAAGTTGCATGTGGATAGTCTCGTCCCTCCAGCAGGTGCAAGTAGCTGTGAAAAGAGTCAAGAGCGATTAGATAGCACTTGCCAAGGCGATGTCGGCGGTCGGCGATTGGGGAAGCGCGCTAACCGAATGCTCGTTCGTCCCTGCCGTGATGGTTCCGTTCCATTCACTCTTGCAAACGACTTTACCACCAGACCTCAGCTTGTCCTATGTTTTTCCCGCTGTAGCGACACAGAAGCCAAGCGCTAACAGCTTGCACCCGCTTTGAATTGCTATCTTCAGTCATTCTACACACACCACACTACCTCGACCGGAGCATTTGCGCCGAAGCCTGCGCTTGCTTGCACCATCTGACGCAGCCTTCGAACACAAGCGCACTTCCGAGCCTTCAAGAGTGTCTCCCCACCGCCACCATGGTACGCAATGGCAGCCCTTCGCCGGCGGACAACTTCCCGCTCGGCCACTCTGCAACCTCTCCGCAGCCGCAGCCGTCCAAACGCGACAAGAGACGCAACATGCTCGCCGAGAAGCTCTCTGAAATGATGGCGACCTTTTCAGACAACCGCGACAGCCACTACAGAGCTCAGCTTGCTGCGCTGCAAGCCGATATCAACCTCATCATGAAGGCTGATCCCTACAAGAACGAACCGCTCGAGGATAACGGAACGGAGGCCTCTGAGCTGATAGCACAGATCATGGGCAATAACATTCCCACTGCGCCTAGCGCTGGTACCGACTACGTTGCGCAGTGCGGAAAGTACTACTCGCGCTTCGTCGACGCTGTCAATGACGCTATGGAGGAGCGCGACTTCAACCTTACAATGCTTTACGTATGCATTCGCGGTTCCTTTGCAATGTTTGAGAAGCTAACAATGACCATAGAATAAGCACGAAAACACCAAGAATGACATTGAGAATTCGCACCACTACAAAGTTAAGATCGCCGAAGAGGAACACAAGGCCCTTGCAGAAACCGTTCGCGAACGCCTAAAGGTAAGCATACAGCAGCGCGCAAACAGGCTGAGGCGTGAGAAGGAGCAGCTGGATATCTCGGACAGCAACGCCATGCTCCTACACCCCAATCAGTTCAGTATCGGCCACCCCGCCAGCCCAGGTGGGCCGCAAGCACCGCGTAAGACACGAAGAACAGGACACAAGTTTGGCGGTGAGGTCGAGGAGGTCGCAGCAGCGGCAGAGAAGTTGCGCAAGCGCAAGCTGTTCGATGAGAACGAAATCGATTCGCCGGGCCCCTCTGGCCGCAACGTCGAGATGGGCAATGCCTCGCCCTTCCGTGAAGCCAAGGCGCGCACCATGCACACCCAATTCGAAGCGTCTGCCTACTCGCTCGACCGTCTCTTCACTGAGAAGGAACTGAATATGGCCATGACGAATGCGACAAATGCAGCCTCGCATTTTTTCGCGAAGATGAAGTCGAACGAGCCTACCAACGCCGAAGCCATGACCAACGGCCACACCCACACAAACGGCGACCACGCCTCCGAAAATGGCGACCTTCCAGACGCAGATCAGGACTCAGACGAAGTCCCTGGCGCAACAGACATGGCCCGCCAAGTCTCTTCGAACCCACATGCTACACGCGGCGCAACCCGCTCCACGACGTCCATCACAAACGGTCAAACACTGTTCATATACAACCCACCATTCGTCCTCGACCAGAAGGTCTTCCAGAAAGTCAACGCCTCGGCGCCCACACCGCCGCCTCTGGCCCCGCAAGACGTAGACCAAGATCTGAAGCTCATGCTTAGAGAAGCACGGCCAGACGATGAGCTCAACGAACGATTACTGCAAGCCGCGTGTCAACCAGTCAAGATGAGGGACTACCAAGTTCAGCCTCCAGGGTTCATGGAGCCGGTCAATGAGATTACATCCCACGTTCGCTCTGTTGTACCGCACCTCGAGGTGGGAGGGATGGGTGGAGTGCCGATGAGTGCGCAGAGTAGTATCGCTGGGTATAGTGACGCTGGAGGAAACACACCTCTGGGCAGGCCTGGAGAAGCAATCACAGGGCATGGCGGTGGTGTGCCGATGACAAGGACGGCGAGCGGGAGAGGGCGTGGGAGGGGACGAGGGCAAGGCTAGGCGGATTGCCTGATTTCTCACTCCACGCGTCTCTCTTTTTTGTTGTATACCCACTGGCGTTAGGACACTGCTTAGTACTTTGCGATTCTTCCTGTCTCATCAAGGCCTTGTGGTGTGCGCATTTGCATTGGTTTCAGGCGTTACACCGCACCTTCCTCTGCATCGGGCTTGTGACGGGTGTGATGGACGACCCTGGCTTATCTAAGTAACGAGTAGTAGTTACTGAAAGTCTTGCATCATTCACCCGTGGTTCCTTGTAACATTATCTTCCTCTGGCATAAAGCTTCATAATATGTGTCGCGACGATAAAGGAACGGAGACATTCACTGAGCATGATTTGTAACGTGTATATTTTGTTGCGGTATCGGTCGGTCTGTACAAGGTCTGACTGTACCCCTGACAGACTACCCTAGTCTAGTGTGTAACAGGTCACTGGCCTGAGGTCAGGTATATAGTTGTCATCTCCCAGCTAGATAGCAATTCAGCGCAGTATTCCATTGACCCGATAGTCCTACGTTATCTTTTACCGTAGCTATCAGTATTCTACGGTGGCACACACCGCAACATATTTTCATAATCAATCAACGAAAGGCAATCCTTCGAACCATGGAGATGTGCACAAGTCTCACAACATCCTATTTTTGCTTGAAGGTCTGGAAGAAACATTTAGACGAATAGATGATGTTTTGAGAATAAGTTTCTGACACTTTCGAATGCGACGTGTTAGGTCTTTTGACGGGGGACGATATGACGACCTCGAAGCATACTATTCAACCTTGATCAATCTGAATGACGGAGAGACAAATAAGGAAGACACAAGACATCGGCAGGCAAATCGAGAATTATTCGAGCTTCCCGTATCCAAAACATTCAGACTGCGTCGAGTCTTTGAAGAAATGCTCGGACAGAGGTATAGAAGATCAGGTAAAAGGTGATGTCATGCTGAACTTTATGTTGCTCAATCACGCTCGTGCAACCCGTGAAATAGTTACTTTGGGAACGAATTGATGGTCAAGCTAGTCCAGCAAGTCGTTGACTTTCCTGGTCGTCGGAAGATCCTCTGGAGATACAGACACAGAAGAAAGACAATCGACATGTTATGTTTTCGAAGGGACTCCTAGCCAAGCAAGGTTGTGAACATATGAGTGCCACAGTAATATCTGTAGCTTGGAGGGGTTACGGACATAACTTCTAGAAGTAATTTCTTTGTGAACAATAGGACTATTGAAGATCAATCAGACCATCCGCATGGGAATGACTTTATGTCTCTGCATTGATTATTAGGGGTCGCAGGCAACAGACATGGGCACATCAACTACTGTTTTTGGATAGAGAGACAACCCAAAGGGAGAAGACATCGAGCAGTTCAGCGTCTCTTTAGGTCTTTCATAGTGGGAAAAGGACGCAGATAAGCACATGCGTTGCACCGGCTGACTTTTTTGAGCAAGACAGAAGAACAGACATATACCGAGGGCGATATAATTTTGATTTATCGAAGGCCGGACATGCAACTGTTGGACTGCAATTTTGGTAAAATTCGGACAGACTTGCCCAGGTGTGGAGAGGAGAGCAGAGTGAAGGGACATACTCAGAGGTTTATGGGGCACTCATTTTCCCATGTTGACCGCTTGGTGGTTGTACAGGCACCGCTTCACAATTTCCAACATAATCGAGCCTGCAAATTAGGAACGCTTTTGATAAATAAAGTGTAGAAATCGACTTTGCATTTCGATTCGAAATAGACCTGAATATACTGCATAAAGAAGCCTCTAACGCCACTCGTTCCATAGGAACATATATTAAACCCAATGACTGAGAGTAAGGAAATTGAAAGAGAGCCACCATTATCCAGAAACGCCACCGGGTATCCTGCCTGAACACCGTCATGCTATGCACCCACCCACCCAATGATTTGATGCGACTACTCGCTATCATCCTCAAAGCTCGCCTCACTCACCTCCTCGTCATCATCATCGCTGACCACATACTTCGCCGGTTTAGCCGCGGCCCTGCGTCCAGGCCGAGCAGCGGGAGCACGGCTCGCAGCCTTTGGCTTTGGTGTCGGCTCATCATCGTCATCAGAGAGGATGTCGTTAGCTAACGCATCTGCATCGTCCATCTCCTCATCCGAGTCAATCACCATGGGCTTCTTGGCAGGGGCTTTAGCCTTTGTCGCACCAGGTGCCTTCTCGAGGCGCGCGGCGTAAGCCTTCGCTGCTGGGCTCAGAACCGTGCTCTTCTTTGTGATGGTAGCTGCGGGGGCTTTGGCCTTGGGTGCGGGCTTAGCCTTCGCAGTGACTTTGGTGAGTTTGGACGCAGCGGGTTTCGGCTTGACGAGGCTAAAGCCGTCTTCTGAGTCCGAGGTGAGCATTGTGTCGTTCACGTTGCGGGGCGCAGGCTTCTTGGGAGACGGCTGAGGCATGAGAGCCTCGTAGTTGGTGGTGTCGCCTTCGTCGATGTCGATGACCGAGGGACTGGCTTTCTTTGCGACTTTGGGAATGCCTGAGCTGCTGCCGGGGCGTGTGGAGCTCTTGAACATGGGAACGCCGTTGGTGCTGCCGCCGATGGTTTTGACCATGGTGCTAACATCGCCAAGGTCGTCATCGTCGTCCGAGTCGCTGTCCATAGTGTACTTCGAGACTGGCTTTGTTGCAGCACGAGGGTCCCGGCCGTTGGTCTTAGGCGCCGGCTTCTTTGCCTCCTCTTTTGCGACAACAGCGAAGACATCGGACTCGTCCTCATCATCGTCAGAGATGACAGGAGTAGGCTTCTTTGCCGCAGCAGGGCGGCCTCGAGGTTTAGCTGCAGGCGCAGGTTTTGGAGCAGGTGCAGGCTCTGGTTCAGCCGGGCTTGATGGTCCGTCATTCTGAGGAGGTGACTCCTTCTTAGTATCAGTCTTGACGAGATGCGACAATAGACTGCCTTGCTTCTGAGGAACCGTCGAGCCCAATGCAGACTTTGCGCTCTCCGCAGGGGATGTCTTTTTGGCAGGAGGATCTGCTTCTCGCAGGTAGCTCAGCAAGCCCTCCTTCTTCGGCTTGGCCTTCTTCTTAACCAGACCAAAGTCGGAGCCAGAGTCGTCATCAGAGTCGCTATCGCCCAGCTTTCTCTTCTTCTTAGCCTTGCCGCCCTTAGAAGCACCAATGCCGAGCTTGTGGGATGCGCGGCGACCCATGCGCTGGATCTTCTTCGCACGCTCGGCCTCTTCAACAAGCTGAAGGTTCCACTCCTCGACGAAAGCCTCGAGATCGATGTTCCAGAGCTCCTTTGGCGTGAGCTTGATAAGCGCATCGATCTCGTCCTCCTTGTCACCGATCTGCTTCAGGAGCTTCTCGACACGCTCCTGGGTCAGAGACCAGATAGCCATCTAGCAGTTGTCAGTGCATTTCAGGGGTTAAGCCTTGAGGTACTTACGCCTAGAAGGTAGTCATAGTCGTTGGCATTGACTTCGACCTCAGTCTCCTCAGACTCTTCATCGTCATCCTGAACATCCTCAAGCTCGCCTTGCTTCTTAGCATCATCAACCTTAGGGAAGGGTGTGAAACCAAGTTTCTTCAGCTCCTGGACGAGAACAGCCTTCTTCTTCTTTGACACAACAAGCTTGCCATCGATGATCATCTTGATAAACTTCGCCTGGTTGCTCATCTTGGTAAGCTCCTTCTGCAAGACATCAAGCTGGTGAGCCTTCCGCTTCTCGTAGTATCGCAGACGGACGTGGTAGAACTCTTCGACGATGTCCAGAACAGTGGCGTACTTATGGATGCGGCCCTGGGCATCGAAGGCGACAAGGTTGGAGCAAGACTGGGGCTTGTAAAGCTTGAAGGTCTCCTCAAGACCCTTCGCGAGAGCAGCAGTCATGTGCTTGTCTTCCATCTTAATGATGAAGTGCACCCTATCGGGAGTGTTGTAGTCGATGTAGTCCTTGATAAACGAGGGAGTCTTCTCGGCCTTGATGATGTCTTCGAGCTTCTCCTTGAAGTCTTGGGTCCAGTAACGCACAGGCAACTCGGTGACCTCAATCTCAGTGTCGCTGGTCTGACGGATGGTACCCGTGAAGCGGAACTTGTCGCCTCCCAGCTCCTCGGTCGTTCCAGTGAAGCCCTTGTACCAAGGCACCATAGGCTTCATATCCTCCTTCGAGCCACCATCTGCCATGCGAAGCCTGATGTTCTCTACAATGTCTAGAGGGTTGAAGTTGGGGATTTCGGAACTCCAACCAGTACCGATACCGCTCGATCCGTTGACAAGAATCATGGGGAGAACAGGTACATACATCGCAGGCTCGATCTTGGTGCCATCAGACTCTCCGTAGGTGAGGAGAGCGTCGTCCTGCGGGTGGAAGATCCTACGTGCGAAGGGCGACAGACGAGTGTAGATGTAACGGGCGCTGGCAGCATCACCACCACCCTGCAGACGGGAACCGAAGTTACCACTTGGTTCCAAGCAGTTGATGTTGTTCGAACCGACGAAGTTCTGAGCAAGACCAACGATGGTACCCTGCATGGAGGCTTCACCGTGGGCATAGTCGGTGGAACCAGAGACAGAACCGGCCAACTCGACAACCTTGACATCCTTGCGGATATTGCGCCTGAAGCAGGTGTAGAGAACCTTTCGCTGACCGGGCTTGAAGCCGTCAATGACTGAGGGAATGGATCGCAGGTTATCAGCCATGGAGAAGAGGATGAGCTCTTTGTTGACGAAATCGTCATATGTGATCTCGTTAGTGGTGAGATCCAAGTGGTTGCCAGGAACGAAATCACGCAGCCACTCCTTACGAGCATCAGCCTTCTTTTTCGAGAAAGCCAGCTCGATGAGCTTCTCCTCTTCGGCTCGCATGGTGTGGAAGCGCTTCATGTGCGTGTCGAGATCCTTGAAGTAGACCTGGGCGTCCTTGATATCGCTGGTACCCAATCCCTTGTAGTACTTGTGGTCCCAACCCTTCTGGTTTTTGTGCTGCTCTTTCCACTCCTCGTACTCCGGCATCGAGAAGAAGCTCTTCAAGCCTTTGGGGTTCTTTGGGTCACCCTTCCACACCTTGACGATGGGTGTGATAAATTCGAGCAGGAAGCCGGGGAGCTTGAGCAGACTCGGGAACTGACATTGGAGGAAGTTGATGAGAAGACCCTTGATATGGCTACCGTCATGATCCTGATCCGTCATGATCATGAGATGACCATAACGCAGGCTCTTCATATCAGACATGGTGTACTCCTTCTTGTGCTGGAGACCGAGGAACTTCTTGATGTTCTGAATTTCCGCGTTCTTCATGATCTGGTCCATGGATGCATCCCGGACGTTGAGTAGCTTACCGCGCAGGGGGAAGACACCGAACAGATCCTGGTTGACGACAGCACGACCAGCCAAAGCCAGCACACTGGCCGACTCTCCTTCAGTGAGGATCAGTGTGCAGAGATGACCGTCCTTGGTTCCAGCCTTATTGGCGTCTGTGAGCTTAGCGTTGTTTATGCGGTTGCGCTTGTTACCGTCTGTCTTCTTCATGAGTTGATCCGCCTTCTGCTGAGCGAAGTGCATGATGTTCTGGATCACTTCTGTCTTCTCAATCGCCTTTAAGAACTTGTCGCTGAGCACAGGCTTGCTGCCGAACTGACTCACCTTCGTTGTCAACTGCTCCTTGGTCTGGGATGTGAAGGCTGGGTTGACGATCGAGCAGTTGACGAACAAGAACAGGTGGTTCTTGATCTGCGCAGGCTTGAGCTTGACAGCCGCCTTGTTCTTCTTGTTGACGATCGCCATGAGCTTGTCAACGATCTGATCCGCAATGTAGTTGACGTGCGTACCACCGGAGGTTGTGGCAATCGAGTTGACGAATGAGACCTGGTTGAAGGCTCCATCTGAGACAGCAAAACCGATGTCCCAACGGTCATGCTTGTCTGTGATAATAACGTCCTTGCGATCTTCGCCATCTTCAGTCTTGCCTTGTTCCCTTGAGATGGCCTTGGTGTACATCTCCATGTACTTGGCGAAGCTTGTGACCTTGACGCGGTCGCCGTTGAGGTAGACCTTAATTCCACGAAGTGTACCAGCCATATCGTGGGTTCTCCTCTTGATCAGCGCCTCGAAGTCGTCATCGATACCGTCCATGCCGAACTTGCTGTAGTCGGCTCGCCACGTGATCTTTGTGTAGTCGTCTCCTTTAATGTCTGTGATCTTGGCCTTGCCCATCTTACTCATGTTGTCTGTCCATGTTTGCTTGTACTTCTTCTTCTGCTTCGAGTCGACGGTCTCGACTGTGAACTCTCGGGAGAAGACGTTGCAAAGCTTCGCTCCGTAACCATTGCGACCACCGGTGACCTTCTGTTGATCGTCATCGTAGTTCGAGGATGTGAGGAGGTGGCCGAAGATCATTTCCGGGACGTAGATGCCGTGTTGCTAGGACGGTCAGCGCTCTGCCATACAACAAAATAGTGAACAACATACTGAGTGAATCTCGACAGGAATACCCTTGCCGTCGTTCTTGATCGAGACCTCACCAGTCTCTCGATCAACTGTGACACGAATTTCGCTCATGTTCTTGTCATTCTGCTTGTTGTCTGCCGCGTTAACCAAGATCTCATCGAAGATCTTGTATAGACCGGGTACGTAGGTAACGTCGCGAAACTCCATGCTCTCGTTCGCTGAGTTGTACACCCACATCTTGTCCGTCGTGCGCTCTACCGAGCCAATATATGTGTCTGGACGCTTCATGATGTGCTCCAAATGCGAAAGCTGCGCGTTGTTAGCCAATTGCTTCGCTGCGCCGTAGCCACACAACATACCATCTGGTACTTGCTACTCGCGCCGCCGGCGGCCTTCTTGCCCTTCACAGAAGGCGGTGCCTCCTCAGCGCCATCCATGCCGAAGCTCTCATTCGCGATATCTGCGAGGACCTTGCCGCTGCTCTTCTTGGGTGCTGGCGCCTTCTTCGTCTTTGGTGGTGTGTCTGCGAGTAATGACTCGTCGTCATCTATTGGGTCTTCCATGTCGACATCTGAGTTCTCGTCGTCTGAGAAGTCCTTCGCCTTCTTCTTCGGCGCTGCCTTTACCTTAGGCTTCGCTGCTGTTGTGCCCGCAGGTCTCCCTCGAGGCTTTGGCGCGGCGGCTGCCTTCTTTGGTGCTGCTTTGGCTTTTGGTGCTGCCTTTGCGGCCTTCACAGGTGGCGCAAAATCAGAGCTTGCGCCGTCGTCGAAGTTGGACTCGGAGTCGGACATGGCGGCGAAGCGTTGTCGACAAAGTCCCAGAGGACGGAGAGTAACGTGTACGAAGAAAAGCGCTCAAATGGCGAAACTGCGTGAGACTGATAGGTTAGTAATTGCAAACGCACGCGAAAAGAGTGTCGTGGGGTTGTGAGCGCGGCGTGGAGGTGTTGACGATGTTGTGTTTACTCGGAGGCGCCTACTGTTTTCTGTTTGGGGGTCCACTTAAAACGGACTAATTTGGCACGAGCGGTAATCGTCAAAGTGAGTGAACAAAACTCAATGTAGCAAAATATAGTATAGCACTTTCTATCCGAGCTCATGGTGAAAAAGAAAGCTTACAACAGCACGACTGACAGTTTGGTAAGGTGAAGTGCATGCATGACACTAGTATTGTTCGAAGTCGTTCTTTTCGCAATTTCATGCTTTGCGCGAGCCAGGCATTATCAACTGATCACATACTGTACAAGAGATTCTTACTGGCCAACTCCTGACAACCTTAGTTGTGTGGCCAAAAGCCTCGGACGCGTCGCGAGCATGTCGCGTTCGCGCCTCTTACCAATCAGAGCTATGAGTATCATTGTTGGCCCCACTTTTCACGACTCTTGAAACTACAGGCCCTTAGCAATCTGAACAACAGCAGACAATCTATGGGTAATCGCGGTTGGCGATCTATCACACTGCACCCGAGAGCTTTTCAAGATCTCTGCCACACTGGCTGAATGTTAGGATCGGGGCATTTGTCCTTCAAAGCTCTTGAGCCACAAATCTCATGCTGGAGGCTTTCAGCACTTCCAACTTCGAGGTCGAACCCCAAACTGGTACATCCCAAATCCGCTAGTTTCAAGTCCTTGAAAGCAAGCCTGGAGGTCTTCGGCGGTCTGAGCTTCCTTACCGACTTTCCAATTTCTGAGTCTAGATGTACCATCTCCTTCGATCCAGCCCCACAACTCTTCCGTCATTTGCCGCCAACGCTATAGCGCCCACTGGCTCATTTGGGCAGACATCGCCTAGTCTGACTGGTAGATCGTGAAGTAACGCCGTCCGTTCCAAACCATGCAACGTTGTGCCACCTGTTGGTGTCGGTACATACGGGCTGAGCATCGTCAAGCTGCTGGCATACCCAATGATGTCCGGAGCAATCGATAGATACTTCAGTACCAGCCCAGCGCATGCGGCAGACAAAAGTACTAGTGAGCAACTCAGGAGGACGCCGAACCACTTCCAGTTGACCCGATAGACGTCTCTGCGCTGGCTAGTAAGGCTCTCGGTGGTGTTGAACACGATCGCAGAGTTGTCTTCGCCGGTCATGTTAGTGGACGTTGCTTTGTCCAAATTCCCAGCGAGCGCGCGCGCAGCGTACGTTGACTGGAAGAATGAATTCCACAGTATCGTCAATCGTTCTGCGAAGGTCTCCACGGGGAGTTCGTATAGGTTGACATTTCCGTACATGCGACTGCCGATGAAGTCCGTTGGATCATACATCCATTTTTCCATCACTGTCGCACCACGCGCCGTGACACTTGACACGCCGATGGTGTCGACGCTCGTCATGGTGTTCATAAGAGTCGCCATAATGGTTCCGAGTAAGTAAGGTTCCCACTCTTTGGTGTAGCCGTCTGTGTACATATCAAGTTTGCGCAGGGCTGTAGCTTTGCATGTAGATGCAATGCACTCTATGCTAGCTTCGATATAGTCGTAGAAGTACTCGCAGTTCGCTACAGAAGTAAACTCCTCCCCATTGACTTCAATGGCAGAAGATTTACTGATGAACGGGCATGGATAGGAAGGACACGCTTTGATGAGGCATCCGGTTGAATTGTTGGAGCAGCTGGGTTGCTGAGTGCCTGTTTCCATCATCCATGTGCTGCGAACGGTTGTATTAACGGAATCGGTCCAATCTCCTGCGACTCGGCTATTGTTTGAGCAGCTGATATCGAACTGCCTCGCTCTGATTTTAAAGTGATTCATCGAGTACGTAGTGAACGGTTCTCCGTTGAAAGCAGACACTGGAATGCCAATCAAGGAGCTCCAGCGAACATTTGTCTGATTGTAATCAGGGACCGGTTTCCAGTCGTTCGAAGTGCTGTTCTCGATAGCTCGATACGATGGAAGTTTGACATTGCCCCACAAGTCTGCGCTGTTGGTCTGAAAACCGCCGCTACTGAGCAGCGCGGCGAGGAACAATGGCGTGAAAGTGCTTCGCCCGCTATTGACCATGCTGGCACCTCCCATAGTAGTTTGCTGCACGTCCAAAGGCCCGAGGTAATGCAGCGCCTGGGTTGTGTTGAGATAACGCTCCTCTTGTCGAAGCACCCGGAGAGCAGACTGTCCACCAAAAGGCGAAAGGAGCCAAATGAGTATCGAACACACGCCTATGGTGCTGAAATTGCGAAGACAGATCTGACGTTCGATGGCCAGGAATACCGACTGGCAGCCCACCAGTTGCTCGAGTCGTCCGAGAGTGGTCCCGCGCTCTGCAAGCCAAATTCCAAAATGTCTAAAAAACCGTCCCATCAAGGCCGCGAAAAGGAGAGGAAATATGGTGGGTGTGTAGAGCAGCATCTCTTGGAGCTTGTCGTTGTCCGCCCTAGGAGCTTTACCGTCCAACCTGGCGACCCTAAGGGCAAGAACTGTTACTGTCAGCATGCAACACGAGAGCTACATGCGACGCAGCATACCAATGAATAGCAATGGCGATGATGCCAGTATAATATCGAAAGCAAGAATCGTCCCCCTCAGCGGCGTCAACGCTGCAACTTGTCGGGATTTGATCGGCCAGTTGTCGACCACCTTGCTAGGCGGAAAGTTTGCTTTCGAATCGCTGTATCTGATGTCTCCATCAGGCAACAGGCCTTGCGGCGGCGCATAGCCGTAGGCTGTCTGTCCGTCATTCTTCGCAGTCAATTCAATGTTTTCAACGTCAGGGCTTGTTCTACCAGCGCCAACTGGTACATACGACATGGCGATACGAAACGATGAGAAATCGATGCTGTGGAAACGAGATCTAATGGGAGCCAAGGTTGAGAATTACGAGAGACGGGGCTCGGGTATGTATCCAAATGGCATGCCGACAGCTCACCCAGCTCAGCCGGTCAGCCGCACACACGGCTAGCTCGAGGTACAAGCCGTTGAAGCCTGGACGCTGGCGCGGTGGCGCCGCGCAGCGGATATGAGACCACAAGGCTGCGCTGCACGAATGCTCACATGTACTCAGCTGTTCGATGAGGCAGGAAATCGACAGTTGCAGCACTCCCTCGTTTCGAGCTGGAGCTGATGTTGCGACTCGTAGGTTCTCTCTCTTTGCGTCGTGCTGCTGCAATGTACCGAGATAACAGCTGTGATGAGTGGAAGGCTAGAGGCTGTCGAGAGATTGTGGGGGCCGCAAGTGCGGGCAGTGATTGGGCAGGGACAGACCGCAAATAGATCGGGAAGGAACTTCAGGCCCTCGAAACACATGCACAACACGCAATATCTGACGTAATTGTCGCCTGCCTGAAGATATGCAGCATTATTCTGAAGAGCATTAGTAAGTGCAGACATTCATCTCACGAAGAACCTGCGTCTCCGGTACCTCGAGCCAACAACAATAGGAGGTGACAAACGTGGTGGACGAGTCTTCCTCTCATGGATGTCCTTGCAATTTTCTGACTGTAGGGTTGCAATCGAAATCTCTTCACCAAAACTTGTCTGTCACAAGCCTCAGATCCTCCGCCGAAAATGTCCTCACACCTCTCTCTTCAAGCCTGGTCCTTGTTCTCAACGTCTTCTTCACCTCGCCCGTCTTCAAGTTCACGCCCTCATGTTCCACCTGCTCTCGCTTCAGTAGGCACCCTTCTACCGCCCATCGTGGTACTGATGCCTCAAACTCAACACCCTTCTCTTTCCTCATCATCTCCATCAACTCGCTGGTCGTCTTCCCATGCATCTCCTTGGTTGAGTACATCGTGCGCGCGAAGGCATTGACTGAGTTGCGTACAGCGTCATTGCGACATCTCCATAATATACAGTTGAAGGCTTCCTCAACGGACGGAACAGCAAAGAAACGCGCATCAAAATGCGCAGTACCCAAGCGCTCAAACGCTGTATCCTTGACTTTCGGTTCTGGACTTGCTGCTAAGAGGGCAGCAAGATGTGCGTTGAATCGAACAGAACAGTAGCTCGCCGCCAGACTCGAAAGCTTTTGAACGCGCTCGTTGAAGCCCTGCACACCGGTAGGGAAAACCAGGGTTATCTCGTCGGACTGCGTGTACGCGACTGTCGCAAATGGGAAGTATGCGAGCAGATCTGTGCATGCTGCTATCATCGCATCGTGTATGCGCTGGTCGAATGGCCGGCAGAAGTGGCTAGTGAATTTTGAGAATGCATGGCCGTCGAGACGTAGGACGACAGGCGATCCGGAGGGTAAAGTGAAGTCGAAACATGCCTCGTATTGCTTCATGCGAGCTGCCAGGGGTGGAGCTTTGTCAGCCGGCTGCGGCGTCTGTTGTTCCATGTTGGCAGTTGGATGTTCGAGCAAAACCGTCTCGTGTAAGAAATTGCTGTTGTCGGCGGTCTGACGAAAGATCGGGTATTCGACATAGTTGTAGGTAGCGCGACTGAGTCATCGTCTGCGACTGAGTCTTGCTGAAAGTTGAGGATACGACTAGGTGTAACGTGTTCCACCAGTCATCCACCAACACCAGGCATCCGCCAGCCCCACAAAAATCAACGCGCCCAACATGCTCAGATGGCTCAAACCTCAACACTACAGCCTCAGTCATCCCAGAAGAGGGCAGACTACTTCTTGTTACTTCTGTCCTTCAACCAGACAAAAACTTACGCATCTGTTGCGTGTCAGTCTTGTACAATACCCCTCACACAATCCTCCATGATTGCTTTGCTGGTGCTCAACTTCAAGCTGTAGTAAATGCTAAGAAAGAAAAGCTCTTTCCTGTTGAGGAGCAGTCTCTTGTCCAGTGGATCCTAGACCTTGATCAACGCGGCTTCCCCCCCCCCCCCAGGTTATTGATATATGACAAATGGCAGATGTTCTACTTGCTGGCCGCGGCCAAGATCCACCTCCACCATCTGTCAGCAAGAACTGGGTGTCATGCTTTGTCAACACCCAGTCAACACTCCAGTCAAAGTGGATTAGGAAATTTCACTCCCAGAGAGCATACTGTGCAGATCCTATTAAGATCAACACGTGGCTCAGGTTAGTAGAGGAGATACGCCAGTCTGCCGGAAGACACGACGCTCTACGCTGCCGAGATATGTAATGGCGTAGCCGCCCATGTCGAGGGATCTGAGAGGAAGGAAAGAGTATACCAGAGTTTTCAACAATCAATCAAATCGACAGATTGATTCGCGAACGAGCCAGGTCCTGGGACTTGCACCGCTCCACGGACCGCAATGTACAACGTGCACCAGGCGGAGATGAGAGTTGCAAAGCCCATGGGTATCGTTCCAAGGAAGAGTGTGTTGGTATTGTCGGCGATCATTACAGCACGCCAGAGATCAATCAAATCAAGTCAAATCCATGCGCGGAGTTGATTATATTATGACTTGCAAAAGATCCTGACCCCCTGTTTTTCTGGTTACTACATACACTAGGCATACACTAGGTGGGACTTTTGGGAGTAAGAGATGACCGGGGGCACCGGAGGGGTATATATGTGGGTGCTAGACCCTGACCCATACCTTCACCACCACTCACAGCCTGTAATCTCGCCAAACCTGTCATCATACATAGCATCATTGCTACCACCTCTACCATCTTGCTGTCACCACTACACATTACCTGCTCTCTCCTATCACAACACTGAAATCCAAACATACCATGCCTCCAACTATCAGATCCAGCAAGCTATTGCGATCACATTAATAGTAATATCAGCCCTAAAGACAACAATGTTGTGTAGGGACTGATCGTACTCGGAAAAACCGGGGGGTCAGCATCTTTTGCAATTCACCGTCTTTTACCAATAGGTGACGTTTGCCTAAATTTGGAAGATTTGATAGTGTTGTAGACTCGATTTGATTGATAGGGTTGGAAATATATTTGTTGTTGTATGCTAAATCCCTGTTGTTGCACCAGAGTTATTGTGTAGGCTCTTCCCACTGGCATACGCCATACAATCTGTCGATAGAGGTGTCAGTCAACGTACTTTCATCTGTTACAGTATCAGTCAGTCGATAGGCCTGAGGTTGCACACATCAGACTATCCTGGACTAGCATGTTTCAGGTCAGGTATATCGTCGTCTTCTCCTAGCTAGATAGCAACTCAGCGCAGTATTCCATGATTTCCGTCGACCCGACAGTCCTACGTTATTGTTCACCGTAGCTATCAATATACTACAACGGCCCACGCCGCTACATCATCAACCTCGTCGTCAGCATCCATCAAACCTGCTCCTATCCACCTCCGCACACTGCAGAGCAGCTAGTAATTGTGATCCAATTTGACGACACTTAGGCGATCACCAAGCTCGCTAAAAAATTCGCTCGCACTCGCAGCTGGAGGCAGGTATAGTCATTATATCAAGCGCCAGCTGCGCTAACAATGGGTACCTACCGCGTAAGTTGAGCTAGTAACGCACAGGATTACCCTGGGTATCAAAATCTTCGCGACTCCAATGCGGCTCGTCAGCACGCAGCGTTCATACACGTCAGTATAATCCTCCTTGTCGTCGCTCTCCGCCTCAATTATAGCGTTGATGACGTCGTCTATCGCGTTGGTAGGTGAGGTTGTAGGTTTTGGCAGCGTGCGAGCCGCTGGGCGATGGTTATAGAGGCGCTAGAGTTGCTGCAAAGCAGCGTCAGCAGCTGCCAATCGAGCTGGGTCGCTGCGCCAAGCTACTTTGCAGTAGTTGCAATAGTGGGGATGGAGGACGATTGCTGCGTAATGAGCTGGGGTGTCGTTCAATTTGGTGTAGTAGAGCTTCAGTTTAGCGACGGCAGCACACAGGTTGATAGCCATATGGTCCTCCGGAGCGTCAGGCTGCTCAAAGTCAACACTTTCATAGATAACTAAGCGCTCTTTGCAGGCGGTGATTAGCTGCTCAAACATGGGGATAACCTCGTAAATAGCACTAAAGCGCCCATTGAGCTTATACTGCTTCTTCCCATGCCCCTCTAGCCGCTCAGTGGCTACTTTCAGCGGCCGCAAAATATCCACGTACTCAGTTATCACTGCCCGGTCCACAGCTGATAGACCGTCTGATCGCATCAATGCCGGCACGGATGGCAGCTTATTATTGCTCTTGTACGCAGTCTTGTCGGAATCAGCTGTCTTCTTGATGTGGTGATTTGAGTAGGCAACGATAGGTTGTTGGAGGATGAGGCCGCGCTCAAAAGCCGCGCAATAGCTATTCCAGCGGGTAACGCAGGCCTTAACTACAGCTAATAGCAGGTCGTTGTTGTGGTAGGGTCTTCAGTATGTGCGAGGTGCTGGAAATGGGCGAAGCTGGAGTTTTGCTTTGGCGTGCTGATATAGTCAATAATGTCCAGGAACACGCCTAGAGGGCCTAGCCGTCGCCATTCATCCATAACTCTCTCCTCATCCTTCTTGTGCCGCGGATTGTTGTCATAGGCATCTTTATCCTTGCCAAACATCACAGTTTGGCCAACAGAGTTAAGAGTATGGGGACCGCAGCGAAGGCGGTGCCAAGCAGCAATCAAGCCATACCTACGAGCTAAGTACTCAATAGCCACATCGTTACTTGCTGCGTTATCTAACACAAAGTAACCCAGCTTCTGCGGCGTTATACGAAACGATAATAGCGCTTTGTTGACACACTCTCCAATCGCCTCGACGCTGTGGACGCCTGCGAGCTGGGGGAGCGCTATAGGCAAGTCTATAATCTTTCCATCAGAGTTGGCGTAGTGCGCAACAATACCAAAGAAGCCACATTCGACGCCTTTGGTGGTCCATCCGTCGAAGCTTATGTGGATTTTGCTAACTGCGACAGGCAGCCTAGCTTTGACAATCGGCTTTAGGTGCTCATACAGTTTCATTACAAACCTAGAGACACTCTTGCGGTTAGTCCACGGCGCTTCTTTAGCTACTGGGTTGGCGAAGCACAGCATTTTGCGGAAGCTCTTGCTTTCAAACTCGCGCAATGGGTGGTTGTTTTTGACGAGCCACATCACGGCAGCAAGCCGAAATCCTTGTGCGTTGAAGTTACCCAACTCATTGGTAAACTCTTGCCTGACTGCAACACCCTTCTTCAGCATGTCAGTTATTGTCGATTGGCCACCCGGCAGCGTCACCAGCTTCTTCCCGCTTCTTTATACGATGGCCGCGCCTATCCATACCCAAGTGCTTTGCCGCCGAGCTCGTGCCTGTCGACACCTCGACAATGACGCCTGTCAGGGTGGTTTGATGGCACCAGCGGCACACAAAAATGGTACGCTCTGGCTTCTCTGCGTCTTCAGTACCCCTCTGCAGCGCGACGCGATAGCCGTGGTTAAAGACTCAGCTCTTCTTGCCCATGAGAATGCGTTTAGGCTTACCATAACGGCGCAGTTTACTCCAATTGATGTCATCAAAGTTATCAGCAAAGCGCTCATTGAAGGCGTCCAGCTTCTTATCCTTGCAATCCTCCTCCGTTGTAGCCACCATGGCTGCCTTCGACGCTGGCGCTGGCGCTGCCACAACCTGCGACTCCAGCAACTGCAGGTCCCATGGCTGTCCAGCAGGCCCTATAACCTGGCCAATGAGCAGGTCAGCGGCTGCCTCTACAGCGGCTTCGGCAGGTGGATGGCTTCTCGGCAGGCTCTAATGGCGGCGATGGGGGAAGTGGCAGCGTAGTCGACTGTGTTTCGGGCAACTCTATGGGCTGGCTGGCAGTGCCAGCAGGTAGCTCATCGCCCTCACGAGCTTTCTGGGTAAGTATTCAGCGACGTATAAGTAGCAGCTGCTTTAGCGCGTGGCTCGCCACCAACAGCGCGTTTGGCAGGCATCAAGGGCTGCTGGCAGGGCTCGAGGTAAGTGTCAAGGGTCAAAGTGGCCTTCTAACAAGTATGCATTTGTCCTATGCTACAGAAGCAGAAAGATGGAGAAGAGAGGTTTGCCCGCTCTTCATACAAAGAAAGGCAGTCTGCGCCAAGCTTCGCTTAGTGCGTTACTGACCACTGTTTGTACGTAGTTCCTTTATATCAGGACTCAGCCCATAACAGTAAACAAAGGCAGCGAAAAGTAAGCGTTAAGCTGACAATAATAACCGCTACAACACTAGAAGTAAGCCGTTTTGTAGGCGACGATAGCAATTGACAACAGAAACAGCACGTTGAGATGGCTGGTTACGCGACAATGGATGGCTTGGGATACGCGAGAAGCCCCCAACTGGTAAGTTAAGCCAATTACAACACTAGGGAAAAGCTAACTATAGTCGATTTACAGCGACTCCGAGAACCTCACATCTGCAAGATCTACAGCTATACAACAACATCAAATTCCTCAAATCTTCAAATTAAAGACAACTCAGATGCTTGATTTGCACCCAAATTTGTATGAGCGGACTGGATTTGTTTGATTTGTGGATTTGGTTGACGAAACACTTAGATTTGTAAGTATACTCCATTGTTTTCAAGTGTGCATTACAGTCCATATCTCAGAGTATAGCGTATACCGCACAACTGAGATGGAGAAGCCGCACGTAAATAGAATGGCGTTGAGTCCAAGGAAGATGACAGCGAGCCAGTAGAGCCATTGCGCCTTGAAAGGTATCGCAACGAACAGTAAGCTCACTATGCCCGTCCCCATCATGACACTGAACCATGATGGTGAGAAGTTCCTCACTATTCTGCGCCAGCCGACCTGCTCGGTGTTGGGTTCAAGTTCCTCTTTTGAAAGATTGAATGCATACGTCAGATTTTATGAGATTTGCGTCCGACGTCTCGGTCTTCTGAGTATCCTCCGAACGCTTCGCAGTCGTTTTGATATTGCCATCGGACCTTTGTCGACTAGGTGAGATGCGCTGTGCTGCTGGTACGCTTTGTGCAGGGCTGTCTGAGCCAATTCGTTCCAGCTCGTAGTCATCCATGATCGCGACAGCAGCAATCTGCTGAGTGACACACGTCGAGCGCGGCGATGAGTGGTAGAGCGACCATCGATGATGATTGCGGAGGAGTCTGTCACTTGCCGCTTGACGGTTCGCAGTCCATCCCACGTGATGGTTCTGGTGATTGGGCGAAATTGGCAGTCCAGCCTCACTCCCGGCCCCACCCGTCTCACACAGCTCAACCTTCAGCCTGCTCGACAAACAAGCAACCCTCACATCAACAACATCACCCCAAAGACCTTCCATGGACATCTTACCACAGAATCTCTCGTTGCGCACACGTCCTACGGGCCCATGGAACCACGGGCTTCCTCAACCGCTTAGCTTCGTACCCTGATCCCCGCACCAGATTCTGCAGACCCTGAAAAGCGCCAGGGCCCTTATCAATACATTAGATATCTTTGGAACACCATGACTGGCTTCCTGGGCTTACCTCTCGAACTCAGAAACCATGTGTACGACCTGCTCCTCCATGAAGACCTTGCCCCATCATTCCGCGGGGTGATGGTTGTCTCTGAAGCCTACGTCAAGCGCGATTTACCCATGAAGTCCTACCGCGGCCTTCTCCTCGTCTGCCATCAAACATACCAGGAATTCAAGACCGCAATCCAACATCTCGCCGCCTCGAAGCAACTGAATTACGAACTGGACATTACCTTTTCCCACGGTCGCCCGTATTTTTCACTGACATGGAAGCGCTTCGCGGCCCTCTCACCAATAATCAACCACCTTCTCATCAACGTGGACCTGCGCATCCAAGAACCCCTCGGCACATCTGAGTATATTCCCCACGACCACGAACTAGCGCACCTGATCGAAGACCTGCCCGAGTCCTTCGCGGTGCAATTGTTCGACTACATAGCCATCCTTCTCAAATCCCTGTTCAACCTGCTCCTCTCTGGCAACCCGTCTACTTCCATCCTATACACAGAGTCCATGACCTTGAATTTGCGCACGCCGACGCGCTTGACATTGTCCGGAGGTTCTCACCATAATCCACACGGCTGCTCGCGCAGGATTCCGGTGGACAAGCACGAGGTTACTAAGTTGTGGACGACGATGCGGAATACGCTGCAGGCGACGAGTAAGGGCTTCCAGGCGTTTGAGGCGAGGAAATGTGAGGAGCTGTTTCCGAGGATTCAGATTGGGTGTTTGAGATTTGCGACGGAGGACCGCATTTGGGGAGAGGGGCATAACTTGATTCTTGCCGAGAGGGATTTTATGTGGTTGAGGTATTGAAATGAAGGCTACACGGATCATGATGAATGACAGACACGGCCGACACGCAGCATTGAACAGCATTTACGGCGTTTGGGTATTTAGCGTAGCATAGCACAGCACATACAGTCATGATGTTGATCACTTTAATTTCTGTCACATACCAAGCCGCGCAATGACGTTGCTGGGATATGAGAACACTTGATTACAATAAGAACACACTATCCACTGTCCATATGAGCAACTACAAACTCGCATCACGCTACAGAGTCGCGCTATCCTGCCCTGATCCGCTCTGCTCTTCCACAGATCTACTTGTTCGCTCTCATCTTCCGGTTCGCTCTATGCAGCGCAAACCTCGAGCGTCAGACCAGTCTCGCCAGAGTAGGACAAGGTGTGATTCGGCTCCGGTGCACCATCCCACTCAATAGAAGGAACATCCTTATCCTTATCACCCTTGACGGTGATCTTCTCGCCCCAGAAGTCGAAGCCAAAGGCAGTGCTAAGGTCGTAGTAGATGCTCTGACCCTTATTGTAGGTGTAGCTGAAGTGCAGCGTAGGCTTGGCAGTCCAGAGAGCAGCGGCGGTTCGGCCGATCTTGATCGCAGTGCCGATGCCCTGGAAGTACTCCTCTTCGGTCCAGAGAGTGTCGGGTTGTACTGTGTTTGTGTTGCCAGTTGTTTGACCGACTGAGGTGACGAAGATGTCGAAGTCGCAGTTGTTGTGGACGACGATGGAAGGGGCGGCGAAGGTAGTGGCCGCGAGAGCGAGGCTGCTGAGTACGGTGAAGAAACGCATATTGTATGAATATATCGATGAGAAAAACTGCTTGTCTTGGAGTCTGGTGTGGTTGGAAAGTGTGTTGGAAGTCGATGCTTGCATTTTGAGAGCAGTGCAGCGATCCTTCTCTTATACCTGTCAGAAAACGCCTTCCTTAGCACTCAACACTTGCTGATCTTCGTGATATGGTCACATCTCGAAGCTGATAGCTCTTTGGCAATGCTCTTGTACGCTGGCACCGCCTCATGTAAGGTGCCGCAACTTTCTATCACAAACCTGTGACCATGGTGCCGTACTGTCCGGCTACGATCATTCTGCTGGGAAGGCGAGGACCGACTTGCGAGATGTGATGAGAGCCAAGAGATGGGCAAGGCAGGATTGAGCTGCGACTATCTGGTGTGGTACAAAAACGTCCAATATGATGATGATGTGGTACCAAAGGCCCGATGCAGGTACAAATGCAGGTACGAGTCGATGGTCATACCCGTCAAGGTAACTGTTTGAGAAACACAAGTGGCGAATGACCTGAACTCTCCAGGTTTAGGATGTCAGATGTAGAGACAATGAACAAGGAAATCGCAGATGGTGGATCAGGTGAGGTCAGAAGACCGGTCAGCAATGTTGCTAGATCTTACGTGCTAATGTTGCTGTGAAAGAGAGAATTCGCAAAGCATGGTACAAACATTCCTGCAATAAACCTGTCAACTGTCAAAAAGAGGTGATTGTGTTCGGCTCGTTGCAGCATCAATGATCACAGGGCTACCACAAGGGGGCAGGTCCACCAGCGTGTAGCATTGAGATTCTTCTTCGTGCTCGGCGACCTCGAGAGTACGTTGCAGGAAGTCTCAATGACAGGTGGCCTAGGCTGCGTGGCCGCCGGCATCTCGCACGCTCATGAGAGGCGGAGGGAACGTGACGTCCCTTGCTGCTGGAGTGAGGGGTACGTTCACCGTAATGGGTCAGTGGTAGGAGTAAAGACCATGGTCAGACGCGTGCTCGCCAAACAAGGCGCTGTTCGCGCGTGATGCGTCAACACATCGAAGTTTTTAGAGGCATTGACATCGCGGTTGCAGGTGGAGGAAGTCGCGACACGTCGTTGGGACGACTAAGTCGGCTCAAGCGGAAAGGAAGGCACGTCGGCTTAAGGCCGCGGCCGCCTCCAAACCTCGGCTCTCTTCCCCACGTTCCGCGACGTCAAGCTCCTGTGCTCCGCATTAAATTGCGGAAGCTTGCCGCCATGTGACAGTCGTTATTCGGCTCGCAAGAGCCAACTTTCTCTGCAATACTCCCACTGTCATAGTGAAACCCCTCCTTGCTGGAAACTATGTCATCATCCGCCCTCCGCACATCCATGAGAATGGCCTCGCGGCCGCAGCAGCGCTTGGCCAGCATTCAGAGGCAATTCAGTGCCTCAGCGCAACAGAAGAAGGAAATCAGAGATGCATACATCATAAGCGCCAGTCGAACACCGACTGCAGTTGTACGAACACTCTCATCACATTCCTGTGCCAGCCTGCTTACCATAGACCAGTTCAATGGCAACTTCACCACCGTCTCAGCGACCCAGCTTGGTGCCACAGCGATCAAGTCAGCCCTCGAGAAGTCGAAAGTCCCGATCTCCTCCATCGATGCCGTATATATGGGCAATGTGCTGTCAGCAGGCGTTGGACAGGCGCCAGCAAGACAAGCCGCCATCTTTGCCGGCCTGCCTACCAGCGTCGAAGCAACAACTATCAACAAAGTATGCGCTTCAGGATTGAAGGCCGTCAACATTGCCGCCTCGACCATCGAGCTGGGACAGGCTGAGGCCCAGGTCGCTGGTGGCATGGAGAACATGACCCGAGTCCCATACTACCTGAGCCGCGCCAGCCAACAGCCAGCCTTCGGCCACCAGAAGATGCAAGACGGACTTATCGCGGACGGCCTCTGGGACGTCTACAACCAAATCCACATGGGCAACTGTGCCGAAAAGACCGCCAAAGATCACAACATCTCACGGAAAGAGCAGGATGACTACGCTATCCTGACATACAAGCGCGCCCAGCAAGCCTACAAAGACGGTATGTTCAAAGATGAGATTGTACCTGTCACAGTCAAGTCGAAAAAGGGCGACATCGTCATCTCAGAAGATGAGCAATACAACAAGCTCAAGCTCGAGAAGGTTCCGACACTGAAACCCGCCTTCTCTAAAGACGCAGACGCCTCGGTCACAGCGGCGAACAGCTCTCCTCTCAGTGACGGCGCCTCTGCGCTCGTCTTGGGAAGCAAGGAGATCGCGCAGCAGTACGGCAAGGACAGCCGCGTTCTGGCCAAGATCGTGACCTACTGTGATGCATCGGTTGACCCGATCGACTTCCCCATCGCACCAGCTTCTGTTGTTGAGAAGCTGCTGAAGCAGTCTGGGCTGAGCAAAGAGAACATTTCAATCTGGGAGTTCAATGAGGCGTTTGCTGCTGTTATTAAGGCGAATGCTAAGATCCTTGGTCTTAAGGAGGACAATGTGAACCCTAGGGGTGGTGCTATCGCGCTGGGTCACGCCTTGGGTAGTTCAGGTAGCAGGATCTTGGTTACGCTGTTGCATCAGCTGGAGGTTGGGCAGTATGGTGCTGCGGCGATCTGCAATGGTGGCGGTGCGTCGAGTGGTATCATCGTCCAGAGGGTTAGCCCGGATCAGTTGTAGATGAGTAAGGGCAGAATGTAAATGTATACCACGACTGGAGTCATTTCGAATCTGTGTCGCCCGGCGTGAGATAATGTGAGGCCAAGGATGCGAGGGTTATCTTCGACCGTGTGGGTGCAGCATCACGGTGGATCGGTTCACGCGACTCAGCTTGTTAAAGGGGGTATAATGCAATTCATCCATTCATGAATCCATGAAATTTATTTTAGCAGTCCTGATCGACCATCGTCATGCGCCCAATAAAAGGCTACACAACGCAGAGTATCCTTTTCCATGCACGCCAGTCCATAAGCTTGAAAGATTCGACCAGACGTCCCAGACACCACGCAACGCCCTCAGCGCTACATTTACCTGTAGCGCCAGAGGGAGAGGGTGTTGTGCCTCTTCCAAGTCTTCCTGCGACCAGCGGTGGTGTTGTTGTACTTGTGGCCACGGCCGAGACCACGGCTCTTCTTGCCGGTGGCGGTGAGACCACGAGACTCGCGGTGCTTGTGGACGGGGTTGACGATCCAGTTGATGCGGGCATCGCGGCGGATGGCCTTGTGCTGGGGGTCGACAAGGATGACCTCGTAGTACTTGTAGGTCGAGTCCTGGTTGATCCAGTACGAGTTGAGAACGCGCAAGTTGGCGCAGCGGCGGCCGACACGCTCCTCAGCGGTGCTCTTGAGGGAGCGCTGGTACTTGAGCTGGTTGATACCCTGGTTGGTGGGCTTGCCTGTACATATATTAGTCTTCTGTGTGCGTTATCCGATCGATCGAGCGAAGCATACCGTAGGTGGCACCCCTAGAAGTCTACTGTTAGCACTGCTATATCTGTCTTTGTCTACGTGTGTACGTACTTGGGGGCGGGCCTCTTGCGGCCACCGCGGCGAACACGGCAGCGGTAGATAACGTAACCCTGCTTGGCCTTGTACCCAAGACGGCGGGCCTTGTCGGGGCGCGAGGGACGGCTGGCGCGGTGGATGACCTTCAGTTGGCGAAGCTATCGATGCACTCTCAGCTAATGTTCAACGAGTACACCAATTGAGACTCGATGTCTCAGGAAATGTGAATTCATACCTCCCAGCACTGTCGCAACGTTAGCAAGGTCCTCACAATCGTCTCAATCGTGTATACGTACGCGAACGCGCATCAAGAAGCGCATCATGTCCGACTGCTTCTTCTTCTGAAGTTCCTCGACATACTTAAGGGCACCCATCTGAGCAGTTGTTAGTATTGCGTGTGCGGTTGTTTCGATCGTTCGGTGCGTTGCGGTGTTCGCTCGATTGATCAATCCGTTCGTATGGGAGACTCACTTTGTCTGGTCCTGGTGTTAGTAGGGTCGTTGACGTTGGAGGTTGACGAAGCGCAAATCTCGACGAGATCCAAAATTGCAGGTGCTAAGCGAGGTGGGCGGAAGGCGCTAGCCAGCACTCTTGGCGCAATTGGCGCAACAGCGACCCACTCACAGGCAAGAGCTGACCGCGCTAAGGAAGAACACCAACATCACGAGCAACTTCGCGGGTCAGAAATCATCAAAAATGTCTTGCAGCTAGTCGAAACGTGGATGCATTCTCTCGCTGCGTTCTGTTGTTGGCGTTGAGTGACCTTTCTGACTCCTTCATCGTCCCAATCCTTCGATCTCAGCATCTGCGGATGTTATAAATTTCGCCTCGCCTATTCAAAACTTCCTGTCAGTCCTCCTCCACTCAAATCCGAATCGAAAACATGATGGGGATGGGCAAGAAGACTAGAGTATGTGCATGTTCCTAGAAGCAGCACTCCCGTTGAGTGCAACGGGAAACCGCGAAAAGTGCAGTGTGCAAACTATATGTCTTTCTCCTACGAAAGCTCGTCCGGACGACCTATTCTCGGCTCCACATACCTTGCAAATACCCAGGTATGGAGACTCAAACATGTATCGAGAGTTTCAAATTCCTATCTAAGCTCGAATTTTGAGTGTTCGGAAAAGAGGATTTTCCACTGGTCAAAGTTCGAAGCCGAATGCAATGCGCTGCACGACTTGGCCGACGGGGCCAAAGCCGGCCCATGCCAATTATACATTGTCGACTTCCAGGCGTACCTCTAAAGCATCCTCTTTTCGGGTTCCCGGGTACCTCATCCTTCATTCTCTGCCATCGTGTTGACATCCAAAAGCAATTTCTTGGTTTTTGTGTCCACCACCCTCTCATGAATCATCACTTTTGCTTCACTGTTTGCAATGCACACAAAGCAAGGGTTATGTGTGAAACAAGTTGTTTTTTCCTGACGGTGTTCAACGAGACCGAAACGGTGATCTGCTTCGAAATGATGTTGCATTTCACGAATGTTGCCGCCTGCCTTCTTTCTTTGCACAAAATTTCCGTTCCATCTAAAAGTTACTCAGGAATACCAAAGCCAAGATGAACAGCTTGATATCTCGGAGACGACCAAGGAAATAGAGCATGTAACTCAATCCCAGTCACTAAGCCACCATGTTCTGGCTGTCGAGTCACTAAGATTACCAACGGGCAGAAGAATAGCTCTGGAAGCCTCCTGGTCAACCTATAAACCGCCCTCGATTCACTTCAGCGCCCTTTTTACTCACAAAAGGTCTTCAGGGCTGCCAAAAGTTCAAAAGCCGTATCTCACATGGTCATGGGCACCAGAATGTGTATGCATGGCGTCGCATGTGGAGGTCTTCAAACACGTAGAAAACCACGTTATGTCCCTGAAAGCCCATGGTCAGAGTACGCATGGAAGTCTAAAATCCTTTTTACGACCATTTTATGTCTTCTCTTGGGGCCCTGCGCTCTAGAAGTTGCTATGTGAGACTTCTGGAAAAACCACACGACACGATCCCATGCCTTGTCCACTGAGGTTGTAGATGTCGTCTTCTGGTTAGTTATGCTGCTGGGCTATAAAACCCACTCAGTGACCACAGCTGCCTCCCGATTTTCCAGATACTTTGCTAAATTTCCAAAAGAAATTCACGTTTGTGCCATACCGACTTGAAAATCCTTGAACACGACAGGGATGTGGCAGCTCTGTTGGATCTCCAGATAACACGTTCTATGTCTGTCTCGGACCTATACCAAAACCATCTGCGGTCGAGCATATGTGTCTAGAAAGTCCCGTGCGAGACTCACTATGATTTCCTTTGCGCCTTACCCTCACCATTCACATTTTTCGGCATCTCCCGAAATGCGAAAACGGATGAAAGCATGTCTGTTTCAGATTTGTGCAACAACCCAATTAACGATGGACACATGTATGTCGAAAACTCCGGAACACAGCCTCATGACTTTTTGCACACCTCTCCTTAATCGAGAGAAATCCCGGCTACGTTTTTCGATCTACTAGGAGTCCATAATCTTCTCAATATCCTCTGGGAAGTCCTTCCGCAAATGTTTCACAATTCTGGAGGAACGAGTATGTGTCAAAAGAAGAGACTCAGTTTCCCATGGGCCAACAAGCAAAATGCCGTTTTTGAAATGTTCTCGCTGTCTTGTTCTCAAAACCGAAGAGGCCCGCAACCATGTTTTGCAAAGAGCTTTGGTGGATGCATAAATATATTCTCCCATTGATGACCTCAGACAGTACTTGTTCATACTCCTCTTCACAATAAGCACTCAAAAGGAGATTTAAGAAGCAAGACCAACCCCGTATTTCATGATGATGGATGTGGACACGGTGTCTAAAAAGGGCGACTGGTGAGCGCATGTTCGCGAGGAAGTCCCTCCTGAAACTCTGTAGCGGTGCGGACCGCTGTAGAATACTGATAGCTACGGTAAACGATAACATAGGACTATCGGGTCGATGGAATACTGCGCTGTATTGCTGTCTAGCTATGAGGAGACGACTATATACCTGACCTGTAACACACTAGTCCAGGGTGGCTGATCAGGGGTATAGATAGACACTGTACGGACCATCCGATACCGCAACAAACTCTCTCTGCCGAACACATGCATTCCAAAAGCTGAGGACAAGGACGAGTGTCTGCTCTTACCCCCTTCGTCTTCATGCTGGAACACTCGGAGATATGAGTGACTGACCACGTGCACCACCAAAACTATGCCGTCTATGTTACCATGTCCTTGCCGTTTGCGGCCCAAAACGTTCGCGTTCGAGTTCCATGGAGCCAGACAGAAGATCATCAATGCTATATAAACTCTTCCAATCATAGTCAACTCCTTTCACAACCCAAGCCATTGGAAAAGTATTGAAACGACAGTCGCAACAAGGCGAAACAGCAGTACACATGGAGATGCTGTCAAAAGTGAAGACGAACACGAGTTATGATTCGGTTGTGAGAGTCTGTTCGAAAACCAAGATGGGACAAGGCATGTGCAGAACCAGAGGTGAGCTGCGAAAATACGCCGTGAGCCTCCGTAACTTGCTGTTGTGATGCGTAGTTCAAAAAAACTACCTGAGTTAAGATTGTCTACTGCTATGCCTCATGTTTTTCTGCCACGAAAAGGGCCGCAAAGGCAACTGCAGCTTCCATATGCATCACCAAAAACCAAGTTACTCCAGAAATGTCTCCGCCAGTCTGTGCGTTCAAATCCTTGTGGTCAAGAACATGGGCGCAAGCTGGAGGTTGTCAAGGGTATACAACCTCGTAAGTCTCAGCGACACCAGGCCTCCATCTTCCAAGCATCGAAAGAAGTTTCGAAAGACCATATCCAAACGGTCAAAGTGAGGACAGATGTCGAGACTGTCCAAAAATGAAGAGTACTATGATCCATGACCGTGGAAAGATGTGTGCCTGAAAGCCGAGAGGATAACCTTCATGTGCTCGCCATAATCCTTCTGCGAATGGTGTGATGTCCGCGTCCTCGCTTTGCTCTTGTCGTCAGCGGTCTGAAAATCGCCGCCGCTGGGTTCCATGACCTAAAATCTAGTGGCTTACATCCTATGTTGCTGTGCGGAGAACAGTTTGGACGGGCGATTTGTCTGATCTGCGTTGATACATGCTTATCTATTTCTTGCTTTATATTCCTGGTTCTGAGCCTATGCAACGACAGCGCTAGCTTCTTGCTCTTTCTGCTCTTCTTCGCTGCTACTTAAACTCTTCTTCTTCTTGTACACGCTTTCCAACACGCTCCGTATCTCCTGCAGGAAGCGTGTGCATTCGTCTTCTGTGCCTACTGTGATCCTGAGGCAGCCCTCACACCCATACTCCTTTCCTCGAAACCTAACAACAACACCCTTCTCTTCCGCCAGCCCTTGGTACACTGCTAATGCGACTTCGTTGGAAGGCTTTCCACTCGGCTCATCCAGCATTTGGTAGAGCAAGAAATTGCTCTCCGTCCCACCGTGCAACTGCCCCACACCCGGAACCTTCGGCAACTCCTTAATTAGCCTCGCCCTCTGCTTAACAATCAAGTCCTTATTTCTGTTCATTGTGCTGAGGTGCTTCGAGCTTAGCGCGGCTTGCGCAAGCTGGGATGTGGGGTTCGAGATGTTGTATGGCGCCTTCATGTTGTTCAGTATCTGTGCGATCGCAGGGTCTGCGAAGGCGGCGCCGAGTCTGATTCCAGCGAGGCCAAATGCCTTAGACAATGTCTGCATGACGACCAGGTTCGGCCATTCGGCGACCCATTCTGCCATTGACGAGCCTTCGGGCGCAAAGTCGATGTACGCCTCGTCCAGAACTATCACGCCGTTCCAGTTTGTCTCCAGTATGGCTTGTACGTCCTCCTTCTTCAGCAGTTTCCCTGTTGGGTTGCCGGGCGAGCAGAGGTATGCGAGCTTTATGCTGGGGTCGGAAGCGAGCGCTTTCTGGATGGCGGGGACGTCGAGGTTGAAGGCGGGGAGCTGTAGTGGGACTTTGACGAGCGAGACGTCATTGACTTGCGCTGAGACGCTATACATGCCGTATGTAGGTGGACATGTCAGGATCTTCTCTTTGCCTGGGGCACAGAAGGCGCGGATGAGGGCGTCGATGGCTTCGTCAGACCCAACGCCTACGAAGAGGTGCTCGGGGCCGATGGTCTTCGATGTGTGGGTGTGCGTGTTGCGGAGGTTGCAGAGAAGCTGCTTGAGGTCTGCTTGGTGGCTATATGCATGGTGAGCAGGTACTTGGGCGTGATGGTAGGAGTGCATACGGGTCGGGGTAGCGATTAAGGCCGAGTAGATCTACATCAATTGACGCTGATGAGTCTGATGTGCCGTTGACATTTGCGCCAGGCAGCTTTCCCTCTCCGTTCAGCGCCAGGCCGGGGCCGTATGCGTTCTCGTTTGCGTCGAGCAGGATGTTGGTGCCGTCATCCTTGTAATCACTGGCATCGTAAGCTTCTCTTCAAAGCGTGACTTATTGCGCTTCACCTACTCGCGCGCACAGCGATACGGCTCCAATGCAAGGATGTTGGGTCGTGCACATGTCTGCAGATCGAATGCCGTGTTCTTGGGAACCATTGCGAGTGGTGTGGGAGGCTGGACGCGTTATGATGTCGTGGAGGGTGCGGGCGCGGACTTTTTGAATGAGTACCGCGGGGCTGCGGCGATGTCGGGAGTCATCGCGACTCTAGCATCTTTTATCACCGCGATGACTCTACGAAGATCAACGACACGGCAGTATCGCCGGATGATAGTGCACTAGCTAAAAGAGGCATGTTGTTCGATGACGATGTCGCAGATGAATAGTGGTGTCGACGTGACGACGTGTTCAGGTGAGGCCGACACGCAGGGGCAGGAGCGAACAAGAGGAGGAAGGCAGGATGCAACATCAATTCGATGAACGAAAGCGCTACGCTCAGAAACACGAATAAGCAGCCCCTCAAGCCAGAGCACCCATAGGATCCCAGAGCTCGAGCATCTTTGGCTTCTGCTCCAACACCTTCCTGACCGTTGAGCTCACCACACTTGGATCCACAACCGCCTGATACACAAATTCATCCATCCACTTATCACTCATAACGAAATACCCCTTCTCGCCCACTCTATCACTCCATGAGTTCTCCACCCTCCACCTCACCGGCTTGCCGTTCACAACATGCACAGCCGTCAACACCATGGCGTGCGTCATCTGGCTCTCGCTGGTCTGCAGGCGCTCGGCTTTCGACATGCCAAGCTTGATGTTGAAGCCGAGTTCGTACTCGAAGAGGTCTGTATCCATGATACCGTTGGTTGAGTCAGAGTACTTACGAACGTCTGAGCCGAAGAAGACGGGCATGCCGCGCTTGAGCATGGCGATGCAGGCGTCTTTGATGGTCTTCATGTCTGTGTTGACGTATGTCACTGGTCGGCCTTCCCAGACATTGCCGAGGCGGTTTACGCTTAGGAGGCGGTTGTAGGGGTTGCGCGGGTCGTTAATGAGGGAGAAGAGTTGGTGGACATCCGTGCCTGAGAGTGCGCGTACGGTCCTGCTGTCCGAGAGCTCCTTTGCGAAGGCTGTTGGTCGTGTCTTCACGGTCTGAAAGTTGCCGTCGCGGTCGTAGAACTCCCATGTGAATGGCTTCTCGGGCACAGGCGGCGGGCCGAGCATCAGTGTGAGGATGAGGTGGATCTCGCGCATCATAGTGGCCTTCTCGGCTGCAATGTTGACCTTGATGGCATCGGGCGAGACGTTGCTGGACGCGATGGAGCGCAGTCGAACGGCATCCTCCCGCAGCTTTGTGGTGATAAGAGCGTCCATCACCCTTGAGTTGCTGGCGTTGAACGAGTCTGGATAGAGTGTGTGGGGAACCAGTCCGTACTTCTCCACCAAGTTGGCTACCATGTCCCATTGTCCACCATCTCCTACTGGGCTTTCCAACAAGGCCTGTACCAGACGGCTGTCGATGCTCTCAGATGTAGTTTCCAGGATGTTCTCGAGGAAGTAGTTCGCCTTCTCCATCTTGTCCCAGAAGAAGAGGTATGCCTGCGAGAGCTGGAAGCTGTCGAGTTTGTACTTCTTCATGATGGCGATGCGGAAGATGTTCGTAGAGGCGAAAAGCCAGCATCGTCCTGACGAGGCTTGGTTCGTGATGGGTGAGCCTTCGGTGGGAATCTTGATGTTGAACTGGTGGGTATCTGAAATGGTAGCAGCGCGCGAGGACAGAACGGCTGTGGCTGGGTTCGAGCTCAGAGCTAGAAGAGCAAGGCGGTTCTGTAGTCGCTATCAGCCACATTGATGTTTCAAAGGGTAGTCCGTCGCACCTTGGGGTCCTCCATGATCTTCCTCTCCCACTCCTCCGCATATTTGGTGGAGATAGTCTTCACCTGCCTTGAAAGTGGTGTGTATTTAGGTGCTGCAACAGAGTCAGAGCCTCACATAGATAGTGTAGTTGCTCAGGGACGTACGAGCATCGCCAGCGATATGTACGAATCCATCCTTCTCGCTCGTAGCTCGCTCCTCGTTCATATGAAGGGCCTGGAGCCGCTCTCGCAGCTTCTCGTTGACAGCAGGATCGGACGGTCTGGACTGGTTGGCACCCATAATGTGAACTATGTTGATGAGAACACAGGAGCTCAGGAATAGAAGAGCTTCTATCATGAACGATAAGCATGAGGGTGGGGAAATACCATGATGGCCACCTGCCTATCGCTATCGCGGGGAGCTATGGCGCGTGGCAGGACCCCCGCATGTGATGCATCAGATGGCTGGGGCGCACCTTCCTCAAGCTGTCGGTCAGAGGCCGCAACAGCATGTTCATCTGCAAAGATCTGAGAGGCATGCATTCGAGGATAGAATCTGTGTATTGTACAAATGTGACGATTCAAGAGCGTCTGCTGGTTGCAAGGTATCAACAAGAGCTAAGTAGGAATTTGACCCACTCCGCTACTCCACAGAGAGGATGGGCGATCGCGACTTGATCGGAAAGCTTGCATTTCTCAGAATATATTATTTTAATTCATTTGAAGTTTTATCGATTCGAATGACACGGTTTTACCGGCCCGATGGCGCAATGGTAGCGCGTCAGATTCCAGTTAAGGTGTCTCCTGAAGGTTAGGCGTTCAAATCGCCTTCGGGTCATTCCCTTTTGTCCTTTTTTGCCTTTTTTACCCTACTGTGAGAGCCGTGCGCAATGGTCTTTTTAACAAGACCGGCAACGGCCCGCTTTTTTGCTCCTTGCTGACCGACGTGTTTCAGCCACTCAGGCATCCGCTGATCGTGCTTTTTGACTTCCCACTCTCCACAAAATGCAACGTCTGGCGCGTGCTCCAACGACCCTTGGTCCACCTGATGCTGCTGTCATACCTCAATCGAAGGACCCTGTCGTCACACAATCCCTTCATTCAATTGCCTTGCTGCCTTGCATTCTGTTCACCACAACCAATTTTCAGTTTACAGACAGCAAAGAATACGCACGTTCGACTGCTAACTTGGGAAATGAGGATGCTCTGCGCCAGGCGCCAACCCACGTTTCACCCACATTCACAGCCGCCTTGGACGCCTTCTCCTGAACCCTGCACATCGACCTGCAAAATCTCCGGTTTTTTTGTTCAACATGTCTGATCCAAAGCTTCCTTGATAAGTTCGCAGTCGCCAGGTGACTTACCACTATCACTACACCTACTCAAGCTTTCCACAGCTCTCAATATACGAGATGGCGAACCAATCTGGACTGTGGAAAAAGCGTGTGCTTATACCCTTCTGGATCGTGCGAATCTGCATCATGCTCTTCCTCATAGGGATCTATGCCTACGCTCTTCGTGCAGTTGATGGCGTTGAAGAATTTGCGAAACCGGCCACTGCGTAAGTCACCAATTGCCCCTTGCTCGTAACAACTACTGACCGTCCACAGGAGTATTGTGGTCTTCATGCTATTCATTATCATCTGTCTGCTCATCGACATACTCGCTATCGTACTCTACATGCGCGACGCCCTGAAGCCAGGAACGTTTCTCACTATGAACTGCTTCCAGACCGGTTTCTTTGGAGGCGTCTTGATCATGGACCTCGTGGCTGTCATGAGAGGGACAAGCGCGGCTGGCGTTGGGTTCAGCATCTTCGTCTTGTATGCAGACACGATACTTGTAGCCTGATCCAGTACTAACTTGCTCCAGCCTTACCTTCGTCAGCCTCCTCGTCTATTCAGCAGTCGGCTACTACCGCGCGAAGAAGCAAGCTCAGCGAGGCAACTATGCTGTAGCGCACAACCCAGCTGTGTACAATCCTGCCATGCTTACCGCATACGCACCGCAGTATCAAGGCGCTCCACCATACCAACAGAACACTGCGTACTATCCGCAGACTGCTGCGCCTATCGAGCTTCAGCACAATCACTATCTGCCGCCATACCAGGCGCATGGCGCAACGACCGATTACTACAACCAGCAACCGCTGAAGCCGGCGCATATGGTGTAATGGGAGATAATTACATAAATATACAACAAATCCATATATTTCTATACATTATCTTGTGCCGAATCGTTGAATCCCTTCAGCCTTTGTTTCACTTTCAGCGCCGCAAGGGTCGGAGCTGACAGCTTGAACGTTTAGTACCATCACTGGGACGACGTGCGTAAGCGATACCGAACATCCTCACATGTGCCTTCGAGCAGGCACATGAGTGGTCTCGTAACCTCTCTCTCCGATTGATGGGACGGGCCGTTGTCAGCTGTCCCCACTCACAGTTCGGGACTTTGACACTTGAGGAAGGAGCGCCAGTATTTGGCACGACATGCGGTGAACGTCTGCAGGTACATTCAGCCTCAACGCTCACATGCCATCGTCAAGTCGAATTGCAGGCTTGTTCAGGGAATCGAAACGCATAGAAAGCGCACGTGTGAATGCTCGTCGCGGGTTGCCTGCCAGAAGAGTCGCCGCTGCCGAGGCACAATTGGCCAGTTCAAACGTCCTGTCCCTTCGCTTCGGACATCACCAACCAATCACAGCCTCAAACCCGCTTCTCGCCGCAACCTCAATCTATTCTACGTTCAATCAAATCACGATGTGCAGCACGTTCAGCTAATCGTGCAATGTTCGCCATGCAGTAAACCCAGTTGGTATTTGCGCGTCTGCGGAGGCCGAATGGGATTGGGGGTTGGCTAAGGATGGCTGTACCTAACTTGGCGAGTATTGCAGATGTTATAGGTATAAACACTCATGTCCGCCCATAGTATTGTGTAGGCAGGCGAGTGCGTAGCTCTTGGTCTTCTCAACTCAACTGTTGACCTCAACCGACTACACTTCGTTCGATACGTTCACTACAGCATGCGCTACTCACTCCTCATTGCTATAGCTTTGCCTTTGGCCCAAGGCGTTCGCATCATCCAGAGCAACGATGATGGCTGGGCTGAGATTAATATCAGGACATTCTTCAATGTTCTGAACTCTGCCGGTCACCAAGTCGTGCTCAGTGGACCAGCTGAGAACCAATCTGGCACAGGTACCCACTTCTCACTTATGTTGATGAAAGGCTCTTATGCTGACATGTTCAGGGTCCTCTGATGCCACACCAGAAACCGTAGGTTCCGATGGCTGCGGGTTTTCCTCCTGCCCTGGTGGAAGCCCAGCAACAGGTGCCAACACCACCGACCCGCGCCTAAACTACGTGAACTCGTACCCTGTCACGGCCATCAAAACGGGAATCTCGACCACCGCGCCCAAACTCTGGAACGGCGCCGCTCCAGAACTCGCTCTCACAGGCCCTAACGTCGGCTCCAACGTCGGCCTCCAAGTTCCCTTCAGCGGAACCGTTGGAGCAGCAACCTACGCCGCAAAGACCGCAAAGATCCCCGCCATCGCGTTTTCTGGCGCCTCAGGCGATCCAACGGCTTGGAATCAGCCTACGCCATTGTACAGCGAGGTCTACGCTGATCTGGCGCTCAACATCACAACTACCATTATCGAATCTGGAAAGCCGTACCTCCCGGATAACACATGGCTTAATGTCAACTTCCCGGCTGTGTCGAGCACCAAGTGCAACAATGTCAACCAGTTCAAGTTCATCTTCACTCGCATCAACACCGGTCTTATTGGCAGTGCTGCTGATATCACTGTTTGCGGTACCACAGCGAGGCTGCCGTGGGAGGCAGATGTCGCGGTGATAAGGGGAAATGACTGCTACGTCTCCATCTCCCCTGGTGATGCAAACGACAAGACGACTGCGGCGGCTGCGCAGCAGCAAGTCATTTACAACAAGTTGAAGCCGATCCTGTCGTGCTTGCCGTAGGTGGTGGATCAAAGGGATAGGACGACAGTTTCGAGTAGATAAACAAAATAAACGAGATCGAGGCTGCTTTAATTCCAGACAGCTTTCAGAATCATCAAGCAATCTCCAGGCGTTGTTCAATCATAACGAATCTTATGGAGGGTCTCCAGCATATACTGACTACTCTGAGACGTTCCTACTCTTTCGGTCACAGATGTCAACGAAACTTTCTGCTGTATCGCAAACCAGTTATTGCAACACCACAGCAAGCGATGTTCAAGCGGTGTTTTCCAGTTGCTTTTCAGCCAACAGCATCACCTTCCTTGGTATGCAGGCTCTTCTGCGCACTCTTGCTACAATTTCTGACCGACCAAATCTCAACACCCAAATGAAGCGGGCGTTCCCTCATAGGTTAAGGGTGCAGTGAAGCCCACTACGCCGGCTCCTACCAACACTGCATAGCATGCGACAGACTCAGCAAGCCTGCAAAATCTACACTACCCACAATTTAGTCAGCAGAACTCTCAACAAGCACGGCAGACAACTCAGAAGAACACCATGATCCTGACAAAGAGGTGGATGCACAAGCAGCTGACTTCACAACCCCAGTTGGGCTTCAGCAGTTGCTGCGGCTAGATGCAACCGCAGACACCGTGTACCAAGACCTACAGATCTTCCCACAAATCTTCCCAACTGACATCGACGTCGCTGCTTCACTGGAAAGGGTTGGAAGTCAACCAGATACACTAGCAGTGCTGCTTAGATTTATTTACAATCCAGAAACATGGCCTTCGTCAGGCAACATCAAGCTCAACTGCTTTTGGGACGAGGCTATCGCAGGCCGACCAGTTGTGCAACTCAACACCATGAATCAACATCTTGATCAGAGCCCAGAGGACCACGTTAAATACTGGGGTCAGCTCAAATATCGACTCTGCGTAATTTCCTCTTATCCCACAGCAGCCCCTGGAAGTACACAGATGAAATACGGAATTGTTCACGATATCTTCAATTTCTGCATCGCCCAGCTCTTGGTGAAGCTTAAGCCTGCCTTCCTGATGGGTTCGACCAGTCTTGTTTATTTATGGTGCGTTGATGGCGAAGTGTCCTTGACTTTTGCGCGGAAGACTTGTGAGAAAACCACATTCTTGATGTGCAGCTACTCCACACCTGGGTCTGAAGCGGTCCTTCTGATGTAGAAAACCTTGTCAAGAGATAGCGGGTGCATCTGCAGTGTAATCAAGGACTTTGCGTCGCGGCATGCACCTAGTAGCACATGCTGGCACCTTGGATCTTTGACTCTGGCTTTGAACGCGTCTACACCTCAGTGTATGTGCCGGAATGGGTTCGAGGAATACGGCATACCCACAATCTTCAATCTGACAACCTCATCGTCCCTGACATTGACAAATCAGAGAACAAGTCCTCACTCGGAAAGCCTGCCACGAATCCTGTAATGCACTCCAAGGTACGAGATTCCTTCTGACAGATGCCTTTTAAGTCCGCATATGTGCGCACGATTATGCGACAGCCTTTCACAGTTGAAATTCCCTTGTCTATATACTGCTGGGTCATTCCTCTGAGCAGCTGAATTGTTCTAAAGCCACCAGCTGCGCCTCGGGCCAGGTAGTCTTCATGGAACTGGGGCCTACCGTCAGTCTCGAATATGAACGATACAACTTCGATATATCTTATGGGTATGAGCATCAACAAGCACAACGACATACGTATTCGCAATGGTTATCACGCGCTGCTCGCCTTGCGCGATCTTCAGAGCGTCAAGTTCTTGCTCAAGCGCACGTTGCCTCACTAGCAGCTCCTGATAGTCCTCGCGACTCTTCTCGACTGCTTGTTCACACGTTTGCGCACCAACCCGTCCAGTTGTTAGCATTCAAAATAGGAACAAGGCCTGGAGGATGTCAACTCACCGAAAAAAATCCAGTCCACTTTGGGCATCAATACTAAGCGATGCCAATCGTGCGGCCAACGCGCCGCTCGTGCCTGCTGTCATGATGTGTGGCCGTCACCGCCTGCGAGGTCAGTTGTTTTTAGGCGGGAGGAGAGGGAGGCAAGAAAAGAATGTGTGCGAAACAATAGAAGAGAGCAGAAAGCCAAGGCTTTTCGCTTCGTACTTGCTTTCACCTCACTCTTGACAATGAGTTGAATACCTCCCAGCGGTATCTATCGTGGACGCTGGAGAACAATCGCAACCAGATGGCTTTAGTGTGCAGAAGACGAGCAGTGTAGGCACACAGTGGGAATGAGTGTCGATGACTACATGTGGCGTGGCATATGTGAGCAGGGAGGAAGTACCAAAAGAGTGAAGGGGAAGTCGCCCCACGCGTGCAGATAGTGTCTGCCGCTAGAACATATCCTAGTTCATAACCGGAAGGGGCTGCCCTGTATCAAAACGCAACAATGACAGGCTGAAAGATAAACATGTGTACTCATTAGGTATGTTTGGTGCGATACCCAACCTGAACCAAACCATCGCTAGCAATACCACGAGGTACTTGCCCTCTCCTCTATCCCTCCACGTCTCCGTGTTCAACCATCTCAACCCTTGGCATTCCACCGATCGTTATACGCATTAACCCCCACCGCAATCTGTCTATAAAACCAATTCCTGCTCCCCTCATCCCCAACGGGAATAAACGGCCCATTCGTGCCCCCCTTCAGCGTAATGCTCAGCCCTGTCCTTTCCTTACTAATAGTCTGCACATCCTTAAGCGGCACATCCCACTCAGTCTGCAGCTTCTTCGTGCGCACCATCATGATGGCGTTGTACGTCAACATGATCAATACGTCCTTGCCCTGCAGCTCGAGATGCGCAATGTAGTCCTCATTGAAGTACTTCCCGTTGTCGAGCGTCTTGAGCCAGAACTGGCCTAGCGCTTCGCGCTGCGAGTACGGCCGTACGATACCGTCGGTGCCGATGAAGCGTGTTAGGCGCACGCGGTCGAGGCCTTCTTGGTCGAAGACGGTGGTTGTGTTGCGCACGCCTTCGGCCATGTTGGAGGCGAGGTCGAAGGCGCCGATTGCAGCCTTCGTAGGGACACCGAGAAGACCCTTCCCAACACCCTTGACGAAGCCGAGGGCGCCCTCTTTTTCGGCACCTTGGATGGGATGACGTGCGAGACCACCGAGGCCGGATGCGAGACTGTTGGCAAAGGCGTTGCCACCAGCGGTGATGCCATAGAGGGCATGCTTGGGCCTGTTGCGGGAGCGGGTGTTGCGACGCTGGTCTTGGAACTCCTTATCAAGGGTTGCGGCGGACAGACCCTTCGACATGCTTCCTGTAAACTTGGCCATGCTGTCGGAGAAACCGAAGACAGACTTCTTGACAAAGCTTGAAGCACCCTTTGCGATACCAATACCGAGATCCTCGGGGCGGTCAGACTTGACCAGACCTTGGTATGGTTCGTAAAAGATGTCGGCAACACCAGAGCTGATGTTGGTGAAGAGACCGACTGGGTTACCGAGGAAGTCAGCTGAACCAATGATGACGTGAACCTGTCTCAGCGACTCCTGCACGTAGTGGTTCTTGATGTTGTTGATCAGGGCAGTCGTCGAAATACGAGCGTTCTCGAGAATGAGAGAGTTGTAGCGAACCGGCGCATCGTTGACGTTACCGATCGACATGGTGAGAACGTTGACCGCGAACATAAAGGGGTTGGAGGTAGACATGGTGTCCTCGGCGTTGATGCGCTCAGTGCGGACGAATGACAGATCGATCTGCATGGGCTGCAGGTGGAGCAGCTCGAAGTAAACATCTTGACCGGACTGCTCCTGCTTTGGCTCTGGAATGTCAAGTGAATCGTCCCAAAGCTTGCCCTCTGCTTCCTCTGACCACGAAGCTCCAGGGATTTTGGCAAAATCGATCATCGCAAAGATGAAGTCCTCATCGATCTCGAGAGTCATCTGCTGCAGCAGGAAACTGAAGTACTTGATGTACATCACACCGTATGAGTCATCCTTAACACGAGTCACGCTCGTCTGGAAGATGGGATGTGCTTCCATCTCCTTGCCCGTCTTCGGAACTACACTGGGGTAGAAGATGATGGGGAAGATACCGCCGTACAGCTGGTTGTCGATCTGGATCCATTTAACTTGCACGTTGACCATCTGGTAGAGAGGCGAGTCCGAGTACTTCAACTCAAGATCGCGCAGCGTAACGTACACTAGCTCGCGCAAGTGACGGTTGACAAGGGAGATGCCGATACCAGCAAGTCGTATCTGTGCCTTGAACGTGACGTCGGTATCTTGATCCTTGACCTCGAAACCTGTGGTTGTCGACGATGAGGCAGCACCGGGCTTCTGCTTATACATGCTCTTCGAAGGCTTGTAGTTGGAGATCTCGAGTGTCTGTGTTGGACCCTGGGCAACGACGTTCAGATCAATGACCTTCATACCACCTTCCTGTTGGCCAGGTGGGATCTTGAATGGGATAAGGGGACCGATTTCTGCAAGCTTGACATGTCGCTCCCTGCCGTTGGCGCTAATGACGATCTCTTTGTTCTTCGCTGCAGGGAAATCCCAGGCGTACGGCATGATGCTCCTCGGTGGTAGACGGTACCTGATAGGTCTAAAGCCAGATCCACGATCATCTTCATCTTCATCGAGGTTGGGGTTTTGCTGCCAGTACAAGAACTCTTGGTCGCTCATGTTCCTGAATGAGAACGGCCAGTGCTTCGTCTCGACACTGATGTGGACGAATATTGTGGCTTGCTCCATCAGAACATCGATGCGCATCAACTTTTGGCGTTGACCAGTTTTGGACAGCTTGACGTGCACATTGCCGACATTCGAGATGTTGAATGGTGAAGACCACTGGTTGTTGACACCCGGGTAGCAGAGCGACAGCTGCGGCGATCCTCCTTGCCTGAGCCATCGAAGGGGCAGAAGCTCTCCTTCCTTCAGCGTCATCCAGTCAGGCTGCCCAGGCTCTCGAATGAGCAGCTCTTCATTGATTCTGTTCTTGACAATGAAGCGTGGGGCGATAGAGATGACCTTTGTCAGGTTGTACTTGCCTTCGCCTTCGGCGACAGACACACCAAGATGCATGTCTGATCTCGAGTTGCTAGCAGGTATCGAGACCGCGTAGGTACTTCCAATGGCGTCGAAACTCTGAGGCTTACTCCAGCTAGAGTCGCCGACCTTAATAAGCGCACGGTTTTTCTTGTTCTCTGATGGGTAAGAGAACATGAATGGCAGGGCTTTTCCAGCGTCGGTCTGGTCGTCTCTGAACGTGCCTTCTGCGCCTGAAGACCTGCCACCGCCCAGGAACTGCTGTTGCTGTGATTTGAGGTCCAAGTTGAGACCCGTGCGGTTCAAGACGATGTAAGGGCTGAAGATTGCGACCTTGAAGGCACCTCCACCATCAGGGTAGTTGCTGAAAAGAGTCAGTATGTGCTTGTATATTCTGCGTGATTGACTCACTAGAAGTGCATGTTGAGGTGCAAGGCTGTGTCGTTGTCGTCCTTGACCTCGAGCACCTTCTCCCTCCTGAAGCTTTCTCGATCGGTGGAGTTGATGATGCCGAACTTGCTAGGCTTGAATGGTCCTTCCTGCATCTCTACGCTGATAAGCAAGAGATGGGATAATTCCACGACATGGACAGGGCTGATGCCTCCTTTTCGCAGGAAGTTTGTCCAATCCTTCTTCGTACTGCTGTCGTAGATCCTGTACTTGAAGTCATAGGGCAAGAGATTGTGTACTTCCACTGGCGCTTGTAGGCGCAAACGCATGTAAGGGTAAGTGCCAGTCAGAGGATCCTTCTTGTCGTAGGCTGCGTGCATCTGGAAGTAGAATGGCGGCGCTTGGTCGTCTTGCTCACCACGGCAAGTGATGGTTCTTGTCGGCCGCTTCAGCAGATCCTTCCAGAAGAGACGCTCGTTCGACCAGGCGTAGCCGAAGCCTTGGTCTGGTCGGATGACGATTGAGTGCATGTAAGCAGACCCAATAGGTGCTGGACGTGCATCACCAGGTGCGATTTTGTCGATCTTGAGAAGGTGGCCTTCCTCTGGGCTGAACATGCCAATCTCAATAGGGATTTGCGTGTTGTTCTCGACCAACAATGGGGATCTAAAGGTGATGTTCTTGATGTTGTCGGCGCCAAGCTTCACTTCCACAAGCACACGGTGCTGTACCCTGTCTTGCTTGGGTCTCAAGTTGTACAGCGACTCTCCTTCTCGGTGTACAGGGATGCGGGAAAGTGTATCAAAGCCGCTGCCCTGAAGTCTGATGCCAAGCATGCCGGTCGCGCCGTCTGTTGACAATGTTTCACGAGTGGACATGGGATCTTCAAATCGCCAGGGCTGCTCCTCTCCATCCTCCAGTTTCGCCGCGTAACCTTCTTGCTCCTTGCCCTCGGCCCAGACATCAAGGCTGAAGCCTGTGTAGTTGCGAATGCGGTATGGGGCATCGCTAGCGCGAGGCTTCGAAAGGATGTCTTCGTCGGCCGTAAGGAAGTCGAAGGACTTCGAGCCCAAAGCGATAGTCGCCGCCGTGACTGTAAGTTCCATCGATTTGCGAGAGTACAATTCCACGGACAAACGGTCTGGGTTCAAGTCCTTCGCCATGTGGAAGCCGACGCTCCATGGCTCGATCAGTGGCTCCCATGCAGACTTCGAGAAATTGTAGACATTGATGAGAGTCTCCAGTGAAGTGTCGGCGACCATTGCGCCTGACCAATTGCGAACATCTACACCGAATTTCTTGACCCGCCAGTCAAGCATTGGCATCTCGTGAACATCACCAATGAGAACCACACGAAGGCCTTCGAGGTTGACATGCATTTCCTCACGCTTAAGGACCGCTGAACCGGCCTGCGGCTGCTTCATCTGCGCTTCTTGTTGGCTTGATCGCTTTGTCTTCGCAATAGACTTAGCCCGAGGTCTCGTAGTACTGGCAGCTGCTGTCGACTTAGGCTTCTTCGATGGTGTGCTGGGCTTGAGTTGCTCTGCGCCCTCCTCAGACATCTTCTTGTCGTCGTTTGCTTGCATAGCAGATGCGCGGTTGACAATCTGCATAGCCAACAGGATATCGCGGAGCGACAGGCGCAGGACGAGAGGTTCGATATCAACATTGATACTGATCAGAGATGATTTTGAATTCTGGTTGCGCATGTCCAATGCCGTCTGGATGCTGAAGTCATCGAGGATACGGAGGCGGTTTGTCTCGAAGCGATCCATGCGACACAGGAACATGCCGACCTTGTCGACCTGCAGTGTCATAGCCTGCTGCTTCGATACGAGGACTTGCTTCGTGCCCAGGACGATGGCCTCAGAGTTTGCAAGCGCTGGATTGGCGATGAGCACTACCTGGGCATCTGCTAAGTTCACGCGGAACGACATGCTCATGCCGTCCTGCGCTGATTCAGCAGGGGTGTCTGGCTTTTGTAGAGTCCTCGACCCGTCTTGCGACACGAGTTCATCGTCGCTATCAGTGTCTTCTTCCAGAGGGTCTTCCTCGATGTTCAGCGGCTCATCTGTAGCGAGGCCAGCGTTGACGAACGCCTGCAAAGCAAAGAGGTAGTCCAAAGCCAAGATGATTCTAGGGCTGTCGATGGTAAGAAGGGCGATAAGATTGCGCTCCTTTCCGCCTGAGATCGAGACACTAGCCATGAATTGCTGCTTGACATCGTTGTTGATCAAAGACATGATCTTGCGGAACTTGTTGGTTCCTTGTGTGCGGCTGTCGCGGATCGAGAACGACTGGACCACGAGCTCTGCCTCCATAGCATTATCACTGATCATGCGCACCTTCATGTTCGTGTCGTTGAGAGAGAATTTCGAAAGACTGGCGGCCTCGACATCACCGATGGGCTCGCCTTCCTTCGACCGAATCAGTTCCAGAGCGATAGCACCGACCTTGAACACGAAGTCCAGCTTCGTCCATTTGTCAGCATCGGTCGACAGCTCGGGTCCTTGCGAGGACACAACGTCTTTCGAGGGCTCATCATCTGACGACTCTGTGTCTGTGATCTGTCGCACTGGCTCAGTCTTAGCCACAGGCAAGTCCTCCTTAACTTCCTCATCAATGGCATCCGGCTCTGTTGTGAACGCCTGAGGAATGGTACGAGACAGCTCCAAAGCAAACTTCATCTGCTCTGGAGTGAGGCGCAAGTTGATGTCGGACATCGATCCATCGATTTCCATATCTGGGCGGTGTTGACCGGCTTTGTGCTCGACCATAGTGATGTTGAAGTCTAGATCGACCTTGTCGATCAGCTCAAGCGCTTCCGAACGGTCGTCCTCATAATGGAGATTCGAAGTGAGCTTGATGTTCCTGATACCAGCAGAAATCTTGTTGGCAATCTCTGCATTCTCCGAGTCGTCCAGTGGTGTGAACTCGTTCTTTGCATAGATCTCACCCAGGTTTGCTGTCAGGGTATCACGTTCAGGCTTGTCCGAAATGACCATCCTGGGAAAGACGACGATCGGAGTGCTGATGGTGATGTCGAAGTGGAACTTCGCTGGGTTCTGCTGGATCTGAGTGGCTTGATTCGCCGCAACCTGACGAGCTGCATTGAAGATGGCTTGCATCTTGCCGAACTTGACAGCGAACTCCATGATCTTTCGGAAAGGTTCCGTGAGGAAGTTGATCTTGATGGAGCCGGTCTTCAGCGCTACGGACATGTCGTAGCCGGGGTAGCTCTCCGAGTTCGAGTCGAATGTCTCGTAGCTGAAATCTGCTAGATTCTTGCCTTCGATTGTGACTAGCTGGCGCAGCGAAGATGTTTCAGGGACACCTTGGTTGACGTCGTCAATGAGCGAGAGGTTGCCAAGTCGTCCACCTATGCGCATTGTGCCGCCATTCAGCATGATGCCGACGTCACCGGAGTTCAAACTCAATGTAGCCAGACGTATCCCGTCATTGTTCAGGACAACTGCGATGCGCTTCAACTCAGCGCGAATGCGTATTTTGTCTGGCTCGGCGTTAGACTGCTTGGCCACTTCCTGCTCTTCAGGCTTTGCAGCAATCTGTGCCTGTTGGTTCCGAGGTTGGTCTGGAGTGGTAAAGGTAATGAGGACGAAGTCAAGAAGGGTCAGTAGCGTCCTTCTTGTGACGATCAGATTGATTGTCGAGACAGCGACATCGAGGTTTGTAGCGATACCCTCATACTTGGTCTGGAATTCTGGTGACTCTTTGTTGACCTTGGTAAACTTCAGCGTGAAGAGATCCTTCTGTTCGTCTGCAGAATCATCTTCGGAGGAGATGATGTTGCGGAACTCTGGCAGTGGGTTCTCCTCAACATGGTCCTCGACTGCCAGGCTCCTTAGACGAACGTCTGCACCCATCTCGAACTGCTCCAGGTAGAAATCAAGATCGAAGTGTTCTGCAATGAGCTCAACGAGAAGCTGATCTGGCTTACGACCTTCCGAGTCAGTACGATAGAGCGAACCTTGCAACTTGTCTACAGTGAACTTGAACTCGAAATTGCGCTGGTGCGTATGCGTGTTCTTGTTGCCTGCAGCTTCTGGGACGTCTTCGAACTTCGTGTTAGAGTCGCTTTCGTGGTCCTCCTCCATGACGAGCTCATGCTCCTGAGCAGCGAACTGAAAGGATTTGGAACGAGGCCGCCCAAGCGCGTCTTTGTCCGATGGCTTCGCATCACTAGTTGGCTTAAGATTAGATGGGCCCTTTGCACCCTCGGTAACTTGTTTGTTTGTGGCACTATCATCATCGAACTTTGGCACCGCAACATCGATGAGCTTCATCAAGTTCTTGTACTTAGCATCAGATATTGATGCATGGAGCACAGGTAGGTTTCCCGATACGCGGAACTTGGCAAGGTCAGATGCTTTTGGAACGATGCAAAGCTCGACCTTGAAGTCCATGTTGATCTTGTCGACAATGTGGAAGTTCTTCGACGTCGCGCTCTCCTCAAGCTGAGCCTTCGTCTCCTCGATTGAGGGTCCAATAAGCACTTGCGTCGATTGCAGCTTGAGGGTGAACCTGTCATACATCAGGTTCTCTAGACGCCGGAAGTCTTCCTCGGTATACTGTTGTTGCTGTTTTGATTGAATGTCGCGCAATGTGTCTTTGTCGATGAGCTCGCTTGTTACGCTTGCATGACCAGCATCGAGGATAAGGCAGTTGCTCGACTTCTTCGTGACAGAGTCTGGGATGATGATGAGGGGCGCTTGCAGATCGAGCTGTGCATTGATGGTCTTGTGTTCCGTGAGGGCGAACTCTAGGCCAGCGCGAGTCTGTTGTCGGATGGTATCAACCGTGGCTCCAGCAGTCTCCATGAGCGCACCGATGGACTCCATATGGCGCTCCGGAGGCTTGAAGAACTTCGCAGTCTCTACCACGAATCTCGGGTTGTAGACGAACTCCATGCCTTTGAGCTTCACTGTCAAAGCAGTGTCTGCGCTGTCATCGAGGGGGTTCTTCTCGAAAGTGAGGAAGAAGAAGGGATCTTCTGTATCTTCCTCCTCGTCTTCGTCGTCCTCTTTCTTCTCGTTCTCGTCGTCATCGAGCTCTTCGATACGCTTGTCATCAGGTATCGGTGGGGCATCCTTGATTGTGATGACCTGAGGGAAGAGACTGCCTTCTGTTGTGCCATCGTACAAGCGCATACCCTCGAGTGCAAGTTTCACGAACATCGAGTCTGTGCGTTGCAGGAATTGTGTGCTGAAGCCGTCAAAGAGCAGGCGAAGTATCTCGTTCGATTTGCCGTGGGGATCGCGCTTCAGCGTGAAGCTGCCAGTACGAAGGCTCATGTTCACCTCCATCTTGACATATTCGCGCGGCATGTCGACCGACTCGGCGATAGCCTTCTTCTCATCCCAGTCGATCGCATCGTATAGCTCCTTGCGTTGCTCTTCCGTCATCTGAGTGTTGTCGTCGATGTGCTGTTCCTGCTTGGCACCCCAACCGATCCACGAGCCCCAGCCCTGCTTCTGCGGCGCCTTCTTCACACCGACGTTCTCCTTGCGCAGCTGATTACGCGCCAGAGACCGCCAGAAGCGAAGGTCTTCGTACGTCAACTTCCGTTCCAACTTGTCAAGGTCCTCAACTTCGGTCGGTGTGAGCTTCTCTTCCTTCTTCTTTTTCTTAAACAGCTCGATGTAGCGTAGGCGGTCGTCTCGGCGCTCCTTGAAGTATGCCCAACTCCACCTCTTGTTGCGGTCGTGAATTTTGTCGAGAACAGCCTGTCCGGCGAAGCGCAGCCACCCAGCAGGGTCTTCCTTCGGCGATGACTTGGGCTGGAACTTCTTGTATTCCTGATGTCGAATAAAGTAGTGGAATAGGTCGACCAACATGAGTGCGTCGCGATATTGGTCCTCGTCGATGATGAAACCCAGCTCGTCGAACAGCAGGCGAGCCTTCATCTTCGGCCGGTCGGCCTTTCCGGTCTTGTCCATCTCGAGTCCTGCACGACCGCTGATGGGCTTGAGAATGAACTGATGATCACCAAGCTCAGGATTGTCGCCTCTCACGATCATGTCACGAAGAGTCTCGATGAACTCAGAGTGCTCGATATGCTGCTCATCTTTGCTGTCATTGCCCTTCCCTGTGCCGAGAAGCTTCGCATCTGTGTCCCAGTATACCGCCAGAGAACCCAGTGTTGCGAGCTTGTGTGTCGAGACAGCGTTGCCCTGGATGAAGGTTGGCTTCCAGTTCTCGTCTGTGCTGATAGCGCTGAAGTCGGCGAGGGTGAGGCCTAGGGCGAAGGGATGCCCAGGGTCTGATATCGAGTCTTCGTATCGAATGTGGATGTTCTTGACGGTGACCTGAACGTTGTCGACGATAGCAGTCACCATGCTTGCGGTGAAGCTCTGGTTCTTCTGCTGCTCCTCAGCACTCATGCCTTCCGTGTTGCGCTCCTTCAGCAGTTCTGCACTGTCCAGCTTCTCCATCTTGACAGCGTGCGCTCGTCGCTCCTCCTCTTCTGCGTCGTAGTCTGCGTCTTCTTTGGGCGCTGCCAAGAGAAAGACATCCTCGATCTGCACCTTCAATGGCTTCCCTCGAAGATTCGACCATGGGATGGAGAGTGTGAGTGAGCCCAGGTGTCCTTCGACCACGTTGAGTGGTAGTCGCAGCTGATCGAGAGCTTCACGACGGAGCTCGAGATCTCTCAGCTTGACGTCACCAGACCAGATGCCAACGTTGAGCTGCTTGGGATCGAAGTTCTGGACATACATGCCCAAGAACCGATTGAGCAGGTTGGAAACGAGACCCTCGAGCATGTCGGCGGTGGATGACCGTTACCCGGGTCGGGGCGTAGAGGGAATGGGGATGCGAGGTATGCCGGGTCGAGAGAGGTTCGTTCGTTACGTCGTGAGACTTCGTTCAGTCATGGAGCTCGTGCGGCGATGCAAATTCAATGCGAGGTTGGGTATCGTAAACCGTACGTAAACCGTATAAACAAAGCGGGGTGCACGCAGAGTACCGTGTCGAGCTTTGCCTGTGCTGCGGGATGCGTCGAGCACTAATGTTCAAACAAGAGTCGCAAGGAGAGCGGGGAAATGAAAAGACGCTCGCAAGCAGCAGCCCGTTGATGAGACACGGTGACAGTCTGGAAGCACGCATACAAGACAGCCAGGTGGAGCCCAGCGATCGCTGCAAGGCAGCTGCAGCCCGCAATGCATGACGTATGAGCTGCTAAAAGTCCATCCCGCGTCACATGAGATTTTCTGAGGAGCGGCTGGAGTGAATTGTGATTCGCTGCATCTTGACCCCAGTCGCGTTTTCTCGTGTCCAAGCGCCTGTCAATGGAGCGCATTGAACTCTACCAAAGTTCGTGACCCATTCCATTGTTGCTCCAAAGTACAGCCAGGAGGTCGTTAATACCGCGAGAGAGTCACTCGTTCGAAACATCAGGTTCATCAACCTCAATCAGTAGCTTCAAGCGCTTCCAGCGCTTCCAGCGCTTCCAGTGCAATTGCGCCCACGACCGCACCACCCATTCATCATGTGGCCCTTCTCAAGCTCAGGCACAGACAGCGCACCGAAGCTCGTGATGGCGCCCGCGACCGAACAACAAGTCCAGCTCCTCCCAGCAACAGGACAAGCCCCCCGCACCGCACAATCGCAATACACCACACCACCGCCCTCGAACCCTCGCGCAGCGCCCTCCTCCGCACCACACGACCCCGACTTCTACGCCGCGCATCCCCACCTCACGCCTCCCTCGGCCTCCACACCCACATCCACATCCACACCGGACACAACCCCCACGCCCTCTCCTCAAGCAGAGGAATTCGACCCCACCCTCCCCCGCAGCATGTCCTGCCGCGCCGCCTTCGACAGCGCCTTCTACTGCTCCTCCCTGGGCGGGCACTTCAACGACATCTACCGGTACGGGCAACTGCGCTCATGCAGCGAGCACTGGAATGATTTCTGGTTCTGCATGAGGACGAAGAACAGCTACTCGGGCCCGGAGGTCAAGGAGAGGTTGATTCAGGAGCGGTATGCGGAGAAGGAGAGACTGTTGAAGGAGAGGCCGAATAGTGAGGATGTGTGGAGACGGAGGGGGCCGGGGGAGGAGGTTAGGGAGCCTTTTGCGTTGGCGGGGAAGGAGTAGGATGGGAGCGGTGTATGATATGGGATCGGAGATGGAGATGTAAGATACAGTAGGACCACATGGGATGGCAACAGACAAAAACTCGGTACTGAGTGCCAGTGGACAGAGATCTGGTGACACTTTGTAGTCACGCCTGTGACAAACTAGATTTGTTAAATATCTGGAGAGTGATAAGATTTTACGATGCCTACATGCTTCTGCAGATTCTTAGACAGGATGTAGTCGATTCATCCTCAAACGCGCACATTGCCTCTCACGCAAAGGGTTGCTACAACTTATTCAAATCCAGCATCGACAGGATGGAAAGGCGCTGTGATGGCTACAAGATAATCACAAAGCCGTCGAATGCAACCGCCGTCGACGCCTCGTAAGCAAAATATCAAAACATTGTAGGTAGGTGGTCAGTAGAAAAGCATAAATGCAAGAGAGAGCAGACATCACAAGCAAAAGGAACAGATGTTGAAGTTATTAAGTGGATTCTACTCGGGATATATCCTCACATGCATTCCACCACCAAACTTTTCCAGTCATTATCGTAACTCGTCTGATGCAAAAGAAACCGTGAAAGAGCCTTCATGGCCATGAACTCCGAAGACCGCCTAAAAGAAGAAGTCTATGCTCAGAAGAAAGGAGACAAAAGAAGACGACTCAAGGGAGCGATCCGCTTAGTCGACCTCCTCAACGGTGGGGCCGTCATCGCCGCCAGCGCCGGGAGCGGCACCGCCGGGAGCACCACCGGGCATACCGCCGGGCATGCCACCCTCACCACCAGCACCGTAGAACTTCATCATGATAGGGTTGGCGACACCCTCAAGCTCCTTCTGCTGGGATTCGTACTCATCCTTGGTAGCGGTCTGGTTGTCGTCCAACCAAGCAACGGTCTTGTCGATCTCGGCCTTGAGCTTCTCCTTGTCGCCGGCATCAAGCTTCTCGTCGACCTTGGAGTCGGAGAGAGTGTTGCGGAGGGAGTAAGCGTAGGACTCGAGGGCGTTCTTAGCGGAGATACGGGAAGCCTCGGCCTCATCCTCAGCCTTGTACTTCTCGGCCTCAGCAAGCATGCGCTCGATTTCGTCCTTGGAGAGACGGCCTTTATCGTTGGTGATGACGATCTTGTTGGTCTTTCCGGTACCCTTCTCGAGAGCGGAGACGTTCATGATACCGTTGGCATCAACATCGAAGGTGACCTCGATCTGAGGGACACCACGGGGCGCAGGTGGGATACCAGTGAGCTCGAACTTGCCGAGCAAGTTGTTGTCCTTTGTGCGAGCACGCTCACCCTCGTAGACCTGGATGAGCACACCAGGCTGGTTGTCGCTGAAGGTGGAGAAGACCTCGGACTTCTTGGTGGGAATGGTGGTGTTGCGCTTGATGAGAGCAGTCATGACACCACCAGCAGTCTCGATACCGAGAGACAGCGGCGAAACGTCGAGCAGGAGGATCTCGTTGGTAGACTTGGAGGATGTATCACCAGACAGGATAGCGGCCTGGACGGCGGCACCGTAGGCAACAGCCTCATCGGGGTTGATAGACTTGTTGGGCTCCTTGCCGTTGAAGAAGTCGGAGACCATCTTCTGGACCTTGGGGATACGGGTGGAACCACCAACGAGAACGATCTCGTGAACGGAGGACTTGTCGATCTTAGCATCGCGGAGGACACGCTCGACGGGCTCCATAGTGGAGCGGAAGAGGTCCTGGCAGAGCTCCTCGAAACGAGCACGGGTGATCGAGGTGTAGAAATCGATACCCTCGAACAGGGAGTCGATCTCGATGGAGGTCTGAGCAGAGGAAGAAAGGGTGCGCTTGGCACGCTCGCAAGCGGTGCGGAGACGACGGAGAGCACGAGCGTTGGAGGTTAAGTCCTAGCGTGGAGTTAGTCAATGAACTTTTGGATTTGAAAATGGAGGAGTAGTTACCTTCTTGTGCTTTCGCTTGAACTCATTGGTGAAGTGGTTGACGAGACGGTTGTCGAAGTCCTCACCACCCAAGTGAGTGTCACCGGCGGTGGACTTGACCTCGAAGATACCCTCCTCAATGGTCAAGAGGGAGACATCGAATGTACCACCACCCAAATCGAAGATGAGGACGTTGCGCTCACCCTCAGTCTTCTTGTCAAGACCGTAGGCGATGGCAGCGGCTGTGGGCTCGTTGATGATACGGAGGACGTTGAGGCCAGCAATGAGACCAGCATCCTTGGTAGCCTGACGTTGCGAGTCGTTGAAGTAGGCAGGGACTGTGACGACGGCGTTGTTGACGGTGCCACCGAGGTAGGACTCAGCGGTTTCCCTCATCTTGACGAGGACCATGGAGGAGATCTCCTCGGGTGTGAAGGTCTTCTCCTCGCCCTTGAACTCGACCTGGATGACAGGCTTGCCCGCCTTCTCGACAACCTTGAAGGGGAAGTGCTTCATATCGGCCTGAACCTCAGCATCGGCAAACTTGCGGCCAATAAGGCGCTTTGCGTCGAAGACTGTGTTGATAGGGTTCATAGCGACCTGGTTCTTCGCGGAGTCACCAATGAGGCGCTCTGTGTCGGTGAAGGCAACGAACGAGGGTGTTGTGCGGTTACCCTGGTCATTGGCAATGATTTCGATGCGGTCGTCACGGAAAATACCGACGCAAGAGTACGTGGTTCCGAGATCAATACCTGAAAGAATGTTAGCTGCTATTCAAAAAACTGTTGGCAAAAGGTATACGAACCGATAGCAGACATGATTGCGGTTGTGTGTAATGTGGGGTATCAAAGAAAAGAAACGCTGTTGAGTGCTCACAAGTCGGTGACTTGATTGAAGTGAGTCTTTGCTGTGGTGTTTGATAGTTGTTCTGAAGAAGTGGAAGAGCAACGGCGGGGTGGGCTTTTAAAAGCGGTGGGCAAGACAGATTTTTGTTAGAGAAGCGCGTGGAAACTCGCAGAACAAGAACACCACGGAAGCTTCTGGTTGGCGCGCACCCGCCGCGACCCACATCGAAACGCTGCCTGATTGTTGCTGGAGGCACTTAGCCTCGTCTCCTTCACACTAAAGGCGATTGCGGGCAGTTGCGCCGCTTTCGAGTCCTGTTGAAGCTTCCTGTGCATTCTTTCTGCTGCCATTCTTCTGCGGCAGCTCTGCGGTTGCTATGACGAAGTTTTACCCCACTATGTTCGTGCGCGGCCTAGTGAGAAGACCAGCCCCACGTCGCCACTTCACCAGATCTTTGACAGAAGTTGGTTGAAGAAAGCAACATCAAGCAACTTCGAGAACATCGTCGAGGGCGTCTCGTACGATCCTTGCGAATACCTACACGCTGTCGAAACAGCTAGCGTGCCTGCGAGGCTTCGATAATGGATTCAGCCTTGCGGCCTGACAGAGCACCGCCACAGAGACTGATTGTGGTTGACGTTTGCAGGCAAGCAGGTGTCCCTCGAAACACGAGCAAACACATTGGCCCCTTGTCGCAGAAAGTCACTGGCTCTGATGCTCGATTTCCGGTGTACAGTCTGGAGGTCTTCGGCAGATCTTAGACATTTGTCTGTTGTAGGTAAAACCATTTATAGCCCTTTGAGTGATTATCAATGTGCAACTTGACGTCCAGTCTACTGTGACTGTCTTCCAATATCTGAGAATTGTGGCCAAACAAACATCCATCAAATGCACGAGCAAGCAATACTGGGACAGCTGCATATTGATTGTCGGGTAGCCCCGTTGGCGACGGCGAGGCGTTGAAAACTTTACGATCAGCAATGCAACAGGTCGGTGACTACAAGTCACTCCAAGTTACGATCGGACTACCTCGTATGGGCTCAAGAGTGGGCTTATGGGATTTGAGCGCCTTGTTCATGGTCGCATACCTGCACTGGGTCTCCACACCTGAGTCTTAATTGCAATTGTGAGAGCGCTGATTGTGGTATGCAATGCTTGCTCCAGTTTCTACCGAGTACCTCCAGGGTAATGCGTCAAGCAGACTGCTTCGATGTGGTTCAGGTACTACAGCTCTGTACGCGTACAGCCTATCATGTAAGATTCATGCTGTTAAGGGCTTGGAGGTATAAGAATGTGCTTGAAAGGGGTCGGCACTAAGACAGGTCGACGTGACGGTGCAAGATTGTGACAGCAACAATCAACGATGATCACGAATCGGGGCGCACCGAAGACATCCAGCCTGCGCCTTCGTGTCAGTAAACTTTGGTGCACACTGCAGGGTATATATGTGCCTGATGTAGAAAGACTTGGCATCTCTCTCAAGAAACAAGTGTATCTTTGGGCCGACGTTTAATTCGGTCATTGACATGTGAGGGCTCGCATGTCAATATGACGTCCGACTTTGATTTGTGGCATGGTACGCAGATGTCTGGGTTTCATGGTCGTTCATTTGTGTGGAAGTGCTTTGTGGTGTTGCTCATTTGAACATTCAAAGTGGCTCTTCAAACCATATAAAAATTCAGATGGTCACAACAACAGATCCAATCAAGGAGAAAACCACAATGTCGATGGCACTCATTTAGAGCTACCACACGATAGATTCTGCTGCTATTTGAGACTATGTACATTTGTGAGTGCATTATTTTGAGCTTGCTGAGCATGGGCTTGGCACAGAGTGACAAAAAGGTGAAGCCTTTCACCTGATCGAACATGGAAGTGTACGCCCTTTATCTCAAGAAGAAAGTTTGTACTCCATTCAATGTTGCTATGTAACTTTTTGATGGACTAAGTTCTGTAAAAAAAAAAGTATTTGGAGTTTGAAGGAGATAAGGTGTACAGAAATGCCCATGCGCGAGCTGTGGTTCATCGCTGCATTTTGCAAACACATGTTCGGCGCAGACACATACCTATCTCGGGGAGGGTCACACTCGAGCCGCGCACTCAACGCAGATTCTGTGATAAACAAATGGGCCAACCTTGCGTAAATTTCCGCAGCTGGCGAAGCTTGACACGTGCATGACGTCAGATCGATTTGCGGGGATGAGAGCTCAATAGCTTGGTTGACAAGCTTGCCAGCCGCAGCTCGGAAGCTACAACAGACCTCCTCTTTTCCTGCTGTAGCGTTCAGTATCAATTCTTTGTCTCCTTCGTACCTTATAATATACCCAATTTCATCACAATGATTCGCAACGGTGCTACACGATTTGCGAGGTCGATGACCGCGCCCGCTGCGCGTCCATTCGCGTTAGCTCCACAGGCGGCCCCTGCGCATCAGTGGACAACACAGTTTGGATCTCTGGCTTCGCAGAGGCCACGGACATCGCAACTGGCACGCATAACGCCAATTAAGACTACAATTGCCCGCCGAAATATCACAAAAGAGCAACAGAAGGCCGAAGAGCGATATGCACATGAGAAGCTTGTACCTACACCAGAGACTGTCTCTACGACCAGCTCGATTCACCCATTCTTGTCTGAACAACAAACCCCTTCTCCTGAACCGGACGTTGATATGATGAAGGATGTGAAGAGCGATATGGTAAGTTGAAGATGCCGACGCCGCCTGGATGCTGCTGACCTTCCCAGGAAACTATTCGCGAAACCTTCAGCCTAAGAGAGGTGCCCAAAGAGGCCTACTACATGGGTCTCGCAGGCACAATTCCTTACCTCGGTACCTCGCTTGCTACTGTACTCTGCGCATACGAGATCAACCACTCTGTTGGAGGACAAGGCGTGATCCTTTCAGAGCACACAGCAACACACCTGCTTCACCTCCTCGAGCCTATTCAAATTGGTTACGGAGCCAGCGTATGACCATCGTTGTTTCACGATCTCAAAGAGCATTGCTGATACCTTACAGATCATCTCGTTCTTGGGCGCAATCCACTGGGGTCTGGAATGGGCCAAGTATGGAGGAGTGCACGGTTACCCTCGCTATGCTATTGGTGTCTTCGCTCCGATCGCTGGCTGGAGTGCGACCGTCATGCCTGTTGAGTACGCTCTGATTACTCAGTTCATGAGCTTCGTTGGTCTCTACTTTGTCGACACTCGTGCTGCTCTTAAGGGCTGGACACCCCCATGGTGTAAGTACACCCTGTCCGAGGCATTCAACTCACAGCTGCTGACTCAATTGCCATCACAGACCGTGAATACCGATTCATCCTGACCTTCATCGTCGGTGCCAGTATCGTGATCAGTCTAATCGGCCGTGGTGAGGTTTCTTCGAAGGTGGGGAGGATGCCGGGTGCTGCCGACCGCATTAAGGCACTCCGTGAGGGATCTCAAGACCAGCTTGCGGAGGAAGAAGAGGCCAGAATTGCTGCCAAGAAGGATGCAGCGGCCAGCGACGACAGGGATAAGCACTGAGTTCTGGGGATCGGCAGGATCCATTGTATTTGGGGGCACGGGGGTAGCATGTGACGAAAGCTTTCTGAGTCCTCGGCGGGACCATGCGACACACGCGGGCGTAATTGGACATGTATGGTTATACCTCGAGCTTTGACAGTAATTGCACGCCTGTTTCTAGTTAACAAGTGCCGTTACCGACGTTCCGAGCATGGGGTTTGAGGCTCTGCGATTGATAATGCCATTAAGTTTGGTTGTGGAGTGCGCGTGTTGATCGACCCACTGTATTGATATCACAATGATCAAGACGCGCGGATGGATTGCCTAGCTGCAAGTTTAGGCCCAGTTAGCAGGCGCAACAATCGACGATTGATGCTTGGAACAGACGAGAAGTCGCGAAGGACGGTTTACCCTTGTTAGCTTGCTTGAGGCTGAGATTTCAAGCATCCACCTGACGTTCCGCTCCCACGAATTGTTTCCCCTCATAGCTCAGGTCCCCCGCTTTCTCTACACCAACCCCTCATCGTCATAAGCCCACGCGCATTATCGTTGTCGCGTGCCGATTTGACTCCGAATACTTTGCGCGCCGTATGATGATCTCTTTGCCTTCATCTTGCACTGTCTTGTACTACTTTTTCTCAAGCCCTTAAATATTCCTACACCATAGCTCGGTGTTCTTTCGCGCGAACGGCGTCCCTCCTCGCGCATTTACGGCACAACCACCTCGGAACTTCAACAACCAATTGTACGCGACGCGCATACCGGAAAATCTCTAGTGCAAGCGGAAGAATTAGGTACTCCCCACTGCAATACAAAGCAGCAATTTACAAACGCCAAATTTCTACAACAACTATGGCGATTCAAGAGATCTCTGCGAAGAGCGCTGAGCCGCAGCCGGTGCCCAAGGAGCAGGTGACAGATGATTCACAAGAGCAGCTTCTCGACGAGGAGAAGCTCGGGAAAGTGTTCATTGGTTCAATCGATCAGGGAACCACAAGTACAAGATTCATTATCTTTGATGGCATGGGCGAGGTGAGTTTGTTGTTGCATGCGCCTAGAACAGCTGTGACTGACTTGCCGGTAGCCCGTTGCGCAACATCAGATCGAGTTCACTCAACATTACCCACAGTCGGGATGGCACGAGCATGATCCCTATGAGCTCGTCAGCTCTGTTGAGACATGTATAGAGAAGGCCACTGGCATCTTCGAGGACATGAACTACGACATCTCAGACATCAAAGCTATAGGAATCACCAACCAGCGTGAAACCACTGTCGTATGGGACACCAATACTGGTGAGCCACTTTACAACGCAATCGCATGGCCCGACACAAGAACCAAGGGGTTGGTGCGAGAGCTCAAGAACAGGGAAGGAGCGGACGAACTGCTTGGGTTGACTGGACTGCCGCTGTCTACATACCCAGCCTCGGTAAAGCTTGTTTGGCTCATCGACCATGTCGAGGAGGTCCGCAAAGCTTATGAGGAAGGTCGCTTATCGTTCGGTACTGTTGACACCTGGATTCTGTACAATCTGAACGGTGGAAAGGAGCGCGACATCCACGTCACGGACTGCACAAATGCATCGCGAACTATGTTCATGAACCTGCACACGGTACAATATGACGACAAACTTTTGGACTTCTTCAAGCTCGATCGCAAGAAGCTGAACCTGCCCAAGATTGTCCCATCGTCTTCCCCCGATGCTTTCGGTTCCCTCGCAAGAGGTATTCTTAAGGGTGTACGGATAGCTGGTTGTCTTGGTGACCAGTCGTCCGCATTGGTCGGCCAGCAAGGATTCACGCCTGGATCCGCGAAGAATACATATGGAACTGGTTGTTTCTTGCTGTACAATGTCGGTGAGAAGCCTGTCATCTCGAAACATGGCCTGCTCGCAACAATTGCATACGACTTCGGCGGAAAGCGCAAGCCTGTGTACGCCCTCGAGGGAAGTATAGCTGTCGCTGGTTCTGGTGTCAAGTTCCTGATGAACAACATGGGTTTCATCACACATTCGCACAAGATCAGTGACCTTGCAGCGAGTGTCGAGGACAATGGAGGCTGCGTTTTCGTTACAGCTTTCTCCGGCCTCTTCGCGCCCTACTGGATCGACGACGCGAAGGGCACAATTTTTGGTATCACACAGTTCACAGAGCAGGGTCACATTGCGCGAGCGACCCTCGAGGCCACATGCTTCCAGACCAAGGCCATTCTCGATGCCATGGAGCTGGACTCTGGGCATAAGCTTAACATGCTGGCTGTTGACGGTGGTATGAGTAACAGCAACCTCTGCATGCAGGTCAGTGCACCCATGACATCACAACGAGAGCTGAGCGCTAACTTTGTCCCCACAGACACAAGCGAACATCATCGGTATCCCAGTCGACCGCCCCGCTATGCGCGAAACCACAGCGCTCGGTGCCGCCATCGCGGCTGGCTTCGCAGTTGACGTATGGAAAGAGTTTGACGAGCTGAAGGAGATCAACCAGAAGGACCGCATGGTCTTCGAGCCCAACGTCAGCCAGGAGGAAGGTGCGAAGATGTTCAAGAAGTGGTAAGTTCGAGAAATCTGTTGCGTATGCCGGACAGAGCTAACGTTCTTTTCAGGGACCGTGCTGTACAGATGTGCAGAGGTTGGCTCGATGCCGACGAGGCTAACGGCGAGTTCTCGTAGTTTGTACATAGTTGAGCGCACTCATATATCCCAACGCATATTCTTATACCGTACACGATCGCTCAAGCATTGCTAAGACTCAGGAATATTAATCAAATCCCAGGTGCACATCTGGTCGTTGTCCCACACGAATTCGAAGCGAACAGCAGAGGCAATAACGGTACGAAAACGTTCGGTTTTCGAGATGCATCAACACCCAATGAGAGATTTGAGCAGCGCGAAGACGTGCAGGTCCGACAGCTTGCAGGCTCTTAAATAGCAGAAAGAGCCGGATGCAACCGCGCGTAGTCTAAGAATATGGGAGGCATTCTAGGCAAAACCAGAAGCTGCTTGCAAACCGATAAGGCTTAGAGGACTCCAACAACTTCTGCAGGTGAGTGCCCTTTTCCATGGACACTGCAGAGGGCAGGCGCACTTAACGGCTTGCATGCAGCGACAAGCAGTCCCAAGCACCCAGTGCAGCAACGACCGAGCCCAAGAAGTCCAATTCTGCGATACAAGATGAAGTCGAAGATGGCGCTGAAGATACACTCGACACGTCAGACATCAGGCCACCTGTCGCTCCCGGCAACGAACCCATTGTTTGATGCACGGTAGGCTCGCAATTGCTGAACAAGGTAAGCCCGCCGTGCCCGTTAAATTCAACAAGAATCACTTGAACATGCACGACAGCGCTCTGGTCAAGCCTTGGAGAGACCATGGTGATTAGATAGGCGTCTTTTGCGCCTTTCCAACTGCGGCTGAGTCCAGCTCAGTCCAGCTCTTATACGGCTCGATGTACGATGTCTCCAACCCATCAATTGCTCATCTCCTTATGAAGCTCGCTTTATATACCCGGGAAAAGGGACAGTGCACGGCTTACATCCAAAATATTTCCCTAAGGAGGCTGGATCGGAACAATTATCGCGAGTGTGGCGTGAACCAATGGAAGACGCCTCAGATATGCCTACCGAAATACCACAAGTCCTATTGGGAGGAGGTCAGCTGGGAAGCTTATGACCAACTCTCAGCGCCTTTCATGCTCTTGGTCGGCGTTTGGTCTCAGGACGTCTTCGCCGAGTTGGTCAAAGATGGGAGAATCTTTGCCACCGAGATCGCGGTACTGTGAGCGCCTACTAGACGACCCATTGGGTACTTCGAGTACACAATAACAGGCAACCTGAAAGGGGTGGTGCTGGTGGTGAACCACCCTGAAGCCTATGCCTGCTACCGCACTCGTGACGAGACTTCGCTGCCTTTGAGGCTGCACCTGGCAGCATTTCGGGAACGATTCTTCGACTTGGTCTTGATATATATGATTGACTCGTTTCCTCAGCCAGCATTTTTGTCCTCTGGCGCAATATTCCGCGATTTCAGGGCCGGGATCTTTGCGCCACCCAGTCTGTCCCGTGGCATTGTGTGAGAACTCATGAGTGAGTAAACTCGCTACCAAAGAATGTTCCACATTGTTGGCAAAGTGTCTTCAACTCTAGGTGGTTGGCAGTTTGTAGTGTGCGGGCCTTACCTAGTTACTGGAGGATCTGAGTACATTTGAGGCACAAAAAGATAGGGAATAGCTGACTGAAAGGTATAGACCAAAATGCAATAGCAAATCGTGGTAGAACATCGGCACAAAAGAGCTCAGCTGACCAGCTTTGAGGAGTAGGGGCCCAAAAAGTGTGGGGATCTGAGGGATGATGGGGTACATGAGGGGACATGTACCGATTCCGGGCAGCTATCGTAGACCCTGGAGATGTTCAGTAGGGTAGAGCAATTCAGTCGCCGACAAAGCGATGAGGCCTTTCTAGGTCTCCTGTGTGGTTTTGGCAGCTCTTTACTCAAGAAGCTGCTTCCTACTTGCTAGAGCATTGCGCAAGCTGGATATCGAAAAGGCCACATCGTGCGTGGATTCAGCATGCTCGATTTGGAGGAATGCAGTTCTGTCAAGTTGCTGTATTCATAAGGCGGCAACCAAACTGCATTGTTCCTTATCGTTTGATTGTTCTTGGAGAGAACCATGTGAATCAATGAAAAGTGGATGAAGAACGAAGGTGGTGAAGGTGGATGGCGTCAACGTCGGCGCACGGACTTGCCTCGGCCGGACTTTACAGCGGTGATGCTTACTACCTTCGTGATGCCTGCTGGAGCTTGATAGAAGCCACTCGAAGGCGACTTGCCTTTCACAGTCGCTCTTCCCGTCCTCCTTTTCACCACGGAGCCTTCCACTGATTCACCCATGCTGCAACCCGCAACCTTGACGTGTCGATAGCGCTCGGCTGGACCTCGAGTCCGCATCTACACATTCACCACGACTGCACATCATCAAGCCCATACAGTCTACAGACTGGAGGGCTCGCTTACCAACATTATCATAAATTGACCGTCGCTTGCTGAACTCACCCTTGGTTTCAGTATCGCCATCGACTGCCCGCATTCACAGACCCCGCCACCATGTTCACGAGCTTCACCGGCAACACACGGCGGCCACGTCAGGTCAATCTCTCAGGTCGTAAGACGAACCCGTTTGGTACACCTGGCACCGGCGCTGGATCGCAAGCCGCCCTGGACCGAGCGCAGCAAGAGCGCGCGCAGCGACAACGAGAGCGAGACACACTCAATGCGGCGAAGAAGATACAGAGAGTTTGGAGGGGCCATGCAAGCAGACGAAGGGTTGCCGACCAATTACGGAAAGAGTGGGACGCCGTGGAGGAGAAAGATTGCGATGTCGCCTCATCTTCGTTATACGATGGCGAGAGGGCTGCCTTGTCGCAGTTGCAACGGCTCCTGCGATTCGCGTCTACGCGGAATGAGCAAGATCTAGAACGAATACGACACTACGGCGACCGACTGCAATTGACGGTAGAACTGGAGGGCCAAGTCCAAGACTCATCGTGGCCATCGGCATATCTGAAGTTGGAGAAGTTGCTGCTGGCAGCTTTGCAGCGGAAGAACAAGGGCCCAATATCTTGGTGGTATAAGCCGCACGCAAACCTCGTCTCCATACTGCAGTTCGTTGCAGGACAAATTCCCGCCGAGACGTCTCAGCATGCAAAGTTCTACTACCACACCCTCGCCGAAACCGTATCGAAGCTCGCACCAACTCTGGCAGACTCGTCAAAGGTTGGAGATGTACAAGATAGCCATGCAGAAGCCATCAACTGGAGATCTTGGGAGGTCCTTCTTCATACAATTCTCGTGCCACTCAAAGCGGTGACCGGGTACACACTGGATGCATACGAAGCTTTCGGTCACATCTTCATGACCCTTCCGCTGCTGAGCTCTGACTCGACTTCGCCTTTCATACGCAGGTTCAGAGATTCTCTCGCTGAGTCCATTAATTACAAACTACTCGCCAGTGCACTAGCCACATCGTTCAAGGACCCAGGTCTACAAACACTCCGCCAGCTGAAGAGCTCCACTAGCCGGCTACGGTTGCTTGGGCTGTTCATCTACCTCCATCGATACGCGCACAACTTCAATTCGCCAGAGGCCTATGCCATATACCAAGACTTTGTTACAGTAGTATCTCTGCTGTTGAATTCGCTTCCAGTTAGTATCCTTGGCGACGAAGACTCCGTCATAGACCTCACAGACGAAGACGACTTGGCTGTGGACAAAGTCACACAATTTTTGAAAGAGCAAGTGCAGTCATTAGTCAACCAAGAAGGAATTGGGAGTCTTCTGGCTGGGTCGTCGCAGGCTTCTGGAACTTCAGAAGACGAAAAGATCGAAGAGGCAAGGCAGCTGGCAAATTATGCTCTCGCATTGCTTCGCTTCTTCCCTAGAAGAGGTGATGAGATACGTATGTGGCTGTACATTGGCCCTTCAGACAAGAAGGACGGTGGACGGAAGTCGCCGGCAATCAAATACTTCTGGGAGGCTTCAAAGCGTTCATCGGTGTTTGCGACCATCTTCCGCGACTCACGCGCAGCAATTGAGCTTTTGAAGACGAAGACGTCAGACTCCAGCGCATCAGGCTTGACGCAGCATGGTTTCTGGCAACCAGCGCAACAAGAGATCAACCGCGAAGCAGCCATTGCCGATGAGTGGAGAGTGATACTCGTTTTCCTTGAGTTGTATACTTTCGTATTGAAAGTTACGGATGACGAGGAGTTCTTCTCTGCGGGACAACAAGACAGTTTCACAAGCCAAGGCCGTGACAGTGGTCTCCCCCTGTCCGAAGTAAAGGACCTGACGACGTTTCTGAAGAACCTGGGGTTTACCCTTTACTTCAACGCAGCGGATATCACTCCAACAGAGGAGCGCGCAACTACGAGTACCGGCCTCAACTTCTACAACCATCAGGTTGTGGAGAGTCAGGCCACTAAGGAAGCCCAAGAACCTTCTGTTGGTGGTGTCGCAGGTCTCAGTCTCGACTATGTCAAAGGCCTGGTCACTGGGCTCCTGCGCATGGTGTACGAGAGAGACTCACGACGCACATTCCTACCCGCTGACCATTGGCTGATGACTTCACGCTTTGACATGACTGGCTTCATTCCAGCTGTGGTGGAGGAGGAAGAGTCACGGCACAAGATCCAGGACGAAGATGCCGACGACGTGGACGAGGAGGAAGAGGATTTCGACGACACACCGCAACTGATCGGTACGAGCCGAGTACAACAGCAGCGTAGGTTGGAGAGGTTACAACGGCAGCAGCGCAAGGCTTCACGGAGAAGGTATCTGCAGGCTGTCGCACCGCGTCTGGAGATCTTGCAGAACATGCCATTCTTCATCCCGTTCACAACCCGAGTGAAGATCTTCCGCGAATTCGTACACCTTGACATGACCAAGCGTAGGAACACCGCCGATCCTGAAGCTTGGCGGGCAAGGATCATGTTCGGTGGCGGGCCGGGTGACAAGCACTCTGCAAGAATTCGCCGCGACAATGAGTTCGAGGACGCCTACGAGCAGTTCTACTCGTTAGGGCAAGGACTGAAAGAGCCTATACAGATCACCTTCGTCGACCAATTTGACGCACCTGAGGCTGGTATCGATGGCGGCGGTGTGACGAAAGAGTTTCTAACCAGCGTCACGAATCGCGCTTTCATGCCTACAGACTCTGTCGATATGTTTGTCGAGAACGATCAGCACCTTCTCTATCCAAATCCTGCAGCAGTTGAAGAGCATAAGGAGCAGTTGAAGCAATTTGGATTACGTGAGAACTCGCCAGAGTTCCGACTACAGATCACTGAACTACTTCATCGATACGAGTTTCTAGGCCGAATCATCGGTAAATGCTTGTACGAAGGCATCTTGGTGGATGTCAACTTCGCGCCCTTCTTCCTCCGCAAGTGGGCGCTCACAGGAGGCACTGGTTCTGCACCCAATGAATCTGGCTACCGCCCTACACTCAATGACCTCCGTGATCTCGACGAAGAGCTCTACCAAGGCCTCCACAAGCTCAAGACCTACCCCGGCGATGTCGAAGACTTCTCCCTCAATTTCACCGTCACTGATACTGTCGTCACCGACCACACCACCTTCCCCAAGAAAACAAAAGCCATCACCAAAGACCTCAGACCCGGCGGCGCAGACATAGCAGTCACCAACCAAAACCGCCTCGTCTATATCAGCTACATGGCACGCCACCGCCTGCAAAATCAGCCCTACCTGCAAACCACGGCCTTCCTGCGCGGCCTCAGCACCATGATCCAACCCTCCTGGCTCTCCATGTTCAACCACTCAGAACTCCAGACCCTGATCTCAGGTACCCGCACACAAATCGACGTCGAAGACCTGCGCCGCAACACCATCTACGGCGGCACATATGTCATCGGCGACGACGGGCTCGAGCACCCCACCATCCAACTCTTCTGGAAGATTATGAAGGATATCAGCGACGATGAGCGGCGCGCGGTCCTCAAGTTCGTGACCAGTACGCCGCGAGCGCCGCTTCTGGGGTTCAGCACGCTGAACCCGAGGTTCAGTATTAGAGATGGAGGGAGTGATCAGGAGAGGCTGCCGAGTACGAGTACGTGTGTTAATCTGCTCAAGTTGCCGATGTATAGGGATTATGCGGTGCTGAAGGAGAAGCTGCTGTATAGTGTGTTTAGTGGGGCTGGGTTTGATTTGAGCTAGGTGGTGCGTGGGTGGATGACAGAGATACATGGTAGATGAGTGATTGCAATGATGAGTATGAACGTCTGGATATTGTCATTGACCAAAGTGATAATGTTGACGGGGCACGTGATGCAACACTGAGAGTGGTCTTGATGCTAATCACATGTTTGCCACCGCTTGGACGGGGCAAGTGCCTGGGGAGATGCAAGCGCTACCAGGGCTAATGATTCTAAAGTGGCTGTAATGACTGCTAATCCAGTATTGTAGACGCAGTAGATGCAGCTTACCAACCCATGCACACTGTTCGCACAATTGTTATTTGCATCTTGCTCACTGTAACGGCGGGAGCTGCAGAGTCCGAGAAGGAGCAGAGTGTGTTCTTGGGCGTCACGGCGCGCGCGGACGGAGGGCTGGTGTCTACACATGTCTATCTAGTGTATTGGAAACATCTCCAAAAAATGGCCATATTCCCGGTGGTACCCTATATGTTGGTGTGCGGCGCGTACAACGAACCAAGGGACTCCAGTACAATAATCATACTTGAAGAGGTAAATCACAAGCTCGTTGCGACTACTCAATTCCAAATCATGCGCTCTTATATATGCCGATCAGTCATATACGGGTTGCAACAGCTCGCAAGTTTGGGTGCGTTCCAAAAGGCTGGAACGCTTATGGTGCTGCTGCTCTTTTGGGATAGTCATCCTTGATTGGCGCTGACCTTTTGACATCTGGCCTGATTTCAGGAAGCAAACCAGTGGTGATATTTTTGTAGTTGGCCGAGTGGAGATGTAGCATGCACGCCATTAACTGACAGCACACGCCAAGAGAATTCTCCCAGTTGGACGAGCACTGTGTAGCCGATAAGAGAGCACGGTGCCACTAGTGCACCTCGTGAAGAGGAGAGAGCGCATTCCCAACCAGCAACACGGACGTTGCAATCACACACACTGAAGGCTGCAGGGCTACGGTTGCACAAGTTTCGATATGGAATTTCATACACCGCAAATTGAGAAGAGCCCAGAAGCTGTGAGTGGCCTGCCCTTCCGGATCCCATCCACCAATGCCATTGCATCGCAAATGCAACGAGCCGCCCACCAATCACAAAGCCATCATGACCGTTAGTAGTCTCGAGTTTCCCCATTTGTTTGACGTCATATTCGCAAACTTCGGCAAGGGACGAGGCAGTTCGTCGCACCGGTATTCACTAGGTCCAAAGCCTTCGAATTCGTCTCGAAGCTTGTGATTGGTCCGTCGCGGAAGGCCCGGGGAGAAGAACACCAGCTCAGGTAGGAGAAGAGCGTGTCTGCACATAAATGCTGTTCCGACAAACAGAAAGCTAATGGTGGAAAGTGAGGCTCAAACAATGCAGGGACATCGCAGGCTGCCGGAGGGTCAGAGGTTGTCAAAAGTCATCAATCTCCTAAGTTGGTCGCAGCACAACGACGATCGGGCGCACACCTGGCTGGGCGCTGATTGCCAGAGACAAAATTGCCGGATCCTCCAGCCTTGTCTTCAGGCAAAGACAAGGCTTTGGGAAACACTGAATCGGAAACCCCCATGTTCAGGAACGTGTCCCTCCTCTTAAGGACCCGTAGCGGCGATGTGTGTGTGCATCGAGATCGCGGATGCAAGTGGCCCCGCAAGAGCAACTTTTCGCATCGAGGCACCCAACGTCGTCTTAACGTGCCTTCGTGGCCTCCTCCAACGTCCTTTGCCTCCGTTTGCGATTTTGCGTCGGTGAGGACCACTTGAGCGCCCAATTCCCCCAGGACTTCCCGGGATGGCCTTCAGACCGGTCCAGACAACCACGCGACACAGGAACTGTTGCTCACTCGCCCTAGTCTGTGGCTAGACGCTTATCAGACCATTCACAGCAATTCCCACCCAAAACCAAAACATATTGCGGCAGCAGTGACACAACACCAGCCACAATACTCCAGTCTCTCTCGATTTCGCAATACTTTCGTCAAGATTCTTTTGCTTCAGATGGTGGAGGTTCCTCGGCCCCGCCTTTGATTCGATGTTTCCCGCCAACAATCAGCGTGCATCCTTTTTTCCCAGGGCTGATGCAGCTGTATTGCGTTCGAAGCATGCCGCCCCGGCGGAGCGACCAAGTGAGACAGCACCCATCTTCGACGCCGACAATGCCACCAAGGCTCTGGATATCTGGTCCGTCGAGTTTGCAGAGCGCGTCTATCCTGGTCGGACAGATGTCTGGGCTCCAGCAACAATACCAGATCGGCCGTCGATGCAATGTGCGACCGACCAGTACTTGTTCCCTGTCCTAACACGTAACGAGAGGTTACGTCTTACGATGCTATTTTACTATACTCGAGGCGCACTTGAGGACGACGAGCTTCAGTCAAAACTGCAAGAGAAGGTTTACCTGGCGAGGGACACAGTGGGATGGGAGTTCGTCATTGCCGGACTTCTTAATCACAACACATACACCCGTATGGTAACTGTCGGTCTTCCTTTGGCTGTGCTACCCCGCCGTGAAAGCACTTGCGCCCACACAGTCAACCAGCCACCAGGTGTAAGTTGTCATACCGTCCTCACTGATCCACGTTGAGACAATTGCAGGCGATATTCACCCTACTCAATATGACTGACGACTGGCGGTTCCGGGAGTCCCCTCATGTGGAGGTTGGTGGTCTTCGCGCGTACGCTGGTGCCCCTTTGCGATTTGAGACCGAGTTCGGCGAGCATGTTGCGTTTGGATCATTGTGTGTTGCGTCGAATTCAGCACAGGAGCCGCTTCGGAAAGAGCAGCAGAGATCCTTGGCACGCCTGGCGGATTGGATTGTTGCTGACATCGTTCATGCCCACCGAGCCAGACGCCAGAAGGAACGACGCCAAATGCTGGATCGTCTTGCACAGTTGCAGAAGCTACTGGAAACGGACCATAACCTAGAGGAGGCTGTCAAAGATTTGCTTCACGAGATGTATCCAGGGACTCTGGTCAAGATCATGCAAACGCAAGATGACATACTTCACCTTGGGGATGGGACGAGTGTGCCGATAGTGGATATCGAGCATGGATTGTGGGAAGATAGCGACTACTTCAACTACATGATCGAGCACCTCAATCACCAGGAACCGGTAGCACACAGGTCGATACGGACCGTACTTTCGCAGTGCGCAAGCCAACGGATACCGACTTACCTTGTTGTAGGCTCGAAAGATTTCCGGCACGTGTACGACGATATCGACGCATGGTTCATACAGATGTGTGCGACTTCCTTGTGCCGCTACTGGCAGGACCGGGCGCTTAAAGAGGCTATAAGGGCAAAAGAGACGTTCCTTCGTGGAATTACGCATCAGCTTCGAACGCCCATACACGGTATTCTAGGGTCGGTCGATCTTCTTACCGAAGAGTTGAAGTCACGCAACGTAGTCAGCGCGACTGCTGAGTCGACACCTGACGTAACACCCAATGATGAGCATATCAGCCCGCTAGACCCTTACGTATACATCAAGACCATACGGACGTCTGCGCGGGAGCTGATCTCGACCGTCAACAGTCTTATCAAGCTCAACCAATGGGCCGACGTTGCAGAAGCGCAACGAGTTGTCACAACGCACACAATTGAAGAAATCGAGGCGGCACTACTTACCGAGCTCACACTCTGCTTGCCTGATGACGTAACTTTGCGGCCATCCCTCATACTGAACCACCGAGTACCCGACCGCTGCGATACTATATCCTTGGACCTGCGCCTACTCGTCGACTGCATCCAACCTCTCCTGCAGAATGCGATCCAGAACACTGCTGGCGGTGTTGTGGTAGTGACGATCACCGTCACTGAAGACTTTCGCTCGATGGTAGTCGATGTCAAGGATAATGGGTGCGGAATAAAACTGGAAAATCAACGAAGAATCTTCGACGCTTACGAGAAGGTCGACAATCACACCACCGATGCCGGACTTGGTCTGACGTTGGCCGGGAAACTGGCCACCCTGATGAACGGCTATGTCACTTTGGTGTCGTCCGAAGTTGGTAAAGGATCACATTTTCGTGTTGCTTTCAACGATCCCACGTGCGCCTCCTCGCTCTCGCCGAACCGGAGAGAGTTCACACATCTGCCGCATGTGTTCAATAGGCTTCCCGCGGAAGACCTTACATCGCTGCTTGGCAACAATTTTGCAGAATACCTCACCGAGCTAGGATACACAGAATCTCAGAGTCCATCAGAGCCACTACTTATATTGGGCTACACGCGCGACCTTACAAAGCTGTACGAGACTACAAAACAAGTAAGTGACGACCAAGTCGCTATCTGTCTCGTACCTGAGAACGATCTGGTCATCAACTTCGCCGGACAGCGATATCTGCGGGACAGCAACGTCATCTACACGAAGGGTCCGTTCACGTCACGCACCATCGGGGACGTACTTGCAGAAGCCGACGCTGTCTTCGCCGAACATGTGACAGCGAAAGCAACTCAGCCAATCCTGCTCGAAGGCGGCATCTCCCTCGAACCGACTCCACCAGCAACACCCGCATGCAACGCGCTCGAAGACGACCCTAATTTTACAGCCCCCGACCTCATACACCGCAGTTCCATCTTTCCCAAACAAACCGTCGAAGAGGAACTCGCCAAATCCGTCTCCGCCCTGCGCATCGCTCAAAATCCCATCCCCCCTCCACCTCGCTCGAACAAACCAATGACTCTCCTCGTCGACGACAACGCAGTCAATCTACGCCTACTGGCAATGTACTGCAACCGCCGCGGCATCCCATACTGTACTGCCACCGACGGCGCGCAAGCCGTGAAACTCTTCACCGAGCACCGCTCCCCCGCGGACTTGACACCAACACCCTCGCGCACACATCCTTGGCTCCTCGCTAAAGAGACGATCGCTGGATCTTCGATTGCACATCCGCCTACACTCCGGCCGTTCGAGCTTGTGTTAATGGACTTGCAGATGCCTGTCTGCGACGGCATTGGTGCGACGAGTCAGATTCGCGAGCTGGAGAAGGAGTATGGGTGGGATAAGAGCGTCATTTTCATTGTGACGGGGCAGGATAGTCCGAGTGATCGGGCGAATGCGCAGAAGGCGGGGAGTGATGGGTATCTGGTTAAACCGGTGGGACCGAAGGTGCTGGATAGCGGGGTGAAGCAGTGGTTTCCTGACGCGGAGGTTGGGTGATCGGCCAGGATTGCAGGTTCTAGGAGAACACGGTCTAATTGGGAAGAGAGGAAAGCATAACAGGCATTGCATAGCATGGCGAGGCGTTTTGGTGTTTGGAAAACTAGGAAGCGGCATAGGAATATACCCAATAATAATTTCTTCACCCTCCGCACCATCATTCTCAAAACCTCAATATACATCGATTTGGTACATATGTATGTACAGGCTCAGGGAAAGAACCGCTGCGGGCCTAGGCTCAGAGCAGACACGAGAGCGTAGTTCGTCTCGGAGGATTTCGTTACGAAGAGCGATGTTGGGCATACAAAGGCCGTTGCAGCCGGTACGCAAAGACACATACAGAAAATTACTCAACATCACGACCCAAGACGGTTCGGTCCGTTAGACGTACACCATGCTCATGTCCGACGCACACTCTTTTCCTTGTACCGGCACAAAGGAAGCGAAGAGAGCTCACGTCGCTGCTTGAACTCTGGATAGTCGAGCACTGTTAGAGGACGACGCGGACCAGGTCCAGAACACGCAACAACATTGCATTTGACCCCAACCAAAGCGGAAGATTGGGACAGCGTTGAGAGGAAAGCGAACCAGGTTGTGATATTCCTTGGTGAACGAAATGAAAGCAATCACGATTCTTCGTGTTTCGTCGATAAGACAGAGATGCCAAGTCTTTTAGCAAGCGCCTTTGTTAGGCATCACCTCCTCTGTCGTCCCTAGGAGACGTTCTGGTGACGAGGTATCGGATGAACGCCTCCTGCACACACGGAATCCCTTCTGGGCCCGAAACTGCCCGCGTAACTACGACTCTCAAACACTATCTTCTCGGCATATATGTCTTCCCGTCCCGGCGTCAAACAGGCGAGTTGATACTCTCGTATACAATTGATGGTGAAGGCTTGTTCGGGAAATTGCTGTGCCGCGACCCAGAAACCTGAATGTAGTATGAGTGCACCCGTCGCTGTGACCAATAAGTTGAATGGAAGTCGATCACGAGTCGGTACGTTAATCGGCATTCCGATGAAAGTAGGAAGATTGAGAAGTCGTGAACAAGTCTTATAACGCCCATCTATCATGCCGCCATACCCAAAACCAGTACCCAGCACACCTCAACGCCCATCATCAATCATGCAGTCCTATGCATTTCGTGCCCAAAAACCCTCAACGGCGACCATAAACACTGTCCTCCTTCCTCTCCTTCCTAAACCCCAAACTCCCCGCCTTCCGCGCGGGACGTGGCGCCGTCGTCTCGCCCCTTCCGCCAACCTCAGCACTCTCAAGCACCCTCCTCTTAGCGAAGATGTCCTGCTCCTCTGCCTGATCCACGTTTGTATGATCATACTCCGCCTCCCTCTTGAACAAGTTCAAAATATCCTTCATACTCAACTTGCCGATGGCTTTGCCGCCCTCAATAGCCGCCTGCGCGAGTTTCCTTTTCGCTTCCTGCAGCTCGAGAATTCGCTCTTCGACGGAGTTGTGGATGGAGAGACGGTACACGGTTACGTCGACGGTTTGATTGAGGCGGTGGACGCGGTCTATTGCTTGTTCCTCGACGAACTGTCGTGCGTTAGTGTGTATTTCGGCATATTGGGGAGGTTGGAGAGGGAAGACTTACGGGGTTCCAAAATGGTTCCATGATGACCACACGGCTGGCGGCTGTGAGGTTGAGACCCAAGCTTCCGCACTTGAGACTACACAGCAGCACCCTGGTGCGCTTGTCTTCGCGCAGCTTCTGCAGGCTGGCTTCGCGCAGGTCGTTCCGCATACTGCCGTCGTAACGCGTAAAGTTGAAGTCTGCGCGCTTGAGGAACGGTTCGATGAGGTCGAGCATGGAAGTGAACTGCGAGAAAACGATGACTTTGTGGTCGGGTGTTTCTTTCTCGAGGATCTGGAGGAGTTGGCGGATTTTGGTTGAGGGGACGAGGTCTGAGGTGTTGTAGTCGGAGTCGGACTCTTCGGTCTCGGAAGCTGAGGCGTCTTCGTCGTCTGAGCCCGAGTCTGACGCGGAGTCTGCTTCTGTAGCTGAATCGTCCTCGTTGTCGGACACGAGGTTGACGGTTCGTGGCTTTGAGTTCGTGAACAACTTCTTGCGGACCACCGGCGCCTCGTCCTCGCTGTCGGTGTCATGCACGATGAAAGAGTCAAGGTTGCTCTTGCTATCATCGACACTCACGGATGCTTGAGAGTCGATGGATGCCAGTGTATCTCCACCGCCTTCAGCATCCTCATCGTCTGTGCCACCGGCCTTGCCCAGGAGTTCAGAATGTTGCTGGTCCTCAGGCACTAGCCATTCGCCCTCTTCTTCTTCTTCTTCTTCTTCTTCTTCTTCTTCTTCTTCTTCTTCTTCGTCATCGCTGTCTACGACGACGCGGCGCTGGCGAGACGACTTTGCGGGTCGGACTACATGGTCTTCTTCATCATCTTCGTCATGGTCCTCGATGACTAGTGGCTTGGAAGGCTTCTTAATCTTGTCGGACTCGTGCTTGTCTTTGCGAGGCTTCTTCTTGTGCTTCTTTGACTTCTTTGACGAAACATTGAGATCCTCCTCACAGTCGTTGCAACGAATGGCACCATTCGCGGCGTTGTCGCGATTCAGTGTGCGTTGACACAGGTCACAGCGTTTGGTCGCAACACTCAAGCCGCCCAGCAGATCCGCAAGATCATCAGCATCGTCGCCCTTGGAGGCCTTGCGAGGGGTCTGGAAACCGGTCTGAGGTCCTTGCTTCGATCCGGTAGTCAGCGCATCCTTATCGTCCTTGACATTGCTCTTGGTAAGGTTAGGGTGATTGCAAGCTTGTCGCAGACGAAGCAGCAACACCAAAGCCCCAATGTAATCCTGCTTCTCACCACCCATGAGCTCCTCGAGGCGGTCCTGCGCACGCGTAGATAGGCGATCGTAGAACGCGCGCTCTTTGGCCGTGAACTCTCCTATGATGGTCTCGACGTTTCGCGCAACGATCTGGAAGGCTGGTTTCTCTGCGCCGTCCTTGGCCTTGCCGCCGAAAGTCAGCGCTCTGTCCTTCTTGAGCACGTCCTTGGTTCGGCGCTTCATGAAAGCCTTGAGGAAGATCTGCAGTCGTCGCATAGCAAGGTTGCCACGACCGTTCTTCATGGGACCAGTGATGGAGTCTTTCCAACTCGACATCTCACAATAGGGCTGGATGCGGAGGAACTTGATCAGACTCTGCAGCTCATCGAGATTGTTCTGCATTGGTGTGCCGGTCAGACACCAGCGGTAATGCGAACGAACCTCGTAGCAGGCCTTGGTCATCTTCGCGTTGCGGTTCTTGATGGTGTGTGCCTCGTCGAGCATCATGCGGTACCAGTGCACGGCAAAGCAACCCTTCTTGAGGCCGTCAGGGCCGTCTCCGCATTGGGCATGCTCGGATGCAAGGACTTGGTAGGTTGTGATGACAACATCATACTGCTTGAGCTTGTCGGCCGACTTTGTGCGGTTGGGGCCGTGGTGGACCAGAACCTTGAGTGCGTGAGACTTTGCGACCTTGGTGTTGATCTCAGACTCCCACTGCTTGATCAGTGCCAACGGAGCGACGACGAGCGTGCCCTTGCCGACAACATCCAGGATCTTGTTCTTCTTGTTCTCTGGCTCGGCGCCCTTCTCCGGTCGAGGGTTCGATAGGATGAGGGCCATCGACTGCACAGTCTTTCCCAGACCCATGTCGTCGGCCAAGACTCCACCCTTGGGCAGCTTGCCTCGCTTGTTGTGTGCGCCGGTCTCCTTCTCAATCATCCACGCGACACCATCGACTTGATGTGGCAACAGGCTGACCTTGAGACCGTCAACAAAGCCGTCGTCCTCCTCATCGTCTGCCTCCTCCTCCCCCTCCCCCTCGTCCTTGGGCTCAGCCTTGGCTTCCTCGTCCTGAACTTCCAGCGCCTTAAGCCGGTCGGCCAGCGAGTTCGCAGCATCCTTCGCCTGTTGCTTCTTCTTCTTTCGCCCTCGTGTGCGAGGAATCTTCTCGTCGTCCCCGTCCAACGCACCCTCAAGGAGCGCTTTGATGTTCTCACTCGCTTGTCCCTGATCGACGTAGGCGTCCAGGTCGGGTGCGCCGAATCGGCCGCGGTCTGCGAACACGGCTGCGTCAGGATCGAAGTCATCCTCGTCGTCCAGAATAACTGTCTTCCGGGCGTCTTGCAGAGGGTTGTGCGCGCCCTTGTTCACCGGCTGGAAGCCGTTGCTGTGGCCGATGGACGAGTAGAGAGATCGCGGCGGCGGCTGTACGGTTTGCGCGGGCGGGTTGTATGGGCGGGGCACTGCTACGCTTTGCGACTGTCGGGGCTGAAAGCTGCTGGCCGGGATCTCGAAGAAGTCGTCATCGAGCGGTCGACCGAAAGCGTCTGTTTTGGCGGCGGGCTGCGGCTGTGCTGAGACAAACTGCGGGGGCTTGTATGATGGAAGAGTCTGCGGGTTGGGGACGCGGGCGGGTGCTTGGTGGTGCTCTGGCCTCGGCTGGCCAGGCCTGGGGACGTTGAACAGATGCGAATGCTTCGGCTTGTCTTGCCTGAGCGGGTTGCGTAGCGGACTGGCCTGGCCGAACTGCGGTGCTGCAATCCGCTCTTGCATGCCAGCAGAGGGTGCTGGCTTCTGCGCCTCAGGGCGCGGCGGCAGCGCTGTCGGCTCGCGCTCGCGCACCATCCTGGATTGCGTGCTGGGCGGAGGGGCGTATGGGCTGGAGGCCTCGTCGAACAGCGAGCTGGAATCGCCGTAGAAGGAGGATGCAGGCGTCGCAAGCGGGGCGTAGGCCGGCTTCTGGGGTGACGAGAGCGTGTCTAGAGGCGCAAATGGCGCGCGATACTTCCGTGAGCTGCTGTTCATCGACAGTGTTAGTAGGTGGCAGCAAGAGCCTCAACGCCTGCACGTTGGCTTGTCCATGTGCGAGGCGCTATCGTCATGTTTGTGTTCCAATTAGGCAGCCTTGGTGGTTCGTTGCTAGGGCGCCAACACAAGCCCCGCCGCCCGTGGGCTACGCGTGTCAACAGCGCGTTGTCACGAGTACACCTTCACCAATTGCGCAGTCACCTGTGGTCTAATCACACGATTAACACTCTGTCCCATCTTTCGTCCCAATCGAGATCGCAGACTACCTACAACCCCCTCCCTCACCCCCTCACCCTCTCACCCTCTCACCCTCTCACCCTCTCACCCCCTCACCCCCTCACCCCCTCAACCCCCTCAGCCCCCAAGCACCCAGCCCAATGAAAACCACAGCCCCAGCACCAAACAAGCCTCCCGTGGGCTGCCCCACATGACCCTTCGCAACAGCATACGCCAAGCTCCCAATATCAATAGCATCCGCCGCAATGCCCGTCCAAAGCCCTCTTCTCATCTCCCTCCTTCCGCCGTCATGAGCTTTCTTGTCTTCGGCCGTGAGCAGCAGCCCACCCAGCACACCGTCGCGGGCGCCGACCATGCGCACGAGTAGGGCTGAGCCGACCGGGACGTTGTATTGGAAGAGCGCGCATGCGAATTGTGGTGCTACGAGACATGCTGCTCCCCCAGCGATGCGGACGTACGACAGTGCCTTGATGGCGTAGAGGGTGCCTGCTGACACTGGCTCGTCTGCAGGCTCGGTCTTGGGTTTGAGGGGTGTGTTGAGGAGAGGGTTGGTTTCGTTGTGAGATGCGTGCGACATGATCAAGTTTGTGTCGACGATAGTGGTGGATTGCAAAGTGGTATGAAATGCAGTCTTGCTGTTGCATCTTCTTGCGCATTTGCATGATTTATAGATGCCAGGAAGCGGCCACCGCCATACCTTTGCATTGTAGCAGATGGGATAACGTTATGTGAGCTACGAGCAGGCAGTAAGTATAATCAAGATACCGCCTTTGATCGACTTTGTCAGCTCCAGAGTGTAAAGGCGAGGCCTAGTGTTAGAGCCCCCAATGCTAGCCAGTCACTGATGGTCATGTCAGCCGCAGACGCACTTCGTACCTCGCTTTGATGCGACAAAATCAGTTAGCTCAGTCGTGAGCATAACGTTATGGCCTCCGCACACCATTATATCTCGACACTGCGGTCCACTTTCCCTCTGCTGGACACCCTGAGCTTAACGATATGCTCCCATATCATAACGATGCCTGCAGATCGCGTACAGAAGAGCCGTACCCCCAAAGACGTGCCTGATCTGGGCAATCCAGACCGGAAGAGAGTGCTTAACGTACTCGCGCAAAGACGATACCGTATGTGCCTTGTTGCTTCGTCTTCGACGCCGAAGATAACACGTACGTGCAGGTCAGCGGCGGAAAGAGAGGATCGCAGCACTAGAAGCGCATGCCAAAGGCCTTGAGAGTCTCGTTGATCATTGCCCAACCCGTAGCGATGATGCATCACCGCAAGCCAGCTCGATTCCTGAGAATCCTGATACCACCGTAGAGCTCATAAGTGTGCCTTGCGAAGATGACTTGCCGGGGTATGCGATCCACGGCGACCCGTTCAACACGAGCTTGGTGCAGGACTTCAGCGGTAGGCACTGAGATGTCCCATCGTCGAATCTCGACTAATCGTGTCTGTCAGATTTCCCCATTCTTCCGACACCATTGCCATCTACCCCAGAGCTGGCGGAATGGCAGCAGCGGCCTCCGTCGAACAGTTTTGCGTTCCCTTTCACAGCCGACGGCGGCTTACTGACCGTTCCCGTCCTGAGCATGGTCCAAGCTTTCATGTCCATAGCGACGGCCTTCGACATCTGCGAAAACCTCTGGGATCCCTCCTACCTACACGTCCTGCCCTCATCCTTGTCTCTCCACTCCTCTCTACCAGCGAACCTGCGGCCCGTCCCCGCACAACTCATCATCCCGCATCACCCAGCCCTCGATCTCCTCCCCTGGCCAACCATGCGGGAGAAGCTCATCTGCATCTTGGCAATGCCGAGCAAGCTGCGGCCGCCCATAGCGCGGGAAGAAGATGATGGTGGGACAAACATATATGGCGTGTGGCCGTTCTCAGACACATCGGGCAGCTTGTCACCAGCGCGCCAAAGTAAAGCAATTACCCAGCTTGTCCAAGATCTCGATGATTTCCAGGATGGTGGTGGGGTCCGGGTGCATGGAAACTCGGTCGCGTGGGGACAAGGCAATGAGTTTGTTGAGGAGGCGTGGGAAGTAGGAGAGAACTTCTACAGGAGGTGGTGGTTTTGTCTTGATCAGAAGATTATTGATCAGTCGAATAAAAAAAGGAGAGAGCGAGGATTGGGAAGACTGAGGATAGCGGCTCGATGAGAATCCGCAACGAACATGGATGATTGACGATTGAACACGAGAATGTCGCGTCACCAGTTCCTATGTAACTAGCTCCTTGACGTGGCGACGTTATACATGCAGGACGTTCTTTCCTCTCTTGTAAGCTCCTTCTATGCACTCTCACGAACTCATTTCCAACTACTTTGGAGACTCTGTATACTCTAACGTGACTTCGCGGATTGGTCAAGGGCGCTTGCGCACAAAAGGTTTACAGTAGACATATCCTTATGGCCTCCGCGGACGCGATTGTCTCCACGGACGCTTCGGACGCGGATAGCAGTTTCCGGTGAGGTCAATATCATTTCGAACAACATGACAACACCGCTCAGGCGCCCTGCTACGATGCTGACTCGACCAGTTCTCATATGCAGCACACCAACGTTCGCCAGACTACATGCTCGGGAGACCTACCTCGAACCACATCTTCGGGAAGGATCAGGAGACTTCAGTCAGCTTCGCTGCAACCTCACGTCAGGGACAGTCGCTTTTCAAACTCAGATGGAGAGAGAAGCGACGGCACAGCAAGAGGCCCGCTCCCGTCGCTCTTTCCGCCCCCACGTCCACCGAGTGACCCTTGACGGATTTCGAAACTTTGCTTTCAGAGGTAAAACTTGACATGACCGTCCTGCACCAGCAATCTGATAAACTCTACGCAGCTCGCCATGCTGATCATGGTAGAGCATCATTTCAACTGGTTAGCAGACTGCTCATCCGCACCACATCCAGCACGCAATTTACTGGTCGATAGTCCAATCGACACTCGTGTTCCGCATGACCTGCAGCACATTACATCCTGGCCGATCCACGACTATGGACGTCTCAAGATTTGGGATGCGCGAAGGATTCTGCAAGAATTTCCAGCATGCAGCCGCCCCTGTCGCGACACGGCTCGTGTAGATCCGGCACCTCACAACATCACATCCAATTCGTTGAAAATAAAGAATTGGAAAATTCACCTTGCTGTCAGGAGGATAGCGTCCGCCGGCACCTTTCGGCTGCCCCATTGTTGGGATACGGCAGGATACCGGGCCGCGGCATCGCGTAATCGAAATCGATGGGGACACCCTGCTTGGACAGATTTGGCCCACACTTTTCAAAACGTCAATTCGCTCTGCAGCCAATGTCGCCCTGAAACGAGCACAGAAGGATCAACGCGCAAGGAAGAACCTCAACAACATGGTGGCTGCGTGTACAAGAGCCCTGTTTCCAGAAGCACGTGAAACTCTCCAGAGTCCCTCGTCGTCCACAAATTACCTCGTAGCTGCCGCACTCTCAGACGTCGACCAGAATCTCAGTGGGCCATCACTCTCGCTAACATTTGCTGATCATTGGTTGCAGTTTTGCGAGCCCAACTGAGCGGCTCCTAAACTCAGAAGCGAAGTGAGGCTCTCGAGCTACCCAGCACTGCTAATGCAGGGAGCAAAACTTCGTCTTGTGGCTTGCACTATCAAAGAGTTGCGTACGTCGGCCTGAGACGCTCCGAGCTCTTCCAATACCCACGAGTTCAGGGTCGTGCAACCTTTTGTTGCAGATCTGTACAGGACCAGTTGGATCAACGCCATCCTTAGACCCGTTGGCCAGGTATAGCCTTGTCCATGGTATCAAAAGAGGCATGACCCCCATGAGACTCGAGAGGGTCTCCTGAACGTCAGTGGATATCTAGCTGATCTAATCCATAACGCGTAGTCTATCCACAACCACTCGCCACGTTACAAACACCCTGGACTGCTCCGTGCAGCAGAGACAAAGTCTCTCGGTTTGAGGGAAGCAGGTCTTATGCAGAGATGTGCTCACAGTCCTCTGTCTTCAAACCACATATCTGAGCTGTGTCCCCGCAATGCAGTCAGCCGAGGTTGTTTATCCGCAAAGAACTGCAATTCCAGGATCTAATGCACGTATACGCAGCTAGCGAGGTCCTCGTTCCAGTGCGTCGTACCGTGCACGTTGCAACAAAGCCCCTACGGCCCTGCCGTGTCCCCACAAAATCCCACATCGACCATCCGGTGATGTCTTAAGCATGCGCACCCCAGAGAATTTGCTGCTTAAACAAAACTTGAACACTGCTCCTCGGTGGGACACTTAGTTCTCGTGGAGAAGCCCGAGCTCACTCTAACACCTATATGTTACCAATACTTCCTTGTCGCAAGTGAAGATCGTCGAACGCTTCCACTATGCTCCACGGTAGCGACAATCCGCGTGGTCGACAGGCCTTCGACGTATCTGTTGCGTTTACCGTCCTAGCTTTCATCAGCGTGGCTCTACGACTGTACACTCGATGGTTCATTGTTCGCGCTCCGGGAATCGAGGACCATCTGATCATAGTGGCAACAGTGAGTCTTCTCTGAGTAACAAACCCAAGGACCATTGACTGATAGTTCTCCAGTTATTCTCTATTGGCCTGACAGTCTGCATTGCATACCGTAGGTGCACTGTATCGTTGTGTCAACCAGAAGCTAAACCGAAGCAGAAGCAAAATGGGGCATGGGCAAGCATGCTAACACTCTCTCATGGGACGACAATGTCAAAGTATCGAAGGTACTGATTGTTCAACGCTTCGCGTTTTCTGGCGTTAACATATGTTAGTCATTCTGGGCATCTCTGATCGCTTACTACCTTGCCCTCGGACTGACGAAAAGCTCGATTCTGCTGCAATACCACCGAGTATTCCCCACACGAAAGTTCCAAGTCGCATGTTGGTGTGTCTTCGCCGTAGTCATCTGCTACACCACCTGGACAGTCTTCGGCAGCATCTTCGCTTGCGTACCGGTGCAAGCATTCTGGACCAAGGAACGCGCTCGCTGTATAGATCAATTTGCCATGTGGTTCACAAACGCCGCCATCAATATCACGACTGATTTCGCCATCATCATCCTCCCCATGCCGGTAATCCGGCGTCTGCGGCTCGGAAAACGACAGAAGTCAGCTCTGATCGGAATCTTCGCTGTCGGTGGCTTGTAAGTAGCACCTTCCCACTCCTGCACCTGTGAGAATCGCGTAGCGGAGCCGAGGTTTCATCATCTGCACCTACTCCTTCTCGTGCAACCTAGAAGTCGCTTATGCAGCGGCGTACCACACTCTCCCACAATACAACATGCGCCCACGTTTCATCTTCAGCTCACCACGCTAACAATACACAGCGTCTGCATAGTCTCCATCCTACGCCTCCAATCTCTTGTCGCAATATCCAACAGCACCGACCAAAGCTACGACAACCCCGCCGCTGCAACCTGGTCCTCCGTCGAAACAAATGTCGGCATAATTTGCTCCTGCCTGCCGCTCTTGCGTCCCCTCATGACCAAATGCCTGCCCGGCGTCTTCTCGAGCCACCGCCGCGACACGCCCAGCACGCCGCACATCTACCCAACCATTGGCAGCGCGCGGAGTCGGCCGTTGCCGAGTCATAATGGGGATTATCCGCTGGAGACTACGACGAAGGGGTCCGGGGGTGGGTCGAGGGGCTCGAGTGATGCTGAGGGGAGAGATATACAAGTTGAAACACACATACATGTGAAGGTTGAGGGTGGAGGCGATAGGTTCAGTGGGTGGGAGACGCCGAAAAGTAAGGGGACGGATGGGAGAAGTAGTATGGATACGCTTGTTAAGGATCCTAAGGATATTGTTTGATCACGAGCAATGTGAGCGAGATTGAGGTTTGGTTTTAGATAAGTGATACCCAGAATTTGATACTCTTTTCATGTGACGACACAAGGTCTTCTTCTATTCGACCAGTCCTGACATCCACCTCTTCCGTTCCTGCCCTGCTCGGTACAGAAACATCTTTTGAGAGTCTAGCGGAGTTGCGCCGATCAACCTGTACGGCAATATCGATTCCTCCAGCTATATGATCAGGAAAACGAAAGCACCTGCCTTTCTACCCTCAAGAACCTCGTCAACAAGGCAAGCACCAAACTCAGACCCTGGAGACACTCCCAGGCGACACAATGGGACAAGCTGATTTTAGAGCTCTTCCGATATCGAGAATTTCTCAGACACAACAGCACAGATCTTCCTAGTAGAGAAGAGGTCGAAAAGCATGTCGCCTTACATGGTGTGCCCTTGCGCAGTCATCAAGGGCACCGAAAGCGTCGAGTAGGTCTTCTGGATACGATAAATTGCGTGCACTGTATTCTTCCACCATGCCGAGTACGCTTTGATGTTCGGCCATCGGGTCCAAAGGATCCAGGTAGTTCGGTACACGGATGACGTTGGAGAGAAAGACAGGAGAGTTCGGGTCATCGACTCCATTCTCTCTACGTTCTTTCTTCGGCACCCTTTTTTTTTTTTACAATACCACGATGCGGTTTGCTCATGGAATGCGAGACGTCGGCGACACAGTTTGTACTCTTGAATTGTCCAAGCACGGCTGAAATATGTCTTTTGATGATCGTCGTCGTCGTCGTCGTCGCAGGTTGGCTAAGTCTCGAATACATGGCTGGAAGGACTGAACTCGAATGCGCTGTAAGACCTTCGTCGAGGACGCTCCGAGCTAAGAGCTAGCAGCCCGGGCACTTCGCCATCGGTATCGGCAGCTACGATCGTGAAGTATGCACTAGCATGGATAGATGCCATTGCCGCTAATTGTCGGGGCTTGGTAGCATCATCGTCTGGTACAATGCAGAAGCAGTCGACCCATAGGTACGTGATTCCGACCATTCTGGCGGCTGTCATGCTGTCCAGAATAGTGCTGGGTATGCGATTGCGGTTACAGACAGATCAAAGGCACTTTCTCGGGCCAGGCCCGCAAGATTACCTCTCGCTGTTTGGAAAGGATCCACCTCAGTGCCCTAGACGTAGCTCAAAGCGAGGCATTGACGGTGGCCATACTGTCGTACAAGACATCATCGGCCCACATCGATGAACGTCAGGCCAGTGGTACGTTGGATTGTGCACAGCAGTACTGTCTCCGGTATGTCTTCCCATCTTTGCCGTCGTAAGTGTTTGGCTCTGATTCGATTTCGGAAAGTAGGCACTATCCGGCGGATGATCCTGTCGCGGTCGCTCATTGTATTATGGTTGCTGAGATGTACAGACCCCCCTGAACTTGGTTACTACCGCAACAGACTTACGTTATGTAAGAATCAAGGCTTCCAAGTGGCTGTTTCTAGCTTGGTTGACAGAATTGACAGTCTGGTACATGTCCTGCAGGGTAACAACGTGGTGAACGGCCACTCACAAGGCTGTCCGCCTTTATGAACCACGGTACGTACCTAATGTACGCATCACTGTACCAAGGTCAGGGGTTCTGCACATTTCTGCAAGCACCGATAATGATTGAAAATTGTTAGAGCGTGCGAGGCAGCGTTCCTATACAAAAGTAAGCTGCTAAGAGCGGGCAGTGTATAAGTAGCTATACAAATTCTAGATTCATACCTGCATCACGTGCATGCCAGTCTGCGCCTTGGGTGTTGAGATAAGAGCCGTAGAGTTGATGCAAAGGGAAAAACTGTGCTGAATTGGCAGGCGTGATCGCACCCAAGATGTACCTACCATTTAAGAACCTTGCGGAAACAGCGGTTAGCCACAACATGCTGACAATGGCACTCATCTACTGAGATGAGAATAAAGTTGCTGTGCTATGATGCGCTATGCTCAAACAAAACGCCAAAGATCATCGCGTTGCTACATATGCCAAACCAATAGAACGCCATGGGGTGGGGTACTCCGATCCAAACTATGCCTCGCCATGCCATGCCATACCATACCATACCGTGCATCCAAACCACCAGACACGTGTCCACCAACCATACTATTCTCATAGGCAGTTAGCCAGCCTAGCCAACAACAGCCTTCATACTCAGCCTCTCCAGGAACCCACTAAGATCCTCTTTCCTGATTTCGATGACACACGCTTCAAAAGAGTCCATACGCACACGCGCACCCGTCTCACGGACGACTTCCTGGAACGCATTACCAAACCTATTCCTCCCCGCGCCAGTTTTCTGCTCATCCTCATCCTCACTCTCGCTATCTTCGCTTTCATCGTCTTCTTCCTCAGTATCGTCCTCCACCTCATCCTCATCCAACCCCGCAGCCTCCAATTTCTGCCTCTTCGCTTCCCTCTTCTTCCTCGCCTCGGCCTCCTTCTTCCTCTGCTTCTCTTCCTTTTCTTTGGCTTTTTTCTCTCTCTTCTGCAGTCGCTCTTTCGCAGACTCTGTGGCGCCGCCACCGCCCAGGCCGACAACGACGTACAACCCTCGACTGTCGTCGAGACCGGCCATCACGAGTTCGGAGCCGCGGTTCTTGCCCTTCGTGCCGTTGAGTTCGACGATTGCTTCGGCGATCCAGAGCGCGAGTTTTGTGAGGGCGCCGGGGTGTGTGAAGAGTTGTACGTCTGGGCCTTCTTTTACGACGGCCATGCGGAAGGCACGGAGATGTCTGATTTGTTTCTTCTCAATCAGTGCTGTTCCTGTTCGTAGGATAGCACGGTGGAGGTGTTGTGCTGTAGAAATATGCTGAACGAGCTTATCGATCTGGCCAAGGGCGTCGTAGGCCGTCCAAAACCGGGCTACGATATGTTCCTGCGCCTCGTCTTGTTCTTCTTGAGTCGCGGCGGCGGTTGTGTCGCCGTGGTCGTTTGTGCCGACGAAGTTTGTGGGCTCGAAGGAGGATTGGGAGAGGGATTTTGCGTCGCCGACTTCGAGGATGGCGCCGAGGATTACGGAGGCGTCGACGGCAGAGAGGCAGGCTTTCCAGCCCCAACAGCGGACGAAACCCCAGCCGTCTTTCATATCTCCGCTCCGTGGTGGTGGAGGGACGAGGCCGTCGAGTCCGTATTGGGGCGCGAACTTCAGCAGTCGTTCTCGTAGCCCGCGTTTGAGCTCCATGTCCATGTGTGTGTAGTTTTGCTTGCACTCAGAGAGTGAGACGCCCATCTTCGCCAGCAGCTTGTTCAGTCGTTTTTGCCCTTGCTCGCTCCACATGTGTAGCTTAGCGGAGAGGTAGGGCGAGTGCTGCATGCTTTCGTAGAGAGACCAATGCCGTAGGAGAAGGAAGCGAGGTTCTGGAGACAGCCGTATTGACTTGTCTGTTGCTGAGCGTGCACTTGTGGGGATAACGCCGCTAGAGTCGCCCAAGCTCGCATCACGAGCTACGCCTTGAGGATCTGTAACGGGGTTCAGTCGCCGTACTTCGTCTCTGAAGACTGAACGAATCTGCTCTCCCCGATTGCCATTCCAGCCTGCAGAACCACCAGCTGCCGAGAGGGGGTTCAATCCAACACCGCTTCCTGTCCGACCATACAGCTCCAGACTGCTTACACCCACTATTGCATTCCAGAGGAGATCGTTATCTTCACGACCGAGTTCTGAGGCCAGGGCATAGACGAGGGAGGATACGGGTTCTGCGTATGAGGCGCCGAGCTGATAGTACTTGTCGAGCACATTGGTGTACTTGTTTCGCATTGTCACGAGCTGTTCCCGTAAGCTCTTGACAGGCTGCTCTTTCGGAGCTACTATCGACGGAGATGCTGAGCGGCTTCGTGAGTCTGATCGTGAGAAGTCGGAGGATCCGCCGAGCTGGTTCTCGATCATCAGACCTCGCCGCACTGGTCTTCGGTCTGGAGATGACGGTATTGAGCCTCCCTAGCAGAGTGTCAGTGTTGGCCATCGAGTTGCATTGGGTAGCCATACGGAATTACTTCGTAATCTTTGCCGTGGCCGCTCGTCTTCTGACATCTCTTCATCCGAGTCCTCTCTGTCACTCCATGACTTCCTCTTCTTCGGCGCCTGACCGGACACAGGTGTATCCTCCTCATGGTCGTTCGACTCGTCGTCTGAGCCCATGTCTTCCCCCACCTCTGGCATCTCCTCGAGTCCGCAATACGCTGTTCTTTCTGCCTGAAGCTCCTCCTCGATGTCCCCATCGTCAAACACTATTACACCTCCTTTTAAGCTCTGGTATGACTGCATGATCCTGCCCTTCTCCACGCCAGGTTGCCGCCGTACCAGCTCTCCTGTCGTCGAGTCCTCGCCAATGGGTGTGCCAAACACGTTCGCCAGGTTCCACGGCCGTCTTGCATCGAGAATCCAGACCTCAACATTTCCAGTCCCTCCCTGACCATTTTCGTCCATGTCCATACCCAGGATCTCTTCCATATCGATCATGCCTCCCACGCCTAAACACACGACAACACCCCCACTTCCGCCCTCTGTTGTCCGCATGGGCCGTACCAGCTCATCTGCCGCACGTGACAGATCGCCATAACCAGCAATGGGTTGTATCTTGTGTGGTATGTAGTCACGCTTTAGTAACGCGGTGAGGATTCGACACGCGCAAAGCGCGTCTGGTTCGAGGGCGACGAGGAGGAGAACAGCTGGGGCTGCGGCGTGGGTTCGTTTTATAAGGTTCTGGTAGAGGTGCGCTATGAAATTCCGAGGGAGGTACATGTTCGCGGTGCGTATTGTAAGTGGGCGTGCTCGGCGTGCGTGATCTGGAGAAACTCGCGCCGAGGGGACGCGTTAAGAGGTTTGCGGGGAGAATCAAGGTTGATCGAGGGTCATTGCGTCATGAGCATGCTAGAAAAGAGTAAGAGTAAGGCGTGCGGGGGTTGAGAGCGCGAGGAGAGCGCGAGGAGAGCAATTCGTATGCTTTGGTGCGGGTGCTTGCACAAGATCGTGACGCTGCCATATTGATTCCACGACGCGTTAATCACGCTAGCGCCTAACTTGGGATGGCGTGACTCTGACGTGAACGTGCTCTTCCGCGTAGATCACGATCGATCCCTTCTTCCATTCATCTCATCGCGCAACTGTGTTGTCGATTCTGGATTGTGAGAGAGCAGAGGCTATCGTAGAAATATCGAACGATGGTGTCCTGAGCATATGCACAGCTTCTAGCATCCAAAAGCTCGACACCCGCAGTTTCTTGATGTCGATCCATGTTGTAACCGTGTCCCACGCGCTCGTGGATCGTTTACCGTATCGATGATCGAGCCTTCAGACTCCCTTTGCATCGGCAGCCTAATGGAATGTGCCCATGCCAAACTTCACATCCACTTCTCTATCCCACCCACCACGTTACCAGTCTGGTCGATCTGTTCCAAATCCGGTCTCTCGTAAGCTGGGGGCGGTAAGTGAGAACTCAGATGTACTCTCGCTTCACCATGACCGGCTCGAGCTGGACCAACGAAGGCACGATGTCGTAGTGCTAATCGAGCATCTTGCCATGAGCATCACCCCATTTTGTGAGTTCTGGGTTGGCGATGAATGCCACAACTCCATTATTGATGTCTTCCCCGTCGAGGTCCGGCATGGACTACATACTGCCTTCTTTGAAGGTTGCTCCAATGGCGGGGTACGTAAGCTGCTCTGCAGCGACATCTCCAAGGCCAGCGCGAACGCCCGGTCGACAATAGCTGGAATCTGGGAAGCATCCACGGCCGAAGAGACAGATGCCATCTTCGTGCCAATGGTGTTTGCGACCTCGTCTCGGGATTCCAGAATCCCTGTGGCTAAGCGGCGTGCCAGTTGCCTATCACGCAGGTGTGCCTTGCGTTTTCCTTGGACCATGGTTTCCCGGCCAATCAGCCTGATCAACTCACTTTTGACCGTGCATCGGAAAGCTTCACTAGAAACTGATGGGATTGGTGAACCACCTTCGCGATTGGGGTTGTAAAGGAGTGTCCAAGTGCCGGTATACGGTGAAACGGTCTTGCCATAGACAGAGAAGGGCGTTGCAAACACGATATCGAGAAGCACACTCCAAACCCACGCCTCGATATAGTATTTCTGGTGTACACGGGATCCCCAGTGGCGTGTCTCCGTGTTGAGACCAATACTCCGGGATCACAAACTTGAAACATGTTGGCGTCCAGGTTTGGACGGAACGTGGTTAATTGTCTCGGTGCCCTAAAGTATCCCACGTTCTGCCCTGCGTCCTGTCGCCCAGACTGTCACCCATCCTATCAACCAGCCTTAGCTAGCCACTCGGAAGCTCTCGCCTATTTGTGACGTATGCTTGATGATATTGAGCCAGAATCCAGGGGTGTTCGTACATTTTGCAAGGCACCGATAATCCATGATTGGCCGTCGCAGCATACCAAGATAGGTGTAAAGGAAAAGGTTCCGAGCGAAAGGTTTGGTATGGGGTTCATTGATACCACCTTACATCGCTCGTCACCTGTGGACGAAGCTTCAGCTTGATCCGCAGCAAGACGGTGAAGCAGCAAGAATCTTCCGCGAACTCTCAACTTCACATCAGATCGTGCGCAAGCAACCGGTCGACATCGTTGCAGATTACCTCGCGCAAGTCAAGTCACATCTCATCAAGAACCTAGATCAGAAGTACGGCAAGGCCCTGTGGCGTTCGCTGTCCGTCACGTTGGTAGCGACAGTTCCTGCGGTGTGGAATGACCTGGCTAAAGACAAGACGCTCCAAGCTATTGAAAAAGCTGGGTTCAATGAGCTCGAGTTTCCTCAACTGGCATAGCAAACCATCCTAACCATGGAACCTGAGGCCGCGGCATTATACGCGATGAAGATATTACGACTCAGTGCTCAAGGTTCACGGTTCGCTGTCAACAATGGCTTCATCTGTGATATGGGTGGAGGCACTGTCGATTTGGTCTCCCACAAGGTCGACAAAATCGATCGGTCGCAGTGGAAGAAGTGACCATCGGGTGTGGAGATCAGTGCGGCGGGAGCTTCGTGGACCGGGATTTCCTGAAGTGGTTGTAGATCAAGCTAGGTATCAACGACTTCCTCAGGATTTCTGACTGCCGCAGCGAAAATATGCCGCGAACATCGCTCTTAAGAAGCTCGCCAGAATGCTTCAAGACTTCACACTTGAAGTCAAGAGTGGTTTCTCTGGTACGGGGGCTAGCTGTATCCGGCTGCCCAACCCGTTGAGCTCCATTGACGAGGATGAGTCTCGAGGCATCCACAAGGGTGAGATCAGGATCACGCTGCAAGTTCCCACTTCGAACTCGAGCCAACACGGCTAACTATGACAGTGAGTACATGATATCCATGTTCGACTTTCCTCTTCGCCGTACCTACGAGCTGCTCGGAAACCCACTGCAGAAAGCAAAGTGTGTGAAGAAAGAGACCATGAAGGCATTTTTGCCTAGCGACATGGCGAATCTGTAAGGTGGAGGCTACTGACTATTCTAGTATGTTTTCATAATTGACGGATTCTCAGAATCGCCGTACATATCCCGTAAAGTGACAGAGTTCGTCGAGAAGGCCGGACTACAAGCCATCAGGCCTGCATATCCGTAAGTTAAGTTCCTGACTTTGGGAACATCAATCCTGGCACTGTGACATAGGTGGTTAGCGGTGGCTTGTGACACAGTGTGCAAGGGACTCGAGGTCGATTCAACGGCAGTTATCAATCGTCAGTGCCGAAGGCACTACGGTATTGACTGCAACCAGGTCGTCGACGAGACGAAACATCAGGAGAGCGAGTTGTTCATCTGCCCATTCAACGGTACGAAGCGAGCTTCAGCCCAGATGTCGTGGTTACTCAAGAGGGAGACAACCTCGCAACTTCCAAGACGTCACACGTGAAGCTGCCGTTTCATACGGACTTCTGGCCTGGAGAGAAGGAGATGAACTTGACTCTCTACTCGTCCGATGAGAACAGGGCTCCAAAGCGATGCAAGCACACGATCAGTCAGCGATGTCGAGAGATGAGAACCTGCTAACATCATGCAGGGAGTGAAGAAGGTGCCCTCCGTCACGATTGACTTGAGTGTCGTTCCGAAAGATCAGTGGGTTGCCGGACACTCTCGTACTCACACCTTGTACCACACTTTGTCCTACTCGCGTGAGATCTCGGTCAACAGAAAGTACTGAAGTTCCGTGAAAGCGGCCTACGAGTAGGTCAGCTTCGGGCGACACGTTTGGACAAAAGACACAACTTCGAGAGCTCTTCAAGAATTCCAACATCAAGACACTGGCAAAACAATAGTCTGTCTGTCATATATCGGCATTCTGGCATTCTTGGTGGTCAAGGAAGGGGGGTCTTGATGACGTATTGACGGGCTCTCTCCTTCAGATTGGACATGCATTACAAGAAAGTAACTTTAGAGACGGCGACTCATGAAGTCATGATCTTGTATGCCACTCTTGCACTAGGTTCAAAACGAGAGCCCATGCTACTCTTTGAATACGACAAAGAATCTTCACATGCGCGTCTTCTCCAACCCTTTACCTCACATCGTGAAAACCTTCAGCAGAGTTCTCTCCAGCTTCATCTCCTCCATACCAATCAGCTTCCCCAATCCCGCCAAGTCGCAATACCACTAATCCCAATGCAGCATCCTCGACTCACACACCTTCTTGCCCAACGCTAAATCACATGACCAACAGCGCATGCGCGTCATCTGGCACCACCCCAAACTTCACACAGCCGGACCATTCAAGACGATCAACAAGCCTGCCTCCCTGTCGCTCCAGCATGGTCTGACAGTTGCAGGCGACGCCAAACCTTTCACATCATGGGCGCGTCGCAGAGAGTTCTGTGCTCACACCTTAGCGGGCTGTGTGGCGCACGCCAGCGCTCCTCCGGCGAAGTTTATTTGCACCGAGGATGAAGGACGCGTGCGGGCATGGTTTCTCTGCTTGTGCTTCGCTGTGCTCCATGCATACAGCCGTGCGAACACGATGACATGTCACTTTTGCTTCGCCCACCCAGCCCCATTTCTGATGTCCCCACTAACGTCATCGCTAATGTTGAGCGATGGAGGACGCTTGCAGCAAGTTTGCAGCTGCACACAATCACCTAGCCCGCTCGCGTGAGTTAGGGGAGGGATTTGGAAACGCACCGGGAAACCCGCAGCCGTACCACTTTTGTGCGCAAAGGCTTGAACGGTAAACGCGATATGGTCGTTGACGCGCTTATGCGTCCGGTAGGTGCTCCGGGCCTGTCAGAACGAAGATCGCAGTAAGAAACGTGTGCAGCTCGTAACTCAGCGCGGCAAACGCGTCCGTAGGACGCAGGTCAAAGGCCGGAGGACACAATCCGAAAGCAAGAAGCCCGGGGCAACAAGTCTCGCGACAAGGGGTTGGGATGAGACTCATGGGTGATTTAGTGTAGAGGGTTGCTGATAGGGCGGCGTCGAGATGATGTGGCGCCCGGCGATAGGTTATAGATCGTGATTAGCCTGCGTGTCAGATGTCGCTGTGGGGAAAAAAGGGTTGAAAATTGGAGAACAGGGGTGCGGAGCATTGTTAATGTCGGGTGAAGTTACAGAGATGAAGGATGCAGATGTTGGACAAAGGTTGCTGAGAGACTTACCTATTGGGATTGACGCACGTCGTTCACGCGAGCTGTTGAAACGTTCGTAAGAACCAGGAAGCGATCCGAAGCTGTGGTGGTGCTGGACGCTTGCCTTGTACTGTGCATCTTGGATTCTAGCCGCGAGGCAGCTTGTTAGGTAAAAAATCTTTATCGGAGTTTGCCAGTGTTGTTCGTATCTGCAGTGCTACAAGACGACATTCGAGGAACTTGGTTGGATCAAGCCTCTGGACTTTCGATTCTTTATATGCATCTCCAATTACCGATCCTATGAATGGTGCGCCGACCAATACCCATGTCTGTAAGACATGCGAAACGAAACGGAACGAAATTCACACTCAGAATTTCAAACCTAGAAATACAAACCCAGAAGCCCAAACCCAGTGGGCGCATGGGTACCTGATAAATCCTCATGTGCCGTGAGGATGGCTGTCTTCCGATGACGCCAGTACGCCGTTTCCCCTATGCTGCCCTGAACACCCTGCAATGCCTAACCAGTCAAGGATATCTGTGTTGTAACCAACGCCATCTCAAATGCAGTCCATGTTGTACACCATTAACTCCGTCTATAATCAAAACACTGGTCCCGTCCGTGGACGTCCTGCCATGAACCTTCGAGTCCATTTCTACCAAGTTCCCGCCAAACACGTGTCTAGCGTGGGAGATTGCCGTCATAGTTGTTGAAGAACACGCTGTTGTAGCCGGCACCCGGGTATTGAGCGGCAGTCCCTTGGTAAGTAGAGCCAGAGCTTGGGTAGGTGGAGCTGCCATACAAGCCTGTGGTGTCGACAGCATACGCTGAAGTTGTATTCGAGGGCAGGACTCCCGAAGGACTGATCAGGCTGGAGTGGTGTCCGACAATGCTCGGGTGGCTCATCATGCTGTAAGGAGCAGTGATGGAAGACTGTTGTCCAACAGGAGGGTACGACGGGAAGGAGCGCTTGTATGGAGGCTGGGCACCATATGGCTGCTCGATGGTAGAATGACTCGATGCCTCAGTCTGGCTGGTGGAGTTGTACGTACTCTCTCGCTTGATTGGTGAGTGTTCTACCTCGTAGGAAGAGGAGTACTCATTGGGTAGGCTTGGATGAGCTTGTGCGATGCTGACAGGGCTGTCGTAAGGGTACGAACGCTTGCTGCCAGCTGCGGTCCTTGCCTCTTTGCGCAGTCGGAGACGGACACCTTGATCGGCGATCAGACGGCTAAGTGAGGTAGACTCTTCCATGCCCTTGAAGTCCTTGGGTGCCAAAACACTGAACTTGTCACTAGTTGTGCATGCCAGATACTGAGAGCTGAAGATGTCTGGGTTGAACTCGTACAGGCGAAAGTGCAGCCTGTATGTTCCCAGCATCTTGACCGAGATATCTCCAAACACGAACAGCCCAACATCGACGTTATTGTGGTCTTTGAGACGGTGCAGTGCCGATGACAGAGTGCCTGTCATGGACTCATTACCGGGTAAAGGCTCATCTCGATCAGCTTTATATAGGCTGACCATCATGAACAGGTAGGGGTTCTGGAGAAAGTTTTTTTGAGGATCGATGGTAGACTTGACCTCAAGTTGAACGACGGGTGGTGGATCGATCGCTTTGCGTGCTTTCTCCTTGCCCTTAGCCACAACCAGAGCCTCACGAGGCTGCTGCTTCACGAGAAGGTGGTAGCCATTCGGAGGGTACGTGAGGAGCGACATTGTGGGTAGTCGTCCCAGTGGATAACAATATTCGCTCGGTGGAAGTGGTAGATGAGAGAGCCTGGCTGGTAGGACCGGTCGAGTAGCAGTAGTGATGTCGAAGACAACACTGCTCGAGAGGACTCGTTTGCTGTTGTGGTCTAGAAGTAGAAGGCTTGTAGTCGCCAGCCACAACTACCGTGGTTGTTGCGGTGATAGTCAGGGTGGTAGTAAGAGTAAAGAGCCTGGTTATCAAGCTGGTTGAAAAAAAATAAGAGCAAAGCTTGCGAAATATGAGGGTACAACCAGACTCGCTGTCGAATTCTGGAGTGTCCAGGTGAGTTTGTGTGCTTCGTGGGCAATAACGATGGGTGAGCGGGGAGGTATTGGTGAGTCGTCACTCCCATTGGCGCTTTCCCTCTGTTCCTCAATCAGGCAGTGGTGATTCACCAATGGCTTCGTCGAAAGTTCACTCTTTGGCTTTGTCGTGTAATCGATCGCGATGACCCCGCTCGAAAAGGCCCCTTCTCGACAATCGCCAGCTCCAGAATGGGGAAAGGGTTCGGGACGATCCAGATCACAAGCAGTCCAGTGGAACACAGTCTTCCATGGGATAAGGAACAGCGGTGCGCACACGTATGCGCGAGCAGGCAGATGCGCTACGTCTGCGCCGTTGGTGACTCTGCAGAGCTCTGACGAAGCCTGAACCAAGGTTGAACGTGCGCACAAACGTCCCCTCCGCGGCAGAAATCCTCCAGCACTCCCACCTCGGTGATCGAGCCAAATCCACACAAACGGTCGGCGTAGTCTTCAGTGAGGTTTGCAACGTCTCAGGTGGATATACATGAGGTCTTAAGTGTTCGTAATACAGCACATGGGGTGGACAGGCGGCTCCTTCTCTCAGAAAACGACTGAATTGTATGGCCTGATACTGCTTGAAGCTGCTCGGCAGCGGAACCGAACCGTGGTAGAGCTGTGCCTTAGGGTCTGGGGACAAAGGTGGTAGCCGTTGGAAGGTTCTCCCGCAGAGTAGCGCAATGCAGGCAGAACAGGGACCAGGGAGAGGCGTGAGCGTGGGCACAAGTCGTATGCAATCTGCAAGTAATGCAGGGTGAGTGTGAAGGGCGAGGGGCAGTGAGAAATGCGAGGCTCACTCTCGGCTACAGCAGAGACCAGCTTGAAGAGGAAATATTGCACTCGATAGTTGAGTTGCAAAGGTACCTCCAAGTAGCGTTTGAGCCGGGGCCCTCCGCTGTCGTCCTATGACCTTGCGCGAGAGCTGCAAGACGCGAAGCCGTGTCGCCGCTTTGATTCTAGTCTAAAGTTCAACGGGCGCCGAGCTGCCTGGACGCCACGACGATCGTTAGCTCTTCGATCTCCGACTAGCAAGTTCCGTTCGCTACCAGTTTCGGCGAGCTAGTTGAAACGCAAAGGCGGCGTGAAGTATGTCAGGGAATCTCCGTGCATGCCAGATCCTGTCCGTGTTGACTCTTCTCCTGGCTGTCGTGGCTATTACTCCTCTCTCTTCTGATCTTTGACCACAAAGCTATGACGGTTGAGATTTGTGGTTTGTTGTATCAAACCGCGCTGCTCCAAGAGCCTCACCCATAAATTGCACTTAATGTGTTGAGTCGCGATAGTAGACCTGAAAACTCGGTCGCAAAAGGTCTCGACTTCTTCGTGATGGTGCGCGTATGAGCGTGAACGAAGTCACCGAGGTGGAAAGAGGTGTGTAAGCTGAGAGAGCTGCAAAGAAGCAGCTCAATACACCAACAATGCTCGAGGCAAGGACTATAGACCATTACCAGCTAAGCCGATTACGAAGCATACCGAGGGTCTGGAAGATCTCACCACTTACAGTTAGACATTTACATCCAAAGCGAGCTACGTTGGCGCAATGAATCGATCGAGTAAGAAGATATGCGGCGCCTAGGAAGACGTGAGCTGTGCCTCGATTGAACGTCGCTCCTAGGTTCGAGGACACTACAGGGTACTGTCAAAGCAACAGCCGGGGCCCCGGGCGCGTGCTTATAACGGGTGCAACCTCAAGCTCGTATATGCCTAGACAGCTCTGGGTTTTAGCCTTTGCAGTCACCGTTCGGGAAGACGAATATATGGCTACCTGACATACTCGACCTGTCATATGCAGGCTATTACCATAAAGCTGTCCCCACCAAACATCCACTGCGCAGCTGCGCGACACCGAAACTTATAGCACAATAATCGAACGACGCCCACCTCATCGACCTAGCCCGTTGCCGCATCAAGAGTGGTACGAAGACTTTCTACGCACATAGCGGCTAGCGCATATCGTGAGGGCCGCTCCCGGGAGTACCTCGAGACTGGACACCGTCGTAAGGATCTATCTTGAGGAGCTATGACAGCCGCGGCATACTCATGTCACACAGCAGTCAACGGCAACGGTATAGAGCAACGGCTCTAGATTCCAGACTTGCATCGAGACGACGCGATGGCGCAATCTAAGAAGTCAGCGCGTGGGCATAGTGATCTTCGCAGGCTTGACAGATGTGAGGCTGACGCGCACGGCCTACTGCGACTTGGGAACGAAGGACGGCAGATGCGCAATGGCGTTCAGGGCTGTAAGGTATGAACGAAGAGAAGATCGGCGGCGACTCTCATGGTGGCTGGAACCGCCATGCAAGAAAAGGCCGCTAGCTGCCCCATCCGCATACGGTTGAATTCTACGACGTTGCACAACCATCCACATTCCCCGTTGGCACTCATTTAGCCACGGCACTCTCAACAAGGAACCGCCTCCAGACCAGCTCGATATGCCAGACCATGCTCATAGAAGCGCTGCTATGTCAGCGACGTACCCACGATGCTGATGTTCGCTACCAACATGTCACTGGCAGCAGCCGCTTTTGCGGCATTGTGGTGGCATACCAGCGATCATGGAGAACTCTCAAAGTTGCTCGATTGCGCTTACTCGTAGCAGTCGACGTTCCTGCAGATGCAGTGTGACTGCATGCAGCTAACACGAATGAAGGCGCTTTTCTGCAGCATACAACGATAACCCTGACAACAATTGCATTCGATGCGCAACCGCCAAATGTCGACCATGTTGCGAATGACATGAAAAGCTGCCTCAGCAACTGTGAATGGAGAGCTGAGCTTACACTGTGGTGACGCCGTTAAGCTGACGTGTCAACCTTTCGAGAGGGATGACCTTGCTGCGAGGATTCTTCTCACGGGTCGGAAAGGTATTATGCCAGAAGTCGTGTTCGCGACGATTTTGCCCAACTGTGGAAAGCGGAGCCGTGATTTATGGTCACTCTTCATCCACGTCTGGACTCGGTAGTATCACCGTCTTCTACTGAACCCTCAATACTTGCCAGATACACTACGCATTCCGCTCAGTTACCTGCGTTGGTCGAGTCACCGGCGTAGATGGAGAACGGATCTCGAGCTTTAACACACTTCGATCACACCTTTATGTCAGGTACCCATGAAGCGCTCGAGTCACATCCTCACTCATCATCACGCTCCTATATGACCGTGGAGGACCGCCAGAACTATGTGGCCAGGTGACATACCAATTGGTGATTCGTCGTGAAGCACATACACATAATGAGATGTCAATGTACGTTCAATTTCTTGCGTCTTTCCAGTTTTGGTGAAGACGCACTCCATCTTTCGCTAACTGATCTGTGAAGTGCAGTAACGTGTGAGCTCCAGATGCAGCATGCGCGAATCCATTCTTGGCTCCTTCTCTGAAGTTTGGTAGCTCTGGTGAACTACCACAACATTGTCACTCTATCTATCCAATAAGTTCACGCACCAGAGACACACTAACAAAAGACCCAGACCCGCATAGCAGCTTCATCTTCGAGCCTTTTCATCGGTCAAGTCACGATGTTTAGCGCATAACGCGCTCGTCTCTCGCGTGCTGCAGCTCCAGGCTGCATAGCTAGACCCCCGACGGGCGTTTCCACTCAGTCTGTACTCCTTGAGTCTGGCCACATCATCCCATACTAACAGACAGACGGCGTCTTGCTGCTTTACCCGGCGATGCCCCCGCATTGACACACTATCTCGACCTGACGCAACATAATGGTGAGATAACAGCACTGCGCGACTGCTTGTCGCTTCAAACTCTCAATTCAACATTCGAAGCAATAGGCATACTCATCTACGCTGGATCTGGCAGTCACGACATAAGCAGTTCTATCGGTTGCGTACCTGAAATGCACATTTGTGGGCCTGGTGCAAGCCAAGAGGGGACTTCGCACATGCCCACCGTCACTGGCCACACACAAATATGCTATCATCCCTGAACAAAGACAATCTGCATGGTCAGTCCTAAGCGGATTCAAAGTCTCGACTGAGTCGATTCAGCCTGACACGAGCACTCAACTGGCAAGACACCCTACAGACCCACCTCTATCGGCAAAAGAGGGGTCAAATGGTAGCAGAGCTAAAGACCGTCACGCATTTGGAAGGGCACAATGTAAAGAGAGCACTAGATCGATCGAGTCAACACTCGAAGACGTCGCTGATGCTTTGAATTTTCATCGATCGGCTCAACGCCAATAATAAAGACCTCCACATTGTGCATCCGCGTCATGCTCCTGCACCCCGCTCGACGTTATTATGGTTCACAACATGTCCTCAACAAACCACGGAAGTACTGTGCAGTCTCCGGGGGTCAAGCTTGACCGATGCCGCACATAACGCGAAACGTACACGCTACAGCGTGCATGCACGCCATCACTCATTCAGCTTCTGTGCCGCGGGGTACCGCTTCCACGATGCTTGATAGCGGGGCAAACCGCTCTTGCAGAAGACCCTAACTGATACTCACATCGTCTTTCCAACTTTCGTGCTCATACCTCCAGTTTCTCCAGCTGAATGAGGAGCTTGTCGCCCTTCGGTGGGGCAGTGTACGAATCTGACTGCTGGATGCCAGTATCATCGACAACAGTCGTGCTATAGTTCGAGTATAGCGCAGCGACAATGTACTTCATCTCTGGATCGGTGTCAGTACAGCATCTCCTATGCTTGTCCTGGCTGACGATGTTCGCCGCTGCTGTGTACCCACTGCAATTGCCCCGAGATGCCGATGGTATTAACCAGGCCAATCAGCCAGCAACAGTGACAAGACGATGTCGGTCAACAATCCTCATCGAGAACTCGAGCCCGAGATACGATATGGACAGAACAAAAGAAATGGAAAAGTTGGGCTTGGTAAGAAGACACAAATGGCAGAAGAGATTGTGCACTTACGGTATACCGCCAGGTGGCTGCCCACACACATTCGTCCACCGCTACACCTGGTAAGCCAAAAAAATAAATCACGCATGCGCTTCAGTTGCATATACTGACCTGCCAAAAGCCCAGAACCACCTGCTTTCCATGTCCTTCCGCTTCTCCTCATCGACCTTGTCGAGATCCAACCATCGCTCTGGCCTCCACTCGCTCGCGCGCTCATACACTTCCTCGTTTTGATGCAGTATTCCAGCACTCGCGCTGACTCTGACACCCCCGGGCACGAAGTACTCCCCATTGGGACCGAGCTGACACCCTTGTGGCGGTGAGAATCGCGGTTGAGGGCCTGGAATCGCTGAGTGAAGGCGCAGTGTCTCCCAAATCACAGCGTGCAAGACCGGAAGCGCGTCCACAGTCTTCGGATCAGGCAGATTGGGCTGCGAAGATGGGATAACCCGTGGCGAGAGTGTTTGCAGTTCATTCTGCAGACGAGATTGGATATCCTTGTGCGTGGACAGTTCGTGGACGACGTAGGTGAGTGTGATAGCGGATGTGTCGAAGCCCGCTGCAAGATGGTCAAGCATCTCACTTGCGATCAAAGGTTTTAGGTCCACACCTCTCACCTCGTTCTTCTTGGCGTCTTTCGCTACGGCGGCTGAGAGCTGCTGGTAGACCGATGGGGTCTCCTCTGTTTTTACGCTTCCCTGCTGCATTATACCAGCAGCGCCATCGCACATATTCTTGGTCCACTTCTCGATCTCTGCATTTGCTCCATCGACCCATTTCGGCGACAGCCTGACACCTAGCCACTTCTTCAGAAAGCTCGTCAACCGCGGATACTCCTGTGGCCAGAAGTTCCACCCATGGCGAGATTTGTAGAGATCCAGGAACCAGAGCAACTGGCTAGGGTGCTCAATCAGGTTTGAGCCTGCTTTCAGACCGAACATATAGGACGTGACGATATCCATTGTGCTTGCGCTTAACAAGCTCGATGCCTCAAACACACCTTTCTCTGAGCCAGAGGCCAAGGACGCAAGGCACGGAAGGAGCCTTTGGTACAGTATCGTGGAAACCTGAGCTTGCAACGCAGGCGAGGCATTCACTACAGACTTGCTGTAGATATTGCTCAACATGCGCTTGCGTGCCGAATGCAGCTTATTGAGTCCCGTGGAGAACATGTTGCCATTTCTGCAAAGCTATCAGCATTTCCTCTCTGGCACCGCACCGCATACACACACGTGGTAGCGCTCAGACATAACATATGTATTATACATACCCAAAATTCGTAAAAAACCCATACCAATTATACCCACTCCTAGCATCCCTCTTTTCAAACCCGCCGGCATACACGTCCTTAATCCCGCCCTTGACGCAATTCACACTGATCTCCCTCGGTCCTAAGCATACAATCGGTCCCAGGCGGTCGTGAGCATCCTTGAGCGTAGCGTTCTCGATCTGACGCCAACGGATTGAGGATATCCATAGACCCGTGAATGGAGCTAGAGGGTGCGCGGCGGGGATCTTGCGTACAGGGTTAGAGAGGTAGGAGATGGTTATGCGGAGGAGGAAGAGTAGTGGTGCCAGCAGGACGAGCGTGGAGAGAGAGAGCATTGTAGGCAGGTGTAGGTGCAGGGAGGGTCGCCAACCCGCAGCAAAGAAGTAGGCGATAAAGAAAGCAATCCAAACAGCAATGTGGATTGAAATGAAAGACAGCAGCATCGCCCATCACGGACGAAGAATCACGCCTATCTAGGATGGCATTTCCCCTTCCTCACTCGATGTGACTAATACGAAGCATGATAGCCGTTGTCGGCGCCTTTGGCGTGTGAACATATCCCCGCGGACCCCGCAATGCAAGGCTTATCGTCCTTATCAATCAGTGTCCCGGTCAATTGCCGGAAGCTAGGTTCAGCCTCATCGAGCCACAGATTGAAGGGGAAGGTCCAACCGAGCTATGCTTCGGTGACGAGACGGTAGGGCATTGTGGAATGGGAGAGAAGAAAGACTGTTGGTGTGAGAAGGTGACAGCTCACACGATGAACGTTGACCTGCCAAATGTTACACAACGTAAACCTTCGCCTGCCCGCCTTGCATACGTGGTGATGCTGTGCAAGGTGCAAAGTCGGTGTAACGCAGCTGTTCACAAAAGAAGGAAGCGACGTGCTGTGCCGCGGAGGCCATCGTTATATGCCTATAGGCGAGGAAACACAACATATCTTGATCTGTTGTGACGGCTGCACGTAAACCATTTTCGTCCAGGTACATGATGAGCTAATGGACGTCAAGCGACCATGTCAATGATTCATAGTGATGTATTAGTGTATTGCTCCAACACAACTCCTTACTCTTGCGCGAGTCCCAAGGTATCTCCCTATAGTAAGTCAAGTCGAAGAAGCTAATGCTACAATGCCCAATCCAGCCTAGATTGACAAAGAATTGGGCTTGACAGAAATGGCGCCCAAAAACGCCCATCGCTACAAATACAATCATTCCCAATCCAGCAATGCTGCACGCTCAGCATGGGCCGTCCTAGGCCACCAATGCAGAAAGCTCAGCACACTATGCCTCACCCATGACAATATCATCATCCTCTTCCCCTTCAGCATCGACATCCATCTCCTCCTCAGCTTCATCGTCATAGTCCCCATCAGCGTCTACGTCCTCGAGCTCTTCCTGTTCTTCTTCAACCGGCATGACCTTGTCCTTGCTCCTGCTGCTGCTGTTAACGATAACTCGTGGACTACCTCCGGAGCTGGCGGAGCTTCTTGTACTTCTCCTGCCGTTTGTGACTACAGCCTTGACTTCACCGCCTTCGTCGAGGTCGTCGCCATTTGTGACGCTTTCGCCGAGTCTGCTGCGTGTACGTCGGGCGGAGATGGTTGCAGGCATCCTTGCGCCGTTCCGTGTCGGCGAGTCTCTGCGCGATCTGATAGGGGAGAGCTGTATCCTTGACACCGGCGCGGTGTGTATCGAAAGTGATGTGTTGCGAACTCTGTTCGGTGTGCTTGTCCGCCGTCGTGCGCCGAAGGGTCGACCGGGTCGGCGCTTCGTAGCAGGCTGCCCTGGGATCGGCGGGAAGATCTCGTAGCGTGTGGGTGGTATGGCGGGTTCATTACTAGTGATCGCGGACCCTGCGAGTGCTATCGTAGACCCGTTTGCCAGAGGGGTGCCGGTGCCAGTGCCGGGCGGTGCTGGAGAGCCATCATCGACAGAGTCTTCGAGAGGGATGTCAGGCCCTAGATCAGGTTCGTCCGCACTGGGGCCAGTCTCTTCGAGTGGTGTACCGTTCGCTTTCGCAACAACAGCATCCATCTGCACACCCTCTTCGGGTGCAGGCTTGTCCTCTTCTTCCACCTCATCACGCTGCTGCACTGTTTGCAACGCAGGCCCATCCTCGTACTGGCCAAAGCGACCCATGACGTACGGCGTCCAGACGAGACACTCAGGCTTGATAGTCGGGTTGCCAGCCGCGTGGCACTTCTCGATGTACGTTCTGAAGTAGTTGAGGTCCAACCGGAAGGCGTACTTCTTGGTGACAGGATCACGGACAAGGGCGCGGAGACCCTCCAAGGCGGACACAATGTCGTCGGGCGTCATACCAGTGCGCTCAGAGATGGCTGCGATGCTGATGGGTCCTTTTTGCTCTAGTAGCTCCTGGCAGAGCAGCAGCCGCCAGTACTTCCGATAACTCACAAGACCCATGTCACTGAGTGGTTTCTCTGGACTTCCAGTCTTCCTCTCCACTCGCGTGAGAAGGTAGGAGAATTCTATCAGGTACTGCCCGTAACCTTTGCGCATGTGTATCGGTAGCACAAGGATACAAGACACGTTGTTGAGCGAGCTGGGCCGCTTCTCTTTCGAGAAGTAGCCAACGAAATGGCAGCCATAATTGTCGTTCTCCGTCATGACATAGAACAAGAAGGGTTCCACATCGTAGTAGAGCGTCTTGGAACCCAAGAATAGCTTGGCGAGAAGACAAAGGTTCTGGCAGTACACTGGGTTCTTTCGACCATCAACTTCGAAGAAGGAGTATTTGCCATCGCGGTAGATCTCGTCACCAGGAGGGTGCTTGGCCGGGCACTTGAGCTGTATCGGGTTAGTGAAAAACCCGAAATGTCGCTCTGAGGAGTCCTACCTTGTGACGCCACGCGACGTAGTCAGAGTTCATGTACTTGAGGCAGAATTCGCAAATATATAACACTCGGTTCTTGCTGTACTCCTCAGGGTATGGTGCAGCATGCCATGTCTCAATTTCCCATCCTCCAAAGTTGACACACTTGATCTTGCTTGCTGCAGCAGCCTGCTTGGATGGCTTCGCAGTCTCGTGGTGAGAATACAGGGCGGCCTGTTTCTCTTTCCAGGCCTCCTCTGCCTTCACACGTGCGTCTTCGAAGCGCTTTCTGTCCGCCTGTGAAGGATAAGTCTTGGAGGTATCTGCATCAGCTTCTGACAGTACACCGCCATAAGGCTTGCTCTTGGTCTCATCCTCCTTCTCTGTGAGGCCTAGGAATGGCGCACTGAAGTGGTGTTGCACTGAGGGGTATTGAGCAATCTCGGGCGACTCTCTGGCTGCCTGCGCTGCTTGTCGATTGCGTTCACGCCTTTCTTTGTCTCGTTCTCGCCGCCGCTCTTGCCGTTCTTGCTCCAGTGTCAAGACCTTCTTCTTCGGCTTCTGCGTGACAATCTTTTGCACCTTCTCGTTAGTAAGATGAAAAGCAACAACGAGACTAAGGCCTTGGGACTCCTCTATCCATACGAGAGGTCTCTTGTCCTTTCTCTGAGGCTTCGCAGAGCGACGTGCGCGTGAAGATCGGAGACGCGCTCCTTCCTGATCTGATGCAGTATGTTGTGCATCTCCATCGGTGTCGACATCTGTCAGAGCATTTCTCGCAGATGGCCGTGGGGACGATGGTGCTACTGATGGTGCTGCTTCTGACTTCGAGACCTCAGAAGGCCTACGCTTCGTTTGGGACCGCCGTGATGGTACTGGTGCTGCCGTTTCCTCTTCGTGTGACGCTTTGCGTTTCCGCAACGATCGTGTACCGTCTGGTGCATCGTCAGGAAGAATCAGCTCCTTGAAGATGGAGTGCCCGCTAGGGTCTACACCTCGAGCTGAAGGAAGCAAGTCCCTAGCAAGTCTGGGTACGGATGATAGTCTGCGGCGAGTGAGTGATTCTGACTTCCGTGTCTCTTCTTCTTCGTCATTCTGGCGGTGGACGTCATTTTGGATGCAGGCGCTGCAACGCCACCGCTTTCCATCTACAACCGACGAGTTAGTCTCCCGCAATGATTGTGGAAGTGAGGATCATACCATCTTCGGGGCTAAGCGTATTAGCGTCGCGGGCGCATTGCCGATGTGCTGCAGGAACAGACATGTCAGCTACCAGGATCATAACTCAAGCATCTCATCAAGTCTACTTACAATTGTCGCCGCACACAGAGCACGCAAGATACTCTTCGTATTCCGGGCTTGGATCATTGTCCTCGGTCTGATTGCAGTATCTGTGAGAATATTAGTTTCCGAGTGTTTTTGGTTTTGGTCGTCGAGGCGGACTCACATGCACACGTTGGGATCCCTCTCAGCGACGTCGGCCCCTGCTTCCTCTTCGCTCTCGTCCTGGTATACAACCTCCTCCTCTTCTTCGGAGCTTTCTGATTCGTCATCTTCGCTATAGGTCTTGGCGTCTGATTCGGACTCCACGACAGCATCTGGATCGTTGTCTTCGTCCTCCTCTTCATCTGAGGACGCGTTTGCGCGCATCTTGACAGCACCCACAGCTTCGACCTCGTCGTCGTCCACCTCTTCGCCCTCCGCATCGACTTCTGAGCCTTCGGCGTCTGTGGTGTGGCCCTCGGCATCTGGCGTGTCGGCCGCCGCTGGCTCCTGCTCGTATTGTACATCGTCCATCTCATACTCCCCGTCCGCATCGATGTCTTCTGGCTCAGCGCTGGGAGCTGTCTGGCCCACCAGCCTGCCCGGCTCTGCCATGGCGAAGGAGACGGCGGTCGCCAGTTTGGAAACGAGATACGCCAGTGTCGCAACCCAGGTACGGTGAGAGTTCTAGATTACTCGGTACATGAGCAGTTGTCGCCGCGAAAGCGCTTTCATGTAGTCTTATTGGAGCGTGTTGTGGCGATGTCGTGGCGCGTTACTGGGCAGCTGTAGGGCCAACTAACGTCTCGATATCGTAATTTTGGGTCGTGAAATCGTATCTGGAGGCCAGACGAGGCCAACAGCTGATGGCGGAGCCCCGCAGTCGCGCTGGTTGTTGCTGTGTAAAGGTGGACGTGGGCGGTTGCTGCGACGCGCAATTATTTCGGCGGCATGGGGCGTAAGGGTATCGATGTTCGCGATTCGTATGGAAGGGTAGCTCTGGGCGACACCGTGAATAATCGCAGTCCGTCCGTAACGCGTGCGTGGATGATTATTTGACTGACCCAAGTCGTCGCTGCTTGTGGAGGTCGGGGGTGCCAAGGCGCGCCTTCCTGGCCGGGGCGCGCTCTCTCTCAGTTCCGACCTCACTTGTGAGCTATCGCACCGCACGATACCCACCCCCACCGAACCACAGCGACCGCTGACACTCTCGCAATCATGGGTGTCCCTTTCGAGGCTTTGCTGCCATACGCAATTATGACCGGCGTACGTTGACCGCCCTAATTGGCCGCGCTGGACCGCTCTAACGGAAGCGCTGCAGTTCTTCGCATTCAGTGCCGTGTCTGTTGGAAAGCTCAGGGAGATGCAGAACGGAGGAAAGAGGGGCAGGCGAGGCATTGATGCTTGGGATAGGGTGAGTAGCATTCTTTGAAAGCTTGGGAGAGCTCTACTAACAGCCATGCAGCAAAGTACGATATTCCTACGATGACCTCATGTTAGACACCACATACTGATCACACGGCAGTGATGGAGCGTGACCGTCGTCTGACCGGATTCATGCGAGGACAGACCGACAAGGCCGAGGCACCGGCAGGCTTCGAGCTCAACAACCCATGGAGGGTGCGTATATCAGTCTAGGAAGGCACGAACAATACTGACAAATGTACAGTGCGAGCAGCGATTCATCTAAGCAGTGCGCGAGACAATCCAACGAAAGCCAATGTTACATATCCAAATCAAGCAATGACAATTCCTTTTGTAAATACTAAGCTGTGTCCTACTTGATTTCTGATGGCAAGCCCTGGATACCCATCCTCTCAACCTCACTAAAACGGATACCAAGGTGCTCCTCAAGGGCATCCAGACGGTCTTTCTCGCTTTCGAATTCGATTTGCTTCTCTTTCTTTCCATGTATTCTCCACTTGAGGTCTTTGTCACTCATAATCAACTGCCCCGCGAGCTCTCCAGCATCATCCAAAATCTTCTTTTCCAAGACGATTGTCCTAGTAAAGAAGACGTGTTTGCTTGTGCTTGTGAAGTAGTTCATGACTACGTAGTCACTCGGGAGGAACTCAAGCTCGGTGAAGCAGTACATCATAGCGAACTCACTGTCTTCGTCCCGACGATGCTGGTATACCCAGAGGCGCTGGGTTGGGTCGGTATTTCCAGGCACATTACGCCATTGCAGACGAGTTGCGGCTGGTTTGATGTGCTCCTTGACAACATCTGAGCGATCCAGGGGCATTGGTACGATGGGGCCGTTACCACCGAAGCCAACATCAACGTGGTACTTCGACTCCCCGATGGTCACTATGTTGACCATGTGCGACCAGCCTGTCAAGACCCCTCCATCGTTGACACGAGCCCCAGCAGAGTAGATGTTGAAGCCGAGTGAGAACAGGAGTGTGCCAAATAGAGCATTGTTCTCCATGCAGTATCCTCCACGGCCATTGTTGTCGCCGACGATCTTCGTGAACAAGGCCTGAGGATGGACATTGATTGAGTGATGGGCTGAGTAGTGCAGCGTCAAGTTTTCGAAAGGTATCGCAGCAAGCTGATACTTTTGCAGCAGCGTGAGGTACTTTAGGGCATCTTCAGGGTTCAGCCCAGCAATGTCATACTTTTGGTCCTTCTCCGGCAGCTTCAGACGCTCGAAGTACTTCGAGATCTGCTCCCTGGAGTAAGTCGGTCTTGGTTGCTCGGAGACCATTCCGCTGATGCAGGGACGTTATCGAAATGCAAGTAAGGTGCGTGTCTGCCAATTTCAATTTTGGTTGGGGGATCGACGGTTCGGGCCTTTCGATTTGTGGGTTGACGTGAAGATGAAGACAATCGATTCCTTCGACAGTGCAAGTTTATGCATCCACAGCTTCGAGATACAGAGCGACAGAGTCAGAGCTGCGATTGATGAAACGCCCACACTTGATGGCGTCACTACGACGACCAACACGAAGGCAGATCGGCTGGCGTTGTGGAGCTCGTGCTTGCCAAGTTGATACCCGCGCGGCGTTCGGGCCATTTGAACCCCTGGAATTCGTGGCTTGACATGTTGACAGGGGCGCTGCCGCAGCCGCCCTCAAAGAAACATTAGACAACAGCTCCGCCTGCAAATGGATAGCGCGCTTCTCCTGATTAAATGACTTCTGCTATGCTCTGCCCGCCGTAAGCAGCTACTCTCGCTCCGCTGCGCGAGCTCTGCTCCTCTACATTCCCGTTACGCTCTCTCTACACACTGTCACTGCGCATCCACACTCCCGCGCATCGGGGCTTCCAACTGCTGCCACGACCACCGGGGCCTACCATGACCAGCAATGGCTTGCGCACGCAGTACCCCTATGAGGGCGGCATGCTCAGTCCGCGCCCGCTCTACGACTTCCCTTCCCCGAGCTCGAACTACCCGTCTGGGCTAGGAGCGCCGTCCCCCAGTTTCTTCCCTATGGCCTACCAGATTTCCCCACGATTTGGCGCCAGCGCCTTCATACCTCCGCCAGATGTCTTCGGTGATCGCAGGGATACTGTGCGCGAAAATGGCGGCTACACACCACGCGACTTGAGGAAGAGAAGCTCAGATGTCATGAACACGGACCCAGTCGCAATGCACCTGCTGGTAGAGACGGCGATAGGAGACAGCCAGTACTTTGATATATTGACCGTCGAAGAGGTGGAAGCACTCAAGCAGGAGCAAAAGGTACTTGACGCACGGCTTGGAACAGTGAGGAGAAAGCTAGAGTCTGAGACCAAGATACGCGATGCAACGCGCTCGCTCACTCGGCTGGCGTCAAAGAAGGGGAACGGACATCGCAGAGGACTGAGCAGCAAGGACAGCAATGCGGTGCAGGAGTACGACGAGCAATCACAGGAGGGCCTCGAAGCCAGCAACAAGAAGGTCGAGGAGTTCATCAGGGAGCTGCTAGAGATCGAGTCGCGAATGCGTATGATTGACATGCAGCTTCTCATGCACACGGCTGCTGTACTGCAGCTGACACACCGAGGCCCCAATAAGCGCAGCGCCTTTGGCCAGCTGTCAGAAAACGGCATGGGAAGACCAGACAGCCCGGCCAGCCTTGAGACGTACGAAGTCGGCAGAGCCAACGGCATCGATGATGGAGAGGACGCATTCGACGACAGGAGCTTCTATAGGACACCGGAGAACCTCGACAGTCTTATGACGGCGTTGCAGAACGGGACCCACCACCGCTCACAGTCCGTCGACCGTCAGGACCAGGCACTGACTACCATGGGGCGACGTCTGGAAGAACTAAACGACCGTCTGAGGGAGCTCATTGTGCAAGCCAACCCTGAGCGCAACGAGGATTACGCTCTTCCGCCGCAGTCATCCGGAGCTTCGCCAGATGCTTCAAGTATAGATCGTCAGCTCGACTTCCTCGACCAAGGACTTCGTGACACCAATGCTGAGCTTGCAAGCATCCGCAGTAAGACTCGTCACAGCTTGAGCGAAGTTGAAGGACGCCTTGAGGGTATCAACAACCAGCTATACGGCGTATTGAGCAGGTCTAAGCCTGACAACACCGAGCCAATTCAGCCTCCACCACCCATCACTGGAGGAGGGCAGGCCGATCAGTTCAATTACATGGAAGACTCCCTGTACAATCTTGAACAGATACAGGACTCCTTGAACGACCAATTAGACGAGTTGCGCTCGAGACCAGCGGACAATGAGGACGCCGAGAAGACCGAGAAGTATGAGACCACGCTTATGGGCCTTTGGCAGATTATCCAAGCTGGCGAAGAGGAGGCCCGTGAACGAAAACGAGAGCGTCGCCGTGTGCTTGCTGACGACCCCGATGCCAGTGACGAACTGTCGCCTGACGAGGACTACAATGCCAATGAGTCCTTTTCGCTACCAGCGTTCTCTGCAAAGGTGCAATGGCTGTTCGGTCGTGCTATGGGTATGAAGGACAAACATTCAGTACTTCTGCGCCAAATCAAGCAACAGCGCGAACTGAACAACAAGTCGGACGCCCAGAAGGAGGAACAATTCCAGCGCCTTAATGAGCAGATCTTCAGCGCAAGATCTGAGAAGAAGACAATGGAGGATGAGCTAGAGCGTGCAATGGGGCAACTCCGTCAATTTGACGAGCAGAAGATACAGGCTGACTCGCAGGCCATGCGTGACACGCAAGAGCGTAACATAGGTCTCGAGGCACAACTCGTCAACATGCAAGAACGCCTCGCCACATTCGATATGGAACTCAAAGAGTCAAAGGACCGCGCTGTTGCATACGAGAACCAACTCAAGGATGTACAACAGAGTGCTGTGGCCTACCAGAAGCAGCTGCAGGAAGCCGAAGAACGCAACTCCGCGCTCGAGAAGGAGCGCGAGGAGAATGAAGCGGTGACTTCGTTGTACAACGTGAAGAGCAGGGAGGTCGAAGACCGCAGTGCGGGCTACGAGGCCCAGATTCGGGATGCTCAGGAACGAGCTGTCGCTTTGGAGGCCCAGCTGAGGGAAGCTCAAGAGGTGCAAGACGACTCTCGTGTCGAAGCTGCAGCAAGACAAGCTGAGCTTGCGCAGTCTGCGACCAAGATCGATGAGTTAGTTACTGCCCTCAAGGCTGCGACAGTAGAAAGTGAAGCAGCGTCGGCTCGCTCCCTCGAAGCGACAAACGCGCTTAACGCCAAGGAGGACGAATACCGCAACCTTGAAAGCGAGGTCGTTCGGCTGACCACCGAACTCACTTTCGCTAAGGCCGAGCTCGATGGCGCATACGGCAGCCGTTCACAGCGCGCTGCGGAGTCCGCCGCCAACCCTGCTATCAAGAAAGAGCTCGATGAACTCACTGAAAAGAATCAGTCCCTTCTTGCCGAACTAGAGGCTCTCGGCAGATTGCAAGACGTAGCATCGCAGTCCGAAGCGGAAGCTCGCCAGTCCGAACGCAACCTAAAGGCCGAGCTTTTAGGCATGGCCACCGAGTACGAAGCACTCACTCGCGACGCTATCCAGAACGAGAAGGACCGCGAGACCCTTGAGGCTCAGATTGATAGATTGCGTAGCGAGAAAGAGGCATTGGAGCGCGATCTGAATGACGAGAAGGTCAAGTGGCTTGGCGCTCGTACGCCAGGTACACCAGCTGGTGGTTCCGGCCAACAGCTCGATATGGGAGCTACCAGCATTCGCATGATGCGAGATGAGTTCAGGAAGATGATGAGAGACCGAACAGCTGAGGGGCTGAAGGCATTGAGGGCAAGTACTCGAACTGTCCGACATATTGAGATTAGTATCTAACATGAATCTAGGTCGAACAAGAGGAGCGTCGCAAGCTCGAAGCTGTCGTTCGCCAGCTGCGCAAAGATGCATCTCCTGCACTACGACCGACTCTGTCCCGCCAGACCACGCAAACATAATCACCGTTCTATAATCTCAACAACATGTTCACGGCCTTGACGCCATGATGCTTTCTAATTCGGCATTTGTATTTTTATATACCCCTTCGCGCTTTGCATCTTGCGTCGCATCATGTAGCTAGGCGTTCACCATATTCAAGCATGCAAAAGGACGATAGACTCTGCAGTTATGGTGCATGAGCATAGACTAATGTTATATGAAGTAATAGAGTATTATTGAAATTAGAGCTGTTGTCTCCACAACTTAGGCTAGAAGCCCTCACCCAAAAAAAAACAATATTTTAACGTTGTACCTGGTGATGAGCGCCGGCACGTGAAGGGGAAGGAAGCGTGAATGCAGACCCCTGTCGAAGCTAAATTTCAGACCCTGGCTTGCAGCTTGTGACGCAAGTACTGCCCCGCCGCCTCGCCGGTCCCGCAGGCAGCTGTCAACGGCAGCTTCCAAACTTTGACTCAACCACGACAACAGCTTCAACACGCCACTACAAGCACGCTTGCTCTCGTCTTGCAACCACCAGACCTCTTTCTCATCCTGCAGCTCGCGCGCCACAGTAACCATGGCCAAAGGAAAGGGCGGCGGAGGAGGCGACAACCTGGGCAGCAAAAAGGCCCAAGGCCAGGCGCGCAAAGCCGACGCTGCCAACGCAAAGAAAGCTGCAGTGCAGGCAAAGGAAGATCAAGCAGAATCAGCCAACTGGGAGAAGGGCGCAAAGTCAAATGCTAAGGCGTACGTTCACCCACCCCCTACGTCACACTACTCACTAACCTCATCACAGCGACGCCGCCGCCGAAAAAGCCGCAGAAGCCGCGCGCAAGAAAGCCGAAAAAGCCGCCCTACTCGCCGAAGAAGAAGCCTCCCTGCCCTCGAAGCCCAAGGGCGCCGGCGCAAAGAAAGCAGAAAAGAAACCTTCAGGCCGGGGCATCGATTCCGCACTGGGCTCCTTCGACAAGCCGTCCGCGCTCAACGCATCGGGCATCGACAACGCGCTCGATGCTCTCGACATCACATCCGACAACAAAGACAAGCTGGACCGCCACCCGGAGCGCAGATTCAAGGCGGCGTACGCGGCGTTCGAGGAGCGGCGGCTGGACGAGATGAAGGACGAGAAGGGCCTCAGACGGCAGCAGAAGATCGACCAGATCCGGAAGGAGTTTGAGAAACACCCGGACAATCCGTTCAACCAGGTCAACGCGTCCTACAACGCTACACGAGATGACATGGCGACGATCAGGGAGAGCGTCAAGGGCGAGAAGGAGAGGAGGTTGGGTGGTAACTAGGAGTTTGTTGAGTCGACCGGAGTCGAGGATCAGGCCGTGTGTATCACAGAGACGGATTCGGAGTCGGAGTAGAGAGTACGCCGGTCTCGTTGGGATATGCCAAATGGTTCATGCGAAATGGATGATAAAGGGCTGAAGTACGACAGGGTACGCTACAAGTAGTGGTGGCGCTCGCTGCATTTGCAGTTCACGTATGTCAGGTACTGGGTTTCTATAGAAGAGTGCGCTTTTGCATACAATTCATCATATTGTTCTCACTGCGTTTCGATGCGTTGGATGCCTTCATCGGCGAGAGGTGTCACCTCAAAAGCGAATATTGCGGCCCCGCCGATTGTGGCGATGCTCATGGTGCTGAGCACTTCCTGACTTAGATTTGGGGTTACAGGTTTGGCCATGTTGACAGCTGCATACTGGCAATCTTGACGGCAATGGCAGGGGGGGTGTTCAATTCAGGTCTTTGAGTACGTCTCCAAGCTACGTGTTCGCGACTCTCATGTGTCCGTCACACAATACCCTCTTCCTTCTCCCTCCTCCTATGCTCTCTCCTCGCCCTCGCCGCCTCTCTCGGCCACAATATCTGCTTCAGTCCCAAATACGGCGTATTCACCGGACTCGGCCCCGTGTAGATAAACACATCATACAAGAACCCTCCAAACGTGCAGCCCAAGAACGGCGCAACCATCGGTATCCAGAAGTAGTAACCGCCCGCAGACCAGACTTGGGGCCCGTAGCCGACGGCATAACTCATGAGGCGCGGACCAAAGTCTCGAGCGATGTTGATCGCGTAGCCCGTTTGCCAGCCGAAGCAGGATCCCAGGCCGAAGATGAGGAAGAAGAGGCAGAGCGGGAACCATTTGTCTGATTTGGGGACGCCGTTGTTGCCTGCCACAATCTGTCAGCTTTAGCCCTGTTCACTGGGGGGAGGATACAGACTTGGATCCTTCAACGCAAAAATAACGAACATCAACAGCGCACTTGCAATAAACTCGCTAAAGAACTGGCTCGTCTTCGTCACAAACGCCTGCGGGTACGTGCAGAATATCCCGGCCGTCGCGTTCGGCGCGGGAGGAACGGTGCGGAGATTGTGGCCCTCGAAGTAGTCGATGGCGGAGATGTAGTTTGCGTAGACGATGCCGGAGCCGGTGAAGCCGCCGAGAATTTGCGCGATGAAGTAGATGGGGAAACGTCGCCAGGGGAGCTGCCGGAAAAGACAGTTGCAGAATGTTATCGCTGGGTTGAGATACGCGCCGGAGTCACCGGCGACGTAGATTCCTAGCATGACGCCGAGGCCCCAGCTATGAGGGTGTCAGTGAGTGAACAGATAGGAAGGGGAAAAAGATTACATACCCCCAGTTGATCGATTGATAGGAGCCAAACCCGTTCCCACCTGGTGCTGTCTCCTGGCCAGTACTGAGTAAGACTTGTGCCACTGAGCCATCTCCAAACATCACCATGATCGCCACACCCCAGAACTCAGCGAGCGGCTCTCGCAATACGGCGCGTATACGTGACCACAGAAGTTCGGAGGCTGGCCCGTGGTCATGCTCTTCATCGATGGGAGCGTCTGGGTGGAGGCCGATAATCGAGCGAGAATGGGTTAGGCTCGATGATGTGCGGTCTGTCGAATTGTTGGAGTGCTCGGTGCGAGCTTGCGTCAATGGCTGTGTAGAGGATGTGTAGCTGAGGTTCTTGCCGTTCTGATCGCCAGCCCAGTCGTGAGAAAGTGAGGATGGTGATGCCGCGGATGTCCGCGATGGTCCTTGGGCCATTGGACCTGCGTTTTGAGAGCTTGTCTCCATTGTTCTGTTCGTATGTCGTTACAGGACCGTTCAATTCAAGGTAATCGTGTCCTTGTTGATACTGGAGATTAATATGAGTTCGAGGAAGATAAACATCACAGCGGCCGTACGCCTATTTTAGTGCAGACAGAGCCTCGAAGGCAATCGAATTGACAGACGCCATCGCAGCTCCTTAAGCTTAAAGAGCACGAGCTGCTCACTCCGAGGTGTTCCAGGCGTACGTCACTGGCTGACCGTCTGGCACAGCATGGACGCTATTGGAGGCCATTGTTAATGACCTTCGAATAGAATGCTCACGTCCGGGGTAAACAAACGCGGGGTTCGCTTGGGCGTTCTGTCACTGGAGCTGTCAAGTACGCAAAATGACGTCGAATCTAACGGATGTGGAATCATTCCCGGCGGCCACATGTCCCGAGCTGCTTGACAATCAATGCTCCCGTCATCTCTTCCTGGGTGTATGGCATTGTACGAGGTGATGAACAGACACTGATCGAAGTATACAGAGCTTCATTGTAGTGGAAGAATGAAGTCATTCAGAAGTTGGACACGATCCCCAGTGTTATTGTGGAGAGCCCGTGGAGCTGCTGTGGGGTGCAGCTTGATGCGCGGCTGGCATTGGGAGAAGCGATGCCTGATAGGGGATCGTGTGACGCGTCAATGGACACTTGCCGAAGCGCGAACTTTGATGCAACTTCAACCTTCACACCTCACTCCCTGGCTGTCCCTAGCCTTGAATTTTCATACAACTTGCTCTCCCTACAATAAAGCCACTGATCACGATACGAGAAAGAGGAGGATTTTTTTGTAGTTGTGGCCGTCTTGCCTCCTGCTAGGCCTCCAGGGTTCAGTACCAGCGATCAATGACCCTTACGCAGCAAATTTGCGGTCTTCACAGCAGATGCGCTTTGACCTCTCGGCCAGCATCTATAAAGGCAGCCTATCCTGCTGGACGCGCACTACCGGAAATTCCACCTCCTCTGTTTTATGGTTTCAATTTGCCAGCCACCCAACGCCTGCACGTACCCATGGACATCAGTGGTGGTCTGCTACTGCCACTCAATACTCCTGCAAGACAATGCCTCCACCAGTACCGAAATGGCAGACAACACCGACCAGGCCGCATTCCCACTCTCTCGATGCGCATATCGTTGACAGCTTCAGGCCCGTGGAGCCATTACTGCAGAATGAGGATGCCTATTCCAGTACCTCGAAAGGTAATCATCGTGCACGCATGGGCGCGATGCAACAAGAAATTCTTGGAGCCTTTACAGAAAAATACATTTAAGATCTGCAGTGACTGACATTCTCGAGTGCGTCGCCTAAGACCATTCCACTTTGTAGATGGCCAAGTTGCAAGAACATACGCTGTCCTCACATGGGTGAATGACGGTATCCGGAAGTTGTTGCCAAGCTGGCCTATCGCCTTTAGCCCGTTTGTGCGTTGCATCGCAGTGCCATGCGCTGAAAAGTCCGGTATCGACTCTCCACCGCGCGGCCTTCACCTCTGAACGAGCGGCACCAGCGCCTACATACACTCGCCTTCACCAGGTCTCTTTCTGCATCTGGAGATGCACTCGCAATTTCTTTCGAAATATATAGCGCAACATTCGACACTCCTAGTACCTGATCATCAGCACGATCCTGCCTTAGGGCAGAGTCGGTCTTGGTCGCTGTGTTTCAACAACATACGCAAAAATCCAATTGACTAGATCGTGGGGCTGGGGATGATCGGTACAGTATGGCACAGCGCTCGCAGCCAGAGTTGCATCTACCGACTGCACCTTTTTGCTGATTTGTATGTCCTTGAGATGAGTAGCCTGGGTTCGAAGCGCGGTGTGGAAGGCGCCTTTCCTTCTTTTTGCTGCACCGGGACGCTTTCACTTGGACGCTGTGTTTGTTCAATCGTTCTGATCGTGCGAGCGCTCGCCTGTGTGCTTCCACCTGCACCTTAAAATTTGAGCGATGCAGAAGATCAATGCACCAGGCTACTATAATCCAGCGTACGGGCGTGTAGGCAACGTGTGCAGCTTTAGTCGCGCAGCGCCAAATGATAACGCACCGATCTTATGACATCTCGGGCACAATACAGTATTCTCCGCTTTGTTGAATAACAAGCACTCGATAGCTACGTGTACTGAGGACTGTTCAAAGGCATGCGACAAGTCTGTATAAAGGCGTATCAGGTACATCGTTCTTCAGTTTGAACGTACAATGACAATCACATCGATATACTTAACGCTCTTGGTAGTCCCACAGTCCATCCCATAAAACCAAATATTACACCAACAACACTACAATAAAAGCTAGACAGCACTAACTAGCAAAAACTCGCTCCCCAAACTAATATCTCGACATGTGTACATACACGAAAACCATATACCGCTGCGGCTGCATCAAGGACAGCCCGCTGTGGATCTGCGACCATGCTCCTCCAGACAAGTCTTGCGATGAAAACTCACATCACAAGCGAGAAGTGGATTGGAAGTGTGATCGACATGGCGGTAGCCCTGGGCGGGTTAAGAAAGATGATGGCTATAGCAATGGGTATCATATGGTCCGATAATATGGAATGAAACTCAAATGGCTTCCCTTGAAATGCCACCATCTACATGACCTGTATCTCACACTTGAACTGGCGCATTAACCCTTGGCCATGAGATGGGATTGATTTACAAATCAGAAGTAAACCCAACAACTCATACGCAAACTCGACCGCCATTTTCCCGTGCTCAAGCATATGGCTGAAGCTAAGCTCATCCACCTTATTGTGAGGAGAGTGGATATCTCCACTTGTGTCTCCAATCGCCGAATCAATGACAAACGCAGACGGTTATCCTGCCCTCGAGGCACTCGCATTCTGTCTAGATGTACGGGATGGTGCAATACTGGCGGTCGTCAGCTCTATCTTCATTAATAGCAACTAGCGCCAACGACTTACTGCAGAAATAATCTTGGCGAATTCCGTAAGCCCATCATTTACGAAGTCAACAACTACTCCAAAGCTCTCCTCAGCCTTGAAATCCGAATCCACATACTCAACCATATCCACCTGCAATATCCCTCTCGCCCCCCTCCCCTACCCTGCATACTCCTCAAACACAGCCTGAAGCCCAAACAACCCACTCGCCTCAGCAGCATACCAATAAAACTCAATCGTATTCTCCGCTTCCTCATTCTTAACTCTCTCATTCATAACCAAGACCCGCAGCGCTTCGAGGATGCCAAATGTCCCGCTGCCGTCATCGTCAGCACCAGGTGCGCGGCCGTGCATGGGATCGTGAAGGTTAAGGCTGTTGAGGTGTGCGCTGGTGATGATCGTATCGTTGCCTTTTCCAGGCATTGTTGCAATGATGAAATTCAGCGTCCAGTTTGCATAGATGTAAGATCGTGCGCTAGTGGCCGTTGCGTTGGACCAATGATGGTGTCTTGAACTTGGGTGAAGAGCCATTCGGGTGCCTGCCTTCTGTATGCGCTTTTGTAGTACCGGTTATAGAAGGCGGAGAAGGTTGTGAGTTCGGTTTCCATAATTGTCATGTTGAGTTGAGAGAGCAGAGGTGTAACGCTAGCTTGGTGGGAAACCGCGGAGGGGAAGGTGACTGCTGTCGCATTTCTGCACATTTGAGCCTGAGCGTGGGCACGGAGGTCAGGATATTGTGTGATGTCCATGAAGTGCACGCCAGCCTGGAAAGTTTTAGTGTGAAGCCATACGGGGTGCCTTTAGGGGACTTACTTTGCGGAGATCCCATTTTTCGGCTTCTGTGATGTGCTTGGTCTAGCCTGGTGCGAGCTCGAGGTTGCAGAGTTGTTCTCTTGTGGCTATGGTAGCTTCTCTAGGTATGGTGAGAGCAAGCGCAGTTGACGCTAATAACGCGAGTGCGAAAGTTGACTGGAACTTTGTGTTAGCGAGAAAGGCGCAGCAAGAATTTGTGTTCGAGAAAGTGAAATAAAGGGCTTTCGCGTCCAATTCATATTCTTATATAATTCAGTCGATGATGTTCTCTGGCTGAGCCATGGTTGACTTTCTGGATAGCTTGCAAATGAGCCTATTGTCATTCTAGTGTTTGTTAGTGACCACAAACTGTCATAAATCATGCACCGAGTTTTGCTCAAGAATGTTTTCAGCACAAAGGAATAGGAAGCAACAGTCATGCTGGTCGGAGCTAGGAGCCTATCTTGGTTGTAAAGAGTGACAAATGTAGGAACGTTCTTCCCCAGGTCTCCAACCTCCTACGGACGCCATGCGCGTTATCCATACGCCTTCTTGCCATTTTCGTGGTCTCATGGATCGGTGGGCTCAGGACCAGCGCTGAGCCACCTTCGTGCCTGCTTAACTCGAAGCAAAAAACCAACAAACAGAAGTGCCACCTCAGGAAAATAAGAGAACGACTACGGGAGAGCACGGAGAATGTACAGGAAACGAATGGTGCACGAAAATCGTGCGAATGATGGAATGTTGCTGCTTAGTTCTTACCAGGCAGCACAGTCGCGTACCCAATGATGACCGAAGTCACGAATTTGGTACGAGTGCCGATGTTGACCGGTGTCGAAGAAGCCTTCTCGACGATCGCAGGTACGGTGGTAGTCGAAGGCTTTACCTCAGGTGTTGGAGTGACATCAGCGCCAACAGTGATGTACTGCGTAACCAGCTCCGTCTCCTGCACAATCTTTGTTCCGCCCTGACCACCAGCTGAACTGGCGGCAGATTCAGTGGCGTTGTTCCACACCCATTCGCCAGATGAGGAGTCGAAATGTCCAGCGACTTCACCGGCGGGAGTGGTGGAGTTGGTGCCATCGGGACCGGGACCGTTGTAGACTGGAGGGTTACCCTCAATATCGTGGTTGTACTCGACATCGCCATCCCAGGTAGGAACTTCATCGTCCGACTCCGGAATCGAGACTGGGACGTTGAATACGGTGACATTGAGACCGGCAGGTGGATTGTTGCGTGGAATCTCGCTATAGTCCAAAGCTTGGATGCGCCAGCTGAAGTTGGCCTTCAGATAGGCTGCAACTTCTTCCTTGTCCAAGCTCTTCAGTTCTCCTGACTGGTGCTTCTGTGCCAATCTTTCGGTTAGCACGATGTTACCCGTGACAATTACGTCTGAGTTCATGCGAGGCGAAGACATTGAGGCGAGTTGACCAACATAGTTCGGGTCCGTGGGCCAGTTCTTCGGGTCAGCATCCGGTTCGCCCAAGAATGCGCGGACAGAGTAGGAGATCTGGATGTCTGTGGGCATCTTGACTTCACATAGCCAGTCTGTCGCCTTTGTGGTGCTGTTCGTGGTACCGTTATTGCCGATACTGTTGCCGGGTGCCGGGACCGTCGAATTTGTGCTGTTCAAGCCTTGAGTTGCCGGCTTGTAGAGCTTGTTGAGGGTCGAGGTGAAGGTCTGATTGGAGGGGTCCGACATGAGTTCAGGGTAGGTGTAGCCAAACGATGTCCAGTTGCGAGAAGTGGTTGAAGTCCACATGTCACCAAGAGCGTTCATGTGGAACGGGGCAAGAGGCGACGCAGGACCCTCGATGGCACCTTTGGCGACCGTGAAAGTGCCCTTAGCCTGTGCTGCATCCTCAACCCAGGTGTCAGGGTACCTGTACTGGTACAACGCAAAGATGCGATCCATGTTCGCGTGGTGGAACCAGAAGACAGGGTCGAACGCCGAGACTTCGACGATACCCATGTGACCAAGCCCGAAAGCATTGTGGAGACCATCATGGAGCGTTTCGAAGTTTCCAATAGTTCCACCATTGGCCTTGTTGCTGACCTGGTTGAACGGTTGATACATCGTGAGTAGCTTGTAGAGCATGTCACGGTTGTTCGGCTGTTGTTTGCCAATGCGCTCGTTCGCTGCATCATTACGGCTGGTGGCATTGAGAGCAAACCCATCGACCGGAAAGCGGATCGTGTGATTCCAGTTTTTAAACTGAAACTCGCTCTGTAGCATTGTTAGATACAGCATGCCTGAAATTAGAAAGATGATGTACGTACCAAAGGTGCAAAATCATCATAGTCCAAAGGATGAAAATCATAACGGTACAGAGGGTTGGGAATGTTACCCATCGTTCCGTTCGGGAAAGTAACAGTAGCTGTTGGGCGACGAAGACTGGCAGGCATGCATCCTTCGTCGCTGTTTGGTGGATCCATTGCCCAGTCCCAGTACGGCAGGCGGACTTTGTCAGCTATCGCCATGGCCTTGTCCCGAGTCGAGCCTGCCGGGTGCTCCTTGGCGATCTCGACAGCACGGTCGTGGAGGACCTGTTCAAAAAGGGCAAGGTAAGGCCTATGCCAGGGACCAAACATGTTGCTCACATGAGGGCAGTAGCCCATCATTTCTTGACCTTCTACGCCCGTCACACCGTCCCATTGCCCGAATGGAACTCCGTGTATCCCTGGTAGTGTTAGTCCCATCAAAGCGTGAGGCACATATGATCATACCCGCGACTTTGTAGTAAGACACCTTTTCACCTTGGTCCATAGCCTGGAATCGAGCGAAAGCTTGCAAGAAGATGTTCCACGTTTCAGTGTCCTTCTCGAGCTCGCGCAGCTCCTGTCTTGGATGCACTCCGGTCCCCTGCACTCCAACAACGCTGAAGTAGCTGTCGTCTGCCTTAGCAACTCCGCATGACGGGCCATCGGTGGAGTTGGATACGGCTTGCGTAATCGCTAGTAAAGAAAGGAAAGTGGAAAAAGTTGCAACAGAAGAAACGAAAGACTTCATCGTGGCCAGCCGGTAAAGAATGAAACTGATCAATCGAGATCAAAGAGAAGCGAATGTGCGACTTTGGCGCAGAGAAAAGAATGTACGTCACAAGGACTGAACGAAAGACTGGGCAAACTGGGTGCGTGATGCGATGGTCGAAAGAGCAGAGCAACAGGACATATAAGCGACCAACGAGATGAAGAGGAGTCGCATATGTCCACTGCCCCGCTGTCTACGTCTGGTGTACCGGGCTATGCCGTTGTCACTTCATGCAGAGATCATCCGGAAGGTCGGTATGGTGGAGGGGCTGCCAAATCTGTCACAGGGGACCCTGTAGGCATGCTGATACTCGAGACATGTTTAGTTTCTCGCGCATAAACTTCCTCGTGGGCGAGAGAAGCACAAGGACGCGGCCAATGGGGAAAGGCGTTTCATGGCGCCACCGTCATTCTCTAGTCTTGCCTTCTCCAGATACTCTCAGCACACATGAACAGTAGTAAGAGTTATGTCCATAACACTGTCGTTACTGTGACAGTATAGTTGTGATGGCTTGCGTAAAGTGTCTTCGAGAGATCGTTGGTCGTTAGTAGAATGTTCGATAAGGCCAAAAACTTCCAGGCTCCATCATAATTCATAACAAAACACTCACGAATCTGAGCCACGACCATGATGTTCGATAGAGTGTGATCAGATGTGTGTTGTTGCATGCTGTGAGATGTAAGGAGTGTGGCACGGACCACTTTTCGCTGGTGCGACACCACCAAGCATCTCGTGTTGTCCCAAACAGATTGACAAGCCACTGCCATTTCCGACGGGCTGAAAAATGGATGAGGCGGACCCTACAAGAGAGAGCTCCATAGCTTTCGGTTGCTGCCGAGTGATATTCGATGAGCCTCGCCGTGGAGTTCGTTGTTGAAGTTGGTGTAGGTAGGTCTGAGTAGGATTGAGGGATGAAACACTCCACTGCTGGTTATGCAGTATTGCGCAAGATGTCAGCACGTCTTTCGATTACATGCCCGCGGAGCTTGTGCAGTTTTCCAGTACAAGAATCTTAGGCAGCCTCCATTGTGTCTGGCGGTAAGTCTTTATCTCGCGCAGAGCTTGTGAGCGATTGCTTTGCAGCATTGCCCGGTCTTGAAGGGCCACCTTTTCTCTTCCTCACATTATCTGTATCTCCAGCAACGTGTGATCTCGCCCATCTCTTGACTCTCACGAACGACTCAACCACTGATGCTGGCAGCCCGCCAACTTCCGCGGCGGACATCCCGTTACTCTTCATCAGCACATCCACCCATGTCCTGGCTCTAGTAATCGCGGTGTTTAGTGATTGCCCGTATACGATATCGCGGAAAGAGGTGAGTGCTATGTTGCGTAGAAGTATGATGTTGCCGACTTGGAGATGCTCCAAGGTGTGCAGAAGCTGAACTTGCGCATGATTTTGTTCGTTGTTCGAGTCGCGAGGTGGACGTAACCAAAATGTTACTTTGAAGTTTGAGCGTGTGTCATCTCCCACAGTAACCTCCCACAAGTCCATCTTGTAACCACCCTTGCGCACGAACACTTCGCGTCGCTCGGGCGTAGTCATAAGAGCACAGAGAAAATTCGGCGTGGGTGTCTGAGGGTATATGGAGCGCAGATGCTGCGCACTAGGTAACGATCCGAGAGTCGTCACAGCCATTGCGGATGGTACCTGCAAAACGAGTACGTGGCTGTCGACCGGAGAGGGGCTGCTAAATCCTGATGCGGTCGTACCGAAGGAGGTCGTCAAAAACGATGAGGATGTCACTGTGTTGTCCACAGCCCTATCTTGGACAACCTGTGAAGACAGCAACGTATCGTGAAAGAGAAGGGAGTGCTGGAGGTAATCATCCGCTGCAGAAGCCTCATCGTCAAGCGTAAGCGTGGCGTCGAGGTTGGTGGTGTCATACTCAGGCAATGCAGAAGACTCTTCGACGCCTGGTATCGTGAAGGAATGGTTGTCATGAGCACCCTGCAGGCCGGTCCCAGGGAGATGAGGCTGCGACCATCCTGTGCGAAGACGGGCGTTCTTGAGTCTGATGACTCGCCACCTTAACGCAGCCTGTTCTTCGGTAGACTGGCCATGCCATTCTTTCACATCAAAGCCGTTGCATTTGGCAAGTTCGAGAAGGGTGCTGTCGCTGAAGTCGAGATGTTCGCAAAGCGGTGCGCCATTCAACAGCTTGAGCCTCATTGGCTAGAAGTGCTTCTGCAAGTGTTTGTGAGCCAATCAGCTGCGTTGAGAAAGGGAGCAGAGTGGAGTGAAAGAGTTCGGTGTTGAGTTCGGAGAAGATGCAATGTCCGAGTACCGTTGCTCTTTTCTTCTATCGGCCCCTACAATTCACCGAAGGCATCAGCATGGGGATGCAATAAGAGCGGAGATATCAGCAGTCATGCTTTCATCTCTTCGGAACTTCCTTTCTGTCGTGCTGCCTCTAGAGATTCTCTAGATACCTCCACGTTGAGTTGGCGCGTTGAGATATCGTCATCGCTCTCACTTTCCGCGTCAAGTCTTGGCGATCTAATCTGATTACAAAATCTCAGGCCTGAATATCAACGATGGCGCCTCCTAAGCCGACCCACAAGCCTCTAAACGCATACAGAATGACTGCAACACTTAAAAACTTCGCCTACAAGCTCTCTTCGACGTTGTCGTCGTCTGAGGTGCCAACGCTGAAGAAAGATGGCGAATTCTCCAAAGCTCGAAAGACGGAGGATCTATTCCCCACCACCGACCCCACGATAGACGGTGACGACTGTTTACACGACTGCGCAACATGCACGATCAAGTACCCGCGCAAATTTGAGATCGACGAGACGGAAGAGCTGTACGGTCATGTGAAGGGATGGCAGACACATCTGATTGTCGCAACCGGGAAGACGGATTGGGTGCGAGATGTTGCGGATGAGAAGGGGAGCATCATGGAGGCGGTTGACAGAGGGAACGTGAAGCCCAGCAATGGGGTGAGTAACAAAATGTTACTAATAGAACATTCGCAATACTAACTGTCACTAGAAACTCATGTTGTCCGCCTCCGACATGCCTGTACCTAATCACTCAGACACCAGCTCGATGGTGTTGCTGCTACCGTCATGGCATTTAATCGATAACGTTACACCTGCTAACGTCCCCGATCTCATCACCAGCTATGTAGATCGAAGCCCAACGAATGACTCGCCGCTACATCGCAAACCCATCACATCCTCGCAGCCGTCGACAGTACCCTCAGAAGGCTCGTCCTCCACAGATCTAGCATCGAAAGCTGCAGAGACCACGATACCGCATACGATATCCACGAATTCGGAGTTGAGGGCGCGACCGTGTCCGCACAAGTATCTGATCCTTCTGTGTAGTCAGAAGACTCGTGATGCGCGCTGCGGTCAGTCTGCGCCACTGCTGCGACGCGAGTTCGAGCGGCATTTGCGGCCACTGGGTCTTTACCGAGATCTGCACGATGAGCGACCTGGTGGTGTAGGAATATATTTCATAAGTCACGTTGGAGGACACAAGTTCTCAGCCAATGTGATGGTCTATCGACACTCGTCGACAGTAGAGCATCCGAACGAGGCCAACGGCCACGCCAATGGGGTCCAGGAGGCATTGGAAGAGCTCAAGATCGAGTCAGACAAAGGTCATGAGGTGGTTCTAGACGCGAACACGGAGCAACAAGCGGAGAGCGATGGCGAAGCTGCCCAGTGCATATGGCTGGCACGCGTTCGACCAGAGGATTGCGAAAACATCATTAGATACACCATCCTGCAGGGTAAGGTGGTTAAGCCTGAGAGGCAGCTAAGAGGTGGATTCGATCGATCGAAGCAATTGACAAGCTGGTGATGTTCACCTGTGCCTTTGCGATAATACAACTGTCAGCCCTGAACATCGAGCACTCCTGCTAAGATCGAGCACATTTTCTACTTTGTTCCACGCATGCCCTGACAATAAGTACCCCGCACCGAACCTCGACCTTGTTTACACGGTTGTCGACCGTGTTCAACTTACAAGACCGATCAAGACAAAATCGCGTTGAGAACCGATCTTGACCTACCATAGCTATTGACAAACTTCTCGCAAGTCGCACTTCTCTGCCAAGCTTTTTTTTTTTTCGGCAAAAGCTTCGGATCGCTTCTATCTCCTCCAGCTTTGTCAGAAGCGACTACGGGACGAGCGAACTACCCTACATCGACCCTGACACAGGCGAGGTGGGCAGTCCGGCGTCAACCTCCAACGTAGCTTCTCCACGCATCTGGACAATTGAAAGCCTTGCGACACTGGCAACACGTATGGCGGCTTCGAGCTCCACGGTGTCAGCGGCTTTTGCGCCTACTGCGAGCGATACGATTGGTGCCCCTACCCATACACTAGCGGCGCCGTCGACTGCTTCTGCGTCTCTACCAAAATCGATCATCGTGCAATAGGAAGCCTAAAGGCGCCTAAACTCTATTACAACAAATCTCATCAGGCTGAAATGTTACAGCCTATCATCAACGCCTGACGTGCATGCAAACCCAGATTACATTACAGCCTCATGGCTGCCGGTGAGATATTAGGGGATTGGCCTCGCACAGCCTTCTTGATTGCATTTTCGAGTTCCTTTTCTTAAATATGAACCTCCTTCATCTTTCGTCTTCGACTGAGCTTCAGACCGCCCAATCGGTAATCTCAGACGTATCGAACGTATAGTTCTACGGTACTGCTGCAGCAGATCCTGTCAATTCCTGGTGTCATGTCTGACTGCTACAATCTGAATGGTACGATCCCCAGTGACTCTTGCAGCGTTTTACGCTGATAGTCTGCGAAAGAGAAATTGGCCTTGCAATCAGACGTCTACACTGGCGAAACATAACTGGTATCCTGCCGCAACGGCACAAACAACTACTGCCGACGAAACGAATAATGCGAAAGCAATCTTTTCTGCAAATCAGCCGACCGGCCTGATGGTGGCTATCTCAAAAGGCAGTATTGCAATAATGACCTTTGGAGTAGATGCTCAAAGGTAGCACCTGGTAAGTCGAGAATTCCACGCGACGACAGCTGGAACAACCAACTGAAGCGATCCACCGGGAACCAAAGCAGGCGGTATCATCCTCAACAACTGCGGAAACAACGTAGTGACCCATGGTAATGGGAACTGCACTGCGGGTCCATTTGTATTTGTCGATCCGATAAATAGGGCTGTGACTACTATGTCTACGAGTTTGGAAACTACAGCAACAGCTTCGTACTGATCGGTCGACACTGCAGCAGCTTTGGCATCGCAGCCAACAGCCTCCCTGTCTGCTTCTTTGGCACCTGGTTCGAGCGCACAATCGACATCTACCTCCGCTTCAACAACACCGACATCAGTACCACCGACATCCAGTCAAAGTTGTTCCCCGTCAGGTGGCTCGTCCAGTCTGTTCGCGGGAGCAGGGGCGGGTATTAGTATTGGTGCTGCAGCCGCCGTTGCTGGTGTTTCTTTTCTTGAGTGGCTTTGGATGCGCGAGCGCAAGAAAGAGGAGGGCATTGCAGGGTTCAATCCAACAGCCATATGCGCCAGCTACCCCTGAAACAGCATACTCGCCGTACCCCAGAATGACGCTTATAAAGTTGCATATGCTCGGCATCATGATTCGCGCGCGTAGTACCCTCTACAAGAGTTAGAGAACAACCGACCGAGGAACGACATGCCCTGATGTCGGTGCTCTTTTCGTAGCTACGTTGGTGAGGGCCTCCAGGGTCAGGTCTGGGAACCCTGACATCGCAGATTTGTGAGCTTCCGTCTTGCCGATCGCAGAGATTGGTTCAAAATTTGAAGTTCAAAAATCTCAAGTTCGACGTAGCTGAGGGCCTCCATGGTTAGCTTTGGGGTTTCAATATTGAACTCTCGATAACCTGAGTTGGAGTCGAGTCAGAAGAACAGGTATGGTGTGGACCCATCAAAGCCCGCATTGTTTCTCAAGAACACAACTTTGTGCATAGCCAAGCCTGGCTTTCTTCGATTGTACTTATTTTTTGCTCGTGGGTATCATCTAGGTAATGAATCGTATATGATGCTACAGCATCGCCTCTTCAAGTAGGGCGTCCGTCCGCTGTTAATAATCGTGTCGCGTCTCCCGTGCCCGCATCTCGAATACCATCATCGATCTTGTCGCTGGTTCTTCCTCCTCTTCCCATCTCTTCGTACGCCTAAAAGACCATCTCGTGCGGGTGCTGGCCACTCCTCAAGCTGAAGCTGGCACCCAAGTACGCCTCAAGATCCGGCTGCTGCTTGATCGTCGCAATCAGCGCCTTGTCAACCTTCTTCTGGTCTTCAATGCGCTGGGGATCGGTGTCCTTCTTCTGGGGTGTGGTCTCGCCCTGCTCGAAGAAAGCGTCCTCGCCCTTGCCCTCCTTCTTCTCGCGCGCCCAGTACTCGTCCTTGCTCACACGGTCCAGGACTTCGGTGTCGAGGTTCGAAACATCAACGGAGGCGCCGGTTGCGATTACGTAGCGGTGGTTCACGCGGCGCAGGGGGACGCCGTTAGACTTGAAGGGGCCGGTGATGAGGAGGACGCCTTGCGAAAGCTGGCGCAGGAGGACGACACGCTTGCCGGAGAAGCGACCGGAGAGGAGGATCAGGATTGTGCCGGGCTTGAGGGAGTCGCGGTATTTGGTGGGGTGGGCGGTCTTGCGCGCCTGTTCTGTTGTTAGCATGTGATCCGAGGATATCGCAGCTTCGCGATTTTATAATAATTCTGACATGAAACCGTGTCGCTGCTCAAAAATTAAATTTGGTGCATACCTTCTTCATCTGCGACTCCTCCTCCGCAGGGTAGTAGCGCGAGGCCTTCTGTTCGCCAGCAGCAGTAGACATTGTGAATTGTAGATTCTGAGCTTCAGTCAGAACTTCAAGTCTTATACAGAGATCAAGTAGCACAGAATTACTCACATTTGGAACGTTTGATGTTGTTGATGTCGCCGTCGCGATAATGCTCGACAAGCTGTGGGAAGCTCGCTTGTACTGACCAATGGGAGAAGAGCTAGCGCCTATTTATAAGTCGACGTCATCTCCTTCCTCTTCACGCCTCGAACCCTCTTCACGCGTCAACAACAATGCCTTGAAGTCGTTGGCACGATTGGCATTGTGTGTTACAGAGGTTCCTATCGAACCAAGGTAGAGGGTATGCTCAATCGCGCTACGGTTCGATACGTGTCAAGCTTTAGCAATTACGGTAGGTACTACCCCATGGAGTGCTCCAGGAAGGTGCACGACTGCACGCGACTGGCACGCGACTATCTCAGATTATGGCTTGCCACAGGCAGCATTGTTGATGCCGCTGCTTAGCCTCTCCTACACCTCTTCGATACATACAATATCTCGCAACACCTATAAGATATCCCTATCTCCACCTTTCCCTACAACAATTGTTTTTGGGTGACATGGTCAATTTCTTCTGCCGCTTGGAAGATGACTCTCCCACCTACACACCCAAGCAGCTCCTCGTGCGCAGCTTGATCCGTGACATCGATAGCCGGCTCAGCTCGGAGAGGATCGAGTCGAACTATGAGCTATTGGACGCTCTCGCTGATGCAACTGTCAGCGGTGGAGTGGACGACAAGCAATATGTGGTCAGACGAGATCTTCTTGGTGGAGTAACGCATGAGTTGACTTTGAGCAGCAAGAGAAACTAATGCGCTTGCTTGCATCGCTTCCGACTGCATCTCAGACTCGAGATGTCGGCACAGGCCTCCTACTGAAACGGCTTCACGATGATCTTCAGCATCCACCAGCATCATCTTTAGGCGGTCCATGTAAGGCTTTTAGGACAGTACAAATGCAATCGTTGACACATACAGACAAGTATCGCACCGCTGATGGAAGTAACAACAACATTCGTCTACCCAATCTAGGCCGAGCCGGATCCTACTATACACGTTCAGTCTCCCCGAAGCACATACCCACGAATCTGCCCGACCCAGAGATTCTCTTCGATACTCTGCTCGCAAGGAGGGCAGAACCCAAGGCGCACCCAACAAAGATATCCAGTCTGCTGTTCGCTCTCGCTGGTATCATCATCCATGATTTGTTCCGTACAAGCGACGAAGACAAGGATGTCGCAGTTACATCATCATATCTGGATCTTTCACCGTTGTACGGCTGTAATCAAGAGGCGCAAGATAGCGTCCGTACCATGATTGATGGGAAGTTGAAGACAGACACCTTCACAGAAATCAGATTCATCAACCGGCCGCCACACGTGAGTTGGCGACCTATGTGGTTTGTACTATCTGGCTCTCTGCTAACAACGTTTCTTTGTCATAGTTTGCAGCACTACTGATCTGTTTCTGCCGCTTCCACAACAGCATTGCGACGCAGCTTGCAGCCATCAACGAAAACGGTCGATTCACACTGCCTCCCCAGACCACTTCGCTCGGTCGGATAGCGTACAAAGAGTTGCTTGCGAACCGAGATAATGACCTATTCCAGACGGCCCGTCTGATCACCTGTGGGCTATATATGCAGATAGTATTGAACGATTACGTTCGAACTATTTTGAATCTGCAGCGGGTAGACTCGGACTGGAAACTGGATCCGCGAAAGGACTTCGACAAGCCCCCCGGCCAGACGGATATGGAAAAAGCATGCGGCAACCAGATCAGCGTTGAATTCAATTTGATCTATAGATGGCATAGCACCATCTCGACTAAAGACGAACGGTGGCTGGAGCAACACACATCTAAGCTTCTTCCAGATGTGAAGGTGGAGAGTATGACGGTTCAGGAACTGTATACTTACATGCACCAATTTGGTGCCCAACAACCGTCAGACCCAAGCCAACGGACCTGGAACGGCTTACAGCCGCAACCTGGAGGGTACTTCAACGATGCTGATCTCGTCAGAGTTCTGACTGAAGCGACCGAAGATACAGCTGCGAGCTTTGGGGCCCGACAAGTACCCGTCGTGCTGAGAGTGATCGAAGTGATGGGTATACAACAGGCCCGGGCTTGGGGCGTAGCATCTCTCAACGAGGTACGACGTCACTTTGGGATGAACGCGCACAAATCATTCTTCGACATCAATTCGGATCCAGATATCGCTACAGCCCTTGAAAATCTGTACGGCGATGTCGAGAACGTCGAGCTCTACCCTGGCGTTGTCGTTGAGGAGACGAAGGTGCCAATGATCCCTGGATCAGGGCTATGTGCTGGCTTCACCACCAGCCGAGCGATATTGTCCAATGCTATGGATTTGGTACGGCGTGACCGGTTCTACACGGTAGACTACACACCGCATCACTTGACTGCTTATGGATACAAAGCGGCATCGAGCGACCCGTCAATAGCTGGAGGTGGTGTCATGCACAAACTTCTGATGCGAGCTTTGCGTAAGTACAGTCAGTACGTTCAATGCACAAAGCTAACGATGTTTAGCTGGATAGTATCGCGGCGATTCAGTTTACGCGTTGTACCCGTTCACCGTCCCGCAAGAAACGTTGGAGATCCAGAGATCGCTTGGACACGAGGCCGATTACTATTACGATGCTCCAACACTCATTTCTCCATCGACACTTGTTTCAGACTGGACTTTGATAGAAAACATTCTGAAAGACTCTCGAACATTCATTGCGCCTTGGGAGTTGAAGTTACGGACCCTCGGTGCTAGTCACGGTTCTTCAATGGGTACCCAGCCCGAAATCGCTAAGGAGGAATCCTTGATTCGAACGATCATTCTAGGGCCAATCGACTCTCTCAGAGAGTTCTCTTGCTACGTCGAGAAAATAACCAGTGGGTTAATACGTCAGAACAGTCGCAAGGCCCACAATTACCTTGAGATCGACATCGTCAACAGTGTGGCAACCTCCACGTGGACCGAGTCTGTGGCACGTCTGCTCGGTATTCCTCTCAAGGCTCCAGGGACGCCTCAAGGAGTGCTTGATAGCGAAACACTTCAAGAGCAATTGGCTGCTTTATTTCGATATATCTTCTCAATCCCGAATTCAGATTCGACGCAGGAGCTTACGTTTAAACGGAACGCTTTCCTGGCGAACAAGCAGCTGAGAAAGGCTATCAACGAAGTGTGTGAGGCTATCAAATGCTCCTCGTTTGCCCATATACTTCTTCACCGACATGACAGGAAAAGTTCGGACAATATCATGAGCAAGCACGGAAGTGAGCTATTGCAGCGGTTGTTTGAAAGTGGCAAAACTGTCGAAGAGGTTGTTTCCTTGGTCGTGCTGCTTGCTGTGGAGCTGGTGACTCCAAGCATCTTCGCGGTGAGTTCTTTGAATACCTCCACGCTTCTCGGAATAGCAATGCTGACTGCATCAGATTGTTCGTATCCTTGACCTGTTCTTGTCAAAGTTGTATGAGCCTCATTGGGCAAGGGTACAACAGCTTTCACGCAACACGGCTCCTTGGACATCACAAGCTTTGCGTGTTTACGTCTTAGAAGCTTTACGTCTTGTGCCACCCGCAGCGCCCTGCCTCCGCATATCAAACATGTACCCTGGCATCAACGATTGGCGATACGCCCAGGCTATCAAGAAGGGCGACACCTTGCTGCTCGATTTTGCCGCTGCAGGTCGTGATGGTGAGAGGTTCCCATATTCAAGTGAAATGAAGCTGGGCCGGCCGCTTGAGGTATATCAGCATCTGCCTTTCATCGACGGACTGCATAGTCCTTTGGTGAAAGACATTGCTGTTGCTGGATTGGCAGAGCAGCTGCGGGTCTTTGGGAAGCTGAAGGGCCTGAGGCGGGCGCCAGGTGCTCCAGGAATGCTGAAAAAGATACGCGAGAACGGGGTGGTGAGCTACTTGAATGACGCTCAAGACGAATGGGTGCCGCTACCGCCGAGTCTGAAGCTACGCTTCGACGCTTTGCCCTAGAAAAGGACCGCGAGCCAAGGCCATGAGACACCATATCCAATCGACTACCTGAAGTAGCATCTTGCTATTGCTTCTTTAGCTTCTGGTTCTTGACAATGCTGTACCCTCGTATTTTGTCCCGTTACCAAGCTCCCGAACGATGGCCAAGTGTGCACGGCATGTATCCCAAGTATCCAAAATCAAAAACATCCGTGCGCCAAGCCTCAAAATCAATCTGCATTCGACGGAAAAACAGTTGTTTGCCGTATTGGGTAGTTTGAGAGAAAGCGGATTCACGTGGTGGCGCGAAACGCAGGGGCAAGCCCTGTATTTGGCGCCGGGCGGATCGCTGCATCATCATGGCCCGTAGATGCGCTTTCATAAATCGACAATTATGGTTGTTGACTTGAGGCTGAGATTGCAATTGCGCAGAAGCATGTGAAAGAGGCGTCACATCCGTTACACGCCGCGTGGCTCAGCCTCGAGTTAACCCTGGAGGTACTCGATTTGTGTCATGGAGCACCAGGCTGTTCAGCGCGTGCAGCCGGACATTTAAGATCCAAGCAACGATCGTTGTTGTGTGATTGAGTTCCACATGTAGTCGTGACACCAAATCTAGAAGCAACGATCGGAGGCCATTCATGCCAATCACCATGGACAAAAGGAGAATCCAAATATATCCTCGGAATATTGGACTGGGCGCCAAAGATGAAGGACTCGCTAGGCGGGCTCAGTTGTTCGAAGCAATGAAATCCGACTTCTGAAACATGCATCAACTTGCGTGCAGCCAATCAGCGTGAGGGTTTCGAAACAGCCCTTCCCCGAACTTGACCAGTCCCTGCAGGGGTCGCGCGGCTCTTTCCCCAGGTGAACTTCAATCTCCAAATTGACCCACCGATGCAAACACCCGGCCACGAGGTCTTAATAGAAGCAAGGCCCACTTCACCATGGCCCCTTCGTTCACATTCGGGCTGCTTCGTTCAAGCACGTTCACTCGTTACTCTGCTTCGCGCTTCTTACTTCGTTTCTTACTTTTAGTATTTGCAATATGAAGTTCTTCGCTACTATTGGAGCTGTGCTCCTCCCTTTCATTGCGTCGACCGCAGGCGGCACCGAATTCGATCCTGAGGATGAGACTTCAATCAAGGCCGCAGCGAGAACTTACGCTTATGGGTTGATGGAACTTTACAAGAACAATGCTACCGGAACAGCTGCACAGGATATAGGAATCTGGCCGCAACCGCACTACTGGTGGGAAGGAGGTGCTGCGTGGGGAGGAATGATTGAGTATACCCAGTTCTCTGGCGACAACTCGCATGTGAAGACGCTTCAGCAGGCTTTGACTGCCAACTACGGACCAAACAACGACTTCATCCTGTCGTACCGCAAGTCGCAGACGGGAAACGATGATCAACTTTTCTGGGCGCTGGCTGTCATGTCAGCACTCGAGTACCAGTTTCCGGACTCCGATTTGGCTCCTGCTGGTTACCTGGAGGTCGCTGTGAACGCTTTCAACAACGTCGTCGGACGATGGGACACTACCACCTGCGATGGAGGACTGAAGTGGCAGATTTACCTCGAGAATTCGTACGGCTACAACTACAAGAACTCGATCTCCAACGGATGTGCATTTGCGCTGGGTGCACGCCTCGCCCGCTACACTGGCAACCAGACATATGCGGACTGGGCGGAGAAGATCTACGACTGGACCAAGTCCGTAGGCTTGATCACTGACCTTTACGAAGTCTTCGACGGCACCGACGACAAGACAAACTGCGCAACGGTGGCTGACAAGACTCAATGGACTTACAACAACGCTATGTTCCTTCACGGCTCCGCTTTCATGTACGACATCACAAACGGTGCGAGCGTATGGAAGGAGCGTGTATCTGGATTTCTTTCGCACGCTGAGCTTCTGTTCTTTAGCCCAGAGACAAAAGACAACATTATGTACGAGTGGGCTTGCGAGACGGGAAAGTCGGGACGTACCTGCAACCTCGACCAGCAGTCATTCAAGGCTTACCTTTCCCGCTTTATGGCGAAGACCGCAGCCGTTGCTCCATTCACAAAGGACACCATCACCAAGTACCTCACCGCGTCTGCCGTTGGAGCTGCGAAGTCGTGCTCGGGCGGAGATGACAAAGCTACTTGCGGTTCGAAGTGGTACACTGGCAGCTGGGACGGCACATCTGGTGTTGGTCAACAACTCGCAGCTTTGGAGGTCACCCAAGCACTTCTGTCGCTGAAGCAGAACATTGTGCCTGTTAAGAACGGCGCTTCAGAGCCCAAGCCTACTACGACCGCTACACCGAAGCCCAGCTCGACACCTGCTGCCAAACCTACTACCGTCCTTGCCAGCAAGCCGGCTGGATCAAGCAAGGCAATTGAGCCTAGCCAGATTCCCTCATCTAGCAAGGCTGCGCCCGCTGTATCGAACGTGTACGCACCCGCACCGCCAAAGTCGACTAAGGTTGCACCCGTCAGCAGTATTGCTCCTTCGACCAAGAGCGCTGTCTCCACTTCTGCGGCTGCAGTCGCCTCTTCAGTCAAGTCTACCCAAGCAGCGGTCGCTCCTACAGAGAAGCCTGCAGGCAAAGTCGGCAAGATCAAGCCGTCTGCTGGTGTTGTTACATCCTGCTCAACAAGCACGACACTTACCGTCACCATCTCAAAGCCGACTGCCGGTGTTAACACCAGCTGTACGCCCAGCACAACACTCACTGTCTACGTCCCTCCCGTCACATCAGCTCCGGAGGTTCCATCTGTAGCGACTTCCAGTGCACCTGTGGTACCTCCGGTTCTGACCACACTCTCGCCTGTCGCGCCGCCTGCTAACGTCAGCGTGCCTGCTAGTGGCAGTGTACCTAGCTCGACGGCACCAGTGGAGTTCGAGGGTGCTGCTTCAAGCATGAAGGTCATGGGTGGCTCAATCTTGGGCGCTGTTGTTGTCGCTATGGTGGCTGGCCTGTTGTAAAAATTAAGCTCCTAGTGTCCTAGTTTTTTCTCTTCTTCGTAGTCCTCTTAGAACATTTGTTCGTTGTACATATACCCTTTATATCCAGTCTCGGCCAAGATCCAGCCGTACTATGGTTCATAGATAGTTTATAGACCATACTAGAATCAACAAGTTCGCGAAAGCTGTGTTACAAGTTCAATGATGACGTTTGCGGCTCGTCTTGCGCGTGAATGTTCCTTGTGAAGCATATTGTCGCAAACGTCTTCGTTTTCAGGGTCCAGTCCCCTTCTCGCAGGTGTCCATCGTCAAAGTAGACTGGTGCAGATCACAGTCTCACCTGCGAGCATGATGTCGCAGGCATGATGTTGTTGATCAGCCGCCTTGATCTGCCATGCCGTCTGGCAGCTGCCCCGCGCCACCAAGCTCCTCAACGTTGCGCACCATGACCAAACCCCTCTTGCCCGCGGCCGCCCGCTGCACTTTTACATATCTGAGCGCTCAACAACAGCTATAGCGCATCCTATACGCGCGCATAGCCGCTTAATCCCCTCGGCAAAGGCCTGCCAATCCGGCATTCGGCTACTGGAGCAATTGTTGTGCGGGAATTATGGGAGCCTGATGCGCACCCGCTTCTTCTTGCACGCGACAGTCTGAGCGCGAGACAACGTGTGTTCGAGATAGAGATAGTAACAAGTGAAGGTGCGCAAATTACAGTGACATTTAGAGAGCAATTGCTGACATGTGCCAGGCTGCAGGAGTCCACCGTGTCCCCACTGTTCTTCTGCACGTTCGCTTCGAATCTTGAGGGCGTCCCGCAAACCTCCCATCACGTCACCCCACAATCGCTACACACGTACCACTACCGCCGTACACATAACACAACACTACTAGCCATACAGCCTGTGAGGCTGCACCGCGACAATGGTGGACCAAGCCAAGGGCAAGAAGCCCATTGCGGCTATGAACAAATATGTCTACGATGCCTTCCTCTGGACGTTCTCGATATTGGTGGAGCTCTTCTTTCGCGAAGTCCACCCTAGGAGTAGCTGGAAGGTGCCCAAGGATGGACCGGTTATCTTTGTGTGCGCGCCGCATGCCAACCAGGTATGACATCTACGCTTGACTTCTGCGTGGCAACGCAAAGAGCTAATAAGAGCAGTTCGTCGACCCTCTGATGTTGATGCGCGTAGTCAAGAAGGAGTCCGACCGCCGAATCCAGTTCCTAATCGCCGACAAGTCCATGAAGAGGAAGTTCATTGGTGCCATGGCTGGCTTGACGGGCGTGGTGCCTGTGGGAAGAGCTATGGACGCGACGAAGCCTGCGAAGGGCAAGATTTACCTCCCGGATCCCATCAGTGACCCGTGTCTGGTTCGAGGTGTCGATACAAATTTCGAGGACCCGCAGTTCATGGTTGGTGGCTCGCTCGTGCTGCCGAAGGTCGATAACAAGGCAGCTACGGCGGAGATACTGGAGATCAAGGGACCGGAAGAGATCAGGCTTAAGCGTGGGTTCAAGGGCGGTGTTGCTATGCAGCAGCTTACTGGGCGTAATGATATGACTAAGGATGGCACTTTCATCGATGGCGCTTCGGACAAGGAGGGTGTTGCAGATGGGTTCGAAGGCATCAACTTCCTCGTTGCGCCGAAGCTTGATCAGACTGATGTCTACGACGCTGTGCACGACGTGCTCCACCACGGTGGTAGCATTGGTATCTTTCCTGAGGGTGGCAGCCACGACCGGACCGATCTTCTACCCCTAAAGGGTAAGTTGTACTCTTTTCACTTTGTGCATGTGCTAACGTTCAACAGCTGGTGTCGCTATCATGGCTCTCGGTACGGTCGCATCCAAGCCAGACTGCAATTTGAAGATCATTCCAGTCGGCATGAATTACTTCCACGCTCACAAGTTCCGCTCAAGGGCTGTCATCGAATTTGGTACACCCGTCGATATCCCTCCTGAGCTGGCTCAGAAGTTCGAAGGACCAGGCAGGCGTGACGCTATCGGCGAAATGCTCGAGTCTGTCCGTCAAGGCCTCATTTCGGTCACTGTTACTACACCTGACTACGAGACCCTCCAGGTCATACAAGCTGTCCGACGTTTGTACAACTCCAAAGGCACGAAACTTCCGCTACCCAGGATTGTGGAACTGAACCGAAGACTCGTCAAGGGGTACGAACGCTACAAGGACGACCCACGCATCGTCGAACTCAGGAAGGAGGTCATCTCATACAATGCCAAACTTAGGGCTGTTGGACTCCGAGATCATCAGGTGCAGTATGCCAAGATGCATCCACTCAACGCCTTCTTCACATTCTGGTACCGCCTGAGCAAGCTTCTTATCCTGACCGCGTTTGTTCTGCCTGGCACTATGCTATTCGGTCTGGTCTTCATTTCGACCAAGATGATCTCCATCAAGAAGGCAAAAGAAGCGCTTGCTGCCTCAAACGTCAAGATCCAGGCTCGAGACGTCATGGCCACCTGGAAGTTGCTTGTTGCTATGGCAGTAGCTCCCGCGGTCTACTTATGGTACATCAGTCTTGGCCTCCTCTGGTACAGGTACAATTACTGCAATGGCTACCTACCTGCAGGGATTCGAAAGCGCTACCTCATTATCATCCAGGCCATCATCTACCCGACCGTGACCTACGCAGCGCTGCGCTTTGGCGAAGTCGCTATGGACATCCTCAAATCCCTCGGCCCGCTCTGGAAGATGATGAACCCCTTCTCATCCACCGAACTCGTCAAGATTCAACAACGTCGCGAAAATCTCGCCCACCGCGTCAACGGACTCATCAACGAGCTTGGGCCCGAGATGTTCGACGACTTCTACAGCAAACGCATCATCCAGGATCCCTTCACCACAGAAGAGGCGGAAGCGCCACGCACTCCGCCGCGCAAATCTCGCGCCGAAGCCGAAGAAGAAGGCCCCACTAATATCGAAACATACGACTACCCCATTTCGCCTACCAGCCCCGGTACAGAAAACGAGATACCCCGCAACGAGTCCTTCCACGACCTTGCGAACCAGGACATCTTTTCCACGCGTCCGCCGACGCCCAAGAAAGGACGTAGCAGAAATAGCAGTTCAGCAAATCTCGGGTTCCAGCTCAAGCCGTTCAGCACTATTGACGGCAATTTGGATGAGGTGAAGCAGAGACTCAAGGATGGTGTAAGGCATCGTAGGCACAAGAGAAGGAGCAGTGGGGCGAATAGTCTTGGAGATGGGTTTGAGAGTGATCGGAGTAGCGAGGCGGGGGAAGTGGAGGGGTTGACTATGACGAAGAGGAAGGACAGGTGAAGAGATGAGAGGGCGCATGTATGGTCGCGCTCGGTGGATTGAGAGCTAGATTTGGAAGGGGACGAAGGGGCTTCGGTTTGGTATGGCAGAGCGTTGAGAGGCATTATACCACTTTTACGAATTCATTCCTTGTTTTGAACTGCGTTCCAAAGTTTTGAACCTACAAACATTTAGCAGATGAGGAGGCATCCATCCATGGGGAGAGAGGAGAGCATATTCCACGGCCGAGAAACAGTCAACATGGGTTACAGGCTGCATCATGGTTGGTATAAAGTTCACCGCACATTACTGTTGCAGATCACGCTAACCTCAACACGGCTTCCCGAAGATAGTTTCATAAGCTTCCACGACTGTCAGAGTTTAGGAAGCCAATCAGCCCTAACGAGTACTATATCCAGCGCTTCACAAATAAATAAAGTCTCATGTAGCGGTCATAGCGAGTAAAGGTATATCAATTTCCCTGTTCGCTGCCGAATCTATCTACTTCACTCACACTCCAGTACACTTTCCACAACAAACAGTTCCACTCGAAGCACCCATCATGGCCTGTACAAAACCATCCATAGTCTTCATCCCTGGCTCTTTCATCGACTCCTCCTACTACCCAACTCGTATGGAGGGATCGTGGTAAGTGAGTGTATGAAGGGGTTGAATGTGGGTGAGAGGGAGAAGGCAGGGAAGGAGAGCTGAGAGTCAATGCACAAATCGCCGCCACAATTTCCAAAGGCGATCGAGGACGCCGAAAAAGCTGGGTATTTCCAAGGAGTGCTGAGCACTCAAACGAGTGACCAAGAAAACGCTCTCCTATACTACCTCCGATATGTGGAAGATGTCACCGAATCTGAGCTGTTGTGGGCGCTTCGTTTCTTCCTACAACACGGTCTTCCATCTATTGAAGCGGGCCGCGAAAACGCCACCCCACTCAGTGAGGCTTTGCATGTGAAAGCAAGATCTACGCCGGTCCTCTGCATTGTGTTAGAACACGCTATGCGAACAGGGGGGACTCAAAAGATGATTCTACATTTGTTGAAGATGATACTCATTTCTGACCAGGCGGCGTGAGTCTGGCATGTTCAAGAAAATCCCTGTATTGGTACAGCATGTTATGGATCTCGAAACAGCCAAAGAAGCGCACGTAAAGCTGACAAAAGATTTTGACGAAAGGCCGTTCGGCCGGAATGATTATGTTGATGCCTTTCATCGAGTTCTCGATCTTCTTGACCGAAAGATCAAGCAACTAGAGCACCCCTCTTCGGCCTCCTTCCAGGCGTAATTCACGCGTTACTCACATTTGTTGTACCAATTAGCAGTTCAAGTGAGCTAACCGGTCACTTCTTTTCGCAATAGTTAATCACCGCGCACGTCAGCTCATTTGTTCCCGTGCCGGCAGCAATGATTGTCCAGACTCTTGTTCGATCGAGAGAGCCGAAATTAAGCATTCAAACACAACCTTGCGTTGCCCCCGCGATGTCGCGATGTTGGAGTCCTCCAGGGTCCTCCAAAAAAAGAAGAAAACGATGTGTCTTGGTAATGTGATTTTTTGAAGAGTAACATGCCCTGCTTTTCATGAATGTGATGGAGGTATGGTCTGAGACGCACTGTGCACGATCTACTTCCAGGCTTCTCGATGGGGGCGAGAGTCGGGGCTTTGGATACATGTACTGCAGATTAAGACTTGAAAGAGCGAGGGTCATACCAGTGTGGAGAGCACTGTACACGACATAGTCCGAAAACGTCAAGTAGTATAAGAAAATCGATCTTTGGTACACATATCATCGTACATTACGTCCTGCCTATTTTACTCTGAACTCCAAAGATGAATGGAGATGTGATGTCGAGATCGAAGAAGCTTTTGTCGCTTCCAATGCCATAACGCCGCCCAATGCTAACCACAGATCCCCTTCCCTTCTATAAGACAGCCCATGGGTATACATATGGTACAATGAAGTGCGTGACGCTCAGTGAAGCGTGATGACGCTTCAAGGAAAGCGAGGGAACGCTCGTGACAAAGCGCTGAGACGCCTCTGAGGAAACGAAGTAGTATACAAACATCGGCCGTCAGCTTACAGTCAAACAACAAGAGGCATAGAAACGAGCTTAGAAGTCTGATTCTTGGCGAGGAGCTCTCCTCTCGCCGCCAAAGCCGCCGTCGCGACCACCGCGACCTCCATCACGGCCGCCACGACCGCCAAAACCGCGGTCTCCTCCTCTTCGGTCGCCGCCAAAGCCTCCACGACCGCCGTCGCGTCCGCCGTCGCGTCCGCCGAAGCCGCCGCGGTCACCGCCTCGCCTGTCGCCGCCGAAGCCACCAGATCGACCACTGAAAGCATCAGCGCCGCCGCGGTCCTGGCGGAAGCCGCCACGGTCACCACCGCGGGAACCACCAAATCCGCCGGAGCGACCACGTCCCCTACCGCCACCGCCCTGGAACAAGCTGGAAGGAGGCTGGGGAGGTGTGGGCAGACCCCAACCGAACTCAGCAAGCCTGTTCGCACCCTCGAGCAGACCATGCTTATCGCCATACCACTGGAAGCTACCGAACAGACCACGGAAAGCAGCGTCAAGCTGGTCAGGGTAGACCTTCTTGTGCGCCTCAGTGACGTCCTGGAGGATCTTGCCAATGTTCTCGGGAACCTCGGCGGGCTGGCTCATGTCGATTTCGGCAGTCTCAAGCTCTGATGTAGCGTCGTTAAGAGGCAGACCGCGCAGACGGCGGCGGATCTCGCCCTTCTCGAAGGGTGTGAGGACGATCCAGCCCTCACCCTCCTTGCCAGCACGACCAGTGCGACCGAGACGGTGAATGTATGATTCGCGGTCGCGGGGAAGACCGATCTGGATCACGTGGGTCACGTTCGGGAAGTCCATGCCACGAGCTGTGACGTCAGAGGAGAAGAGGATGCCGGACTTGCAGACGCGGAAATCGTCAGAGGCGCGGGTACGCTGAGCCTGGGAGAGCTTGGAGTGGATCTCGAAGCTGCGGAGGCCGGAGAGAGGGGAGTTTCGCTTGAAACCGCCGTTGAGCTTGTAGAAGACGGATGCTGCGAGGGTGACTTCGGCGGTGGAGTTGAAGTAGACGATGGCCTTGAAGGGGCGGCCTTCGCCAGTCGTGGCCTCCTGCTGCTTCTTGAGGACAAGTTCGTAGAGACAAGGCATGATGTTCTCGAATCCAGCGACCATGACCTGCTTCTGGGGAACACGGGCGTGCGTGGGCTCCTCCTCCTCGTTGACGCACTTGGCGAAGTGGAAACCGGGGCGGAGTGTGCGGCGGACAAGATCGACGACGTCGCGGGGGACGGTGGCGGAGAACATGAGGTTTTGGCGCTCGACCTCCTCTGGGTTGGGAAGGTGCTTCTTGATCTCGTCGATCTCCTTGGTGAAACCGTCATCCAGTAGGCGATCGGCCTCGTCCATGACCAGGGCGTTCAGGTTGGGCGCCTTGATGCCCGAGTATGGGTCCGAGAGGATATCAAAGAGACGTCCGGGAGTACCGATGAGTACATGGCAGCCCTCACGCTGAGTCTTCTGGAGCATCTGGCGCTTCATAGTTCCTCCAACGGCTGCCTGCACGATGAGACCGGTGTTCTGAGTGATCTTCTTCGCCTCAACGGCGATCTGCTCAGCGAGCTCACGGGTGGGGGAGATGATGATGGCCCTGATGTCGTCGGACCTCGCGCGCTTGTAACCGCGGACCTTCTCGCCGAGCTTGGGGTCGCGTGTGATGATGCGCTGGATGACAGGAACAAGGAAACCCAGCGTTTTACCAGTACCGGTCTTTGCCTGTGCAATGCTGTCGTCTGTTAGCCGGTACGCTCTTTCTTGGCTTGTGGTCATGCCTTACACGTCAACGCCGCTGAGGGCTTCGTTGATGGTCCTCTGCTGCACATCCGTCATGGTCTCGATCTTCATCTGCTTGGTGATGGTGTTGATGATGTTGGGGTGCACGAGGCCACGGGTAGCGAGCTCTGCAAATGTAGTAGCGGGCCCTTCCTCAGCAATCGTCTGCTCTGCCTCGACCTCCTGCGCGACCTGTTGCCACTTTGCGCTGCTGTGGAATCCGGCAATGGAGGCATTGGCGATGCGGGAAGAAGGTATCCTGAGCGTAGTCGATGTGCGTGTGAGAGGAGTGCGGAGGATGTTTGAGGAAACAGCAACCCTAGAGATGCTCTTCGACAATGTCGCCGGACATCTTCTGAATGCGCCGAACATGATGGATGATGTGATTGCGGAGGTTCGCCGCGTTGTCGTTGTGTTTCGAAGGGTATCGCAGAACAAAGTACTAATATACTAGAGTGAAGAAAGGCGTCTAAATGAAAGGCGCCTCGATGTCAAAGGCAAAATGGCGATGGAAGAACTGCGATGGTGCTAGACAAAAGTTTCGCCCTCGACTTTTTCGACGCACGGGCCCGAGTCGCGTTAGGGGTCGCAATCGCGCTAGAACGCCGCTAAGATAACAATCTACGCATCACCGAATGGCTTCGACTTTGGTACTCCTCCTCTGTTCTCGAATCGACTCTCAACACATCTACAAAATCTATTCAATGCTCCCGTAGTCATCATAGGTATCTGATAAGCTCCAAGCGTACCGCAACGCCGTGCAAATGCCTCGGCAATGTCACATCACTCGATCCTCTCCACCTTACCCGTCTCACGAACCCTCCGCTCCCGATTCAGACCCTCTTCAAAGCCCTGCTGCATCCCGCCCGTTACGCCTCGAACCCACCAAATGGTCATCTCGTTAATGGCTTGACCAACCTTTCCGTCGTTCATCTGGCAGATTGTCTGCGACAGTCGAAGGCTCCTCCTTCCGATATCATCCACAGTGGTGATACTGCCGTTGACAACCCGTCTTGTGATCTGATGCTCACGCTCGAACTGATATGCGTGTGAGATGAATATTCTGATGTACGGTAGTAGGAACTGGATGAGTACGAAGGTTTGTAGAACGAGTGTCGCGGTGATACGATGCAGTATTGATGGGTTTGGGGATGGCATCTCACGCTGGACCTGGTTTTGCGCTGAACGTGGGACAAGTGCATGGCTGCCTAGATCTGCCTGCGAGTTGACTAAGCTTTGTGGTGTAGCTGTCTGTAGACTTAGTAGTTCTTCTGGTGTGAGATCTGACGGTAGGCCCCGAAGAAGGTAGGTCATGCCGTGCAGGTACAGTTGTCTGGTGAGGACGGGAGATGTTTCATCGGTTCCATAATTTGGTATGCTAGACTCTCGGTGTGCTAAGGTCAACAGATTGACACCTACAAATTGTCAGCGTATGTACTGTCTACCATGGGCGACTTTCTGTACCTTGACCAGCATACTTCCAACTGATGCCTGTCTTTCTTTCGTACATAGAGAACGGCGGAGGGTTCGAGCTCATCGAGCTGCCCGGTCTCTCGAAGACATCATCCGGAAAATCAAGCTCCGGCTCGCTAGCTAGGAGTGAATGCCTGTTCGGTGTTGCGCTACCACTGCTGGGCCTTGATGTGTAGCCAGGCGGTGGGGTGCCGGGCAGGGGAATCTCTGTTATCGAACTCGTCTTGCTATGGAGTCGTCGGTCGCGAATCTCGCCTATTGATCGCCGTATAGAGGGTATCGTAGGAAGGTGACTCGACACCATGGCTGGAAGAACTTGATAAATTATGCTGGTTCGAACATTCTTCAGCTCTGTTGTATCGACGAGTGTGGCTGCGTCCGAGTCTGTCTCGAGGGCACTGGTTTGGTTGTGTTGCTGCATGCTGCCCTGCTTATCTATCAAGGAACGATTGTAGAGTTGTGTTGTTGATATCTTTCGCAAGACAACTGTGAACCGCAAGCAGACGTCGAGACAAGAGGTGGAAGAAACACATGTTGAAGTGGGATTCTTCGGGCGGGCGATAGACTCAGCCGCTGCATAATTGACGAAAATATCTCGCGCCGCTTTGCTGAGGCTCCGCTGACCCTTCCATGTGAAGAATCGTGAGCATGTGAAAGTCGTTGAGACGTGCGCCATCAACGGCGGCTAGCGTCGCATTGCCGAACACCAATCAGCCGAGCAACGTGGGGGCGTCAGATCTCACATTCTACGGGGGCTGGTCTGTGATTGAACCTCCGAGACACGGTCACTTTCGTATCTGCGAGATATCGTGCGGGGTACGGAGGGTGTTGAGAAAGTTGAAGGACGATTGCAGTTGGACCCTGGAAAGGACCCTGAAAAGGACCCTGACCCTCGCGTTGCAGAAAAGGCCGGCGATAACGTCCAGACGACAACGCGCAACAACAAGCCTCTGGAGGCCTTCAGGTTAGATTGGTACGCCACTCTACTAATGAAAATGACGTCGTAGTCTTGCCAGGATTTATAAGGTTGTTGGTAGCCTGCATCTGCTTGTTGACTGCCTCCCGGCGTTTTCTGCTACTCGAGCGTCTGAGTCTCAGTGCCAACACGATGTTTGCGCCGCCGACTCTTGATGTTCGACTTTCCATTCTACGGCAACCTGACGTGTCTCCCATCACGACCGTTAGGTGGCATACTCACGTGGTTCTCCCATCTTTAGCAGAAGTTTCTTTGAGAGAAAGTAGAGAACCATCTCAAGGGCTTCTGACAGACCGTGGAGAACTTCGTGCATCTTTCCCAGATCATAATCTGCCTCATCAAGACCCCTTCCTTCATTCTTCCTCATCCCCTTCGTAAAGTCCTGCACTCTCCACGTATACCCACAGCCAATCTTCACTTCCTTCCTCAAATTCTCTCCCGCCCTCCAAGCCAACGTCCTCAAACCCACAGTCCTCCCCCAATGTACCACAACCGTTCTTTTCTATCGTTGCTCCACAATCCCACACTTCAACTCCGTCCACCTCAATCAAGATACCCAGCCAAAGAACACCCTGAATGTTAGCACCAAGACGAACAGTCACGTGCAGAACCTCGTCAACTTCCCATACTGACTCTGTCTTCTTCCATTGATAAGTTCCTTGGCTTCGTCCCAGATCCAGTAGTCCGGTTTCCATGGTGGTAGCGCATATGCTGGGAAGACATCGAACCAGAACAGGGCTTTGATCTTGTCCATGGTGATGGGCAATAGTGCCATACCATGAGCGTGGTAGTCGAGCGTATTCTCCGGATCAAGTAAGGTAAAAAGATCTGAGAGGCGGTCACATACTCCGTGTTCAGTAGGCGTGAGCAGCGAGGTTGCGGGTGTATATGAGATTTTCAACACGATGGTGCTTTGTGAACTGATGGTAAAGTGGTGTGTGTAGGAGGTGTTGAGCCGAGCGAGGTAGGCTTTATATGATTTGAGTGGTGACTAAGAGGCTGGTTTTTGGTTCGTTTACGACCGAAAGTTTACGAGCTCGATTTGTTAAGGCACATCCCATGCTTCGGGTGTTGTGAGATTTGGGTAATGGCCGGGACCTCGGTGCGACCCAAACACTTCAACCTCCATCTCCACCTACATGTGTGTCCAGGCCGATCACACCGGCAGATGACTCGAGCCGGCCATGCGATCCGTATCAAAGCGAACAGAAGCTCTTCTCAAGTCAGTATGGTCACCAAAACATGGTACTCATCATTTAATAGCTATTCTATGGTAGCGAGTTGATGACCAGTTGGTACCACGAATGACCACCAATCATCGTTCTATTTCTATCAGACGGGAACGACATCAGAGTACTGACTAACTCCAGGGTACGGACTTTCCAAGGTCGATCGACAAGTCATTGGCGCATCCGTGGGGTGTGTCGAAGGGAAGATTGCGGATGAGAGAGCGAAGACAGTGGTTGTCGTGAATTGGGCTAGGAGTGTAGGATTGCGCACTTTGGAGTGGAGAGCGGGGGATGAATGCAAGAGGGAAGCGAGATTGTTGTGTAGGATTTGGTGGGAGCAGATGTGGGATGGGAAGGACGGGAGTCTCGATGATGGGAGGGGTGTCGGCTGATGACGGAAGCTGGGAGGAAGGTGGCGCTGATGCAGTGCGATACGACTTGGTCTTACGTAGCATCTAAGACAATAGAATAGATCTATGGTATAATTGCGCAGGCAATGGGCACATGTGCCAAGCCCTTCGACATCAGAACGATCATGTCTCGTTCACTTATGTCAGGCTACCGAAGGAAACGTGATCATCTACTGACCCATGCTGAACCACACTCGAACGCCGTCGTGAAGATGCGGTGCCAAACCAAAAGCCATCAAATGCCGGGTATACAAAAAGCTCTAAAAAGCTCGTCTCATCCGAGGTATTCATCCTTGCTTGAAGAACCAACTTGTACGCTTGTTCTTTGGTTCGGCCTCACCATCCTTCTGAAGGCTGCCAATGATAGGGAGGGCAGGACCGTCTCCACCTCCTCCGCGAAGGGGCTTCGCGATCCGCGAGCCAACGCCACCACCGAAGGCGAACGATGCACCGGCGTTGGGCGAACCAAGACCTCGTGTTGAGCCGGCCTTTGCGGCCTCGAGGCGCTCTTTGACGGCTGTGAGTTGAGACTCGAAGCTGTACTGCGTCAGTATACGCCCCGTGTAGTCTGAGAGGAGGGACGTACCGATGATTTGCTGCTGTGAGCTTCTCCTGGCTGTCTTGCAACAAGCTCTCCAACGACTGGATGCGCTCGTTACGTGCGATCAACTTGCGCTCAGCAATGGCAACCTCCTTCTTCAGGGAACTGTTCTGCTCAACAAGTTGCCTCTGCACAACGGTGAGCTGCTCAAGGTTGCGCTCGAGAAACATCATCTTCTTCTGCTGTGCGCGGTTGTTAGAAGTTCGAAGTACGTTGTTGTATTGCTCGCGTGTCTCATCGAGGGAGATCTCGAGCTCAACGACCTGTAGGGCGAGGGGTCAGCATACCTTCACACGAACATGATGGAGAGTATCGTGGCGCTGATAATACTTACCCGCTCACACCTGTTTTGCAGGTCGCGCATCAGGCTCTTCTTCATGTTGTCGAACTCAGCAATCTGCTGCTGCACGGACTTGCCGTTGATGCCGTTTGCGACACCATTCGCAATTGCGCCGCTCTTGATGCGTTGTTGCAGGCTCTCAATCTCGTTCCTGAACTTCTGGTTCTCCTCCGCTCTCCGAGCCAGATCTGCCTTCAGGTCGTCCACAAGCTCTACGTTGCCATCTTGTCGAGCGGCGTATGCATCTGCGAGACGAGACTTGAGCTCTTCGGTGTCTGCCTCAGACAGGTTGCTCTCGAGAAGTTCTTCGTATGAGCGTTGCAGAGCGGCGTTTCGTGCTTCAAGGGCTTCGCGTCGCTTGTTGTGCACATTGTCTTCTTCGTTTCGTGCTGTCAGCGAGAGCTCTGCCTGTCGAACAATGCCCTGGGTCTCGACTATTCTCTCCCTCAGCTCTTGCAGAGAGTCTGGAGCGATCGCCTCTCCAGTAGAACTCATCTCGTGCAGCTGGTCGAGTTGTTCGATGATCTTACGAATGCTGCGTTCGTTATCGCTGAACACCTCGTCACCAAGGTCAAACCCAGCCATCATCTGTGCCATCGCCTCGGCCTTCTTCTTCTTCTTTTCATCGATAGCAGCACTAGACTCCTTAGCGTTCATCTTGGCGTCCAGCAGTTGCTGCTTGACTTCGTCAAGCTCCATGGTAAGCTCTGAGTTGGCTTCCTTCAGTCCGTCCATAGTGATCTGAGCCTCTTTGCCCTCGAACTGAATCTTCTCGACTGTCATCCTCATTTCGTTGAGCTCGGTCGTCATCTTCTCGTTGGCTTTAGTCGACTCGCTATCTTTGGCCTTGTAGTACTGGAGCTCGTCTTTGGCGGTCTTCAGCTGGTCTTCAGCCTTGGCGAGTTGTGACTCCCTCTCTGCGACTTGGTCCTGAAGCTCATTCTCTCTCCTCAAGAACTCATCCTTCTCGTCCTTGTCCAGAGGTATACTAGGTGTGCCTGCGCGGTCCAGGTCCATCCGCGAGTCTGGTCTCGAAGGCGTTTCAGAATTTCTGGTGGCATCGAAACGCGATGGGGTCTGCGCGCGGGCTGCTGAAGCCGGCCTTTTGCTTGTGGTGGATGTGCTACTTTCAATAGCAGGTGTCCACCGCTCCTTTGGAACTGACTCTCCGCCACGCCAGAGCTGAACTTCACCCTCTAACGACCCAATGTAAGTCTCGAACGTTGTGATCTGACTTTGTGCCTTCTTGAGCATAGCCTTTAGTTCCGCAGGACTGAGTTCAGCGTTGACCTTGGCCTTGTTCTTGATCGTCTTCGCTCGCATACCGAATCGCAGGGTACTGAGGGTTTCGACATCGTTGTAACTACTTGGCGAACAGTTGATGATCAAGGTCGTTCTGGAATTACCTCCAAGAGATTCTTGCAGGATACGGGTAAGTTTCGAATCTCGATAAGGAACGTGCGACGCTTTCGAGTCCGTCAGGGAGTTGATGACCATGCCCAACGCACTCAAACTCTTGTTGATCTTCTTCGCCTCCTCCAGTGTCTGACCGCTAGCACCTGTCTTGCCGACCTTCTCAGAACCAGCCAAGTCGACCAAGAACAGCTGTCCGCTCTTCATCGACCCTGTTTCGACGTTCTTCTGGGTGACTGTGACGACGAGGATGGAATGCGAACGTGACGATTCGGCGTTCATGTTGGTCGCCGAAACCGCTCTCGATTGACCACCTCTTCGTAGGACCTCGTAAACCTCGTCCACACTTGAGACGTATACTTCCAGCAAGCCCTTAACGTAGACACCCCTGCTCTTCTCCTCGTGAACAGCCAGGTTGTCATTTTGTGGCATGAGCAGATCTCGAATGCGCTCCATGTAGATCTCCATGTAGCTCACCCGGACGGTGTATTCGATGTTGCTCGGAGAAGCCAGGATGCTTGCGAAGATCTGTTCGACGATACGTGGAATGACACCTTTGCCTGCCTCATCGTCTATATCGCTTCCCATCATTGTATATGATTTGCCGGCACCTGTCTGCCCGTAGGCGAAGACTGTGCCGTTGTATCCATTGAGAATGTCGTCGACAGTCGGTCGAATAGAGTAGTCGAATACGTCAACTTGGCGCGAGCTCATGTCGAAGACTCGATCGAAAGTGAAGGCCCCAGAGGCCTCTTTGGACTGTACGCATGTCAATCAGCTGGCGCTTCATAGTCGTATATGTTTATCGTGCCAAAGTCTGGGACGTACGTTGATTGAACATGTGTCCTCCGACTTAAAGTCAACGATGGGTTCACCACCGCTGGCAATCTCGATCTTATTCTGCGGACGGAACCGCGCCACCACTGCGTTGTCCCACGGTCAGTAACTGGTATCCTTTTCGTACTCATCGTCTGTGTCGCAGCGTACCTTTGATGGTGTTGGAGCCCCTACATGATCAAATTAGCCTTATGTTCGTGGCTCACCGCATTCTTGGGAGAGACCTACGACATATTCGCGAGGCGTTGCAGTGTCTCGGCCCCACGGCCTCACTTTACCTGCACCTCTGGGTATAGGGAAAAAGTGGTCGCTGCAGGCCCAGCGGGAGGTGCTGTTGTGGTACCGTCACGTCTCGCGGGGGTCTGGCGCGTGGGTGGGAGAAGGTAATTAAGGGCCCCGCTACCGTGATTTAGGGGAAAACAAATCAAAGCGTCCCCAAGCAACGCCAACGCAAGGTGCCTGGAGCCGGCGAGTAGCGCTACCTGGTGCACCCCAGGAGGAGACCAGTGAATGCTTGCGCGGAGGAGCAGTGAAGGAGTGCGTGTTTGGCGTCGTTGCTGTGCGGCCAGGGTCCGATCGAGGTGCAGACTCTCGGCTTGTTTGATGGACGACCTGCGCTAGCGCGCCTTCCCCTCCGTACCGACCCAACGGCGTGACGCAGCCTCATCCAGTTTGGCAAGAATGCTTGTGATGCTTGCTTGTGATGACTGCAACCATTTGCACCACGGGTCGAGCTCCGAGACACTACCTTTGTATCACTCAAGCCTACAATTCCTTGTCCGGTTCGAACTCATTATGGCGCAATATGTGGTGTAGTAAGTGGAAAAGTGCCAAATCGATCGATATTGAAGACTGCCACAAACTAGATCTGCAGTAGCCCAAAACGCCTCGCTGTAATAGTATCATATGCAGACGCCTGCTAACTCCAAATCCAAGGCAACTAATATGGTTCGGCCCAGAGTACCTGATAACTCCCAGTCCATGCCACATCATGCTAATATATTGTCCCTCAACCAGCGCATAATCAGTCCTCCCAGCTCTTCTCAACTGTTTCCCGTACGCGCTTCGTGTACTCTTTTCGGTTCTCCTTGTACAGGTTGGACGCTTCTACGTTCGCCGGCGACGACGTGTTGGGGTCGTTCAACAGACTAGGGATCGTCAGTTCCGCTCCTGCTACCTCTTCAAACGTCCATGGTAATTCCATACCTCTGGATACTTGTCAAGATCGCTGCAACATCGTACGTGGGCGACCACCGGTTCTGCAGGATGTCCAAGCACAACTCGCCTGTGCCGTATACGTTTGGGTGGAACATCTGACTGATGAACTTGACGCCAGGAGGCTTATTCGGGTAGGCTTCTTCGAAATGCATGACAAGGCGAAAGGTACCATCTTCGAACGGCGTGTCGGCCGGACCTATAATAACTGCGTTCCTGCTCAAACGTTAGCATGACTACTTTCCTGAGGTGCAAAGTCCAGTCTGCGACACATAATAGCCTAAGAACGGCGTGAAATGAGGGGGCTTGGTGTCGCGTGCGGGGTGAATGTGGCGAAGCGTACCAGGTCATAACATTGTCGGCTATAGGAGAGGCAGAAACACCAGCGGGAGGATCAGTCTGCATACGCTGTAATTATGCTGTCAGTCTAGGATCTTCACCATGAGCTTCCTTGAGACTCCAGCTCGCTGCACCTCGCGGTGGCGTACCTTGAAGTCGCGCATCAGACGGCGGCGGGCTGCGGTGGACATGGTGCTTCAAGCAGAGAGTTATGAGGTCGCTGAAGTAAGTGGAATGGTGATTCGGTATGCAGAGGTACACAGGAGTTTGGAGTGGGTGTTACGGAGCAGGATGGCCGCAGGTGAGTGACAATGCTTCCGCGGTTGATTGGCGCCAGCCGATAACACGTGAGTCACGTGGCGATTGCGACACAAAGGAAGGCGCGTTTGTCATGACCGCCCAATCTCATGATGCACATTACTCCATACATAACATCGTCATCCCGATTTATCGTCCTAGTGCTTATGATGTTTGCATTCACTTTTAGTTAGATTACATGTGTGCTCGTATACTTCGTCGAAGACTTTTACTCTTGCTTTGAAAACCCGCTATGCATCGCGTGCTGGTGTATCTCAGAACCTGAACGCCGTTGAAGTCGTAAAGTCATCATGCATAGATCGCTCGGAAGGTTGCAAATGAGAGAGAAGGAGAGAGTCGGGAGGTGCTCGCCTTACTCGCCGCGGGCGCCGGCAAGGCCGTGGTGCGTCGCAGTAGCAGACTGCTCGCGGCCGAACTGATCGACAACAGGAAATCGAGCCCGAAGTTCGAGATCGTCTAGTGGAATGTGAGAGCGGATGAACTTGTCTCTACCAGACGCAGGTGGCTCGTAGTCCCAGTGCTCCCTACGGCCAAGTTGCAAGGCCTTCCAGCAGGTCCGGCGGTAGCGTTGGCTCTTCAGCGCATCTCTGTGGATCTGCTGGAAATCCCATTTGGCGCGAGCTTCGGCCTCAAATTTGTTAAACACCTCTTGGTGCTGGGACTTGTCAGAAAGAGCCAGGTTGTTGAGCTCCTTGGGGTCGTTGACTAGGTCAAACAGTTGCGCTGGATCAACCAGGGAGCAGGTGTACTTCCACTGATGACGACGAATCATGTAGGTAGGGGTAACAGTGCTCTCGCCCATGTATTCACCAAAGACCTCGTCCTTGCCAGGTTTATCCGAGACCAGGTAGTCGTAGAGACTGACACCATCAATGGGTAGAATAGCTGATGCGTCTCCTCCCGCAAGATCAACGAATGTCGGGAGAAGATCCATGGTGGACACCGACTCTGTCACACGCTTCGGCTGAAACTTGGAGGGGTAGTTGATAAGCATGGGCACGCGTGCGCTGTTCTCGAACCAAGACATCTTGTACCAAAGGCCACGCTCGCCGAGCATGTCGCCATGATCACCTGAGAAGACAATGATGGTGTCTTCGTCGAGGTAAGAGTCCTTGAGAATTTGCACGAGTTTTCCCACCTGGTCGTCGACGAAACTGCATTCAGCAAAGTATGCACGGCGAGCGCGTAACTTCGCCTCATCGGGAACAGGGTTGTTCCAAAGGTCGATGCACTTCATGATACGTTGAGAATGGGGATCCTGCTCGTCTTGAGGAATCTCTAATTCAGGTAGAGGGATGTCGACATCCTCATACAGATCCCAATACTTCCGTAGCATGGCGTAAGGATCATGAGGGTGTGTCAAGGAGACAGTAAGAGCGAAGGGACGACGCGTCTCAGCTGGCTCGCGAACATACTCGTGTAAGAATTGAGAAGACTAGGGTGGGCATGTTAGTGACTTGGGTGAGGTACAGTTATCATCAAGCTTTCTTACCTTGAACATGACTTCCTCATCATAGTCGAGCTGGTTGGTTCGCACGGTAGGGCCCGCTTGCAAGACGGAAGACATGTTGTGGAACCACTCCTGTCGCTCCTCAGGCTTGTCCCAGTTCACTGACCATCCTAAGTCAGCAGGATAGATATCTGTCGTAAGCCTGAGACTTGAATTAGTCTTGGCCAAGAGCTTTGAACAATGCGACTTACCTGTGCTCGAACCCGTGAAGCTGATCGGGACCGATGAAGTGCATCTTACCAGCAAGGGCGGTCTCATACCCTTCAGCCCTGAGATAATGGGCATAAGTAGGAACTTCAGGTGCAAGTATGGACGCGTTATCGTAGCCGCCAATCTTAGAAGGAAGCTGTCCTGTGCACATAGTGAACCTCGATGGCGCACAAAGAGGTGAGTTGCAGTAGGCGCTGGAAAACACAACGCCAGTCTCTGCGAGTTTGTCAAGATTGGGAGTCTTGATAACTGAGTCTAGGTTATACATCTTCAGAAGCGGTGCGGTCATCTGATCAGCCATGATGTACAAGATGTTTGGCTTCCTCGACGAGCCTTGACCACTTCCAGACGCAATCTTCTGCGACTGCTCGAGTAGGAACTGTGATGTGACAACGTCTCTGCCGTTCTGTGGACGAGTAGCATGACCATTGTTGTTATGAACACCGTTGTGGCCATTTGTATGGCCGTTGCCGTCGGTGGAGGCATTCAGCGAGACATGACCATTGACTGGTGTCTGCGCTTCAAGTGAGGTAGCGCCCTGTCTTGACTGTTTGAGTGGGTGAGAGTACGCCGTTGGAGACTCTGGGCGTACCGCGCTGGGTGCCATGGTGATGCGAAGGCCTCCAGACGTCAATGATTAGACGTTGTATGTTATCCGCAATCAGCTGAGCAATGACGATGCCAGAGGGTCTTCAGTGTTTTCCCCTGTTTGACCGGTGACAGCAAATTGTTTGGTGGTGACTGTAGTTGTAGTGTAGTTGTAGTGTAGTTGGTAGGTTCGAAAATTCGGCTCGCTATCGAAATTAAGAATGCAGTTTTGGTCGTGTGCCAAACGAAGTGAAGGTGAGGGCGGGCGGTCCTTTATAGGTAGTAGTACAGTAGTAGCACAGTAGTGGCGCCCCCGGGCGTTGCTTGACGCACGGTGTATGTGGGGAACGATCGGCTTAGGCGCATCAGCGATTCTTGTGAGGTTGTGCCTGTTTCGACCAGTGGAAGCTGGTCGCAATTGCGTGCTTGACGGCGAGCACGCAATGGCGCTAAGCCGAATACAGTCATCATCTGGCAACGACGACCAACATGTACACACCGCACGCTTGCCATAAAACCGACCGGACGACATCAGTGATACATACCAGACGAGCGTCTGTTCATGTGGCACCTGCCACGCGATCGCCATCGACAATCTACTACCGCCGGCCGGATGACAACTTGACGAGCGAGAGCAAGCTGCCGCATTCGTATCTCACGACCAATGCAAAATCAGCGCTCCTTCCCGCCAATCCTATAGCTGCAGCAAAGATGACACCTGGTATGGAGGACACACATTCCACAACCTACGCGCACAGACTACACCACCCGTCGTGGTGAGCTTCAACACGGAGCCAGAGCGTGAATCGAGCCGAAGCGCCAGGCCCAGGGTCCAGAAAGAGCTAGTCGATGGTTGTGCTATGTGGAACCAAGAAACGGTATCAGAAGCGATTTGTGCTGTCTCTGACGCGGTTGGCAAAATCTGGTTGCAGAGTGAAGTTGAAATCAGCCGCCCTTGGCAATTTACAACTTTTGTTCAGGCCTTCCATTGGCTACCCGAGGCGTCTTCTGCCCTCGAGACCCTTTGTTTCCAGCCAACGTCAACATGACAGTCCGGGAAAGAAGACTTACACGACTTCGATATACTATCGATCAGCAGCACTAAGCGGAGGTTGACTCATTACTGTCACCATCACCGTACGTTATCGAAGGCACACGCACAAGGAACTCTCCCGAACTCCGACGTCTTTGACACGTGATCCGTATCTGCAGCTTCCCCCGGACTAAGCCGCAACTAGGGATGGTTCCATCTCACAACAAATCAGGACCATTCGCTACGACACCGCCTCTGCAGGCGGTTGATAGCGTGTCGCGGATTTCAACGACAATCTTTTGCAGCTCCTGCCGAAGTCACATCTGCGCTCTTGTCCTCAAGCACCACGTGGACATACTGAATCGTTCATTGACCGGTGATTATGAATAGCCAAGCTCGTTGACGATGGTTGAACCGTGTTGCACGACGAACTGGCGGTCTGCAAGACGTCTCTACGGTACTGACTGTGCCACACAGAATGGGAGACAAAAAATTCCAGTCTGGCCGCATCCGTGGGAGCTCAGACGGAGATCGACACGCATGGAAGTTACTCCGAGGGATGCGTTAGCGCTTGCATCTTTACCGGAAGGCTATCTTTCCAACGATCCGTGTGATCACAGCGCTTGTTGGACCCGACATCAACTACCCTTCTGCGCGAGCGAAACATCGAAGTTACTATCTATACGAACCGGTCTGACAAGCACTTCGTGGATTGCCGTTACAACGCTCGGATTGGCAGGCGGCATGGGTCGAATCATTGGCAGTACGTACAGTCTGTTCGGACCGCTCTTGCCTTGCGTGTTATTCAGTGCGGTCACTTGCATCAGAGGCAATCACTTCTAATCCTACATATGATATTTCAACCGTCGAATTTTCATAAGTAAGTCTCGCGTTCCTCCAGAAGCAGGTAAGTCATTGCGACTGTACCGCGACTGTCAAGAGCCGAGAGATCATCATGGCATGTGCCCTCTTTTGCATCAGCACAAATCTCGAATTCATGCCACGCACCTCACATGCTCAACCGCATGCTCTCCTGCAGCAGACAATCATCTCTGGATCGCTTTGCCCCGTCAGGACAAGCTGTCACACCATTTTCTGAAGATATGCTCAACCCCACATACGCTAGCGAACGCCCTCCCTGTACTCAGCTTTACAATCAATACAACGTCAGCCTGTTCTCCACATACGCTAGACAACTCACAACGCAGCATCACCTGGCCTCTCGGACTTGGCCTCTCGGATTCGTTAGTATGTGTCAAGATCAAGTCAGAAGACATCACAACGGACAGGCTGTCAACGAATCAGCTTCCACAGTACACATGCGTCGCTCAACAATACCCTAGAGTACTCCAGGCTTATCTTTCGATAGGTTTGTCTGTCCAGAATCGACATGCCTTACTGCGACGACCCGACGACAAGCGCGAGAGTCCGACACATTCGTCCTTCATTCAAGTCGAGGTCTTGTGAATATTCGCCACCATCTTCCCCACATACGCTAGATGAGGTTGCATGTGCGACTCGATATGTCCGATAGGCTGGCAAGAATCATTCTTGCGTCGAACGCCACATTTCCCAAGCTCGCCGAGCACGACAATGTTCACCGGAGCGGAGAAGCACATGATACATTGAGCTATGTGGGACCTTTTGTGACACCGGATCAAGTATCATGAATGACCCCTAAAGTGCAGAAGAATCAGCCAATCCTCTTAAGAACCCTACAACCCACTGCAAGAATATCATTGATCCAAGAGGTAGACGAACGATTGATGTATGACATCGCTGTTTCAAATTGGCATCCGACACAGATTGTGACCTTTTGTCGGACATAACGTGTAGCATCTAGCTCTACAGAAAATGTTCAATATGTCAGTACTCGGTAAATTCATCGACAAATCTATGTAAATGGCGTTGAAAGAGATCGGATGAGCAGACATAAACCTAACCCTCCCTACGCGTAGCGTCTCGACATAACGCTTATAGCTCATACGAAATATAGCCGTACGTAACTCATTGAGTTTCCAGCTTAGAGGTTTTTAGACTACTTTCAAGGGCGAGACATCGTGATAACAAGCTCCAAATAGTTCCCATTTTGTAAGAGCAACAAGCCTCCCAGTCTAATTCATCAGGCGCGACGAGAACAGTCTTCGCAAGATGACACACAACGACACCGAAGACCTCTACCAGCAGGTCTCCTGATCAAATTCCTGCTCAGTATTAGCTGTACCCTCCTATCAAGTAACAAGCGTGACTTACTCCACCCTGAAAGCACCCTCCATAACGGCACATTCCGCAGCACTCATGGCGCAGTACTCGCGGCAGCTAACGCATCAACGCTTCTCCAGCGGCTCAGTGACCGCCGCCGTCTCGACAGTACTCGATTTAACTGCGGTGATCATGGTGGTGGGCTGTGCGACAATAACTAGATCAGCCGGGAGGCCTTTGGCTAGAGTAGGGAGTCATGATGTTAGGGCTGGGACGACTAGCAGCGCTGTTGCAAGCGCAGTGATAGAGGTGGGAAGATGCTTTCTTGAGAAGTAGCGTGGAGGTACCCGTGGGTTTTGAAGACGTCAGAATCTGGGAATTTGAGATGTGAGATATAATGATGTGGACCAAAGCTTCCTTCTCATACTCTGCAATTCCCCAAAATTTTAGGTGTGTGGTACGTTCCCTTATAGCCTGAAGGCATTCCATGGTTCAAGAAAGATCAAGTGTTCAACAAAAAACCACAACCGGTCTCAACAAGAGCGAGTATACTGGTGTGGCTCGCTTCTTAGTCGTCAACGCACAAACTCTCAATAACTTCGCAATTCACTCTATTGGATACCCAGCTCGGAGGCTTTCAAGGAAATCTGTCCGTATCAAAAACCACATTAGAGCCTCTCCCCCTTTCTCAACCTTCACCAACAGATCTCCTGGTCGAACTCCTACCCAACAATTAGTACTCACTCCTCAGTGTCACGCTCAACAAATTGACTTACACCACCCTGGAAGCACCCTGTAGCGACGCAAACCCCAGCATTCATAGCACAGAAGTCACGGCAGATCATGCACCTGCGTCTCTCCAGCTTCTCAGCCGCCGCTGTTTAGACAGCGACGGTAGGACCGGCCTTGACTGCGGTGACCATGGTAGTCGGCCGTGCGACCGCCGTCTTGTTGGCCTGTAGGTCCTCAGACCTCTCTTCGAGCGAGAGGTTGCAGATGGCGGTAATGGTGCCCTGCTTCGGTCAGCCTATGTATCACCCCGGAGGTATTCGATTAACTTACACCACCCAACATCTCAGTGAAGCACTTAGCCTCACGGCACCACGCTTGCTTATATGCGCACAGAGGCGCGCAGGGAAGGCAGCCAGCTGGTAGGTGACTGGCCGGCGATGGCACGGCCAGGAGCAGCGTTGCCATGATCGTGGGGAGGGAGAAACGCATCTTGGAGGTATACAATATTGTTTCGGACTGTGTTGGTGGGAATGCAAAGAGTCAGAACACAGGAGGATTTTATACTGTGTAGGCTACAAGGGTATCTTGCAGCCTGGAGGTCTTCCAAGGTTCGTTGGGTCAGGTGATTCTCACAATGGTAGACAATATTAACGCAAGTACAAGCAGTGATATGCTGTTGTTTGGTTGCGAAAGTGGGCCAACCAGCATTCATTATCTACCTCCAGCACACAGTGCGCAGATAGCGACTACCGCACCCTTGGTGTTCGTACCTCATACGGAACATGGACAGGGCAGGGCCATAGTGATCGTTCATTTTATTGATCTCAAAGATGAGCATATGAAGATGGTACAAGAAGGAAAGGGCAGCTCCGACTCAGAACGTGCATCTCAGCTCGCCCCTTCTTTTACATCGCGCCTTGTCGTAACGCCCATGCCCCATCAAAAGTGTAGCCGTACATAACCGTGGTCACCCATAGCAACGAAGTGTTGCGCCTGATGATCCCAGAAAAGAACATTGATCAATCAACCGCTCATCTAGCGGAACTCCTGTCTCCCTGCGCACTTGAGCACCATTCGATCCACCTTCTTCCTCGGCTTAGGCATCGGCTTGTCCAACAGAAGACGTGGCTCCCTAGCGCGGTCACCATCTCGTCTGGTCGATGTGCGGTGACCTTGAGGACCAAGCTGAGTGCTGTTGGCGGACAAGATGTGATGCGGTACTCCATGGAAAGTGCGATGGGCTGTGCGACGAGCTCCATGGCCGATGCGCTGTTTATATACAAACAGGGACAGACGGCAGAGGGTCGGTACACGACAAAGACAGCACGGTATCCCAGGTTGCTGGCATCTCTTCATGGTGAAAGTAAGTCGACGTGAAGGCGTGATTGGTCACGTGTATGACATGACGCCACTGCTTTCTTCATTGTTTGCAACAACCCAATTTGGGAAACCTTATCAGACCGTAGGGTAGCGATAGACAAGGTTTTGGCTGGCAGTTTCCTGAAGATTTGCAGATACAGTCCTTGGCGGCAGGGGAGATTAAACGTGGCAGTTGCGACGGGCAGTGGTGGACTGATTATGAGGAGCCATGTCATGCAGGTAACCGGCCGCGACTACCTGTCAGTCATTTGCGCCGGCAACAGCCCATCAGTACATAACCGGGTTTGAGATATAAGAAAAAGGGAGTGCTCGAAGGGTAGAGATATTGATAGTGAGGTTCAGGTGCAGAACAGAAATGTAAGTACCATGATGGAGTTGAGTCCTACCGTACACAACATCGTGTCTTATCTGCAGGGACAAGCAGGTGAGGAGGTCGTTCGACCTCTCTCCTTGGTTTGACGCTGCATCCTGATTCTTACTCGCCTCTTGCTATGGAGCCCGTTTGTTGTGTGACAAGCAAAGGAGAAACCAAAAAACCGTATCCAAATCCACAAACCAACTATTGACAAACTGATAACCAAGGAACATGATGCAACCTATGTATACGCCGGCATGCGCCTCGAACGTCCGCCCATATGTGATGATATTCGAAGCCGTTGAAAGTGGAAGATGTGAAAGGGGCTGATACTCAGCATGGACAACGTGCCTAGATATCATCCATGTTGCCGGCGGCTTCGTCGTCGCCAGACTCATAGCTACCGACTGAGCTCATATCGTCATCATCGTCGTCATCCTTATCGGAGTCTTCGGATATGTCTTTCGAGGCATACTTCTGTACGTACTCTGTGACCCAATGAGAATCTCCCCTCATTATAGGCTCATGTCAAACATACCTTTGACTTTAGCATCATAACTCTTTGGTTCTCGCATGAGGAGCGCGGCCGCTTCGCCGTTCAGAGGATCGGTCGGGTTAGGATACCGAAGAAGCTGAGGGATGAACACCTCGAAGATATTGATCATGTCGTACATAGGTGACCATGTCTGGTTGATGACGTCGAGACAGACTGAGCCGGACCTGTACGCAGGTCAGCAGCTATTCGCAGACTTCGCCATAATTAGGTAGCGTCTGGGCGAACAGAAGTTGCTGCTCACAGTTCATCGATGTTTGGGTGGAAGATGCGGTTCACGAAGCCAATGCTGGGGCTCTTGTAGGGATACTGGTCGGGCAGCTCGACGTGAATCTTCCAAAGTCCGCCTTGGAAGGGTGCTGTATCGTCAGTGGGTTATTATCTGCTCGTGGAAGGCCAACGTACTGTCCTCTGGCCCCTTGAACCTCACGTAGAACTCCTGCCTGCCTTTTGTCAGCTACGCCACGATATAGTGTCGACGGGGTTGTGGAGAAGACGGACACTGTTACATTGTCAGCGGCAGTGAGCTAGATATAAAAAGAGCGACGTACTGTTGTCGTTGACCAGTGTAACTTCGTAGTCGCTCATGAGCCTGCCATGCATCAGTAGCTTGGACCTTAGGGCAGCCGCGGAGATATGCAAGGGACATACATCCTGCGTCTTCGTTAGCAGTATTCCAGTAGCTGTAATGCATTCATAGCTCACTTCATAACCTATATCACCAACAAAAGGCCTTGATTAGCTCTTGTCCTTATCTTGACGCGCTATACACAGCTGTTGACCTACATCCGTTTCGATACGCCTCTTTGGGGAACTCATGGTGGCAACGGCGTTGGATATGTGACTCCTCCCAAAGCTTCCCGTTGTAGGTATCGGTTTCGAACTTCAAGTGCGCAGGATGTCGTCGTTCGGTGAGCGGTTTCGTAGGATGTAGTGAGCTATGAGGTGCTCGCGGGGCTATCGATAGCAAACGCCGGGAGGGGTTGAGAGGTGCTACGTCGGTGCTTTGTTGGCAGGGTGACGTCGAAGAGGGGCCTGGGGCTTGTGTGCGTAGGTAAATGTCGTTGTCCACACCGAAATCGTGTAAGAGTCAAAGTACAAGGTCGAGAAGAGTGGTTGGGTAGAGTCGCAGTCACGAGCACCTGTATCGGCAAGTCGCGCTTGTACACGTCCGCTGAGTGCGGCAAGTCCTCGCCGAGATGTCGTGCGCCACAGCGATATCATGCGTTGTGGTCGACGTCAAATGCAAATGAACAGCCCCAAGGTTGTGATTCTGCTGCTATGTAGACTATGGTGTTTGAAGCTTTTGTAAAAAGACACCCACAAGTAGAGATATTGCTGCTGTTGCATTGCACTGATGACTGCATTTCGTCATGCTTTATTCCAAGACCTACCTTTCATTCCGTCATGGCTATTGCGAGGCGAACAGCATTCAAAAGCAAAGCCAGATCTTTCGATCAACTTCATTCACTCTTTGATGGAAAGACACCAAAAAGTGGACTTGGTGAGGTGCAGAGCTCTGTGTTGCAATCGAGTCCAATCGCAGCGCCGCAACGCCGCGGCTCTTCCGAGGCCTCGGCGTATGACTAGGGCCTTATATCGACGGACGAGCCTCCTCACTAATTAACGCAATACCCCAGAATCTCAGGAACGTAGTATAGAAGCCCGGTGTCGAGACCATAGTATTTGTAAATGGCCGGTGATGACTGCGAGTGACGCTGCAGAGCTAGATGACTCGAGCCGAGTAGTCAAGCCATCGGTGCCCTAGCCCAACAAAGAGGGAGACCCTGGCTGGGCCGACAAAAACGTCCGAGCTTCCATCGTGAGAGAGACTTCAGCGAAGATATGTGTACACCACACCATGGCCATATATAAGACTTCAGGTGGCCCCTCAACAATATTTGCCGAAGACTCACCCGCACCAGTCCAACGAACCCAACTAAAAATCTCAAGTTCGAACCACCACCCCTTCCTGGACTTGAACAATTTCAGGGGTGTCGCGTGCCAGGATGAACACCCTTCGGATAGCCTCCCAAACATGTCGGCCCAGAATATCTTCGTCGTCGATGTCAGTGTCGCAAAGGTTGATGCCTGCTGTCGGTGTCCGCTGGAGCTCACATTCACCCTTGGGTGCAACACTCACCACGCGCAAGCCTGTCACCATCAATACCATCCAGAGCCTTTACCGTAAGAAAGATCCAATCACTGTCATCACTGCCCATGATTTTCCGAGCGCTCATGTCGCCGATCATGCTGGCATGGATATTATACTTGTTGGAGACAGTCTTGCTATGGTCGCCATGGGTATGGACGATACGAGCGAAGTGTTGCTGGACGAGATGATCTTGCACTGCAAGTCAGTGGCACGTGCTACCAAGGGTGCTTTCACGGTACGTAGACATGTTATGCAATGCTTAGTTATTGTACTGACATGACAAAGGTGGGAGACCTACCTATGGGTAGCTACGAGATCTCTCCTGAGCAAGCTCTAGCTTCCGCCATCCGAGTGATCAAGGAAGGTCGTGTCAAAGCTGTCAAGCTCGAAGGTGGGAAAGATATGGCGCCGACTATAGCTAAGATTACCGGAGCCGGTATTCCCGTGCTTGCTCATATCGGCCTCACACCTCAAAGACAGAACGCTCTTGGTGGCTTCCGAGTGCAAGGCAAGACTATCTCCTCAGCTGCCAAGTTCTTGGAGGATGCACTGGCCGTTCAGGAAGCCGGTGCCTTTGCCATGGTCGTCGAAGCAGTACCGGCAGAGGTTGCCGAACTGGTGACGAGCAAGCTCAACGTACCGACCATCGGCATTGGTGCTGGCAACGGCTGCTCGGGCCAGGTGCTTGTCCAAGTTGACATGCTTGGCAACTTTCCACCAGGTCGCTTCCTGCCCAAGTTCGTCAAAAAGTTCGGAAATGTGTGGGCGGAGTCCCTCAAGGCTATCGAGCAGTACAAGGCAGAGGTGAAGAGTCGAGCTTACCCTGCTCCAGAACACACGTACCCCATGTCTAAGGAAGTGTTCGAGGAGTTCGAGAAATATGTGAAGGAAAGAGAGTAGAGTTGGCTCGCGTTGCTGGTGATTGGATTTCTGCATTTTCACATACCCCTGTTACATCAGTAGCAACTTGCGTTTATTTGGGCTTGATGCCCGGTCGAAGTAGGATGGGCACTTGTGCTGCTGCGATTGTGCATGCAACTCGCCATGTTGAATAGGATAGTGAATTAAGATGTCACCCAAAAGCTGGTGACAGTGCGTAACCTACGACGAGCTCTTCGTTCTGCTTGAAACACTATGACGGAGGTCAGCATTTAGCTTATCTGCCACATCGCACGACCTGGTGGCTTACCGCCCACAAGTTCCCTACACCCTCATCAAGCGCGGGTGAAAAGACGCTACCAACATAGCAAAACACGCTTTCATGTTCCTTGACACCTAATCGTTTCCGTAGGAAGCGGACAATAGTCTCAAAGCGCTGGTTTGTGGATAACTTAAAGACTCTTTGATTCAGATGAGGTGCTGAGCCGATGGGTTGAAGGCGGACGGTGACTGTAGTGATGTCAGCCTACTGTAAGGTGAAGTGCAAGGCAGGAGCCAGTCACGACACGTACTCTTTTCTATACCCAAGTTCCCTGCTGCTTCGAGGGCTTTCGATGCATCGCGCGGTAGATTTGTTAGGACGACGGATGCTGCCATGGTGAGCGGCGCTTCTGTCTTGTCATCCTCTTCTATCGCTGGTGACTGAGACATGAACGGTAGTAGCCTTGAGGTGGCGGGGCGCAAGCCGAGCGACAAGTCAGAATAAGAGCGATGACTAGCTCAAGTACGGATATCGTGTTAGGGTACGTACGAAGATCAAGCGGGTGAGATGGCGATTCTTGCGGGTTGTTGTAGAGGTGATGAAACAGGAAGTCACGTCGGAGTAAATGCCATACCGACCAATCACGTCCCACAAGGCCAATCACACCACTCTTCAAACGGAAAAGTTCTCACAACGATATCATTGATCGCATTCGATACAGTTCTAGATATCTAATACGATAGTGATACATAGTCTGGCTTGCAGTACGACGTACGTGCATTAAAGGCCACATCCGCTCTCATTTCCGTCTCCGTCTGAGCACTGACCAAACCACCATCACTCAACATCTGCTTTTCAAACATGCCAGCAGGTCAACAGTGGGTAGTAACTGGCATAGGGATCGCACAGGATGGCCCTATGCATGCAATGGTATAGACAAGGACTATGCCGCCAGTCTCCAGAAGTCAAAATGGTGCCGCCGTAACGAACTAAACAAACCAAACCGCCAAGATGAAGATGAAGATACGCCTCAGAAATGCTGCAAGTCGCGAAAAAGCTATGAAACAGGTAGTCGCAGAGTACACGGTCTCAAGTATGATGGCCGCAGCGAATGGAACAGTGTCGGAAGGGAAGCCATGTCGTGGGTATTAATCGTGCATCAGCGCCGTGAAAATGCAACGTGGATTCGTATGCTGTGCGTAAAGCTCATTGACGATCGAGTTGGGCAAGCAGCGCGTCGAGCTCAACCCAGTTCTCGTTTGTGGCGGCAAACTTGCGGTGTTTGCGGGAGACACAATGCTGTTATGCTGTTAACTCAGGTAACTTGATCAATCAGCGTTTCGCGTACCTCGTCGAAATCATTGAATTTTTCCCTGCAGTTCTCGCAGTAGCCAGGCTTCAGCTCCTTCTCAGCAGTCTTGCATCTGCGGAGGGCTGCCACTTTACGAGCTTGCCTTTCTTGCTCGGCGAGTTCTTGGGCTTGGCTTAGGCTCTCTTGAGCCTTGCGCTTGGCAGCGCGCATTGGCTGAGTGTGGTCCTGGTTGGGGGGACCGCGCATATCGTTCATAACGGACGAGTAACCACTGTTCGCGGATGTGACGCTGTTCTTCTCCAAAACCTTTCGCTGCAGTTGGTTGACCTCCTTGCTGTTACCGGCACGGGGTGCGGCTGCAGTCGACGAGATCATCTGAGATTGAATTGCAGAAGTCATGTTGGACTGGTGCAGGCCAGACGCTACAGGCTCTCCTCCAATGAAACGGGGCATCGCTCGTATGCTCGCCTGAGCACTGCCGAACATAGGTGGAGGACCTTCGGTGGAGGTACGCTTTAACGGCAAGCTTTTGGGCGGTTCGAGCGGTTTCGTATCGTCCTCGTGCTCTTCCTTCTTGACCACAGCTGGGGCAGTCTCGCGCCGGGCCAAGTTATTGTTCTCACCCAAAGCACGCTTCTCTTCCATGGCTGACGCGGCACGTGTACGCGGAGCCGCAGCCAAAGCTCTCTGTGCGCGACGTTCCTCGTGCTCTTCCTGCTGGCGACGACCAAAGTGAGGATCCTCCACGAACGGGCACTTGCCATTGCCTGAGGCACGGAACTGCGGCCACTTGCCCTTTTCTTTCTCAACCTTCTGATACTCTCGGATCATGACAGGTCGTGTGACCTCATCCATATCGTGCACATATACGTGGTAGCCACGCAGCTGAACCAAATCCTGGGCACCAATGACATAGTCCCGATCCAGCTTCTCGTTCTGCAGCAGCCTTTGCAAATCCGCTTGACGACCCTTCTGTCCAGCAACTGTACCATGACGCGTCGTGTATTGAATATCCTCTCCCGTCTCTTTGCTAAACATGGTGTCGACCATACGCTGAAGCTTTTCAACCGACCATATCTTCATGCCTAACTCCCTAGCCTTGATAAGTATATCACCCCGGCCCGCCTGGCCAGACTTTGAAAGCGCGGTATCGAAGACGGATTTCTTGTTCTCCAACTGGGCTGGATTGACGGTGCCCTTGGCGTGCGACGATGAGCTGGTTTCGACGTCGACAGGAATGGGACGCGTCGTGATGACATGGGTAGCTTCACGAGAGAAGAAGGTGACCTCACGCTGCAATATTGTTAGTGTGTAAAAAGTTTAGTTGAACTTGTCTGACGTACCGAGCCAAGGATTTGAGCTCGACTCATGAGCTTATCCTTCTGAGGCTCCTGGACGCTGTCGAAGTAGAAGACGAACTGCGGGAAGAGCTTGCGGTAGTGTCTCTGCCATTGACGGATAGTCTCGAGGTCGTTGGTAACTCGCTGCGCCTTCTCGACCTGCTTGGGTGGTGCCTTGTTCTCGCGGGCAGCCTCGAGCTTCCTAGTCAAGGCCGTGGTTGGGGCACCGCTGCGGCGAACGAGTCCATGGCGGCGAGCTTCAGCATCGTCGACCTCAATCATCTGCTTCTTCGGTGGAGGCTGGCCATAGGGCATGTCGCGCTGTTCGCTCGCGTGTGAGCGTTGGCGCTTTCCTCCTATGACGGGAGCGCGTATCGGCGAGTTGGTGGCATTCTGCAAACTGGCCAGCGGTACGCGACGATTTGCCATGTTTGCAGGGATCCGGGGAGACTGCGGGACAGCGACTGCTGCCATACGTGGTGGTGCACAGCGGGTGGTTGGGCGCGTGAGTGGTGGTAGGAAGGTCGATAGGTGGGGCGGGGAGGTCTGAGTTTGGCAAGCACACGACGCGACGTAACAAGCACGTCGAGGTTTCTTCAGCAGCGCGATGCGTCCATTGCAGGGCTGCGTGCGCCTTGAGGTTTGACTAGAGTGTTAGTAAGACGCAATTGAGCAAACGAGGGCGCGTTATGAGACAGCGTCTGCGGTTATTGGACCGGGAGGGAGGGTGTGTTGTTGTGGCTGGCATCAGACTGGAGGGAACCGTTCGCGTAGCCGTGCACGATCGTGGTTTCCAGGTCACCCCTTCGCGTAAACATGCATCAAAACAACCAACATGCATTGTTCCCCCCGTGCCGTGTTTGTGCCGACATTGCATTCATTGTTTATTAAGGCCCCGAGCAAACGTCCACAAACAGAGTCATGGCATGCAAGGGCTCCAGGTACCTCCAGGTGTTGCCTGCATTTGCGCACCCCACGTCACCACCGCTGCAAAAAGAAACATCGTGCTCCCTGGAGATGCAGGTGATCCGAGACTTGGAGCAGGCGCAATCTGCAAACACCCGTCTCGACTATCGACTTAACTGCAACAGGCACGGACATTTGCATTTGACCATCCTGTAGGATTTGACTGTATTATCTGGTACAGTTTGTGATGATGCTGCCTCGTGTGGTTGTCAACCTCTCATGGCATGCTGGCGCTGTCCCCTCGACAGCCACTGTGACAGTATTTCCACCATATTTCCATCCATGCTTTTATAGCCACCATCGCCTGCGGGACATCTCAGGCGAACTCTGGCCAGAGTGCGCGTGTGTCGAGTTGTGGCAATTGCTCATCTATTGTTCTCAAACCCCTGCACTGTCTTTCAAAAGCCTTGGATAGATCATTCACTGCATTGCAATTACGAAGCCACCGCTGAACTTGGAGATGTGCGAGGTGCTGAGAGCCTTCTGAGGGACGTCTTTAGTTCCAAGATTGGCGACACTGGCGATGTCACTTCCGGTAATCTGGGTGAAATACGGAGCGTTGAAGTTGGCGACTACCTCACCACCGATTTCGATGAGTTAGAAAGCTCTGACAACCTTCACGATGCAGAAGTTTCGTAGCAAGCTCAAGTCTTCGATAAGATCGCCATGGATACTGCAGCGCTGGCTGCGTGCAGATGGGCCCACCGCTCGTTTGTCCCAGCATCAGCTTTCACTTCAAGGCGCACTGTCTCGCCGTCACCTCAGCTCGAAGAGATTCCAAGCTTGTCTTCTTTCTTCCCCACCCAGGCACCACCTTGAACTACATCTGTGTTAACCACCAGCATGGCACGCGAAGATCAACGAGGGCCACGATGCCGCAACTCATGGCGCCCTTCAGACGGCCCTCTATCACCGCAAGTTGGAGATCTTCAGCGACAGCGGTCACCTGTGCCACCTGTGGGGGTTGCCCAGTCTTTTTCCACAACACGGGCACCACAGCCTGGCTTGTGGAGGTCTGCACGGCCGCGACCTCACTATCAGCGTTTAGCGGAAACACAAGCTGAAGGCTGGAGGCCCTCGATTACACCTGCTACTACCCACACCTCTGCTACTACCCACACCTCTGCTACTACCCACACCTCTGCTACTACCCACACCTCTGCTACTACCCACACCTCGCCAGAGCCACCGCCCCAAACGTTCAAGAACCCGAATCTCATTCCTGTCGTGCCGCGCCATTCACGCGCCTCGAATATCTCTTCCCAAGCGGTAGAGTTTCAGCAGGATGAAGAGCTGGAAGATGAACGACTACCTCAGATCTGGCACCCTTCTATCGACGATCTCATCAGACGCACGGCATACGACTACGACCTCATCGTGAACTACGAGCGCGACGCTGAGGGCGGACAGCGCTGGCTGCCTGAAGACATTGCAAGAATTCGAGATGTTGGCAAGAACCTCCACCGCGACATCTTCGCCCTGAGACGCTGGCGACGTGTAGTCGCCAAACAAGGAGACCAAGACAAGAACATGATGATGCAGATCAAGAGAGATGCCAACTTCCTCAAATTGCTCTGTGAGCGTGTCCAGAGGGCAATCAACAAGTATGAGCAGAAGTGCGAGTTTGAGCTCCTGAGGGACGGTGTATACGCGCTAGATGAGGATGGCAACTTTTACAAGCCTACCGCTCCGCAACAATATGTTGCCGAAGGCGATTTCCTTCAAAATGGTGCACGTCCAAGCAACAAGGACGCGGAAAAAGACAGTATAAGCCATCCATATGGCGATGCTCGAGCGGTATATCCTCCTGGGCAGTACCATGACAGGCCTGCCTCAAGCTCACGGAGGTACCGCATACCCCCAGAAGACTCTCCCGGTTATCCGGCAACGCGCAACCTAGCCTTTGACTTTGCATTTCAACAAACTCCATTCGAGAAGATCAAGAGGGAAGCTGTTCGCCGAAAGCCAAAAGCTGCACGTCAATCTACTTCTCGTCGTCCTGACAAAGTCCTTGATGGCAGAGTCTCCAAGAGCTATCGAGAACCACCCTCTGGTAAGAGACCCATTCTCGCACGAAACCCTAATCAGGGTCTGTAAAGCTTGAGGTAGTGTACTGATTCCTTTAGTCCGCAAGCGCCGTGCTCCGTCTCCAGAATATCGTAGTTTGTCGCCCGAGTCTGACATGGTCTCGGAACGACCGACATCTCACAAGAAGGCTGGAGGCCGTGGGCGAAACAACATATACGAGCGAGATGGAGTATCACGGCGTCAAGCGAAGAGAGACAAAGCACAAGAACGCCGTCCTAGTCAGACCGCAGGCCGCTTGGGGAAGCATGTGCTTCACTACTGATCACGAGAGTCGGAAGATCAATAGATAATTACAATTTTGCTAGCGAGACCCTGTGCAGAGCTGCGGGGATAAAGGCTACGATAAGATTCACGATAGCCATACCGAAACGGATTTTCTCGTCTAGATTTGTAGTGACCAAACTTATCAATGCCACTTTTCGGCAACCTTCGTACCAGCTGATCCTGTGAACCATGGGAGGCCTCCAGGTTGCACAGTCCCTACCGAATTATTGAGAGCTGCAGACTATAAAATATTCCCCTGTGCACATTCCCTGCAGTTTCCACCAACATAGTTCAAACAGCCTCGAATACCTCCGAGCTTACTCAACATGCGTTTCCCCATCTCCACAATCGCAGTAACGCTGCTCACCCTGACTCTGCCAAACCCTGGTCTGGCATATTTGCCAGACAACTGCCTCCCCTGCGCTCCCCTGTGCGCCTACAATCAGGAATGGTGTCACGAAGCAGAATGCTTCACTGAGGCACTGGGCGGTGTAAGTTGATCGAATGCCTCCGAGGTAGACTATGCTGACAAGACAGGTCACCATCACCGCTATCTGCAACCTCTCACTCGACCTCAGCGAGAGGTCTGCTGAGCACCTTTTGGCTGCGGTACCGAGCACCATGGTCACCGTAGTCAAGGCCGCTCCTACTGTTGCTGTCAAACAGCTGGAGAAGCGCAGGTGCATGCCCTACCGTGACTACTGCGTCATGAACGCGAGCGGTGGCGTCGCTATGAAGTGCTTTCAGGACGGAGTAAGTCATCGTACTGTTGATCGAAGGACGCAACTAACGATTGACTCAGGAAAACGACCAGGAGGTTTGCTGGTGAGGCGTCGGGGATGCAGAGCTTACTTGCTGGGGGCCTTCAAGATTGGCGGTGTGCTGTCGCATAGAAGATTCATTCGGGTGTGACTGGTCGTCTTTCTAGAGTATTTTAGAGGCCTCGAGACTGAATAACCAACGGAATCTTTCCTGTGAATCATTGAGAGATAGTGCGTCGTTATTAAGAAGCGAACCACATCAATGCGCTCCACTATGATCGATTGTGGTTGTTCGTTGAGAACCCTTCTTTTTCAATCCATGAAATGCCTCAAGGCTGTGACGGATGCACCTGAATTGTTCGAACCGAACAGTGTATGAGAAGCCAGGGGACTGCCTCTGCTTCAACTCACCCCAAATCATCTCAGCTTCTCGGGTCGTATCGACCTCGAATACCTCCCTACTACAACAAAATGCGTTTCCTGACCTCCATCACCGCTAGACAAGGTGAATCGAGTGTGTAGACACTGAATGATGAAAAGTGCATCGTAATAATGGGGGCATGGTCATCGCGAAAGCGTGACCTGTTGGGGCTCTGCTGCGCCTCTGCATGAGCACTATTAGCCGCGTCTGCCTATGCCTTAAGCTCATTCGAACATCCTTACAAAACTAAGAATCCAGCGCAGATCATCAGCTTCAGCCTGCAACACTTAGATTGCTGTTTTATTGTACAGCTACCTGGAGCTTTACCGCTATTTGTTCTCTTTTCTTCACGTTCGTCCTACATTACACGCGCAAGCCAGCTGCCGCACCCTCGTCGTATTAGGCTATCACGCCGAGACTCTCGCATCTCCTTCTACCGCATGCGCCTGTTACATACCTACACGAACTGATGCGTCTTTTAAACTACGACGAACATGGCCAGCTTGGCATTATCAGCTTCGACGATTCAGCGATACCGCCTTATGCAATACTTTCACACACTTGGGGAGCAGACAAGGATGAGGTTACTTTCGCAGACCTTGTAACAGGCAATAGCAAGGCCAAGCGTGGCTATGAGAAGATTCGCTTCTGCGGACAACAAGCACAGCAAGATAACCTACAGCACTTCTGGGTCGACACATGCTGCACTAATAAGATGGACAAGGCCGAGCTCTCCTACGCTATCCAATCCATGTTTCGCTGGTACCAAAACGCGACGAAGTGCTACGTGTATCTATCAGAGGTATCATAAGGAAGAGGAAATTAAGTGACATGGGTACAGAATATACTTGGGAGCCAGCCTTTAGGTCAAGCCAATGGTTCACGCGTGGCTGGACACTCCAAGAGCTTCTTGCGCCAAGCATAGTCGAGTTCTACTCTCAAGAATGGGAGAAGCTAGGTGACAAGGGATCACTAAAGTTGTTAATCCGCAAAATTACTAGCATCCCATACGAAGTACTCAACGGAGCTCCTCTTTCTAGATCCAGTATTGGCGACCGGCTGCGTTGGAAAGGAGGCCGGGTGACTAAACACGAAGAAGACGGAGCCTACTCGTTGCAAGGTATCTTAGATGTCGAGCTAGCGCCACGGCCGTAATACGCGGGCTATTGTACATGGTGGTGAGCCAGCAACCTTCGCTTGCATCGCACGTCCGCAAGAAGCAAGACCATGCAGGCAAAGCCCTGTTCGAGGATGCGAATGCCTGGGTTGCCTTAACAGAAATCTAGGTGGACGTGCTGCGAGACCTGAGCCTGCGCATGACATACCTAATCATTGACGCGCTAGATGAGTGTATTACTGATAGGCCGAAGCTGCTGCACTTTATTGCGACGCAGTCATCTACGTCCCACCGCGTCAAGTGGATTGCTTCAAGCCGCAACTGGCCAGAACTTGAAAAGCGTCTAGAAGCAGCGGGCCACAAAATAAGGCCAAGTCTTGACTTCAACGCAGAATCAGTCTCGACAGCTGTCAAGATATTCATCAAAAGGAAAGTATCCCAGCTAGTAGAGCAAGAGAAATATGATGAGAGGACCCGAGACGCCATGTTAGAGTATCTAACTGCCAATGCAGACAATACCTTCCTTTGGGTATCACTAGCGTGTCAAAACCTCAAGGGCACGGCGAAGAGGAACGTGGTGAAGAAGCTAAAGTCAATTCCGCCTGGACTAGACCCATTGTATCAGCGAATGATGCACCGGATAAGCGAGTCAGACGACGCTGAGATCTGTCGCTGCGTGCTGGCTTCGGCCGCAGTCTTGTATCGACCTGTTGCAATACCTGAACTTGTTGCGATTGTGGAGCAGCTCAAGGACTTTGCCAATGACCTAGAGTCGGTGCGGGAGATTATCGGCCTCTGTGGATCGTTTCTCACTCTGCGAGAAGACACAGTCTACTTTGTGCATCAGTCTGCAAAGGACTTTCTCTTTGCAAAGGCGTATGGTGAGGCCTTTCCAGATGGAACCGAAGCCGTTCATCGAATGATCTTTTCGAGATCGCGGGCAACCCTATCCAGGACATTGTGCAGGGATATATACAGCCTAGAAGCGCCAGGATATCCTATCGAGAACGTCAAACCACCTGAGCCAGATCCATTAGCAGTGTCACGCTACCCGTGTGTCTACTGGATTGATCATTTGTACAAGTCGAAGCCTAAGTCGTCAGAAAACAGTGTGGATAACTTGCAAGTCCCAGACGTTGTCGATGAGTTTCTAAGGAAAAAGTATCTCTACTGGCTAGAAGGGCTTAGCTTGTGCAAGAGCGTAGAGAAAAGCGTCGTTTCGATGACAAAATTGTGGTCTCTAGTACAAGTATGTCATATAGAATTTGCTTTTTTGTATAGTGCTGTAAGTGCTAACACAAGTAGGAGATGGGGAGCCAAGATCAGCTAACCCAGCTTATTCAAGACGCACGGCGGTTCTTTATGTATCACAAAGGAGCGATTGAGAGTTACCCTCTCCAAACATATGCATCTGCGCTGTTGTTCAGTCCAACAGGTAGTCTAATTCGACATCTGTTCCAGCACGAAGAGCCACAAGAAATCACGATTAGGCCAGCTATGAGCGACGGCTGGAGTGCATGCCTGCAGACGCTCGAGAGCCATAGCAGCTCTGTTAGGTCAGTAGCCTTGTCGCACGACTCGACCTAGTTAGCGTCTGCGTCAGAGGACAGCACTGTCAAGATCTGGGATGCAAGCAGCGGCGCGTGCCTGCAGACGTTCAACATCAGCAGGCCCCTTGATAGTCTATCCTTCGATTCCACCAGCTCTTTTCTTCATTCCGGGATAGGTACTATTGCTATGCATAGCTCAGGAACTTCCAGCGAGGTAGCTATCGTGGACCCTGAGCGCCCTCTGTATCTGGGCACAAGCATTAGCCTCGACAGCATATGGATCAAGCACGACGGCAGGAACATGCTGTGGATACCATCAGAGTATCGACCGTCATGCTCTGCGGTGTGCGGAAGCACAGTCGGTATGGGCGCTGGGTATGGCAGAGTGTGGACCTGCAGTATTGACCTACACACCCACATGTGTTCGTAACAAAGTACAGATAAGCGCTGATTCTCCTCTCATATGCGTTGGTTTTCTATGTTTCTGCTTCACAGAGGCAAACAGAAATGCACATAAGCACACAATTTACATTCTTTTTTTTGGTAAGGACGCTTGCAGAGTTTCGAGGGGAATGATTGTGGCCATGTCATGCCTTAATAGACCTTGGATTCTAAGCTCTTGCTGTTTTGGTACTATGCTTAGCATAAAAGGGCATGTGGGAGAGGTGGGGAAAACAGACAGGGGCGCGCATGAATACCGCCTATCGGCCACGTGGGTCGGGAATGCTTTCAGAGAAGCGCCAGCCTGCGCCACAGCTATTCTTAGCGGTTGATATGCTGTGGGTATAGCGTCGACTTCAGTACAATATCTTACAGCAACATCTCAACACGCTACTACATGCTGCTGGAAGCTAGGACATACTAGTGCATCCCGACACGCTGGGTCGCTTTTCGCAATCTTCGCTCCTCCACTGACGAAACTGCCGGACTGCACACTTCTATAGTTAGATGAGCTTCTAGAGCCCAGGGATACAATCTTCCTTAACTTTGCTTTCTATCAGACCCTCCGTTTCTTGCAGAGGTCCCTTTGGCCGCGAATGGACAGGGGGGTGTTGACGAAGGGTCGATTGACGGCGTTGACGAAACGATCGACAGCAGGGCCAACATGGCATCAATTGCCGCCGGAGGCTGATAGGCTGGAGGAAAGTTGGCTGAAGAACGTTACATGTCGATCACAGGTCTGTAAACGTGCGTGCAAGAGACCGCGAAGGTCCAGAGTGCGAACCTGTCCCGTTACACCGTGCGTCCCGGCACGTAGGGACAGACGTTATTCCTGGAAGAAGTGCAACCTGTTGAAGACGCCCAGCCTGAGGGTTCGCAGACTATCTTAGAGCAGCCGACCACGCTCGCCACAGCGGTCAAGGCCGTTGGAACGAAGCTAGAGAAGTGCAAGTACATGAGCTACAGAGCGTTGTGCGCCATGGGTGCCGACATCTGTATTGACAACGGATGCTTTGACGCCCGGTGTGAACTATGCGTTGTGAAGCAGGATAGCGGGTAATGACAACAGAACAGTATGAACATGAGGAGATCTGCTGATGATGGCTTTGTGTTGTGTCTTTCCGAATAACGATGCTTCATACGACCTGCAGGAATTGACCTCCTCCTCTGCTATACAGAGCTACAATACGTCTAGTTGGAGGCCTTCAGAGCTTCGATGCTCGTCTGGGTACATTCGTCCCGCTACTTGATCATGCCATAGTCGAGAAAGTTCTAAAACGCTGTTTGTATTCCGAATGAACGATCTGTGGGCCGACCGCGAACGATATTCTTCGAGTATAATACCTTGAGAACCTCCAGGAGTAGAAACGAGAAGCTTCGTTTAACAAAGCACGAAGCAGTTTACCTATAGTACCGACCGACGCATCTATTGTACTGTAAGCGAATGCGGACCGGACGCAATTCCCGTACTTCTAGGCACTTCATCTGTGTGTGCCGCTTACCGTACAGCAGCATCTTTTGGGAAGGATAACCGTGACGATGCGTTGTGGTCATATGGGCTTGCGTTTCCGCCGGATGCCCTTTGTACTTTTATAGACCCTGATCTTCTGTAACTAAACCTTGCATTACCAGAGGAGCGACTGCTCCTCTCGTCCTCCATAGTCTCAGAATCACATAGGACGTTAAATCAATCGACCAACCAGTCAATCGCCGGATGCCAGGGTCGAGCTATCGGTCTCCTCAAAGGATGACGCAACACGAACATGAGTGCTCGGCCAAAGCTGACCATTATACTGATGAAGCGGAAACCCGTCTTTGGTGCCTGGAAGCTAGTAAAGTCTTGATAAGGACCATGGGGCGACCCAAGAATAAGTAGAGCGGTGAATCGACTGTGAAGTTTACGAATTGCCGAAGCTTGGAGCTTGAAGCTTCCCCACGCTAGCGAAAGCTTCACCCGGAGCTTGGCGAGCTTGCGCAGCTTGACATCAGTTCCTGGCAGGGCGCGGTTGGGCTGTTTTCGGAAGGCACCGATAGGCATCGCCAGCGAGCTTTCGGGACAGTATCTGGCCAGTTCTTAGAAACCTGGTCGCGTTCAAGCCACTAAATCTTGCGCCTAGAGCCGAGAAAGCAGGTACAGGGGATCATTGTTAACTGACCGAGGGTCCTGGAGGTCTTCAGAAGATCATACACATGGTAGTAGCGGAGGTGCGGTCAATTGCTTGATTCCGACTTTCTCAGTTCCACAGAGCCAGGTACACGAACAAGACAGTCAATGCAGATGCAGGTCCGGTAAGGACTCGAGGATGTTGATATGCGCAGTTTGGTCATGGTGCAGGACATGAATGTAAAGGGGTATAATTCTTCCATCTTCCTATTTGGCTGTACGTCTTGCTGAACCGTTCGTTCGCCATTTCCATCACTTCGTGTGCAATCGTAAATCATTCAAGATGTTCGTGCTCCATATTCCAGGTAGCCACAATGACTTCATCTCCTCAGAGCTCACAACACCGTACCGAACCCGAAGGTGGTCTTAATGCTGCGTACGTAGTACTGGTCCCAATTGGTCTTCGTTGGCTCCTCCTGGCCAACTGGGACACCCTTCCACTCAACCCTCATCACAGTTACCGCGTCCACATCGTTCTGATCAAACCAGATCGACAGGGTTGAGAAGTGGCCAGCGGGCCATTGTGCGAGTCGCCATTTCTGAACGATGTGCTTTGGCTCCTCCAACTCAGTGTACTCTCCGCTCACGTTACCACCGAAAAGCTCGAACGTGCCACCGGGCTTAGCACCAGTGAAGGACTTGGGCGGTGCGCGGGTAAATGCGGCGATGCGCTGAGGGTCTGTAAACGTCTGGAACAACTCGGCAGCAGTGGTGCGGAACTCAGTGCTGTCGTTGATTGTTGTGACGTTAACGACCGACCCGGTGCTCGTCTTCTGTGAGCCGCTCTCGGTCTTCGATCCAGTCGACTTGTTCACGCTCGAGCTCGAGTAGATCTTCGGGGTCGAAAACCCGCTTGACGGGTTGGAACCGGGCGCATGTTGGATATCCTTGCCGTGCTCAGCCATGACAGCTGGGCCGAACTTTGCGAGACTCTTGCGTAGCTGGGGGATGATCTTGGATCGTACTAGATCCTTGACAGGTTGTTTGCTGGCATCCTCAGAGTAGACATCTACGTCAAACTGTGCAAAGGTCAGCATGCACACCGGGAAGCCAGAGAAAAGTAAGACAAGGGTTGTGAGCGAAGGGAACATACGACATACTCGTCTTCCTCCGTGTCGTGTGCAACCTCGGGAATCGTGATAGTGCCGCTAGCCTCCTCGCCCTCTTTGTTCTTGCCTGCCGACTGAGTCAGCCGGCTGAGCATACATGAAAGGAAGAAATGTGCGTACCGGAGTACTCCAATTTGAGCTTGACGTCGAACAATGTAATAACCTTGCCCTTGCGCTGGCTCACATCGACATCTCCGTCCATGCTGGAAACCTTGTCGATCTTCGCGGTGACATCATCCTGCTCGGCCGAGATCTGCGGGAGCTCCTTGTCAAGGTATTCGCGTGCCCAGCCCGACACGTCCTTATTGACCCAATGCCAGTTGTTGGGGTTGTGAAGAACCATCGCAGATAATGTGGGGTGCGACCAATGAGCTGTTCTGCGATTCGATCTGTTAGCAACGCACCTTACAAAGAACGAAAGGCAATGTTAGAGCGAATTTAAAATATCAGAGGTGGTCTGGTGGACCGGGAAGCTGATCCGCATGCAAAGAGTACAAGTCTTCTCAGACTGGTGCCAGCTGGTGTCTCATCCTGTAATTCGAGGTAAGGGAGCGCCGAGTGACTTACTGAAGCGAGAAACAAATGATTGGTAACTATAACTACAACGCTGAACAAGAACGAGAGCGTAGGAGAAGAAGTGCCTGAATGTTCTGTGAGGTTGAAATACAAAGAAGCTTGGGGCAGAAACTTCTAGAAGTTGGAGACCTGGCCCACCGCCAAGGCGTCTCGGTCCGACGAAAGTCCGGGTTCTTTAGTTCACCCTCCTTGGAGAAGAAGAGCATCTCGTCATCCAGTGTAAGTGAACGGATTCAATGTGGGTGTCACTTGTACAGTATATTAGTATGTTCAGACTTCATATATTGTCCTAGACAAAGCAGGGCCCTGCATTGACTGCCCGATTCTCGGATTGAGTCGATGGCTTGATGCACATACAATACAATGTGGTTGTATCTGTACACTTGTCTCCGAGCACGTTCTCTGTTGCAAGGCAAAGACCGCTTGAAACAATCACGTGCGTAAGCTGCCACCTAACAGCAGTTTTGGCGTAATATAACTGAAGCTCCAGCCTCATTGCTTCTCCAGCCCGTTGTGATAATTCTGCACTGATCATTGATCTATACGCTTGGACTATGGAAGAAACCCAAAGCCGCCGACAAGCCCAAGAAACTCATCTCATCACTCACGCGCCGGAAGTAACCACGAGGCACTGCTGAAGAACACATTACCACCGGGCAGCGCCCAGCTCTGGATCAAAGGAGTAGCATATCAGGGTATGAAGAGAGGGTGTCTGTGGAACAACTCTACGCGATTCAAGCCGACTGTGAGGCTCAAATTGGACTCCAATCTCCGTCTGCCAGCCTAGCCAATATTGCTCCGGAGGGAACTGTGGGCGATCCACACCCTGTTCCCTCGTCACAGGCAGATCCAAGCAATCGTATAAAGCCCTGTAAACCTGTGACGCAAGAGGAGGTGTGTGTAGCTTCATATGAGTGGCCTGAAGAGCAGGTGATCGAATAGAAGCGCAATCTGAGGACTTTGGATCCGTACTACAGGCTTTGGTTAAGGTGCAGGAAGAAAGTTTGCAAGCAACAAGACAACTACTGAAAGTGTGTAGCATGGGCGATGAATGATCGTGCGTTTAACTGTTGGAGGAAGATAGAAAGTGATAATTATTGCAACACAGGCGCATTATGTAGGCCCGGTCAAGGTGTGTCGGCCATACATAAGATGGACTGCTGGCGCGGATTGTGCTGCCTACCTTTGTGGATCCCATACGCCTGTCAGAATCGATTGCAACTTGTCAAGCAAGGCCACGATGAAGGACGGTTTTTCGAAGCTCTATGCTGCAGTGCCTTTGCTGGCAGCCAGCGGAGCTTTCACACAGTTCGTACCTGCACCTACCGACTTGACGACCAAGGAAGAATACGCAGGTATCAACGTGCGATACAAGCAGGTTCCTGGGGTCATTTGCGAGCTTGATCCCAATGTCAAGAGCTATTCAAAATACGCCGATGTCGAAAACGACCAACACATCTTCTGTTGGCTCTTCGAAGCACGCAATCAGGATGCAATTGAGGCGCCATTGACCGTTTGGATGAGACCAACTTCACTAACGTACTTCGAAGTTTCGTACTGAACAACTCCTAGATTAACGGTGGCCCTGGATCATTGTCCATGATTGGCCCATTCCAAAAACTTGGACCATGCGGCGTTGGGCCAGATCTGAAGTCTTTCAACAACCCATACTTCTGGTCCAATGCGAGCAACATGCTTTTCATCGATGAGCCTACCACTGTCGATTTCTCGTACTCGATTCCCATCCAGGCTATAAAGGTGATAGCGGTTCATCCTTCAACTTCCCAATGCGACCTGTCTTGACTATGCTGAGTCGTACGGCTCATGCGGTACATACTCGAAGCCTAACCACACCTTGACTGCCAACAGCCCTGCAGGGGGTGCTCCAAATATGTGGAAGACGCTGCAAGGATTTATGGGTGCTTTCCCTGAATACTCGCGTAACCGATTTAATCTCGCGACAGAGAGCTACGGAAGACACTATGCCCCGGTTTTCAACGGCAAGCGCCCCAAATCATAGGAAAAAGATACCTGGCTGACTCCTAGCCTACTTCCTTGACCAGAACTCAAAGAACATCACTTGCGCTCACAAGATCGACCTTGAGAATGTCCTGGTTGGCAATTCTGGTTCGACCCACTCGTACAGTACCAAGCTTACCACAACTTCTCCGTGTTCCCGGGTAATACATACGATTACGACCCATACAATGCGTCCGTCAAGGCCGAATGGAACAACTTGTACGGAGAAGGCAACTGCTTTGATCAGACCAAGCATTGCTGTGCCACTGGACAGAACTCTATTTGTGCCCGCACAGAGGACTTTTACGCAAACAAGGTCGAGAATCTGTATGACATCTGCAGTGGACGAGACGAGTACGACATGCGCTACCTGACGCCAGACCCCTTCCCGTACTCCTACTACGTCGAGTACCTCAACACACCAGCAGTGCAGAAGGCTGTTGGCGCATTCCAAAACTTCTCTGAGAGCTCAAGCACAGTATCGTCAGCGTTCGACAACAATGGCGACGACGATAACCGCGAGTTTGGCACTATCGAAGCATGCAAGAAGCTACTGGCTGCTGGTGTGCAGGTCATGCTGTACTACGGCATTACTGACTACAATTGCAATTGGCTTGGTGGACAGGTAGTTTGCCGATGAGATTGCAGCCCCTGGCTACGATACCGCAGGCTTCGTCAACATCTCTACCTCTGACAACATTGTACATAGTCAAGTCAAGCAGTTTGACATTTCCCCCTTCCTCAGTATCTACGAATCGGCCATAAAGTGTCTTTCTATCAGCCCCTGGCGTCGCTTGAGATCTTCGAGCGCGCTCTGAAGCAGGTCGACATCGCTACTGGCGAGTGCAAGGTGGATGCTGGGTACAAAACAGTCGGAACACCAACCAGTGCATACCGCGACCATACAGTTTGAGGTTACCCTGAAGAATGCAACCTGCAACACTGCACTTAATGCTCCAGACCCAGAGCCAACGTGGACTGTGGAAGCCGTAGCGAAGAACAAAGTAAAACGGTCGAAGGGTAAACTGGGACGACCAGGTATGTCGCCGAGCAAGAGACGCTCTGCGTAGAGATATGCACAACAATATCCACAACGATCTTGCAAATAACAGGCAATGGAGAACCGAAGATAATGCAACACAAGTCTCAAATGTAGCATGCAGGTGGATCGTGGAGGTCGTCATGACTCGATGCTCTCCCACACCATATTTTAGTCAGCTCACACAACGTTTACGCTAGCGACCGTGCCCTCGGCGCCTCCGGCGTTGATCAACAACATTTTGTAGCCCCGTTGCTGCCGCTGCTCCAGATAATCCATTGTGTAGACTTTACCAGCCAATGAATTTGAACAGAGTATTACCAACGCAAATCGCGTGGTGCTGCGTGCATGTGAAATGATGACTACAGCTCGTGATCCCTGCATACGGAATGCATGAAGCCTTGGAACCTTGGGTGTTGAGAATCGCATCATCAGTCGCGGAAGGTGCATATCGAACACGAGCACTCCGCTGCTTCCCACGCCACGCTCACTCGTCGCTCACACTCTGCACGACAATAACCACATAACCAGCAGGCAACAGTACCGAGATTGGCGTGTCGCGTCGCCCCACATTAGGTCCCTCGAGCAGTTTCCCAGCATCGTGCGACGCCTGAGGTGTGCAGACTTCAACGCTCCCAATCACTGGTCGATAAGCCCCTCTGCGCGTGCTCTGCCCTCGATACACTCTGTGATGGTGTCTTCTGGCGCATGGCCTCGCTGAGAGGCGTCTACGCCTGTCCACTAACCGCGCCTCTGGTCACCAGCCCTCCCTGCAGCCGCGTGGAAGCAACGCAATAGCGGCGGACGAGCCCACACAACATCCCAGCAATGGCGCCCTCGAACATGTTCTCATACCTCAGGCCAGGTCATTCAAAGCGCAATGCCTCGAGCCTGGCATCCCCAGACCCCGTCGCCAGCCCTGCTGCCCTCCAGCTGCCTTCGCCGTCGCAGAGCACTGAGTACTTTGCATCGCCGCGCATACCAGATAGTGCAAGCTTCACGTCCGGCTCGCCCATATCACCGTTCCCTCCGCAGCTGCCACCCATCATGCGCGTCGCCTCCAAGCTAGATCAAGCCAGGACTACACAAAATTCTCCACGCCCTGCAGGTCAGCGCCCGGTCAGCACAGGGTGCTCCAGCAGTCAGTTAGCGCAGGAACAATATTCTCCCAGTCTTGAGCAGAAGCCTGCGTTCTTACGCTCCAAGACAGACATCACGCCCACAGGCCTGCGACCGCAGGGATTGGGCATCTCACATAAGCCAGACCCAATGCACGCCTCAGAGACTCCCTCGCAATCATCCACACATCTGGCGCCTTCTCTCACATCTCCTGGCTATGCAAGCCATTCCAAGTCCCAGACCTCGCTCATGAGTGGTCTGACGGAGAAGCTGTCTGGGAGCTCCAAAGCAGCCTCAACGCCCACAGCTGCACCTGCCAAGAACAAGTCACGACTCAGGAATCCTATGTCACTGCTTATGCGGCGGAGATCTGGTCAAACACTCGATCCTCTCCACGACGAATCGCTAGTCACACAACGCTCACCCTCATTCATTCCACCAATACGCGACAACTACGATCCCAGTATTCGCGGCAATATCGTCCACGACTTCAATGCACCGAGACTGAACAGGAACTTTTCGTACAACAATGCATACGGCGGCAGCCCAGTACCACCAGGTACTCCAGGCGACCCGGGTCGAGTCAGTCCGCCCAAGATTGAGAAAGAGCATACTCCAATCTTCCGCGAGCATTTCGACGACGACACGAGTTACGAACAGTCACAGGCTGCTGTTCGAGCCGAGCAATTAGCGAACAATGACTTCGTAGCGCGGAACTCGATGCTTCTTTTGTCAGAGCCTTCGCTGCCTGAGCCTGCACCTGCGCCCAGGTTAGCACCTCAACCGGTCACGAAAGAAGTACCGTCGGAAACACCGTCGGAAACACCGTCAGAACCCCCTCCACAATCCACTTCGCCACCTCCACCACCACCCTATCAAGCTATTCACCTTGCCTCCTCGGTGCTGTCTCCTGTTGAGGAAGTCCCCAGCCCTACGTATGCGCCCACAGACGACACACCGAAAGCGAAGAAGTCAACGAAAAGCCCTCCACCATCGCGATCACGAGCTACCTCAGTCACTGACCCCTCATGGCAGCCAGCTGGACTACCTGCACACCTCAGCAGCCGAGCTTCGAGATTCAGCTTTCAGATCAATGGTGGCAGCGATTCCACACAAGAACATGTCATGGAGGAAAGGCATAGGAAGAAAGCAGCAGAGAAGGCGTCCAAGCAGGCTCATTTGTCCACAAACACCATTGAGGACGAGTATGACGAGTACGGCATGGATGATGACTTCGACATGGATGGTGGTTTTGAGGAAGAGATCCCCATGCTGGGAGAGGAGGATGAGTTTGGTGTTTTGGGAAATCAGAGCAGCAACGACGGCATCAGCACTTTCGACTTCTCGACATTGTCCATAAATCCAGGTCTGATGAACCAAATGAGCCCCATGGGACCGAACGGCCAGCTTCAGACTCCGTACGATATGAATGGCAATCCTATAGGGTTTGCGATGTCCGGTGGTATAGAACAATCGAAGTTGAATGCGGACAACGGTTACCTGAACCCTGAAGAGGATGATGACGACGGCGACGACGAAACGCAGCATTCAAACGCACTTGAACTCCAACCAGACTTCCAGGTCACCTCGAAACAAGCTACAGCAGGCTCAGGTAGCCGAAATGCTATTTCTAGCAACGATCCAAGTCCAGGAGACCTTGACCTCGATGACGATATGTATTTCGACGACGGTTTGATTGGCGAACAAGATCTTGGTGATGCGCCCGCATTCGATGAAGAAACATTCGATGATCCTGAAGGCCCGTTGTACGAAAGGAAGACGAAGCCAGCACCCACCGAGGACGCACCTTCATCACATCCTCTGCAGGCATTGCCTTCAGAGACGGGATACGAGGCGGATGATGACACTTTGTTTAGGCACCTGGAGAAGTCGGAACCCTCACTAACTCACAAACCCTCAGTCGCGCATGCACCGGCCGGACCAACCATGTTCGACTTCAACGACATGAGCTCGTATCATACCGCGCTTGTCGATGCAGCAAATCGAGCCGAAGCTGAAGGGCGTTTCGCACGGAAAGCGAGTGTCGATGTTGGCAACTCCAGCTCTGAGCTCGATGATGCATCGTCAGTCAGCCACTCGCGCCCAAGCCTAGTACCTGATGATGGCCGCCTTAGCTTGGACACGGTTGGCTTTCCGGCAGACGACGATGTCTACGGAACAGTCATGAATTTTCAGGACGATTACGATTACAGTGACTACGACTCGGCTCTCGAAAACGATCCCATGATCGCGGCTGCAAATGCCGAGGCGCTGGCTTACGATGACGAAGGGTTCTATGGGCGCGAATTCGGCTTCTATGCCGCAGCCGGCGATGCACAGAGTGAGTGGGGTGGTGTCTTCGCTTCTGGGCTCAATCGTGCTGTCAGTGGGCGCAATGCTGTGAGGGAGCCAAATTTGACTCCCATTACTGAACGAAGCGAGTACAGTACGCGCAACTCGTTCATCAGTCTGAATCATTTCTGTGATGGCTCACTGCCGATCTCTAGTCCTGGCCTTGCTCAGTTGGCGCGTATGAGTCCGTACGAATGGCCTGCTGAAGAGGAGGATATGAGTCTTGATGCGCTCATGAAGTTGAGGAAGGGAGCATTTGGCGGGAGTGCATCGAGCTTGCCCAGCAGCACTGCAAACAGCCCACGCAACTCTTCGCCATTCGGCATGCAATTCGCCCCAAGGGCCAGTAGTGCAGCCGGCAATCGCCTGCAGGAGCAATACGAAAGTGAGATCGAGAGCGACGAGTCAGCAAACATTGCGGATAATTTCGACGACAATGAAGAGGACGACGATGGCCTCATGGACGCTGTCAATGGCGCTTACGAAGATGAAGATGATGGCAACAGCAATGGAGACGAGCGACCCGAAAGCCCCACCCTCACAGCGAGCGACTACAATTCGTTGTCGAGCCCCACAGGACATCTCCAGAGCCTATCACCTTTTTCACCACCGGCGCGACCCCAGATCCTACAAATGCAAAGCGTGTACATGCAGCCTCCATCCCACCTCACGTCAGCCATCAAGTCGCCCGCGAACATCGCTTTACCAATATCGCCGTTCGGCATGCCGCTTCCATCACCCTTCATGATGAGCCAACATCCAGGTTCGCCACCACCAATCGATACGTCGCTTTCATCTCCTGCGGCAACTTCGTCGACGGGTCCGCGATGCCAGTCGGTCGGTTTTGCATCACCTATATCAGCTACATCGCCCATGACACCCAGTGGTAGTGGCTGGAGAGGTGGGCACTCACGGAAGGGCAGTGCAGCGGATAGCGTTACATATGTTCGCGAACACGACGAGAGTGGAGAGGGTAGGTGGGTGCTTGAGAGAAGACGAACAGCAGAAAGTGGCGAGCTGGAGCTAATTGGTAGGGAGATCGTTGAGGGCGGTAGGATTTGATACCCAGCTTTGGCGATGTCGAAAAAGGCAGGATCGTTATTGCATTGGCATTTGAGGCGTTTTAGCGATTTCGGAGACACTAATGCTTGGACGACATGACAGGCTGGCCCTCATTACCGTAGGATAGATACCATAGCATAGATCAATGTTGATAGGACGCAGTTATATGATGGTTAATTCATCGAATACCTCCTGCCCCAACACCATATCAAGGCTTCAGAACGCATTGTGACTGGCGCATCCCTTACGATTGTGGGATATTACTTGTACGCAGAGTGCCATGAGTTACCTCCAGACTCAGGGAAACGACGAACAGAGTACATGGTGATACTCTCGTATACCGTGACCTTCCACACATAGTGGCGGGTACAGCCGCAGCCATTCCTTCGGACCAACGTCCGCCTCTTGGCTCATTGATGCTCGTGTTTTGATGACGTCCCTCGACCCTTCCACCACAACGCGAACTTCAGCCATATGAACATAACAACTCGGAGCATTAAACCCCAAACATCCTCCCCACAGTTTGTTACAACCCGTTCTCCACAAGTCATCCCCAACCATGCGACGCGTCAGTGCCAAGCGAGCGAAATGCCGACTCCCGCACCCCTTTACCGCATTGGTGGTGCTCACGGCTCATGTCCCGGAAACCTGAGATACAGACGACCAACTGTTGGGGACATGACTTGCTGCAGCAGCAAGGCGTTAATGAAGAGTGCAACGTAGACTGCGACCCTCCTTGGCTCTCTGTGCCTCTTGTCACAGCGCCCACACTCATTCTGCCGTTACTGTTCCTTTCGTAGCGACGAAATCTGCGATACCGCATCGCAGGCCCACCATGATGGCACGCCCGCTCAACTCGAGCCTCATCTTCGACCGCCGAGTGCTTCTGGGTCTCGGCGCCGTCGTTGTCCTCGCATTCACATTCGCCTTCCTCTACTCGCCAGACTTGCGACCGAGCTCCGACTGGATACCACCGCTGACCTCGAAACCTACACCCGTTTTCGCCATACCGCCGAAGAATGCACAAGACCCCAACATTGTTGAACTCGACTACCTCGCCATCCAGCCCAATGTCACAGACAAAGTGCGCTCGTACTGGAATATCCCGTACGCTGCGACTGCTGGCGGCAAGAACAGGTTTCGTGGCCCGCAGCCAGTAAACAGGACATATGGAATCGGGAGGAAGGAGAAGCCGCTCGTTTGGAAAGGGGATTTGGGCATGTGTCCGCGCATTCAGAAGATCGATGCAAGCCTGAGAAACAGAGAAGACGTCACGGGCGAGGACGTTCTTGGCATCTATGCTGACAAGACGGAAGACTGTTTGAGCCTGAACGTTTTCACGCCATTCGATGCTGAGGCTGGCGATGATCTGCCTGTCCTGGTCAACATCCCTGGTGGTGGATTTCACTTGCCCGGTAGGAGTAATGGCGGCGAGATGGTGGAAAAGGCCAGAAAGGAGAAGGGCAGGAACGGCAAGCTGGACAAGGGAATCATCGTAGTGACGATGTACTACCGCAACGGTATATACGGCTTCCTCTCTGGCAAGGAGATTGCAGAGGATGGAGACTACAACAATGCGCTCAGAGACCAGAGGGCTGCGCTCGAGTGGGTGCAGAAGTACATTCGATACTTCGGCGGCAACCCCGACCATGTCGTCCTGATGGGCACCAGTGCCGGAGGTGCTTCGGTCCTGCTACAGCTCACCGCTAACGAGGGAGACAACCACACTCCCATCCCTGGCACCGGCAGGAAGCCTCTCTTCCATGGCGCGATCGCCCAAAGCCCCGCAAGCCCGACCTTTTTCACATCTACGCAAGCTGAGAAGTTCTGGAACGAAGTCGCCGACGGACTGAACTGCACTGACATCACTTGCGTCCGCAACGCCTCACCCGGCGATCTCTATTACGAGAACTACCCCATGTCCTTCCCCAGTCGCAACACACCTCCGCGCTGGATGTGGGCCCCCACCCCAGAACCTGCGGGTGGCATGTGGACTGAGCCTGCACCAGCAGCCATCATGCACAACCGATACGCCAAAGTCCCTACCATCGTTGGCTTCACATCGAATGAGGGTTCGGATCAGGTCAAGAAGACGACTGACACGCTTGGCGAATTCAAATCCTACCTCAAGGACCACTACCCACTGCTTACAGACGACGATCTCGATACGCTTGCTAAGACATATCCCAACGACCGTCACTGGCCCGACAGTGGAAGATACTGGGATGCAGTAGCTAAGGCACAGGGCGACATCCGATACATCTGCCCAACATACCTTGCTTCGAATGCCATGGGCACGCACAACCCTGAGAATGTACCAACGTACCAATATCAGTGGGACGTCATGTGGGGCGTCGACATCGAGAATGGCTTCGGAACCAAGCACGCTGGCACAGTCGGTCAGGTCATGGTGCGCCGCCAGAACGAGATCTCGGATTACTTTATCAGCTTCATCAAGTACCTTGATCCTAATGTCGAGAAGAGCAAGGACACACCAACATGGGAGAAGCTAGACAGCAGGAAGAGGAGAATGTTCTTCACCAACATCAAGGAGGGTGGCAAGAGGGGAGATGGTACAAACATGCTTGGCAAGATGCGTATGTGGATGGCAGGTAAAGATGAGAGCAGAGAAGCGAACTGCGGTGTCATTAGGGGGCTGATGAAGAGGTTGCAAATGGAGGATGTTGATGCGCTGACGCTGGACTCGTAAGCGCTGAGGTCGACGAGAAGCCGTCGAGTCGTTCGCGGCGGTTTTAAGTTGCTGTATATATCCTAGGGCATATTGGAGCATTTACAGGCGTTTGGATAGATGCCTCATCGTACGCGATGCGTGGTTGTACAAACCCATTTTGTTTGTTGCTGTACGGAGAGCCCGGCCCTGAAGTCTGCTTGTGACGCTGTGCCTTCCCTGTTCTCATTCGACACCTCGACCCAATAACGACGACACGCACGGCTTCTAGTGTCGTTGCGTACACATTTGCTATGACCTCAAGCTATATAATTCTCGAATTCCTCGCATCCGGGTTGCATCAGTCAACACAGCGTCTTCACTCTTCACTTCTGTTGCCTTCTACATCTTCCTCTACCTCTGTTACAATGTGCTCATTCAACAACGCCGGACGGCTCGCAGCTCGTCCAAACACCTTCACTTGCGCGACGGCACCGACTGAGCTGAGTTGGAAGCTACAGCTCTCTCACCTTCGCCCAGGCGCCCCTACCACGGTCTCTGCTACATTAGCAACTGAGTGTCAGGCCTATACCATCGCTCATCCGCCACCACATCTTTTCCCTCGATTGCACATCGCGCTTTGCGATTTGCGTCCATAGCCTCGCTACAACAGCTAGCACCGGGGCAATGTCGTGTGCGACCGATCTTCAAGCTACTCCGCGACATCAAGGCTGACGAGGTATAGGCTGATAGTGACGAAAGCTGCACCTTCGTTCCCATCGAGTTCGTCCAGTCCCAACGGTATCAGAAGACTCCCTCCGCCACAGAGATACAGAGTTGTTCCCCGATGAAACATGTGAGAGAATGGCCATTGAGAGGCGACTTCCAGACTGACGCGGCCGCGAAAAAGAAAAAAAAAAACCACCTGCCGGCCGCAGCAACTCCCCGATCACCCCGGGATTCTCAGGGCGCTTCACCGATGGACGACGCAAGAGATGCACCAACCGATGGCTGAAAGAATGCGACTATTCCGTTGTGGTAGCAAACATTAAACGTGCCCGAGACGGAAGCTTCTATTCATCCTCGTGTCTAGAAATCCTACGAGAAAAGACGGGGTGGAGCTGTGATGATCTGGAGGCATGTACGATCTCATACGAGTCCAGCAACGGAAGATTCTTGTTGAGTGTTAAACTACCATACTCGAGTCATCGAGTCTGCATTCGCTCCTACATGGTGCCTATCTATCGTACACATGCAACTCATCAGCCCTCCCTCCCCTCGGAGGTCGCCGGCACCCGACCCCACGATCTCCCCACGTGACCAACCTCCACGCTTTCCAAAGCATCGTAGCCCAAAGCCGCCTCTACTTCACGTGCGGGAGAATACGCCGTGTACCTCCAGGCTTTGGCTGTGGCTACGAGGCGGGTCCTCACATCCCCGTCCCCCCAGGCCCAAAGAAAAACCCATCAAACAAATCCAGCCCATTCCCATCACTCCAATCATGCGTGCCGTCACCAAACCCCATCCCAAACCCGATCCCGACATCCTGCGTCGCCGCGCCGTCGGCCATACTACTCGCGCTCCCCTGAACAGGGAAACTGTCCAGGAAGTCCAGGTCGTTATGGAATCCTAAGTCCGGGTAGGAGGAGGACATGGTTTGGGCTTGGGCGTAGGCGTTGTAAGGTGCTGCAGAGATTTGGTAGGGTGAGGGGAGCGGTTGCGGTGGGGATTCGGAAATTGGGGGTGAGAGGGTGGGTGTTGTTGAGTGGAAGGATTGATGTTGATGTTGTTGTTGTTGTTGTTGTTGCGGACTCGGAATAGTCTGTCCTTGTGTGAAGCCGAAGCCCTGTGTGCGGAGTTGTGGCGAGATCTTCAGATCGGCTGTGAATGCTATTGAGTCCTGGGTCTCGGGCTTGATGGGCGCGGGTGGGGGCCGCATGGTGTTGACTTGGTTGGACACGCGGCTGAATGAGCGCTTGTCTGTTTCGTCTTCGGAGAAGAGGTCCTTTAGGTTCATGTCGAATCTTGGCATGGGTTTGCGGGACCGCTGGTGTGGGTGCTGGGTGAAGTAGCTTGTGTTTCGTGGGTAGCCTTGCATGTCGGCGTTTGACTGCCCATCGGTGTCGGATGCGGATGTGTATGTTGTGGGAGGTGAGCGTGAGGGTTGAGGGTAGTGTTGTTGGGACTGAGACAGTGCTCGGAGAGCTTGTGGACCAAAGCCGGTTGTTGACATGCACATCTGGATGGTGGCCTTGCTCATCCGATCGAAGGCATCACGACATGCCTCCGCGGGCGGACATTTGTCGATGAGGTCACCCAGAACCGAGGTTGCGGCCAATACGGTGAAGTCGACATCATCCAGAGACTGCAGGGTCAGTTAGTATCGTTCCAGAGCAATGTCTCTGCGACACACGTCACACAAGCAAAGACGGGCCAGACTCACTAGTAGGCTGCGAACATGAACGCTGTGCCACACAGCGTACAGAAAGGATATCCCTGGATCTGAGTCAGCAACGTCATGATTCCCGGAGAAGAGCGCTTACCAGCCATGAAGAGGTGATGGGTCGCCAAGAACGTGTAGTTCACAAGGTGAACACGGTGCAGCTGTCGGTATAGCTTCAAAACCTTCTGACCGGCCTCGGCTACCTTGAGGAACACCAGGTCTTCGTCTTCGCGTTCATCCACGCCGACTACAGACGGACTATCGACATCAGAGCCAGTGGTGCCAAGCACACCTTGTAGTCCAGACGGCACGACTAGACTCTGTCTGTACAACATGATGACGGCTTGCCAGTAGTTCAGTTCCAGGAAGAGCGGTGAGAACTGCACACCAGCGTCTAACTGGGTCGGAGCGGAGTCCTTCCATTCTTGCAGACGCCTGTCGATATCAGCGCGCCAGGCACGGAAAGACTCGAACTTGGCAAGGAAAGGTGACGGCAGCTTGGTGTGCATGAACTCGTTACGTTGGTTTGCCCCACTCGCCCTTGCTTGTTGGGCCTGACGGTGCTGCAGCACCTGCAAGATCTCGGACTGCAGCAACCTCAGACGGAAGTAGTGATATGCAACCACTTTATACGTTGGCCTCTCGAGGTGTGGTGGCGACTCGAGGAAACCTTCTTTTGTGATGAATCGGTCATCGAGGAGTGAGGGAAACTCTGTCGTGACGATCTGATCTGTGATGCCCTGTTCCGAGTCAGCATTCCGTCAAACGCAAGAGCCAGGCCACCAGCAGTGCCAGGTCCCAAGTTCTGCCGAACAGCTGTCCCGCACTCGTTCCATCGACTTTGGTATATGCTCGAGACTGGCGTGGCCGCGATGCCTCGTGTCCGTGGATGGCAAGAATAACCGACAAGACAGGTCCAAAGAAGCGGGGGTTATGGAAGCAGATGTGGAAGCAGATGTGGAAGCAGATGTGGAAGCAGATGTGGAAGCTGATGGTATGGGAACAGATGTGGAAGCAGGTGTGGGAGCAGATGCTATGGAAGCAGATGCTATGGAAGCAGATGTTATGGAAGCAGATGTTATGGAAGCAGATGTTACTCACAAATGGTCTGCCCACGCAGGTACTGACAAGCCTGTCCACCGAGTATACGCACCACCACAGTCGTCTCCGGAGGTCTCTGACCCACTGTCTGCGGCCCCTCTCCTTTGCATCGATTTTGGCGGTACTGGCGCTGCCGGCAGCCGTCGTCGATCCATCCTCGTTCGCAGAGCCCTCGGTTTTGGCATCTGGTCTCCCGGTGGAATGGTCCTCCGAGCCCGACCCATCGATACCCACTCCATCCTCGTAGTGTAACCCTAGATCCACGCCGAGGCGCACAGCGACTCCTACAATGTACCACAGGCCAGGCGCAACAGGCCTCAGCAGCGCGAATCCTGCGAGAAGTAACACAGCCTGCAGCTCTTCCAAGCCCCCACCAAAGCCGTCGGGACGGTCCGCAGCGGGAGAAGATCCCAGGAAATTCTCGAGGTGCACGATGGCAGACGCGTGATACTCTTCGGGCTGGTGCTGCTGGCCGGCAAGCCTGCGCTTCTTGTTGCTTGGTGGAGACGCTCGGGACTTGCGTGGCGACGCTGAGCCGTCAGAAGTCGGTGAGTCGTCTGCGTCGGAGCTTCCCAGGATGATGCCGGCGCCTATAGCAAAGACGATGTTGAGCATGTACGACTCTCTTGACGTGCGGTGCCTTTCTCCGCTCGCATACACGCGCTCGAACAGGTCCATGAACTCGCCGCGGTGCAGGATCGGGATCTGCGGGTTCGCGTGCTCAAAGTAGAGCTCGACGAGCCGAGAGCCGAGTTCGCGGTCGGGGAAGGGCGCCTGGCGGAAGGTTGGTTTGGTGTGCAGGCCGAAGAACGAGTCGCGCATCGAGGTTCCGCCGTCGACGACGTTGGCGGCTGGCTTCCCTCCGCGATTGCTGCCGCGCTCAGAAGACGATCCCGAGACGGAGCTCTTGACCGCAGCGAACACGACGCGGGCGAAGGAGATGCCTGATGTAGACCCGAGGTAGCGCGGGTCACTGGCGCCCTGCACTGACACCATGCCGATGTTGGAGACGAGCTTGGCGAGCTTCTCGCGGTCGTACCTCTCGCTCTCCTCCCTCGAGGGTGTTGCAGTGCGCGGTTGGGCGGCCGCGCCATGGCTTCGCTGCGGTGCCGTGTGCGCGGGCTGGTGGGCGGCCGCAGTGCCGTTCGACTGGAAGCTCGGGTTGAAGTCTTCGGCGGGCTGGAAGGGCAGGCCGCCGTCTTGGAGCAGCGACTCGAGGTAGGCGACCCGGGTCTCGAGGTACCAGACGTAGCTGCATGCTGGTCAGTCGCCGAGCCGAGGCGCAACAACGAGAGAGCGCTCCCCCCCTCCCATCCAGGATCTGCTGCTTACCTGCGAGGAATCTCGCGCTTCGTGATGGGATCGTAGCCCACGCACTTGACGCCCGCCTTGTCGCAGGAGGCACACGACGGCAGGCGCTGGTCGCAGCGGTTCTTGCGCAGCCGGCAGCGGTTGCAGGCGCTCACATTGCGGAACGACGACGCCGGCGAGCTGCTGGTCCCTGCCGTCGCTGTCGTCGCTGCCGTCGCTGCCGTCGCTGCCGTCGCCGCCGGGCTGGCGGGCTTCTGCGAGGCTGCCGAGTCCGAGGGCGAGGGGAGCGCGCCGTCATGAGACTCCTCCAGAGAGCGTTTGAGGCCGCTCATCAGGGCGCATAGTAGGACGAGGCCGAGGGGTCGGTCCCAGGCTAGGTGTGGTGGATAGGCCCCGAGCTGCGATGCTGCTTCACACTGGCGCGGGCCAACGTCGCTCTCCCCGCACTGCAATATGCGCGCTGCTGCTGCAAATCTCCGGCAACGTCAACAGCGGCTGCGTCTGATATAACTGCAGGCTGGAGAGTGTCTCTTCGTGGCGTGCATCTGCCATGTCCGCAAAATGCAATCGACGCGACAGCTGACCTGTGGATGGCTAGGCGGGCTAAGGCTGTCCCTTATCGGCGGCCCAGATAGCTCTCCAGCGATTGTGGGCGCTGCATGTGTTGTCTAAGTGGGCTGTCGTTGCCCTAAGGATGCACCCCAGCCGATAACACGACCAGTTGTATACCCGCTGACTACAAAACAATTGACTCCTGAATCGTGCATCCACCCACCCGTCGGCGCTGATTCAGCGCTGCTACTCACATGCCTCCACCACCCTGTCAGCCTTGTCCGCGCACTGTGCCAGTACCTCGGTCCATCGACCATGAGAGGAGGCTGAGAGAAGCATTGTTCATCAGCCGCACCTCCTGCATACGCACGCGGCAGTCGGTTTCTGGGGTTCGGGCAGCTGCGAACCTGAGGCTCGGGAAGGTACCGAACGACACGACATCACCAAGTGCACACGGATCATGGTTCGTACTCTGATGGAGGAGTTGGTATCATATTGCGTGAGCAAGCTGATCTAGCTGATGACAACTGTAATGTCATGAATGAAGAACTGCTGGGGTATTTGTTCTTGTGAAAAACGCCTTGCTCGACACAACCATTGCTGGTTCCCTGTGTGTCCGAGCTATCCCATCTAATAATACCGCCCAAAAGTCCGCCCATTATGATGTCGCTGAAGTACTGAGATGATGCTGAACGCCGTGTGAATGCATGCTCTAGGGTGTCCGTGAAGAGCCGTAATATCTATGTTCCTGAAACCAAGGAACTCCGAGGAAAATGTTGCTGCCAGCGCGATGCACGCTGGGACCGAGGGTGAAAGTTGGAAAATCGTTTGCGCCGTGTGGTGTGGGAAAGTCGTCTATTTGGAGAGAACCATCTCTGCCTCCTCGTCCGGGGTAAGGGTAAGGACTGACTCTGCGTCAGATGCACAGTCGACCAGGGCTTCCTCGTCGTCTTCGCTGATAGTGCGCTTGTCAGACTCCTTGAGCATGAGTCCAGGAAGCCATCCGAGAAGCGCAACGCCGGCAATGGCCCACCAAGCCAGTCCAGACATACCGAGATGCCCGCCCAAGCTGTCGACCGCACCAGACAACGTAGGGCCGAAGCCGCGGCAGACGCTGGCAGAGGATGCGGCAGCTCCGTTCAAAGTGCCGAGGACGCGCTTCGAAGGCGAGGAGTTTGCGAGGATGATGGCCAGGGATGGGTAGGAAAGCGATTGGAAGGTGACTTTGCCGATGAGCAAAATCACAAGTCCGGGAATGCGAAGGCGTTCAGGAAGAAGTGCGAGGTATGGGGCCAGGATGTAGAGGACCGGGTATAAGCACATGGTAATCCAGAAAGTGCGGAGGCTTCCGAGCTTCTTGCTGAGCCAGGGGAACAGGATGAGTTGAGCGAACATCTGCATCGCGCCCTGCATCGCAAGGAAAGCGCCAATGTTCTGCGTCTTCCATCCAAATCCGCCGGTGAACTTGAATGGGAGGTGTGTGTCTTCTGGCTTGGATGCGTCTTTGGACATGAGAATGGGTAGAAGTTGCTCTAGCGAGATTGTGTGGCTAGGAGAGATTAGCCGTTGCACCGCGTCGATGTCGTGGAGAATCTTACAAAGCGAGAATGCCGTAGCACAGGATGTTCAGACAGACCTGCTTAGTGAACGCTTCTCGCACAGGTGGCGCCGGCGCCTTTTCCTGGTCCAAAGAAAACGCGGGTGGCTCTGACATGGATGTGCGGGTACTGCATAATGTCGGCGAGCTGTCGGTGCTTCGGTACGCATGCTTGTTGATGTCGTGGCCCTCCAACATGGATGTCATCTCGTCAAGGGATGCGCCTTTCTCGTTGAAAGACGCGTCGGTCTCTGACCTCCACACCTTGCACAGCAGCCATCTGCCCGCTTCGAGACCACGATCCTCGTCGTATTTCTTGTCCTCATGAGTCTCCTGCAAGAACAGAACACCGACTGCGAGTCCGAAAACGACAACAAGGGCGCAAACGACGTTTGGCAGGAGGAATGGGTAGGTTTCGAAGATGGTGCCCTTGAAAGCCTCGGATGTTAGAGCGGGTTGTGCGAGGACACCGCCAAGTGAGCCGCCAATGATGGTGCTGTAAAAAGGCGGTCAGTCGGCTGCAGGAACGTAGTACTCAGGAGCATCCTTACCCAAGACACCACACAAAAGGCATGATGGAATAGGCGCGCGCTACGAGAATCAGTTTGCAATCGACATGTAATTCAACATTAGATCAAACTTACGCTGGTGCCTCTCATCCGTAATCAACTCAGCGACGGTCGTTTGAAGGACGCCGATGTTCCTGCACGTCGGTTAGCGGCAAGTCAGGCCCTAGCGTAACTGATGACCTCACCCGTTGAGAAGTCCACCGAGCGCCCGAGCGAACAACGCTATTGGCAGGCTTCGGGCGAAACCAAAAAGAAGCATGCTCAATCCGGTGCCGAACATGCCTCCAAGAAGTACCTTCTTGCGCCCAACCTTATCGCTCAATCGGCCCCAGAAGATTCCACTGACGCACTCCATGAAGGCAAATGCTGATGTGACCATGCCTGTGTACATTGCTGCTTTGCCGTCGTCGATACCAAAAGACTTGACCATTTCAAAGGCGTATGGGAAGATTGACATGAAGGCAATGGGCTCGCATATCCGGCAAAGTGCTAGGTTTGTTAATATGAAGGCTAATAGCAATCATAGTGAACCTCCACTCACCCAGAACAGCCATTTGACGGGTAGGGAAAGGCGTCTTGCCTCTGCCCGTGGCAGAGAGCCCATCGAATCGAGCCATTGACGCTGTGGTGCGGTTGTGATGTGGGTGAAGGGAAGGTGTATCAGATGTTATGGTCCGAGGGAGAAAGTGTTGATCGATGTTGTAAGTTGTTGTAGCAGGTGAGACATGTGTGGGTTGGCGTCAAGCTGGTACCTCCAGGGTAGAGAGGGGAGATCAAGTCAAGACGGGTGCGAGCGTCTCAGAGTATATAGGGCAGAGCAAGATTTAAGTGGCGTCGTGAAGCGGATGGACCGCTGAGACGTGCAGGGACTAGGGCAGCGGGGAGGAAACGGAGAAACAGGCGGTGATTGTTGTGGATATGGATACGTAGTTTGGGCGGATAGGGACAGCGGAAGGACCAGTGGATGTGAAATGAAAGCGGAGCCGTGATGCCATGGCTGGATGGACACAGCATTCAGTTTGCCGATAAGCGACCAGGGAAATGCTGTGCTGGCAGCCATATTGCTACTAGCCTCACGTCAATTGTGACTCCAAGTCACAGGACGAGATGGGTAACTTTGTGCCCGAAAACAACAGCGGTCCTGTAACCCCTGAGCGAGGGCCAGGGCTGGCGGCGCTTCGATCCTGTGTGCCTCACACAAGACTGGGACCGGGTTGGGCGGAATCCACGACATTGGACAGGCTAGAGACGATCGAGTAAGGTCAGCCAGGGAGAGTTGCAAGAGCGTTGAGACGTCGTGCGATGACTTGGAGCTCGCAAAGAAGATCAACGCGCACGTCCCCATCTTGGCAAAAAAACATACCGTTTGTGGTTAGTCCAAAACCGCGGATACGGTCCACAGGCACTAGCTTACTATAACCTTCAGAGCTGCATCAACCAGAGCCAGGGGCCCCCTGTCGCAACCAGAAAAATGTGCGAACGTCGTGCCGACTGTCGCTGGCCGCTGAGAGGCCGTAAACGGAAACGGGATCGCTCCCAGCTTCCCCGGGGGCAAATAGGACTTTGTTCCGGTGTGGACACTATTCAGTGTCAGATAATTCCTTCATCAGAAGCCTGTTCAGGGGCAGCAAAACCTTGCGGCGCAATTGACTCTTGGCAGCTTGCGAGTCAGGAAGGAGAGCTTTCGCCGTATGCTTTCCAGAAGCAAGCTCTGACCAATCAGTGCTGCAGCCCACTTTGCGGTTGATGGGCGTTGGCATCGTCGCTTCAAACCACGATTGCTCCGACAAATCCAAAAATGGCGGTGTATCTGTACCAGGTAAGAGCCGCGACATCGTCAAAGTATGCCCATCCAGAGCGTCACGCGGCGAAGCGCATCAGTAGTCTCTGCGCCGCCTTGCTGCAGTAAGTGATGATACAGCTCATCATCAGCCCTTCCAGGGCACGAGTCGCGGCGCTCCAAATGGCTGAAAGAACGGCACAGCACGTTTCGCGTCTCCCAGACCGCTCCCTGGCACTCCACATGCGGCCATTTCACTTGCTGCCCCAGGTATCATCTCCACGCAACCTTGCTGTCAACGTGATCTGAAAGTTCCCACTCAACTCCTGGGCCAACCGACTCGCAGGACGGACGTGGCTTAGTAGGTGTCATTACCGAAACCCATCGTGCCGTCATCATTCATCAGACATCGTGAAGCTCGATGCCCAAGGTACATCAGCTGACAGCGCCCTTGCGCGCATCTGCGGTCGGTATGTAGCTGCTGTGTTGCTGCCCTGATCGATAGTCCCTCCTGGTGGAGCCAGAATCACATCCGTCGCGTGTCGCGAGCTGAGCTGTCGCAGCTGCGCTGGGCACAGTTTGCGACCGGCCCTGGACGACGCAAAAACGGGTAAAGCACAACGGCTGTTTCGACGCCGAGTCACGGCCAAGCAGGACGCGTTTGTGGCGGTGTGGACGGTGGACGTAAGGCTGGCACTGATGCAGCCATTGGCCAGGGTGGCTTGCAGATTCCACGCGAGATTAACACGATGGACAGGGGCCTGAGAAGACTCTGAGACGACCAGTCGTTCTTAGTGTCTTCTGGTCGCGCCAGGCTTGTGGTCCTTGCGGTGTGATTGCTCCACGCGAATCCTCCGATGAGGGGCATCGTGGGCTGTTACTTTCGTATACGCATTAAGCATACTTTGCATCCGCATCCGCGAGGCACGCACACCCGAAGTAGCTGCGTGGACTGATGCGGCCTTGGATTCGTGGGGATCCAGAGGGATCGAGGGGTTGTCTTGGGCACGCCTTGTTGTCGACTCTGGAGTGTGAGCAGAAACGAGACAGATGACGGACCCGACAGCATGGGTCGGTTTTCTCCGATCTCGTCGCAGAAGTCACTGCTCACCTCTGCCGTCGACCAATGCGTAAACGGGGCACGTGAGTCGCGGCAGTAACGTGTGATGCAGTCGCAGCCTGCTCTGCTTGTTTCGTCTTGACTGGAGCCAGCGCATTTCAAAGCCGTCAGGTTGCACGGCAGGCGGTCAGAAGTGGGACAAACTTGGCTTAGACAGCATGGATATCGCCAGACGATCGTAATTCAGTATGCTTCTTGGTCGCTATGCAAGGCCCTCAGCATCCGCAGACCTGGGTCGATGGCATGTCGTGAACATCAGTCACCGATGAACGGTGACCCTCGCACAAGTGCCAATAACATCGGTGACGGGCTCGTGGGTGCGATGCATGTATATGTCACCCCATCGGTCCTCCTCACATCCGGTGTGTATACAGTTTTTGCATTCGAGTAGAGACTGTTCACGCCCAAAGGAACTTCCCACGCAGGACAGTGTGTAAACTCGAGACTGTACCGCCCACACCAAACGCTCCTCAACCACTTGCAGTGGTGTCTGCAGAAGGCCTTGCCGCTGCGGACGCTAATGTGTATGCACCAAGGGCGAGCAGGCAAGGATCAGACAAGAGAGCGTATGATATCGATTATCGTGGTGTCACTGATAAATTTCCACAGGCGGTGCTTTTTCTTGCTACCAATCGAGCAATTGCAGCACCGGGAGGGGCCCATCCGGCTAATTCGCGTTCCCACACTTACTGCTGCTGCACTGCCACGTCGGCGTTTGAAGGTCGTTCTGCAGCGAATCCGTGCTGCGCGCTCATCTCCTTCGCGGCTCTGGCAGGGCACAGTTTGTGGTGTTGTACGCTTGAAGGTGACAGGTGCAGCGGCTAAAGACCCACTTGTTCGCTAGGGCCAAGCGCAGATCGTCCCTCAACGCTGCTGCAACCTCACCGCGCTGGATCAACCGTATACAGCACCAACACTGTACGCGGCATGCCTTTACCCGCCTCATCCCTGAGGCTTTCTTCTTTCCGAAAGCAGCATCTGCTCATCGAGTTGTAGGTTGCGGTCAGCAGCTTGGTGGCCGGTCTTAACAGAAGATAGCTCTACCCTGCGACATGCACAGCTGGATGGTGTTTTCGTGAGCATTACACCCGGTGATCCGTCACTGTGGGTAGGCCTCATATTCGTGCGAAAAGGTAGTCAGATGTCGTAGAGCTAAGCAAAGCCTACTGACGCCGTGCCTGCTCCCTACACTAAATTCTCATCGTATTCACGCTTGACAGGTCCATATGCCCCTGCAGTCCTACGCTTCCAGATATCTTTCCCGTTCAGCTATCCGGCTCTGCCACCCCTTGTGACCTTTTCTACCGATGTCTTTCACCCTCTGCTCACGCCACTCACAACATACACTCACACAACTGCATCTTCGGACACGGACCCCGTCAGCGCAACCGACGAGGAACGGTTACCACCAGGTGGTTTCAGCCTTCGTCATGGCTTTCCACACTGGTTTGGCCGTGCACGACGATCTGTAGTGAGCTCACGCGATGTGAGTGGATCAGCAGTTGATAGTCCAGCTCAAAGTGTTACGCCCGTACGCTCGGTAGTGAAGAGTGCGACCTCAGGCGGTTCCGGAGCATTATCTGCGGCGACTGGTGTATCCATCGTGACCGTTCTCGAGTACATTCGGTCAACGTTCAGTGAGGAGGCAGTTCTGGACTCAGTCTCGTTAGAAGCTGCCGCAAATCCAGGTGCATACCACGCATGGCGAGCTTATCGTGGCCCAGCCATGGAAACGCAGCAACCTCCCCTCAGTCCTATCTCCTCCACCTCAAGTGAGGGCACTGCGCTGGGCAGGAATCGACGTCCCGGAGAGTGGAACTGGGAAGGCGTATGGGAGGAACGCGTAAAGAGAGCCGTCAATGCTAGCCTTTCTGAGTCTGTTCTGTATGGACCAGGAGCTGGAGAAGACATCGTGAGTTACCACTGCATATGAATCTAGAAGTCTGTCCGGCTGCTAATGATTCCAGATCCGCTTCCAGCAAGGTGACAGTGAGACTATGGCAAGGATGAAGAAGCACTTGGATGTCGCCACCGCCAGAACGACAGAGACATGAGATGATAGAGTTGGTATGATATCCTCTTTTCGATAGTCTGTATCAAAGTGCATGCTCAAAAATGGGTTTTGCATCGCGCTTAAGGAGGGTGTGGCAATTTTCCGTCGAGGGCAAGAACGCTTGAGGTTATCAACAAGTACTTGAGTGCGACTTCCTTCCAGGGCAGGCATGAGACCAGCTGCAAGAATTTGTTGCAGTCACTTCATACACCATCAGCATCAATAGTAAACAGCAGCGTTTTCTATGCTCGCATTTGTCGAACGAAACATCTCTTCTTATTCTTTCCTGTATCCCCCACTTTGATTCTCACGGTTGAGGCCCAGTCAACGGTGGCGTAGGTTTCTTTACCTCCCTTTCACCTTGTGTTTGCGTACTCACGGTGAAGGTAGAACACGACGCGACACGCTGTCCGTTTGTTCCTCGACACGTCCATCATGGCGCTAGCAGCGATCGACACCTTGGGACTCTCGCAACACGCCGCCTTCTGCCCTCCACCGCTGCATATCCAAAAGAAGCCACGCAGAGCAACGTTTCGGAAACGTATTTTCCGTAAGTCAACGCACAATCGCGACAACGACCAGTACGTGTACGGTCCCTTGGACGACATCATCAACGAGATCAGAAGCAACATCTGGGAGTCACCACATGACTACAGCACTGAAACATCTCTTCTCAGTTGGGCAGCCTCGCTCGACGTGCCGTCGACGTGGACCGTAACACCCTTGCCTGTTAGTCGACTACCCAGCAATCAGCCTCTAACCATACGTAAGAACAGGGAAAGTCGTTCATCGGCATCAGGCTCCAGTATGGGAGACCCTCTGTACTTTTCACGCACCAGTAGTCAGGACTACGCATTCGATGGTGGGCCAGTCGGCGCGCCTGTGTCAACAGGAGATACTCCGTGGCCTTTGTTTGATGCACCCATGTCGTACGAAACGGCGCACACGCCAAACACCTCAGACGCTGCTGGCCACTTCAACCACATCAACGCATCCGAAAATGTCAGTCAGAATGCGGAAGCCCGCACTATCCCCACAAAGCGTCGACCCTCTGTTCTGCGAATGTTCACTGGCTTCTCACGCCTGCGACGTACGGATACCGGCGAAACAAATGGCAGTGGTGGTGATGCTTCAGACCCAGCGTCACCCACGTCACTCGAAGCTCACAACGAGGACGAACGAGGAGAGGAAGTATCGGAGGAACCCAGCGAGAATGCTGTCGAGGCATACATTAGGAAAAATGCTCGCAAGTAAGCTGGCCAACAATGCGTTCCTCGCGTGGAGGGTTGCTGACCTGCACAGTGGGGCTAGACTGGGTTCTATCATGGGCCGAATCGCCAGACGACTTCCTTCTCCTGTGGAACATCGCCATGACGATCAGGATCTCCAGAATATAGCCACGCGTGGGAATGCTCCGACCACTCTGCGAGCTGCTGTGAGGGTCTTTTCCGAGGTCACGCAGCTCTCCTATGAAGAACAACAGGAATTTTGGATCGCCGTGGAGATCGAAGGTGCTCTCCACAACCGCATATCGCTTCCCGACAGTACCATTGATGTGATCTTCGTTGTTGATAACGCGTGAGTGCGGTAAAGTCGAACCAGATTTGCCCAACTAAAGTCATCCTAGGTACTATGTCAGCAGGGATTGTCTGAGCAGAGCTTTAGATGCCGTGAACAGTGCTCTTTACCATCTCGACCGGGGTGATCGTGTAGCACTTTACGCGACGCACTGCACTCACCAAACTGTCACCGGCAACAGACCAGACCTATTGTTCCCAATCGGACCTTTCAACACAGATACCGAAGAGACCTTCCGTGACCTCACTGCGACTATCGCCAAGTACGGCACACAGTCATGGAAGCCCCCACGACCAAACCCCTCGATGGCTGACGTGATCTTGGGTGTGGCAAGGTCTCTTGAGGACAAGGGCATGAAGCACCGACGTACCCATGTTGTACTGCTCTCTCCAGCTGCACACATCCTGCACGATGTTTCCAAATCTTGTCCAGATCTATGCATCCATCAGATCAACCCTGCAGCGGTCCCGTACCGACGCGTTCCTGACATCGGCGACACGCAATGCATCGAAGAGTGCTGCAAGAACGTCTTCATCAGCAACTGGAGCCACTTTCAGTCTCTTCCTGGACGTATCAAGCGCATTTTGAAGAACGCTCGGTCGGTCAAGCCAATAGGGGAGATTACCCAGGTCTGTATTGACGTACGGGCCAGGGATGGCTGCAAAGTCACCGAATGCTCGGGAACCAAAGACATCGCAAGTCTACGTCTTGGTCAGGTCCACACAATATTTGCCAAAGTCCGCACAACACGAAATGCAACCAAAGCAGTCGACTTGCTGTCGAAAAACCCTGTCTTCAACTCATCTCTGGATGTCAAAGACCTGAGGCAGCAGCTGCAGAACGCCGTGACCGTAGGTGCTGTGAAAGCTCACCTCCTTGATGTCCAGGTCTACCACCAGAACACACTACATGGAACAGATTGCTGGAATTACACCGAGACGCCCTTCCTCATTGTTCGTGACCTGGGCGGCCTGGCCCCTCCGTTCGACACCTCCGTGGAAGTACATAAGCGCCAACTGTTCAACAAGTTTGTTCAGCTTGACATAAATGCAGCGAAAGTCGAGGCCGAGACTTTGCTGTCTACTCTTGCAGAAGACCAAGAACTATTGAGGAAGCTCGTCCAACGTATATTCAGGGAGCTTGATCGTTACCAGCAAGTGCTCGAATATGAGCAAGAGAATCGTCAGAAATTACCATTATGTCCAGGCCCGATCGCCATCGAAGCGTCACCCCATGAGTGGCTCGTGGACGTATGGAACAGGAAAAAGACCAAGCGTCAGGGTGTTGCCGTGGTCGAAGAGGAGGAAGTCAGTGGTCTGATTGATGGTCTGCATGGTCTAGAGCGACTGGGCTGAAGTGACAGCTGTCGAAACTTCGACACGGGCTGAACTTAATATGTTTGGGTAATGATCTTGTGACCGTTGAGCTACCATGTTCTGGAACATATTTTGGAGTTTGGGGCGTTCGAACTCGGTACAAACCGAGCGATAAGGTATGCACGCCGTACTTCAGGCGAAGTACACAGGTTCACGCGTCGACTCGCCAGGTACGACAATGTGACATGTAACGGCGGTCTCACGTATTTCGACGAACACATGTTCATCCATCTCTAGCCAATGCAAACATCAAGCATCTATGCTTCGTGCATAATCTCGCTCCACCTGCACCAACTAAAATCCCCTCCTAGCTCGGAGCTCACCCCGCAACGCAAACTTCAAAGCGTAGCGAGCCCCCGAGCATCGTCATCAGTGTGAAACCTTAATCTCTAGCCCGGCACTTCCACCAGCCGCGCGCTGAAGTTTTGCTAAACCTTAACAGAGTTTTGGGACCCAATGCTCACTAACGCTGGGAAGGAAGGAAGTAAGGACACTAACGAAAAGTGGAAAGTGACGGCAAGACTTAGATGGCTTCCCCGCGCACAGAGCACCACATGGCAAATCACGCTACCGGGGAAGCTTTATGAGGCAAGTGGGAGACTGCGTCCAGGCTTTTCGGCGGCTGGTGGCGGGCCAATCGGATTTCTTGAAAGGAGGACTCGTCAAGGAGAGTTTGCAAGGCGCGTTTTGGTGATAGCGTAAGGCGTTGTAAGGCACGCCTCGCGTCAGTGTTTGCGAGGACGTTTGTGTGGAGTTGCGCTCGGTGACCGACGCGATACGAGGCGGGTATGAGAGTGCGACACCAACACTCCGCAGCAAAGACACCGCAAAGCGAAAATGCAATCAGACGATCAGGTTAGATCTAGTGATAGTTTTTGATATAGATATGTCTGTCTACACTGTTATTACAAGCGCTTACAGCGCTGGGGTATTTTGCAAGAATCTACAGCGAACGATGAGAAGCAAACCCAGGACTAGCGAATGATGCTATGTCGGGAGAAAATCTAACCCCTGTCTACACAGTTCCATTTGTTTCCTAGCCTGGGAGGCTTTCAGAACTCCTTTCCAATCAACGCCGGGTCCGCGAATCTTAATTCCCTGCCCCTCTTCTCCCTCACAACCGGATCGCTGGAGACATCCTCATGGGTAGGATCCGGTCTGCCATGCACCCTCGGCACATCCAGTCCCACACTCTTATTGTACATATCTGGTATTCTGACAGTCAACGGTAGTCCATTGCCAGCCAACAGAGCTTGTCCAGTTCCTATCAAGGAGGGCTTCGTGAGGGTGTGTGGTGTTGGAACAGGCATCTTCTGGATCACCCGAGATGCGAACTTAAGCGGCGCAGGTACGCTTCGCTTATCTGAGAAGCGCTCCTCAGAGTGACGCTTGATATCCTCCCATCCAAGAGGCTCAGGTGCAGCTGGCGGAGGAGAGAACGGTTTGATCATTGGTGATCGTCCCACTTGCACCAGAACTGGTGAAGCAATGCTTTTCCGTGGTATTTTGACTTCCTGCGCTTCGTGCATGTACTTTGCAGCTACTGGGCTCAGTAGTAACCTGGCTGAGGTCATGCCATTGGGTTGTCTGACAGGTAGCTTTGGTCCTACTGGGGTTCGAGGGGTTCGCGGAGACATCAGGTTTGGTGACGGAGCGAAGATGGTCACGCTATCGGAAGTGCGGTTCCGCTCATCGACTTGAAGGATGAGATCATGCTCGAACGGATCAGCAAAGGGGTCGTTATCCATCGTCTGCCGCCTTGTATCGTATGTTGGTGATGACCCTTGAGTCAGTGGTCGACCGTAGGGTGAGACTGGTGGGTACATCGGGGCAGCCGTGTTGAGATAGGCGTACGGGTTGACAGGCATCTGCGAGTACTCGGCCCTTCCATCGTTCGCACTTTGGGGTGTCTTGAGCTTTGGTCTTCGAATATCGTCTGGAGAGAAAGGAGCGAGGGTCGGGGATGGGATTACATGGTCACTGAATGGATTTGTGGCATCTGAAGGGTACTGGGTGTACGAGGACGAATGCTTCGGGGTGCCACCATAGCCTGCCACTGCAGCAGATAGCGCTCGTGCGGTATCGATGCGTGCATACTCCGAATATCTGTGGTTTGCTCGATCCTGGACTGACTCTCTAAATGGGTTGCCTGGACTGATGAAGCGAGTGACGGGCATTGCGCCCGCGCTGTGACGCTGCATGTGTTTTGGAGAGCCTTGGGATGGCCCCGACGTAGGACCACCTGGAGGCATGCCGCCAGTGGCGCCGAATATTAAGGCTTCAGCATCACCACCATCTCCACCCGTTTTCGGATCGTACAGATATGCAACCTCGGGATAAATGGATCCAGTGTTCATACGCTTACCATGTTTGGCTGCATGGTAGCGACGAGCAATGAAAACAGCCGCAACCACAGCAATTAGAAGACCAGTTGTGGCCCCTACTGCGACACCGGCTGTCTGTGAGGTGGTGAATGGATGGGGACTACCGGTAGTAGCTGAGTGGCTAGGTGTGCTAGTAGGAGCATGGGCTATCGTAGATATCTTTGTATCATCAGTACTAGCGCCGTTCGTGGTCGATGCTTCATCTGGTCCAGATGCTGACGTTGAGCTCGGAATGTCCGTTCGAGCGCTAGACGCACTGCCCGATATGGTGGAAGCGACGAAACCTGCTGTAGTAGAATTGACTGCAGCAGGGACTGAGGACTTCTGCAGAGTCTCCGCTTGTGTTGCATTAAGGCTGGGAGCAATATCTTTGCTAGCACCCGTGGGCAGCGCTGAACGACTGAAAGTGATACCTAGCTCTTCTTTAGTAGTTGTCGTGCTGTTGATGCGACCAGGGAGACTACTAGGAGACAACGACGATTGCGCTAACGTTGACCAGATTGGGTTTGCACCAAGGCCAAGCTTGGTAGACGACTTGAGTGTTTCGCTTGCAGGTATATGTACGCTTGATGTCTCTGAAGACTTGGTGGCCGATATCGCGCTTGAAGTTCGGGCGCCTGTCTGGTTTACGGCAGCCCCTGTCACTGGGCTGAGCAGAGAAAATGCGACTGTGCTCAAGTCGAGTACACTAGATCTGACACTAGATACATAGACCGTAGAAAAGGTCGCCGTAACCGTCACTGAAGTGATGGGAATGACTGATCCGGCGTGAGTGCCATTCGAGATAAACGATGAGGGGACAGGCGTTCCACTTGTGCTTGTACTGATCGACACACCAGAAGAAGCAAAAGTTGAAATGCCACTAAGCGTTGGGGTAGCTAGTGAACTGAGCCCAAAAGATGTGGGCGTGGAGCTTGAACGAGTAGATTCCGAAGTCGGGATAGAGCCGCCAGCAGTCGTGTTCACTGATGGCGCCGCGACTGAAGTAGGACTCTGCGATGAAAGGACTAGGCTTCCACTCATCAGCGAACTGGAGAGCGAAGTACTGCCACTGGGTATGGAAAAAAAGGAAACGCTGGTGAAGACAGGATCCAGTATGGATGAAGCTTGACTTTGGCTAGCCTGCGACTCCGAGGCAGTGACCACGTCTGATGTCGACTGTTTCATACTAGATGTTGTAATTGACGATTGCGCAGAAGAGCTGAGCTGTTTGCCAAGGGTTGTGGGTGTTAGAAACGATGAGACCAGTGGGATGTCGGTAGAGGTCTCTGGCAAGGATGTAGTAGAGACGATCGCACTCGTGACGAGTGTCTCCGATGGTATGAACGAAGAAGTGATTTCGCTGCCAAAAGTGGCGCTTGACCAAACACTCGTTCCGATCGAGCCCGTAGAAGCAGTTTCTCGAGGTCTTGCTATCGAAGTGTCACTTTCGACAACTGTGGGCGACGGCGTGAGCACGAATGACGAACCAGTGGAGGCAAGATTGGCAGAGTCCGTTGACACAACATCTGACACTGAAGTGGTAGGTACTTTGGTTCCACTGAGAGATGGGTCTGTTTGAGTTGGAATAACACTGATCGAAGAGGTTGGTGCGGCGGAGAAGCTGGAATCTGCCTTTGACGAAAGATCTGTGGGAAGTGCAGGGCTTACGGAGCTGACCGAAGGGTTCAATGTGCTCGAAATCTGGCTGACGCCCAAATTTGGCTCGAGTAGAGAACTGCTTGGTGCTTGTTCGATGCTCGAAGAGATCGTGGGCTGCAACGATGAAGTAATGACAGGAGAATGACCAGAAGGAACGGCAGAAGGTGCGAGCGAGCTCGAAACGTCGCTTATAACCGGCGTAGACTCAGAAAGGCTGCTACCCGATGACTGTTCGATGCCGGAGGATAACGGGGGTTGGATCGTGGAGGTTATAGGCATGGCTGTAGTGTCTTCAATGCTTGTTAAGGGCGCTGGCTGTGATGTCTCGAACACGCTCGGTACAATTTCTGGGACAGAGGTTTGACTAGATTCAATTGCCGAGGACATTAGTGATGAAGTTGCTGCTCCAGAAGCAGTGAATGTCTGCACATTGGTACTGATCTCTGCACCACTTCGTGTAATCACGGTTGTAGGCTGTAGCACCGAGCTTGAAAACTTTCCCAAAGAGGTAGACACGGGTGCTTGCCCATCGGACGAAGTAGTGAGAGGCTCTGGAGGCAGGCTTGCAGGCACTCCTGATACACTTGAAGTCACTGGCCCCGGAGCTGTAGAAGTCGGATCCTGATTGCTAGTGGAACCGGGTGAAGAATTGGAGAGCGCAGTTGATTGCTGCTCTATGGGACTTGTTGTAGAGACTGGTTCGGATGTGAGTACAGTGGGATTGCTGAGCACTGCACTGCTCGTCTGTGGTACAGAGGTCTGCGGCGTTGGAGCAAATCCAGAAGACGAAGCGGTGTCGATCGTCGACCTAGAAATCAGGCTGTCATTGGCTGAACTAGAGACGATATCGGATGGTATTTGTGAGGTGCCTTCGGCTGGTACTAATGTCGAGGTGAACAATGGAGGATTGGTGGTCTCCGGGGATGGAACGATCTCGGATGTTCTGGTCGTCGTTGGCTCCAAGCTGGGCCTGAAGGCACTCGATAGAACCTCCGAGTTGCTTGAAGGTTGCGATACATCGGTGGATGAGCTTACAACGGATGTGATATCAAAGATTGTGGAAGTAGTTGCGCGTTCTGATGTCATATCTCGCGATGAAGTGGAGAGTGATGAAGTCGGAGTCTTGGATGGCTGTTGTTCTGTTGTAGAGCTTCGAGGTATAACACTTTCGGTGCTGATCAGCTTTGAAGTAGACGGAATATCGCCATTGCTACTACTAGATTCGCTGAGGATGGAATACAGTCCTGTCGTAGATGGCTTGGGTGTAGGCGTGGACGATGAAGTCGATTCTATGGTTATGACTATTGTTGGTGCATCAATGATGGTCGAACTTTGAGATGCGTCGGAAGACGCAAAGTCACTGGATGTTGTTGCAGCACTAGGAGTCGACTGGATGATCTCTGACGAGCTTGTCTGATTTCCAACAGACTGTGGGTGACGCTCTAGCGAAGGAAAGGCGAGTCTTTCGACTATGTGGTGTCTCCTAGGCACAGTATTGTCTGTCCTCCAATCAGCCTCCAGAAACTCACAGGTTGAGTAGTACAACGCTAAGACTTGACGTACCTTTGGTGTTAGACGCTGTAACGATAGTCACCGCCAATGATGCGGCGCAGTAACCGAGCAAGACTCTCTTGAACCACATCGCATTGTCGCAAATCGGAAACGAGTGGGTCGACGTGTTGGCAGTGAAGCGACCTTGCAATCCCAGGAAGCACACAGCAGGTAGTACGGCATCGAATACTTATGGACTTTGCATCTCAAGTGCGAACACCGACGGTGTTCTGTTGGTAGTAGGCCGCATCGGGCCAATTCTGGCTTAGTGAACCTGCAAGGCCCCTGTCCGTTTGTGAGGCTTAGCCCCATGGTAGTCCGAGAATATCTACTAGTCAGCTAACTTTAGCATGCAGGCCTTCGTCGGCGCAATACATCTATGAGTTTTATTGACTTGGCAACGTGCCGGCATTCAAATAAATGGGATTCATACGTAGGGTGGAAGGTGGTTGTTGTTCGCGGTGCGCTAGCCGAGGCATTGCAATATACATTGCTGCTGACAGCCCTCGATAAGCGCTGGACAGTCGCGAAATTCGTTTGTCGGTATGGCGCAGACGGTGCTCACATCTCGATACTGCGCGGAGGTGTTGCATATGTACATCGATTACTGTTGCCCACCCTCAACGTCATTACTCCGGCCCCCCAAACAGCACATCCGACCTCATGTAAATTCGTAACCGTAGGCATGTCTCCTAGTCGATTAGACAGACTCACTTTGTCGCAGTCGATCCGTTTCCAGAGACCACATTGGCTTGGCTATCTCTAACAATCTCCTGTAACCACATGGGAAATGCGCGGATCTTGGGTAAGATGGCTGGACCCAGGACAATCTGTCCGCTTTTCGCAGCAATAATCTGCTTAATCATGGCATCAGCGACATCCTCGGGCTCCAATAGACTAACACCAGCCTGCTTTAACCCAACCTTGATCGCTTCATGAGCCGTTATCGCAGACTTTGTCCAGCCTGGATGGACGATGGTTGTTTTGATCTGAGGACACTTGTACCGATGTTTCAGTTCCTGGGTCAGGCCCTCATGGAGAGCGAGAAGGGCTGCCTTTGTAGCGCTGTAGTCGACCGCTCCTGCGAGAGCCACGAAGGAGGCTAGGCTGGCAACACTCATGATGTGCCCTTTCTTTTTGGCAATCATGTCTGGCAGAAACTCATGGATGGTGCTCCAATGGCTGATCAGGTTGATTTCGAAAAGGGTTCGCAGAGCTTCGGTGGGGATGTCAAGGATGGTGTATGCATTGCCAATACCCGCATTATTGATGAGAATCGACGGTGGACCCATATCAGAACGGACAGCTTCTGCCGCTCTGTGGATGTCATCTCTGGAAGTGACATCGCACCGATAGTATCGAATGAGCGGTCGCTCAGCTGTTGAATTATCAGCCTTCGTGTCGGTGTCATCTGAACTGGAAGGGATAGCCCACCATCCGTGAAATGGCTTGACAATGGCCCGATGTCCAGGACTGCGACCTTAGTGCCATGGGACACAAGCTTCTTCACCACGCAAGCACCAATGCCAGCAGAACCGCCAGTGACGACTGCCACCTCACCTGGCCAGTTCCAATCGCTCTTGTCGTTCTTCCATGACCACCTGTTTTCGGCCCAGCTGTTTAGTACCGCATTGGCTTCGACAGTTGTCCAAGCAGCTAGGCCCCATTTGATGAGCCGGATGGTGGTTGCTTGGTGGAGACCAAGAGGTAGGCTGTCTGAGATGTCGAATGCAGTAGGGTCGACAAGCTGCAGGCCGATGCATGTGGCGACCAAAGTCAGGCACCGAAACATATCAACAATATAAGGCTGAAGCGTTTCAGATTTGAATCGTCAGCGCTTCGCGGTACCTGCGTGAACGATGAAGTATTGAGGGCTAGGTTTCCGGAGGTCAGCACAACGCAAGGGTCAATGGTGCAAGAAGCCCGAAAATGTGGCCAGGACGCAATTTAAATACCCGTGAAGGTTTGAATAGACCGAGGGATGTCAGAGGGAACGAGTTTGGGGAAAGAAGCGCGTACCAGTAGCAGGAGACTCGGTTCGGAGTTTCTACGCGTTGATTGGCTGCGCAAAACTGAAGCCATCACGACCGCTGCTCAAGTGTTTCTTTCCTCATTCTGCACCACTCAAACAACAGTGACGTATGCCTTCTGTTCGACCGAGCTTCCTCAGTGGAACGCTCACGCCGTTCCTATATCCGTCGTTCACTGAATCGACACTCATTACCGTTTCGCGTAGATGTCCACTGCGTAGACGATTTCCGCCGCGGGCACGATGTAGTTCTACAGCCACCAAACAGTCCGACTATTCACAGCTTAATCCCACTCCGGACGACTACTCCTTGACGCCCTTCGCCGACCGAGCCATTCTCACACTGGAAGCTGGTGCTGGCGGCCATGGCTGCGTCTCGTTTTTGCGCGAGATGTACACGCCAGAGGGACCTGCCAACGGTGGTGATGGTGGAAGCGGAGGGAATGTGTACATCCAGGCAGTGCGTGGTGAAACATCACTGCACAAGCTTGCTCGAAGACGTCTCATTAAGGCTGGAAGAGGCCGCAATGGACAGGGCAAAGTGAAGGGTGGCGAAAGGGGCGCAGATGTCCTCATCAAGGTGCCGATAGGGACGATTGTGCGCGAGATCCAAAGGCGCGACCCCGTTGAAGTGCTTCTTGAGGAGGCAGAGAAAGCTGAAATGGAGCGAGAGCGGGCAGAAGCGAACGGCGAAGTTGTGGAGGAGGGCGGTTTCAAGAAGGATAGATGGCTGGTCTATCCCGGCACAGTACCTACCGAACTTAACAGGATGAAGTTTCCTCAACTTCCGAAGCCTCGAAGATCGCACCTCGTCGCCCTCGAACCACAGTCACCGATGTGGCTAGACCTCGATAAGCACATGGAGACGCCTATGCTGCTCGCAGCCGGCGCCATGGGTGGTCTGGGCAACCCTAACTTCATGACTCCCTTCAACAACAGGCCTAAGATAGCGACAAAGGGAGAGGAAGGCGTCAAGATCTCAGTCCAACTCGAATTGAAGATCCTCGCAGACTTGGGCTTGGTCGGTCTCCCAAATGCCGGAAAGAGCACCCTACTTCGAGCCCTGAGCAACAGTCGCGCTCGAGTCGGCAACTGGGCCTTCACCACACTTCAGCCCAATGTCGGCACCGTCGTCCTCGACAATCACAAGGACCGCCCCCTAGTCATGAAGCGCAACAAGCACGGCGAGCTCCGCGAAAGCTTCACCATTGCTGACGTCCCCGGACTCATTGAAGACGCACATCTCGACAAAGGCCTTGGCCTCGGCTTCCTCCGCCATGTCGAGCGTGCTGCAGTCCTGGCTTTCGTCATCGACCTCAACGCTAGCGACGCTGTCCAAGCGCTGAAGCTTCTATGGCGCGAAGTCTCCGAGTATGAAACTCTTCGCGGCAAGGAGCTCAACGCCGAGACTGAGCGCAGAATGGTCATGTATAAGCCCGCTAACAGCGTTGAATCCAAGAGCGAAACCGACATGCTTGATACACCCGAATTGAACCCTTCCTTAGAGCCCCTGCCGTTCCTAGCATCAGAGCCCATCTCTGCGAAGCCGTGGTTCGTGGTAGCTACGAAGGCAGATTTGGAGGGTACGCAGGAGAACTATGAGAAGCTGCATAAGTACCTGGAGGACGTCAAGAGTGGCGTGCAACCCCATCCCAGTGGACGCGAGAACGCGTGGAAGAGGGACATCTCATCGATACCTATCAGTGCGATCAATGCGCATGGTGTGGAGGCGATACCACAGATCGTCATGGATCTGCTGGACGATTAGACGAGTCTTGCAAAAGGCAAGTGTACAATAATAACGACATCCCAACATCTGACCTTCAAAGCTGTCATAAGCCAATTTCTGGTACAGCTGTACGTGTTTTCCTATTATTGACTAGTGTCTTTTTGTCGCGTGGTGGACTCTTCCGCGAAGCGTGAATGCACTTGCCCAAACAAACGCGGGGGACCTCCAAGGAGCTGGACGTCAGTAACCTTCTTCGTTAACAACACCATCCTTTGACTTATGCATTCGCCCCTTTTACCAAAGCACAATAAGTCTGCTCTTCACGAGCCTTACGACACGAAGAAACCTGGTTCTGAAGCATTCTGTGCCTATAGCATGCTTCGGGATGCACTTGCCCCCGCTACGCAAGGCTGATTGAGGCACAGTTCACCTTCTTCAAGACTGCAGCCTGTCAGACAAGTGCGCTGCACTCACATATTGACAAATGCGAGTGTCAGAGGAATCACTAGAGGGCCAGCGGCATCATGAGACTTGGTTAGAGCTAAGGGAGGCTGCCAGGCATGGCTGTCATTTGTGCACATTCTTTGCTGTCCCCTTGAATACTGCAAAAAGGACCGCTTAATGGGCGAGGGGCCTTTTCGCTAAAGGTGAAGAGTGCCGATGAAATATTTAATTGGGGCGCAAACCCCTCAAAAATGTACCTAACGCTGTGCACACCAAACACTGGTCCAGACCACATTGAACTTCGATACGTATTGTACTTGAAGTTGGATGATTGTCCTTTCTCTATTTCCACGAGGGTTGCTGATCCCGTGCAGAGCTTGGGCAATTGAATGCGCGCAAATGGCAGCCGTTTACTCAAACGCTTATTTGACAATCTCAGCGATGTATGTGCCCGTCAGACATATGGATTCTGGGCGTGCACAGAGGACTTGAGGGACCGCGGCTGGGCATTCCAAGAGCTAGTCCTCTCACCGCGTGTAACACATTTCACGTCACTCGAGAAGGCTTTTGAGTGTGATACAAATTTAATAGAAGAAGGGGTCCCAGTACCATTTGGCTCTTCGAGGACGAAAGAAAGCGGTCCATCTACAATGCCCGCAGTAGGCCAACGGACAACATCTATGACAAGTGACTCGACATCAATGGGCTCTATTCCCAGATGGAATTCACCTATACCACAGACCGGCTGCCTACTCTCTCTGGTATAGCGAGCATAGTGCAGTCTGAGACTGGCAATGAGTATGTTGCAGGGCTACGGAAGTCATACTTCGCCGCCGGGCTCCTATAGCTTGCACATGACAGGATATCTAAGCAGGGTTTACCGTCTTATGTAGCGCCACATGGAGTTAGGCATGTACTAGATGGATCAAGCCTTTTGATCCTATACGGCAACGTTTCCTAAAATTGGACGTCATTCAAGTCGAAGTTCACGCCATCTGCGAATCTATTCGGCGAGATCTCAGGGGCAAAACTGGAAGTTTCCGGACCACTCAACTGTGTAAGACTGAAGAGCTGAACAGGCTGCAAGGAAAAGGGCCCTTTTCGCGACAGCTTAGTCTGCATCCATACCACGACATCCCCGGAGTGCACTTTTTCTTAAATGCCCACGCTTTACCATCAGTGAAGTATTCCTGGTGTCTGGATTACGTCTGCAAAGACAGGGAAAATTCCGGATCACGATTACCCTCATGGCCCTATCCTCAAGCAGGTCAACAAAAACGAGCAGATCTTCGAACGCCTCGGTGCATATCGAATCACGGAAGCCACAGATATTGAATGGTACAATATCGGGTTTGAGACACGAGCATTGACCATTATATAATCCATCACCATCAGTGACTATCATATAACTCGTTTCATCGTCAAACTAGTCTACCAGGAGTAAACGTGTTCGTCATTCACACCCCAATATGACGTCTTAACTTATCCTAGTTACTTTATTTCCTCGATTAATAACATCCTATTACTCCTGAGCAGCGCACGAGAGCATCTCCGAGGCCTCTATATCCGCAGATGAGAGTGATGATGCAGCACTCCATGGTAGCAATCACCGCCACGGTCCAGCATTTGAAAACTACAACGATGGTTCAGATCGTTCGGACTTCTCGAAACCGCAAGGGCGGCACTATAGAAGATTGGAAATGAACAAGGTTGAGAGTTATGATCGAGTAATTGAATACCTCCCAGGACCACGAACAAGGCTCTCTGGTCTCTGCGAGTTTTGGCATGACCTTGAATACACCCAAAACCTCCCTTCATTCACTGAGAGCGTCACGGGTTCAAAACAAGCCATGCAATACACCGCAGAAATCTTGCACTCAGAATTCATCAAGACCACAGATGCAATGATAACGTTTTTTTCCTGTAAAGATTCCTACTATACACCCGCTTATCCCTATCACTGTTCCCAATGCCAATTCCTCGAAGAACACTTGCTCATCTCTACTTCATGCAGCCTTTCTTCTTCATAGATCTCCAGTGACGACAACTCAAACTAATTCCTCCCAGACTTCCCCAACAAGACCCAAGCGGTCTGGGTGATACTATCTGCTGCTCGCCATGAGATTGCGGTAGTAGCTCGTGCTGAGGTCGCATGAATGCTTGAGCCACAAGTCCTCTGTGAGCGGAAGCTTGAGGATCTGAGAGCGGTTGGCCGACTGCGTGATCGTTAGTTGATGTACTTGAGTATGAGATTGGAGGAGAGCGAGACGTACCTTGTTCTTGGCGACCAAGTTGGCGACGGTGCCAGCGATCTCCATCAATGCGACGCGTTCCTCTAGACCACAAGACTCCAAGCGGTCGCGCGCAGCGATCTCGAGAGCTTTCTGCAGTTTGGAGAGCAGGTGCTGGATCTCCTGCTCCAACTCTTCATCTACACGATATGTCGAGCGGCGACCTGTGTAGTCGAGGAGCTCAATGTAATCGAAGTAAATCTGACCACCTTGTGCCCAGCCAGCAACGTGCTCCTGTCCCCGGCCATACCCACTGCGTTTCGACGAGGCGAGAGATGCGTTGTCATTGGCAGAGCGGTCTGCTTCCTCGGGAACGAAGCCAGCCATCAGTTCACGCAGTGGCTCGTAGTCGCGTGAGATGATTGCATCAGGGCCGACCTTGCGGCAGAGTACCTCATGGGCCTCGTCCAGCTCATCTGCCTTGATGAGATTTGTGGCTTCACGGACAGCGTCGCCTTCCGTCTTGGCTTGTAGCGCTGCAGCCGCATGGAGCCAGGTTGCGGGGACGTGCAGGTCGTTTGTGAGGTGAGTGTATGTGGCGTCCGAGTCGGCAAGTGTGATCGACTTCGCAAATTGATTGACCAGCGACCGAATGTAGTGTTCACGCATCGCTGCAGAGGACAGATGAGTGTACACCCATATGGCTGTGGTCCAGTGCTCTTGTGTATGCAGTGACGCAGCATAAGACAGAGTGATCTTATCACCAAGTTCAACAAGCGGATCGGCACCTTGTGTGTCTTTGTTGGTCACGGTGGCAGTTGATGACATGAACGATCGACGGAAGTCGCCCTCACCATCACCGCGGAAGGTAGGCATCCCGACCTTGCGCTCGGGCTCCTCCATCTTGTCCTTATGGCGGGAGTAGAAGAGCTGGAAGAGCTGGAATGACAGGCGTGCTTTGAGAGGATGGCCAGAGACGTTCTCTGGAGCTAAAACGTCCTCCATGTTTGCTGGAATGTCCAGCTTGGAAGCAGCATAAAGCTTGAGGATGCCCCAGAGAAGATCTTCGCGGTTGGCCGCGTCCGGATCAGTCCAGCCCATGTCAGCATTGTCGCGGACGAACCAGGGCACAGGCCTGACGTCTTCGAGCCCATCTCTGACAGCATCTGCGAATTGTGCAACGGCCAGCTCAATAGGCTCGTCAACCAGAGTGCCGTACCAGAGGCGAAGACCGAAAGCACGACGCCAATCGAGAGCGAACCTACTTGAGATGTTGAATGCAACGGCCTTGTGCTCGCGACCGGCTCCAAGCTTACCATCAGCCTGTGCGCAGTTGCCAGATAGCAGCTCATACAGAGCGCGATGCGCGTCTTCCATCTCGGCAAGCATGTCCAGACGCCGCCACTCCTCGATCTGAGTGGTCATGGTTTGACGCATATTCGCGTCGCCGCCAATCTGCGCAACCATAGTAGCAAGTCGCAGGTCCAAGCCTTCAAGTAAAGCATGACAGGCTTCTGCAACATTGTTGCAACTCAGCTGGGCAATGGCACGCTCCTCAGATGTCGCCGCTTCCTGCGCATGTTTCTGTGCATCACCAAAGACCAAAGCCTTCCAGAATTCAGACAGTCTTTCCTTCTTGTAGCGCTCAATGTGTTCGGGGTCAACATCAGCTGGTTTCTGAATCCGATCGGCGCCATCGAACAGGAGCGACAACAGTTGCCACGCGTGCTGTTCGTGAGTGCCTGCGGCGGTCTCGATGGCGACAGCCTTGGCCATACTAGAAAACTCGATAGGAGCAGGATCAGTGAGAAGTGTGGCGAACGGTATACCATCGGCAGTAGAGATCTTGGTTTGCTGCTTCTGGACGCTCAAGGTTTCGGGAGCAGCCTATACATAATTAGTATGTCAACTGTGGCACTCTGTATGACTACTCACATCATCGATTGTAGGCATCTTCATGAAGCGGATGTCTTTGGTGGCGCCGGCGAGTGGTTCCTGGGCAGTGGAGAACGCGCCATTTTCAAGGTTCTTAGCACCCTTGTTGCCGTAGATCAAGACACCGGTCTCGCTGAAGTGCGGCTTGCTGGAGTTGTGGAAATCTTTGTCGGCGTCGGTCATTTGGTCGAGATCGTGGGAAGACTTGGGTCGTTTCGAGTATGGTAACTGGAGACAAGAATTTTAGCAATCTTGTCCCATATCAATTTGTATCTACATACAGTAGCCGAAGCGTCAATTTAGGTAAGGTTGTCTTACAACAATCAACACGAATCTGCCAATACAAACGCTAGAAAAAGGGGAATTCAAACCTCGATGCCTTGTCCTTGTCGCTTTGAAAGCGACTCCCGATGATTCTCTGTCTCACCAAAGAGCGAGTTCATTAAATCCATGTGTGTTGCGAAAGGTCGCGCATTGACCGACGGTGCTGCAAATGTAGGGCTCCTGTCGTGCTCGCGAAGGGCATGGCCCTGGCTTTCGCGCAGAGCAGTTCGATCCTGCTTCCTTGGGCTGATGGTGCGCTGAAGCTGGTTCGCCCAGTCATCATCAAAGACCGCCTGGCCTTTCGAGGGTGTACCAAAGTTGGGTTTGAAGACTTGACTAGCCTTCAGGATCGACTTTGGTGCCTTGAGTGTGCTCTTGAAAGGGTCTGACTCTGTAGCGGCTGCTGGCTCCGTGGTGTGAATAGGTCCGGACACAGAATCCGCCATGCTCTGGTCTTGGTCCAATTCGGATTCGCTCTCGTAATAGTCAGCTTCTTGCTGGCCATCAAGTGAACCCACGGAGCGCTCCCCTAAAAAAGACTCGCCGCGAGAGTCATCCTCATCATCGTACTCTTCGTATGCAGCCTCGTCACCGAAGCCTCCGGGAACGCTCGCACGTGCGCGCATGCCGCGCTTGAAGTCGAAGGTATCATCGGGGGAAGATTCGTCAGGGCTAACAAGCGAGTCTTGCTGGGGTGTGCTGGTCATCTGGCTAGTGTTGAGCAATGTCTGCGCGGGAGTGTCGGGCACGGGGCTCAGCTCACTCGACTCATCATCCTCGTCATCGCTGTAATCATTCTCGTAGTCAAGACCGTAGGACGAGAAGTGAGGTACAGTGAAGATCCAGCCACCGTTAGTAGCATTGTAGCTTTCGAACGTGGTACCGGCAACGCGCTTCAGGCGCTCCAGATGCTTGGCGTCCTTCTTGCCAGCCTTGTTGCGAGGCCACGAGTTGAGAAGAGTAACGCGCGATGGGTGGTTCAGCGCGGTGCCCATCGGTGGCTTCGGCAGGCATGAGCAGTTCTCTCCGTAGACTGTGGCGTTGCGGTGGTTGAGCTGCACAATGTCACCAAAGAGCCTGTCAAGATTGGTCTCTGAGAGATCAATTGGTGCGCCCTGGTGGAACTCGATCTGCCCAATGTTTCGGCGACCGACCACAAAGTTGCGCACGCTCTTGAGCTCTTGCTTGCTCATCTTCTTCAGTTGCTGAATTGATGGCTGAGACCAGTAGTCACCAGGCTCAGGATCCTCTCCAGGCTGAACGTTGACCGCTGAAGACGACTTGGGTATCAGAGCAGGGTCGATCTCGGGGACGCGTGCAAGCTCGTTGCCGTTGACTTGCTGCATGGCTGGACGAGAAGGCTCAGGGCTAGCATCACCGTTCACAGACCTAGGCGAAGCATCGCCATCATCCCTTCGCACCACAAGTGCGGTCTCTCCGTTCGTGCCGCCGTTCAATGTGTCCCCATCACTACCGGCAAAGCTGACACTCTTGCGAATTGACGGCTCATCGAACAGCGGGATACGTGTGTTGATCGAGCGGTTGACGTTCAGCTTCTTGAGGCTACCGTTGCCGAAAGTGCGTCCGGTCGTAGAGAAAGCACCTGGAGCCAAGATGCTGGTCTCAGGGGTGAAGCTATTGCGCAGGTTGCTCGTAGAGGTACTCCTACTACCAAGTGAGCGCGACAAGCTGCCTCCAGCGAAGAGGCTGCCACCAAGGTTGGGTGTGGCTTGACCACTAGCTGGGCTTCCGTAGGTGGAGTATGTGAATCCATAACCGCCAGTGCGCTTGGCCTGGGGCGTAAGGAGACGAGTGGATGCGGCAGGATTGAGCTTGTGCTGGGGAAGGATGGCGCTCTTCTTGTTCTTCTGGCTGCTGGAGAGGGGCGTGGCGATAGGACCAGGGCTTTGTGTTGGTGTAGCAAGGCCAGCAAACAATACATCGTTTCCGTATGGGTTGGTGTTCAAAGAAGTGTTCAGTAAAGAGCTCCCAGATGCACCGAATAAGCTGTTGCCGTTCTGCTGCTGGTTCTGCTGCTGTTGGTTCTGGCTAGCGCCGAATAGGGAGCCACCCATGTTGCTCTGCTGCTGGTTGTTCTGACCCATGCCGCCAAAGAGGCCGCCTCCGGCATTGTTGTTCGTGGTCGAGCTGCCAAAAAGACCGCCGGGCTTCTGCTGGTTGTTCTGACCGCCGAAAAGGCTCGAACCACTGTTCGTCTGGTTGTTCTGCCCACCGAGGTTACCGAAAAGACCGCCTCCAGTCGAAGCGCCGGTGTTCGTAGTGTTGCCGCCGCCGAAAAGTCCTCCACCTGTAGTGGCAGGCTTGGCACCTCCAAACAGGCCGCCTCCAGTGTTGTTGTTGGCTGTGGAGCCTCCAAACAGACCTCCAGATGCTGGGGCGGGCTGAGAAGCGCCGCCACCAAACAAACCACCGCCAGTGTTGGTCGTTGTGGATGCCCCTCCGAAAAGACCACCCGTTGCGGGCTTGGCCTGGTTGTTGTTCTGACCAAAGCCACCACCACCAAAGAGTCCTCCAGATGCTGGTGCCTGAGTGGTGTTGTTCTGGCCGAACGCGCTGCCTGCATTGCCGAACAGTCCACCGCCTGAGTTTGCTGTCGTTGAAGCACCACCAAAGGCAGGTGCAGCGCTAGCCTGGTTGTTCTGACCAAAAAGTCCTCCGCCAGTGTTCGATTGTCCGAAGCCAGTGTTGGTCGAGCCGCCGAAGCCGGTCGAGGTATTCGTTGCGCCGGCACCGAAGGCAGGTTTTGCTGTGTTGTTGTTGTTGCCGAAAAGACCACCTCCTGTGTTGTTGTTTGTTGTGCCAAAGCCACCACCGGAACCAAAACCTCCAGTTGTGTTGGTAGTCGAGCCGCCTCCGAAGAGACCAGCACCGGTGGTACCCGTGCTGGCTGTGTTAGATCCTCCAAACAGACCACCGGTTGCTGGCTTCGCTGCTCCAAAGAGCCCGCCACCAGTATTGTTATTATTGTTCGTACCAAAGCCTCCTGTAGACTGTCCGAACCCTCCAGTAGTGTTCGTTGTGCTACCACCACCGAAGAGACCGCCACCTGTGTTCGTGTTGTTGGCGCCAAAGGCAGATGTGGTGTTGGTGTTGTTGTTTGCACCAAAACCGCCAAAGTTAGAGTTCTGGCCGAATGCACCGCCCTGGCCATTGGAGTTGCCGTAGCGGCGTCCTTGGTTGTAGTCCGCTAACCTCAGCTCTTCGAGCGAGTAGTTCTGGTATGGCTGCTGGAAGGTAATGGTCTGGTAATGTTGCGTCGCGGATGCGCCGTCCTTCTCGGTGTGGGCCTGGAACAGCGTGCCTGCGGTACCATTGTTGGGTGCGTTAGTTGCTGCTGCGCCGAAACCGCCAGAGGTACCACTGCCAAAGGCTGTTGTGCTGTTGGAGCCAAATCCACCAGTGCTTCCACCGCCGAACAGGCCACCACCGGTGTTGGTTGTCGAACCGCCGCCGAATGTAGGCTTGCTTGCGCCTCCAAAAAGGCTTGTGCCAGTGCTGGCACCACCGCCGAACCCAGACGATGTGTTGTTGTTGTTGTTCGATCCAAACCCGCCGAACGTCGAGCCTCCTGTTGATGCACCGCTGCCGAAGAGGCCGCCGCCCGTTGTTGAGCTACCGAATGGTTTTGAGCCGAAGGTCGAGTTGTTGTTGTTGTTGGCACCAAAGCCGCCTGCGTGGAAATGTTAGCATGGATGTTGAAGAAGCCAATAAGACATCTCCGAGACGCAGAAGCTCGCGAATCGCAAATGAAGTCCAGGACACATGACGAGAGTACACAGCATAGGCCAGGATAGCAACAGCAGATGCAGCAACGCAGAAAGCCAAAACGTAGACGCGACCGCAACGCGCAAAGCAACCCACGTACCTCCGCTGCCGAATGTGCTCGTTGTGTTACCGCCGAACATAGCGCCGCCAGTGGTGTTGCTGTTGGAGCCGAATGTGTTGCCGGTGTTCGAGCCAAAGCCTGAGGCGAAGGACGAGTTAGACAGGATTCCACGAGAAGCCCTCGGTACGTGTCGCATTGGCGCGCATTGCTGACGTGTCCGCGGGAAGCGGTCGCCCTTAAATCCAGGAGAGAGTTCACTACTTACCACCAGAGTTGTTGTTATTCGCACCGAAACCAAAGCCCGTGGACTGGTTATTGTTGTTATTGGAGCCAAAGCCCCCAAAGCCGCCGCCGGTGCCGAAGGACATGTTGGCCGTGTGCGAGGCGTCGCGCGCGCGTTAATGTCTGCTCGACTAACAATGCGCGGTGTGCGGTCGCGCAGGCGCGGATGAAGTTGAAAGAATCGAGGTTGCAGATGGATGAGGTCGGTGCAACCCTGGCACAGCTTAAAGCAGAGCTGCACGAGAAAACGCGCCAAGAAATTGAGCTGTCGCGGCGATGTCCGCAGCGGAACGTAAGGAGTGAAACAAGCTCAGCAACGAGCAACTAGGGTGTATAATTGAATACCGAGAAAGGGAAAAGGCGACGAGTGCATTTTAGTAGTAGCTGCGCTCACAGTGATGTCTCTCCAATTTCGCGCTAAGACAAGATCACGTGCAACTTTCTGGCTTCACCACGGCAAGACTTGCTGTCCGCAAGGATGAATGGATGAAATGATGACAAAGTCAGATGCAATTGACGAATCATATCGCAACTCGTCAAAGTCTGAGGTCTGTAGGAGGTTGCCAGTATGCTGCCTGATGGCTTCCTGCTGCTACCTGCTGTTGCCTGAGCACTGAGAGCTGTCTCGCCTCGACATAAGATGCTGCGCCCCGGATGAAAAAGTTTCAGATGTGCAAAAGACCAGCCTGGCTCAGAATGTTTCAACGCCTCGCTCAATGTGAGGTAGCTACGTGCGAGTCGTAGGAGGGACTATGCGTGAATGTAGTCCTGCTGGTCGAGGTTGGCCAATACACCATCGACTCGGCTTACCGGCTGATCGAGACATAGTGAGAGGCTGCCAAGTTCAATACCAATCGACTTGTTTAACTTCCTCCGAAGGCACAGCTGGCTGCAAGATGAACATTCGAACCTCGATGCCGACCAGCCACTTGAAGCTAGCCCCACCTTCACAACGCGCTAACTCTCACGTCGCGTCAACCCAATCCCCAAACAAAGAAGTCACGAACAACGAATTGTTACCCTGTAGTGTCGCATACATCGCACCGCTATCAGGCCAGGACTTCTTCGTCGCGCGCACAAGACTTCCTACTCGATAGCCAACAAATCGACCTTCACACGTTCACACGACTCCACTGCCAACCACTCGCCCTCGAAACCTCACCACCAAAACCTCATCTCACACGACACAATCCCATGGCAACCTCCTCCAACCAACCCCGCTACGGTCTGAACCGCCCTGCCCCTGGTCCCGGTGCCCCAACATTCAGCACGCCCGCCTTCCCGTCCGCACCAAAGAACGCCCAGCGCCTCGAATCCGAGCGTCTCGAGCGCGAACGGCTCGCGCGAGAATCGCGCCTCGCCTCGTCCGCCATGGATGCACAGGCCCTGGCCTCGCTATCCGAGGAGCAAAGAGAAGAAATATCCGAAGCATTCAACCTATTCGACCTAGACAAAGACGGCTACATCGACTACCACGAGCTAAAAGTCGCCATGAAAGCGCTGGGTTTCGACCTTCCTAAACAAGAAATCCTCTCCATTCTCCAACAACACGGCACCGTCCCCTCCACCACCCAAAACTCCAAGCAACCAGCGCGCGACAGCGCAAGAGCGGCCGCACAATCCGCCTACCCGCCTCCCTCCCGACCCTTGTTATCCTTTCAATCTTTCCAAGCGCTGATGGCGCAACGCATCGTAGCGCGGAACCCTGAAGACGAGATTTTGCGGGCCTTTGAGCTGTTCGACGAGGGCGGGAAGGGCCGGATTACGCTGCAGGATCTGCAGCGTGTGGCGAGGGAACTTGGCGAGACGCTGGGGAATGATGAGTTGGTTGCTATGATTGAAGAATTTGATTTGGACGGGGATAATGCGATTAGTAGGGAGGAGTTTGTGGGGATATGTTTGGGGTAGGCAGCGTGCTTTGGAAAGGTCTTTTGGGTTCAGCACGGCGTCTGGTGTTTGTATGATGTGATGGATAGTTGTGAAGCGTTGATAGTTTGAATTCAGATTTGCTGAGAAACTATATACAGCCGCCCAAAGAAAAGCTCAAACAAACGGAACATGCATTGTACAAGACTCTTACTCTCATCTTGATCTCCTTCAATCCTGAATCCTCGACCTGCTTACTGGCCTGGCGAGACGAGCTGTCCCCTCTTACCAGCGTCATGTGCCCAACCACCAGCCAGTGCCTCACCACCGTTCTTCAATCCGTAATCCTTTATCCTGGCCTCAAGCTCAGGCCTGAAATGCCTGATGAGACCCTGCAGCGGCCAGGCAAATGCCTCACCCAGCGCGCAGATAGTGTGGCCCTCAACCTGCTTGGTCAGCTCCTGGAGCATGTCAATTTCACGCTCGCGAGCCTGGCCCTTGTAGAAGCGGTCCATGATCTGGTGAGTCCACTTGGAGCCCTCACGGCAGGGTGTGCACTGTCCGCAAGACTCGTGGTGGTAGAACTTGGCGAGACGGGTGATGGCACGGACAATGTCAGTCGACTTGTCCATGACGATAACGGCGGCGGTACCAAAACCAGATTGTGCGTCCTTAAGAGCGTCGAAGTCCATGAGTTGATCGTCGCAGATGTGCTTGGGGAGGACGGGTGTTGAGGAACCACCGGGAATAACGGCGAGGAGGTTGTCCCAGCCGCCCTTGACACCACCGCAGTGGCGGTCGATCAACTCACGGAGAGGGATAGACATCTCCTCCTCGACAGTGCAGGGGTTGTTGACGTGGCCGGATATGGCGAAAAGCTTGGTTCCAGCATTGCGCTCACGACCGAAGCTGGCGAACCAGCTGCCTCCTCGTCGGCAAATGGTGGGCGCAACGGCAACAGTCTCAACGTTGGCGACAGTCGAAGGGCATCCGAACAGACCAACGGCAGCGGGGAACGGGGGCTTAAGACGGGGCTTTCCGGGCTTGCCCTCGAGCGACTCAATGAGGGAGGTCTCCTCACCGCAAACGTAGGCACCCATACCACGGTGGACGTAGACGTCAAAGTCGTAGCCAGAGCCGCAGGCGTTCTTGCCGATGAGACCGGCCTGGTATGCTTCCTGAATGGCGCGCTCGAGAACGGTAGCCTCGTGGTAAAACTCTCCACGAATGTAAATGTAGGCGGCAGTAGCGTTCATGGCACGTCCAGCAACGAGACAGCCCTCAATGAGCTTGTGGGGGTCCTTGCGCATAATCTCGCGGTCCTTGCAGGTTCCGGGCTCGCCCTCATCGGCATTGACGACGAGGTAGCGGGGCTTGGTGTCGTTCTCCCAACCCTTGGCGTTCATGAACGACTGCTACAGTCAGTATGGTTCAATGCATCACTTGTGCTTGTGTTGTTGCATACCCATTTCAGACCAGAGGGGAAACCAGCACCACCTCGGCCACGCAGACCAGATGCCTTGATCTCAGAGATGATCTATACGATATCAGCAACGCTCTATGCAGCTGTGCCAGCTCTACACACCCAGTCATCGCCCTTTAGGAGGATCTCCTTCGTCTTGTGCCAGTCTCCGTACTTCATCGCGCTCTTCAAATCGGCTCCGTGGTGGCCGTATAGGTTTTGGAAGATGCGGTCCTGGTCCTTGAGGCCACCGTATGTCCTCTTGGGTGCGGCATCGTTCACTGTGGCCAGGGACCGCTTCTGCTGCTGTGACGGGGCGGCGGCGGTCGAAAGGCGTGTAGCTGCGGTGGCTGCGGGCAGCGCGCGGTGGGCGGCCGCGGCAAGGGCCGACGTTGCGGGAGCGTGTCGTGCGAGCATCGTGAACGCGGTGTGTGTGTGCGCTCGTGCAATTGATGCGTGCGGGGCGGCGTCGTTCCTGGAGGCGTGGCGGTGGGAATGTTCGTCGTGAAGTTCGTCGGATCTCTAATCAAGGTCTTGGCATTTCTGATTGGTTGAACTACTTTCGATGACATCTACTCGATCTGGGCGGACCGACTTGTCAACCACCATCACCAGCGGCGAAGAGCTGGAATCAACTGCTGACATTCTGGTTTGATGTTATCGTTCGGGATTGCCCGCACAACTGGAAGATCAAAACACGGAAATCACGTGCGCGATCATTTGGGCAGGTGCACCTGCACTTGCAGTTACCGGATGTAGCATTCCGTCAAGTCCTGTCCTAGGTTTGCACACAGTCTCCTGTCCTCAGATCGCTCGCACTTGCGAAGAGCCCGATTGGCCTCGTCCTCCGGGGTGTTCCCGAGCGCGGAGACTCAAGGAATACGAGCTCCGTCATAGCTACCTGGTGCTGGGCATCTTCCTAGCCCGGTACAATCGATAGTCGCTACCCCACAGTTCCTTCTGCTTCCTCCTTCTGACCTCTTCGCATCCTAAGTTTACACACTGCCCTCGATTCCGCAACGGCTTAGCGGCTTCTCATTTACACCAACCCAATATGAGAGCTCCTTCAGGCTTATCGTTCAAATCAGAAGATGCTCAGAGGTTGTGGACACGCATTTATACCGACACGTTCAAATGTTGGTTTCAGCGAGTTAAACTCCATTAGTGTCTATGCAACCCTGCTCCTACAAACGCTGAGATCCTTAATCCCGAGGAGGTCAAACGTCTGCGAGATGCAGTCAAAGAGAGAGTGAAGAGTCTCAGCCATCTGGCTACGTCCATGACGCGGCTGCAGATCAGGTCAAGCACCCACTATAGAAGATCTATGGACCCAACAGTGAAGCTGTCAGAAACAATCTGTGGGACGAGCATGTCGCGCACCTAGTACGACATTTCTAGAGCTATAGCGCAAAGTTAGAGACACAAGCTTTAGTTAAGAGCTGTAGAGCCAAATATGTAAATAAGAATGCGGGCAAGCTCAAATGCAGCTGGTAGAGAACGAAGTGGAAGTAAGGGCGTGAGCATGATAGCCTTAGGGTTGGGAGAGAAGGTCAACGGGATTTAGAGGTGAGGAGTTTGAGGGGGTTTATTCTCAGACGCAGGAACATGTGAGATGCAACGCTTGGAGCTCAAACAGCTTAATGCTGTGTGAGGGTCTAGAGCTTGTGTGTAATTGCACTGTTCACTCCCGTCGTCAGGTGCTGTCTTGTCAAATTTCGCAGACTTTGTACTCTCCAACCGGAGTTGGAATCGGTCCCTGGGTCAAACTCTCCAGTAGCTCTCCTGATGGTACCAGAACCACTACCAGAGAGAGGTCTTTGGCGACATCCAAAGACAGCAAAAACAAAGTCTGCGTGTGCTTCAAAATGAGTCACTTCCGTACCATGCATGCTGTGGTCCTCGATATGACTCGGACTTCACGCTGCTTGCAGGGCTTTTCAGTCCCATCTCGCTGATTATTCAGATGCTGTTTCTGCCGGTTGCAAGCAGGTAAACATTGCACAGTGTCAATGCGGCGGGCGGGGCGCCAGAAGCGTACAAATTTGGCTTGCGACAAAGTTCCGCCTTCTGCACTTTGGGCTTCTATGAACCACTTTGGAGGCTTTCAAGACTGGACTGCGCTTGTAGGTGCAGCAAATCCGGGGTTCTTCGTCCCGCGATGTTAGCATTCAGGATGACTGACCGAAATTGTAGACGTAGGTTTAATAAAAAGATGCGGGTCGCGATCCTCAGGCCGAATTTTCCAGAACGCCGTCAATGATGGAACAGTAAGGCTCATGATCAAGGATTCGATGGCATATGGTACGCTGGGGATCTCAGCGTACTGAAGTATTGCTGAAATTGATACAACCGTGCTCGCGATATTGGTGAGAAGGATGTGCTCATGTATGTGAGGTGTCCCGATGAATATCATAGGTAGATGGATGCAGCACTTCGTCGAAGACCCTGGAGGTTGTCACGATGTACGAAGGGTCAAGCAGCAATATGCCTAGGAATGATCCCTGTGTATACACAAACCTTATAGACACGGTCTTAGACAGGAATGAAGTTTTTGACTTGCGGAAGTATATTGATATTCATACCCGAGCCCGGAGGTCTTCACAACTGAATCAGATTCGTACGTACGACAAGCTTGAGACTTCTGCATCTGCAACTTTGGTGGTCAACAGGGCGTTCTACAGTTATTCACGACATGTCTGATACCGATGACGTGCTCAATTTGGCGCAGATCACTAATGTAACATCAAGTAGGACGCACATGTATGAACACCCTTGTGAGGAGCAGAAGAACGGTTTCCATTTATGGGATCGGACTTAAATCTTTGCATAAGTCGAGGTTTTCGTCAAAGATTCTGAAGGACTAACGGTACGCCCTTGAGGCCTTCGCAGACCAATGGGCTTTGTACTGTCTGGTAGAATTGCAGTTTTCGCACTTCAGATTTGGGAGATTCGTGGACCACCTCGGACCTTCATGCCAAGTCCGCAATCATAGGTGCAACACCATGTGCCTTCTTTCGTTCAAGGGGTTGTTGTACAAAACAATACCCTAAAGGTCTCCCCAGGAAGGTTCGGCTTGTGTGGCAGGAATGATATCCCTGTATCTACGATCTTGGGTCTGAAGAGCTCAAATGTAATTATTTTGTTGCAATGCTCGTGTTCATAGCGCAACAGGACAAAGCACACATACGCACACACCGACACTGCAGACTAGAGGTACTTGACACTCTCCAAGAAGCAATCGTTGCAAATGTCGGGTGTACAGATATAACGAGGTCTGAGTGTTGGCATGAAGCGGTAAAGTTTCCAACATGCTGGGGATCTGAACGCCACGAACAGATCGAGCATCGTCCCTTCAACAGCTATCTTAGTGAGGCCTGCTCCATCGCACACAGCTAAGGCCCAATTCAAAAAGACGGACAGCCCATCTTGATCTGAGTTATGCCAACCACATGTTTGATCGGAAGAGCTGAATTGTGAGCCCAGAGTTTCGTCCGTAGTCCGGGCACCAAAGTTCAATCGAATAGAGATCCAAATGACGATGAATTGGTGATTGATACTAACCTTGAAGGAGAGGTCAGATGGTGTGCAGACTTGGCCGAAAGCCATCTGTGCCTGATCCGAGTCTAAATACCTTCAGGTCCACAATTGCAACTATGGGAGCGCCCGCTGAGCAAGTCTTCAGAATCCTACCCTGTGTTTCTACAGAGACTATGAAGAACTATAGATTAGATCGAAGGATACCCCGGCTCTTTCATGAACAACACAAACGTGCACAATCGGCCCCTCAAGAACAAGCCTATGCACTCTGCAAGGCGTTTGCTTCTTTATCCGAGTCCTACGCCTCTTTCTGTAGTCCACAATCCAGACCCTGAGCACACCGCGGAAGCTAAAGCAGGGACGGACAGAAAGTCCGAGGCGGAGATCACAGACGGATCTCTCTAAGCGATCAATCTCCATACCTAATCTGGGCAAGGTGAGCTCGCATGTAAGCTTTCGGACGTCTTGGCAAGCTGCACGAGCATCATCTTGACGAGAAATGAACGCAGGTATCAGGGGGCGTTGGTGCGCTCGATAATCGCCCTGTATTCCAGAGCACAACCTCAACCGATGTGCTGGATGAGGAAAGACCTAGACCATTGCAGCAGCCTTGCCGATTTCGAGTTTGGTGGCATGCAGCGGATAGAACCTATCTATAAACCTTATATGCAGGGGCAAAGCGAGGGAAGGAGAGTCAAAGGCTACACGTTGTCTGTAAACAGATCGAGGCCGAATACGGCAAGTGCGGCCCGGGCCGGCACGTGGCTTGTGAGCCCTGGATGGATCATGGAGGTCTTCGATCGACTTCAGGGTGCACATTGGCTCAATTGTCAACCCCCAGGATTCCCGAAATGTTTGCATTGAGATAATCACCGTGTAAATTGCCATCACGAAGCCTTGGGCGAACAGATCGGCGCGGATGGGCTAGCGCGTCGAAGAATGCGCCACAATGCAGCCAGACACAGTTTCAAGAAATGTTTGTACCGCAAAAAGTACCTGTTGTTGTAGACTTCTTCTGCACCCTCCCCTTTCATTAAAACTCTAGAAAGCTGTACAAAGGTAGAGATTTGCTTACTTTTTAATTCTGTCTATTTAGATCTTGTGTTTCTCCTATAGTTGTTGCGCAATGACAAGTTGAAGGCTGGGCTGCGTTGGTGTTCTAGCAGCTGCTCGCTTGTTTTGGGTGGTCTGCGGTCCGTACTTTTCTTGAGATTGGGTGCCAGACCGCTGACTGTGTGCAACTTATTGAGGCATGCTCCGCAGGGCCCTCAATACCGAGACCGAACACTGCGCGGATGCACTGGCCTACTGTCATGCGGTTTATGGTGCTACTCTAGCTTACCACTATTACCATTTCTCAGCTGAACATCGGAAGTCCCGTCAGGTCTGCTCAGAAGAATGCACTCAATGTGGAAATTACAACTTTCTAGACCTTGAGGTAGTCCGCAGCATCCTCAAGAAAGGTAAGTGTAAGATACGGATGTAGAGCTGCTTGGAGGAACACAACATTCCTGCGGTATCGTTTGGCCAGCTTCACCCATGTAGCCTTTGGCTCGCGTCACTCTTTACTGTTGCTCATTCTGTCATCGTTCACGATGGCGTCCTTTCTTTTGAACCCCACACTCATTTTAGGCCTTTGGACCGCACGCTCTCTAGCAATTCCTGCTCCATCATCTGAAAACTTTTACGTGGCCAAGCGTGCAACAGCTGCACTCTCCTGCTGGGACAATGCCAGCAACGGTCAAACCTTCACCGCAAAGAACGCAGAATGGGAAATCACCTGTGGCAAGGAATATGTGTAAGTTTGAAGACCTTCGCGGGGTCCGACCTGCTGACATGAAGAAGCGGCGGCGACATGGGAGCCTCCTGGCCCGCGTCGTTTGAAGAGTGCATCAACGACTGCGACACTGTCCAAGGTTGTGTTGATGTATCCTTCGTCTGACCCAACGCTTGCTACAGGAAGAACAAGCTCACCACCGCCGTCAATAACGAATCTGTTTGGACTGCACGTAAGAAGGTCGCCGCCTCAACCGGCGGCTCCAGCACAGGGACCAAGGCTCCTCCGGCCATACAGGATGTTACTTATCAAGACAAGGCTAGCGATGGAGTCGAGTACACCTCCAAGAATGGCACGTTCTTGATCGAATGCGGCTTCGCCAACGTAACCTCGAATGCGACTGATGTCAACTTCGTCAACTTCGTCAACTTCGAGATCTACACAAAACAAACTCCCTTAAGCTCCACCGGAGCATAAGCGGCAACATTTTACTCTCCCTCATCGACGACTCTACCGACATTTCGAACCTCGCCACCGGTTCCTTCACCAGCGACTCTGCCTCCAAGACCATCATAAGTGACACCTTCGATCGCCTTCTGCACTGCTACTACCTCGACGTGCTCGCCTCCTCCGGTGCATCGCGTCTACGTCTTGTAGCGTAAGATAAGCTACCCGAAGGTGCGAAGCTTATTACGCTTTCACAGGTCGAGGTTGAGGGCGAGACGATGATGTTGGCCATTGATACCAAGGGCAGCTACCTTTGGCCGTTCGTGTGCGGTATCAAGGGCCAGCTCAACAAAATTTTCTTGGTCAGCGACCCGGTCAACGGTGGCGCAGCGCTGCAGAAGGATAACATGAAGTTCACTGTTACGGGTGGTGTGGCGCTGATGGTGAAGGCGTAGAGGGGGTGATAGATTACAATAGTATACATACACTTTTCTTAACACAAATAATGTTAATGTTTACACGAAGTTAACATTGAGCCTCAAGTTGTTACTATCGTGCGTACCAGCCTCCACGTTCATAGCGTTAGTCGATCATCCATAACACCTGCCGTATGCCTCGGCAGGTCTTGCCATGAGAGGGCAGGCGATGGGTACCTGATTGGGACGAGCTTTGTTTAGCACTTGATTTCCCTCGATAGCTCCTCTCCATCACCCTTCCTCCAGGCTTGGCTATGACTGTCGATAATTTTTCACAGTTCGTCAACTCCCTTCTCGTCAGAGGCCACGTCCATAGGCCGTCTGAAATGAGACCATTTGCTTTTCTACTCACTCTAATCTTCCTAGTTGCCAACGTGAGCATGGTGATGTTGTGAAAAACTCCGTTGTCCTCTGTAATTGTCAATATCGTAGCTTGGCTATGACTACCTAGCTAGGACGACAGATGGTGCTCGAAAAACACATTCCATCAGTACCAACTACACCACATACACCTGCAGGGTCATCCACAAGTCTCCACCTCGATGCCTCTGAAGTGAATGGGTACTTAATCTACGACAGTTCGGAGATATATTCACTTCGATCAACTGGTCATTTGATTCTCCAAATCAAATTCTGTCTTGCGATGTTAGCTCTAATATCACGTGTCGTTATAGGAGAATTCGAACGATCTTGCATGTTTTCCGTGACTCGATCCTCAAAAATTGTCGATCTTCGTCCCGATCCCCCTCTCGTCTGCCAACCTCACCAGATCGCTACCAACGACAACATCCATCAGCCCTAGTCCCACACTCTTATAGATGACGTTGCCCTTCTGCAGCCATTCAACCAGACTCTGGTGCTCCTTATCATGGTCATCTTTGCCGCTCTTGTTGCTCCCTCGCCTCTTCTTCTTCGTCGAGGATGCCTCTCCCAACTCCACACCGTCGTCATCTAGTCCCTCCACACTCATCCGCTTCTGCGCTATGCATTCTGATCGTCTTTTCTCGGCATCCCGCTTAAGCATCACTATTTCGCCGATCTCGACGATTTCGTTTGGCGAAAGACCGGCTTGGATGATCTCGCCTGCTTCCTTGAGGCACGCTTCCACACTGTCTACTACAACTGCGCCGCCCTGAGAAGCATGCTTATGGAAATGTCGACCATGGTCGGGTGTGACGTTCTGGCGGAGGATGTCGGGGTGGATCTCGCACATGTGTGGCTTGTAGGAGCCGATTGCTGCTACGTAGCGACCTTTCTTTCTACCTTCCGGGTTCGTAAGATACGGCGCAGGGAACAGCGGTGTTAGACTTGGCGTTGTGCAGAATATGACGGAGGATGCTCGAATTGTTGACTTCAGGAGGCGCTCATATTCGCCGTGCGACGGAGTGAGGATCTGGATTTTCGGTCTGTGCAGACCTTCGCCTTCTTTCCTATAAGAAGGTATCTTTGTTGTGCTGGTATCAAACTTAGTCGGCTGCTCGTCAGGGTTGTAGAGAGATTGTAAGAGCTGGTGTACGCGTTCGAAGTCGCGGTTTATGATGTTGAGGTGGTGAATATCCGTGGAGCGCAGCATAAGGGCGAGGCGAATATGCCAATATGCTTGTTTGCCTGGGAATAGTCAGGCTTGAAGCCATCAAAATGGGTGCAGACGACTTACCTGCACCAAACACGACGACGTCGTGAACATTATGCCGCTTCTTAAACAACATCGTGCTGGCAAGCGCAGTGCGGAAAGCGGTAATCTCTTCGGCGTTGACGAGTGCGCGAGGCGACCCATCCTTATCTAACAACTGCAATGTACCCTTTGGAGTCGTGCTTTGTGAGCTTGCGAGGGATTGAGGCTGTTCGAAGGAGCTGCTGGATTGTGTCGATTCGGACAGAGAGGCCGCCTTGAGGGAGTATGTGATGGATGAGGTATCTGACTGCTTCTTGGTATCTTGCGTCGCTAATGTGACGACCTTGAAGCCGATGCCATCGTTGCTCGAGGCAGGCATGAAGAGTGTCGTCTGTCCGTCATTGCGCTTGAGCGCTGTGCGCATAGGCTGGTAGGAGGAACAACAGGCATTGGAGTCTTCTTCGGTTGCAGTTGAGTAGTAGTGCAGGCCGTCGGCGAGAGATTGCTGTAAGTCGAGGATGTCTTGCTTTGACAATTGGTGCAGCAAGCTGCGCACGTCTGAGTCTGTCAGAATTGTCAACGGCATTGCGACAGATTGTTGTGTAGGATGATGTAAGTGAGATGCACGAGCATAGCTTCGAACTCGAGTGGGGGTGGGGTACCTCCCTTAAGTAAGACTGCCGCATACGACGGCAGCAGCTTCCGTGTACACCTTCGAGCTAAGAAGGAATTTCGCTAGGGCTTACATCACTAATCACTCAAGTCTGCAAGTAATGCTAATGGCGTGCGTTATCGTTGTTCGATTCCAGTCAATGCAGTATCTAGCGACTGCTTTTAACCCTCCGTAACTCCGTGGTATTTGGACCCTACATGCAGAGATAAGAGACACGCCATAAAATTCATGAACCAAGCAAAACCATCAGACCATTTAGATCTTGATAGCGCTCTCAAGAGCCTTCTTGCGCTTCGCCATGCGGTCGTTGGCCTTGGCACCCATGATACCACCTCCCCAGTGGCGCGAAGCCTCCTTGTGGTGGGACTCGAGGTAGCCGTCGTTAACAGCGGAGACGAGCTTGGAAAGCTCGGTCTTGTCCTCAGAGCGGACCTCGGTGAGAGCGAGGACGGCAGCGGTCTTCTGGTGAACGACGGTACCGAGGCGGGCCTTGCCCTTCACGATAACGTAGGGAACACCCATCTTGCGGCAGAGGGCGGGGAGGAAGACAACGAGCTCGATGGGGTCAACGTCGTTGGCGATCAGGACGAGCGACGCCTTCTTGTTCTCGACGAGGCCGACAACGTGGTTCAGACCGAACTTGGCGGTGTAGGGCTTCTTGGAGACATCCTCCTTCTTCTTGCCCTCGGAGATGGCGGTAGCTTCCTTGGTCAGGCGCTCCTTCTTCTCAGCCTTGGTCTCAGGGCGGTACTTGTTGAGGAGCTTGAAAGCCTGGGTGGCGACTGCGCTGCATTAGCCATGTTCCTCCGTCTTGTGAAGTATGTGTGCTTACGGTTGCGGTCAGCAACGTGCTGGAACTGGGCGATGGAAGGAGGGACCTTCAAACGGAGGTTGAGGATCTTCTTCTGGCGCTGGAGACGGACGTACGCAGGCCATCTGACCATGCGACCAAGGTTGCGCTGGGGCTGGATGTCCTGGCCGATGCCGAAGTTCTTGGGGCGCTTCTCGAGGAGAGGGTTCTGCCGTTGATTAGAGCCTGCGACAAGCGCTGCAAAACGATTTCCAACGTACCTTAGCGGCCTTCTTGTTGCCAGCCTTGCCCTGGGGGAAGGGGGCAGGCGCGGTCTTCTTTCCCTTAGGAGGCATTTTGTACTGTAGAGGCTCTGTCATAGAGAACAGAAACTATCAGCGAATGTTCATCCACTAAGTAGTTCTGTAGCTCGTAAGAGTGAGCGGGCATTGCTACCGCACTGCACTCTGGCCATCATTGTAGTCGACATGCTGCATTGCTGTTGCATGCGATCGAATGCTGTTCGAGCGATCAGAGACGGAGTGTTGCGCTTACCGTTGGTTAGTTGGCGGTCGACGAGGTTGCTGGACTGACGAAGAGCGAAAAGTTTGGGCTTGCGCTGTGAGGGTGAAAATGTGGTGCGGGCGTAAGCGAGGCTTGGCCGTTGGTACGTGCATGAACCGCGCTTGTGGGCCGTCCAATCGAGACGCGCCTCCCTCGACCATCACCAACCTTGTGATGTTACGCCTCTCAATGGCAGTATCAAAGGCCTCAGACAAGAAGCAGCTCGCCTTGGTTTTTTGCGTGTGGAAAACATTGCTCATTCTACTTGCCGCGTTCTGCCCAGGTCCTGGCTACGACACCTCAGCTTTGATCCTGGTTGATGCAAGCACGAACCGCTATGCAAACCTCGAATCTTCATCCCGATTCGAGCATTTCGTCCTTACTATCTTTCGATGGGACGCACTGTACTTCGTCAAAGCTGCTGAGCGGGGCTTGGTGTTTGAACAGGAGTGGGCGTTCAGCCCGGCGTTTTCTAAGCTCTTAAGTGTCACGGCACGATGTGAGAGGCCTCGATTCTTTGAATTGAGCTATCATTGACACAAAGGTAGTCATCTCCGGCAATGCGGAAAGTTCAATACGCTATTACATCATCGCCGGTATCGTCATCTCCACCACTTGCCACCTCCTCTCTGTGCTCGTTCTGTACAGACTTCTGACCCTCCTCACGGGAGCGGGGCGGCAGCAGTCCCGGATACCGTTCGTTGCGTCCGTACTCCACATACTCACGCCAGCCTCCTTGTTTCTCTTGGCGCCTTACACTGAGTCTCTATTCTCTCTGCTTAACTTGGCTGGCATGCTCTGCTACGCAGAGTCTAGAGCGACCGCCAATTCTTCTCCTGTCAGCGTCCAGGAGGTTGTTTACAAGCTCAGCTCAGGTCTGTTTTTCGCTGTGGCGACTACCATACGAAGTAATGGCTTGCTGAGTGGCTTGGTCCTTCTGTATGACGTTGTGCGATACCTGCCCCAACTGCTCTCGATGCGGTCGAGTGTACATGACCTTTGCAGAGTCTTTGTCACTTGTGTATCAGGCACTTTGATAGCCATTGGATTCGTTGGGCCGCAATATCTGGCTTACCTGGAATTTTGCAGTACCAGCGACTCCACGATCAGGCCCTGGTGCGAGAACAGCATCCCAAGCATCTACTCGTGGGTGCAAAGTCATTATTGGTGAGTTTATCAGGGATTAGCAAAACTCAGTCTAACACGCGTTTAGGAACGTCGGACTCTTCCGTTACTGGACTCTGTCCAACCTTCCGTTGTTCCTGCTTGCGATTCCAATGCTGTGGCTTTTGGTCTACTCGAGTGTCACCATCCTGCACATCGGCTATACTCAGCCGTTGCATGGGCGTCCTGTACCCCACACTAGTAACACCCTCCACTCCAAGCCTGCGCCTGATGTAACGCACGACCTGCCAGAACTAGCATTACCGCAGCTAATACTGGCTTTTGCGGCAGCTACCAGTTTCCACGTTCAGATTGTCAACCGAATCGCCTCCGGATATCCCATCTGGTATCTGACAGTGGCTGCATGGCTGCAGTCAGACCTTCAGATTGGAAAATGGGCGATTCGCACGATGGTTATGTATTCTATGATTCAGGGGATTCTTTTTGCGAACTTCCTACCTCCCGCTTGAGAGGGTTCATCAACCCTCTCTACGGCTCAGTTATCGTGCGAACTGTGGAACGAACTTCTGGAGGATTACGATGCGGTCACTTCTTGTAGAATAGTGGCATCGCCTTGGTCCTACATCTTCACCTGTCGATTTCCAGCCACACTGCAGGCGTTTTCTATCGAACAAGCCATGTTGTATTCGTATACGTCCATTCAGAACAGGTTGCACGGCCGTTGAGGCGCACGAGTCTGTACCTCTACCACAAGCATAACCAACAAGAGTAGCCGGGCCGTGCCCGCCAATTGCATCGACGCCTCGATCCGTAAACGGTGTGGCTACCTGCTCCGTGCGAGGGCTTGTCTGCTCGATGACCCTCGGTCCTCCACGATACACTGTAGGAGTAGAGGCCTTGGGCATTCCTCGAGCTCCTCGCATTCTAGGGAAATACCTTCGAGAAGCGCTGAGGACCACGGTTTTGCTCTGGCATTCTTCTCAAGTACCAATCAACATCTTGATCAGAACTTCAAGGTTTGGCAGCATGCTAGCAGCGATTGATTAGCTTGCCTCAGCCTCTCCATGGCTTCGTTCAGTGACTGCACTGTACCTACATAACGGCGCATCATTGTTTGCATACGCAATGACACGGCATCATGCTGTGCACGACAACTTGACTTCATCAAAATTTCGTGACGAAAAATTACAACAGCTTCCGACACCATCAAAGGACTCAAAGTATTGGCATCATGCGGATTCAGTGCCAAAAGTCCACCGCCCACCCTGAGGGGTCTTTTGGTGTGTCACATTGTCGGACTGTATGCGTTTTCAGATGCGATTGAGCCTCGAAGTGGGCACCATACCGTCTGGAATCCGATTCTTAGCCACCTGTACGACCACCATTGCAGTCAGAGTTTGAGACCTTTGGTCCTGTGGACATCACTCGCTATCTCGCTGGCTTTGAGTGGCTTCACTTTAGCTCCAACCTGGGAACGAGTGATGCGGATAACGCATCCAAGATACTCCGACAGCAATTGCCCATGGTGCCAGTGGTGTATAAAGGCCATCTCAGCCTTCCACTTAGAATGCAGGCTACACCTTCGCCTTCAGTCGTTCGCTGTCAACAAACATGAAGTTTTCTACGGTTCTTTCTCTACTCAGCTATGCATTCGCCGCCGCAGCCAACCTGGTGCCAAGGCAGGGCAGATGCTCCGAAGATACTTGCTTTCGAGCCGTATGGGGAACGAATCTGGGTACAGATCATCCTCTTACTGCACAACGAGACTGCATGAGTCGCCTTACAACAACTGTGGCAATCTTCCCAATGTAAGCAGCAGAGCTCGATTGTTGAACTACAACTCATGCATCTACGTCAGTACCACCATCACGGTTGTCGCCCGGGACACCATAACTACAGTTATCTCTTGCTCGACAACTTCTACCAGCAGCACTGCCTCCAGCCTAACTACCAGCGCCTCATCCCTTCCGGGGTTCACCTTTCCGACTCCTACACCACCCTCGATAGGGAGTGCGGCCGGTAGAGTCAAAGCTCGCCAGAACCAGGCTTTATCCTCTAGTACGACAACCATCGTTGGACCGATTCCTACATATGTTGGCAATGCTTGTTCCGATTTGGACTCGCTCTATGCCAGTACATGCTCTTGCAAGGGAGTTACGCAAGGTACTCTCTCGAGTCTCAGCACGGTAAGAGATATGCAGAGGTCTTGCCTAATCCATCCTGATAATCTTTAGACATTGACAAGCACGGACACCTTAACACTGACCTCGACTGTTACTTCTACAGCATCTTGTAGCACGTCCTACACCATCACGCTTTCGCACAGTTCTTCCACTACTGTAACTACTGTCACTATCAGCTCGTCTACCGGCACTGGAACAGGTTCTGCCTCTTCCACATCTTCTAGCTCGTCCTCTTCGATCACGGATACCTCGACAATTTCGTCCACATCTGTGTCAACGAACTATACACCCTCCAACACCACCCTAATCCCATCAACGACTTTGAGCACAAGGTCCACTTCGTGGAACACGACATCGACAAGCTCTACGACTTCCACATCCCCCACGCCAATTTGCAGCGGTCTCGGCTCCATACTTTGCAACGGCACCTGCCATGTCGCAACCAACGACAGGCTCAACTGTGGCCGCTGCGGCAATGCGTGCGCGTCTGGACTAGACTGCATTAACGGCGTATGTGTCCGCCAGCCTTGTGACTCCACCTGCGACTTCGATCGGCATTGCAACTCGGGACCTAACCGCCCATCGGGAGGCTGCATCTGCGCTACCGACGCATCTCAACATGGCATCTGCTTCGACAAAGACAGGTACCAATGCGGCAATGGAAATCTTGTCCGATGTCTTCAAACGGAGCTCTCTAGTGACCCCAGCAAACTTGGATGCCCGCTTGGACACGTCTGCATTAAGAGTATCTGCGCAAGCAATTGCAACAATACGGGCGTTCCTGAAGCAGCGCAGCTGGGCATTTGTGTTAGTACGGAGAGATGTGGAGATTCGGGCACGACGCAGCTGGGTCCATTGCTGAAGATCGGTGAACAAGAGAAGCGCAGGAGACTAATTGGAGAGTTTAACTGGTAGATAATTGGTGGTATGTTGGAGGGTTTTGGAATGGAGATCGTGGTATGGGAAGTTGACCCGAATGGGGGCTCAGAAGTCGTCAGAGAGGAGTCAGGTAGTCCTGGAGGTATACGAAAGGCGTTCAGGTCTGTTTAGGAGAGCTAATGTGATGCGTGCATCTACCATAAATGTTCCATGAAAGTCACAAAGACAAGCCTGCAAAAGACAGTCCACAGAGTGAGCAATTGCGGTCGAAGGACCGTTACGGCAAACTGCGCTGTGATTACCGGCTTCGTAATTGGATCGTGCTAGTTCGGTTAAGGGAATACCTGGTCCATAGAGCTCCCGCAGGGTCCTCGCGCACAACCACTCTACATTTCCCGTCATAGTATAAAAGCAAGCTACGGCCTAGCATCTCAGTATCTGCTCACACATCAAATCTACATGACTTACGAACAGTCCAATCCCACAACCAAGATGCGTTGCCTCACCGCCTTTACCAGTATAGCAGTGCTGCTCTTCCTCACCACAGCAATGCATCTACCTCCAAGCCTCTCTGTCACGAGCATCGAGACTCGAATTGCTTACTCAAGGATTACTGTAACTATCACCGCAACTGAGCCAGCCCGAGCTGTTGTCGACGCAGAGACACCTACATAGTCACTGGAGAAGCGCAGATGCGTCAACTGTGTCGAATTTTGTGCTATGGCGGCTGATGGCTGTATCCAGTTTGGATGTTTCAAGACGGAACCGACACCATAGATGATACGTCTCGCTGTGCAACCAAGTCCGGAAGTTCGTCGTGTGTTCAGCAAGATGAAGCAAGTACAGATCATCATCACAACCTGACAGCTCGATCAGCTTCCGTTGGAAGGTGCTCACGTGGAGTACTTGGATGGAATCCAGGGAGTATAGTTTGTTGATACCGGCGGTCATTGATTGACTATTGAGAGCGGAGAAGCTCTGTTGGAGGCTGTCAAAACCTTCGAGCATGACAAGTAATGCGTTCGGGGTAAGCCCAGGTGCGGTATCAACGTCGCTCGGCTTGGCTGACATCCCGTAGGGATGTATCTGATTACCAACCGTAAGCCTTGAGAGAAGCTCCGCCAATGTTTCGTTCTTCCCACAGGACTCAAGGAAGGGGGCCAGGTGTGGTGTTGGTCGTTCCATCGTCAGCCGATGGTGGGAGTAGATGGCCCAGCCGATCCATGCCAGCGGTTGGGGTTATTGGGGAGGTTGTCAGGGATAGCGGTCAGTACATGCACCCAAGGATGGAGAGGCTAGGATAGACTCGTGACCATAAGCGGGGAGCAGTGAAAGTACCATGGTCGTCTTGCGGGGCCCCGAAGGCAGCCATGCAGGCCACCGCTCCTACACAATGCGTGACGGGGCTCAAGGCACTTGGGCCGCTTCAAGCCCCATCCCCTGCTTCCCTCCGAGCTCGCACGCACACCAAGTCAACTCAACTCAACCACCAACTAGCGAAATGGACAAATTCACTTTCTCTGTCCCGTTAGCTTCAGGCACGGTACCTGCCCGCAAGATCGCCCAACCCTAAGAAGAGCAAGTACCAAACCAACGATACCAAAACTGTCGCGAAGACCTACCATGAACCAGATCAGGCGAAGCATCGAGAGGACGCTGAGATCGCTTAAACCCTCGCTCAAATGGATCTTGCACTTATGACGGAGGATTACTCCTACCAGCTGAAGCAAGAAGAGTGTGTTCGCCAGAGCTGCCTCAAAGACTTGACTGTAATCCTCAATAAGTTGCTAGTCAAGTGCAAAGCCAGTGGTGATACACTCGACATGCATACCGACGCCGATGCCCTCGCTTCACACTGCGAGTCGAAGATCTGGCACCAGACCTACGAATAATGCTGGAACACTGGCATCTTAGCCGATGCTATGGAGCAGGAGCAGATCGACTTCGAGACGTGGGCGGCGCTTTGGGGCTCGGAGGAGGATGGTCGCTCTTGGCTTTGATACCTCGAAAGAAGACGTTCGAGCTTGGCCATGTGGAAATCGATCGTCAGCCTCTCTTTACGGATGGTACTGCGGAAGTCAAGTTCGCAAGCGCACCAAACACCTCAGAGAAGCGTGATGAGAAGACGTCTGTTAAGACTGCAGATGGCGCAGATGACGATGATGACGATGATGACGGAGGGTTGACAGCGGCGGCTATGGCCGCACTGGAAGAGGGCAAACAGAAAGAAGACCACGCCGAGGATGCAAAGAATGTCGTGAAAGAGACTGACGCTGACCCTGTCGTGTTCTTCGGACCTGACGGAGCGAGCCAAGGGACATTCAAGTTCGCGTTCTGAGACAGCTCTACACGGAAGAGAGGGTTTCAGGTAGCATTGCTGCGAGAGCAATGAATTGAAGGAATTGCAGCCATGTTTGCATCCACCGTGTTCGCTGACTGCGACCGGGCAGCTGAGGCTTTCGTGCTTATTTTGCGTTGTAGTATCTGCTGAATACCCTTTAGAGTTAGGCTAGTTACGATATTCTGAACCCATCCACAACACATGTAGCTGTGACCAGTCCATGCATGAAAAGGTCAATGCTTCTGCAATCGTCGTCAACTCAAGATTTCGATGACGGGTGCCGGATATCCAGCATCTAGGCCCAGCTTTGCATGTTGTGTCACGACGCACAACGTGCCGTTTGACATGCAGCTTGCAGACGTAGTCCCCCTCCGTGTCGCATTGCAAATAGTTAATATGTCAAGGCATCCCTGATAATGTTACTACAAGTCTAACATAGTCAGTGCCAAATTTGCTGAACAGTCAGCCATCTGTAACGTGAAGTTGAAAAGCGTCGGGAGGCTTATTGGAGGTTGACGGTCGATAACTTTGGTCCTCGCTCGATAGCATCGCCATAAGACAGGCTTTGTGCTGGGTGGGAAAGTGCTGACTTTCAATATCGATTTGGTCATCTGGGCGGCCGGGGCGACCGTCAGGTACGAGGGGTTCAGGCCCTGGCTGAGCGTGCGCTGAGATGTTTGGCTCGGTTGACGACTGTTGTCTGAGAACCGTTCTGATCATGTCCCACTTCTTCGCGTTACAACATGAAGCTTGCATCTAGAAATACATGACGCGGACAGTGCGGAAAGGGAAGTCCTCGAATGCCGCGGTCGTCCTTTCAACCTTGCCCAATATTCATCCTGTCTCTTCTTTGCCATTTCAGCGCAGCCCTACAGAGTCAACAACAGGAACCTCAGCCGCGTGACGGTTCAAGATGGCTTTGAGACGGTGAAGATGCGCAAGTGAGAGAAAGAGGAAGTCGGCCGCTGGAAAGGCGCTGAAAGGGCCCCTGCTAGCCTTGGCTTCTGACGCCACCCATGAGCACGTCGACGGGAAGGTGCTCACGACCTCGGATGTTTGCTTCTTCACATATTTTTATACCCACGCCGCTCTAAAGTCTCTGCGAAACTGCACACATTCGGTCGCTGTCGCCTCAATCTGCTACAGAATTGCTATCTATCCATTGAGACCCCTGCCAAACGCCCGCCATTGCTAGGACAGCCCCACCATCGCCTCGGTCGCCTTTGACGTGCACACAGCAACGCGCCTGAACCGCCAGCACCTTATATACGCTGTCGCCGCACATATAAAGGCCTCACGTGCTCCGTCGACCAACGCCTATCATCGCAACGCTCCGCGGTTGCCTCTCGACAAAACCTGCCCCACTCTGCGCTCGTCTTTAATCGACCCCACCTTGTCCTCATTCAAGCTTCATACAAGCTTCGCTCGATACACAAGCACACGACCAGCACAACATACAAAGATGGCTTCTACATCAGCTGCAGCAGGACTGCTGTCTCGCCAGCTCAAGCAAATGCAAAATGACAAGAGCATATCAGGCATCAGCTGCGGTCTGGCGGACAACAATGTCTTCGAGTGGGAAGTCATGCTGATGATCGACGACGACACAAAGTTCTACGGAGGTTCGTAGAGAAGGCAGAAGATATGCCGAAGTATAGCTGACAGCTTCCAGGTGGTTTCTTCCGCGCACGACTGAACTTCCCTCCCGAATATCCACTGCTACCACCGAAAATGCGCTTCGAGACACCCATCTTCCACCCAAACAGTAAGACTTCGACACCTCGGCCACTCTCAGTATTCGTACTGACACATTGCTAGTCTACCAGAACGGCGAGGTCTGCATCTCGATCCTGCACCCACCCGAAGAAGATAAGTACGGCTACGAGTCAGCTGCAGAGCGCTGGTCACCCGTCCAGACACCCGAGACCATCCTACTATCCGTCATTTCGATGCTGTCGAGTCCGAACGACGAGTCACCGGCCAATGTCGAGGCCGCAGCGCTGTGGCGGGAGAACACACCCGAGTTTAAGAAGCGCGTGAGGAAGTGTGTGCGAGACAGCCTGGAATTCGAGTAGATTGACTGCCTCAGTGGTATGGGACAAGAGGACTGAGAAGAGAAGACAAGGAGTGCAGAGCGGGCACACGAACACATTTGGCATCTCTGATTACTTGATCGTTCAGGCGTGCATGGTGGGACTTTAGGCATGGTTTGCTTAGCGTACAATGCATTTACGATACCTCTCGTTGCTTCATCTCGCTGAAAAACACCAAAACAGTCAGCCTCGGAACCACTTCCCACACTAACACACTGCCGGGCTCCTCCTAAAATCACAACCCATCTTGAAGATCTCCTAACCTCACTACCTCGGAACAACATCTAGCACACCATCCCAACACCAATCTGCATCTCACCCAGCTCCCGCAAAACCTCATACACAATCATTCCAGCAGCCAGCAGCCAACCACCCTTATACATTCTCCAGAACGCTGCCTAAGCCCCAGGGTGCCATTCTCAGCGACCCTTCCATACTGAAGACGCATTCCAGCACAAGAGATAGTGTGCTGGCTATTGTGCTGGTGAGCCATGTGATGGCGATTAGGCAGTAGACCGCTTACCGGATAGGAAGGGTGAACAGGCGTATGTCGGGAAATGGGCTACAGGTTTTCGAGGTGTGGAGTGAGAGGGGTGTGAAAATGGTTAGAAGAGGCGGAGTTGTGCGCAAGGGTTTGAGGGAGTTGCGTTGTAGTGTTTGGGCGGCGACGGATTGTTCCTTTGTGCTCTTCTCGCTGACCGGAGGTACCTGAGCTGTGGATGGAGTTTTCATCGTCGTGGGCGAGGGCACTGTGATGGGGTGTGTCGTGCAGTGATGAGTATTCGCCAAAACTGAACTGCGAGCTGTGAAGATTGGCAGGCCCCTTTTCGATTCCGAATACAAAGGAACACTCTGGTAGAAACGATAAGAAGGTGTTTGTAGGCAGCGAAGTGCCTTCTGATAAGGCGCGACCCAAGGCTTGGCAAATGTGTTCACGATGAAGGCGTATCCAGGCTCAGCGAATCAGAAGACAGACCACCTTTCGCCGTCCTCGCCGTATATACATTTCCAATCATTATGCCGCCTTCATGTTCACCGAGGGTCGAGTATAGAACACTTTTGCCTTGTTGGGGCGTAAAATGGCGCAGCAGGGGTGCTAACACTTGGGGGGCCACCCTACGATGTGTCTTCCGCCCTAAAACCAACGAAGTACATGAGCCAAGTCCCGCCACATCCGTGAGTGCTCTAAAATCATCCCAAAGTCATCTCTTGCCTTAGCGTTGGCTTCGATCTCAGTGGTTGAGTAAGTCGAGTCCTCGCACCCTCCAACTTAGCTCTCCAGATCTCCTTCTCGAGATGAGCCAACTCTGTGACCAACCACTCCCTCTGGTTTTGAATTTCTGTAAGCTTTTCTTCTGATAGCTGACTCTCCCAGAGGTCTGTGTTCTTTCACCGCAGGTCGGAAGCCATGAACGTTGCAGCCAGTGGCTCATAGGCGAGTTGTCGAAAGTGGATGCGTATTTGAGCACCGTCGATGGCGCGCTCGAGCCTTTCGACCCTGATTTTGGCTCCGAGTACCATTCGCTCGTTCAACTCTCGCATTGCTGGACTAGCAGCTTCTGATGTTGGGCTTTTTGTCGAGCTAGGCTCCGCGTAGGTGAAGGTGTCATGCTGCCTTTGGACGGGAGGTGCCGTTATGATCGCTAGAGCAATGTTATAGGTTGCCGTATACACCGATGACGACGCAACGTCTGGGGACATTGTTGGGTCGAGGTTGATGAGGTGAAAGTTGCTGAAGCAAGAAGGTGAAGGAGCAAACAACGACAAACTACACGTAGTTATCGGGCGACCTAAAAGGGAAAGAGCAATCGCACTTTGGTAATAATGCAGGTGTCATCTCATTCCGACTCTACGTCAGTACGAACGTAAATACCATAACCGCAAAAAGCATCGATCATGACGGCCAACTTGTACTGACACCCATCGACTGCTTCACCGCAACCACATTCCCAATCTCCACCACACAAATCCTCTTCCCGCTACTCATCTCAGCCGTCTCAGTCGTGTTGAACAATATCTCGGTCACAAGATATCCAACGTTGCGTTCATGTCAATCTCCATGCTTCCGTTCCAAGTCGAGTTCGCGCTCCACATATCGATGTAGAATCCACTCGGCGGACTCGCAACAGGCATATGCAAATTCGTCGTATTCATCTATTCATCATTAACGAAGAAGACACTTCGGACTGGCGTCCAATCGAGTCTATGAACGTGCCAGTCAGTATACGTTTTCGCATGCGGCATCATGAAGTTGACGGTCGCGCCTGGGATGGGCATCCAGTCTGGCTCGCCTGAAGATACGGGCTGGTTGGAGTATTGGACGGACTGCTCGGGGGCGCGTGTGAAGATCTCGAGGTCGGATTCTTGTGTGTCGTTGTGGTAGGTGAAGATGCCTGCTACTGCGCCCGGGGCACCGTGGACGCGTGCGGAGACGCGGAGAGAACCGTGGCTGATATTGAATTCTGTGAAGAGGATTTCGCCTGCATCTTGAGTCCCGTCATCCCTACAAGTGCAGCGCCGTTCGATCGACTGTTGCCGACAAGCTCAAGAGCAAATCAAGTCGAGAGATATCACGCGAAGTATAAGGATTACGACGTGTTAAACGATAGAGACTCACCCGGTTCAAGGCACGCGGAGTACGAACTTGCGAAACAAGGGCTGCGAGGCGTCAAACAATGAACGATTCGCCCGGTTCAGAAGCCCATACAATATGGAAGCAGACGAGCAGACGCGCAAAGGAAGCATCGGGCGGTGATGATATGGTACAACAGGGGGCCGAGCTGAGAAGAAATGCGAGTGGATCAAGGAGAGTGAGACGAAATGTAATTGATTGCTCGATGAATGTGTTAGATCCAAACATCAGCTTGAACTCTGTCAGTCAGCCGCGTTGTCGCTCGTTCTGACACTTTTGTCGTCCGCTAACCTGGCGTAACACAAAAACGACCATCTCTATTGAGCAGGTGTATGCACTCACATAGTACAGCTGGTTGCACCCGCCCGTTCTCGTCCTCCAATGCTCTGAGACACTGTCTTGGTGCAAGCTTCGGTGTGCTGTTAAGACTTTGCAGTGCAAGATACGAGCTCTTCGGACCTGCAGTAGTTTCGAGGTCTCCTTTTCGATGCATCAAGTTCAGCCTCATCAGCTGTCAGCGGACGCGCCGGCGTGGGTCGTGATCCCCGTGTCACCCCTTGCGCGGTTAGCGTACCCGCAGTGGATCTTGTTTCCAACTATGTGCACGAGCGTTGAAACACCGTTTTCTGTCAACGTTCGCAATCTTGCAAAACAAGGAAACCAGATGCAACAGCTGTCAGGCAACACCAATCCAGCTTCGAAAAATCACTCCGCACGGTCAAGATAAGTGTCGATAAGACTTACGAGCACATCATCTGTGATGATCTATTTGCAGATCGCGACTACCCGAAAGCGGGAAGCCCATCTTCTGTACAGCCTAGCTCGCGACCAGGGTATCTGGATGGCGGGCCAGACCACCACTGGCTGGCTGTCCTCAACGCCTCTTTGCTGCGCACTGGGAAGCTCCCAAGAAATTTAGAGTAATGGTTGCGCAGTTTCACTCTTCCCTTGACATGTTGTCCCTTACAGCTGTCGCACCCTTCATCGCAGAGCGAAGCCGCGTTTCGCAAGATTGCAGGGTCTATCTAGGACTTGTGGAGGTGACGCGTAAGAACGGCGGAACGGCGGCGTCATCGAAGGAACGTTGGACGGTTACTTAGGAACGGCTCGGACGCACGAGGCTGAAGGTTATTCGTTGTTTGGTAGCATTGGGGGATGCACATGTTGGGGTCGCTCCTTCCTTCGTCGTCGAGTCCCTCTGCGCTGTCGCCAGACGAACCACATCCTCGATATCGAGTCTTGTGAGGCTTCACCAGCTTATCCATTATGGCGGGCGATGCGATGCTGCCCATGCCCATGTCTCCTCGACAGTCACCAACAGAGATAGGAAAAGCAGCGGTCCAATGGCTCTGTTCAAGACGAGGGCGAACATTGCTCCTTTCCGTCTTCGTCCTCACATTCATACTTGGCGTCGTAGGCGTACGGCACTCCGAAGCCATCACCGGACGATACCATGCCCTCGCCGAACACCAATGGCGTCCCTACCTACCCAGCTTGCCGAAGCTCACGAAAACGCCCTTCGAAGCTCCATCGAATACAACATTGCAGCTCGAGAACGGCGAGATTGATCACGTACCACCGAAGCTCGAGAAAACGACACCGAACTTCCACCTGCTGATGACCTCGGAGAAGAACTCAGATGCTTTCTGCAAGTCGACACTGTCGGCGATGCTGCTCAACTACCCTCCACCGACCGCTGTCGGCTTTCACCAGACGTTCATCTCGCCAGGACATAAGGAAAGGCAAACGCTGTTTGGGATACGCGAGTACCTTCACAATGAGAAGTTGGTGCATGATGAGGATCTGCTATTGATCGTGGATGGTCAGGATACTTGGTTCCAGCTGCCGAGCGACGTCATCATCAAGCAGTATGAGGCGGTGTTGGAATATGCGAATGCGCGACTGCTCAAGAAGTATGGCCTGGACGAGAACAAGCTTCAAAAGTTCAATCAGACGATCATCTTTGGTGCTGAGAAGGTGTGCGAGGGAGACGACACGGCTTGCAAATTGGCACCCAGTTCCATACTACCAGACGACATATACGGTGCCGGTGAAGAGACTACCAGTACGGAAGATCTGCCTGCAAAGTACCTGGACTCCAGAGTTGTGATGGGGCCTGCGAAGGACCTGAGGGTCTTCTTTGATGCAGCTTTGAAGAAGTATGAGAAAGAACACACCGAGAAGCAGACAATGCAGTCGGTAATCGCCACTATGTTTGGCGAACAACAGTTAATACGCGATGCAGCGTTGACAGAGGGTAAATCTGCAACCTCCAAGCTGCGAGAATGGGTGGGGAAAGCAGTAGAAGAGCATGTGGCGGCCGAGCGACGGCTGGAGGCTGCCAATCTTACCATTCGACCTGGGAAACAGTACGAGTATTCCATCGGTCTTGATTACACGCATACGCTCTTCCAGCCTCTTCTCTACACTACTCTGGATGAACTCGTTCCCCTGGTCCACGAAAACTCAACCGACTTATCCAAATACCGCCACCCCAAAACCATCACGCCGCACCTCTCCCTCCCGCCTACCCTTCTTTCCAGCAAGCTCCCCTTCTGGAGTCCAAATTTATATCTGCACAACCCCTCCCCTGACACTAACAAGCCCGCCTACATCGACAAGCTCGACTTCGACTTTGACCTGGACTGGCTCCCTGACCGCCGTACACACTGGTCCAAGATTCCACTGATTCAGAACACGTATACTGGCGCGATCCCCGCGCTGATTCTTCGTGTTCCCGACGCCATCCATGACCCGAAGTCCTCCGGCATTCCAAGCGCCCAAATCTCGTTCAATCATCTGTGGTTCGCCCCACACAAGCGCGCCCTCCTGCGCCAGTACTTCCGCACTCCGCAGAGCCCGAACGGGTATCACAACTCTCTCGTCGGCGGCGATCGATCCTGGGACCAGCGCGGCGGACGTGGTGGAATATGGACATCGAAAGAGCAGATCTGGCTGCCCTGGGGCGAGGTGGATGGTGTGTGCGGTACACTGGCGCAGCTGAAACAAGTGATCGACGACGGAAAGGGAGTGTGGATGCATGAACTCGAAGATGACAACGAGGCACAGAGAGTCAGGGACGAAGAGGCTTATAAAAAGGGCCTAGAAGAGAAGAGAGAGAAAGAAGAGGAAAAGGAGTTAACTAAGGTGCAGGTTGCTGCTGAGATCGCTAAGCAGGAGCATGAGCAGAAAGAGCAAGAGAAGCATAATAAGGCGAGGCTGGAGAGGATTGAGAGGCAGAAGAAGGATCAGGCGAAGAAGGAGAAAGTGAATGTGGAGAGGCTGAAGGAGATTGAGGAGAAGAAGAAACTTGAGGTTGAAAAGGCTCAAGAGACACAGGCAAGTGCGAAAGCATTATACCAGTCTGAGGAGCAAGAAGCAGGGCGAAATCCGGCTGCCTCAACGAGGTGGAAGAAGAGATGGGCTGCATGAGGCAGACCCACACATGTGCCTGAGTTGCACGTCTTCGATTTTCCCTCCTTAATCAGGCGTTTACGATCGGCGAAACATGGCATCTTTTCATATCATCTAGATGGGCCCAAATTATGGCTAGACGGCGTTGAGTGGGTATCTCTTAGTCCAGCGTCCCTTTTGTTATGTAGTCCTCGAGTTCGAATCCCAGAAGCTCCGTACCTCGAATTCATGACGTCTGCATCACATTCCTCTCCACATTCCCAATCGTGCATCATCCATCTCACTGCCTCCAATGAGCCGGCACCACCATCATCCGAAGTAATTACTCCTGCTCCGCTTTGCTCACCACCTCACTAGTCCGCAACTTCCTTCCACCCTCTTCTGATTTCGTGATAACACCGCTTAGATGGGCCTTGTGCTCCATCGCCTCTTCTCAAAGTTGTTTGTAGTCGTCTCTCGCGAGCAACAGCTGCCACTGCCTTCCTCCCAGCACACGTCGGGTCTCCGGGCGCACTTGCGTGGCGACTGTGCTTATGAGGTCGATCTGCGGCTGCAGCTGATTGATGTTCCGGGTGTAGAAGCTGTTGGCGCGGGCTGCTGATTGCTTTAGGCGACGTATGGCAAGCGTGAAGGAGCGGAATGGGTGGGACGCAGTGTTACTGTTGGCGGAGGTTGAGTCTTCTGCATCGTGGGCAGGGTTTGCGGGTTCTAGGAGTTCTGTAGTAGTAGCTGTTGCGGTATTAGTCGGTCCATAATATCCCTAGGGTATTATATTCCAGCAAGATGACTTGACTGTCAAAGGACAGAGGCGTAATAGCCAAGCGGGTGCCCCTGAGGTCTGTTGCTTCTGGTAAGAAGAGATGATTGTTGAGAAACAGAGCGTAACATAGAAGCGGGGGTGTTCCTGGGATTTCGTAGTTCTGGCGAGACTGGATTGCCGAATGGTAAGAGCCATGTCGTCAGCAGTGGTGCCGCATGCGACATCGAAAGCCAAGCCAGTCATACTGTTTGCGAAGCCGAGTGATAATGTCGAAGTGGGTGTCCCTGGCTGGACGTTGCATTGCACCACTGAACCATGGTCGTTTCCCATGTATCCTCCGTAAAACACCACCCTCGCTCATGCGTTGCTGTGCGGCTTGCTAATTGACTACGGTTTCTACTTGCCAGGAAGGGAACTGATCGTAGCTGCTTATCAACCTGATCCGCGAATCCCGGAGGGGAGATGCAACCGTGTAGAAAGCCATTTTATTAGCTAAAGTCGACGGTGTTGGCGGGATCGTCACAGCTAGCCAGAGATCAGCGTGAAGGCACTCAAGATAGCACCGACACTGGTTCAACTGTCGCGGTTGATTGCTGCGCCCGCATCATGCAGCAGCTGATTTTCATCCTTCACTTCTAACTGCATGGTCTGGTGTGTTCGAAAGTGCAACCTATGGACATTTGGGTCTTTGCTTTCTGATGATCTCTGTCGGAATATCTTGCTTCTGTTTCTGCAACCAGCCCGAAAGCAATAGCAAGCGAAAGTCAACAAAGTCCTCCATGTCCGAAGCCATTGGATTTTGTGACAGTTTATGGAGTAAGGAAGTCATGTGTGCCACGTGTGTTGGTGCAGTGCTCTTGCTCGTTCCAACAAGCACCTTCTGCACTTGGCTGCACGATACATACGTCATGTAAACAAACCCTGCTGAGGGTCTGGTGAGGAGCAATCACAGGACAACAAGAACAGAATACACTGATTTTTCTGCTTTGCGCAGATCCACCCTGACTTACTGCCCTGCGTGATTACACATTCATTTATTGCATCTACTGCAACAGCTTTTGCCATACGGCCAACAATGCCGAAAATCCGAGACATACGGAAATTTCTGAGAGAACAATGTTAACGAACGACAGGATTGTGCGGTCGCCGGGCCCTGTCTTGGACGAGAGTATGATCATCATTACAATCTCGTCGGTTGTCTTGTGGAGGAAAGGAAAGATGGTTTGAGGAAGGCTGGAAGGGTTTATGTAGGCACGCACCCACAATAGACACCAGTGGAAGAGTGGCCAGCTTGAATAACAAACAGAGCTTGTTGTCGTGCATTCGTTCAACGGTACCTTCAGGCTTCATCTTGATTCTTACTTCTTTGATCTCAGCAGCGCTATCCTCCACTGCATGCTGGGTTGTTCGGTCTGCCATAGTATCCAAGCAGTCAAAAAGCAGTATAACAATAGTCCCTCGCTGCGAGATACGTGGCAATAAATGAGGTGTTGTGCGCGGTGAGAACTATGCTTAACAACGTTAAATGACTGAGTTTTCTTGGACCTGGACGCGAGCACGACTACTAGAACCTGGCCGTGTAGTAGCACGAAAACAGGATCACCAGGGACCACCGTTTCCGGTATTTGTTATGGTAAATTTCCTTCCAAAGCTCGGGGCCGTCAAAATGTAGTGATGGTGAGCCGAGACAACTCTCGTTCCCTGTGCCATAGCTTCTCGAGGAAGTGGAATCGAGGTCATGGAGGCACGCGGTGAAGGTTGTGTTGCAAAATTGCTCTACTCGATCGAGGGTTAACATGGCATTGTTCCTTTTTGAGACTCCCTGTCGAGTTACTTCTTAAATCTTCTCGCCCACCTCCTTCTTCACCTTTGATTTGCCATCTTCCACCGCCGTGTCTAGTCCACTCCATCTCCTAGCAATGTGCTGTATCCCAAATGGCAAGCATCCAAGAACCTGTATGTACCTCGAGTACAGTGGCAACGCAACCTCTCCACTCTCGCCTCTCTCCACCAACTTGATGATCCTCTGTGCCATCTCTGCGGGTGTAACAAGTGGCCCAAAGAACTTGCTTGGCGCGTGTACGTGCTCAAACATCTTCGTACTCATTTGCCCAGGCTGAACCAGTATTGTCTTGATCTCTTTTGCGCCAGGTATGTGTGCAAGCTCGGCGCGTAGCGAGTGATGCAGCGCAAGGAGCGCAGCTTTCGAGGCGCAGTATGCAGAGAGATTCGCGGCGCCCAGGTGACCAAGGACGGATGAGACGGTAACGATGGTGCCACGGCCTTCGGCGAGCATGTGTGGAAGGAATGTACGGAGGGTTGTGAAGTGGGACATCGTATTTACGCGGAAGGTTTGCTCGACTTCGGCGGCGGTGGAGGCGAGGATCGATTTGGTGTGGACGATGCCGGCATTATTGATCAGGATTGTTGGAGGACCGAGCTGGGTATGTCAGTATTTGAATTCCATATTAACAACGCGTTCAGTAGCTGCTCACGTCCTTGACAATCTTCGCTGCCGCAGCTTCGACTTGCTGCGCATCTCCGACATCGCACTGGTAGTAGGCCACACCCTTCGCCTCTGCTTCATCCTTGTCTACGGTCTTCAGGTCCAAGACGGCGACGTTGGCGTTCCTCATCCCATACGTCTCCGCCAACAGTCCTCCCAGTCCGTCAACACCACCAGTGATGACGATGACCTCTTCACTCAGGTCGACTTCCCTATGCGCGCCGAATGCGATTCTGTCGCTGACAATTCCAAAGATGCCAATGGCGCTCATCGCAATGGACCAGCCAATCGCGATGCGCATCTCAGGCGCCTCATACTTGGTGTACTGCGCGCGCAGACACAGGACAACGATCCACGAGACAAATGGGTGGAAGACGGTGTAGCCTAGCACGTACCATATCAGGTCGATGGTGAGGTACTGGTGCCATGGCGCATCTGCCTTCGGTCTTTGGAACTTTTTAGGTGGCTGGAATGGGACCGTCTGGATGGCGGAAGACATTGTGGGTGCTTCGATGCAGGAGGGACGTCGATACTCCAGCATGATGTAACAACGTGATGAACGGGTGGGGCCTGAGCGGGCGCGTAATGTAGGCTGGTGATATTGGTATCTTCAGAAGATAAGATTACTATGGAGGATGCTCGAAGAGCCTGAGGAAGCAAAACTTCGTAAGAGACATGATTTCGGCTTTGACATATTCTAATTGCGCATTTGCTGAGGCGATGCTGAAGGATGCAGCGTTTCATTGATGTCGCGCCTCAGGTGTCGACCTTATCTTAGCGTGCTTTCCTTATCGAGTCCTCCAGCAGATCCCTGGAGCTGTCAACCGGGGCAACTCGTGCTCCGTTCCTGACTAAGATGCAGGCAAAATGCTACTGAGCAATCCAAAGGCACACGAGCATTTTAGCCAAACTTGTAGTTATCCAAAGATTTGGATCAATGCGGCTGAGGCTAGGTTGCGGCTTGTTCGAGCGGCGCAGTGCCTTGAAAGTGGTCTTGGATGCTGATCTCACCGGTGCACTGCAGCCCTATTGCATGACATGTGGTGAGATCACAGCCAGCAGGACTCCACATTGCGGGTGACACTGCAGTTGATTCCTACATGTTGATTTGATGAGTTTACGGCCCCTTTCTGTTCAGCTGTAGGCTGGGTGAAGCAAGACAAGGATGCCCTGAGCTCGGTGGTGACGGCCATAGGGCTGGTTCGTTACCTAGGAGCCCAACTCCCACTGCCAGCGAAAACAAACTCCACGGCCAATCGCGACCAGATGCACACACACCAGCACCAAAGCCTGTGACGACATGCCGTTGGTGATCTGACGCCCAGCAGAAATATCCAGCTGCTGAATTCAGCTTTCACCTAGCAATGTTCACATGTTCACGCGCCCTAGGGTTCATCATCTGAGCCGCTCCGCCTCACGACATAGCAGTGAGACAGTGCACCAAGCGCAGTTCAGGGACCGCGTCTGCCTAGTGTTCAAGACTACAAACACCCGCACTGGGGCTTTCGCCTCACTTGGACGCGCACGGCGCAAACCAGATCGCCCGCCATGGTCAAAGCTGATGCCACGCGAAATTACTATGCAGACCTGAAAGTCGCTGCCAACGCCAGCGAGAACGAGATCCGCAAAGCCTTCCGCACACTCGCCCTGCAATACCACCCCGACCGCAATCCAGGGCACGAGGCAGAGTTCGTCGTAAAGTTCCAAGAGATTCAGGCTGCTCACGAGGTTCTGTGTGATCCAACGCAGCGGCAGAAGTATGATAACGAGAGGAGGAAGTACCGCAGCCTGAACATACCCACGAATACGCCGAACACACCACGAGCTCGACCGCCTCCTCCACCGCGTAACACCTACACAACGACTACGCCCAGCGGCTCCTACTACCGCCCTCCGCCCCCAAAGCCCCAACCTCAGCCACAACGGCCGCCCCCACCACAGCACCACCAGACGTACAACAGCGGACAGGATAGATTCACAAACAAAAACTTTCGCCCGCCGCCGACAGCGCAACGCCCACATTCAGGGCCGAAAGACTCACAGGACCGCGCAAATGTCTTCACAGCATGGCAGAAGATGAAGAGTGGCGCCCGGCCTGAAGAGCCTCGCCCATATAACCCCACAAATCCAAACAATCCAAACAATCCAAATGGCACACCCTTTGGGCGCAGTCAGAGTACCAGGGTGCCGTCCTCGAAGACTGGCTTCAACCCAGGAACACCAGGGGCAGATGAAGGGCCGGCAAAGTCTGGAGGATATCGATCAAGCTACGCCCGCCCGACTGCGACACCTCCCACGCCTGCCGAATCAAGTTCGCCAAACGTCAATGTTCCGTACTCTGAGGGCAATCGTGTACGGACGCCGTACTACTCCAAGGCTGCAGGAATGCGCGAGGAGGGTATTGGAAGGTCCGCAAGCATGCGTAAGTCTCCGTCACACTCACACCAGCCTAGTCCTTCGAACGAAGCAGGCTCGTACTCAGACTCAGGGCGGAGGCAACAACGAAATTCGTATAGTGGTAGCTCGGGTAGAGGCCAGTTCCCGCAAATGTACCCAGACTCGAGCGACGAGTCGGAAGCTGAGGTCTTCCGAGCAAGTACAGGAAACAAGCAACGAGCACATGCACCACCAAAAGCCCCACACCCGCCGCCTCCCACTTGGAACCAGAATGCCTTTGCGACTCCACCACCAAAGCAAACTGCTCCTCCGCCTGGAAACGTGCCCAATAGTTTCAAGAGCAGGAGCGAGGAAAGCATCAACATGAAGTTCTCACCATCCGATTGGCATGGAAAGTTTCAAGGCAGTGCCGATTACTTCGCACCTAACGTGCAGCCAGGTGCGACTAACAAGGGTCGACAATCGCCTACACGAGGAAGAGCTGCATCTCAACGAACGACACCCACAAACCCACCGGCAGGAAACGCGTTTAAGACACAGTTCGGCTACATGCCTCCGCCGCCTCCAGGTCCGCCGCCTCCAGGTCCACCTCCTCAGGCCAAGTTTGCCCCTCCTCCCGAGGCTATGCCTCACACCGCAAAGTTCAGTCCAGAGGTTTGGAGTGAAACTTTCAAGGAGCCGAGCTGGGCGTTGCCGAACGAAGTCTCTGATCGCAAGAACTTGGAGACTGTAAAACGGCAGAAACCTCCACGCAAGCCATCCGTGCCAAAAGCGCAAGACCATACGGAGAAGTCCCGGCCAAAGTATCAGGCAACTGCAGAAGAGCCAACAGGCGAACCTGACGAGATGGACATCGACTCGGACACACCGCCGACCGCGAACGCCAGTACCTCCGCTACAAGACCGAAGACAGCACCATCGTCGCCAAGAAAAGACAAGGCAAGGAGGACAGGCTCTGTGCCTCCAAAGACTGCGCCTTCTCCTGCCACCGTTGGCACGCCTTCCGCTCCAGGTCTGAACGGCCTCTCAGGTATCGCGACCGTCGAGCCCTTCCTGCCTACCCAGAATGGTGGTCTCTCAGAACTCGATGCGCTCAAGGACACACTCCCATTCCAATCGCAGGCCTCATCCACACATCCCACGAAGCCAAACGCTGCCCGCACCCTTAAATTCCCTCCAGTCCCTGCTGCTCCCCACCCACCGCTGAAGCTCGACCAAGCCACCACCGACGCCTACTTCAGCCACATGGAAGGCTACGTCAGATCCTTCAACGCCTTCAGCAAAGGCATCACCGCGCACTTTGCCTCGCGAAGCGCCGAGCTAGAAGACCTCGACGACCGCTTCATCCACAACCGCGGCGAGACTACCAAGAAGCTTGGTTTTGCCAGCTACCTCAACAGGATGGAGGAAGACGAGGCTGTCATGACGATGTGGAAGATTGCGCAAGAGAGGCATATACAGGCGCTGGAGCAGTGTGAGGAGGTCAGGAACAAGACGATTAAGCTGTATCAGTGAGCGAAGGGAGTTGTTGTGCTGCGCTTGGCGGGTGTACTGACACTCTCACAGCATTGATGTGCCGGAGGAAGACTCGAGTCCGATGAAGGTCATGAGGGAGAGGCTTGTTGAGATTGTCGCCGGACTCTCGCTGAGACGGTCCATATCACTGTCGACGCCGAAGCCAACTTTGGTTCGATCAGCTGCGAACTCACGTGGATACCCTTATACGAAGAGAAATGTTAGTACATCGGCGTAGTGCGCGGATGATGCGGATGACGAGTTGGTTCTGTCGAAGCCTGAGCCATTAAAGCTGAGGAAGAAGCCGAAGAAACGCGCGCTTGGATAGATATCATGTTGTTTGGGCGTAGGATACCCGGATACATTGGATTTCCTTCATGCAAGCATATGGCATAGCATCCTGGCTTAGGCCAATTTGCGTGTTCGATAGATGATGGCATAGCGAATACAAATATTACACCATAAGGAACTGTGGTCGTAAGACGGAGAGCCTGGTGCGGAAGCAATCACGATCTTTGTACATGTTCGACCTTGCTGTGCTTTGACCATGGCATGAGTATAACCTCATCTAGTCCGTTCGAGCTTGGTTACGATATGCACGCGTGTAATGACAGCATGCAGCGTCAGTAACCAGGCTATCCTGCACCATCGCTCTCAAAGCACAGCCGTCTACTGTACTCCTCTCTTCGACACCAGTGATTCAGCAGCCGTGCCTGCATGCCTCACACCCGCCCACAACACACAACTGCCCAATCATGGTTCGTGCACCCTTCATGCCATCTCCACCAAAACTAAAGGTAGACCCGCAAATGTCGCGCCTCGCTGCAGTGCTTGGTGTGAGGTTCTGTTCCAGTTCTCACGCTTTGGAGCATCTCTGGACGTTCTTCATGTCAGTTTGTGAGTATTGTATGGTTCGGTGGAGAAGTCGTTTGCATCGCGTGTGTGTTGGGTCTGCTGGTACGTGGATGTTGGCGTTTCTGACGTGTTCTTGTCTGGAAAGTCGTGGAGGCGGATCGTCGGATGGGTATGTTTCGGGCTGGTAGAATAGTCTTGGGTAGGTCGGTGGGTGAAAGCTTGTTGGGTGTTGCTGTGTTGCAGTTGGTGATGGCGAAGGTATTGAGGTATTGAGGTGTTGGCGGTGGAAATGCGGCTGAGGCTTTTTCTCCCTGGACATTCTGTTTATGAGATCGACTAAGTAGCTTGGTCTTGGTATCTCTCATTCTCATCGTGCCGTTGTTGATGTTGCTTGTGTCTCTTGGCTGTCGTATTCAAAAATTGAATGTTTGTGTCTCTCCCTGTCGTCAGCTAGGCAGGGAGGAGTGAATTGAAGCAGTTGGGGAGGTGCAGGAGGTGGTCTGGTAGGTATGGTGGCGGGTTGGGAAGGCCGGAAGCAGGAGTGTGAGAAAGGCAAGTGTGGCAAGAGTATCTTTGAAGTAGTTGAGGTCAGCGAGCTAATTTACCTATATATATAGGCAGCACCAGAGAAGCTACAAAGAACGATTTTTCAAAATCTTGGATACACATGATGTTCCCGAGGGGCTTCTGGAGCATTGGGATGCTCGGAAAGTATAATTTTGAACAGGTTGGCGCGTGAACAGCTTCTCTGTTGCTGCGTTGTTGCAATTGAGAGACGGCGAAGGCAATTCGTCGGCGGTGAACGTCAAGGTAGAAGTCCTCGATGGGCGAGCAGCTTGTTTTTGCAGGTGTCCCATCTGGTGTGAACGGTGTAGCCTTACGATACGGGTGAGTGGTTGGCTCCAACTCACGCATTCATAGCATATGGCATGTTGCTCCTGACTCCAACCGTTTATGAGCAGACGGCCGGCTCTTCCAAGCAGCTATTATGTTGGAGTAACCCCCTTCTTCAACATCTCCTTCAACAGCGTGGTACAAGCAGTGACCCTTTGTAACCTTCTCTTTTACTGACTTAGCGTGCGCATATCGGTAAGCTCGTAGGCCTCCCTGCTATGCAACATCGGTGAGCTAGGGGCCTCGGTAGAACAAAAGCGAGGTCGATGAAGCCAGCATGCATCCTATGTGGATGGGTGACATCTTTGGTGTCACTCCTCATCCGTCTGACTCTCATCTCGCCTCGGGGCCAATCACAACTATATGATAACAGCCGTCGTCGCACGATCCACAACAGCAGTCCCTCTATTTCCGAGGGCATCATAAAAGCAACAGCAACCTCAGACTGCACCGTTTCCAATGCCGTGTTTCCCCTACACTCCTCTGAAACAGATTGAGGGTGCTGTGCCCCTCTCCGCCGGTGCTTGTGCCTCAAAGCAGACATTTTGGCACATCCTGTCCCTCCGCAAAACCCAACACATCTCCCACCCAGCGCTGAGGTAAGTTTTGTTGCATTGTCTGATTCCGTAACGGCCGGATGTTGTTGCTATAAAGAAACAGGGCGTAGGACGATCGGAGAGTCCACTGCCACGCGTTGGGTGGATCTCTGATCGACAGCTACTCCCCTTCATTTGGCCCTTCCCGATGTTCTCGAACGCACACTACACAGGCATCGAATGCGACGTGCAGCGTCTGACCTTGGTGTGTAGATCAGGCTGTACACATCAGTACAGAGGTATCGACCTTTCAGAAGCACTTACGAAAGATCGAAGTGGAGTCGAGAGTCTCTTTGGTTGTCTCCTGTTTCATTGGACGTTGACGCCCAAACATCCGTAACTCTTACGACTGACCAATAGACCTGCCTCATTAAGGTCAGTCAAAAGGTCAATGCCAAAAAATTAGCGGCAGTTGCAGTCGCCGAGATGTCAAGTGCGGTAGTCGCGGGAGTGTCAACGACTCGCCTGACAGCCTTGAGACGTGACGCATGTCGCCCGATTGGGTTCTCAATTTCACCGGTGCAGCCATTTTGTGCGTGTAACGCTCGCTGAGTCGCGGGTGTTTTCGTAGGCCTCCCTTCCGGACGGGGAGACGGGAGGATGCAGGTCGCTCAGTAGGTTGCCGTCGCGCCGGCCTTGGTTTTGCAAACCATGTTGGCGCGGTGAAGGGGTGCTTGTAAGCAGCGGCATTAACGCGCGTAATATAAGGCCGGCTCACGGATGCCAAGCGTGGAGAAGACGAACTGTATTGGAGAGGTCAAGGTTTCAACGGCGCGGCCACCCCACGCACCATCTCTTTCAACCTTCAGGCCAACGTGGACCCGTTGTGCAGATCAAGCCACTGCCCAAGTTTGGTACACTTGTGTTAGTAACATTCAGTGGCAGAGCTGCGAGATGACACCATGCCGTCTCCCAGCTGTTCCTGTCTTCAACCACTTAGGGTCCTGGTAAGACCTTGCTGCCCGTTACTCGCTACGGCGTTTTTCTTACACACAAACTCTGTAGTCAATGCTTCCTGTAGGCCGCCAGGACACGCCATTACACCCGCACGTTTTCTCGGAAGTGGGTTGGCTTTCAGCTAGCCCAAATTTTGGAAGTGCTCGACCACACTTGCTTTCCCGGCTAAGCAAATCATCGCATCCTCGATGCATGTCACCTGGACTAGAGCCCATCTATGCGGTTTGGCTTTGCATCATGCTTCGGGTACCTGGTTCGCACTGACCTCTAACTGCTACTTTGCATACATAGTAGACGGACCGACGCGCAGCTATGTATGCCTCCGATCACCATCTCAGCTACTCACTGTTGAGCTATCAATACCACCCAGTGACATTCTTACGCCACTACAGTCTATACTGATCTATTTCACCACTCTTGTCGTCAGTCTCCTTTACAAGTTTGCAACAACAACGTCTTTTCGATGTGCGACTACACCCAAGTCCAATACAAATGCAACCATGTACGATACGTGGTTCGAGCCTGGTGTACAAAATACCAAGAGACGCACAAGAGATGCCCTGCAAATGTCATTGCAATGTAAGAACCCTCAAGGTACCTGAATGAGATGATACTGACAGCAACCCAGAGAATACCGACTGGACGAAGATTGCGGTTTGTTCACAAGATACCCTGATGGCATAATATCAATCTAATATCGATCCTAGGTGACTGCAGAACCTCCCCGACCAAGTCACGATTCCGCTAGTCGAACAATTCTTCGATCTCTTTTTCACGGTCTGGTTCTATTACCAAGCAAGGCGCATACGGGACGGCGGAAAGCTGCAGAATACCCATTTTGAGATTGTTTCCACTTGGACATTTTTGGTCAACGTATCACCAGAGCTATGTTTGCTCGTTTTCACGCATATACTATCAGCCTTCGCAGGCGCACCAGCAGAGTTTTTTTTTTGGGAGTAGCTGCGCGACACTTCTGTTAGAACACTTCGAAAACAACCATCGAATCTTTCCTACAACCCTCAACGATATTTTATCAGGATGCCAACAACAAATGAAAGGCGTTGCCGTACTTCAGCATCAATTCTTAAACTTCAGACTGTCGTTGCACTAAAGTCTGCCGCAAACAAACGGCACAGGGGACGGTGTGACACAAGTTTAATGTCCGTCGGGGTGAGCTCCGATCGTTACGCACGCACATCACTGCCACTGACGTAGTGCAAACATTCAAAGGTACGGAATACGCATACCAGCATCTGGCTGCACTCGCGTCTTGCATCATCCTCACTACTTCGCTGCTCATAATCGACCTTCTGTGGAATCACTTGCACCGTCGTTATGGTCTGCACACGCACGGCTGATCAACTGTAACCTTCACACCCCAACACGGAGAAACGCGACCGATGACCCTCGCCGCTCAACACAAAACGCTCAATCTGAGAGTCGAACCTCGGATGCTCCAGCTGTTTCGGATAGCAAAAGCTGGCGGGACAAATAATGCTCCCATCGTACGATAAAGAGTATAATGTGCTCGAACCGCGGCTCAGTGATCGGTCCATCTTGTGCAAAGTATTTGCCTCATTCTATAGTCGTTTCTTACGTAGGTGATACAAGCTCCCGCAAATCGGCAGATGTGTTGTGTTACTATGCTCGCAGGGCGAACATCCAGACCCCGGGAATACTGTGATATAAGGAGCTCATATTACGAGGTTGCTCAGCCAATCAGACTTGTAATCGGCCAATGCACGTACTACATGACATACTGACATACGTAGTTACGAGAGATGAAGGTCGAACTACTGTTTCTCTTCACGACGCACACCTTCTCGTTAGAAATGCGGAACACATCATCAGCACACTCACTAATGCATCTGCCGGATGATTACCTCTTCAGAGGCTGACCGCGATTAGCGGTATCAACATCCTGGCATGCAGTGATGGTGTTGTGGCAGGTGCATACAGATCCAGTGCCGTGACCCAAATCCTGGTTAGCAGATCCTGCGGGCTTCCACATGGTCCGTAACGAACGACCCCGATTAATCAAACTGGCCGTTGGTCGCTCTTATCGCAACTGGGGGTGGTGTCACAAAGAAGCGCCTTAGAATTCCAAGCGAAGCTTTGGCTTGAGCGTACCGCTTGTCGGCTTCACTGTTGCCCGCAAACTATTTCAAAGGGCTTCTAACTCATCAAGACTATGCCACTAGCGTCCACTGAACGCGCAGTTATGAGCTCCGCGGAGCAGATATACAATCAACCACATTCAGCAAGGCGGACGGACTCGGGCTCCACCTCGCATCCAACCGGCCAACGCCTCATCCTCTCAAAGTGGCATCGTGGACGGACGCCCTCCTAGCGAATGGCGACTCGATCCTGAAGGACCTTGAGCGTTAGGTGCAATCTCACTGCCGTACACATCCTAGCCCCACTATCATGCATCTACACTGCTCACTAGCTTTGTAGGGATTGTGGTCCTGTCCACCAAATTCCGAGAGACTGAATCTTCCGGTGACAGAGCCGTTGCCGAAACTTCAGTTTGACGGGAACTGACCGCAAACTGGGCCCTGTTTCAAGTGCAGCATCCGTTTCTCCGTGCCTTCATTTATCATACGAGGTGTTGGTCCTGGCGCCGCAACATTCAACGTGCCGTTATGGAGCAAGTCCATGACGAACCTGCAGAAAACAAGGCGGGCAGTCAGCACCGATCGCGCCCCACGATCCCTGACCTCACATACTCAGCGATCGGATGGAAGTTGAGTCTCCACACTGGCACAGTCTATATGCACATAAAGACTAAGAGGCAGTGGTGCAGGGCTCCTGGCTTCACAATTGTTCCAAATGGTGCTCGCTTAGTTGCGATCGTGTAATGAGGCCCCAATAGCTCAGTCGAACATGGCAAGCATACTGTACACTTGGTCAAAACGATGTTGCCCTGGATTCTGGTAGATCTCAATGTTCAAGCCTCAAGGGTCAGCCTTGAAAGGATTGATGGTCGTCTTACAGACTCGGGGCAAAGGTGCGAGCCAATCGTTAGCCTTGTCGAGGCCCGCACCAAACCTGCCCTCGTCAAAGTAAACCCTACTTTCCGACTTCCTGCAATCTGGACCGGTATTTCCACCCAGAGCCACCGAACAAATTGATCGAGGAGCGCATTGATTGTCGCCAAAAAGCCACCTGCATCGGCAAGTTAACTACAAGCTGCTGGTGCTACCATCGACACATGCAGGATCACGAACGGTCGACTTTAGTGCTCGACGTTACTGAAACGAGCGACAGGGCACCACAGAGGACGATCTGATTCATGCCTTGGGTACCGGCGTTTTGGCTCGCGGGAGCGGGCCGAGTTCTGACAGAAAGCCCCGTTTCACTCGCAGGACGCAGGCAGTCGGCCCTACTGAATCAAGCCTTCACGTTCGTGTTCAGAAACTTCCTCCGTTGCATATATCACATCATCTCCTTTGTTCCTCGAAGTTCAGAGGGAAGATCAAACAAGGCCTCGATATCGCTCGACTGCCGGTCATAGCCAAGACACAGGGTTGTCTTCCATGCTGACCAAGAGCTGAGCAAGCGCAGGCGCAATTCAGGCCTGATACTTCACTCTATCACAAACCTTCGTCGACATTACTAACACCAAAGTTCGTAGGGGTTTCACGCCAAACTCACCACATGAGCCCACTTCTGGTCCTCGATGCTGTCTAGACAAACCTACCCTGCCTTGGCTTAGGCCATTTCTAGCCAACAAAGTTGCATGGTCACCCGCCTTGTGCTCAACTTAACCGTTGCGAAGAAACGGAGCGAAATCCGTCCACATGTCCTGCGAACCCGTTTACGACGATCACCAAAGAACGAGCCTAGTTGTTGGACTGAAACGCGCGTCGAACTTATCACGCGTGGCATGCATACGAACGCTCAGTGCAGATGTAATATTGGAAACTTATCAAGTGGGTTTTCTTAGACGCATGTTTAACGCGTCGATTGATGTACACGCTGCACTTACAAGGTCCAGGCATCCCTACGGAAATCTTCACTTCTCGCGTCTTCTCCGCAGCACTTACGTACTCACAAAGTAGCCGACACCAGTTCTTGCTGTGTTCTTCGCATCCATTGAACCGACGACAATGCCGCGACGGTCCTTCTCCGGTGGCTGTCGACCAGCATCCATCTTCCCCGCGAAGCGCAACGTCTCATCCTTAGCGCTCGGGAGCCGACCAGATTTGCCCGCCTGACGACTCACGAGTCTTTCACCTCACGATACGGAACCTTCGGGGTAGATAAGTCGACGAGGATACCTTGGAGAGCCAGTGCGCAGTGATCAGGCGTTCGAAGTGAATGGTCTGACTCTGTGCTGTGGCCCGAGTAGACAGTGATAGCGGGTGTGAAAGTTACGGCATTGCTGAACGCACCCTGAACGGAGAGCTCGTCGCAGTTCTTTCTCAAGGTAGGCGGTGAGAACCTGGACAACGCTCAAGCAACCTTCAGCATGCTGCCTCAGTTTGGTCAGAGGTAAAGAGGTTGCCAGATAAGACTGCGGTAATGGGCGGAAAGCTCCAGCGCCGAATGCATGAACGTGTCATCAGGTTTAAGCACGACGCAAGCAAGGACTCTTGTTGGATCATAGCAAAGTGGAGGGTGTACAACCTTGAAGAGCACCATCCTAGCACGGCATTTGGCCGAGATGTTGCAGTTGCTGTTCGAGGGGTCGTGCGTACCATATGCAAGCACATGTCAGAGTAACGGCATGAAGCAAACGAAGTTGTGTAGGAAGGATTCTTACTATGCAACCTGCGCGACACAACTTAGCTGAGCTATGATTCGGCACGAAAGTACCGCCAGCCAATGGGAGACCAGCAGGCCAATGGCACAGCCGGTGGCTCAGATGGCAGTACTGATGAGGATGTTGGCAACTGCTACCACACGCCAATACATAGCTCTACTCTGTATCACAAGGTTATCCGGTATGCTGATCGCAAACTTTGTCAAACTCGCATTCGCACTCGATCATTCTTATATATGACCCAATCATATTATTGCTGTGATGGTATTATTTGATTGGCTCTATCTCAAAGTGTAAGCGAAAATAGGAACAGGAAATTGCGGCGTTCAGCGTTCGAGGAATTGCATCATTCCCATTTCAGCACGCCAAAAATGTCATACCTTGAAGACATACCACAACCTGAGAATGGGTACTATGTCCTCGTCACCGGTTCCAACAGGTAAAGCTACTCTATTTCCCCGCACGTGCCTTGATTGACATATCTACAGTGGCCTGGGACTTGGCATATGCACACGAATAATCGATGAGTTCCTACAGACACGCCCGCAAATAGAATCCCTCGTCCTCATCATTACCACCCGAGACAAGAAGAAAGGCGACGCCACGATCGAGACGGTCGAAGCACATCTACGCAAGGTCTGCCGCCAGCATGAACGAACATTACCGGGCGTCACGCAGCTGCTACAGGGGCGCATACACTTTAGGCAGGAGCGATTGGACCTCTTGAGCCTTGTCTCGGTGCAGAAGCTTAGCAAGAAGTTGCGCGAGACAACGCCCAAGCTCGACGTCGTCATCTGCAATGCGGGTATTGGCGGCTGGACAGGCTTAAACTGGCCTCTGGCGGTCTGGAGCTTCCTCCGACGGTGGAGGATGGCTGCCAGTTGGCCCACCTACAAGATATCGGGCAAAGGATGGGTCGCCAGACCACAACTACCGGCCAAAGATGGGCAGCCACATGAGGAGCCTGCGCTGGGCGAGGTCTTCTGCGCCAATTTCTTCGGTCACTACCTGCTGGGCCACTACCTTGCACCGCTGCTCGCACGACACCCCAGGAGTCAAGGTACGAGAGGCAGATTGATCTGGACAAGCAGTCTGGAAGCATATGCGCATACTCTGAACATCAACGACCTCCAAGGCATTACTTCTGAAGACGCAGCATACGAGTCGTCGAAGCGATTGACAGACGTCATGGGTATCACATCAAGACTACCAGCCACGTCCAATGCCGTGGACCAGTACCTCGACTTACCCGACCAATCCGCTGATACTACGAAGCCTCTGATCTACGTCACGCATCCCGGTATTACCGCGACCACCATCTTCACCCTTCCGCTCATCCTCGAATACGCCATGGTTATCGCCTTCTACGTCGCCCGCTGGCTCGGCAGCCAATGGCATCCCATTACCCTCGAGAAAGGCGCTGTCGCCATGGTCTGGCTTGCACTTGCCAAGCAGAGCACACTTGATACTATGGAGGAGAAGGAAGGTGTGGGCAAGTGGGGCAGCGCAACGGACTTCTGGGGTCAAGAGCGCGTTGAGCGGACAGAGGTGTCTGGCTGGGGCTGGGGAGGCAGGTTGGGAGAGTACAAGAGGAAGGGGAGAGACCCGTTTGCGAAGGACCTTACGAAAGAGGAGAGGGAGAAGTTTGAGGAGACGGGGAAGAGGTGCTGGGAGGAGATGGAGGCGCTGCGATGTGAGTGGGAGGACAGGCTGAGGCAAGCTGGCATTGCGGTCGAGATGGAATAAGCATGGATTTGAGACTACCATCACGTTGTACGATCATGTAAAACAGGCGTATTCGCGCCTCAGTAGCACATTGTAATAATCGCACTTTCTTCTTCATGACCCACATAACAAGCAACCGTATCAACCGTATCAATCCATCATCCTCAGCCCACTTCCAACCCTCCATCCCACTCTGCAAATCCGAAGACGTTGAGCAAGTTTCTGCACCGTTGAACACGATAAGCCCTTGCGGCTGTTTCACAATACGATGCTCAGGTCTGGCCCCGAGTTTGGCCTCACATCCAGCCTGCGGCAGTCGAATTCTCTCGTCGACTTTTGGCGTCGGCTTTTGGCGTCAACTTTTGATGAGCTATGATGTAACATCATGCATGGCTAGTGTAGTGAACCGCAGTTCAGAGAGGTTCGGCCATCATCCTTTGAGTGCACGAGGTGGATGCCCAAATTGAGTCTGGAGTAGGAGTGAAAACCACTTTGACCTCGATTCGAACTATAGCATCAGCAACGTGTAGGTTTCACCAACGCAGGGTCGGTGGGAGTACACGTCTAACAGCAGGGACAAGAACGTGCAAGGTTGTACCTGCCACTCAAACAACAGCTCTACCCCCTCATCCTTTACAATTGTACACGACAGATCATCGATAGCTGCTTATCGGCGAAACAATGGATCAGGTATTGGCCTCAGACTCACATAGGACATTTAACCAATCAATCAATGGATTGGGCATCTCTGCGTGACAGCCTTCTAGAAGGCAACTCCCAAGGGTTGAACCATCGCCACCGTCGAACCTCCCTTGCATATGGCACGGCGCTACGGCGGTAGCTCGTGGAGTTGTGGTTCGCGCCCGCTCTCACCGTTCTGACGCCGTTGCCTCCACCACTGTGCTTTTCCCACGCTCTTGAGAACAAATGAGTGCGCCAAGCGAGCGTGGCTTCATCACACATGCTTTTCCCGTGGTGGTGAATTATCGTCGATGCAGGGCGGTCCTGCACAGATCCCGGGACAGCACATTGGGGTCTACGATCTAATGCACTGATCCGCAGCTAGCACGCCCTGCAGCCAATTGCAGAAGCTGGGGAATGCAAGCCGTTGCAGCGGGATAGCGCCTTCGCCTTCTAGTGATGCATGGCCCTGAGCAAAGGGACCGACATTTGCAGGCGCGCTCCACAAACAACATGCAGCTGCTGCCCGAGGCACATTGTTCCTTCCTGTCTCACTTCCCCTCTCGCTGCGCGCTCATATTTGGGACGTTTGCTTCCCTGCGCCAGAACGGCCGCAGTCGTCAAGACCCTATCCGCTCTGGTTGGGTGCTCTATTCCATTGCTCCTCCGGTGACGTGCATTCCACCGCCTTTTGGAGCTTCACCAGCCCCCAGCCAACCAATCTCTGCTTTTTGCGCTCATTCGACACCGCAACGATTGAGACATGGCACCACAGGTTGACCCTCTATCGAGCGACTTCCCTCCCGTGTTTGCGCGCAACGATATCTGAATCGTCTTCACGATCACAAGAACATTACTCAAACACCGCGACAGACCGTTCCGGTTCACGTTACACTAGACACCTACCCCGTTCGATGACGTTGCGCTGGACCTTCTGCGCTTTACAACGCTCTTCAGCAGTTGCGTAACTCAAGTATACAAACCAAAAGAGGGGGAGCATCTCATTGTGGAGCCAGGGTTGTTGGTTTAGAGTCCTTTGTTCGCATCTTTGACATTGTGCAAAACAAATGAGTGGCTCGCAAACCCATATATCCAGTCCCTGCGCACGACCCGCACCCACACACTCAGACATTATTGGTACCGACCATAATAACTATCACTACGATTAGGACGGCGAAATGGCAACCCCGCCTTCGTCGCGAGGGTCTTCCTTGGATCATACCTTCAGGCTTGCTACGCCCGAACCGAAACCAACTTTCAACCGGTCAGCAACCTCCGTGAGCGTGCCCAAGTCAGAGTACCTGCGGCATGCGCTCCAGGCGCGGCGAGCTCAAAACACACCCACGCCAGCGCCAATCGATACTCTTACCCCACGTCGCGCAGCACCGATACCCTCGGTGTTACACACACCAGCTGCGTCGCCAGACGCATTTGACGAGTTCGACCTCCCAGAAGAACTAATGACACCAGAATCTCCTATTCGCAGGCGGCGCGCGAATGAGAAAGATGATACACCACCTCGCGGCAAGACGAATCTGGAGCTAAGTGCTGAGGTTGAGAAGCTAAGGGAAGAGCTGATCAAGCAGAACATTCGAGTGGAATTGCTCAAGAAGAACAACCATGAGCTGCAAGCCAAGTGGGTGCAAGCCAGAGAAGAGGCAGATGTGCTTAAGCCGCTGGAAGAGGAGAACCACGAATTGCGTGCCGAGAACAGGAGGCTGACAGAGAAGCTGGTTAGCCACCAACATGATATAGAACAGCTCGACGAGTTGAACCAAGAACTTGACAAACTGTATTTCGAAAGGAAGGCAGTGGAAGAAGCGAACGAAGCTCTGAAAGAGGAAGTGGTGAACCTTACCAATGTCAACAAGGAGGCTGTCACAAATATGCAAGAAACGGAGGAGGCTTTGAACGAAGCTGTGGAGATGATCACAAATCTGGAGAGCGAGAAGCTGCATCTTAAGGAGGAAATCAACGATCTCAAAGCGAGAGTCGCTGCGATAGAATCGAGGCAGGTCGACGGCACCGCCACGTACCCTCAGCGTGTCTACAGCATCGACGAACAGCGCCCCGCGACCAGCTACGATGACTCGGATTACTATAGCCAGCCAGCGACGCCTCGCGCAGGTGTTGACAGAGACGCGCATTCTATTCGCTCAGAAACGTCGGTTCGTTCGAAGCGGTTTATCGAGCTGACCAAAGAGCGGACATGTTCAGCGCGTGACTTGTCGAAGCGGATGTCAGATGCTTCTTTGAGAGCGACAAGTATGATCTCCACTGTACAAGTACCTGAGATTCCACAAATACCTGAAGAACATGCGGAAGTCACACCTCGAACCGTCGATGAGCGTTTCAGAGAGCGAAGGTATCGTGAAGAGCCCGGTGTCGAGCAAGTCATCGCCAGGTCAGGTGCAGATTTGCGTCGGCCTGCGACAGTCGCTCCAGTGCAAACGCACCAACCTTCCGGGATTCGCAGCCTGTATCGACTGGATCAGATGCAACGCTCAAGCACATCGCGACCCTTATCGACCCACACTCCCACTTCGAGTAGAAGCTCAAAGCCTCGAACCCGCACACACTCCGTTGCCGAACCTTCTCCAGCACCACCGCCGCGTATGAGCAGCCGTCATGCACACACCACTAGCGATGATCGTCTACGACCTCAACCATCTGATGGCACCCTCGAATCGAACACAACAAATGGCACCCTTATAGGGTCAGAAGAACAAGAGCTAGAGCAAGTACTAACCACATGGACTTCAGCAAGCCCTCGTACTTCAACGGTTTCGTTACTAACATCCCCTCGTATAGATCGACCAGACAGCGAACGCTGGTGGAAAGACACGGAAAACGTGAGACCGCTGCGGACGAGAGCGACGACGAGGACACTAAGGGCAGATTTCTCCTCAGACGAAGGAGACTCGGGTTCAAAAATCTTCGCCATTAGGGCAGACGGAGTCAGGACAAATCCTACGACGCCTGGGACGGAGAAGCCAGAGAAGGATTTCCATTTGAGTCCTCGAGAGCAATGAGGAGTAGTTAAGAGGAAAACCATCACGAAACTCGAAGGGAGTATACGGAGACGGCATCACGAATCGGGTTGAAAAAGTATAATGACTGTACGTTTCATGTTTTCCTTTGTATAATGAGCGGCTTCAGCATGGCGTTTCCTTTTGGGGTTGTTCCGCAGCGAGTCATGACATGGTCCACCACTTGGACAGCGAAGCTTTTTGGCTTTCACGCGCCGGCGCTGCGCTTTTTGGACCTGCTGGCATGCAGAGTGTATCATCAGACTTGTTGCAATATCTTTTCGCAGTGAATTGGTGAAAGTCCTCGCACGTGATGATCTCGGAGGTGCCACGTTTACTCCGCATTCCGCTCCACCCCAACCACGGTTCCGTCATCGCTTCCCTCCCAACGCCCACGTCCTTCCTCTCTTTGTAGCGCTCAAGCTTCACCCAAGACACTATGCGACCGCAATAATCTCGACCACCGCTACGCTTGTGTCTGCACCTCCCCTTGACACGATGATATCCTCAGGGTTTACAAACGCACCTGTCTCGCAATTCCTCGTCTTCGGAACCGTCATCGGCGCTCTCGTCGCTACCATCACCGACACAAGATACTACCTGCCTGTTGCTGTTGTACCGCACATTTGGGGCTATGGACAGCTATGGCGGTTTGTGACGTGGGGCTGGGTGTTTACGAATAGCACCGAGGTGCTGTTTGGCGTGTTGGCTTTCTACCAGCTGAGGGTCGTGGAAAGGCTGTGGGGGAGCCGGAAGTTTCTTGTACGTATACATACTCTTGAGCTGGCAACCTGGGGAATCACGTGCTAACATACACAAACAGTCCTTTCTCGTCGCAACCCTCCCATACACAACCCTTCTCCCCCCGATCCTCCTAACCTTCGTCCTCCGCCCCCTCACGTTCGGATATATAAACTACCTGCCCTCTGGTCCGACCAGTATCCTCTTCGCCCTCCTCGCAAACTACTACGCCGCTGTCCCATACACATACAAATACCGCATCGCCCCTTCTTCCCCTTCCTCCACCGCCCCCACCACAGCACAACAAGCTACCAGCATCTGGTCACGCAGCATCACGATCACGAGCAAAGCGGCGTCCTACCTCCCGCCCTTCCAACTCGCGCTCTCCCAGTTCCCCGGCTCTTTGCTCGCGGCTGCCGTGGGCTGGGCGGTCGGGACAGCATATCGTCGCGACTTGCTGCCTGGAGCGTCCGGGTGGAGGGTGCCGGGGTGGATGGTTGGGCAGGAAGAGGGCGACAAGGGTGGGTTCGAGGGGCTGAGACAGAGACTGGAGAGTGAGAGGGGGGACGGGGCGAGTACGGGGATCCTGGCGGGGGAGACGGGCGGGGCGAGGCAGAGGAGGACGTTGGGAGAGATGATTGGGGGGCAGTTTGGGGCCAGGGGGTAGGCAATGAGGTCATCAGATGGAAGGCGGACCGATTCTTGGCGAGGAAATGAAGGATAACAGCAATCAAACACGCACGAGCTCTGTATTTCAACGCATATTCACCGCCGTCCCGCACTATCATGAGTCTTGCCAAGGCACTCCAGAATCTTGAGTCTGTTGGAAAACCACAGAGCCACCGGCTGTAATTGAAATCTCCACAAAGCTCAAGATCCCGCAACTGTTCTATCTAACGTCTAGCAGGTCGATATCCTAGTCACAATCACAATGAGATGCACACCGACCACAGTCAGGGTGCCCCATCGTTGCACTACAATCGCTCTCGCCGCATCTATGATTCAACAGCTTAGTGGGGTTTCGAGTTGCCATGTCTGTAGGAGGAAATCGTGTTGCTTTTGGAGGGATACCAGACGGTGTCAGGTGTTGCGCGGACGCTGGCGCATCGAGAGCTTACAGTTTCGGAACGTCACTTGCAGGCTGACGCTTCCAGGCAAGAATGGGAGTTTGGAAAAATTGGAAACAGGTGGATAGGGGAGATTGCATCGATCTTATACCTACGTGTATCGAAGGATTGCATGATCCCGCTTGTGACAAGGCGAATCAAGTGTAGGTCATACACCCTCAGCCTTTTATCTAGGGCTCACCTCTAACTTGATGTGGCATGCGCATGTTGTTCGCTAAGAGTGGGGGAGCCAGCGATGGCTGTGGTTGCGAACTGACCGTACGGACCAGAAGTCTGGCTAACCGCAGGCTTCGTCCTTCACGCAGTCCGCTCATGCGCCTGAGATCTCTTTGTACATCCACTCCCCGTCTTCCTCAGCTCCGACGAACAAACACATCTCCACTCCCTCCACCCCAACAACCGGCAAGACCTCAGCCTGCGCAACACCCATCCCCCACATCAGCAGCCTAACGCCCAGATTCTCCGTGGGTCCATTGACAAACGCTTTCTCCCCCTTCGCCTCCACAAACGTCACCCCCAAATCATCCAGCACATCACTCGGCCCTAGTTCTTCTCCCTGGCCCTCCAGCACCAAGAAGTCGTCAAGGTTTTCGTCTAGGAACGTGTATGTTTCCGCGTCTTCGATGCCGTCTTCCACCCTCGGTAGGGCGTGTGTAGAAGTCAGGGATGTGAGGAGTGTGGAATTCTCGCCGCCAGCATTATCGGTGTTGGTGAGGATCAGAGCGGCATAAACTACAAGTAGAATTGTCCAGACCGTTCGCTCAATTTGCGGATTGTTGAGGCGGTGCTTGTTGAGGTGGTGCTTGTTGAGTCCGGCTGAGAATTTGGTGAAGGCGGCGGGGTATTCGGCGCGCAGGGCGGCGAGGCCGTTGGAGATGGTTAGAAGTGCTGAGCGCTGTGGCAGTGGAGTGTTGGCGGGGATAAGGAGACTGTCGATGGCGGATTGGAGTTCGCTGCGTACGGCGTGGATGATGCGTGCTTGGCCGTCGCGGTAGGATTTTGCGAAGCGCTGCTTGATGTTCTGAGGCTCTGTGGCAAAGATGAGCGGGAGGGCGGAGCTCCGCTGTGTAAGGGCCTGGTGGAGAAGGACTAGGACTTGTAACGTGATTCTCTCTCCTGGCCTTTCGACATCGATGTCGTCCAGACTTATGTCGAGGGAAAGGACTGTCTGGATGAAGAAGAAGTGTACGATATATGGCGGCACACCGCGGAAGTACGGGACATGGTTCTTATACCGCCCAAATGGATGGCCCTTGGCACGGAGGAAGTCTTGCTCTTTGTTCGGGTCCGTCTGCAGGAATGATGTATCCATGCCAAATGGCACACTTTCTGGCTTCATCAGCCCCATCTGCGTGGCATACTGTACAAGTTCAGGTGGGAAGGCGAGTTTTAGAGCGAATTGTTCGATGGGGTTGTCGGCGAGACAGAAACCGTATCCGAGTAGCAGCTCATCGTTTTGTTTCGGTGCGTAGTTGTTGAACAGCTCTTCGTTGGCAGTAAAGCTGGAACTGTTGAGGCAGCGGAGGGTAAAGGATTGGTGCGGTTTGAAGTCCCATTCTACTTTGGCGGTGACGGAGTGGTTGAGGATGTCGACAACTGGGAAGAGGATAGGGACGGTCTCGATCTCTGGTAGGATATGTGTTGAGATGAATGCTCGGGATGTGAATATGGTGGCGGCCCAGAGGAGTGATTCACTGGTGACTGTTAGTGTGATACTTACCAACCAAGTCTATCGTCCTGTGGAAAAGGTGGTGCAAACAGGCTATCCATGAAAGCCTGCCACTTCGGACCAGTGGATCGGGTTTGCTGATTCGAGGTGGCCTTCAGTATACTTGACTCGATAGTAAGATGCTTTAATGTCTGTCTGAGTGACTGGGCGCGATCGTGCTGGGGTTGGGAGCCTCGTCGCTGCGAATACTTACAAATCTACTTCATCAGCCCACGCAACACCGACCTCTTTCAAGACGTTGACGGCGTGCTCCCACTGCTTTTGATAGTCTACCTTCCTTTCTTTGAGAGCAGGCGCTAGGCTAGTGCCAGCAAGGAAAGCCACATCCTCTTCATCGAACCACAAAGGCGTGGTCATACTCGCCACTCCAGGCAGACATGCGATATAGTAGTGCCATGGCGAGTCCTTGCCTTGGTTGCGCTGTTCAATCAAGAGCAGATACGTTAGTATGTGGTCTGGTATCTTGCCACGACACTGCTGTAGGGGGCTCGTAATTGGTAACACCTCTTTCCGATCAGGGTCTAGGTTGAGGCTCGAAAGCGTCAGCTTCAAAGGACAAGTCACCACCTCTGGTGTTGTTGGCCTAAGCGCTCGCATGTGATGGCCTTGAGACTCGCTGTAGACAATCTGAATATCCGGACTCAGCCAGCCTCCATTCTGGGTGAACCAGGATAAGAGCTCTTCGACCAACGGATGTTTGCCGGAACTGTGACTCGAGTTTGATGATGCATCAATGCCACCTTCGGATTGGCGCTCGTCTGATGGCATGATAACTTGACTTGAGGCTCTAGGGCTGCTGACGAGAGCCTCTATCACAGCCAATTCGGCCGCAGTGGTAATCCAAACCGGGTTACGATTCGTCACAATCGTACATGCAATCGCTTGGGCGAGTAACCGATTTGCTGGACCAGCTCACAAGTTCACGAGCAGATCGGCCTCGGCGCAAAATTTGACGCAGTGCACGGAGAGCGGATGACAGCGGGTACCGATCGGACGAACAGCCAGGGCGAGAACAGGGTCAGAAACGATTTTGCAGAGGTTGCGAGAGAACGGTGATGCAAAAACGACGCAGCAATCGGCTGATGCTTGTGTGGTGCGGGCGCTTTGGCGAGCGGTGAGGGGTGGTGAACGTTGGTTTTTTTCATGCGGCCATCTTTGGTGTTCGTCTGTCTAGTTCAAGCCAATGCGACATCGAGCCTTGTTCAAGCTTTCCATGCATCAACGAAATCCTTCTTGGATCTTTCAAATGCTTCATCAAAGCTGGGGTTCCATGGTCCAAGCATGTTTATCGCGCCCGGAGTTCAGGATAACGCAGCTCGCTTGAGCTTATCGTGACACGGCTGGCGGCCAATAAGGTTCTTAAGGTTACGTATACGATCAATATACGCGTGCTCCAGCTGCAGTCTTGCACTCTCGCACTCTCTGGCGGTGTCGCACGCATCAGTTGTTACAGCTCAACCCCATCCGGATGAGAGCGGAAATCGCGATCGTGAATGCTGTTATAAAGTCTCTTCTGTGGCTGCTTTTACGGCTCTGTCCTGGCCGTCAGCGAAATGACCGAAGGCCGTAAGCAGCCAGGGAATTGCTGTGGTGACGACGACGTACTCGGGGGCCGCATGCTGAGGCGTCCTCATCGCCAAGCAGCCAGGAGACGACGGAACAAGGCAAGTTCACGACGGCCTAGCCACAGTTGCATGAAACAAACAAGATGAACGAATCAGGTACGTGTCTGTGCAGTGTGCTTGACCAGTTGCGTCTCGAGTGTGCTTTGGGTGATCCATGCGCTAACGGGTACCGGGACGATTGATATGACGGCGTTGGAGTGTGGCCTCGTGCCTGAAGCGACGGACAAAAAGATGGCCAGGCCGTTGGACGCCGGCAGAAATGAAAGTGAGCGTGTGATGAGGGGGAAAGCAAGAGCCGACCATCCGCGTGCATTGTCCAGCGCTGCATGTCTTCCTCTGAGGTCGCTGTGAAGACTGTCCTTCTGCCACATCTCGGATCCTGAGACACATGGTACACTCTATTCGCTTGCAGGGTGCCATTGGCTGTCGCTTCCCTGCATAAGATCAGCTTCGTGCTAGCTGTGGCTTGTAAGTAGTCAGCCCTTGTTGCGTGAGCATTGAGCACTGGCGCGCAGGCAGAGTGCGCTTTTTGGCGGAGAGGGGCTGCTCCACGGTCCCCTCAAACCTCCAGGCGCACAGGTATTGCGGACCTCAAATAGAAACATGGCCGCTTGCTGCTTATTCTCCCCTTTCCGGGACTTTCATCTGCACACAGAAGTACTAATTCCACTGCCAGCATGCTGTGTCGATCGCCATAGCAGGTGCAATGTTGCTGGACATGTTGACCACTGGTGCTGCCGCCAAACACGGCCATGAATGCTCACCACCACGGCGCCTGCCCTCGCCGGCGAACACTAAGAATGGCGCCTACTCGCTGGCTCAGATGCCGCTCTCCATTCTCGGTTCCGTGCTGAGGTACCAGACCCCGTCGCCGGCGACATCGACCCAACACGGAGACAACACGGAGACACCCACGAAGCATGTAACGAATGCAGCCTCTCCTATGCTCTCCCCCTACAGCCCTCCCACCAACATCGACTCTCACGCCCCCTCTCGGCCTGGCTCCTCTGGCAGCAGCGCAGTTGCCGACGAGAAGCCGAAGAAGAAGACGCCCCGCCCTAAGACATCCTTCATCATCGCCCACCCACCCCCGACCGTCCACCCGCGTTCCAAGTTGCACATACGCCCCAAGGTGCAATTGCAGCTCCATCAGATCCTCAGCTCCCAACGCCCTAAGCCCGTATACGAAGTCATTCCCTTTTCACTGCTCGCTCCCCGCTCGACACGCCGTCTTACTCGCACCTTTAACACCAGGGAAAGGCTAGGCCACAGTGACCTGCTCGTTGTGAAGGCCGCTGCATACGGTCAGACTGACGAAGAGCACAAGTCCGATGACGAACGATGGGGATCCAGAGAAGTAATTGCCGTCATCTGCCCGGGTAAGACTGAAAGAGGTCAAGTCGTCAGCAACACGGAGATATGCATGGACGACGGGACGAGCCGCTGGGAGGTGACCTCCATGCCCAACGGCGGCTACGAGTTCAACTCCCTCGACGAACATGGCCTGGCCATGAAGGCACGTTGGGTCGTGAAGCCTCCCAACTCTCGACGCATTTCTGGCCTCTCTGTTAACTCCCAGTTCTCGCCTGGCCTCCCACCGAGCAAGGACGACGCTAAATGGAATTTCAGCGCCATCAGCGCCAATTCTAGACGTCACCCTGTCATTGCCAGCATGACTCGGACTCGTATCGACGTAAACGACTCGTACACCATGCCGGCTGCCACGCAGCCGTCGACACCCAGTGTACAGGTGCCCACGTCACCCGCCCTTACGCCTGCAAGCATCGACGCTACTTCCTTCCTCGACGCCATCGATCGATCTCCGATCAAGACCGAAGAAGCGCTGCGGCGCTTCATTGTTGTCAGCGGCATCTGGGTTTCCTCTCTGCACGAAAGTTATGAGCATGCTAGTTCTCCACTTTGTCCCTCATTCAACACTTCTGGTAACATTCGTCCTCCAGTGTGCCGCACAGTTTCCATGTCCTTCCTTGACTCGCCGCGCTCGGCATCTCCAGCTTCGATCGACGAAAATGAGAAGTCTATTCCTAAGCTGCTTCGGAACACCTCGCAAAGATTGAGCCGTAACGCAAGCTTTATCGAGCCTCCATCGTCTCCTATGTCAGCTAAGATAGCACCCTCCTCTCCCACCATCAAGACTCGCTCGCGACGCGCGAATTCTACTGGCACACACAACCTTTACAGTTTGACTGGCAGCTTAAAGAAGCGCTACGGTATCCCATCTCAAGTCGAAACGCTCTCAGAGACCGAAGAAGACAAGGAGAACAAGCGCAGCGAAGAGATCTCACGACTCAAGCAACTGGCATTTCCAACACCAATCGAGGCATCACCAGCCGAGATTCCCGCAGTCGAAGCTCCTCCGCGACTGCCCGTTCTCATCATACCCACAACAACCGTCATCCGCCCCTCGACCGATGGACCAGCATCTCCCATACTTCTTCCTTCGCCGCAGCTGCCGGAATCAGACCGCACGCGTAAAACTCAATCAGCATTCAATCCCATCATTACTGCTGGTATGTGGGACTCCGGGGTTACCGACGGACCAGGCTTGAAGAGACGACCTACCAGCATGTTTGTCATGAACGAACGTAAGAGGAAGGAGGAGAAAAAGCGCGGGCGCAGTGAGGGGAGGAGTAAGAAACAGGAGAGGGAAACGCTGGATTTCAGCACGAGCAAGGAGGACTTGAAGAAGGGCAACAAAGAGGACTGCACGGGCATGGGGAGGAAATTTAAGAACAGCCTCAAAAGCATGTTTGGGCGGAAGGGGAAGACCTGAACGATGTTTCGTTACGTTTTGAATATCTTGCATGGCGGACTGGATAGCGAGTCCTGCCTGGCGCTTGTCTTGGATACTGTTCCCTACATTTACTATCACTACTCAAGATCGATCAATTTCCTAGGTGCGCACACTCTACGATACCCAACTATCTGGTACTGTTCAAACCAGTCTACTCTTCGCAGCCCTCAACCCCTCCTCAGCTCATTCTGTGACCCTCCGCCCTCGGCCGAGACCAGCAATTCTTCTCACCGTCCTTTCAAATGCGACACCTAACGTCGTGCGTGCTACCAAGGTCGGTACGAATGAAAAAGCAAAACTCTCACATCACCTGCGTTGCACATCGTTCTGCATGTTCACAGGCTCGGCATCCGAACACCGCGAGTTTGTACAACCTTAACGATCCTTCCGCGTTCCGTACGCCTACGTTCCGGCCCAGACCTTGTCGACCTTGGCATCGACGGACCGGGACTCTCGCGATCCGGAGCGATGCGCTGACAGACAAGATCTCGTAGGGGTGGCTACAGCTAGTGCTGGAGGCTTTCGGCGCAGTATGGGGATTCAGGAGAAGGTGTTGGGATGGGTCTGGAGGTAGTCATACTACGTTATTGCAATGTTTGGGATCTCATGGGGTAACTAGGAGAATATTGGGAATGGGGAGTTTCTGGTGTGCTATATGGCTGTTTGATAGCTCGAGAGTTGCATCTCTCAGAGAGAGCCGAAGTCGTGTATGCATATGGGTCCTAAAGGTGCCCTACTTACGTTGGAAACCGTTGATGTTGTATCCTTGTTATGTAATTACACCGATAAGTAACAGGAAATTTAGACAGAAGGGAAACTACTTCTCGAGTACCTCCCATTCGGCGCCCTCATCGCCAACCACCTTCTCCCAGTCCTCATCATCGCTGAGATCGACATTGTCCCACTTCCTCTCTGCATCGTGCTTGGCAAGAAGGGCCTTGTATTTCTCCCTCACGCGCATTATAGCTGTTAGGCCGCCCTCAACTTTCGCAGCCCGGAGGGTGTCCGCACGGTTCGGATCAGCACCAACTGCTTCACTTACGGCTTCTTGCTCCTTCCTCGGGCCGGATCCGGTGGTGTCATTGGAGAGTTTCGTACCCTTTGGCCCCGCGATCTGAATGGTTGGTTCACCTACAGATTCCAGGTTCTTCCGGCGCTCGGCGGCCATTGCCTCGATGAACTGGGCGGCCCCAACCTTCGACACAACTGTGTTGGATGTGACTGGGATTTTAGGGTTGACGACCTCCAATGAAGCCTTCAAAGTGCTCGGGCCGTTGAGTATCTTCGATGGGCTCTCGGAGCTACTGGCTGTGGACGCCTTCACTTCCTCCTTCGGCGCCATTGTGGACAGTGTCTCTGTGCCGTACAATGTGACCCCCTCTATCTTCATGGACTCCTCTTCCGCACGCTCGTACTCCTTCATTCTCTTATCGGCGAGCTTTTGTAACCTTTCTGCTTCCAGCTGATGTTGTCGTTCGCGATGTATCCGGGATGCGTCCGATGCACGCATAGCACGCTGGCGATCGATAAAGTCAACGAAGCGAGTGGGATCAGCACAACTGCTCTCCGGAATATCCTTTGGCTGCTTGGTCTCCACCTTGTTGGCTTTGGCCCATACAAAGAGCTTGGGGGACGGAACTTTCTTATCGGCCGACTTCTTCACCAGATTCGAAGGAGCTGAAAAGCCGTACTTGCATCCTTCTAGCTTCTCTGCAACACAGCCACACCAGTCATAGATGCAGTGTTCAACACACCACACCTTCTCCACGATTCTCCCCTGATTCTTGCTTTCATGCGTCTTCTCATCTTGGAAGGCAGCCTCCAGCTTCCTCGACGCATCTTCGACATCTGCATCTACTTTCCGCTTCTCCTGAAGTGCGGCCTTGACCTTCAGGAAGGAATTGTATTTCTGCGTATCGCCTTCCTCACTAGGCACTTGTTTGGAATTCAGCTTTCCGCTCTTTGCCTTCTGTGTCTGGCGGAACTCGGCTTGCCCTATGATAGAGGCACCAGGTAGTATAGAAACAGTATCAGTGGGAGCAGGAGGGTCCGGGCTCACCACTCTCAGTACCTTGGGTAAGGGCCGGTGGATAGTGTGCGTAAGCCCTGGTGGACGCTGATAGTACGCAGATTCCACAGGAGGAAGGGTCGGCGGTGGTGTCTTTGGCAGAACGGCAGTTCCATATCTCTCGTAGTACGGTGTTGAGACGGAGCCACGCCGTTCAGCGACAGGTGACTTCGGAAACTCCACGCCTGGACCGAAGGGGCCAGTTCTGATATTGTTCAGGCTGAAGTGCGGAACGTCTTGGAGAGATGTGTAGTGTTCTCCGGTGTTTGAAGGTAGACCCGGGCGTAGTACTGGAGAGGGCGGGTTGGCATAGAGGGAGCTTAAGCTTAATGAAGAGCCTGAGCTGTAGGACATGTTATCGTATTGGCCTCTCCTTGTGGGAGTGGTCATTCTGCAGACCTCCTCCAGGTGTCTGCGGACTTCCTCCTGGTGTCTGCGTTCCGCCTCCTGGCGTCTGCGTTCTTCAAGCTGGGGATGAACAGTGTCATAGCTACGAAGATCACTCCAGTCTTTACCCTCCCACGAGTAGTGCTTGCTGTTAGACATGGTGGCGCATATGTTGGTCTTTGGTTGTGTTGGCAGAAGTTGGCGTAGCTGTGGATGTAGTTGTGAGAAAATATGGAGGATTGTGCGTCAGGAAGTTGACGGCTTCGTGTGCGCGTAATCTATAGTATTTTTAGTGATCCCAGGGTTCAGTGTGGTCGTTCTCCTGGTCACCACCCACTTACAGCGTTGCAATCCGACGATGTTTTTGGTACAGAAGGGGGGCACCCCCTCAACTACCCATACTTTGAACCTCATCGCTACAAGCCAATGACTAATCGAAAGGCCCATGGGTAACAGCCTGGCAGAGAAGTTTAAGTTAAAGAACAAGTGAAGCCGAAAATTCTTTCATTCGAATGCCGCTTTCCATGGGAAAGTCTATGCAATAGTAACAAAACGCCATGCCATCATACGCAACCATATCGTAGGTTGATGCTGTGCTGTACTGTGCCCCAACGCCAAAAGCAAAACAACAGACACAAGTCGCAATGTGACAAGCATTACCCTCCAACGCCAACAATATCGTCGTATCTACAAGCTCTCTAGTTCATATGGTCACACTCAGTGACTCGGGCCCGCTCTCGGCGTCGGCCTTGGAGACGGATTGTATGTCCATGCCCCCTCGCGCACGAGCCTTTCCCTCGCCTCCCTTTCCTTCCTCTTCTCTTCATCTGTGACCTGATCGTGCACCCAGTAGGCGCTTGATGTCCTCTCGCGGAACCTCTTGTGCCTCTCCTTGTTCGGGAACACTTGCTCCATGTTGAGCGGCGCGATGGGGCCGAAGATAGCTTCGGGGTCCATGAGTTGTTGTGTGGAAAGCATTTCGCGCAGGTTGGGTGTGTTGACCCACGAGGGTTGCTCGAACTCATTGTCTGAGTCTTCGTCCTCGGAATCGGTCATGATCTCGGGTAGCTTGATGTCGTCGCCGTTGAGGTACTGGATAGAGGGCTGGATGGGCTTCGAGTGCGATGTCCGTGCAGAGTCAAGACCAGGAATCCTGCCCTTAGCGTACTGTGAGGGGTGTCCGGGTGTGATGGGGTTCTGTTTGAGTTGAGAGGGGCGTTTGGGTGGACGCTGGATGGTCTCGGTGTCATTCTCGAGTGCTCGTTTGGTGGGTGGACGATGGGCGTTCTCGGTATCGTTTTCGGGCGCTCGTTTGGGAGGTTTGGCTGTATTGACTGGAGGTACGCGGATCGAGTTTGCGTCCTGAACAGTCCTCAAGGTTGTAGGAGCTCGGGCAGCTGCGAGATCCGCACGAGGCTGGGGTGCTTGGGGCTTCGACTTCTCGAAGCTCGCAGTAATCTGTGGTTGGGGTCGATTTGCCTTAGGAGGCGCCTTTATTGTGTTCGGTGCTGACTTTGCTGATGACGCGACCTTATTCGCCATAGCGGTGCCAGGCCTTGAAAGTGTAGCTGCGGTTGGTTTGGAGGAAGTGGATTTTCCGAGCGTCGAAGGGCCGGTCGATTTTGTGGTCATGGGGGCCGGGCGGGCAGCTGGAGGAGGGGCCCGAGCATACTGATTCTTGATGAAGATCTTTTGCGGCTCTTGTGGTTTCGAAGGCGCGTCTTTGCTGTTCGGCTTAACAAGCTTCTTGGGCGGCCTGGCCTTCGTTGTTGGGAACGTAGGGAGCAAGCTCTTCGGCGGGGGTGGCGGTGGCATCTCATCAGCAGAATCAGTTCCTTGATCCTTCGGAGCCAAATTCAATCGCATGGGGTCAGAACGAGGCGCTGGCTTGGGTGCGGTGTTAACAGATGGAGCCGGTTTAAGACTGGTCTGAGACGACATCTGGGAGGGTGTCTTCGCAATCGCCGCCGATGCAGTCTTCTTGTGGTACGCCGCAGCCTTGAACTGCTCCTTCTCGCGCATCTCCCTGAGCTTGTCCTCGCTCTTCTGCTTCTGCAGCATCTCCTTCTCACGTGCGTCTCGTTCCTTGGCCTTCTCACGCTCGGTCGAACTGCGGGTCTTGCGTTCCTTGACTGGGCTGCTTGGCGCCTCAGCTGCCTTATCTGATTTTGTAGACTTTGCAGACTTCGTAGATTTGGCGGACTTGACAGAGTCTTTCGATGGTGACCGCATATGAGAAAAGATCGAGATTGGCCTTTCAGCTCGTTTAGGGCTGCTAGGAAGATCGTCTGACGAGACCGCAGCCTGCAATTTCGGTCGCATAGGGCTAGAAGAGAGAGCATCGAGCTTGACCTGCGCACTGGTGGTAGTAGAACCGATGAGCTTGTCCTTCGCTGCGCGAAGAGCTGAGTAGAATTTAGCCTTTGACGCACTGAGAGGGGCATCCATGTATTTCTTACCAGCTGGGGAGCCAACCGGGGTGGTCGAATCCGCAGCTGCTGAGAGATCAGGGTTGGATGTCGCTATCAGCTTGATTGGCGACGGCTTCAACTTATGCGGCGAAGAGTGAGTAGCCACAGTGTGGCTCTTGTTGATTGGAGGCCTAAGTGGGTTGGCAACGAGCGCTGCTGTCTTAGTCGGTGCTGCAATCCAGGAATCATCGTCATCCTCCTCTGCCTCTTCCCTTTCGGGTTCAGCTGGAAGAGTGGGGTACGAAGGCTCCGACTGCGATGTGTGCGCGGATGGCGCAACCTCCTTCGGCTGTGAGGCCGTAGCAGGGTACACCGAAGGCCGAGAGGATTGGGATAGGATATTCTGGCTGATTCGTTTCGGCGGTGCGTGCTGCTCAAGCATCTGGAAGCGCTCAAACAAGCGCTGTGTGGATGTCTTGTTGTGCGTCTTCGTTGTCTCCGACTCCTCGCGCTGCAACGCAGGTCGATCCTCGTCCATGTCTATAGGACCGTCATGTTGCGACTCCACTGGCTGTACGATCTGCGAAGCCCCAAGGCTCTTGCCTCCAGTGTGCCTAATCTGACTTGTTCGTCCCATGCTCTTCTTGGGAAGGATAGGCTCGCGAGCGGGCAGACAGGCGAATGTGAGACTACTCTTCCTAACTAGTGGCTTCACAGGGCTCGAGTGCTCTGATGGCGTAGGCTCCTCGTCGACCTCCATCTCATCATCAACATCGTGGTGTACTATAGTGTCATCATGTGCGACATGCTCGGGGGAAGCTGGTGGAGAGCCGGCCGGTGCGTGTGAATGATCGATTTCTGCGAGATCACAGAGCATCTTTGGCTCAGGTGTGTGGGCTCGTCGGTTCGCGGTATCGAGGGCTTCGTGTGTTTCTGCACCGATGCTGTAGGAGTCGGATACAACGCGAGGAGGCTTTGGGAAATGCGAGATGTCATGCATGTCATCGTCTTCATCCTCATCGCCTTCTGCAACATCAATGTCGTGATGTACAACGGTGCCGCGGCTTTCTGTCCGTAAATCCTCCTGGAAGTCTTCGTCAAGGAGCGCGTCGTTAAGCTCTGCTTGTTCGCGCAAATTCTCGTTCGACGCGGTTTTGCTGCCAAATGCGTCATTCGCCGAGACGAACGAGTCCTCCGGCGCATCCTTCCCCTCGACTTCTTCGTCCTCCAGATCGTGCATCGAGTATCTAAACGATTGCGTTGCTTGTGTCGTTTGGGTGCGTGGTGGTGAGAAGACGTCGTCAGCTTGTGAGCTGAAAGCTGTGCCTTGTGTCTCGAACGATGCCCATTGCGCTGGAGCAGGCTGGGGCGGTGAGCGCTCATCTGAGAACTCGTGATCGAAGCTGTCGACAGGGTTCTCTTTGCCATTGCTCGATGTTTTCAAAAAGAGCTGGCGCGCTACAGGAGTCGGTGGTTTGGGAGACTGGACGGGAGCTTCGTTCTCTGTGTCCTCGGCGATTTGGAATTTTGACTTGACTGTGCTTCTCTGGGCGATCTCCTGTAAGCTTTGCTCGGCAGGTGTTGTGCGCAGTTGCAGGTCTCCTGCAAACAGGTTTGCAAGAGGCTGTTTGCTGTCAATACACTGAGGCCGACTCAACCTTTTGATACGCACCTGTCGAGGCTCGGCAACGGTCCTCTTGCGTGTTGTGTGAGGCGTCTTGCCACGTAATTTCCCAGGTGTCTTGAATACGTCTAGGTTGTGTCTACCACGACGTCAGTGAGAGTCGTGTTTGCTGTGTGATGCGCGACATACTGCCCATCTTTGGCACAGATATCCGTCATGTGTTCGTTAAGCCACTCCAGCTCATTGCGCACAGAGAAGCCAAAATCCTCCAATTCTTGTGAGACGAGATCATTCGACTGGTGTCGCTCTTCGAGAATCCATTGCGCTGACCCAATGGCGGGTACTTTGCTACGGGCGGCCGTCATGTCGAATCTGGTAGCTGTTTGTGCGGCGGCAACAGGGTCGGACAATCGAAGGCGAAGAACACGCGTCGCAAAGGGTCAAGAAGAGACAAAAAGTACAGTAGCGGGCCTGGATTAGCTGATCATGTCGATTCGATGCTGTGTTAGTGAAAAATTACTGCGCCAAAAGCGATGCGCGCGTCGGCCGGGGATCGTAGCAGTGCAGGAGCGATGTGTGTTGTTTACGTCCGCCGTCCACATCCAAACACAATGCACGAGCCAACTCGCCAAGACCAAACCACCATCAGCCACAACAGCCTCAACACCAGTCATTTCTTTGGTAGATATCTGCTTGCTCCTGTGATGCATGAGTATGGTCATCATCACAGCAAGTTTTGTTTCAACAGGCGACTTCTTACAGGTAATTGAACGAGCATGTTTTAGTACATACGACACATACACGCGCTGCATGAAAAGCGCAGCCTGCAGTTAAAGTTCAGACAACGAGCACGATGCAAACAGCAGAAAAGAGCTGCAACAAGGATGCAGAAGACTAGGTGAAGCAGTTCGTAAATTCGTATTAATCATGGTGTACAGTATTCGCTGAGCTCGCAGAACGTCATAACCACGTCCTCTGTTTCCGGGTATTCCCAACCCAACCATCTGCATCTGCGTCTTGCGCGATCCAACATTATGTCCGTCAGCAATATAATACATATACAAGCCGTAAAGCATAGCACAGCCTAGCTGGCCTCATCTTCTTCAGGCGTTCCGCGAGAATCCGGCTGATGCTAAACATCGCTGGAATCTGTTCGCGTATTCCACGATGAATCCGAGTAGACATTGCAGGTATTGGTCTCCTAGACCTGGCTCATGGAGGGACCGCCGCGACGGATACCACCACGAACGGCACCACCCTTGCCGCTCATCGCAGAGAAGACGAGAGTAGCGACGAATGCAGCCCAGCCGAACCACAGGAAGGCAGTTGCGGTCTGAGCCTGGCGGCAGTTCTGCTCGAGGCCAGGTGAGCTGTTGGTAACACCGTTATGGAGAGTGTAGCTCTACGAATTTGTCAGACCATGCACAATGAAGCTGGCCACAAGAATGACGTACCCTGTTCGAGCAGCTGTGGGCACCGAGATACGCGGGAAGCGCGACAGCAGCGCAGAAACCGAACAGTACACTCAGTCCATCCAAAACCATATCAACGATGGGGATGGCGAACTTGTCGATAAATGCTGTAGGAAGGAAGTACAGCAGTGTGAACAACCACCATACACCGACGAACAATGTGTAATTGATGATCGAGTGTGTGCCATTAGTGGCGCGTGCAATGTTGTTGCCGGTCATGGCTGTGACAATAACAGCGCAGAGAAGCTATACAGTCGTTAGTAAAGCCTATTTTGGCTGCTCAAAATGCACATACCTGGAAGGCGCGAAGGCCCATACCCAATACTCGCGACACCATGTTGAGTTATGTGATGTGGTTGTGTTGTGCAATGAACAAAGACTCGATTGTCTTTGAGATTGATGAATGGATGCGGAGAATGGGGCTGTGTGTAAATGCAAGAGGCTGGTGTGAGGTGATCTACCGGGGGAGCTGCACTGCACATATACCCTAGCGGGAGTTGCGGCTTCCTTCGTCATCGAGGGAACGACTGGCTGGCATACGTCACTGTCAAAGCGCCAAATTTGCGCCACCCCTTCCGCATCGGGGGTTACCTGGGCGCTTGAGTCGATCACCCTTGTTCTCGAGTATCGCGAACAGCAGATGGATTCCAATGATCCACGCAGAACATGCAGTGGCTGCCGTGCATGAGTTTGAGAACTGTTCTTCGCTTCCGAGCCCCATGTTCCCCATATCTCGGTGGCTGGTGCACCTGTGGCAGGCGCGTTGTTGTGTTGACACTCAGCGACTGATGATGCAAGCTCACCCAAGGATCGGCAGCGTTAGCAGCGGCCTGAGACTGAGACCTTTATTCACATCAACACCAGCTATCTTTTCTCCGAACAAACTACTGCAAGCGCCTACGTCAGAAGCGCTATCTTACCGTTGTATGACCATTTTCCAATATTCTAGAACGTCAGCAAAGCTGAGAAATTCTGGATTTTGAATTGGATAGCGAAATGTTGGAGTCATCGAGGAGGTTGTCTCCGGATTTACGTGACTGGCCGCGGATATGAGCCCTCGGCAATTTTGGTGTCGAGCACGGTTGTGCGTGAGGCTGAAGGGTCGCCATGCGCCCATGACACTTCAGATCGTGAACACCGTCAGGGTCTGCTAGCTTCAAGCGTCATGGTGTTGTGGCGCACCTTCGCGCGTTGTGCCTCTGCTACTTTCGCCTGCTCCACTGTGCAAGCAAATTCGAGGTTTTGAGAGCATGCTTATTTGTTGTATGTCCAGCTCGTATCTGTATTGCGAAGACATGAGTCTCGGTCTAAGCGGCTTTTGAAGGCGACGCGTGAGCGACCCATCTTCGTCAAGGCATGAGGGTCGCGTCACACGTTGATCTTCGACATTGCGATAGCTGCATAACAGTCCATCTACACCCTCCCATACCAATGCGAAGGGTTTGAGGATATGCATGAAAGTCGTGTGTAAAAGAAAAGTGGAACTTCTTACCAATTACAGGTAACTCGAGACGTAGCAGTATGAGGTACAAGTACTAAACTCTTATACATGATGACAAGTAGAAAATTTGACAATGCTGTCCTACCGTGAAATATCCACCATACGATCAAAGTGATCAATGACTTCTACGTTCCAGGAGCAGATGGACTCTAAAGGTCTCATGGGAGCATCCAGGATGTGTGCTGTCGCGATAGAAAAGCTCGCATCCAGGCTCAGGCTGATTTGGTATGAACATGATCTGCTCGTCTTCAAGGCCCGCTTGCCGAAAACCTGACATGTGCACAATGCCAACGAACGCGGCTTGCACGCTTGTTGGGTTGTGTTTGTCAATCGACTCGATCCTGTCGAGAGCACGAAGGTCTAGCTGGCCATGTACAGCATATGTACGGATGTTGCGTCTGTCAACTTAAAATCTTAGTCAAAATGCATCCTTCTGTATCGAGGCTCACCGGACTTGGCAACAGCTCATCGAGTTCTCGCATTTCTCATGTTGTGTAGGCTTTATCGAGGGGAGACAGGACTACGCGTAGACGCTGGTATGTCCTGATGCCGGTAGTGCTGTATGCAAGTCCGTGGAGGCCTAGTCCGTGACACTGGGACGTGAGTCGACAGTGCTGCTACGCCAGTACCAGAGTCTTTGCTGTAGAGGGTATGTAAAGCTCGTGAACAACGTCAGAGGATTATATGAACACGTACGAGTCCGTTCTAAGGCGGAGTGCTGTCAGTCGATGGAGGCTGGCTGCTCATTACAGGAAGCGTCTGTGGTGGAGAGCAGGTGATACGTTTCTGATAAGCCAGCGGATACTGTACCAATGTGGGAGTCTGTTATCAAGGCCGTCAGTAGTGGATTTTTGGAGCGAGCCCTGTGAGCCGCAAAGAGAAAATGGTATCGCCGGGCGTGCACAATGCAAGCTACCTAATAATCCAGCATGAGGAGGGCGGCAAAGCACTGATGATGCACAATGAGGGGCTTCTACTCAAAAGCTGCGTCTCTCAGAGCTGTGAAAGACAATGGCGCTCCTGTTCGCTGTGCGTAGGACTGGCCTCTAGCTCTAGCTTAGTCGCTGCCAGGGACGTTGTGGGTCGAGCAGCATGCCATACTGCATGCCAATCACAGACTTTCGATTTGGGAGGAGTGTTTGACCCTGCGGCAAACCTGGCCACTCTGAATCTTCCGAGAGGTCTGGGTGTTCGCATGCCCAGGGGTGGTGTGGTCGTTCTTGCGGGGCTGCACTGTGGTGTTGTTGCTTAAGCTCGAAGCACCTACACCTTCCCCGTTCCCTTTCTCCCTTCTACGCTCCACAATCGATACCGCCCTCAGCAAAATTGGGACACACGTCGCTCTTGGATACGCTCTGAGCTACGCTCATCCACTACTCGAACAGTGAATCACTCTTCGATCACACTCTCTTTACCGATGATTCCTGTAGGATCACCACGCGCAGCGCGAGAGCAGACATACGACCGCCTCAATTCCCTGCCTTTCTCAAAATTTACTGCCACCGGCGGATGCACCTTAACACGAACAAGCAAGGTACCATTCCTCGGCAACGATCCTTGATAGCGGTTTGGCGCTGCCAACTTTGGTAGAGAAGCTCCTCTACTTCGACCCACGTTGAGTGCCTCTACTAAACTGACTAGTTGTCAAAAGGCTTTGACGCGTACAAGAACAGAGGGGAAGAATCTTGCGACATAGGCGCGCCTGAACTTGTTGATCGCTGGGGCGATAACATGCTGTTGGCGAGCTTGTTCGAGTTTCCGCGGACGTTTGATCGAAGCACCGACTTGAAGACAGGGGAGATCATGGCGTATACATGAGGTGCCGCTGTCATGGCACCAGCTTAGTAGCCTTTGAAGCCAAGCAAGGGTTGTAGCATGGAACAAGATCTCATCCCGAACTTTGCAACCCGTCCTGCAAGCCCGAATGGCCCTCGATCGATGGGAGAACGAACGCCTCGGCAACTACAAAGAGATAAGGTGAGATGATGCTACTGACAGGCAAACAGTAGACGAGTCTACAGTCGCTATCATACACATAGGCCATGCTCGAACAGCAACCCACTACGATTATCTTCTTCATCGCAGACTTGGAGAAGATACGAGCGAAAATGGTGTTTCGATACGGACTTTGTCGACTTAGTAGCTGGGCGTCAGCCACCCGAGCGGGCACACTGCTCACTGGAGCTGCCCGAAAAGCTTGGGTGTGGATATTGAACATCGACGCGTCTCAGGGAAATGCGGGGTTGACTCCATTCCAATCAATGAGTGATCTGCCGAGTTTCGGTTCGTAAGGACCAAGAAGGGAATTACATCCAGCAAGTATGTCGTGCTCGTGTGCCCGACTCTTGCATGCGGGCACGTTGTGACACCCAGATGATCACAAATGAAGAACTTCTCGCGAACCATCTTCAGGAGCATCGATGTGCAGTATCGTCCAGTGCTAGCTTCAGGAACCGTTCATCCTTTCGTTTGGTCACATGAAGGAGTGTCGTCGAATAAGACAACACCACAAGCTGTACGTAACGAGTTACTGGATCTTCGCGGAGCGCTGCGAACGAGGAGCGGCAACGAACAGCATCGAGAGCTAAGGTCCCTGGTGTCCGTACTAGGTTGAGCGCATGGCGCGTGACATTGTTCCTTCCATTCCAGAGTTGGCGGGCTTCCTGTTTCGATTTCCACTGCTACCACATAGGCGGGGCGGGGTCGTGAACGATGGCGCCTGAAGCGAAGGAGAACAGCGTGCAGCGATATGAAGCCTTTAAAGAGGAGGAATGTCATTCGCTGGGGCCATCAGAGCCTGGATGAGGCGAGAGAGTGGTATCATCAATTGACCTCATATATGCGAAACTCTTCGCGCCGACCGACAGTGCGGAATTGGTAACCTTCTGATGGTGAACAGGAAGACGAGGTTCTTGAGGGGTGCAGCGGGACGTGTGACAAGGGACCGATGATTCGATGCCACCTCCCTGTCCCGCGGCTTCGCTACCCCCCAACAGCGCAGCAATTTGCAGGTGTTCGCCTGAAAGACGCAGGGCTAGCCTTAGTCGGTCTGGCCGTCTCCGCATTTCGCAGCGCATCTGCCACCTAGAGCCCCTGATCCTTGAACCAGCCGTGCAAGCTCGCAGAAGCCTCAAAGGCGTTGAAAGTCTGCGTGTTTCTGACTTCTGTCCGCTCCTTTGTAACAGGTGTCTTACCCCCCAGAGATATCTCCTCATCGACCTAGAAACTTCTCTTCGTCTGTTTCCGGATCGCCACACGCTGATCGCACCACTGCTGCTCTCGACCTGTCTCCTGATCTGCCAGGGTGTCTGCCGCGACTCCGATCTCAACCGTTTCGAACCAGTGCCAAGAAGGGGACCTCCTGTCGCCAGTCTGGCCACTCTGGACGTCAATCTCGCGGGTTATATTGTCTTCCTTTATCGCTCGAGGCACAGTGCGATGATGTGCCCGCTCTAGTGGTCGCGTGTTCTTCCTTCAACCACTGGTCCGCAACAGACTGGGCAGCCTTGGGTTGAACGTGGCGCTTCCCCACATTCTCTAGCTGCGAAGCTTCCTCGCCGATCGTAGACCTGTATAATTCCATGCAGCGGCTGATGCCATAGAGTATCGTCTCGTCTTCCAAGATTCTCCGCAAGAAAAAGTAGGGATAGACTGGGCAAGTGTTTGGCGCTCGTTCGTGTACGTTTTTGAGGTATGCTGTCGCCGCCCCGGGCTCTGGCTCGTCGCCACATTGTATCGATCGAAGCTTACTGTGACCCAGTTACCTTTCAGATCGGTCTGATTCCTTAGAGGTTACAAGTGTCTTCGTGGATAGATTGTCTGGTATGTCCCTCGTAACTGTGCGTTCCAGCTGCTTGCCCCTCGCACGGTGCGGCGGTTTGGTATAGCCTTGCCTTGCAGCCTCGTCTTGCGCACGCTACGATCATGATTAGACTAGAGGTACTAACAGACATGCAGGATATACTGCCGCCCCATTTGATAGATCGTGTTGTACATCGATACCCCGCCGTTGCGTAATTTTGGTAGACGCTCTTCCGTTATCTAGGTAAGCAAAAATTCTCTCTCATCACTTCTTCTACTGTCTCAGTACCTTTCTTCCTCCTGCCGTCACAGTGTGTCCTTCTAGGTTCGTTTTAGGTGTGGAGGCGGCCGTCTGAGGAGAAGAAGAAGCTGTGCGAAGGCCGCAGCGCGGATTTCATACTGTGCGGAAACGTGCATTGTCGGTCAAAGTCCTGTCTAGGACTGCACTCGACGTACATTGGAGACCTTCTTAGGTTTCTGGCAGGACATTTCAGTATCTATTTCATGCTGTGAGATTGCGTTGGTCAGGGTTGTGGTTGGCCTGCGAAGCTGAATGCCAAAAGGGTCGAGCGCAACAGCATGGTCAAGCATAGAAAAGAGCAAGCAAAAGTCACATCCCCACGCAGCACCGCATCAGGTCGATATATGCTCTGCTATCTACTTTCCTCTTCAATTCTTTGTTCTCCTAATGTACTTTGCTAAGATGGTTCTCGAACGACAGTAATACCCCATACCCCTCCAGCGCCGACCGCTCCTGCCTCCAAATCAGCGACAAACGACACGAGTCTGCCATCTGACCGTCACCACGTCGGAGCCAGCATTGTTCTCTAGGACCCACTAGTTAGCGCGGGTTCAGCTCCTGTCTTGCTCTCCGCACGCTCTCCACACCCTTCTCTTCTTCAGCCCTCACCACCATCAAGCTGCCAGCCAGCACACCATCCACTACTACCTCTCAGTTCGCAGCAAGCATCGCTGCAACCTCCTGTAGGTAAGCGTCCCCACCTTGCAAGCCCTTTTCAGCACCTTGTAAATTCACAAACTCTCCTTGTACTCGTGAGCAACAAAGTGCCCTCTACTCCATGGTCACATGGGCTGCGAAGTGCTTGCTGGCAGCAGACGTGAGAATCAGTGGTACCTTCCTGGTTGTAGCTTACATGCTGTTGCCTATACTTACTTTACTTCATCTGTTCCTTGGCCACTTTGATACTGCTGAGGGGTCATGCTAACAGCTCGCTTCTTCAGCTTCGTTAGGCACCTATTACTTCTAGACATATCAACCTATAACAACTCCCCTACACACCTTCACCACTCTTGGCAAAGACTGCGTTGGTCAAGACCGAATTAGGTCGTTATCAAGGTATGCTCTGATCCCTCAATGGCTGCTGCATTGCGTTGCTAACATCTCAAAGTCTCAAGAAACGATCAAGATGACGTCCTCCACATATAAGGGCAATCTCTCCGTTGGAGGTTCTGCCCTTGACAAGTCCAAGCTGCAGCTTCGTAGGCCGACTCCCGATAGCGATGCTCTAGCGTCCAGCGATGACGACCGTGAGCACGTGCCCACTGTCGTTCGTCCTGCTGGGGGCTACCCCGGCGGTCGTAGGCCCTCTTCTGGTTGGCTACAGGATATCCAACCTAACCGCAAGTTCTCGTTGCCCTCAGTGTCGTTTGCTGGCTCCCAACCCACGACCCCGTCACTAGAGCTTCCGAACCAGTCTCGCCCTGGAACATCTGCGTTTCCCTGGAATACCTCCAGTTTCAGCAGTACCCAGGCCAACAGCCGTCTCAAGGAAGTCGTGCCATCGCCCACATCTGCACATTTCCCAGCTGAAAGACCATTGCCTTCGCCAGCTGCACCTGAGAGCGAAGAAGGCATTGGCTTTCTTCTTAGTCAGCAAAACCCCATCCGCAAGGCAGTGCGCTCCCAGTCCTACAGCATAGGGCAGGGCGACATCGAGAACAGCCCTGTTGGCCAGTTCTCTGCACGCGTACGCACAACAGCAGGCGTCCGTCACCGTCCTTCCAAGCCCAGTCTGCTTGGTGACTCTGGTGTCGGCTTATCTCAACTTCGCGAGGACGACATCGACGAAGTTGACTCAACAAACAGCTCTGAGCACGGCGTCCGCCTCCCACAAGGCTACTGGGAACGCGAGCAAAAGCAAGCTCTTCTCAAGCAGGCAGCCATGGAGAGCGCACGTGCGCGAAACCGTGCCACGTCTACAAGCTCGCCAGTTCACCAACACCCGCCGCCACCACAGCGTCGCAAGACCACTGCCGGCCTTCGTGGCATGTCTTATGGCGGTACCGCCGACTACGCAATCGAAGAGCACGAAGACAACGAGGTCGCCGCGCACGCCTTGCCGCCGTCGTCGTTGACTCGTCGCTTCAGCGAGCACGTCTCTATCCTGAGCCGCGAGCCCGAGCAAGAGATCATGGATAGCCCAAAAAAACAGCAGTGGGCCACCGGCAACATTCACAATCTCGGCATGGATGCGATGGGTCGCAGGCACTCCTTCGCTCACTACGGAGGCTTTAACCAGAGCATGCCTCTCTCGACTACCTTGAGCAACACCCAGGAAGAAGATGAGAGCCTAATGTCTCCTCGTCAAGCATCCCACTCACCTGAGGAGCCAGATCAGTTCGACGCCGCCGCATACTTTGCAGGCTACGGCCCCGCATCTCGCGCCATCAACGCCTCTGCGATCTCTGCCGCCCATCCAGATCCTATCGTCCCAAACACAACCATGAACACAACCAATCCTTATGCCGTCCCACCGGTCTTGGGCCGCCCTGGTAGACGCCTGTTCGTTGTTACATTCAAGTGCTCCAGGGCCGATATCTACTACCTCTATGACAACACCGGACTCGAGATCCGCCGAGGTGATCTAGTCATCGTCGAGGGTGATCGTGGTTGTGACCTTGGCCAGGTAGCACACGCAGATGTGAGCTTGGAAGATGCAAAGAAGTACAAGGCTGAGGCGAATGAAGAGCATTTCCGCTGGCTTGTCATGTTCTCTCAGTACTCGCTTGCAGGAACCCAGAACGACTCCGGCATGCTTGGTGCTCTTGCGCGTGCAAACGGTCTTTCTAACAACCCGAATCAGCCTCAGTTGAGTGGCATGATTGGCAATCAAGACCAGGATGCTAAGCCCAAGATGATCAAGCGCCTTGCTCAGCAACATGAGATCTTCGCCTTGCGCGACAAGGAGGGGTCAGAAGCTAAAGCTAAGCGCCTCGGAGCTCAAAAGGCCGCTGACCACAAGCTACCTATGGAGGTTCTCGATGCCGAATATCAAGCGTAAGTAATGCAACGTACATCACTGGCCAATGTAGCTAATGATCGCAGTGATTATCACAAGCTTACCTACTTCTACTACGCCGAGTCGTACGTGAATTTCAACGACCTTGTCACCGACCTGTTTAAGCAGTACAAGGTCCGCATCTGGATGTCCGCTGTCAACCCAGCATCAGTCGTGAACCCATCTGGCCTGATGCAGATCCCGCCACCCTCAGCCATTGGTCCTGGTGCTATTATGAACTCGGGCAACGGCAACTCTTCGTTGCCTGTTGGACCTGGCTTCGGCAATAGCAGCCACCGCTCCAATGAGCACTATGGTAAGTGTCGCTGCAAGCTGATGCAAGCAACGATAGCTAAACTCTGTTAGGTCGCGGCCGCAACAACGCTCCTCAGGCTAATTACGACGACGGTCACTACGCATTTTCTCATCAGCTTCCAGCCTACACCCCTCAAGCCGCCTATGGCATGCCTCCTTGGGCACAGGGCCAACAATATCCACAGCAGATGTACGGTGGATACGGTGCTTTCGCTGGAGGTTATCCGAACGTGACTACTAGCGGCAGCCCTATGAACTTCGGCGCTTACTACCCACCCGGCTCTACCTATGGCGCTCCATCGGCTTACAACCGCGGCTACCCAGGTGCCGGATCCTACACGCCCACTGGTGGTGCCAACTATGGTCAGCAAGCGACTTCGGGCGCGGGCAACAGCAAGTCCGGTGGCGGCTTCGCAACTCAGTCTGGTGCCTCTAACAGGGGCAACGATCCTGCCTTCCTCACCAGCATGCAGAACATGTCTCTTGCTAGCAAGTAGGCTCAGTAGGCTCGCAGGGCGTTACAGGGCGCTTAACACACTATCGACTATATATGTGCGTTTCAGCATTCGTGGTCCTACTCTTATAGACCACGGCACCGCGGCCCTCACGCGCGCATTGGTTCCTGCGAGTCTATGGATTGCTGCACAGCATACTACACGACTCTTCGATCACTGAAACTCATGTCAATGGTTTTCGGCATTAGATGGCTTCGCTCCAGCATTGGAGGACACTACGGCAGCATGGGACTGCAACTTCTTTCGAACAGGACAAACGGAGAAACTACAAAACGGCTGCACATTACTCTTGCTTTAATTTCTTCATTTCAAGATCCCCTTGCTTTCGATTTACAAGATGAAGGTGCTTTTCCCTTCGTGCACGACTAGTCATGAAGGTCTGAGGATCCTCTTTGCTTAGGTATGCTTGACCTAGGTTTTTGCTTTAACAAAATTGATAATGCTTCTGGCACAAATGTTGGTGATCATGTGCGTGATTCTTACTCAATATGATGTCAATATCCCTGTACATCACGGTGAGGCTCGAGGGCGTCGTGTCGAGAAGGAGCGTGCCTTCCCAAAACGATCCATCCAGCCCTCACCTCATCACCTCGCCACCTCACCGAGTGGCCACGAAGCTTCAACAAACACGCCATCGCAGTTACGCTTCGAGAATGGCGCGTCGAAGCGCTCAATCAGCAGCTCAGCCTGCGAACAGCCAGAGCAGTACCTCCGACGTCGAGGGCGATGAAAGCCAGTGAGTGTTCACCTGAGACCATGCAGTAATGTAGCAAAGGACCTTGCTCATGCGACACGCCAGGCGAGTGCTCGCACTGAGCTCACTTCTCCAGATGCCCAAGACCAATCACAAGGAGCTTCAGGACTTCAAGGCTAAAGTGGCGGCCGACCAGCAAGAGTTGAAGGCACTGCTTGAACAGCGAATGCGGCAGGCGTGAGTCTGCATGCTATCATGCACACTTGGACTCGACAAATCTGACCCTTGTAGTGAAGAGGCGTCCGTGCGCCGCCGCAACGAACTCACCAAAGCCATCCTCGACGCCCTTCAGACACCGAATCGTCCTGTACAAGGCGCCCCTCCCACCCTCGGCGACACAAAGATCGCTAGAAACGCCGTCTTCAAGTCTGTTGCTCACGTCCTCACGGCATCAGAGCACCTCGTTGGCGGATACGACAGGCTGGACAAGATGATTGTGAGCATGCGAGATGCAGAGCCTGAGGGTGTTGCAGAGGCATGGACTGAAGATATCGAGAAGACGGCGCGACTTCTGAAGATTGGGGCTGAGACTGCAATCACGAACGTGAAGAAAGTGCTGGGTGCAGATGTCGAGATTGATGGTATGGGGGAGACAAGGGAGGAGGGCGAGAGAATGGACGCAGTTGAGAAGATGGAGTTGAACTATGAGTTGCAGAAGAGTCTGCAGTATGCTGAGAGGGGCGTGAGGAAGATGGTCAAGAGCTTGCCTCAGGATGAGGGACGTTAGAAGAATCTGCTAGGGCTGTTACATCAGACATATTCTCAGATAGAGCTGTGTGAGAGATTCATCTAGAAACTGTTCATGACTCGCTGCCGCGGATGTTACGAAGCACTCGACGGCTCGGTCCATGACCCCACTGATGTGCTCCAGGGTGAGATCTGGTTAGCGTTCCTGACACACAAACCACGCACAATAACTCGCCCCTTTGACACATCCCTTGAGCACCCTCGATGGAGTCGCACAAGTATCATATTCTCGTTCACCTGTGGACTTTGTGGCCACCAAATTCTATGTTGTAGGGTCTCGTACTCGCTCCCGGGGCGCAGCGGCAGACGACGTTGAGATTTCGCAAGCCAATTGCGTCACACCTCGGTCCACTAGCCAAGGCGGATGCCGGAAACATCAGACAAGGGATCTCTACACGACCTGTTGGTCTTGAATGTTATTTTAGGCGGTTAGTACAGGTCAATTGCACGCTTGACAAGATACAGAACTAAACCACCGCTCAGGACGACTAAGCTTTCACGCCAACCTCCAGTGGCGCTTCCCCAGCAATCCGGGGTCAACGCGCCGTCCAACATGCCGTCATCGCGCCTGCCAGTGACAGACGCTAGAAATGACGGGAGAACGTCTGGGGCGCCGTTTTCAACCTCAGATCTCCATCATCGAGATACCCAAGCTCAATATCGACTAAGCGCCCGTATCGCTTGAGCGCTCGGTGACCAGGAAGCTTGCCATTCATTCAACATCACCAATACCGGTCCTCATGATTTCTCCTACGATACCTCTACTACTCTGGACCACTTTTTCGCCATGTGTGTCCGCACAGTTATCCTCGATCCTATCATCGCTCTCCCTCACACCAGTACCTAGCAGTCTCGTAACCGAAGTTACACCCGAATCCTCCTTTGCATCTTTATCCGTATCACGCAATACTAGTACAACAGCATTTCGTTCGTCGACAACAGAGGAAGTGATTGGCATAACAGGCGTTGCTCCAACTGCATCCGGGAATGCCACCGCGACAACCTCCATCACGGCTCGCTCACGCCCCACACAAAATACAACATCCTGCAATGGACATCCGGAGTTCTGTAACAGGCGTTTCTCAAACGTCTCCATGGTTGTCGCTCACAACAGTCCATTTGTGAGGCCGCATAACGCCGCCAGTAATCAGGTACTCGAGGTAGAAACCCAGCTCAATGATGGAATTCGAGGATGTACGTACAGAAATGTATGAAGCATTAGGTTCGAAAGGCTGACTTGAGTTTTCTAGTGCAATTCGAGACACAAAGACCGAACTCTTCGAGTGCGATTCGTCTCTGCCATACTTCTTGCGATCTCCTCGATGCCGGAACACTCGAGTCGTACCTCACAACCGTAAGAGAATGGCTCGGTGACCACCCGTACGAGGTCATCTCGATTATCATGGGCAACAACAACGGTCAGGACACTCGCAATGCCGCCACAGACTACATCGAGCCCTTCCAAAACTCCGGCATTCTGGAGTACGTTTGGACACCGTCCGCCAGAAACCTGAACTTGACTGAGTGGCCGACACTATCCGAAATGATCCTCAAGAACGAGCGCGTCGTCGTGCTGATCGATTACAACGCCGACCAAGATGCCGTCCCTTGGCTGCTCAGCGAATTTGACTATCAGTGGGAAACACCCTTCTCGCCCACCGACCCATCGTTTCCCTGCACTCAGCAGCGCCCACCCAAGCAGGCTGAAGAAGTCTCTCGCAACCGCATGTACATGCTCAACCACAATCTCAACGTCGAGATTGCTGTTGCAGGGATAAGCATCCTTGTACCGGCATATGGCCTTCTGGACCAGGTCAATGCTGCATCTGGAAATGGCAGTCTGGGTCTGAACATCCAGGGCTGCGAAGAGATGTGGGGTCGTCCACCGAACTGGCTGCTCGTCGATTACTACAACTTTGGCAACTTTAACGGATCTGTCTTTCAAGTTGCGGCGACGGCCAATGGTGTCTCGTACAATCACGATTTATGCTGTGGTGAGCTGCGCAGAACGAGTGGGTCAAGTGCACTCAGTTTGAATAGCTCATGGCTCGTCGCTGCTGTTGGCATCACGATTGCAGCTGTGATGCGATTGTAAACCACAAGGTCTGCTGTTGTGTTGGTTCTCACTATTTCTTTCGTTGTTTGTTCGCTTTGAATATTGTTCCAACATAGACGTTACTTGTTGTTCATCGTCGCAGGCATTTTGGTTACGAGCGTGGGAAGTAAAAGGTGTTGGTTGGCGTCATCTTGCACAGTTCTTGTCATCGTTTCGCTTGTTCATTGCTACTTCCTCGAGTCATCAATCACATTTTTACCCTCTTCAATTGCTCTGCTTGCTCGAAGTCACTGACCTTGGTGTGTCACCAAACCACATCAGATACGTATAACCACTGCCACCCTCGAGCGGTGCCCTGGCAAGCCATAGGGAAGACAGTGTTGTCGCTGCATGGCGGCAGCGGCTTGCAAAGCCCTGAAGGTCGCCATGGTGCTTCACTTGGACGAGGTACTCACGTGAAGTGGACTGTCTTCTTTCTTGGCGGCAGCAACCATGGCCGGTTTATATACACCCTTCACACCCGCCCCATACTTCTTCTTTTCCGCCACCTCACCCTTTCGACACCATGGTGCACTGTTCGGAGTGTCCAACATGCGTCATTGTCCTGCCAGATGCTTATTTTCTGCGGATTACCAACCTCTCCGGCAGCAAGAATTATTATTTTTGCACTGACGGAATTAGTGTTTCAGCATGCATGTACCCTTTTTTCTAGTGTGCAGGTCCTTATTCCTACCCTACACAACCGCTCCCATTGGAAAGATGATCGCGCCTGCTATATCTCAGCATTTGCTATGACTGCAAATGCTTACAACGGGAACGTGTAGTCAATCACAGCTGCCCATTTGTCAATGGTCTGTGAGGGTTTCCAATCTACTCCACTGCGAGTTTACGTGTCTTGTAAGGGCATCAATATCTCAGGTCTCCATTGCAGCGACAAAAATGGGCCTGTTCACATATGATTTGATTCTCGTGCTGCTCACAAACAAACCGACCTGGTCATCTTCGACCTGTTGCTTGCTTAACGAGTCACCAAATTCATATTGTTAGCAAACAACACGATGTACATGTCGATTCGCAATTCAGTCTTTCCAGCACTTGGATTTAGCATAAGTCGAATTTCCATAATATCGAGAGTCGAGGGCTTGCATGTGGTCCCCGGCGTGAGCCACCTTGATGCTTTCCTTCACTGGACTCGCGCTGTCCCATGTTCTTCCCTTCCGGATCGCCCCACGCGGATACAAATATTATCTGCACCTGCTTGATGCCTCTCTTCTTTTCGTACGATCGGACCACCACAACCTCTTTCTTTTTTTGAACGCAACCTCAGTCACAATGTCTTATATGTACACGCGTATATCGGTGCTTTCCAAATGTATGCCCCCACCCTGTCTTAGTACACAATTAAAGAGCTTAGATCTGATTGGCTGGCGCGTGTGTTTGCGGCTACATTAACAGTATACGTACCCTAGATATGTGGGGCAGTGGTGTAGTCCATGACGTAGAGCACACCTGCAGCTCCCGTGAGAGGCTGTAAACACCTGGGTCAGGGTCTGACACCTGGTACCAGGTAGTGCTTCACGGTACCTGTTGTAGAGTAGCCAATAAGATACAGGCGCTTGGCTTCTGTACCAATTCTGGGTGGGTGCATACACTCCATTAATTGTTGTAAGTCATCTCCGCTATGCCGCCAAACGCGAAGAAGGGAAACTGATGAATTGTTTCCTTACGATCATGCTACAATGGCCACCAAAGGACAGAAGACTGGGGTCCATTAGCGGAGCAGAGCTCGCCGACTACAACTGAATGATGGTTCATCCGAGAGGTCATTTCAGGGAGATCGCCGGCAGCACAGAATCTTGTATCGTCTGCGCACTGGGCCCTCACATCTGCGGTACGGGAATAAGATGCTTATATTCATAGGAACAGCATCCGATTCAACATCATGATGGAAAATAATTGATTGAAGTACAAGTTTGTCGCAGTCGTAGTAGATGGTGTTATTGACAACCCCTTAAGTTCCACCGTGACGTATAAGTTCTGCATATTGTAAACCTCCAAGCCTCACTTACGCATTAAACACAGATATGCCATGAACCTATCAAAATGCAATTCTACACCACTTCCATCATCGCAGCAATGCTGCCCTTCTCATCAGCCTATGTTCTCCCCGCTCTGAAACATCACACAAATGATACGAAGACTGGAATTGCATACCCAAAACCCACTGGGAACCCCCAGGCTACGACTACGCTCATTACTGTGTTCAAGCCAGCCGCTGTCGAGATAGAGACATCTGCACTCAGGCTAGAGAAGCGCAAATGTGTCAATTGCTCTCAAACGTGCAATATGTCAGTTCAAAGGTATGTAGATTTCGAATGTTTTCAGCACGGTGCAAGTCAGCCCTTCATACATATATGAACAGAGGCTGATCGAGAGCAGGAACTGGTGGAAGATGTCCGTTGGCTTACGTTTTGCACTCGAGCCACAGCAGCCAGCCACGACTTCGACTATGCCTTTGGCTTCACATCATCTTGTAGGGACCGTAGGTACTTCTTCGGCAAGCACGTCTGCCGTGAGTGTTGAGTATTCACAGATTGCCAGGATCGAGCCATCGACACCGGTCAAGGCTACTGCTCTCGCTGAACCGCTCGAGAAGAGAAAGTGCGTCCACTGTGCTGAGTTCTGCGCTATGGTGGTTGATGGCTGTGTCCAGTTTGGATGCTTTGAGAATGGTGTAAGCTCCTGACAAAGATAACATCTCATTGGTGACCACGAGCTTATGGGAGACAGCCTAAGGCGCGGGAGGTTTGTTGGTAGATGAGAATGCGTCTGGTGGAGGTATTTAGTGAGCCGGAAATATCTAACAGCCGAGCCAAAACCCTCGAGAAGATAGAAGGATAGAGGAGAAATTGGGAAGTTGCGGAGGCACATCACAATCTGTTCAGGTTGAAGTCAGCTTGAGGGGATTGACTGCCTCGACTCCAAACTACCCCGTGCAAGGGCCTACTCACATTTTCGTTGTACAACCTCAGTTCAGCCTCTTTCTCAACCTAGCCATACTTTCACCTCGAACCGACAATGTCCGTTCCCGATCTTCGCACCAATGGCCCATCCATGCTCGCACCTTCGTCCGACCGTACCTCATCCTCGCCGTCGCTACGCCCCTTCCACCGTCTCGTTCAGACCCGCCAACATCCCAAAGCAGAAGCACAATGTCCGAGAAGTTGGGTTACCCCTGCCATCAATTTTTTTTTGTTCCATCACCACGGATGCGCTGGCCTGATTGTGTCTGATAGTCGTTCCGACGTTGTGAATACCGGGTAGCGTAGTTACCGGACATTGGAAGTGCAGCGTAGACGCTACCGGAGCGTTAAGGGTGGTGTCGGTGCACGCTTCGTACGAAAAACAAAGCGGACGGTCTCAGGCGAAAACCCATGATCCATGAACGCACCGTCTGTGCATATGCAGGTCGTTGAACTGACACGTGAGCCAATGTTGCACGACTTTGGTGCTGGGCCCTGGCAACGTGGAGTAAACACGCGAGAACAAAACGCGATTAAAATCGGGTTTGGAGGTATTTGGGGTCTTCGGGGGTATGATAAGCGCTGTGGCGGAGATTTAGATTGCAAGCACTAGACGTGGAGTGGGTCAAGATAATAGCATCAATGTTCCACAGCTTGGATGGACTGGGCTTGCATGCATTGTCTAAACACTATGACTACAATCGACAATCGTGCCGAGGTAAAGGACAGACGCAATGAAACCATGAACAACATGACGTGCGTGCCAATAGATATGAAAAGTGACAAAACGAGACTCGTTGCGCGCGCTGCGACTTATAAGATAGTGTCTAGACAGACAAGGAAATGGTGAAATAATACAAGATATAGTAGATGAACTGCTAGATCGAAGAATGTAAGGAAGTTGTGATGATGCCGCCCAATGTCGTGAGAATATGCGCATCGAGATCGTTTACAGGTGGAGCGGTAGCGATGTTGCTGTCTCAGTAGGTGCCGCCAAGGCTGCCCCAAGCAGCAAGCACATCATCGCTCACACTATCCCTCCCCTTACTCCTGGTCATGCTCGCCACACTGCTGCCCCTAGAAGCATACCTGGAGCGTTCACGCCCAATCAACAGGCTCGGTGCGTTCATGCTCGAAGCATTTGAGCGCGAAGACGCGTTGCTCACTACACTGCTTTGCCTGCTACACTGCCCGAGTGCAACAGCGAGCGCACTCCTACGCTTGGAACTGCGCTCTGGTACAGCTGGCAGCGGCATCGTCGGCTCGACAATGCTCGGCGCACGCGACGAGAGGCTTGCTTCGGAGACAGGAGCGAGGTCCTTCGCACCAAACGTGGGAGGGAGCGGGAAGCTCATCTCTGTGCCAGATGATGCTGTGCGGCGACGCTGGTGGGTTGACTCCATAGTTTCGAGAGACTTGGCGGCTTTGATGATGTGGACTGGGAGGTCGTTGTCGAGAACGGCAACTTCCTCATTATCGGCACTGGTATCGCTGCTGGCGATCTTGACATTGTCGTGTGTTTCGCCCATGCAAGGACCGGGAGTGATGGGTGAAGGGAGAGGTGAGACGTGGCCGATGGTTGTTGGGGACGTGAGGCTTGCGGTATGGGAAGGCGAGATCAGAGGGAAGGGGTCCAAGGGGGAGAAAGCGCCGGGCGTGGGAATGTGGTGCGGTAGCGAGCCTCGTGCGACGGGGAAGTTGAAGCCTCGAGCGACAGGGAAGTTGAAGCCTTCGCTGTCACTGACTGAACTGTCGCGGAGGGTGCTGGTCATGTTTGCGTCGTGGCTGGTTTTGGCGGATCTGCCGCGAGGTGGTGGTGTCAGGTGTGCTGACGAGGTCGAGGATGCAGCTAACGGTTTTCGCTTCGACTTCATCTCCACTACCCGAACAGGGCTGGCTACTTGTGTCTCTGCTGCCAGAAAGGCTGATGGCCGACCAGTCTTTTGCAGCGCCTCGAGAGCCTTCTGTCGCTGATCCTCCTGCTCGATGTAGGCCTTGCTCATGCTTGTCGAGCTCTGCTTCGCCATTGAGGCACGCTTCTTGCGCATCAGCTCCAAGAGCGCTTCTTCCTCAGGGGTGACTGCCATCATTTTGCGTTCTGCCGCAAGCGATCGGGGCTGAGGTTCACCAGCTGAGGTACATGTGCTGCGTATGCTGTATGCTGACGAAGAAGGCGGTGCGTGTGCAGCTGTTCTCAGGCGATCGTCTTCATCCTCAAGTATGACAGAAGGTTGTCGTATATGGCTAGAGCGTCTGCTGCCGCTGTAGTTGCTGACTCTCGAGAAGTTGGGCGGGGAGAACGGCTCCGGAGTGTACATGATGTCTATCGTAGCAGCGCTTGTCGAGGTCGACATTATGCTCATCTTGCGCTCCGAGAGGTTCCGATTCGATCGGACTTCGAAAGCCTGCGCTTGGCCAAAAATGATCTCGCCTGCATCATCATCCATGTTCAGACTCTTCCGAACTGCAAAGTTACGAAGGGCACGTCGATCATCGTCGTATTCATCCTCGGATGATGAGAAGGACAGGCAGCTCGAATCCTGAAGGTTGTGTTTCGACATCGTCGACTCTTTTGTCTTGGTGGAGTTCTGCGTGTGTAAAGAGAATTGACTTGGTGAGGTCAGTCCATTGATATCGATCATGTCCTCGTGTGAGAACGTATCGCTGCTAAACCCTGAAATCGACTTCTGTGCCAGCAGGGCGGGATGTGGGGCTGCAGTATCTGGGTATATACCGCTGAGTGAGGTCTTGCGTAGGGGTATTTTGGGTGTGTTGCTCGGTCGCCGTGCTTGTGGGGCATGTACTGGCGCTCTTGCTTCCTCTACTGCTTCGTCACTGTCCTCGTCAAGTGCATCAAACCAGTGCTGCACACCCTTCGGGGGTCTGCGGACGTGCACTTTGGCGTTGTCGTACTCGTCACGTCTGAACAGTCGTTTCGGAGAGCTCGGCATAGGCGGCGCATGCTTGGCCAACTTTGCGTGTCCCTGTGGCGCTGGCGTAGGTTCTCTGGTTATAGGCTGCGCAAAGTACTCGGAGCTCATCGACATAGCAGCTGGCGAGTTGACCATCTTGGTGGGCGAGAGTAGCGGATTTGAGTAGTTCTGGCCGTCTCCAGCTCTCGGTTTGGGAAATAGCTTCGAGAGATCTAATCGTGCAGGCTTGCTCTTGCGGTGCTCTCGCCTCGCTGAGTCCATCGTTGGCGATACTGGACTGGCTTCATGGCTATTGTAGGTGTAGCCATGTCCACCTGTGACTACCTGAGGCTTCCCTCTCCTCAATGCCATGTCACGGACCGCGGAGTTGGACGTCTGCTGCGAGATGGAGAGCGGCGAGCATGTTGCGTCGTAGTGCGAACGCGTGGTGGAGCTTGATGTCTGCGGCTGGAGACGATAGCTGGCGGAGCTGTTGTCTGAGCCCCGCCGTGTCGTCCCGCCGTTGGTGTTCCCCAGGGTGATTGACGCCGGGTGTTTCGACATGGCGGGCCGTTTGGTGTATTCGGTTGCAGTTGCCGACGCCCTGTCGTCGTACTCGTCACCGTACCTGGTCCCGGACGAGACAGTGATGGTCGTGTAGGCTGGGCTCGCAGGCATGTTGGACGTCTGGCGGGACTGTGTGCGGAACATTGGTGATTCCGAGGTGCCCAGCACACGGTGTGCTTTACTTGTGGGTTCTTCGAGGTGCGAGGGCCATTGCTGGGCTGAGGGCTGGGGTGCACTGGGGCTGGCCGCGCTTTCTTTTGTCTGCTGCGAACGGCGCCCGGGTATGGGAAAGGAGAACTTGGGACCGCGGGAGCGCCCCATGGTGGAAAGAAGCAAAGACTGGCCCGGATGGTGGTCTAGGTGGCGTGATCGCTCTTGGACGGGCCCGCGATTCAGCAGAGACAGTGGTATGGACTGAGTCGTGGAGGCTCCAGCTGGTATAAGGACGCGAACGACAATGTCACCGGGGGGGGGGGGGCTCAGGGTCTATCAACATACGCTGCGCTGCGCTGCATTGGGGCTCAATGGCGTCGGCAGGGCATGGCGTGTGCAGTGGTGGCAGCGATCAACGCTGGTGGAGGACATGTGCGAGGAGGGTTCGGGGGTGCGACGCTGTGCAATGGTGCAAGTGGAGAGAGCGTGGTATGGGAACGGGCTCCTGCTGCACACCAGTCTTGTTTCCGCCGCCTGTTCCCGACCGAGCTGCAGCGAGGAACCAGCGGTGGACTAGCTCAAGGGGAACTTGCAGCTAAGCAATCACAGCCATGCAGCGCGGCGGATTGGGTGCAATGGCAGAGTGTGCAAGAGCTTGTACGTAGGTGAACCAAGCTTCAAGGGCAGCGAACATGTCAGGCATGCTATCCACCGGGGCCCTCCTCTGATCGTCCAGAGTTTGCTCGACTTGTCCCACTGACGTCCCGTCCACCAAAAAATAGCACCGCATCGACTAACCCTGGCGCCATCGAAAGTGGATACGCCTCCAGCGACCTGGCCGTGCCACCCTAGCACGCGCGCCGGCCAGACTGAGACCTGACAGAAGCAGAGAACGCTGACATAATGACAACGACAACGACCTGCATTGCGCAGGAGAGGGCTGATACAAAAACGGCGATGCAGGTGCCACGAGACGTTGTTGCAGCCTCCAAACAAGCAGTACACATTTCCTCGAAACCCCTCATCAATTGGTTGCCACCTGCAAACTCGTGATCACTCTGCATCTTGTACTCCCTGCTTTCCACTCCCCGCGACTCACCCTTCGGAAGCGACGTCACACAACGACGACAATCCATAACCACAGCAACGGGTTGTCTTCACTCAGCTACACCGCAAGGGCAATTGTCGTTGTGCACATGATGCGTGCCTTGGAAGTGGAAAGTGGACATGCTGGACTGCTGGTGGATCGTGCGATCCTCGCCCCCTTCAGCTCCAGTCTGCAATGACCACTCCTGGAATGAAGCGAGATATCAATGCTCGCACATCAGGCCCGCTGATAGTCAGTTGATCGGTGAATCAACACCTTGAGCACTTGGGGCGTGCTGCAAATCCATGCTGCAAATCCATGCTGCAATTTTTGCTCATCTTTTCCAGTTCCTATCGTGAGGGGGTCCTTGCTTCCAAATATGTGCTTCATCTCGTCTTGTATCGTGCACGCAACTAGCCCACATCGGCGACCACGCAAACTTTGAGATGCCCATCTTTCCCTCGACCCTAAGGAGTAGCACCGTGATAACACATCCCAATTCCCCGTCCTTGGTACTCAAAACGTTGTCGACAGCGGAGCTTTATCAAAGCTTTTCGGCCGAACATATCAAGCGTACTTACTACAAGGCCAACGCCGGCGACCTGGCGCCATGACTCGACACCACGCTTCGACTTCGATGTGGTCTCTGCTTCCCAACCCCGGATGCTCAATCGCGAATCTCAGGGGATGACCACATCTGATCGATGATCTAAAGGGGAGTGAAGCTGCAAGGCTGAGCATGCTGAGGGGCCTCGTTCCAAGATCTGGCTGTGCTTGCACAATATTACCAAGGCCACTATCAATTTCACGATAAAGTGATCTTCACGACGACACGAGCAGACGCTGTAAATGAGCTTCGGCTGAACTGAGGCGCCTATTTCATTCAAATGCGGGAAAGAGTACCCATCATGAACAGTGCAAAGGGCGCTGCGTCAATCACACAGAAGCAAAAGAGGCACAAACGCCCGCGCAGAATGTCAGAGGCGTCCTATCAATTACGGCACTCACAAGTAGCACTTTCGGGTGATCAATTCTGATGGAGGAGGTTCACTGGAGAGATAGAGCTTTTCCAGATCCTTCGTGGTCCCTAGAGGTGCACCTCGCATCGAAGCATATAGCCATCTCTAATGTTGATCATCCCGATCGAGTCGGCTTGCATTTCTCTGCTCGTCGTGGAAGGATTTCGAGCATAGCGTCAAGGTTATGACACCGAATCAGAGAAAATACCTAAAGGTGGCACAGATGGCCTCACCGTGCGACAACTCGATCTGATAGACCTACATTCCTTTGCTCGTCACTGGTCGAACCCTGTGACATTCAAGTGACAGGACAATTATCTTATACCTTGCGGTCGTGGCTTGGATGAGGACATGCTATGTATGGGAGCGAAGTGTGCCTCCCGCGGTAAGAGATACTCCAAAGTAGCCTTCGAGGACCCATGTACTATAGACGTGCATGATGCGTGCAAATGCCGCGTCTTGTCCAAAGCATTGCAAGTCAAGTCTCCAGATGAAGAGGGCATTAAAATGACAAGTACTGTGTCAACTCGTCTGTTTACCCGAAGATGATCCACAGCAGATCTCATGCTGCAAATTAGCCTGCGAATCTCTAGAAAATCTCAGATGCCACATCGACCCTTGTAAATGAGTGTTGGGAGAAGTCTAATACGACAGATTCTTCTCTGCAAACAAAGAATTTCCCGCCAAGGGGTGATGCTTGCTCGTCTCGCCACAAAGTGACAAAATCTGACACGGCACAGGTGGACAAATCTACGTTCGAGCCGAGACCCAACCACCACTGTCGCAGACAAACAGCACCTACTCGAGTAGATCGATAAATGAAAATAGAGACGATGACTTCTGTGAAGCTCGAGTGCCGTTAGACACTTCATGAGTGTAACTTGGGGTTGATTAATACAGCATGATTGCAGGCTAATGGTGCAGGTGGGTCCCGCCGTCCGCAAATGAGAAGGAAGAAACGCGGGAGCGGCAGGTTAAGCGTGATGCTCAAGCCAAGCCGACTCCCCACCAGCACTCCACCGCTTACCGACCCTCCGCTCTTTCATGCCCCTCCTCGACTCGCTGGACTCTTTGGTGTTTTGTGTCCTGTCCCGGAGCTCCACGCTGTTACTGACCTCCAGGAGAGTGCCGCCTCCTGTCTTACCGCTCCCTTGTCAGCGGCGACCCACAGCCCGAGGCCCATCCTCGACTAGCCACCTCTTCGCGGCTATTCACGTCCTGCGACACGAGGCTGGCGACATGCACGCGAAGCAGCAGTGAACGACTCCCCCGCGTGTTTTTGCCTTTCGAGCCTACGCCACAGCTCCACGGTCGCCTCTACACGACACCACCTCCAGAGGACATTCGGCCAGCACGGCGGCAATCCGAGCGAACGCACATATCCTTACGCCGGTCGACTTACAAACGAACGCGAGGCCGTAGGACTCTCTTCTTCATAATCCCCAAACACACTCGCTGCCCCCAACATGTCTTCGAGCAACCAGGGCCACAGCGCCCTCAGCCGGCCCAAATCGCGAGACTCACACGCCACCCTGGGCCAATTCTCGTTCGCACCGGCAACGAGAACTACTGTTGTAACCACTACATACACGACGACGACCACCCTGGCCCCCATGCGTATCAACGCCAAGAGTCTGTCTGAGCGGGACCCCAAGGAGTACCCATTAGCACAAGTCAGAGCACCGGAATCGATACGGAAGATCTACTTTGACGCTGGTGGAGAAGTCGGCCTTTTTGAAGAAGCGGACGATGCTCCCAAGAAAGCACAAGAGGTATGTAGCTAGCTGGTCCAGGGATCTGCCCTGTTTCTAAGCCGCTCGCCGCGGACGCGTTTACCGCACAAAACTGACACCTTCCCTCGTAGCACACCATCCTCCAAGAGAACCTGCGAGCCGCGAATGGCAAAATGCGAAAGGCCGACACCTTCAAGGGACCCGCAACGTTCGCATCGCCAAGCCGCACGAGGCGCCCTGTCACGAACCTCCAACCTCCAGCACTACGATCAGTCTCTGGCCGCCGGAAACGAGACCCAACAGACGACTCACCCCCACCACCGTCGATACGCGAGGCCGCTGAAATGGCAAGCCTGCAACGTCGCAGCAAGAAACCACGAATCTCCACACGGGACGAGGATACTGCACACATGGGCATTACACCTGAAGATATGGAAGATCTGGTCCCGGCCACTCCTGAGACAGAATTGGAAGGATCGCAAGCTACGAGGGTACCCATCTCGAACGACACACGGAAGCAATTGCGAGAATCAACTGCTGGTCCTTCGCACACAGAAGCCACCTCATTTGATAGCCAGGAGCCCTCGCAGTCGCAGTCGTTCTCTACGAGCGTAATCGACGGACTAGGTGCAGCGGCAACACCCCCGATTGCTGAGTCTGATATGGAGCCGCATTACCCAATCGCACGACCGACACCTATTCATCTGGATATTGCAGCCGCACAGGACGCCAGCCTACCTAGTCCGAGTTTGTCGCCTACCACGTATGCTGCGAACGCCCAGCAGAGCCTGGCTGGAGCGTCATCACTAGGTTTGGCGGCCGATTACGAATCGAACGATGTTTCCTCGCTGGACCTATCGCAGATTGGACGACCAGAAAGGATTGAAGACATGAGCCCCAATCCTCAGCTACTGACACCTACGGTCACGGGCATCCCAGATATGCTGAATGCATTTGACGCACTCCCGGAGGAGATGAAGGACTATGTCATGTACCAGATGCTGCGTCGATGCAAGAAGTCTACTCTACATTTTGTCGCCGATGTTGTTAACCCAGCTCTGAAGCGCGACTTCATTGCATCGTTACCCACGGAACTTGGCCTCGAGATCATCAGCTATCTGGACGTTCAGAGCATGTGCAGTGCTGCCCGCGTCTCGAAACACTGGCGGAAGCTCATCGATACCCACGAGACAGCTTGGAAAGAGCTTCTCGAGAAGGATGGATTTGCTTTGCCGTCAGGTGAGCTGGAACGCGCGGTACAAGAAGGATGGGGTTGGCAATTTACGGAAAACGCCGAGAGTTACGAACGCGACCTGCGAGGATCATCTACCGCGTCTCGATCAGACAACGACCATGCCACTGGCTCAGGCTCTAGCACGACCGCTGACCATGAAGGCGCCATAACCCGTTCATCGTCCACGCGCCAAAAGAGGAAAGCCATCAGCAAACATGGCGTGTCGAAGAAGCAGCGCAAGAAGGGATTGATGTCGACCAAGGCGCAATTTATGTCATACATGCTCCCTATCGAGCAGCGCGATGGACCGAACGCATATGCCAAACGGGCACAAGCCGCAATCCCGGATCCCCATCTCGGAATCCCCGGCCTACGTAACATGCACCTCTTCAAATCGCTTTATCAGCGACATCACCTCATCCGCAAGAGCTGGATGGCTGAGGACACAAAGCCAAGACATATTGCATTCCGTGCGCATCAGCGTCACGTCGTCACCTGTCTGCAGTTTGACACTGATAAGATATTGACTGGTAGTGACGATACCAACATCAATGTCTACGACACTAAGACCGGAGCTTTACGAAGTCGCCTCGAAGGACACGAGGGTGGTGTTTGGGCCCTCCAGTATGAGGGAAACACTCTGGTGTCAGGCTCCACAGATCGCTCAGTACGAGTGTGGGACATTGAGAAAGGAAGGTGCACACAAGTCTTCCAGGGCCACACTTCAACAGTCCGCTGCCTTGTGATCTTAAAGCCGACCAAAATCGGTGAAACCCTAGATGGAAAACCGATCATGATGCCCAAGGAGGAGATGATCATTACCGGGTCTCGAGACAGCACACTTCGGGTGTGGAAGCTTCCGAAGCCAGGCGACCGGAGCATCATGCAGACCGGCTCTTCGGCTGCCAACGACCTCGAAAATCCTTACTTCGTTCGTGCTCTAACTGGTCACCACCACTCTGTTCGTGCGATAGCAGCTCACGGCGACACTCTTGTCAGCGGAAGTTACGACTGCACTGTTCGCGTATGGAAAGTGTCCACCGGCGAGACCGTACAGCGTCTGCAAGGTCATACGCAGAAGGTGTACAGTGTTGTCTTGGACCACGCTCGCAATCGCTGCATCAGTGGCTCGATGGACAATCTGGTCAAGGTCTGGTCTCTTGAAACTGGTCAATGCATCTTCACCCTGGAAGGACATACTTCACTTGTCGGACTACTGGATCTCAGCCACGAGCGCCTTGTCTCCGCCGCAGCGGACAGCACTCTGCGCATTTGGGATCCTGAGAACGGGCAGTGCAAGAGCAGATTATGTGCGCATACCGGAGCTATCACCTGCTTTCAGCATGATGGGCAAAAGGTCATCTCAGGCTCAGATCGCACTCTTAAAATGTGGAATGTCAAGACCGGTGAATTCGTTCAGGACCTTTTGACAGACCTCAGCGGCGTGTGGCAAGTCAAGTTTAATGAACGTCGATGCGTCGCAGCAGTGCAGCGGAACAGCTTGACGTATATCGAGGTAAGCACATATCAGATATTGGATCTTGTCTAACAGCGCTAACTTCGCATCAGGTCTTGGACTTTGGTGCATCACGCGACGGCGTAGCCCTCAGCGAACGTGGCCGCAGAATCGTGGTCAATAACAGAGGCCATGAAATCGAAGACGTCCCAGACGCTGACATGGTCGACGCGGTCGATCAACCTTAGTGGGATGAGTGATCCCTCAACCAGTTTCTGTTCTTCAGCACGTTCTCAACCAATACCCCCACACATTTTCTTATTTAGCGGTATCGAGTATGGTACTACAGCATGGTCTGCGGGCACTTTGCCAGTTCCTTTTTTTTTTACCACACTATCCATGTTATCAGGGGTCAATGCATATGTTTTTAATGCTGTATGGGAAGGCGTTTATGTTGGGTTAGGAGGGTTATACTTGCATAGCTAGGGCGTTCTGATACCTCATCAAGGTTGCATTGACGACGACAATGAATACTAGCATATTTCACATTCGTCAACAGCCTCTTTTTCCAACAGTGATACCTGCCTGACGTCCTGCGCAAGAGCAGTTGGGCGTACTGATCAGACTGGTCGCGCAAAGATAGAATCCTACGTCGCAGTCAGTTGCGTAAGGCTCTCTTGACTGAAGCTTTGGCAACCAGAGCTATTGAGAGCGGCGCTGACTTTATATAAGACAGGGTGAAATTGTTACTCTAGTATTCATACTCATTCTTTCTGGACATGACGCGCCTGCCCCACCGAACGGCCCACACGTTCAGAGCTTCAAACATTCGTCACATTCATCACATTCGTCATTTGGATGTTTGATCGACCAAACAAACCCAGTACGACACACATCTCTACACTCATGGAGATGTATGCTCTACTTCGCCGCCCGTGATGCCAGAGTACTTTTTCCATCTTCTCTTCGAGCTCCATTCTTCACGCTCTCCTGCAGACACGACCTTCACCCCACCACCGCAAACCAACATCTTCACGTCTGAGCTCCCAACACATAGGCGAGCTTCGTGGAGCTCAGCGACGCCAGTGCCTAGAACGTACGGCGCTGCGACGGCCCCCAGCAACCGCCGGCTCAGTCAGCGCACACGACCCTCGTTTTCCGAACACCACGACAGTCCGGTACCAGTCGACAAAGCAAGCACTAAGAGTGGATCGAAGACTTCCAGGAAAAGCTTTGCCGCTCACCAAGATTGGCGCTTCGACACGATTTCGATTCTCAGTATCGACATGCTTCCGAGCAACACCGGTGACACATCACGATCGCGAGAGGCCCTCAAGCATGCTGCGACTTCTGGTGGCCTAGCCACCAAGGGTAAATTCATACCCTCCGACCCCAAGAACACAGAAGTAGGCTGGGGCGTCGTACACCTGTTCCGAGATGGACGCGAAACCCCAGGGCTATATGATGAGGTGGAGGGCGCATACGGCCCGTTTGTTGAGGAAGACTGTACAACACTTTGCATACTAGCTGTACCCTCATACATGACGCCGTCGGATTTCCTGGGATTTGTCGGAGAGCAGACAAGAGAGGATGTCTCACACTTCAGGCTCATCCGGACCAAGAGGGCGAACAAGTACATGGTGCTGATGAAATTCAGGGAATCGAGCAAGGCAAGGGCATGGAAGAAGGAGTGGAACGGAAAGACTTTTAATAGCATGGAGCCCGAATACTGTCACGTCGTCTTCGTGAAGTCTATCAACTTCCAGGACGGCGACGCTTCCACTCGCGACCCTTCCTCGTACCCTGATCTTACGAACGATCCCTTCACGCCAGCTGCGGCGCAGGAACCTACTGCACCGTTACCACCAGCGTCAAGTGCCTCTCCGTCCGCCGAAAGTAGTTCGCTTGCGACCTCGCTCACAACTAAGCCACACGCTCCTCCCACACCTGCTCTGGTCGAGCTACCAACCTGCCCTGTCTGCCTTGAGCGCATGGATGAGACCACTGGGCTTCTCACGATTCTTTGCCAGCACGTCTTCCACTGTGCCTGCTTAGAAAAATGGCGTGGCTCAGGCTGTCCAGTATGCCGCTACACTCAGAACGACGTATTCACCTCAAACTGTGGTCTCGAGGGTGACGCACCAGAAAACATCTGTAAGGATTGCGGTGCCACTGAAAATCTCTGGATTTGTGTCATCTGCGGCAACATCGGCTGTGGACGCTACGATGAGGCGCATGCCTTCGCCCATTACAAGGCGACAAAGCACACCTACGCTATGGATGTTGTAACACAACATGTGTGGGACTACGCCGGTGACGGCTACGTCCATCGTCTGATTCAGAACAAGGCGGATGGTAAGCTCGTCGATCTCTCCGCCTCAACACATCAGACCTTCGGCTCAGCTGGCATGACTGGCTATGCCAACGATAGTGTCCCGCGCGAAAAGCTGGACAACATGGGCATGGAGTACGCCTACCTGCTCACATCCCAGCTCGAATCTCAACGCGCCTATTTCGAAGAGCAACTTGCGAAAGCCACAGACAAAAGCACTAAGACTGCGGCTGCTGCGGAAGAAGCATCACGCAATGCGTCCGCACTTGCCAAAGACTTCAAAGCTCTGCAACTGCAACACACCGAAACCGTAGCGACAGTGTCGGCTCTCGAGAAAGAAAGCGCGAGAAACACACAGAAAGCAACGGCGGCGTCAGAGCTCGCCCGCACCCTGACCAAGCAGTACAAAGAAGAGAAGACAGTAAACGACTCCCTCCTCACGCGCATCAAGCACCTCGAGAAGGTCGCTGCAGATGCCGAAGTCAAGATTAAAGGCCTGGAGGCGCAAAAAGCAGACCTCGAGGAGCAGAACCATGATCTTTCCATGTACATTAGTGGCGCGCAGAAGATCAAGGAGATGCAGGCCAATGAGGTCTTCGGCTTACAAGAAGGTGAAGTGGAGGGTGCAACGATCGAAGTCGGCAAGAAGAAGAAGGGAAAGGGCAAGAAGAAGGCCTAGGAGCCCGTGACTATTTATCAGAAATCAGGCCTCACATTACAAGACGCTGGCCGTCAAAATACAGAGGAAACGGATGTCACGAGAGCTTTCTGGCAAAAGGAAGTTCAAACACGAAAAGACAACAAGATCGATGAGGAAGCCGAAGAGAGGGCAATGCGCGCACTCTGGGATCGCCAAGCTGCACAAGCCCAAAGCACTAAACCTCAACGATACAACACTCCCCGTCGTCGCCGCCTGAACAGTCTTACACCCATCGATAACAACATTCCCAAATCTATTCAACAACCCACATCAACAATCGACAAAGATGAGATGGCCCTGCAAGCCTTGACCGATATTTTGAACCCTTGGTCAGCTTTTTGGCGTTGGAGCACGCCAAACAGGTTCGATATCATATTGGAATTGCTTGCTGCTTTCCACATCGGAAAGAAGGAACTCGTCGCTACTATCGGAGCTACTATCACCTTCTTTGTAGTTCTTGTCCTTTCTTTTTGGCTGTTTTGAGGTGCTTCATTTGGTTTGAAGGCGTTCACGGGTCAGAGCGTCAATGTCATGGGAAGGCGTTATGAGATACCCGTAGCGTTGGACAACAGCTACAATGCATCACACATCATTAGCACACTTGATCTGTGTAGTCAGGGTGGTCGGATGGACGCGCCGGTAGTGGAGTACACGCGCCCTTAGATTTCTGACCAATCACACATCATCGACCAACCCCCTTCTCTTACCTTTCGTCTTCGCTGCCATGACCACAACTCACACCTACACACAACTTGAGCTAGCCAACCATCGACAGCAATACACACGACACTGACGGCGTGAGGCAGGAGAGTCACTGCGCAGCTATACGCAGCTTCACCGAATCTCCCTCTTACTCCTATCAGTTGCGAACGGAACTGGTATCTGGCATGTCGTAGTTGTTCTCCTTTGTTGCAACTTTTTGTGTGGTGGTTTCCTTCGTGGTTGTTTCTCGCGTGGTTGCTTCCTTCGTTATGGCTTCCTTCGTTGTGGCTTCCTTCGCCCGCAAACGCGTCAAAGAGCACACACAAAGACTGTACCTCAGCGAAACCAACTGCACAAGCTGTGACTGACATAGGTTCTGGAAGATGTGCGTACGCAGAATGAATGTCAGCAGCCCGGTCCAGCAGTCTGATCGACTAAATGACAGTATAGCCACATGCTCAGCCTCGCCCACCCATCCTACCATCGAAGCGTAGCCTGCGCCTGACGATAGATCTTAAACAGGCGAGCCGCGGGGCACTGCGTGGTGATGCTAGGCTTGTAACCTAGCCAAGGCTCCACCCCTGTACACGTTGACATTCGTAGGGAAGATTCACCAAAGCACTTCCACGAATTTGTATGCGGCTTGACGAGGTCAGTCCCTGCTGTCAGTTTGGTTGTCAGTCAGACTAACTGGTTGTCCTAATCAGAATCACAAGTCTTTCCGCAATGAGCAGGCTTCCGGCTAACGCAGGCAGAGGGGCTACTACATCTAAGGGGGACACAATCAGCCTGCAGAGCCTCTATAGTTATCAGCGATTATAGAATGGAACCTGCTCGCTATTGGTCGCAGTGGTCGTATGCGCAGGCTGTGCAGGACGTCATCGAATGCACTGCACAAGGCTGAGACACGGCACAGAAGGGGCCATACTTGGCAAAGGTCACTTATACAGCACAGCGATTCGACCTCCCTCGCTTTGATCTGTGTCAAAAAAGCTGGGTAATCCTACTTGCTACAATGCGTGTCTCTTTGCTGGTGCTATTGTGCGGAGTCGCAGGGAGCATAGCGACAAACACATCGGTCGCGATCAACCCGGAGCCCCCTCTCGATAATCTTGGTCTGCCAGGCTTGCCACTCAAACATGGACTTGGATTCTGGCAGCCTCGTAACCTCTTTATTCGACAATGTCGGTTGATGATCCTCTAGCCAGCAAGTCATACCTAACGGGCGACAGCATCGTGTACTGCCGCTGATGGCTACATTCATAACTGTGGCACAGATTACCCTAAATGTGTACGAGTATCAAATCTCTTGCTCGTCACCTTGGCTAACCTCCAGGTAGTGCAGCGGTCACAGTCTTGATTATCTATGTACATGTGAGTCCCACTCCTTCGGCCCCCGAGTGTGTACTGACAGCTTGACAAGACCAGACCTATACCTGCTGCGCAAATTCCAACTCGGCATGTGCACCTGGCTGGTATTGCTGTGGACTCACGTGCTGCCGGGAAGGGATCACTTGCTGCGGAAGCATATGCTGCAATGAAGGGTACTCCTGCAGTACGGCACAAACCTGTGTTGCGAGAACTACAACCTCGAGATCAAGCACCACCACAACACGACAGCCGACTGGAACTACTACACCATCGGAAGGCGATGAGGACAATTTTAAAAAGGGACTGAGTCAATCGGATAGGATCGCACTAGGGGTCGGGCTTGGCATCGGTATTCCAACACTACTCATCGGTTTTACAGGCTTGATTATAATGTGCAACAAATAACGAGGGTAGGATAAAGAGCGCGAAGGTCTAGACGAGTTGCAGTTTGTCGGTCGACCATGGTTTGAGATTTTTTGTTTCTGTCAATTCATACTGATGTACAACACATAGACTTTAAGCCACTCGTAATATTTAATCACGTATTGGCCAAACCTGCCTGAGTGGGTTGAAAGAACTCAATCATCACAGCAACAATGCGCTGTTCACATCCTCAAGCATCCGTAACGGAGACAAAACTTCCTGGATACTATTATTGAAATACCCCTTGGAGGCGTCCAGGACCACCGATTCCATGACCAAGCAGTGGACGCCGGCACCACCAAAGGTATTTCGACCGATCCCCATCAGTGACCTACCAGCAAAACTCCTGCTGCAAATGCTAAAAACGTCAGTCTCTTCCCCTCACCATTCATCCATCGCAGACTTACACCGCCCTTGTAACATCCAACCAGAACACACTCTCCCATACTCATCGCACAGAGAATATTGCAAGCCTCACACCTCCGCTTTCCAAGCATTGGCTTGATAAGCGACAAGATGATAGTGCTCGGCTCGGCAGTAGCCACTGCTACGACGGAGGTGAGCAGCGTACTCCGCTTCCCATGCACATTCACCTCAGCGGGGAGACGTTCGGCGATCGGAGGCGCCGCCGTTGCAGGGGTTTCAACACGTGGGAGCCCGATGTTCGGTAGAGTGAGCCAGCAGAATTCTTGCTGTCGACGCTGTATTGTGTCAGTCTTCATACTTCAAGTAAACTGGGAGAGAGACTTACACCGCCCGCGTAACATCCGATTTGCACGCACCTACCCATGCTCATCGCGCAGAGTCTGTTGCAGGTTTCGCAGCACCGACGCTTCGAGAGCACGTGAGCGGTTGGTGTCGTTGCGGTGGGAGCTGTTGGCTTGACAGCGCCTTCCTCAGGAGTAGGAGTGAAGTCGGTGGGTGGGTGGCAGCTACGCGCTTTTCAGCCGGGAGGCCGCCAGTGGATGTCCCAGCGTCGACGAGTAGTGTTGCCGCGGGGTCGTGGCTCCAGGCGGAAGCGGAGCATCTGGTATCGCGGTCCAGCAGACTTCCTCCACAAGATACTACCCCCATTAACTTTCTATTCTGACACGCGATCACAATATCGGCAACTCACTCCATCTTCAAAGCAACTTAAATACGCACACTCAGCAATGCCCCATGACACGGAATTGGCGACGGTTGATTGATCGACGCTTCTCGAGGGGTGAGGAGCAGTGTTGCCGCGATGGTGGAGGTGGAGAAGCGCATTTTGATTATTGTTGTGGTGGTTGTGACGCTTGGAGTAATATAGTGTGGTGTGTGAAATATGTAGACGTGCGAGTTGCTTTTTACAATTTGCTGTGGGCTCGGTTTCTTGGAGCCTGGAGATGTTTCATGGTTCGTTGGAGTACGAAACAAAATCCCCAACCAGTGCCGGCAAGAAAAAGATTGGAATGTTCGTTGAGCATAGTGGCGATGATTCTGAAATACAGTAATTGAGATTCGTTACCAATGCCCAACTCCTTTCCATGTAACACCTTGAGAAATGTATGTAGTATATGTACAAGTCATGTCTGCTTTTGCTTCCCAAACAGAAGCCAAAGTAGTAAGAAGTGAGAGTCGCCGTCTCGGTCGTCATGTTCGTTGAAGTCGTAACTATGCTGTCTGACTGCAGACGCAGAAGGGGTGGGGAGGAAGGTGGTGAATGATTACCCAAAATACGATAAGCCAGACCCATGCCAACGCCGGTGCAATGTGAGAAAATCCAACTGCCACCATATCCAAAATCGGTTCGAGGTCTCAAATCCAGTCATCGTCCTTCTTGCCCCCAACCGGGCCCCCAATATCGATCTCTCTACCGAACGCCAACCCCAGATCAAGCTTGGGAACATCGATCTGCGGTGCAGGCTCGGCCTTCTTCTTCGGACTCATCTTCACTGGACTTGTACTGCCATTCTTGTCCCCGCTGCCCATTCTGACGGGTTTGACGTCCCAGTCGTCTTCCAGCGCAGCACCAATCCAAACTTTGATGCTGTCGTGCACGGCGCCGTAGTACTTGGGGTTACACGCGCGCAAGTGACCCATGAGCTTCTCGAAGCCCGAGATGCGGAGGTTTTCGCGAAGTTCGTTACGAGCGGCGCGCGTTGGAAGAGAGGCGAGCAGCCCGTTGAGGAGATCGATGTGTGTCGCGAGATAGTTAGTTGCGTCCCATTCTACCCCACCAACGTAGGGGGCCGCAGGAACGATGGCGCGGGGTCCAGGGAAGTGTGTCTTTGCATAGCTCTTGGGTGGTGTGTCCGCGGAGGGTGCGGGAGGAATGGGAATTATGTTAAGGTGATGGATGAAGATCCAGAAGACTTCCTTGGTGACGTTCGTCATTTCCTTGCACCACACCTGGTATGGGCGGGATGTGTGCATTTGCAAGATGAATGGGACAGTCGAAGATTCTTTCTCTTTGACAGGGTCGCGCAGGTAGGTAAGGAGTTCGGTAGCGCGGGAAGGAAGTTCGGATTCGGGTGCCATGTCGATGTGAGCAAAGACGATCTGAATGATGAGCTCACGAGTGGTGAATTCGCTGGGGCCTTTGTGCTCTTCGTCAAAGAGCATGTCGATAAGCGCTGGATAGAGGGTGGATGAAATGCTGGCGAGTTGCTTGAGGGCACTGTCCGTTGTGCAAAGGCCTTTCAGGCAGCGGAGTAGCTCGTGAAGGAGTGTATCTTCGTGGTCTTCGCGCCATTCGATTTCCATAATCCGGTGGAGCAGGCCAACGAGCTCCAGCATGCCGCCATCTTGAATGAATGTATCGACCCATTCGACCGTCTCGTTCCGTAGCAATAGTCGAAGTTTGTGCAGCTTGCCCACTTCAACCTCTTGAGGCTTGGGTGTCTTCTTCAGGTAGTTGATGAACTCCGCAGATTTGACTGTCTTCGAGCTGTTGGATACAGATCTGTTCGAGGCAGCGTCTGAAATTAGGGATCTGGAAGACGGCGATTTGGGGATCGGGCTAGGCTGTGCGGTTGTACCCAGTTCTGTGGCTCGCTGCTTCTTCGTTGGGGAGTTGCTTCTGGTGAACGTAAAAGTCCTGCTTGTTGGACGCTCGCGTTTTGTGCCATCTGCCTTGCTCGTCTGCAACGTCAGATTCTCTTCTTGTGCGGAGTCGTTTCTCGACTTGGGGGACCTGGTGGGTCCCAGCTTTGGAACGCCTTTGCCTTCACTCTCTCCTATTGACGGTATGGACGTTGTGGACACCCGTGGGGTATCGAGCTTGTGTGTTCGGACGAAGTCCGCTTTGACTTCGATCTTCAGGGTTCGCATCGCAGCGCGCTGATGTGTGGGAATGTTTCGTGATTCCTACCATTGTCAGGCGTTGTTATATATGTCTGTCGATTCTTAACTTACCAGAACTTCCTCGAACTCAGCATCCACCACCATCGGGTCAAGCTCCTTAGTGGGTGATGCCGGTGGAGCGTCTGCTTGCTTTGCCCTACCGTTGAAAGCAGCGACTGCAGCCATCACCCTGTTTGGCTTCTTCGTTGGGCTTGGTGGCGGTTCCATTGCGCCGATTGTCATAAATTGTCTGCCAGTGTCTGTACTAGCGCGTCCGAGTGCAGGCCTTGTAGACTTGCTCTTCGATGGTGAGCTGTCTCTTGTCCTCTCCCCGTTCCCTTGTGCGTCTGTCAACGGCGCTCGATCGGTGCTCTTCTTGCGCGAAAATGTGTCGAGCAGTGACGTTGTGGACTTGGGAACGTGCATAGACTTTGGTCGTTCTTTCGGCGCAGGTCGCTTCTGCAGGGAGGGCTGGCCCACCTCGAAGAAGTCGCGCTGCTTCGATGGGGAGTAGTTCTGCGGGGTGTACAAATTGATCTCGTCTTCGAGGCTGCGGCGCTGGTCGTTGAGCGGGACCTTGCTCGTAGCTGTGATATCTTGCAGAGGCTGCGAGCTGAACTGTGCCCAGATGGGAGTCGGTGGTGGTTCAGACGACAGGGCCGGGGAGAAAGGAGCAGTATTCTCCTTGTCTTTCGTGGGCGACTGTCCAATCTTCTTAGACTTGCTCTTGCCAAACATAGACGCCAGGTTGGTCGATGACTTGGCTCTCTTCGACTTATCGAGGACTTCGTCTTCCTCCCGCGATTGTCTGAGGTCGATCGCCTGCTTCTCTTTTGCTTTGTCCTTGCCAAGTGACCGCAGCGATACAGTGCTGAGGGTCTTCTTGTGCAGGCCCTTCCTCGGGCTCGAGCTGCGAGTGTCCTGCGATTGCTTGCGTGGCAACGGTGGGAGGACAGGAAGGTTCTCGGACTGGTTGTTGGCAGTTCGCGGCTGACTGTGCGGGTGGTCTGGCGGCAACAGCGGCGCATTCATAGTCGCAGACGGCATAGGAATATATGGTGCAGTAGAGGGCGCAGCCTTCAGTGCAGTGCCGTCAGACGGTGAGCGCTTATGCTGTCCGATGATCGACTTGAGCACCGAGGCCGACTTGTTGCGGCGATGCCCTGCGGCGGGGGCTGGCGCAGGCGCTGCCATTGCGAGGGCAGCGACGACGGGGCAAGATTTGCAGGTGCTATGATGGAGGCGGTGACCAAGAGCGATGCAATTGAAACGTATGCAAGCTATAGCAGGGACATGTCTGGCATATTTGGCGGAGCAGTTGGGGTTGTCTACTCCAGATGGTTCGTGCCTCGTTGACGTAGTAAACAAACTGCCCGTTGTTGCGGGAACGGCAGGCGCGCTAACGGGGTCGGCATCTTTGAGCGCGAATGCACGTGTCACACCGCAATTCGACTTTCTGCTTTTGTCTGGGCCACCTGTTCTTCCAATGATCCAAGTGCCGTTCCTTTTAGCCACGGGATCTTGACAATGTGGAGTGTTGTTGCTCGTTCGCGGCAAGTGCTGCCGAGCTACGGTTCGATTGCCCTCAAAACACTCGATCAGGCGGACATGTATAATACAGAACGAGCACCACTCAGAGGTCTGAGCAAGTTGTCAGTGCTGAACTGGATTCAGATATCGTATTTGGAAGTTATGTCCTGTTACTCGTTTGTTCTTCCTGTGCCTACGCTCTTGGGTGTCAATAACATATCCCTGCACAGCTGGGGTAAGGCTGTTGACATTTGCATCAAAGTGTATAGATCGAACTGAAAGTCGTGACTGCCAGTATCGAATCTCTCGTCGTGTCGTATCCGGATATCTTCATGGTTGTTAATGCTGCACACCACTCAGCCTTTCATAGCCTGATTGGCAAGCTGCATCCTCCTAGCCCAACCCCCATACACCCATCCCATTGCATCCGCCATATCGTGGAAATAGGGAGACCAATCTGTTCTTTCTTAGCCTTCGCCCCACACCCTTGAACAGGTGCAACATACCTTCTCTCACAAATCCACCTTCCTGCTCCTTGAGCTCTTTCCAACTCTTCTTTTCCTGCATACCTAGCTGCACAGCTCTCGCCCTCTTACCCCTCGTCGCAATGATCCTGACTTCGCCCTTGAGGCTTTGCTCTGGTGTTGCTAGGCGCCAATTCTGGATAATTTCGTGACCTGGGCGAGCGGACCACTCTTGCATCTTGCGACCGTCTTCTGTTCTCTCCTCGTCCCTGGCCTCGGCTTGCTTGGTGGGTACAATCCTCATCTGCACACTTGCGCCGAATGCCTCGCCATCACGCTCCTTCAGCAGCGCATCCCAAGTCTCGGGTTGCTGTTGTCGCTTCCGCCTGTGGTCGTAGCCTGAGGCGATGAAGTCCGTACAAGGCGTGATGTAAGTGAGTCTCTTCCATGCATCGCTCTTGAGAAGAGCTTCGATATCCATATATGTTGTTACGTCTCGCCAGCCATCGCCTTGTCCGTAGCCGTGCCAGCAGTCGTCCACTTCCAGTTCATCGAGACAGAGGCCAGGCAGAAGGGACAAGGCATTGGCGAAGTAGTACGTGGGGTAGTATTCCGGCTTGTCGTTTGCATAGAGTGGGAACGGGAACGCGCGGACTCGGATGTGACGAAGCCGGGTGATGACACTCTGGTCGACAGAGAGTAGTGTACGAAGGAGATCTTCCGTACTGCGGAAATGGAGGGTGGCATTCAGTGGAAGGTGACGCCAGGCCTCAGCGTGAATCTGACGGCATGTGAGTAGCAAGGCTGCACGAGGCGAGGATGTGGATTCTTGGGCAGGTTTGCTGGGTCCTCTAAGGCCGTGGACGATCGTGTAAGAACTAAAGAGGAAGACGTAGATCAATTCCCGGAGCTCGACTGGAATGGTCAGAAAGTTTGGAGTGGCCATGGTCCCGATCGAGGGTGTCAGATCGTAGGCAGGTATGATGTGATCCCTCTATTACACATGTGATGAGCTGATGGTTAATAGCCGCGGCTGTCTGTGGACTTATACTTGAAGTACTCCTTAGTGAGAGTTGATGGCACCAAGATCAGTTTTTAATGCTGTAAAGTTGAGTCAACCGGCAGAAATGCCGTTCAGCTTGATCTGAGGGCTGAAGGGATCACGCGCGGCCTTTATGGCGTGCCAGAGCATTGCGCTGTGAAAGGGCTAGTTCGTTGTTAGTATGACGTTTAGGCGTTTGCCGGGGTACCAATCGTGGTCTACCCTGCCGTAGCGCGAATAACGGGGATTGGTTCTACGGCGGTGTAGGAACGCAAACGTCAGGAAAAGATAAGGACCCTGCCGCGTGTCATCTGCCTACACTCGCGTGCGAGCTACTGTAGTCTCCAAACGGTTGGGAGTCGAGTCTGGACTATGAACTCGGTTGTTGCGCATTCTGATTTGCCAAAATCTTGCATTCCACTATGAATAAGCTCGCTTGCTTCTGGGGTATCGTCGATGCATCTTGATCGCTGCACTTCATCTGCCTCTCCATGTGTCGTAGCTACCTGAAGGTGGTACTAGTCCGACTTGGACCGCCCACGACTTCTCTGTTGTTGTGCTGCGGCCTCCTGTATCTTCTTCTGCTGCCATTGCCATTCCACCAGCACCGGCAGAAAGTGCCACAAGTCGAATTCTGGCCACAAGCACTTCAGGAACACAATCGATGTGTTCTCGTGACATTGCCATAGCATGAAGTCGCTCAATCGCTCCACACCGGACGTGCGCACTAGCAAGTCAAGTGGTGGGGCATCCGCTGTCATCATGTTGTCCGTCAGGGTTTGAGCGGTGATTGCCTCAGGATCCAGGAACTGGTGAAGATGCGATTCATCTTTCTCCGACGGGTTGATCGCCGTCGACGATGACAAAGACCGCTCGTCGTCGTGCTTGCCCTCTTTTGATGGTGAAGACGACCGAGATTCGCGCTGCTCAGCCCCGCCTTCTGAATCATCCTTGAGAGATTGCTTGCGGATGTGCTGTGTGATGCCTGATTCGGAGAATGTACGTTTCGAAGGGCTCTGGAGGTTATGAATCGGTGTGCTGTAGGTCTCGACAGTCTTCATGACTGCGGTCGTAATCTCGTCTCGGGAGGTGTATGGAAAGCAGATATTTAGGATAGCCCTGAACATATTAGAACGCCGTTCGAGGCAAACACTTGCAGAGACACCCACTTCTTGTTATGCGCAGTCAAAGACACGGCTTTGTCGACCGCCTTGAGGACGTCAGGCTTGATCAGATCTCGTTGGCCCAATACCCTGACGGATGCTCCGTATCGATCGAGAAGAGCACCATGCTCAGACAGCTGCTCGAGCTTGACCTTGGCCATGGACATCAGAGCATCGACTTCGTGTTTTGAGCGCTTGAAGTTCTCAATACTGAAGGCGTAGATTGTGACAACCGTCACACCTGTCTTGTAGCAGACTTCTAATATCTACGAATGCGTCAGTAATCTGCAAAAGAGGCTTTTATCTCTGCAACATACCCTTGCTAAGGACTCAAAGCCCATGTTGTGCCCTTCTACGGTCTCAATGTGGTGGTTTCGCGCAAACCGCCTGTTACCGTCCATGACGAACGCAACATGCTGGGGAATCGGTCCCTGCTTGAGAGAGCCGATGAGAATCTCTCTCAGCTGTCGTATTGTCCATGCGACCGGCGGCGAGGTTGCGAGCCACTTGTGTATGCGGGAATCGTGGAGGGAGCCCATGGTGGAAATTGTTGAGCCCTGGAGGTACTCGGTCTAGGAAATGTATAGGAACGTCGCAGTTGCAGGGACAGTTGATCGAGAAAGATTGGACAGTCTAGTGCGTGGAGTGGTCTATGGTGGAATTGGAGGGCTAGGATATCACGGAATGGGCGGCATGCTGTATATGAAGGCCAAGTCTCGTAAGATGCTACGTAAACCAAGGCCAGAAAGCTGAGGCGCAGGCTGAACGCGCAGTGTCCAAGGGACCTCGGAAAGTCTAAGCGTTACCGGTCTTTCCCATTTTGGGGCTGCGCTTGGCAGTCTCGCTTCCCCACCCCTGCCGTTACATCCGCCGATTCTTCCTTTGCCTGACAACGCAGCCTCTTTGCCGCGCAATCGGAGCTGGTCTCTCCCCAAAGACTCACTGCCACACCACCACTTTTGCTCGAGACTAACACAGCCATGGGTGATGAGGCGAACAAGCATGTCGCGCAGCTCGCTGATCAGCTTGCGGAGGGTTTCACAGCGTTGAGCGGAGAGTACCAGGCTCTGTTCGACCAGCAAAAGCAGCTTGAATGCAAGCTGTCCTGGGCCAAACAGCAGGTAAGCTACCACCTAGTTTTCTTTCGTGCATCTACACCTCTTCTATGATGATACACTTTAGCTCTAGACCTGCAGCTGCTTTGCGGCTTTGCCAGACAACAACCACATGTTATCCTGATCCTCTACATCACACCACTTGTCACACCACGCCCTTCTGGCCCACTGGCTGACAAACCTCAGTATCTCGATCTTCTGAAGCGCTTCACGCCGAGCACACTGTCACAGGAGCATATTGCGTTCCTTCAGGACCTCGAGCGAGTCGCCGAAGAACAACCCCGGGCGCGGTTGAACGTGGTGGATCTGTTGGCTCAAGGTGACGATGTGGAGCGAAAGAGTCGGGCTGTAGTAATTAGACAGGCTGAGGTCGCTGCGACTGCCCTGCGTGCTCCCACCGAGGATGCTGGTGTCAGAATCTGGAGCGGCCCTCAAGCGGACCCACAAACAATATTATCGAATACCCAAACGAGCAGTGTCACATCGCCCATGGAGAAAGACTTCACAGCACTTGGAACACCCAGTAAGCTTGGGTGTCCATTCGCTTCGGGAGCTGGAAGAGGCAGTTCGCTCGCTACCCCGCGTAGCTCCACTTCAAGACTGAGCTCGCGAGGCAGAAGATCGAAACGCCCATCCTTCACCGACCCTATTCGCGCTGAGATTTGTGGAAACAACCCATCCTCGCCCTCTGTGTCCGTCGAGGGGTCTGCCGTCGTGTGCCCGATTCGATTCCTTGACCAGCATGATCCCGAAGAGGTTGCGAAATACTTCGAGAAGCACAAGCACGAGCTCCCAAGGAGTCATGAGGTCTGCATCACTCGCTTTCAGAGCAACCAGGAAAGCATCGATCAGCTGGACCGCAAATACGGCAACCTCGTCAACATGATTCAAGGACTGGGCCAGAAGCACCAAGCTTGGCTGCCTGAAGAACCGGAAGATGCGATCGAGGAAGAGCTGGAACATGAGGGCAAGCCAGATTCAAAGGCGGACGCGAAGGTCACAAAGTGGGTGAGGGCCGTGTCAGACAGCTTGCAAGGTGTGGCATCACCACCAGAGGACATACCACAAGAGCCGGTTGCAGACAAGGATAGGACGAGTCACTTTGATCGGCCCCTCAAGGATGTAAGGGTGGGCGAATCACCAAGCCGACCATGGGGCATCTCGATCCCAGCCAAGTACACAAACGCCGAAAGCTCGTCCTCAGTCGGCTCTGCCGCGACCGCCTCTCCACCAGTGCCGCTCAAAACTGATCGTGAGATTGGTCAGATGCAACAAAAGTCTGCCGGCAAATGTCCATTCGATCACGAGGCTTTGGCCAGGATGCGAGCAGGAGGGGCGCCGCAAGCAGTGCCTACTATGCCCACGATGCCTACGGTGGCGACTGCACTTACACAGCCCGGATCCAGCAGTTACCGATCGCCCAGTCCAAAGCCGGAGCCTACCGTCAAGCCCGAGCCGGTACCGCAGCCTCCGCCATCACCGTCGAAAGAGCAGGATACTCCCAAGGTGATTCCTCAGATGGTCTTCAACGGTCCGGTCTTCCTTGGATACCCTCCGGAGCAACTCATTGCGCTATTACAAAACAGCAACCTCGGAGGTGCTTTTCGCGGGGCTTGATGCAGGAAGAGTTGTTTGAAGCGTTTATCTGTTTTCACCCAGCGTGCGTCTTGTAGCCACTAGTCTGAGCGTTTTGTATGTCCCTAGACCTCTTCTTCTCGTCATCAAGCGTCTCTCTTTCATCGCTAGCGTGGAGTTCTGGCGCCCTGCATGTTCGTCTATCATCCAGCATCCACTCGCTCAACGTGTGGCGCACATGTTTATAGTTCAGTCATCAACGAGGGCCACATGGCCCTCCTTACATCACTAGATCTTGTCATCGACCCTCTGTCTCTTCACTTCTTTTGTAAATCCGCCATCCATGTCCGCACGCCCTTTGCACTGTCGTGTGCAGCTCGAAACACTGCTTTCATTAGCACGTGTCCACCATGTTAACGAGACAGACACTTACACTGCCGTTCGTTCTCATCCAACCCCCTCATGAAATCCGCACCTTCACCCAATGCACCACGAGGATTATGTGCTTGATCGGCAATAACCGCCGCTCGTGCCTTGTACGTCTACACAAACAATTGCTTGTTACTCTTCACTCAACTTGGAAGTGGAGGAAGACTCACGTCTGATAGTACTTCGACCATCTCGTCCTCATCGAAGAGTTCAAGGATCCGCGCACCCAGGTTGTAGAAGTGCGGTGCCAGCGCTCTCAAATCGACGGTTCGAGGATCTGCTTTTAGGGCGTTGAGGACGCGGGGGGAGAGGGCGGTCGGGGGGTCGAGGGTCACTAGGGATTGCGTGTTGAGAGATTGGCTGTGGACATTGTTAGTGTGGTGCCGAGGGCGAGAAGTGGAAGAAGATTATGAGCGATAGTACGCGGTGTGGCAGAAGTGTGGTCGTTGCTGGGGTGGTTTCGTACCTGAGGGCAAGCATCTCTCCTAGCCAAAGGGGAAGTTCGATCTTGGAACCTTGCTTCATGTCGCCGGTCATGTTGCCTTCAAGATAGCCTAGGCCAGGGACGGTGAGTTCAAAGGTACATGGTACCTTTTGCGCATCTGTGAGGATGGCATCGACGTCGTAGTAGGACATCTTGGCGGATCGCTGTAACCGATTAGAATTGTGACGTAGAGTGAGTGGCCTCTGCAAATGCTCGATGAGAGATGGAAGTTGCACGTTTGATTTGCTAAGGCTTGTGTACAACAGAGGAAGCAAGTAACAGCAGGCAGTAACCACTCAGAATGAAAATAATTACTGAGACGATTCTTTGTTCTTCAAGGCAGGAGTCCTTCAGGAACCTCTCCTGCATGTGCAAAGTGAGGTCGCTGAACCACGGTACTGCGCAAACAGAGCCATGTGGCGGCAACAGGCATGTCGCGTGTCGTGCAACCACATGGATGACGGGACGAATATGCACAAGAACCGTTCGGTAGAAACGAGATTTGAGAAACAGAATCTGCTGCAGGACGAGACAAACAGGGAAGGCGTTGGAACGTGAGAGAATGCAAGAAATCATCTGCTTACCGTTGTTGCCCCTCAAGCTGTGGTGCGCGTCTGCGTGTGCCTGGAGCGGGAGTCGGACTTATAGCGCGTTTTCGCCGCCTGTGGTGAGATCACTGACTACTTTACCCTCTAAACTCCTCACAAGCGCGTTAAACACCGTTGTCCTGCAGCCTCAAACAAATTTTATTTTTTTTGCTTCTTGCAGCTCGCTGTTGTTCAGCAGTCGTGTCTTGGTGATTGTCGTCGCGCGCCCTGACTAGCCGCTGCGGGCGTAGTCTCACCGCCTTCGCTGCCATAGCTCCAGTGAGGTCCCCGGTCATCATCACGAAGCGAGCCGCAGCTCGGGATTGCAGCAACGAGGCGGCTACTTACATGAACTGCCTGTGGCATCTCTCTCCGGGACAGATTCATAGATCTCCAGCAGTTTCTGCCTTTCCTCAGTAGAACCTCAAACAATAGACGCGGCAGAATCCAGGTACGTCATGCCCGCAAGCTCCCGCTGGTGATCATCTGGTGTCGTGTGGATACTCGATTACGCTCGGCGTGGTTCGCCTGCAAGTCACTGAGCCTCATCGTTGACATTCGCAACAGCAACACACTATTCCTTTCACTGTCGCAAGCATTGATTGACACCTCTCGTTGATGATAGCCGCCAGCGAGCTCCACTCCACCGCGCCTTAAGCTCATCGCCGACGCTCACGCCCACGCTCACGCCCGCGCCCCCCCCCCCCCCCCCCCCCCCCCCCCCCCCCCCCCCCCCCCCCCCCCCCACCCAACATGGCTGTCAGCGAGCGGATATCGCAGCTCATGGGCGCCCTCGACTCAGGCACCGGCGCAGACAACTCGCGAGCGACCTCTCCTGGCGGCGACTGGCGCGGCGCCAATGGCACAGTCGACGGCGGAGACAGCAGAAGCCGCCCACGCACATTTCCGTACTTTGAGTACCTGCCGTATCAGACTGAGGACCACAGCGAGCGCCTCGAGAGCTTGAACACATGTCTGAAACATCTCTACATCGCCGTGTCCGCCGGCGACTTCGCCCCTGGTGCTGTGCACTGGACGCGCGAGATTCGAGGCTGGCTGTCCCTCAAGTTCGATCTCCCCCGCAGCACGCGAGTGAAGCTCGTAAGCTTATACTACGAGCTGGCTCTTGCGCCTGGGCTGGACTACCTGGTAGCAGAACGCTTTGCATCCATGTTCATGGTGCTGACCAAGTGAGTATTCTGCAGCCTGACCATGGCTCAGTGACACAGCTGACACGAGACAGGCGAAAACACTACCTGCGCCCCGGCAAAGACCTCATCCTCGACTGGCGACCGCTATACAGAGAGCTGAAGCTCTTCGTTCTACCTTCGGAGTCTGGTGGCGCCCACCCACCAAATGTTAAGCGCAACATCCGAACACTGACGAAGATGTGCACCTTTGCACAGCTGTACTTCGACCCCAACGAGATACCTGCTATGTTCGAGGAGCTGTTGCCCTTCTTCAGCACGTCGTTCAGCGAAAGCGCATTCGTTGTCGTGGGTCTGCTGAACCTGCTGCTACCGACAAACGCAGCGCCAGAAAACAAGCCAAATCTTCTACCGCAGGAATACTTGCCCACCTTCTTCCACTGCTGGTCGCTAGTGAACCGATCGCGGTTGTTCGATGCACACTTCATCGACACGATTTCGAGACTGGCTAGAGACAACCTGACAGCGCCGCACATCCCTTTCTCACAATACGGCATGTTCACTGGCGAGCAGAACTCACACATATTCACAGCGATCCTGCGTCTTCTCGAGATTCCAGTTGGACAGGCGACATCGCCGTACAGCAATACAGTCGATCTTGGTGCTGGGTTGGCAGTCATGCTGGATAGGGACCAGCGGAAGCACCCTTCGACCCACCACATCGCTCGATTCATCGGCATGTCATTGTCGCCGGCGTGTGTAGACCACCCAGACTCTATTCTAAGCAAGCTAGAAGGCCTGATCCAGGCTGTTGAGACGTTCTTCCACCCATCGAATTCCGGTAGTTGGACGAGGCCGCTCGCACAGTTGGTGTACTACCTTGCCGACTTCTTCGTACTGCGCTGGAACCGAGAACACAGTGGCGAGATGGACGTGCCCAAGGAGCGCCAATTGAACGATGAAGTCAAGAGGCGTTTTGTGCTCTGTCTGCGAGAGGTCACATTCATGGGCATCTTCAGCAAGAGCGACAAGGCTGTTCAGTATGCGCTTTCTACGCTCCAAAGCTTAGCGTATCTGGAACCGAACCTCATTCTTCCAGGCGCACTGCAGCGAATCTATCCCGCCATGCAGGGTCTTGTCGAGGTACATCGCACTATCTCCTCCATTCGTGCGTTGCACATGCTCTCGAAGATCATGGCGAAGACCAAGGGCTGGCGATGCCATGTCACAACTGTCCTTGGGCTGTCATTGCCTGGCATCGACGCCAACGATTTGGAGAAGACGTTACATACACTGCAGTACGTGCAGGGCGTCTGCTACCTTGTACCGTTCCACGATCTTACAAAGGCGAAGAAAGCCTCAAACCCTTCTGGAGATGGGACAGAGACGCCACAAGAGGACATGGGCGGTGACACAGGGCTTGCCATGCAATGGATCACGCAACAAGTCGAACGATTAGAAAGCGCCAACGGCAACATCGAGATCAATTATGACGAAGAGCTTAGCGACGAAGACGAGCAGCTGATCCTGCGGTCTTCCACAACAGGCCTAAACGAGTTCCTTATCTCGTTCCTCGGTCGTGTGTTTACCCTCCTGGAGAATCTGCCAGATGCCTCAAGAGTTCGTAGTGGATCTCCTGAGGAATACGTGGTGAACCATCTGCCAGCTGCATTCACACCGTTGCTCGCTGCGCTTTCGCCGGAGCTTTACGATGTTGCACTCGACAAGATCGCCAACTTTATCTCGAATCACGTCATTCATCAGGCGCGAGATGCGATTGCTTTCATTTGCAATAGTCTTGTGAAGATCAATCCCGAAAAGGCGTTGAAGCGTCTGTTGCCCCACCTGTTTGCTGGCATCCGTACAGAGATCGAGGACATTGGTGCCGGCTCGACGCGAACAACCGGCGCAGAGGTTCTCCCTCGCGACCGGGCTCTGGTCTGGAACCTCAGCATCTTGAGCATGTGCGTTGTGCATGTTGGTGATGCTGTTCTCGAGTGGAAGGATGATCTCTTCGAGATCGCCGAGTACATGCAACAGAAGTGCCGAGGCACACCCACCGTGCACGTCTCGAACTTCATTCACCATCTCCTTCTCAACCTGACATGCACGTATACCATCGACTACGATATCTACGAGCAGGATGAGCTTGCGCAGGGTATCACTGCCGAGTCGTGGGGAAGGCAGGTCGATGTGAAGAGCCTGAACGTCAAGTGGCACACTCCCAAGCCTGAAGAGGTCGAGTTCGCCGTCAAGCTGTTTGAGACCCATGCCAGTAACTCGATGAATGCTCTTGTTGCACTCATCTCGGCGGACTCGCCCATCAAGCGAGAGGGCACTGGTAAAGACTGGTCAGATGAAGTATCGAGGAATCTCGTCCTTCTGAGATTGATTATCTCTGGTATCTCAGTATTGTTCGACGTTCGACATGATCAAGTCAGCGGAAGCATCGATGCTGGCTCTGAGAGTGGGTCGGATCCTGACGCCATGGACACGGAAGGCATCGACGACGACGCTGGTCTGGGTGAGGCAGAGGATGAAGAGGTCAAGCCTACATTCCAGTACGAGTCTGGCTACCCGTTGTCTCGCGAGGATAAGGATTATAAGCTCATCCACGACCTCCGCCACCGCGTTGGTGAGATTCTGCATGACGTTCATCGATTCTTGATCGAGAAGCAACCCGATGATGTTCCTTGCTTCAATTCTCTGTACAACGCTTACCGATCTTGGTTTATCGATGTTGGTATTGAGCGTTCTGCGCATGTCCTTGACCGCATCTCTAGGCTACTCGACAACGATGAGCAGCCATTCAGGTTCAGCGGTTTGCGGAAACAGTACCCCCGACCACTCCTTGTCCGACGCGCCAACGTATACCACTTGCAGCGCCTTCGACACAACGCCAACCCTCGGCCAAAGACTGAGCTCGACAAGCAGTTGCTGCTCGATCTTGCAGAGTCCAGCATATCACTGTACACAGAGATTCGACGTACAGCTCAGACCGCAAACGAATCGGCCGTCAAGTGTGTACTAGGCGCTCGACCTCTTGTCATTCCATCGCTCCTGGACGCCTTTGTCAAGGCTGTTGCAGAGCATGATTACCCTCGCATCAAGGGTGCGATGTTTGCTCTGCTCTTCGGCAGTCTGGCAAAGACAATTAGTCGTGACTGGAGGTTCACTCCCAAATTGATCAAGGCGTTCATCGAAGTTACTGGTGCCGACAAGCCATCAGTGCAGAAGCTTGCTACGAATGCCACCTTCCAGGTCATGGATATGGGCAAAGCAATGGAGCGCATGGTCATTCTCGATAAGGATGTCGTTCAAGCGATCGCATATGCCATCGACTCCGCCGAGGACGAAGTTGTGCAGCAGAAGGTCACAAAGCGGCGTGAATATATCAAGCAGAAGCGCGCTCGCATTGAGGGCAAGAAGGCTGATCTGTCAAAAGAACTGGTTCAGATCGCTAAGACTGAGCACTGGAAGAAGGTCAGCCGTACAGCAGCCATCATCGTTAATCTCGGGATGCGCTACGATACTATTGCTTCTGATGAGATGATCGATCTCGTGGCGAAGGGCGCTATCGACCAGCATCCAAGCTTGCGAGGCCTTTACGCAGGAGCCTTTATTGGCTTGTTCTCAGTCATTCAGACGCGTGCAATCACTGGCCACAGCTACGAAAAGTACCTGCTAGGCGAAGAGGATTTGCCGGACAAGATATCGGTCACAACTCGACCTGATGACCCGAATTGGACAGAGGAGTACCTCGAGTCCTTTGCACAGCCTGAGGCAAAATACTATGTTGACTTCGACTACCCTGGTTGGCTGGTGTGGAATAAGACCATGCCTGCTTTCCTGCCGAACGCGCCTCAAGTAGAGTACGACGAAACCGAGAACACTGTCCGCAAGAGGATCGCGAGCCACCTGACGCGCTCGTGGTTCTCGAACTACTTCGCATTCATGAAGCAGGAGCCCCGTGATGCCAGCGCTGACCGCTTCCGTATGTCAAGTGCGATGCTGCTGACGCATGCTTTCGATCTCATCTTCTGTGGCTTGACCGAGGCGACATTCGATGATATCAAGGACCTCACCGAGGCCGTGTACAGCGATGGAAGCGACAAGCACCAGCATCGCGCCACATCCGAGATCATGGCTGCGCTGCTGTCTTGCGCACCAGATCTGAAGCCGGACCAGCGAACAGAGGTTTGGGAGTATGTGTTCCCGATCGTTCGCAGCATCTTCCAGGATGGTCTTACACCTGAGAACTCGGGATATTGGACAACATTCTTGCATGTTGTCCTGCAATCCAAGGATCCGCGTCGAGGATGGCCCATGGTTGACTGGCTTGCAAGCTTCCGCCTCGATATGGACTCCAATGCTGCTTTCAAGGAAAGCTCCAAGGTGCATCTCTTGACACAGATGATCAGCGATGCCGGCTGGCACTTCCGCTTGGAGAAGCCAATCTTAGAGGACTTCATGAAGTACCTCGATCATCCGTATAAGGGTGTGCGTGAAGCGATGGGACAGACTATTGCGACAATTTACCGCACGCGTTACCATGAGTCATACAAGGATGTCGCTACCCTGATTAAAGCACAGAAGGACGCCTCGTCAATCGGTATTCGCCCGTACCAACCCTCCGACGAGTTTACCGCCACAATCACCGAAACCTTCGCCCGCCTCGAAGCCTGGCGACACCAGCGCGAGCCTGGTCAACAAACACCCTCCTCCTACACGTCGGGCGGTAAGACTGTCCTTCTCTGGCTGGACTCGACACTCTCTTCGTACGAATGCACACAACTCGTCAAGTTCTTCCCTGATGTCTTCATGGAACAGCTCTTGCATATGATGGACATCAAGGAAGACCCCGAACTGCAGTCTCTTGCATACCACGTCTTCCGCCATTTGCCCAACATTCCACAGCGCGAAGGCGAAGACTTGGACTTCATTGCTGCGCTCATTCGCATTGGCAAGACAGCCACGAGCTGGCATCAGCGTCTGCGTATCTTGATCAACGTTCAGGTCATCTACTTCCGCCGCCTTTTCCTCATGAGCTCGTCTCAGCAGCAAGAACTGTTCGACTGCGTTTCCTCTATGCTCAGCGACGTGCAGCTAGAGGTTCGCATGGGCGCCGCCGCAACGCTCAGTGGCATGATCCGCTGCAGTCCGCAAGCCTTCCGCGACAAGCAGGTCGAAACATTGAAGAAGCGCTTCACTACCCAACTCACCAAGAACCCGCTTCCCAAGAAGAAGACATCGGTTCATGGCACGCCATCCGCTGACCAGAATAAATTGGTATTGACACGCCATGCGGCTGTACTGGGATTGGGTGCTTTGACGCAAGCCTTCCCCTACCAGTCTCCGCCACCCGCGTGGTTGCCGGAGGTTTTGGCGACGCTTGCGCGTAAGGCGAGCAGTGATCCGGGCATGGTGGGTAAGAGTGTGAAGACGGTGTTGTCGGACTTCAAGAAGACAAGGCAGGATACATGGCATGTTGATGTCAAGGTAAGCATCACTCTTTTACTATCTTTTGTTGTCATGACTAACGATGTGACAGGCATTCGAACAAGAACAACTTGAGGATTTGGAGGGCGTACTATGGAAGAGCTACTTCGCTTAAAACGTGTCGCAGACAACGCTTTTGAAAGGACGTAGGATAAGGAGGGAGGAATAAGGTGTACAATACTACGATATGGCGAGACATGATAGCATAACAGGCGAAAGAGCGATACCACGGATGCTAGTATAGAAGAAACAATTTCGATTCCGAAAATCTGTAAATGAACCCTGGAGGTTGTCACGGTGCAACGAAACACATCATGGTCAACTTAAACATCTATATGAGGAGAGAAGGAAAATGTCTTCAATTTGTACGGTTACAGATGAATGGAGAGCAATCAACCCATGTGGCAACCTCGTGACTGCCCAAGATCGCCACCAACGAGGACAAAACCAGGCACAACAACTCCAATCCTCATCATCCTCCCAAAAACTGTGCTCCCAAACACGCTCGAGATCGGGTTGCAAACGGCGCAGCTCCCGCAAACGCTCGAGAAAAAACCGAGTCACTCATCGCTGTTGTTTTTGGCCAATCGGACAGCGAGGCACAGTCGTACCAAACCCAAAGAAAAAGGAACTTGTGAGACAAGATGTGTCCAGATGACGATGTCCGCTTTTTCAACTCCAGAGCCTGGATCTTTGCTGCTGCTGAAAGGCACTCGCGGCAACAGCGAGCGAAACGATGGCCCAAACAGCCGAGAGGAGCAGAATGACGAAGAAAAACACGGTAAACCGAGGGACCAAGCCAGCGCAGGAAGACGTCGACTTCTTTGTGCGGGTTTGATTTTGATACCAATGAAAACATTCGCCGGGAGGAAGGAGAAGGGGACCGATTTGTACCAGAAGGCCATCACGGCGCCAAATCCAGAACAGACGGAGATGCGCAAAAGAATCATGTTGACGATAACAAGAACCAAACGCACGTCGGGGCCTGTTTTGGGCGACAACTCGATCATCGCGATGATCTCATTGCTAAAATTGCTGTGTTAACATACTGCACAAGAGTATAGTGATAAAGTGAAGGGAAATAGGGAGATGGTAATGATTTATTACCAGATCAATGCTGCACTTGTACCGATCAATATCCAAAACAGTGGCGCAAACTTCCTTGCTCGAAAGCACAACTGCGGAAAATCGAGGCGGGCACGCTTCACTGAGGAAAGCAAGCTAAAGTCTTCAACAGCCTCTGCAAAGTGATTTTGCGTATCTCGTCGCGGACCCTCCCAGTCATGCTCGTAGTGAGACCAGAACCGACCCCTTCGGGCATGTTTCTGGTAAAACTTGCTACGACCCAACCGACACCCAACGACCTCGAGATTGGGCAGCCTGTTCGCTAGATCCAAGATCATTCGTAAGTCTAATTTCGACACCTCTGTATCGTGCCAATAGGACGGTGAGTTCACCCTGGTTGAGTTGGGGTGCCTGCACACACCAAAGTTTTGGAATGATTTCGGGCGCTAACAGATGAACCATCCAACTGACGTACATGCGGTGAAAGCAGGTTCTTGACACTTGTATGCCTATCTATCTCTTTAAACCGTGAATAGTGACCTTGATTTTGCCAGGACCGGATACACCAGCGCGCTGCTCAACGGTCTCCAGTGCCGAGAAAAGCTTGTCCTTCTCGCAGAGTTCTTCTTGGGTTTCTCGACAGGCACAACGACCGTCGTATTCGTCTATTGTTGGCGAGAACTGCGTGTGGAACACCACCTCACGAAGGAGGCGAAGACGAGAACCACCATAGATGGCAACAAACTTCTACGAGTTGCCTTCGGTCAGCTCGAAGCTGGAGAAAGCTCCAGACAGTTACTCCGCTATATACACGTGCTGATGCGTTGACAGTCTCCAGGGTCGTTCGTAGACCGACTTGTTGGTGGAAGGTGCGACTAGCGCAATGCTTGGGCCACGTGCTGTGCCTTAGCAGGATGTTCTAGATGGCGAAAACGTAAAGACGATAAAAAACATGCTGGGACTCTCCTACTTTTTAGAAGCGGAGACGATGTGAGGTTTCAAATAATCCTTTCGTTCTAAATTTGAGCCGCCGTGTGGTATATCGCACATCCGAGCACGTAAGACCGAAAATGCCTTCATGATGGAGATGCAGCGATGCTAAGCCGCCGTGCGCTAGGGTATTCATGTGCGTACGTGACGAAAGGAAAAGATAAGAAATAGACGTTAGACAGATTGGTAGTGATCGAAAACTGTTCGTTCAGCCGAAAATGCGGAGGAAACCCCACAGCCCAGCTCCACAAAGGACGGGAATTGTAAGGTTGTCATCCCAACCAAACAAATCCAGCGCCTCGCTGCCGCTTGCGACAATGCCAGTCACCAACGACATGACACCGAGGGCTGCGTGACCGGTAATGGAGCTCTGAGCAGCAGGCAATCCCAGTGACTCCTGGATTTGAGTTGGCAGCGCGAGAACGCCTTGGAAGGCGAATGCGTTTTCGCCCTGGTTAAGCTCTGAGTAAAGCGGTCCTAGCCAACCCCACCATAAGACAGCTGTGATGATGCCTGTCACACATGCCGCAATGGTGCCAGCAAGACTCTTGCCTTTTCTGACCTTGGGCGTCAAGTGTCCCCAGAGACGGCCGAAGGTCGATGCTGCAGTGTCGCACCAGCTGAGCAGCAAAATGCTCATGACACCCACATCCTTGGGGCAGAAGCGCATGACAATCCACGCGCCGAGCAGGTATGAGATAACGCCATTGTAGCCATCCACTTCAGATTCGCGCATCAGAGCGCCGAGGCACCGAATGTAGAAGCGATTGACCTGCCAGTAGCGGTGTCGAATGACGTCGGTGAGGGTGATAGGGATCAACAAAGTGAGCAGAACGGGGTGAATCTGCGACAGTTGGCGGCCGGTGCAGTAAAGGAAGATTGTGACGAAGCCGATGGAGACGTGAAGGATTTTGCGAGGTATTTCGTGGCGGTGGATCTACTGATGTTAGCCACAGTCTCAAGGGTGATGTATGGTACGTACGAAAGAGCGCCATTCTTGATGGATAGGTATCAGGCCCAGTGGACTAGGACTTCGGCTCATCTCTCTCCAGTAGTTCTTGTTCGCAGCTGCTGGAGACAAATGCCCGTTGCTTGTGCCATTTGGCAGAGCAAGGTCTTTCTCCAGACCTCCGTTCTGCTGCCTTCTGGACGTCAGGCCACTGGTTCTCCTTCTCCCCATGCCTCCCTCGAGTGTGGGATCGCGACTTTTAGTTCGTGCGCGCTTCTCTGGATCTGAGCCTGACGAGTCCTCTTCGACAGGTAGGGGCGACTGCACCCTGTTCTTGCGCGCCGAAGCACGCGTCACAGGGCCAAAGTAACCGTCTTTCCCACTACCAGCCTCTGAAGGAGTCGGTAATGGTGAAATGACGCGCGGGGTGTGCGGTATTTGGTATTGCCTGGAGGAAGCCATTGCTGAGCGAAAGCAGGTGGTGAAGTATGGAAGCGGAGGGGCGCGGATGAGTCCAGATATGCTGGAGCGGGCCCTCGCGCAAAATATGGCGACGTTGACGAGTAGTGAATGGCGATCTGCATCCACACAGTCGTGACGCTGAGTAGACGTGGTGTGAGCGTCGTTTAAGACTGCGGATGTGGTGGCTTCGACATCGGCGTCAGACGTAATCAACAAGGCCAGGGCGGACGCGAGTTCGTCCGGACAACGCGCATCGTCTGGGAGAACAGGATATGCCACAATTTATGTGGGCGACAGTAGCCAACTTATAAACGTGGTTGGAAAGGAGACGTTGCGACACCAGTGACGCCTGTGTAATCTTGCTGCTTAGCCAGGAAATTTAGCAGCGCCGTAATCTTGTCGCGTGTATGCGCGAATCAGTACCGCCGATGAGATCAGCTTGCATGTGATGATGCTCCACTCGGAACCTGGGGTTGCAATCGTACGACATCTTTGAGCATTTGCATTAACTTTCAAGGTGTCAGTAATATTTCTTGAGATGTTTAGACGTTTCGAACACATTTGGTACAAGGCAGGAGGCATTTGATTAGTCACGTGCAGGTCGGCTGCACTTTCCTCCATGATCGATGTGGCGCAAGCAGCGCCACAGCGCCACAACCCAACTTTTTCTGTCCGAGAGCCGAGCAAACAAAAGTTCGTGCTGCACCAAGGCGCAACCACGACACTTTACGCCTCACAACATTTGGAGATGGCGCCCCAAACGAAGATTGACCGGTCCTTCGGCGCCTTGACGCCCGCGCTGTCTGAATGGATCCTCGAAGCTGTGGATGCTATGGGTTTTGTGAAGACCACGCCGGTGCAGCACGCTGCTATTCCCATGTTCATGAAGAACTCTGATGTTGTTGTCGAAGCAGTCACAGGAAGTGGAAAAACTCTTGCGTATGTATATGGCTTTTGTACGACGTGTCTGTGCTGACTCGAGGCAGCTTTCTGATCCCGATTGTTGAGCGCCTGCTTCGACTCGATGCGCCCATCAAGAAGCATCACGTGGGTGCCATAATCATATCGCCAACAAGAGAATTAGCAACACAAATTCACACTGTGTTGTGCTCACTACTCAAGTTTCATGCACCATCAGCTGCAGCACTGGAACGGGAGGATGACGACAGCGACATGGAAGACGCAGACGCGCCACCAAAACCAACGTTCCCTGCCGGTACCCTGAAGGTGGTACCCCAGCTACTACTCGGCGGTTCAATCACACCAGCCCATGATCTGAGTGCTTTTCTCAAGAAGCAGACTAACGTACTTATTGGCACACCTGGTCGACTACTCGAGTTACTGTCCTCTCGACACGTCCACTGCTCGTCGTCTTTTGATGCCCTTGTCCTAGACGAAGCCGACCGACTTCTTGACCTAGGCTTCAAAGATGATCTACAGAAGATCCTTTCACGACTGCCGAAGCAACGGCGAACAGGGCTGTTCAGCGCCAGTGTCAGTGAAGCTGTTGACCAACTCATTCGTGTAGGCCTGCGTAACCCGGTCCGCATCGCTGTCAAGGTAAAAGCCAGGGCAGCCAAGAATGGTCAGATTGAAGATAAGCGGACACCTGCAAGCTTACAGATGTCTTATCTTGCAGTACCTCCTTCGCACAAGCTGCCAGCCATCAAGCAAATATTAGAATCAGTACAACCACAACCTCAAAAGACGATATTCTACTTGGCAACGTGCTTTGCCGTCGACTACTTCCAGCATGTACTACCCGAAGTACTCAAGGGTCACACTATCGTTCCCCTCCACGGGAAGCATCCTGACAAGGTGCGACGAAAGAACTTTACCAAATTTGTGGACAGCGTTACGCCATCGATTCTGCTCACCACTGATGTGGCCGCTCGTGGACTGGATATCCCTTCAGTAGACCTTGTCTTACAACTTGATCCACCTAGCGACCCGAAAACCTTCATTCATCGATGCGGACGTGCTGGCCGAGCTGGAAGAAAGGGTCTCGCGGTCACTTTCCTTACCCCGGGCCTGGAAGAGGACTATGTTGAGTTCTTACGTGTGCGACAAACCCCCGTGACCCCACTTACAAGTCCAAGTATTACTGTCACGTCAGAAGATATCGAACGAATCACCAATGCAATCAGGAAGGTAGCTCAGACCGATCGAGCTATCTACGACAAGGCTCAGCGTGGCTTTGTCTCCTGGGTTCGTGCTTATAGCAAGCACACAGCTAGCTCTATCTTCCGTGTTGAAGATCTGGACTGGACCGAACTTGGAAACGCCTGGGGACTGCTTCGTCTTCCTCGTATGCCTGAAACAAAGAAATGGGAGGGCGACAAGTCACTCGGTGTTACAATGGACTTCGACACGTTCGCGTACAAGGATAAGGTGCGTGAGCAGCAACGTCAGACGGAGCTTACGGAGGCCGCAGCTCAAGGTGGCACTGGCAAGAAGTTCATCAAGGAGAACAAGATTGCAAATGCCTGGACGCAGCAGAAGGAGCACAAGGCCACGAAAGAGCTCAGGCGCGAGAAGAAGGTGGCGAAGCGCGAACACGATCGCCAGGCAAAGATGACGGACGAGGAGCGTAAGAAAGAGGAAGAGCTTAACAACATGATTGCACAAATGCGGAAGAAGGTGAAGCAGACAGAAGCTGCTGAGGAGGAGGATGAGTTCGAAGGATTCGATGACTGATTGGCCAGTAAAGAAGGAGGTATGTCGGGCGATCGCGCGCTTTGTTCAGGAGGCCAGAACCCTGGTACGAACTTTCGCCTAACATCAGCAAGCCTTGGCCCTTGCAACTTCTCCTCGACCCACTGAACTACCTACTTGTCCACGGTGAGTTCGGCTTGATGGTCTAGGATGTCACCACACCTTGCCGAACAACTTCCATGCAGTGGTTCATGAACGGTAGAGTTTTATCTTAGACTGGCATCCACATCGTTGGCTGGAACCTAATCGCATCCCCGCTATTCTCGGAGAGTCGCCATCTCTTTCGATGCGGTGACTGAGACTCTGGGACAGATCATGCACCCTGTTGGCATCCGTTGAGAATCTGACTATGCCTCCTTGTTGCTAGGTCATCTCAAAACAAAAGCTAGCGATCAGTGTCCCATGGCAACAGGTATCTGTTGGGACCACATGTATATGGGTACATGTGCGACCTCACAGGACAAGCGAATGCTTCAGCTGCTCTGGAGAGTCGTAAGACGTACTGACACAAAAGGATCTGAGGCAAAAAATACTACAATCATGCAAAAATCCAGTTCACCTGCTCCTCCATAATTCAAATCGTTGGCTCAAAATACTGTGCACCAACGTTGCACGCCACTCGCCCAGAGCTGTCTTGTCCAAGACTGATCAATACCCAGAGTCGGTGGTGGCGACCAACAACAATCGTCTCAGAGGCTGTCTGTAATCTCATCTAGCTGTCATCGTATTGTTCTTGGAAGGATCCACGCATACACCAGTTCATTCCCATTCAACCATCGAGCGAGGGTGTGAAGGTCGAAATTTGATATACACCTCAGTTACGCGAAGCGAGGAGTATGCGTGGGCTATATGCACTTAGAAAGAACAGACAGCCTGTCTGCTATTGGCCTGACATTCCCGAACCCCGAGGGTACCGGCTCACCGTTGTGTACCAGGCCTAATGCACAGCTCCCCTACGCAGTCGCCAAAGTCCAACCGTTATGTTGGACCCTTAGATCTGCATTGCAGGAATGTGACCAGTGTGCAGCGTCAAGGAGCAAGCCAGAAAAATCGCAAATCAATTCGGGTCTTGCAAGAGGATCAAGGTTTTTGCGAAGCTCAGACAGAGACCTCAAAGTACCGAAGGATATCAAGAGCTCTATCGTTAACAATGGCATTATGATCGTCAACATGCAAACGGTCAAATTAGTCTGAAGACTCGAGCTCGTGTTGCATTTCAAGTCATTACCGGTCTCCCGGTCCGTGCCTATCAAGGCTCTTGGGACGGGTCCCCAGCTGAGCGTGAAAGCATAGTATCGTGCTGACGCAATCTGTCAAGCAGACTCTAGCAAGTCACCGGTGAGTAGTATTTTCGTAGTAACTCTTGTCATGTAGTTTTCGAATACCACGTTGCTACACGATCTTCTCCCAACCATTGACTGTGCTTCGTCATAGCAAATCTTGAAATCCCTTCCACAATTATCACGACAGCAGTTCACATCTCGCTTAGAACATTCAAGCACACTCCTAACCTCCCATGTCACTTCGACCTGTATCTTACACATCCACCGATGTATGCCAACGTCGGCACATCGTACTCCTGCATTAACCCTATCTTTATTTCCACCTCAGCTTGCCGTCCACCCTCCACTCATATGGCGGCGTGGGTCGCTTGTAGAATACGATATAATACTGCGCTGAGTTGCTATCTACCTAGGAGAAGACAATATATACTGCTTCTGGAACCTACAGGTCTAGAATAGTCTAAGTAGGGACATTCAGGCCTCATACGGACCAATTGATACTGAGTTTGCGCAAAGTATGCTAGTACCTAAGAACAGTGATTGAATTGATGAGGAGCTATGGAGAAACACTGACAAGTTTTCAGTGTGTCTTGCTTGCTTATACGCTAAATCTTTGTTGTGAGTCCTCATCCTCAGCGCAGCTAGGAAAAGTACAGTTGGATCCGGAGAGAGAAAAGCACCATTGCTGATTGGTCCATTGGGTTGTGGTCATCGTCATCACATGATAACCACAGGGAGAACACTAAACGTTGCAATTTGGCAGACAGCTGCTTTGCAGCCACTGCACCACACAATCCCGTTACAATAAAGTCTTGCAATGACGTAAAGTTCCTAAACAGTAAACAGCGTCTTGCAACTAGGCTTACAGTAACGCTGTCCTGTCCTTATACATGCAATATCCCATCAAAACGTTGCACAATGCAACAAGCAAATTCCGCAAGGCAGCAGCTGTCTTGATTGTCTCATACAATGCCATGACATAGTATAATGCATCCACCCACCCGACATGCCACATACGCTGCAAAACTCCCAAACAATCAATATAGCCACTGCCAACACAAGCTCTCTGCAAGAGCCGCCAGAGGCAAGCGGGGGGGGGGGGGTCAAAGGAGTTGTGAAAGGGTTTGCGTGAAGGTGCAGGTAAGCAGTCACGTTGCTGTCTCCTTGCTGTCTTCTTTCACTCTCGCAACACTCCCACTAACTATATGTTATCAAGCGCCCTCCCACTTCCGTCCTTGTCACAGACCGTTACAACTCCACTGAACTGAACTCAACTCAACTCAACTGTTCAATTCATGATGGCAGCTGTAACAGGCGCCCCTCCTCCAGATCCTTTGCGACTGCCACCCTCAGGACCCACTGGCACAGCATCAAGCAGGCACTTCTGCATCCGGTATCCCAGCAGAGAACTCACGCCGGATGAGGTGGCTGCTGGTCATACTCGCTGCTCGGAGTGTCGCGCCAAGCATGCTACACAGACTGCTACACGCGTAAGTACCACTTTCAATCAAACGCCATACCTACCATATATTTGTATATAGGGTCAGGTGACGTCAGGTCACCTGGGTCCCTGTATACCCGCCTTCTCGGTTACCGGGCTTTGACGCCAGATTGACGAAGCGCGCATTGGAGCTACTACCACAGGCTGTCATCCAGACAAGTTTCCATACATCAGCATGCCAACACGTAAGCTCACACCTATTTCAGAATGGAACAAGACTGTTATCTTGAGTTGGGCGTTCTCATCACTATACCCAAGCAGTATTGACGCTCAATCTTTGCTAGTAGTTGATGAGCTGTACGCTTGAGAGCCGTTAGGCTCTTATCAGGTAGGCAGCAGGCCTCGTGCCAGCGGCTGTACTGATCAACAGCGTGGAACTGTCGATAGGCACAGGTGTTGTGTATTGTCTTGGTGCCTATCTGAGCTACGGTTTTGTGAAGGCATCAGTTCTGTACTATGACGGATTTGGCCTAGCGGCAGATCCAACCTCCAGGTGCTGGGTAAGGTACCTGGGCATCAACAGGAACATCCACAGATCGCTGCTGTAGCAGCACTCTGTCCTTTCATTTGGTTGAACAAGGTCAATGCCAGTCGATAGAACGGGCGTCCAGCGGGTTCTCTCTGTGGCCGTTGGCTGACAAGTTTGTGTAGCTTTTGCCTGTACCCAAGCCTCACACTTCTTCCCCTTGTGGTGCTTTAGGTAGTTGATTAACCTGCATACTTTCGACGTGGCTAATCGCAAACGCTGCCCGAGTTCTATTTCGCATGACCCATATCGAGTACTCATCTTACCCTCACACGACTCAGTCCCGATTGCACGCGGCTGCTGAGAGGCGGTCTTGTGGAACGGTTAATTCGCACCTGCCTCAGCCACGGCTCTTTCCATCCCACCTCCTTTACAGGCATCAGGAACTACGGCACGAAGGCCTAACCCAGCTTGACATCACTTGGCAGCTTCCGAATCTGCACCGGGTCCATGTAGGCTGAATACTTTGCAGCATCGCAATAACGCCTGAATTGCGCGTGAAGAAAACGGTATTTCTCCTCAGCGATCCATTATCAGAGCGCCGTGGAGCTGTATGATGGACTCTTCAACACGCCACCAATCTCTTGTTAAACTGTGTCGGACGAAATGCGCCCAATGTTGAACACAAGCATGAAAGCTGGTAACCACTATAAGTTTGGTCAGACGATGAAGTGCAAGTTCGGGTCCCTCTCTAGAACGGGTCATTTGCGACTCATCGTGGTCGTACGCCGTCATCAAAGTCTTGGTTTCGAGCTCCACTTGAGAGAGCTTCTCGTTTCCGCAGATCACGATGCTAAGCAACAGACGCCTGAACAATGGGAAGAGAAAACCCTGTTTCATGGCCGTCAAGCTTTCCCGGCGAATCTCTGAATGCAACGAAGCATAGGACTGTTCTGAATTCGAACCTGCATGCTAAGCCCGATAAACAGTCGCATTCCGCTCGTTTTGTAAGATTTCAAAGACGTTACACATCATCGGACTACCTCGGAGGCCTGTTGAAAAGCGGAGAGGAATGGGAACTAAGCAGGTTGACGTGCTACAGGTGGGTCAGCAGCCAACGGTGCCGCAAGTAGCAAGCTCTGGTAGCGCTAGGTCTTCACTGCTTGGCGACACTACCATGACATGGGAAAATACCAGATCGAGGGAAGAGGCTCAAATGGATTGTCAAATGCGGAGTACCAACATTTTGTTTGTACAGAAGCCGACCAGCAGTTCCTGGATATACCCCAAACATGATGTTCTCCAAGGATAGAATCGCATGAAGTGGCAGCCGGAAAGCTAACAGGAGATTACCGCCGTTGAGCGTCTACCGAGGAATCCCTGCTGGGAAGCCCGTGCATGAAATACCTTCCACGTTTCGGTCCTGTGCCGGCTTCGAGACTGCAGGATTTATGAAACAATTGACTCAATCGGCCAATCAGATAAGATCGAGTTTCCTATTCAAAACACATCTCCGCGATGGGGCCCGGCTGTGCCATGCACCCGTAGTTCGGTCCGATGGTTTGGTACCTAACATCGGTCAAACATTGACCTGCCTGGAATGCCCCTATGCGATCTTGGCGATACTGGAGGAGATGACGGAAGGGCTGAGTCTGGATACTTAGACGCTGCAATAGATTAAAAGCTAACCCACTTGCAGTGAAGGTTGAGTATATCCTCACTAACTTTCGAAACAGGGCGCGATCCTACTGTTGACGCAATTGGAAAGAACAAACAAGACTTTACCTCTATAAAACAAACGGACAGCTACACTTTTAGTTTCTCCAACCCAGGCAGGCACCGCTCAATTTCGTTTCTTTTCAACCCAGTCACTCATTCATAGTCACTCCTTCAACATGCGCGTCTCAGCTCTCGCCTTTGCATCCGTCGCTCTTGCAGCACGCCCCTTTCTCAACGAGCCCGACACAGGCCTCGATGACCTCCTCGGCTCTGTCGTTGCCAATGGCACACTTGCGCCCCTTGAGAACATGGTTGGTCTTCCCGACTTCGAATGGGCGGCTCGCAAGTACATGAACATCTCCTCCTACACATACTACCGCAACGGTGCTGCCGGAGAGTGGTCATACCGCAACAACCTCGAGGTCTTCACTCGCCACCGTCTCCGACCCCGCGTCCTGAGCGACATCACCAACGTCGCTGCCTCGCTCCCCACTACACTGCTGGGTCACAATTTCTCGGCGCCTTTCTTCATCTCGCCATGCGCTCGTGGTGGCTACGCTCACCCTGATGGAGAGCTCAACTTCGTCAAGGGTGCTGCCGCCGGTAACATCTTGTACATGCCATCGCTCTACTCCTCTCAGAGCTTCGATGCCATTTACGCCCAAGCCGCCAACACCACCCAGCCTCTCTTCCAGCAGGTCTACCTCACCAACAACCTGACCGAGACCCAAGCGCTCTTCACCAAGATCGAGAAGACCGGCAAGGCTAAGGCTATCATCCTCACCGTCGACTCCCCTGGAGACGGCATCCGTCACCGCGCAGCCCGCTACGGTGTTGGCTCCGCAGACATCAACCTCAGTCTGCTCACCTGGGACCTGTTCCGCCAGTTTTCCAACATGACCTCCCTGCCCATCATCCCCAAGGGAATTCAGACCGTTGAGGATGCCCGGGAAGCTGTCAACAATGGCGCAAAGGCTATCTTCCTCTCCAACCACGGCGGCCGCCAGCTCGACACCTCGCCCTCGTCGCTGGAGATTGCGCTTGAGATCCACCGCGAGGACCCGGACCTTTACAACCAGGTCGAGGTCTACGCTGATGGTGGTGTCAGGTATGGATCTGACGTTCTGAAGCTGCTTGCTCTTGGTGTCAAGGCTGTTGGTCTCGGAAGGCCATTCATGTACAGCAACGTCTACGGTACTGAGGGTGTCGAGAAGGTCATTGATATCCTCAAGTACGAGCTCATCAATGATGCTGCGAACTTGGGTGTTGGTGATCTTAAGAAGATTGGTCCCCAGTATGTGGACTTCAAGAACAGTCTTAACACCTGGTACAGCTAGATGACACTAGCTGTGCTGGTGGGTGGGAGTTAATGAACTCAGTTCTACATGCGACTACCCAGTTTTGTGAGTGAGGATTAAGCTCAGTTCCCTTGTCCATATTTCAATTGAAACATACACTAGATCTACTTCATTCTACCTTCTGCCTTGATTGCACTCTACTGTGGTGGTCTGATAGCCATCGAATCCTCAACTATGAGCCTTCGTGAGCCACACATCACCAGGTCCATCCGCTTGCTTTGGCTTATCTTCAGGATTGAACAATGTGCCGCTCAAGAACGTATGAGGGAAGCCATGATTGAACTTGTACGCGCTCTCAATCTTCTCGATCTCGTCTTCGGTCAAGGATACGGACAGTCCGCCAACGCTGGCCTTGAGATGCGAAACCTTACGCTGGCCCACAAGGGGGAAAACGTAGGGAACTTTCTGGAGAACGTAGGCGAGCGCAACTTGCAGAAGTTCACAGTTCTTTTCTTTCGCGACTTCCTCCAGAACACTAGACACGTGCTTGTCGTGCTCCGAGAGAGGAACTAGGTTCCTACCCTCGCCGCTCTCCTCGTATGCCTCCTTGGTCTGGAATCGACCCTTCCAAGCACACCATAGGAAACAAGACCCATACCCTGGTGACGCGCCATGGGGATAATGTCGCGCTCGAAGTCGCGCATACCTGCGTTCCACATGCCCTGGTAGATAATAAACGGTCGCAGACCGTGGTCTCGCGCGTACTGGTTGGCTTGCGATACGATCCAGGCAGGCGTGTCGGAGATACCAAGATACAGAACTTTGCCGGACACAATGAGGTCGTTGAGTGAGTTCATAAGCTCCGGGATCTCAGTGGTGTAGTCCCACCAGTGGATATAGAGCAGGTCGATGTAGCGTGTCTGCAGCTTCTTGAGGGACGCCTCGACAGACAGTTTCATGCTCTTGCTACCAGTCCCGATGTAGTTGCTCTGGAGGTGCTCAGACTTGTGCGCCATCCAGCCACTTGTGAACTTCGTCGCGAGAACGATTTCATCGCGATTTTTGCAGCTTGCCATCCATTCGCCAACCCACTCCTCAGACTCGCCGTCGCGGTAGACGTTTGCGGTGTCGATGAAGTTACCGCCCTCGCTGTAGAAGTTGTCCATAATAGCGAAAGCCTCATCTTTAGGGCACACACCATAGCGTTCGCTGTGTAACTCGCCAAAAGTCATGGCTCCCAAGCAGAGAGGGGAGACGCGAACCGAAGCTGAGGGCTCCAGTTGGCGGTGGCGGAAGAGGGGGAAAGACTTGTTGAATTCTGGCATGTTGGCGATGATGTTCTGGATGCGATGTGGAAGGCTTCGCCAATTATCGTCCTGGGAGATCTGATTCTCGATATTTATCCCTCTGAAGAGTTGTATGAGTACCACACTATCTCGTCACTGAAGTCACGCATTTTGAGTCTGCAATGGAGTTTAGCTATGATTTGGGTTTAAGTATTGTAACGCCAACAAAGTTGAAGCCTTTGACGTTGCTATGAGCTGCGACCCGATATTTTACCATAAAGGTCGCGAGAGGATAGGTCGAAGTGGAGCCCGCCAACCTGGATGCGCTCGAGCGAGCTAGAACATGCAGGGCGATGACCGTGCGGTAGGCAGCTCTGGAAATATAGGGAGCCATCATTGTGGCGTTCCTTTGACGTTCGGCTTCATCTCATGAGATTCTTGCCCTACTCGCTTCGAAGCTGCAGTGTTGTTGAAGTCTGCAAGCAACTCACAAGGTTGGAGAACACTGCGGAGCTTTCAGCAGGCGCCACCGGACATCCCGTAACTTCGGGGTTTACAACTAGCGCGTCGGCAGGTTGCATGTCCTTGAGATCTCAAGATCCATTGGGATGGGATTTGTGTAAATCGAAGCAATCTTGAGCGTGCTGGCTTTCGATGATACTGCGGCTGCCTGCAGGTGCGGCACAGCCCACCTGCGCACCGCAAGCTCACCTGCGCGCCCATAGGTTGGTGTCTTGTATCCCTGCCAGGGCATTATGTGCAGCCGGTCCTGAGCGAAATTGAGAAATGCGCGAAGAGAACTGTGAGTTAAATATGATGAGAAGTTGATGAGGTGACTCTTGGAAGATGTTGAACATCGGCGCCCAAAATGGAAGTCAACCAGGGAGGAGAATAACACAATGATGTACTTTCCGTTGTCGCTTTATCGAAGTCCTTTTATAAGAGGTATTCAGTAAAATCCATTGATGACGAAGCAAAAAAAAGAGATTTGACATACCGATGTAGCTACTCAGATGCCGAGTAATACGGTGCTTGCAACATCAAGTCAACAAAGTTCTGTTATGGTCAAAAAGCTTCCCATACGCTGTTTCGTGTTCCGTTCGATCCATTTTCCTGAAGCATCCTAGAGGATACCCGTTCGGAGGGTCGAACACTCGTCTCACTGCCCAGATGGCTAGATATCCGTCGAATCTCACGAATACGATGCCCATGCCTCCCAGGGTTGTACATGACGCTTGAGAGTTGTTTGTCTGACACATTCTGGTGTCTCGGCCCCCCACTTAGCCGGTAAAGCTCACAGCCCACTTAGTTCCGCCCGTACCTACTTGAACCAACACTTCGACGTTTTTCAACACTGTTCGAACAACACTCAAATGCAGTAATATAATACAACATTGGTTGTAATTTTATCAATGTCATCAAACAGCGGCCTCATGGTCTAGTGGTATGATTCCTGCTTTGGGAATAGCTCTCAAATTTGCAGGAGGCCCCGCGTTCGAATCGCGGTGGGGCCCGCAGTATTTTTGCGGTTTTCGTAGTTATGATTTTTGTTGCGGGCGATCAACATCTCTCCAAACTTAGAAAGACCCTTACTCTCCAAAAATTTCCTTTCCGCACCCCTACCGACATAGAAAAAGCTCAAAAGAAATTCGAAAAAGTCTTCTTCGTATTGTGGTATGACCTGCAATTGAAGGTCAACTCGAGAACCAACGGTGCCCTCCAAAAAATCGATCTCCTTCTCAGCCCTTTAGAGGGCATAGGTGCTTTCTTGAGAACTTTATCGGCGGCACCCCCTTCAACCAATCATTGTAGGTTTCTGCCTTCATTGTTGTGCGAAAAGTCAGCAACAAAACAAAGACTTGATGCCTGCCTCCACAAGCCACCTGCACATCCTTTTCTCAATATCGAACGATATTGAGGTCTTTCAAACCCTTGGGTCACTCGATCCTTCCTATTTCTTCAACTTCTTGTCTTCGCCCATAGAGTTAGACTGTAACACAGTTTACGTACCACACGTGTATCGCGCTATTCAGATTTGTCTTGAATCCAAATATGTCTTGAGAAACCATTCACTTCACAGCCAGTGCAATTGCTTTCATCAACGAACTGGAGCTCATGCTCATTGCATCTACGGTAGATCGTATTTTCCTGCCCTTCGAGTTCTGCTCAGATATATATACAAAAAAAACATCTGTCAGCCTCCACAAGGCTATTTCCACAGCGAGTGTCACCGCATACCTCCAGTCCTTACATCGCGCAATGTTTATTTCCCCATTGATCCTTGTCGCCACCAATCCTATTCTTGATTCGAGGAAGGTTTTGACTACATTCTTGCAAACCTTGTCAAGGCTATGAGGACCTCCAGGGCTGCTGATCGGCCTTGCCAAAACTTCTATGCGAATGACTGATAGCTCCTCTGTGGCGGATGTCATGCATGCCAAATCGCTGCTGAACAAACGTTATAAAGATCTGAACATTCTTGTTTGTGGATGGAACGACAACTTTCAGTGCACAAGTACAGCTGATAATATTGCAGCTAACATGTCGCATGCATAGCTAGTTGCTGCTTCTATGCTTTAGCACGGGTATGCAGTTGACAGCAATGCTCGTTTTCATCGACAAGCGACTTAAAAGTTGCAGCGTTCATTTATGAAATCGTTATAGGTGGACATCTTCCAGGCTGCCAACGTCAGGTATAACATCAAATCGCTGCGAAGCTCAGTCATGAGACTGACTCAATATGGCAGTTGTACATCATTCCATTGCCGCGAACAAGGTTCGAGAACATACACATAAACACTATGTAATTATCCTAACCTAAACACCACCCATGCATCCCTCAGAACTCCATACACCCATGCCTTCATAACCATCATAGACACGGCCTCCACCTCAGCTCAAATCCAGAATCTCAACTTCACTCTCCCTCCATCTCCTCCTCTCCTTCCCCTTCAGCACAACACCTGCCCCCTTCGCCGGACTCTCAGCATCGACATAAGCCCATGCACCAGCCAGACTCTTGCGCAAGATGATCTGCCGTTTTTTTGTTTCCTTCGCTTTCCAGGCTGCGGGCGGTGAGGGCTTACGCTGCGGTTCTCGAGAGAGGGAAGTGTGGTTGCGTGGGGAGCGGCGGAGCGAGGGTGATGTTGTGGGGTTTGGTGATTGTTGAGGTGGTGGGATGGGCGATGCGAGGCCTGTGAGGTCGAGCGAGTCGATATCTGGGGAGCTAGAGTTGGTGGGGTTGAGGTGTGGTGTTGTTAGGTCCAGACTGTCAACTTCAACTGTAGCAGCTTCGACCGCTTGCGGCTGCGGTACCATGTGCTCTAGTTCGAATGCTATGGGATCTTCTGTTTGGGGTGGAGCCGTTGTTAGGTCGAGGGTATCCACTCCTGGGGTTGCAGCTTTTGTCTTGTTCAGCCGTGGTGAGGTGCGTCGTGTGCGTGTAGTCGTTGTCGTCGCCTTCTGCTTCTCACTCGTGACAGATGACCTCGACGAAGAAGATCGCGACGCGTTAGACGATATTGAAGTCAGTGGCGGTCGCGCTCGTGTTGTCAGTGCATATTGTGGTACTTTTAACGGTGGCGAGAGTGTCAAGTCAAGAGTGTCAATAATATCAGAAGAACACCGTAGTTGTGATGGCGTGGGTACAGGTGCGTCGTCAAAGATGGTCGTCGTGTCTCGTAACTTCGTTGGTGTTTGAGAAGCTCTCCATGTGTCGAGCGTGGTCTGTCTTCCCTTTCCAGGCGATGCGGTCACACATGCCCCATGACTTGCCTTCGTTATCCGTGTCTTTGCTTTCTTAGTGCGTAGCTGTGATGGTGAGGGCTGTGCAGGTGAAGAGTTCACCAAGTCCAGTGTTTCGATGGTATCCAGCAGAGGTGGTGTATCTGGCCGCTCAAACGCACTGCTCAAATCAGAGGGTAAGGTTTTTGAACGCTGTATAGGCGCACGTCTTCTCTGCTTCATGTCGCTAGCCGGCAAATCTTCCAGTACCGGAGAAAGTGTTTTCTCTCGAGGCGGGGCCACTATCGGTGGCCTGCTCAGCTGTCGCACAGGCGAAGAAGAGAGCAAATCGATCAGTGTAGCTTTCGGTCGAGTTGGAGGCAGGCCAACGTCATTGTCCTGCGGCTTCGCCAATGTTCGCGACGATTTCGACCCAGGCTTGGTGACCTTTGCAAAGCTTTGGATTCGAAGCTGAGATACCTCTTGCGTCGTCTTCGTGCGTCTTGTAGTGGTTTTGGCCTTCGGTGCAGCTTTGCTTGGTTCTTGACTCGCTGCTCTCCTGGGCTTCGCTTTGGTCTGCCTTTCAGCCTCCCAATCCTCAACCTTCAGCGGCACGCCCACCTTGACAAAGGTCTCCATAACCCATATCCTTGCCGGCTTGGTAGGATCGAATCTCGTGGGACCGCGCTTCTTTGGTCCTTCTGCATCATCTTCTAGGTCCAAAGGAAGGTCATCATCATCACCTGCACCCTGTTGTGAGGATGGTGGAAGCTCGAAGTCGTCGTCAGGCTCTTCATCATCCAGGTTGATTTTTACAAGCTCGATTGGCGTGAAGCTTACACGAAGCTCAGTGCTGCTGTCCGTAACAGCATGCTGGCGTTTACCATGTATGCCCTTCACTAGGAGTGCTTCGTCCTCTCGAATAGCCTGGATGTTGTTTGTAGGCAGACGATCGATATGTGCAGCTCGCATGCGCAGTGCACGAACAAGAAGGGATGGCGCAAGACTGCGTACAAAGTGCTTTGCTCCTTCGAGCTTGACCCAGTCGAATGCATCTCCAGTGAACCCGCGAAGACCAGGGTAATCAAGTTCCTGATCCCAATTGATCGATCGCCGTAGTTTGTCCAGCCCAGTCTGCGTGGAAATGACAGGGTGTGTGTAGTATCCAAGAATATCGAGTCGGGGGAAGTCGCGAGGTATCTTCAAAGCACCATGCTTGCGTTTGAACAGTTTGCTTTCGTTCGTCTTCAGCTCGTGTTGCAGCCGTTCCCTCCATCTTGACAGCGCGACTGGGTCATTGCGAGGTATACTGCATAGGTCGCGCCCAAAGCCAGCCTTCGCAGCCTCACAGGCTGTCTTCGGTCCACATCCAGGTATCCCCTCTGGCACGTAGTCTCCACCGCTCATTAGTGCGACCAAAATCATACCCTCACGATCCAGCGCCGAAGGTCCGTTCTTCGTTTCGACAGCATCGTAGACGTTCACGTGGGTTGGGGTCTTGCCCGACTTCTCTGGTGACCAGTTGCGGATTGTGATTCCACTTCCAAACATGAGCGTATCCACATCTTCACTCAGTACAGCATCCACGATGCCCTCCCGCTGCAGTAGTGCGCATTCTGCTTCAGCTTCACCGGGCGCAAGGTGTATTGGGTAGCCAAACTGCTTCAGCAGCTGCTTGGCGAGGAACTCGGGGATCGATGCAACGTTTGGCCCGGTGCGCTTGTTGCGCTTGAACGGTGGCTTATTGGGCCCATCAAAGACGAAAACGGGGTGTATCGAGAGTGCGATTAGGCGTAGGAGGCGATAGTAGAATGTTCGCAAGGCAGGATTTGTGCCACCTATGGCAGTCAGCACTTTGCTGCAGCATGCGCATAGCTGTCGCAAACATGCCTTTACTAGCTTGTATCTGGAAGAGCCATATCGATGTGTCTATAGCAATGCGCAATGGTCGACCGGTCTCCTCGAACTTCTCGACGGCAAGCTTCGACAGCGCTACACGCCGCCCAGGGCCGATTTCCTTGTAGATGCTGCATGAATTAGTACCACTACCACTAACAGGCGACGCGACACCTACCCATGGATACCCATCACGTCTCCATCACGCAAACCTTCAAGAGCTGCAATGCAGTTGCTGGTGTACTGCCTGGTGATGATGATGGACTGGCAAGGGTCAAATCGATTGTTGCCCAGGGCAACCACGCGACACGCCCAACTGTAGGGCTTAGGGTTCTATACACCCATTGTCCAGTCACCTCGATATAGTCACGACGTAAGGCGGCATCTTATACCACTATGGCGCCCCGTGGAAGAACCGAACATATCAGCGAGAATGCTGCTCGCGGCTACTCTTCATCGCCAGATCCTCTTGCCTTGTCTATACATGAAAACACGATAGCATCAACACGAAAACCACAACACGCACCGCGTGCACGATCACGAACAAGCTCGCCGAGTAAACAGAATCGCAGACCGAGCATGCCCGAATTTGAGATATCTTCACCGGCCAAGTCCATGGTCATGAACACACCAAGAATGGGCGGCGCCAGCCCATGGCGTATCAAAGTCACAGTACAGGCTGAGCCTGAAAGTGACGGCGAGAACACCATGTCGCCCACAGTGAAGAAGGTCACACATACAAAGACCACAACGATACCCTTGAAAGATCACGATGCGCCCTCACCACTGAAGCGTGGGCGAGGTCGACCCAAGAAGGCAGATGCAGCTGGCAGCACACCAGCGAAGACAAAGCGAAAGGGCACACCAGTAAAAAGGGCGGCGATATCAAAGTCACGGAATGCAAATGTAGGGCCGGCGGGGTCGAGTGCGGCAGATATCGATACCGATGTACCGCCCAAGAGTAAACGAAACCGCCCAAGGAAGGTCGTTCAGCCAGCGACAGAGGACGAGGAGGCGCTGGTAGCCGATGTACAGGAAGATGAAGGCGCAAATCAAGTTGATGCGACACCCTTGCCTACCGAGCAACCACGAACAGTAGCCTCTCATCTCGACACGCCACAAGAGACCGAAACGTCGAAACGACTGCACGCACGCAAAGGCACGCCACATGCAACAAACCCACTAGCGATCGAAATCTCATCAGATGAGGAGTCAGATGGAGCCAGCGATGTCCTCACACCAGCTACTGGAGACGAGGACGAGGCCAGGGATGAGCAAGTATCTGTGCACAACCCAACACAAGCCACGGCGAAAGATGAGGCGGACATGGACTACGAGGAGCCTTTGCAACATGAAGTCGATGACGACGATGATGAGGTGGAAGTAGATAACTTCGCATTCGACGAAGGAACAACGAGGATGCCGGACGACTCGACAATTATTGATAGTGAGGGCTTCAGCATCATCTCGGTCGACTCGCTGCCTACTAGATCTAGCCCGCCTAAAGCAGGCGAGAACACGAATGCCCCGGTCCCGAGTATTGCTTCGGTCATGAACCGCGATTATCTGGACCCCGCTGCAGTCAGACAACCAGGTCGCGAGCAGGGCGTAGCTTCTAAGTCGTCCCCAAGACCTTCGCGGCTAGTTTCAGTCTCAAATCGTGTCCAGTCTTCGCCCGCCCTCGCGCAGCCGCGGCACATAACACCAGCCGTTGACAACGAGGCTCCGTCAGCACCACCCAGTATTGAGCCTGCTCGTGCTGCTCCTGCCAATATCGAAACGCCTAAGATGGGGCGAGCCTTGACAGCAGGCGTTGCTCTGCAAGGAGTCTTGGATCCTGCCCGCTTCACACCAGACGCTTCTCAGGAGTTGGCAGCCGATCGACATGGATCTCTGGATGACCTTTTCCGGGGTTTCAGCGAGAATTCACGAAAGCAATTACAGGATGGGCTTCGTCTAGGCGAACAGCTTGCGCAAAGTCAGGCTGCGAATGAACCGTCACCGTCTCTCCCGAAACCCAACACAGCACGCACAGAAGCCGCACCAAAGGAGCGGCCCATCAGGACACAACGGAAATGGAGGACACGCCTTCTCACACCTGAAGATGAGCAGAATAGCGAGCCCGCGGTACCTGTTGCTGAAGAAGCTGAGGTTCAATATCCCACATCGGCCGTTGAAGAGCAAGTAAACCCGTTGCCCAGCCCAACAAGGAGCGAAGACGAAGGCGAAATGAGTTTTCAGGTCGACAGCATCGTAGCCAGCGTGATGGAAGAGGAGGCTGAAGAACCCAAGACTACGGCAGACAAGCAGAAAGGGACTGGCTCTGCGCACAAAGTAGCAGAACTGGACAACCACGAAGCCGAAGAGGACTGTTCAGACATTTGGCAAGAGGAGGGCAGCCGAGCCTCCGATTCTCCAGAGTCTGCTTCGACCGAAGACGCATCCTCATCACAGGAGCCAGATCTGTTCATCGAAAGCGTGGCCAGCAGACCTGGTCGTGGCAGGTTCCAGCGTCGAAACACACGACAAGTCAAACGCGACAATGGGGCAAATACGTCTCAGCAACAGAGCCCTTCCTCCATTCAGCCGAATCAGCCGGCTCCTACCAGCACCCATAAGGGCAAAGCAAAGATTGTAGAGGAAGAAACTAGGCAGACCGAATCTGAGGAGCGAGACGATAGCACGGCGAGCGAAGGTAGTGATGATACAGGCATGTTCTTCCAATCGAATATGCCCGCAGTCTACGGCAAGAAGCGTCGTGACCGGAGACAGCCAAAGGGCGACAAACTGGATCTATCATTGTTGTTGCATGAAGGCGAGAGTTTGCAACCAGAGACATCGCCCGAAAAGCAGGCAGCTCCTGCACAACCCAACCCCTTCCTCGACACCCCGCCTCGCTTTGCTGGGTTCCCATGCTCACCAAAGAAGAGCAGTCCTCTCCGTCGCGAGCTTCGTGGTTCGGACATTACTACGCCCAGCCGCTTACACGATGAGTCGACACTGCCTCTTGCTCAAAGCTCGCCATTCCACTCACGCATCGAGGGAGACAGCATGCTCTCTACAGCATCCGACCAGCGTCAAATCCTTGCTGAGATGGAAGGCGCGGACGTAACTAGCAACAGCATTCGCGTCTTACGTGATGAGGCTGATGAGTATCTTGATGCCTATACGCCTCAAGAACGGTCATTGAACGAGATCGAGGAGGTTACCGAGTACAGCAGGACGCTGCAAGCTGATTCGAGTATCATGCCATCGAGCCCACCTCAAGCTAGGCGGAATTTCTTACAGCACGCTGCGTCCTCATCATACACGCCGAGTTCTGCGGCTAAAGAGCCTCAGTCTGATAATGGCTCAGAAGCCACACCGACTCCACTTGCTCGAGACGCAGCACCGCAACACGACGCAATCGTCGAGTCCTCCTTCGTAAGCATCAGCTCAGCCGGTCGCTCTGATGGTCTTCGTGCAGCAGCACAACTCCAACGCGAGTCCTCCGCCGGCGCCAGATCTTCGCCACCAACCCGCGCTCATCCCGTCCTGTCCAAATTCTGTCCTCTCCCACGCATCGAGCCGTGGACAAAGACACATTACAAGACCCTCGACAAGCTACACGCCGCACATCTAAAGCACCCAGCACTCTTCTGCTCCCTAACAGTTCCGCCCACAACATTATCTCGCGCGAATGCAGCTTTACTCGCCTCGTTTGCAGCTACGACGGAGAAGAACTACGTCGGCGCTCAGGTATCAGCTTGGGGATACACCTTCACGATGACACCTGAGCTCATCTTGCTGTGTGAAGTGTTCATGCATCTCCTTACTTTGAGCTCTATTGAGGACTATGAAAGATTGAGTGGGAGGGAAATCGAGATGGGCGATGTTGGCCCCGGTAGAAACGGGGACAAGATCTGCAGGGAAGAGGTCATGAGAAGATTATGTACGGTGGTATTGGGCGAATACGTTAGAGCGGATGAGAAGAAGGGGTTCAAGGTCAAGAAGACTGGGGCTTTAAGGATTATTGGTGCGGGCGGTGAAGTGCTCTGAAGATCTATCGGTGGATACACTGAGTTCATGACTGTTGGTGATCCTGTTTGGCGTTGGGTTTGTTGGAAGTTCGATACCTTTTGCCCATGAGAATTCACTCACTACACACTTGCGAGGTAACATTCTTGGAGCGTGCGCTTTCGTGGTCTTCATTTGCGTCTCACTCGGTCCATCGCGACTTCCCTACACCCCCCATCAAGAACTGCATCTATCGTTCCTTCAGTCGCTCTACCTCGCCCCACATCACTTGCCTCGCTCGCTTACGCTTCCAGCGTCACGCACGCCACCACACCTCTACATGATCAACATGGGACCCTCAACACCGACCTACATATACCATATACTTCCATTCACTTCAATAATTTAGAAGACGGCCCAATGGTGTAAGTCTCCTCAAACCCAGCTTTCTAGCTCTTCCTAACAAGCATCCAGCTAGTGGTATGATGTAAGTTCAACCACCCCTCCCGCTCTCAATTGTATCTAACAATACTGCAGTCTTGCTTTGGGTTCATCTCAAACTTGCAAGAGGCCCCGCGTTCGAATCGCGGTTGGGCCCGTTGCTTTTTGTGTTTTCTATCTTGGTGAGAGGGGGAAGATGTAAGGGAAGGCGGTGCGCGGCGAACTTTTTTGGCAACTAGAGTCTTGTGTATTACAGTATACACATAATTGAATTGGCTCATAACATTGACTCCCGCGGCCGCCGGGGAGCATTGAAGTTGCTAAGCGCCTTCCAGAGCTCCAAACCCTCTTGCAAGCTCTCATCGTCTTCGATCACAACATGTCCGGTCTCCTTGAGTGTCCGAATCTGCCTGTCGTCTCTGGTCCCCCACTGTACCTCTTCGCCTTTCAGAAACTGGGCTAATGGTTTCTGAAATGCCTCAGTAACCACATTCTTCTCATCTACAGTAAGATCATCGCCATTACCCCAGAACCAGATTGGCAAATCCGTTGTATGCGTTGGACCGTACTTCTTTGGCACCTTCTCATCCACGCACTTCGCGCGCCACTCTATTCGATATCGATGCAGCAGATCACCCGCACTGTGCTGAATCAATGCATTCGCCATGCCGCGTTCGAGTGCGTGGATCTGTACATCCGCATACACGTGCCCAAAAGCGTCACCCCAACTCCGATACTTCTTTGGCAATGTGCGGTCGGGGAAGTAGTGCTTCATCAGCACCTCGACAGCGGCTTGAGGATAGTCTGCCTCCAGACGGTGGAGCAGGTTGTCGAACCCAGATTTTGGTGGCTTCCAGGTCCCGTATAGGAAGTGCTCTTGTGAGCACTCGCCCATCATGATTTTGACGTTTCGGCGCTTTAAGCGCTGTGCAAATTTCCCGTTGGAGAGTTCGCCGATGAGGTTGGGGCGCACGAATGTGCCGTCTGTGACGGCCCGGAATTGGTGGATTTTGATCTTGTTGCTGGCTGAGATAAGGGTCTTCGCAGGTAGTGCGCGTAACTTTACGAGTTTCTCGGATGGTCGAAGCTTCAATGGAATGCTGAGAGCTGTTAGGAACTCGTTGAACTGCTGTGTCGACTCATCCAAGCTCTTTGGCTGCATGCCCGGGCCGTTTGAGAGCATGAGTGCCCTCTTCACTATGGCCTTCTTGTCAGGTACACCAAGGTCGTACGCTAGCTGATGAAACACAGAGTGTGCTCCGGCCGAGTACCCTGAGACGGTGATGTTCGAAGGATTGCCGCCGAAGTAGCTGATGTTCTCCCATGTCCACCGCAGAGCTAGTCGCTGGTCCCAGAAACCAAGGTTGACAGTGAAGTCGGGACATGCTTGGAGTAATTCAGATGAGGAGAGGAAGCCGAAGAGATTTAGTCGGTAGGCAGGCGCAACTACAATGCATCGCGTGGGTGAGTCGCTGAGGAAGGCGCGCATGTCCATGTCATTTGGGTTGCCGAATTGAAGGAAACCTCCATGTATGTAGAACAACACCGGCCACCCTGAATACGGTCAATCGTTGTTACACCTCGTTTACATGACTACAAACCTCCTTTGGGTGGCTCCCCAATCGGAACCCAAATGTTGCTCTGCAAGCAGTCCTCCTCCCACAGATGATCGTCAAGTCCTTGCCGAGTGATCTGTGGACACAGCCCACAACTGCCGGTGAACCTCCCAGGATTGGACTTCGTTCCGTAGCGATAGCATGTTGGCAACGATCTCGGCTTCTGGAAGCGAAACGGTCCTACTGGCGGAAGACCGAATGGGACACCACCGAAGAAATGGCACAGAGGTTTTGACTTGTCGTCAAGGTATGTGAGTCCTTCGACGACACCGCGGAACTGCAGATCCCGTAAATAAGGTCGGGAAGGTTTTGACATGGTTGTATGAAGTGAGTGTCTTGAGATGGAGGGTCAGATTCATCCCGAGGTCCGGATACCGCAGGCTGACTAGTCCCTAGAAGGTAAGGTCCCATCACTCAATTGCTCCAGTGAAGCATATCATCAGCACAAACATATCGATGTAGTAAACTTGATATTCGGGTATCTTGTCGAGGCGACGTTTGTGGCGCCTGATCTCCCTGCTCCCGGTACGCCAATTCCCAAACAATGCTCCAACAGCTTCATGCAAAAATAGGCCATTTGTCTTCTAGTGCGTCTTCACGTTCTGCGCCCTCGCCAACCACAGCGCAACACTCTCTTTTGCAACCTCACTACCCCAGACACCATCGGCTCCTCCACGCCTCCATTCCTCGCCAGATACATCTTCGCCGCCGCCTCTTGTGGCTTCGCCAAGCAGGACTTCCAGGTCGCGCTTCTGCGATGAAAGCCAGCGCTTGAAGAACGCCACAGGGTCCTTGGCCATGCTGGTGAAAAACGCGTGCTTGGCCTTCGACTGGCCGATGGCACCCATGAGCAAGACTAATTGCTCGTCTAGCTTCTGGATTTCTTGCAGGGTCTGGATGCTGTCCGGTCGTCGCAGGATGTCCTGGAACAAGGGCTGCATTGGGTCCTCGAGTGCCACTTGTACATCGTATACGGTAGGTTCTGATGCCTTGCCGCCATCTGCAGGCGCAAGGTAGTCCTTGTCGACGCGAATCGTGTATTGTAATTGGATGGACGGAAGTGTGGTGAGATGCGGCTTGATGAGCTGTGGGAGGTTCGGAAAGTAGAAGGAGTCCTGGCCGTTGAACAAGGCTTTGAGTTTTGCATCGCAGGCGAATTTGCGCTCATCATCATCTTGTTGCAGGTGCTGTGACCGTGCGTACTCCCAGATACCCATCAATACACCTGCGCGGTCCTCCTCGTCGGTGTCCAGCAGCTCAGACAGAGGCTTGCTGAGTCGGAAAATCTCGGGGTTCTGGAATCGTTGCAGGTTGATCGTAATGTTGATGCTCTCGTCGCCCTTGCGCTCGAATTCGAGCTCGCTGAAGTTGCTCTCCTTCGCTGTGGGGTTCTCTGGTCGCTTCCACTCGATTTGTGTGAAGTTGTCGGGCTGGAGGTCTTTGTTGCGTTCGAAGTCGATTGTGATTGCGCTGAAGTATTGGGAGAACATCTTCGGTTTCGAGATAGATATTTTCGACTCTGCACCGTCCTCATCCATAGCTATAGAGTCCTGGTCAGCTTTAATTGTTCATCAACCCTGCCGATAGGCAGCAGTTTCATGCCAAAGCTGTTGAGAGGTCTCAGACAGCTTGCGCAAAGCTTCATGAATGCGCTCATGTAGGCGACTGCGCAAAGCTTACGTACCATCAGCGTCCTTGCCCTCCTCGTCTTCGTCCTCATCCTCAAGACCCTCGTCGCCCTCTTCGTCCAGCAGGCGACCCTGAATCTTGACGCGGTAGGTGGCATTGGTGTCGCTCTCAAAATCGAATGCATCTGCGTCAATGACGTTGCTCTGCCATGGCTGGTTCTCGGCCGTGTTAGAGATCCAGATGCGCATAGTACCATAGCGCGAAGCTCTTGAATGGTGCTTGGAGTCCATAACATCCAGCTTCTTGCGCATCATGGTCGCGTCAAGCGTACGCTCAATTTCGCGCAGCTCACGGTAGCGCGCTACACCATCGCCAATGCAGACATCCTCCACGCCCTCAGGCATGTTTTTGTCGGTAGGGTTCTTCGCGATTCGGCGCATCTTTTCGCGTCGTTCGGCCTCAGCACGTTGCTGAGCTTGCATATTTACGGCATTGTACTGCTGCGCAGCTTGGTGTTGAGGATGCGCAATCGGGGCTGGTTTGCGAAACATGGCGTCTAAGTCAGCCCTACTGATCATAACTGTTTTCAAGGTATGCGCGCGAGTTTGATTGCGTTGTGGTGGATTTCACGATGTGGAGTTACGTACCGGGCCCTCGCCGAGCAGGAGTTCCGATTGTGCCTGCATTTTGCGGGTAATTGTAATTCCGATAATTCGCCTGTTGCATTATGGGCGAGCAACGACTTCGTAGAACGGCAGCAACGATGGTGTCGCGACTTCCTCGATGATGCGAGATGGAGGAAGGAGCGTCTGGGAGACGCGTCAAGGTAGCTGTGCACAGGGCTGATAATGATTGGCACAACGCCCCTTAAACGTTGAAGGCGGGGTACAACCATCGGCTGGGAACGCCGCACTTGAACTCAACAGTGTTTCGGCGTCTTCATATTTCATGCAAACTCGTTGCGTCGTTGAAGAGCGGTCGATAGATGCAGCAAAAGGCCTCATCATGCCCGTTCGAGCTGTTCACCGTCTCTGATCATTCTCCTTGGCGACTGGCGATCAGCGACGCGCCTGGAGACCAACACGTATGAAGCGAGGTGCAACTGTCTGGATCTCCCATCCACATTTTCGACGTCATCATTGACCCTCTGTCTATCCTTCAAGTCACATCTCTTCATCTTGTGCACTACTGCCACTGAGTCCAGTCACATCACAAGATGCATCCCACGCCATTGAAGAAGATCACGCGCGTTCGTCTGCCGGGAAAGCGTCCCTCTGAGTTATGGGACATTACAACTCAGGACGGTAGAATAGCGTCAGTGGACGCACACGACACGGGTGCATCCGGACTCGACCATGGCGAAACTCTGGATGGATCTAACAGACTGATTGCGCCCTCTCTCTGTCATGCTCACATTCATCTGGACAAATGCTTCCTGCTTCAGGATCCCAAGTATGATGACTTGCAGATTAAGAGTGGCGACTTCAAAGAAGCCATGAAGATGACGAGCATCGCGAAGGCAAGGTTTGAAGAGGAGGACCTCATGCGGCGTGGAAGTCAACTGATCGAGGAAAGCATACAGCACGGTGTCACCGCCATGCGAGCCTTCGTAGAGGTCGATGGAGTCGTGCAGCTCAAGTGCTTGGACGCAGGCCTGAACCTACGAGAGAAGTACAAAGAGAAATGTGACATCCAGATATGCGCTTTCGCCCAACTGCCTCTTTTCTCTGGAAAAGACAACGGCGTAGAGGTCAGGAAGCTCATGGAGGCTGCAGCAACCAACAAAAATGTGGATGTGCTGGGCTCGACACCGTACGTCGAAGACGACGAGTGCAAATCAAAAGACAACGTCCGTTGGATATCAGCTTTGGCATTGAGAAAGAAGAAATACCTCGATTTGCATTTAGACTATTTTCTCGAAGAAGACAAGCAACCTCTCGTCTGGGATGTCTTGCAAATACTCAAGGACCACGATTGGATGAAGGCAGGCGGCAAGCAAATTACCCTTGGCCATTGCACACGTCTGATAAGGTTTCGGGACGAAGAATGGAATCGTTTGAAACAGGAAATAGGCGAGTTCGCTGTCTCCTTTGTTGGGCTGCCTACGTCTGACCTGTTTATGATGCGAAGTCCGGACAGTGTCCGTGGAACATTGCCAATCGTCAAGTTGATCAAGCAATATGGTTTTGACGCTGCAATTGCGATAAACAACATTGGCAATGCCTTCACTCCGCAAGGAAACTGTGACCCACTCGGCATTGCACAACTCGGTGTGGGTCTCTATCAGGCACCCACCACAGACGACGTTCAGCTGCTCTATGTAGGTTGCCATCTCGTCTTTGTTTATTCCAAGCTTTCGCTAACGCCGCAATGTAGGAAGCCGTCTCATCTCGTGCGAAGGCTGTTATTGGCCATGAACCCACCTCGCTCGGCTTTGAGCCTGGCGAGCCTGCAGATTTCGTGTTGTTTGATAGCATGGATAGCGGGTGGCGCTGCAGGAGGAGCATTGCCGAAGTTGTGTACGACGCTGGCTCTGTTCGACAAACGGTCTACCGAGGCCGGTCAACCACAACTTGCAGTTGAGAATACTGCACGTCGTTTGTTTGCGACCCTGTCGCTGTGAAAGACGGAAGTCGCGAAGTGACTACGTCGACGTCATGCATTGGACACATGATCAGTGGGCGCGGCTGCCGTTTACACTACTGAGGTCAACAATCAACAAGTGTTACAAAGTCTCACCATCCGGACATGTACAAACCTGCACATGCGAACAGCGTTACTGCCAATCTGTTGTTTCTGCGCTATTGAACCTTGTCGCACAACCACGCCATGCTCACTGCCCGCGTTGTCTTCACTTCACCGCAGCCGTACCTGCCGCCAAGACTTTGAGAATCGGAGAATATCGCAATACTCCCTAGCCACGTTTCAATTAACACTACACTACCCCAGATCGCCAAAATGTCTGATACGCTACCCGATCTTCAGTAAGCTGCCTCATGTTCCTAATTGACCATAGCCACCCTGTTTGACTTTCATACAGGTTGCCTTCCGGCATGCAGGCTACAACTCAGCTCAACGAACTGAAAGCTCTTAGTCTCAAATTTTTGGGGGACGTGAAGGTAATTTAGAGGACAGCAAACGCGTTCATTTGCAACCAAATCTGACTCATCCCTTTTTAGGCTCGCTTTGAGGAGCACTCATCCCAATTGTATAACGTACAGGAGACACTTGATGCCTTTAAAGAGGGTGAACTGAGCAAGCGAGATGCACATACGACCATTCTCGATACTCTTGAAGGGCACGACGATCTTAGACAGGAACTGATGGATATCCTCATGCACCCGGCAGCCGATTGGGCTCCTGGTGATTTCGATCTACCCACCGAGCAGCCAACGCAACAGTTTTTAGAGCCGGCCCCTCAGTTCCTCCAGCCCGCGCATCAACCACAGATGCGCCTACCATCGATCTCATCGAGCTGGTTCTCCGTCCCTCAGTTTGACCAATCAGCCGGTCTTGCGATGTTCAATGGTCCTAATGGTCATAATCCTATGGCCTCATCCCCCTCACTGCCAGTTCTCGCTCCCTTTCAGCTACCCAACCTACCGACCCATCTCTGGACGGATCACGGTGCAAAGGGTATGTACACAGCTGTCAACAACGATGTGTCTTTACCACCTCCTATTCATACGGAATTTCGCAACCCGTGGGAAGGCTCAAGCTACGCTGATACTTGGACAAACGATGGCATTAACTTTGCTCCGGATGGTACATATGTTGAAGAGCAATTCGGGCTTCAAGAGTCACCGCGTCCATCCTACAGTAACCACCTCCAGCCGTCAGTGGTCTTTCTTCAAAACGCCGAATCCTACCAGAGACCAACTTCTCTTCAGCAGGAGGGTCTCCAGTCAACACACACTCCGCAGCTCACTTACGATCCGCTGCCACCATCGAGTAATGCTGATCCCTTCCACATGACGACATTGGAAAAGCAGCATTCTGCAAACATCCAAGCGCCTCCGACTCCAACCTCTCAGTCGCCGCCTGATATACAACAGACGGAAGACGCAGAAGATCTAGGACAAGACATCACGACAGATCGGGCTCCTTCACTGGGAGGACCTTTCATACATGCGATCTGCGGCAAAGGCTTCACGAGTCTGTCGGGTGTGAAGAAACACCACTGGGGCAAAAAGCGTAACGACCTTGCAACGACAACAGGCTGCTGGGCTAAGCACAGGAAACCAGACGTTGCCTGGGATGATCACCCTAGCTGCAATGGGCGGTCAGCGTCTGAGACGGTAAAGTCCGTCCCTACCGTATCCAAGCAAGACCGACCCAAAGCCTCAATCTTACAGCCCAAGACTCCAGCAGCTTCTGACGTACCGCATCTCAACACAATACCTGGCTTCCCAACGCTTGACGACCTGCCCCATAAAGTCGCGAAAACCCTCAATGCAGGCAATGCAATCGTTTCCAGCCCACAAGAATGGGAACCACGTCACGATACCCATCGACTTCCCTCCCATAGTAGCTTTGATAGTCTATTGACAGCTATCAACGTGGTCTCCCAGATCGATGCACCAAAGCCCCAGGGTCGGACAGACTCCATCGCTCTGCAGTTGGATGCTCAAGTTGCTGCTGCAGAACAGCACGCCCCTTTCGTGCCATACGTACCACCTACGAGCACCTTCGACCCGCGATATGTACGTCCCGTTGTGCCGACTGCACTGAACCCGACCGGTCCTGGCGTCGGGGAGTCTACGCCGCAAGGCTTGAGTAGACCTCCTCTGAACTACGAGAGTAAAGAACCGCCATCGGTACTTCCGTCCGAAGTCGAGGAGTCTTACGCAGCTGCAGCTTTTTCGTGGCCTTTTAAGCCCCTCGGGTCTCAGTCATCTGGGCCTTCAATGAAGAAGCGTAAGGTCTAGGCAGTGCTCGAGAGCTGTCTGGACATGCAGGTTGTTCTCGAAGGGGTCTAGTATTATACACGAGGCTGAGCGTAGTCTGACAAGGTCAGTGATGGTTTGAATGTGGGTTCGTGAAATAGCGGCTGGTGTTACGAGACTTGATCTTAAGGCAATGCTTGAGTCGAGAGGGCTTGCTTGCTCAAGCTGACGTGTGTTGATGCTAGGATCGAGGCGTTTGGTGTACATCCAGGAAATGACATCACATACAATTTCAATTCGCTAATGAGAGTTCGGTAGCAAGATTGCGCTTTGTATATATCAGACAAGCTTACGATGCGGCCTGAGTACTTGTTGCAGTATACCATCCCGTGCCCCCATGTCAGCAAATAGTGTGGCACGGTCAAGCTTCCCCGCCTCGCAGCTTGGAAGCTGCGAGTGCAGGGATGGCAAGGACGCCCCAACCGCTCTCCACATCATAATTCAACCTCGCCATGTCACTCCGATTTTTCCGCGAGTCGGCCAAAGACCGAGAGGCGTTTTGCAGGCGTCTGGTGCCTGTTCTGCAGCGGCCGTGGAATTCCCGTGAGCAGCAGCTATGACGCTAAGAGCTTCGAGCAGGCCCTCAAGCTTGCAGGTGGGAGCTTGACCCTTGAGCTCACCCTACCTCTCAACGCATAACCGAGGATGCAGGTCACAACACGGTGCACAAAAGTTGTGCGACGAAAACAGGAGAGGCATTTGACCTTTTGAAAGCTGTAAAGCAGTTCTCTATGCTTTCGGCGCTGACTCCATTATGCCGGTGCTCCTAAAGGATCGGCATGGAGAGCCCTTGTGCGGGGAAAAGCGCGATTCTCCACGCGGTAACGACCCGCCTCCATCTTACCAAGATCATGTTACGTCGTCAACGGGCTTGTGCTAGCGAGAACAACGGGTGAGAGCAAGAAAAAGGTTAGGCTCTGGTTACCAGGTCCGGGGTCATACGAACGCACTACTTATGATCCCCAGCTTCTCCCCAGCTTTCAGAGCTCCACCTCTCCGCAAAGCTCGTCAATCTACCTCTTAACTTGAGCATCAAAGCGCAGGTCCAAGATGAAGATCACTTTCCTCTCAGCAGTGTTCGCGGCGACTGCCATTGCGGCACCGTCCAACTACCCGACCAACACTACCTCCGGTCCTGATGAGAATGGCAAGTACGAGATATCTGCCAAAGGCATCCGTGGGCAGTTCATTCCCTACGGTGCGTCCATCACCAACCTTTTCATTAAGGGTAAGGATGGCGTAGAGCGCGACGTCGTGCTTGGCTACGACAATGCCTCGTACTACTCGGTAGACCCAGTTCACCCTCACTTTGGAGGTGTACCTGGACGCTACGCAAACCGTATCAAGAACAGCACGTTCAACATTGACGGCGTTGACTACCACATCACGCCCAATGAGAACGGCGGTGCTGACACACTGCACGGTGGTCTTGATGGATGGGGTAGGTCGCAATCCCCTACTGACGATTTCTTGTTCTGACATTAGCAGATTGGCGCAACTTCACAGTGGTCGCACACACTGAGTCTTCGATCACTTTTTCGATTGTTGACCCTGATGGCAAGGAGGGCTTCCCTGGCGAGGTCATCAGCTACGTCACCTACACCATGTCTCCCAACACCTGGAACATCAAGATCGTTGCTCTTGCGACTACCAAGAAGACACCCATCATGTTGACCTCGCACACCTACTGGAACTTGGATGGTTTTGCCAACCCCGACACTCCTACTGCGCTCAACCACACCCTGTACCTGCCCTACTCCGGCCAGCGTGTTGGTGTTGACAACATTCTGATTCCTGATGGCACCATTCTTCCTAACGAGAAGTACTCCGTCAACGACTTCTGGTCCTCTCCCAAACAGATTGGCGCCAACCTCACAGCATCTGAGCTTCTCGGCAACTGCGGTTACAACTGCACTGGCTACGACAACTGCTACGCTGTCAATCGAGACCAGAACGGTCCCTTTAACTGGCGCACCTCAGGTCCTGTCGCTTCTCTGTCTAGCGCATGGTCCGGCATCAAAGTTGACATCTTCACCGACCAAGAGGCATTCCAGGTCTACAGCTGTGGTGGCCAGAACGGTAAGCTCATTTTCATTTGGCAAAGCCTTCAAATGCTAATTTCTGCAAAGGCTCTCTTCCTATCAAGTCCACTCAGGGTCTTGACAGTCGCAGCCGCACTGTTGAGAAGTATGGCTGCGTCGTCATGGAGGTCCAGGACTACATTGATGCCATCAACCAGCCCGAGTGGCAGCGTGAGAAGAGGCAGATTTTTGGTCCCAACGACCCTGCCTACACTCTCGAGGCTGACTACGTCTTCTCTACTGAGGGCTAGACTTACAACACTGTTTGTGTGCATGTTTCACCGGGCTCGCGGCCAGTGACCTGCCATCAATCTAATATCTAATGACATTCGAAATCATCACCTGAACTCGCATTCACCTCTACTTCTTGCACTCGATACTCAGTTCGAGTTAACAGAATTCTAGATTTGGCGACATACCAAGAAGACATACGATGGTCTTAACTCTTATCAGTTTCTCGACTTTTGCTTCCTATTATCCAGCTGCTTTCGTGCCTGCGTTCGGTGCGCCCCTTTCGGCGTCGTGTAGTGGCCTTCACTTCACCATGACAGCGCCACATGACGGGAGCAACCCCCACGCAAGCAAACGATCAGAGTCAAAATCTGACTCGCGCTCTCCATTCTTAACAGCTGAGCTCAACACACCTGCCTCAACTCTGTCACTGAAAATACTGCCCGCTGATCTCACGCCGGCTGCATCTCCAACAGACGCACTCGTCGAGGCGTTCAGTATGCTCAACATGCGCTCGCCCTCCATGCCGACTTTGTCCCCAAATTCATCCCCGAGCTACCCACCTGGCGATCTACACAGCAAGGCGCCAGCCGAAACACCGCATCGCGGCAGGACGGACACTATGCAAAGTGTCGTACGTGCCTTCAGCGCGTCAAAGACGCTGCATCAAGTACTGGGCATGCGGGATCCGGAGCCATTCGTGCCGCCACCAGCCATGCCGAGCGACCTGAGAGAAAGGTTTGAGGCTGGACTACAAGAGTACGAACAACTATATGTTGCCGGAGTGTCTGCTCCAAGGCAAGCTGAAGGCCTCACGGCTTCCGTGCTGCCACAGCAGGGCAAGACGAGCCTAGCGGATATCTTGGAGGAGAAGGAAAGTCCAGTGCGCGCAACACCCACTCGTCTCACTGCTCCTGGCACTAGCGGCAAGCTGAAGATCAACGTTCCAAAGTGGACTTCTGGAAAGCAAGCTATCGCTGTTGCTCAGCGACACACATTCCTCGACAGCGACAGCGACGCCGTTGCTAATGATACGGCAAGTGAGCACACTGATGACGAATGTGATGATGACGATTATAGCTTGTGGAAATATGGGTCTAGCACCACTCTTGCGGTGAGTGATTATTCACGACCAGGCAGTTCTGCGAGCGGGAACGAGCTTTCCTCAATGCCGGCGCCGTCGTTTCCCCCGCGAACGAGCTCGCTCCTTCCACTTCCACACGAGATTGTCTACGGCAGCAACGACTCCGACCCACTCACTCGTACCTCAAGAAGCAAGAACCTGCCGCCGCGCCCTGATTCCAAACACCCCACTGCGACGGCGAACAGTCAGCATCCGTACAAGCAAGTCTACAGCCATGGGAACAACAACCCGTCAACCCTGAGAAGGACAGAGTCATTGCCAGTGCTGTTCCCTTCACCAGGTGTTGAGCAACAATCCTCGGCCTTCGTACAGACCAAGAATGGTTCTGCCTACGGCGACAATTGCAGTGATTTCGAACCTCACAGCGCCCTTGGGAATACTGTGTTGGGTCACAACGAATACACAGCGTCGTCACCTGCACCTCGGATCACAATCCAAGCGCCATCACCAGTGAAGGCAGCAACATCAAGGAAGCGTGCTCCTTCCTCATCAACTCAGAACGAAATCGACCCACCTCTGTCCCAGCGCTCTCGTCGTGACGATGTTGCTGGCTTACCTGTTCTTTCACCTGACACCGAGGCGGAATGGACAATTAAATTTCCGGGCAACACCCATGCACTTCTGACCATCCTACTCACCTGGTCACACGCAATGTGGGCCTTCCACCATCGACTGCCAGTTCTAAAACCCTTCTCCATACATCCAGCTTTTCCGTACTCGATCACTCCGCCGTTGAGAAAGCAATTGCTTTCCGTGAGCTTCTACGACACCAGCGTCGAGCCGCACAAGGAAATAAGGTTCTTGGGTCCTGATGATGTCGCAGAGATGTCTTACCATGAAGTCGACATATTCGATAATCCGGCGGGCAATACTGACAGCCAAGCGCCGCCTCTATGGAGTTCTTCGATAAGTACCATCAAACAGACCTTGGGACTAGCCGACAGTGAAGCTCCTAAGCAAATTCGTTACATGGATATGTCGCAGCGCGCAAAGACTGGCGAAGGAAGATGGTGCTACATTCTCATTAAAGGCTACGAACCTCAAGATGGAGGCACACCGCCGCACCTTATTCTTGCATGGCACATCAGCGCTGTCACAGCAACAAGTGACTGCCTGCACACGATCTTCCCAGACAACGCCACACCAAAACCTACGACTCGATCACAAAGCAAATTAAAGCGCTTCTCCTCCCTCCAAAACTTCGGTCTGGCTCTATGCAGTCCAGCAAAGTTCAACTTCCACCAAACTCTGCGGTCGGCGAGTAGTAGCTCTGAGCTTCCACCAGCTGATGAGCCTGTAGAGAATGAGCAGCGAGGAGGTACAACACTGCACCGTACGGTGCTGAAGATGGAGAAGGCAGGGAACATACCTTTGGTTGAAGGGTATAGGGTGGATATCGCGGCTTTTAGAGATTGGATGGATGCGTGTGGAAAGGGTGAAGGAAAAGTAATCATGTGGAAGGAACGAGAGGGATAAACCAGAAGTTCGCGCGACTATGTATGCCTCAGTCCGCGCGTCAGGTTGATGGGTGAAGGCTATGTGATTGGCCGTGACCTTATGCACGCATCCTTTCGCCTATTTATGGTAGCGCTGTGCTGGCACATATGTCTTTACTCAGCCTCGCATAACTACAAGCTGCAGTCGAACATCATATAAAGCTCTTCCGAACTCGAATGCATTCATCTACCATCCCACGTCCATACAATCAGCACACCTACAGAAATGACCGCCAACATGTTAAGCCCATTCATTGTCTTGTTTTGCTTCCTGGTCGCAGCCGTCGAGTTTTTGCTCTGGGCCTAGTTTCAACGCTGGCGCACTCCAGATGAAAGCACGATCCTTCTGCTTCACCGGAAGACGGTTGAAGCTATCAAGGTCGAAGTCAAAGAGCTGAAATCACTGAACAAGAGGGCCACGGCAAACGTTAATTCATGGGAGGCTAAATACGAACCGATTCCATATAGCCTTCCCAATCTTTGGCAAGACACACTGCAATAGAACCTCTCCTATCCTTAGGGAAAGACACCGGTAGAGGACCTCGAAAACAACGACTCTGAGATACAAAAGCCTCCACAATAGTGACAACCAAATGGCAATGTCGAGCAACTTGCTTTCACATGCGACTCGTGCAATAAGTCGTTCCCTACCGCCGCAGGTCTAAACGACCACAACAATCGCAGACACATCCGTCGATTCGAATGCTACGTTTGTCAACCTCGTGTTGCATTCAACTTGAAAACAGACCTTGAACGACACAACGCATCCAAGCACCCGACGGGCGACGAGAAGCGATACTAGCGAACTGCAAGACGGAGGACTCGGAAGGACAATTCCAATAGGCATGTGGAGAGATGTGGGAAGGCTGCAAGCAAATGACGTGTGTTTTTGTCATATCTTATGTCCAGAGAAGAACATACGGGATACTGTTCGTGTAGGATTAAGACGGGTAAGTAGTAACGAGACTGGTCCAGCAAGTGTGCAAGGGCCGGCGGAAACATATAGAGAGGTGTTCAGCATATTAGCAGTGCATATAGGCTAATGTTATGAATTTCATCTTTTCATTTCATTCAACCGACCTCAGTCTAGTTACACTTCTTCTCCGCACCACCTTTCAATCTGCTTTGCGCAACGCAAAAGCTACTCATCTCATGCTATGCTTTTCGCTAGCGCTAGTTATACCCATAATGTACAAAATGAAAGTTGAAAACCTGAACAGACGCTCGAAGCGAGAGGGAAGAGGGCTGCAATAACGCCGTTCGCCTCTGCATGCAAGATGCGATGATTCTATCCTCTGAATCAATTTCAATCACCTCCCTCACGCAACCACACTAGGGCCGGGCGGTCCACCTTCACTGCCTGTACCGGGCACCGGCGGCGCTACGGGCGATGGGAGCGCTCTTGTGGGCATCTTAATAGGTGTGTCTGGTGACGACTTGATGCGGTTGGGTAGCGACTCGCCCTTGATGACCTTCAGAATCTCCTCCTTATCCAAAGTCTCGTACTGGACAAGAGCTTCTGCTAGACGGTCGAGCTCAGGGCGCTTCGATACTAATAACTCCCTTGCGCTCGTCCTGGCTTCGTCGATCAGTCGTCGAACCTCGTTATCGATGAGGCGCTTTGTCTCCGGCGAGACCATCTCATAATTTGACTTGAAGTCAACGTTGCCGAGCATGTCCGAGAAGCCGCAGGCTGTGACCATGCTGTAGGCCAGCTGTGTTGCTTGCTGGATATCACCGGAAGCACCGTCAGCTACATTGTCAGCACCGAAGATGATCTCCTCAGCCATCTTGCCTCCCATGCAGACTTGCAGCTGGCGGATGTATTGCGATCGAGTGTGGTGGTGCTCCTCCTGAGGAAGGAAGAATGTGATACCGGCGGCGTGGCCTCTGGGCAGGATAGTGGCCTTGTGGACGTCGCTGTAACCCTTGGTGAAGATACCGACAAGCGCGTGGCCACCCTCATGGTAAGCAGTGTGAATCTTATCTTGAAGGGGTACTGCGCGCGTCTTCTTCTCCGAGCCCATGGTAATCTTGTCCTTGGCCCATTCGAGATCGTTCAGCGAAACGAACTTAGACTGGAGCTTGGAAGCACGGATAGCTGCCGAGTTGGCAAGGTTCTCAAGCTCGGCACCAGAGAAACCAGGTGTACCGCGGGCAATGGTGGATAGATCGATCTCTGGCGAAAGGCGAATCTTCTTGGTGTGATACTTCAAGATAGCAAGACGGCCACTGACGTCTGGGAGCTCGACCTGTACGTGACGATCGAAACGTCCAGGGCGAAGCAGAGCCGAGTCGAGGAGTTCCGGGTGGTTAGTAGCAGCAATGAAGATGACACCAGTGCTCTGGTCGAATCCATCGAGATCGTTCAGGAGCTGGTTGAGGGTTTGACGATGGTAGTTGGCATCACGCGACTTACGCTTGCCGCCGATAGCGTCAAGTTCGTCGATGAAGACAATGGCAGGGGCCTTAGCTCGGGCAGTGGTGAAGAGCTCGCGAACGCGCTTAGCACCGACACCGACATAGACCTCGTCAAACTCAGATCCAGACATGTAGAAGAACGGGACACCAGCCTCTCCGGCAACAGCACGAGCAAGCAGCGTCTTACCAGTACCAGGGGGACCGATGAGCAGGACACCCTTAGGCAGCCTGCCACCAAGCTTGTTGTAGCGCTCAGGGTGTTTCAGGAAGTCGACAACATCGAGAAGCTCCTCTTTGGCCTCGTCGCAGCCGTGCACGTCGCTGAAACGAGTGTTCTGGTGCTCCGGACGAACCTCAGCGCTGGTACCACCGCCAACCTTCTTGAGGACACCGCTAGTCTCAACAAAGAGGGTAATCAAGATCAAGGAGACGTAGGCAGCCAGCGCGAAACCAGCAAGCCATCTGACCCACTTGAAGATGACGTTCCACATAGACTCCTCGACGACAACGTAGACTGGGTCACTCTTGACACCGACACCGCCGCGTGCCTTGCCAATCTGACCTGCGCCCATGTTAGCGCCTACAGCCTGGCTGACAGCCTGGATTTGTTGTGGTGTCAGGCCATTGTTGCCCCCTTGTGTGTTTCCAATAGCAGCAGACTGACCAGTCTTCTCAAGCGCCTGGCGGTAGAGGCGGTCTGAGACGGCGTTCGTGGCGAATTGTCCGGTGTTGTAGCGATCGATGACGATCTGCGGCATGTTGGCGCGCATGACAGCCGAGTAGAAAGAAGCCTGAGAAGTTGCACTGTTGGGGTTGTTGTTGGCAGCTTCCTCCAAACGAGCAAGCTGGTCCCGCGAAGGACCACCGAAGAGCGAGCGCTGCTGCGCCAGACCGAGACCGACCATGCCAAACCTGGGTTGCTGGCGAAGCTGTGAGAGAGGACCGTTGTGCGACAGAGACGAATACTGTCTTGCCATATGCGACTTGATGAACGAGGCGCGGGCGGGGGGACTATAGACCCGAGGTAGGGCGGTGTGCATCTGTTTGGCACTGTCGACAGTGGGCTTGCGGCCAAATGCCTGCCATGAGGGTCTCAGAGTAATAGATATGGTGGGACGCAGTCCTGTGGCAGCGGCGACGAAATTCTATGGCAAGTCAGCGGGCGTTCAATGACGCGATGTCGGAGATCGTGGCAAGTGGACGTACGTGAACCGCAAAGGGTGCAGTGGAAGCCATGTTGAATTGTATAGAGCGGCGAAGGCCGCGGTTATGTGCTTGGAAGACCAGACTACAGGGAAGAGGAAGGCGAAGAATGAAGGCGCATCAGTCTGGGGAGACGTCGCGACAATGTCGCTAGCGGGTGGTGATGAGTAGAAGACGGCGGAACATGTCGAAGCGTTGCGCCGATCGAACCCTGGCTGTGGCGTAGCTCCACGTGATGTCAAGCGTCAACTGAGCCTCATCCACCAAACTGGGAAGGTCAACCCTTGGACAATGAATAGCTCCATGGTTGTAGTAGATATATCGACGTTCTCGAGCTCTGTTCAGTGCCAGTATTCCTCGTGCATGGAGCTAGAAAGGCATTGTTTGACTGAAGGCACGAGACATGCGCCTTCCTTGTAGCAACGAAAGCATGCTGAACGAGTGATCCCAAGTCACGTCGTGGAATTTTTTCCCGAGGAGAAACTACCGCAGCGATACATAGCGCCCGCTCGTTTCCATGCTCCTTGTCAATTCAATTGCATGTTGAGCAACATGGTGCTTAAGGAACGGGAACCGGCAGCCCACGAACACCTCGGCCTAGCGGGGTCATGAAACTTTGGAACCTGGAGCACTCCACCAGAAGTACACCACATTCTACACTGCTCTAATCTAAGTTCGCATTCTCTGAAACCTATAGCCTCAAGAATGGTGACGCCCAGATGGATGGAGCTGTATAAGTACGCAGCGTGTGATGTGAGTTTGAATGCAGTTCTCTTGACTTGGATACTTCATGCTGAGCACATCTAGCTCGCAGATGGCTTGCTCAAACTCAACGTTCCAGGGGCAGGCTTTCTGGCCAATATACGTACGCCTTACCTTGAGTGACATAGAACCATGCTGACGTCCAACAGAGCCAATGCCGCACACTGCGAGCATACCAAAACCAGAGCTGAAGAAGGTCCTTGCACCTGCATCGACATTTCTCATGGCACCTAAAGCTACCAAATCCTTCCCTAACCCTACCTCACTGCCTACAAATGCACCTGGTTCAAATCTGCCAGACTCCAGGCCCTACGCAGACTACGCAGAGAACGGCACCATCATTGTGATCAGCCAGCCACGAGGCCAATCTTGCGCAGTGGTGGGCGGCATCATGGCTGCCCGTATGAAGCATCTCGGCGCACACGGTCTGGTCGTCGACGGTAGAGTACGAGACCTGGTGGCACTGAACGAAACGCAGCTGCCAATCTGGTCAAAAGGAACGTCGATCATTGGTGCAGGAGCGGAGACAAAGTTTCATGCGCACAACGTGCCGGTGCACATTGGCGAGACTACTGTCCAGGCTGGCGACATTGTCATGATAGATCCGCTCGAGAATGGTGTGGTTGCAGTGCCAAAGGGCAAAATCGATGAGCTGCTCGAGCTGCTACCAAAACTTGTGGCAGCCGACGAGAAGGTGATTGCGGACGTTGAGGGGGGCGTGAGTGTGCAAGAAGCGTTCAAGAGGCATCGCAGCTAGCCGTAGCCATATCATCAATACTATTAGCAATTTCGTGTGCATCTTCAGTGCGCAATTCATCCATTACTGAGCGGTGCGTGAAGGGCCCAATGAGTTGCGGCTCGTTTTGATGACATGTTCCTGGGGCTAGCGCCGCGCCAAGTCTCGACGAATTCGATATCCCGGCTTCAACCTCACAGCTCAAACACCCTCATCCGCCGTCTACATCACCACCCGACCCGCTCGAGACTCAATTGTCGCCCCACCGTCACAATGGGTATCACCGACTTTTTCTCCGACGTCTGGGAGACCTTCGCTCTCCCCTCGGCCGATGCCGAAGCTCCTCCCCAGGGTGGCACATCCACCCAGACACCCGCATCTGGAACCAACGAGGAGTCTGGCGAGGAGGCCGAGGTCAACAAGCAGGACGCCAAGGAGCCCGAGGAGTCTGGCGAGCAGGGACACAGGCCCAGCGACGGCGGCGATGACGAGGAGGAGGCCGAGGAGGAGGAAGAGGAGGAGGAGGAGTACACAGACCCCAAGGAGGTTCTCGAGGAGCGTGAGTAGCCCTCAAACCGCAATGACCGGCGATTCCAGCATCATTGGGTACCCAGGATGCGTTCATAGCACTGATGAGCCATTGATGACCAACGCAACACGCAACACTGGAATCTGCTCAATAACCATTGGAGAGTCGGACCGTAGCTAACGAATGGTTGCAGAGTGCCGCAACTCCAAGGAGTGCCACGGCCCCAAGCACCACTACGACGAGTGCGTCGAGCGCGTCACCGGTCAGATCGACAATGACGGCAAGGCCAGCGAGGACTGCGTCGAGGAGTGTATGTCACGACAATCCCGACAAGCATGCGCCGAGATACTAACGTATTACAGTCTTCCATCTCGCACACTGCGCGACCCAGTGCGCCGCCCCCAAGCTCTTCGCTCAGCTCAAGTAAACCTGCCAGCACTTCGCTCACCTCGACCGCTACCGCGCCGAATACATGACTCGATAGTTGGAAGACGGTGTTGGATCGAAAGAAACGACAAGACACGTCAAGGATGACTGTAAATACCAGGGTCATGTTTAGAATAACACTGTACTATTTACCATGCCAAGCAATTTCATTACCTCAATCACCGTCTCAGACTGCGCTCTCTGACAAGGCGAAGTTGTGATCAGCGTCACAGCAACACACCAACACTTCAGATCGAAACAGAGAAAAGAAGAAGACCTCCTGTGTTGGACTACACTGCATCGTAATCCTCCAATAGTCAACTCTCCTGACCCTCTATAACCTCCCCCTCTCTATTCTCATCAACCTTCAGTCTCCCCTTTCCAACAGCCAAACCCAGCCTTTTCACTCCCAACATCAACGGCAACGGCAACACGACCATCCCCACAATCGCCTCAAAAACCAGAGCATTATACATATTACCAGGCGGCCGATCTCCTCCTCCCTCTATCCTTCCCCCATCGCTGACTTTATCCAGGTCCACTGGTCGCCCATCCTTCAGAGCATCCATAATGAGCACGAAGCAAGCCCCAATGAACTGCCCCCCAACCCAACAAATCGTCGAGCTAACTTCAGGACTAGCTGGGAATGTGATTTCGACTAGATACTCCAGTGCGACGGGCAGCAGACTGAACGAACTCGCACCCAGCACCGCACTCAGCACATACGGCGCAACAATGCTCCTCGTCTGCGGCGCCCAGATCATTGCTAGGTAGCTCAGCGCGATGAACGGACATAGGATCTTGATACCCAAGAGGTATGCATGTGTGCGGTCGAGGACCGGCGAAGTGACGGCCGCGACAACAAGACCAACCACGATGAGCACCGCGCCGCAAATTCCCGCTTCGTCCTCAGAGAAGCCGTAGGGATAGAGGATTTGGTTTAGCAGCGAAGAAAAGGCGTTGAAGAAGCCAACGTAGACGCTGAAGGTTAGGAAGACAATGTAGAACGGCGGAGAGCGCAGCATAACTTTTATCGACTCGAAGACGGGTGTTCGCGATAGGCTGGAGGAGGCGGTGGGTGGTGTTGGTGGAGCGGCGGGCAGGAAGATGGAGGGGATGCAGGATACGGTTGTGATTATTGAGACGATTAAGACGATTTTGTCGACGGAGCCGAGGAAGGGGTTGACCAGCTGGGCGAGCTGAATTCGTTAGTGTAGCTCAGGAAGGTTCGTGAGAGTGGACTTACAGCACCACCAAATGGGTTCGCCAGACTGGCTAGTGCGGTCGCACCTACTCGTCCTCGCTCAGTGAACCACATGTCGGAGTACCTCGTTGGCGCAGCAAGTACGAAAGGTTGCGCAAGACCAGTCAAGATCTGGCCGAACATCACGACGCCGAAGATGCCGCCTGATGCGCGTGTGCCTGCATAGCGGATCCAGTTGCCGACCAAAAGTAGACCAGAGGCCCAGAGAATGCTCTCTTTTGGACTGCGGTGAAGCGTCCAGATGACGAGGGGAGCTGCGACTGCGAAGGAGAAGAAGAACCCGGTTGAGAGCCAGTTGATCGCTGTCTCAGAAACGTTGAAGTATGTTGCTGCTGATGTGGAGACGGGAGCGAAGGTCAACCACTGTTGTTTGTAAGTATGTGTTCATTCGGACTCTGTTGGGTACTCGACTTACATCCCAGCTAATAACAATGTTCAACAACACGAGCTGTCCAAGACCGAGCCATCTTCTCTTGTACACCTTGAAGTGCGTATGACTATATGTCTGCTTCGGCTTCGGTCGTCTTTGAGAGGAAGTTGCCTGTGTTTCTATCTCTCCGTCTACTGCACGTGATGACGACCCTTGGGCGTTCTCATAGATGTCTTCTTCAATCCGGATTTCGCTCTTGGCGGTGCTCCCGTGGGTTTGCACGGGCGTGATGTCGCTCATTTTGACCCAAGAGCCGTTTGTTCTCATCTGAAGCAGACCAGAGCCCCCAGAAATATCTCAAGTCTTGATCACGGCAGTCTAATTTTGGCCCCCACACGGTCGGTGTGCGCTCTGTTGATGTCGCGGTATCGTTCTTGAACTCCAAGGTCTTTCTGTGACGTCAAACGTCAAAAACCCTCAAACAATCCAAGCTTCGCAACAAGGCTTAGCACAACATTTCTTGAAGGTGGGAGGACAAGAGAAATAACGATAAGAAACGGCGATTGATTGTCTGGCTTTTGTTGTTGCATGTGTGCCCTAGACGCCTGCCATCTTATTACCCGGGCCAAGATAGGAAAGGGGGCGGGTGCAAGAACGGACCCACCTTCCTTTTCGTGCTAGATGCGCGTTCGTATCAATGCTTCTTACCCCAGCTTTTCGAAGGGATTCGCTGCTTGAGACCAGGAACGGAGAAGGCGCTCATAAGGTGGGGTCGCGTGCCGCGTTGTTGACGAAGGTCGTTGGCGACGATACTGGTGGAGATGAATGTACGTCGCGCCACCATGTTGACGGGGAGCTTTGTGGACGCCGTTGTCTGTCTGCTAAGGTTGATCGAAAGGTACAGTGTTTGGCCTCTCGCGGTGATTTAGGGCACCTCACACAGCATGTTCTCTTCCCCTTGTTCCGCTTCTCTGGCTCGGCCTTTTCCTTTCGCAATTGTTTCCTGACAGCGCTTCACGTGTCGTTGAAAGTTGTCTTTGCGGTTATATTTCTTGTCCGGCGTAGCATACCCAGGGTTTGGACAGATAAATTTCGCTCCTGCTTCGGCATGAACACCAAATCTATGTTGCTTGAGATCCGCTTGGAGATTGAATGATGCGCCGCAAAGGCCACAGTCGTAACGACCGATGTGTGCCCGGTTGACATGGTCCCTGTTGTAGTAAGCATCAGAGCCGCTGCCCACAAAACTTAAGGCTACCTACCGTCTTTGACCAGGTGTATATTGTCAAGCAAGGGGTCGTTCAGAGTTGATGTATTTTCTCTAGGTATTGTCGGCACATCCGTGACCGCTGATGCCTGACTGGGCTTCAACTGGAACTCGTGCACAGCTCGTGACAGTTGAGTGGAGTTCGTTATGGATGTCGTTGGGGACATAGTGCAACGACGGAACAGGGCTACAGTCAGTCTCTCGGGATGCCTTCGTCGAAGGATGTCAACGAGCGGGAGTTCGCCGGCTTTGAATCACTGTGAAGTCTACGTGGTGTTCAGCATTGCTTGCGATCCAAGATCAGTTGCTTACCTCTTGCCAGCATCGTCATTGTTCCAAACAGAAACCAGACTTCTACTAGATACCGAGCTGTCCTGCTTCAAAGATGAGTTGCTCGAAGCACTTCCTTCCACTTTCTTAGCTTGCAGGCTTTTATGGTCGATGTCGGCGGCGCAAACACATCGTACCGAACTTGGAATGAACAAGGAGTCTGTGTTCCTGCAATTATACCAAGCAGTCGAAACTTTTTTCACATCTATCACAACTGTATCGAGGGTTATGCATAGGGATGTGATGATATCTGCTTTTGTCAGGTTTACGGTCTCTACAGATCTGGCATTAAATACGCACCTCCTCTGACCGAGTGTTCGGAATCTCCGAAAACAAGCATAGCATTCGAACTCGGGAGTGAGACAGACTCCGGCACGGACAAGACTCTTGGGTATTATATCCATTGCTGCACACCCTGCAAGGAATTCGCGTCCTCTATTACGAGCCTATAATCTACTTTCTTGTTGATACCGTCTTTCGGCCTGGGATTTGTACTGGAAGTGTCATGTTCAATCGACTGAGATTTATCAGAGCGATACAATGCCGCGATCGGGTCTCCTGGGGGAAGATAGAACGTATCCTCGATTGGAGAGGCGGCTGCGTCCGTCTTGCTGTTCGGTCTGGTCAGACAAGACCATTCAATCTGTCAATAGGGGAGAATGTGATCAGAATCGTGCTGTGTTGGTAGCTATCTACGTGATTTTTATCTACACAAAGAGAGCCGCGTGTGCGCTAGCCGGAAAGGGAAAGGCGCGGAGCCTGTAAGAGACGGGACGCAGTGAAGGTGCGGGCTGACACAATCAGAACCAGCCAACTTACATATCTTGACGTCGTGAGCTTCCCATCGGTTGAGTAGACGGTTCGTAACTGGAGGAGCTGTCCAGTGACGAATTAGTGTATGTTTGTCAAACCCCAGAATTTCATCTTCTGTTGCCTTTGGGGCGTACGGTGTTAGACCAGATAGCTCTCGCTGTGGTTGTGCGGGTGGCTCGTCATCTTGTAACCCACGCACATGACTTAATCCGATCTCCTGGATGGCAATTGTGGGCTTTGTGTATGCATCTTCTTGGGTATATGGTGGGGGAGGTTCGGTGGCCTTACGGACGCGACGTTTTCTCCAACAGCAAAACGATAACCAGACACAGTACTAGCAGCAAGACTATACCGACCACAATGCCTACAACGCTACCTTTGTTCAGAGGTACCATTGTGCCTGCAGAGGGCAGAAGTGCCAACAGTCGATTTCGTGGAGAGTTTGACCATATCCGAAAAGATTGTCGATGATGCTTGTGATCCATGGAACGCCTGGAGATGGACATAAAATCACATTTAGATGTTCAAATTAATATGGCGAGGCTGAGAGACATTCTGGAATAACATTTCAGTCAATGAGGGCTGCAGGTGGCTTCAGCCTTGTCATACCAACACTCAGATATTTAGCCGAGCACACTCGGTCAGGATAAGAAGCGTATCAAATTGAATGTCGGACCTAGAAGTCCGACCGCTGAGAAGGAACTACGCTCAGATGCCGCCTTTGAGATAGTAGTCCAATGGATATCCGAGCCAGTTGCACTGCTCCACGTCCACATACCCAGTATTCGTACTCGGCCAGTCCAAAAGCCTGACCTCATCACCACTTTTCTTGCCCCCATCCACCTGGTTCCACTGACCGTAGTTCTTCACACCTTCAATGACCTTATCATAGCCTCGGACCTGCAAGTACCTCAGATCCGGGTTCGGGTCGCCGTTCCTTACGAAGGATCCAAAGTAGCTTGTCACCAGCTGCTCTGACCATAAATCCTCGGGCTCACGGATGGTGCTCAGAGTACCAAAGACCCAAGGCATGTCGGCACCGTGGAAGCGGAAGTATGGGTTCTTGGGATTGTTGTCCTTGGGTCCACCGAGGTTATTGGGGTCGTAACCGCCGATGGTGCGTTCGAACTGGTAGTAGTATGCTTTCTGGAAAGCCTTGGTCTGAGCACCGGCATAGACGGTCGCTTGGTCGACGCAGCGGAAGGTCTTATCAGTCGCAATGCGCTGAGAGACGTTGAACGAATCGAGAGTCAGATTGCCTGTGTTGGTGAGAGGGAACAAGTTGGAGGAAATAACCCTTTCAGCCCACGTTGAATTGATACCAAGAGCGACCTGTAGGCCTTGAGTGTGGTTGGCGATCGGCGTCTCGGGGTAAGTGGAAAATGATGCACCGTCATTGCGGATGATGCCAAAGATGACAGGAACATGGGCGGTACTGCCGTTGTGTGTCGAGAGAATGAGGTTTGGCGTGTTGACGTACTTGCCATCCTGCACCACGTAGCGAGCCACTGTCGAGGCACCGACCAGTGTGGAAGCAGGCACCTTCTCAAGACAAGCAATCTGACTTGAGACGTCGGTACCGTTGCAGCCGGCAGCGTCGAAGATCTGAGGTCCAGCTACGGTATAAGACTGGTCGATCGTATAGTATGTTGAGTATGTTGTGCCATAGTCGCCTTTCAGGCCTAGTGTGACGCCACCTCCAAGGTTCGACATGGAGACTGCACCTTGGTACTTGCCAATCGCCTGAGGAGATCCGAGAAGTGTGCGCACAGATCCAGCACCTGCAGACTCGCCAGCAATGGTGATCTTCTTGGGGTCACCTCCAAACGCCGCGATATTCGCAATGACCCAGTCAAGCGCAGTGATCTGATCTGCGATGCCAAAGTTGCCCTTGATGTCGGTTCCGGGAATAGCTAGGAAACCCAATGTCGAGAGACGGTAGTTGATCGAAACAACGACGACGTCTTCTTTGCTAGCAAGATTACCACCATCTGAGAGCGCATCGGTACTACTGCCTCCTGTGAATCCACCACCGTGGATCCAGAATAGGATAGGACGGAGCTTCTGCTTCGAGCCTGCTTTTGGGATGTAAGGAGTTTGGACGTTCAAGAAGAGACAGTCCTCGCTACCTGAGCCGCCCTGTGCACACTGTGCACCATATGCAGTTGCCTGGATGGTCTGGCCCTTCTTGGAGTACACCGAGGAGTACTTAAATCGTTGGGGTGTGTCTGCGTAGGGGATACCAAGGAACCGAAAAGACTTCTGGTTGCGATAACCGACGAAAATATTGCCACTTGAAGCCAGAGAGATCTCTGTGCCGTTGGTGGGTCTCGCACTTGACGATCCATTGTTGGCAGACTGAGTGCAGAGGACAGGCAGAGCCCTGCTCGAAGATCCTGCAGCCGAAGCAAAGTTCAGTTGCTTGCTGACAGACACAACGCCATTATCGATATAGTAGCCCTTGCCCGCATGGTAGTAGTTGGCGTAGTCCTGGTACGAGAGAGCATTGATGAAATCCGATTGGTATTGTTGCAGAGCGGACTGGGGGAGCAGCTTCTCGTTCAATGCTGCACAAGCTGCCGCTGCATTTGATTGAGAGGCCGCATCGAGGATGAGAGCTCCGATGTGGTTCTTGTCGTCCGAACCGTTCAAGTTGTTCTGGTAGATCAGAGTAACGGAGGACTTCGAGTTCGAAGTTGTCGCTGCACTTGTGGTCTCAACAGGTGAGGGTGATGAAAGGCTGATGAAGCCGGCCATTACGGCAACGAAGGTGACGAAGATTGCCATTGGGAAGAGCTGATTGAGCCTCTTCAGATTCTTGGTAGGGTCTCAGGAGGAGCAGCCTGAAAAACATAGAGTAGGACATGCGGTGCCTTTAATACTATACCGGGCACCCGGATGACGACCTACGTTGAAATGAAGAGCCGTGAAGCTAGCGGGCTCTAGGTTATACTCCACATGAGGCTACTGAAGATAAGCATTTCGAAATGCGGGTTTCCCGGATATTCAGGGCAGATCGTGACTAGACCAGGAGTTAGGCAGAATGTTCTGCGCCATGGTGTCAAGACTCGTGCGCTCATGACACCGTCTTCTTTCCACCCTGCAGCCATTTGAGCACTCGCACATCTTCTCGCATCGTATGCTCGTTCAGTGAGCATCTAACAAGCTCTCATATCAGCGATGACCAAAAAAGTGGAAGACACAGCAGCGCAAGCTCGACCGTGAGTTGGTGAGCTTCATCTGCCGCTTAGAAAGCAATCCCGGTGTTGCGCGTGTAATTTAGCCGTTTAGGCAGCTTTCACAGCGCACCTGGAGGAAAATTATCGAGGCTGCTAATGTGGCAGTTTCGAGCGACCCGGTAGATGGATAGGAGACCGTCAAAGTTTAGTCAGGATGCAGAGATGCGAACGTTGTGAGGGTGGATGAAGGAGTACGGAGAGTTGGAGGCACGGCCAACGGCCGCCGCCACACCCTCAGTCCGCCCTTCGACTCGACCAACATCCACGACATGTTCATTGATATATGCGCGCTGCACATGAGCATATACAATATAGAACAGCCATTGTAAAGTACTCAGACTGTGAATACATGGAGCCGAGATGCGTGTGAAAGCTGCCACTGCCTAGCAAAAGGCCAAGCATCAAATCGGGCATGCAGACAAAACGACTAAAAACACGATCAAAGGATGGTTGAAAGCTCAAGATATCTTTGTTTCAGCATCAGTTCCTGGTTGGACGCATGATCGGATATACGGAAGGTGGACTTGTTCGGGATTGGCAGCCGTCATCGTACAGCATGACAGGTACGCGAGAGCAAGGGTATGAGATCTCCTCATAATCTGACCAGATCTCATGTCCAGTATCCTCAACGCCCTGTAATCCCTGAAGTCTACACAATGCGTTCGGTCGCTTGCCTGTTGACCCTAGTGGTCTCAACTGTGCTCGGACAGACCGTTGTCCCACCCAGCACATGGAACTACACCTACCCGTGGCCCGTCAAATATCACAACCTCACGTCGCAGCGACTGAACCTCTCCATGGCATACATGGATGTCGCTCCCACTAGCTACGCAACGAACAAAACCATCGTACTGCTTCACGGCAAGAACTTTTGCGGCGCGACATGGGAAGATACAGCGCGCCGTCTTTCCACACACGGCTACCGAGTCATCGTGCCCGACCAAATCGGCTTCTGCAAGTCGTCCAAGCCGCCAGCATACCAATTCTCTCTGCAGCAACTGGCATTCAACACGAATTCCCTACTCCAATCGCTCGATATCGCACAGGTTAAGGTTCTCGGCCATTCGATGGGCAGCATGCTAGCGACTCGATTCACGCTGATGTATCCCGACGTGACCTCGCACCTCATCCTAACCAACCCAATCGGTCTGGAAGACTGGAAAGCGCTTGGCGTCCCATGGCGACCGATCGACCTCCTGTATGCAGACGAGCTGAAAACCAACTACACGACTATTCGTAACTACCAGCAAGCAACATACTACGTCAATACCTGGAAGCCCGAGTACGATGTCTGGGTCAACATGCTGGTCTCTTTGTACCACCTGCCTGTCGAGGGTCCCACGTTTGCGTACAATATGGCGCTTACGACGGACGCGGTGTTGACGCAGCCGGTTACGTATGAATTCGGTCTGGTGAAGGCGAAGACATTGCTGTTGATTGGTACGAAGGATAACACTGCGATCGGCAAGGCGTGGAGTCCGCCAGCTGTGCAGGCTAAGTTGGGTAACTATTCGGTACTGGGGAGAGAGACGGCTGCGAAGATTCCGGGTGCTGAGTTAGTAGAGTTCACGGACTTGGGACATGCTCCGCAAGTCCAGGATAGTGAACGGTATCATGAGGCGTTGTTCGAGTGGCTGGACAGAGTGGGCTGAGCGGGTCAATGAGGGCCTTCCGTTGAGGAAATTGCGTGCTTGTAACCGACTTTTATGTTGCATAAAAGGGCTTTACAAGGCGGGCTCAGGCCTATTCGTGGTAGAGAAGTCTTACTAGTCAGCTTCTGAAGCTCCTGTCGTTTCTCTTCGGTATTCCGTGTTTGCCTGTCTGTCTCTCGCCTCCGTCATCAGTCTTTTGTAATCCGCTTCACTGACCTCAACCCATGGCTCGAGCACATACGATGTGTATTGAGAATCTTGTACGTAGGAATCAGCCCGAATAAGATAAAGCTGGCAATGGTAGTCCACTCTTTTGATCCTTCGATGCAGACCAGTATGCCCAAGGCCGCGGACACAGCGCTACATCTGGTGTACTCGATAAGCGAAGTGAGTGTCGTGGCCATGAGGGCAATCTCTTGCGCGACGAGAAGATAGTAGGACGAGACAAGATGAGCTTTTATGCCGAGCAATGACTTCTCATTCTCGCTGCCCAGGAGGTTCATTCTCAAAGTGGCGATTTTCTCGTCAACGAGCTTCATCTCGAGATAAAAGAAGCGTTTCAGGGAGGGCAGAAGTGTATCATAATCTTCGCCGTCATGGCTTGAATCCAGTGGCTCGCTCGATCGTGTCGTAAGCACGCTGGAAGTCTGCTCAGAGAGGGAATGTGCTGGAACTAGAACTGCGCGTGTGTCCTTTGTACCTGGCGGCAGCTGCTGTGTTTTCTCTAGCAATTTCGTTCGACTGTGCGAGCTCGGTGGAGTCTTGAGCCTCTGAACCTTGTCAATGTAGTAACTCATTAAGGTCAAGTAAATGGGTTTACCACAGTAAGATTTAGCAGCAACCAGCACAGGCAGGACCAACAGAAACAGCGGATTGATCTGGCCAATTCCCATACTCGTATGGACCTCGAGAGGTATGTTTGATTCCCAGCGATTCAGGTACAATTGTGTGGAGCCAAACACAATCATGAAGCCTAGCATTGAGCCTAGAGACAGGAATGATTAGATGTACGTTTCGGAGGCGCGTTACGCAATGAGCCAGTAACGCCGCAGTCCTTTGCTAATCCTGATCTGTTCGAGGTTTCGTCGTCGTCTGAATGAGATCCGTTCAGCGACTGCCTCCTCGATCGTGTATTCCAGCTCTCTTTTGCTTAGCTTCAAGGCTTTGCGGTGTCGTCTTGTCCGCAATTTGAACATCGTGCGCTCAAAATGAGTCGCTTTATCATCGTCCTTTTTTAAGACCACTGAATGCGAACCAGAACTGCCAAGTCAACCGTACAAGAGTCAGGGCAGCAGGCAGTATGTCGAAGATGTCCAAAGGAACCGGCTGATACAAGCCTCTCTTGCCGAAGAAGTAGAACGTGCACTAAGTCGAGATGGTGCCGTCAACGGAAGCCATCGACATAACGAGTGAGTACATCAGCAGGATAAGGAATGCTATCATCCCGAAGACCCGCCAATTGCGAACAGCTCCATGATCGAGGAAATATTCCCGCAGGCAGACCAGTATCGCCAGATGCGTAGTAGATGAGAATCAAGCTAGAGAGAATGCCAGCTGGGACTCCCAGACTGTCAACATGCATTGGTTGGCGACAGCTGCAACGAGGATTGCGAGGCCAGTAGCGAGTTGTTGCTCGCTTAGCGTAAGGATGAATAGTTTGACAACCTCCTTACGTTGTCGCCTGGTGATCTTGCGGTTTGGTTTCGATGGACGACCAAACAGTAGCAGAGATTTGACACTGTTGTACAAAGTTTACATGCGTGCAGCGTTCTTCTCAGATGGCAGGCATGCTTGAAAGCTTGCAAGGACTGTTCTGTCCGTCTCATTGAGATAAGATTCTGGCAAGGAGTCGGAGAGATAACCATAAACGATGGCCAAGATTGCAAGGATGGCCGACACGAAGTATGCGTAGAGGGCTTGTTCGTGGGTCAGGTCGAGTGCCGTGTTGATCAAGACACTGACTACTCCAGGGCCTGCAATGTCAGTTGTAGCTTCGACCACATCTCGCGGCTCGCGGTTGAGGTTGGCACACTTGGCCATGCTGGTATGTCGGACGTTAGGAAGCGGAGGTTAGTACATTTCTAAGATGTGGAAGGTGTGATTGTTGAGACGACGATTTGAGTGTGATATACGAGGAACGTTTGGAATCGGAGCGATTCCGAGCCTGACTAGTAGAGAACGTGCACGATGGATGGCCGCGGATCGCCGGCCCCCGGAATGACCATTGTCTCCTATGGGCATTTCCTTTTTTTAAACCCGCGCTTGCAGACTCGCAAGAAGTGCACATCAAGAAGTATCCTAAGTTTGAAGCGAGAGGTTCTGGTGTCGATCTCTGTAGGTTGTTCATCCACGGAACCCTTCCGCCATCCGAACCACTGTCCCACAATACATCAGCATCAATGGCAAGCTTTGCCATACTTTCGCAATCGAACGTAGTTGTAAGGAAGTGGCGCCAAAAATCCTGCAGCCACGGAGAGGAGTGCAGCGGCCCAGAAGGCGGGTGAATCGAGTTGGACCATGCCGCCGGTAAGATGGAGGTCAACAGCGTTCTCAGCAGCCTCCATTGTGACCATAGAGATTATGCTCATGCCTGCAGCAGTCTTTACAGCAGCGATCCACGATAAGCGGTCACGGCCCAGACGGAGCAGAGCTGTTTCAAGGAGTAGTGAAGTGGTGATACCAGAGGCCACTGAAACCCGTTAGTACTCGTCCAGTAGACGTGGGGGTCAATTCATCGTACTGGATAACGCCATGATCGTCGATAATCCAAGGTCTGCATGGAAAGTCTGCAGGTACCACATAGCTGAGAAGTCGCCAGCTGTGCAACCAATGAGGCACCGGAGAGTGTTGATACCTGCTCGTTTCCATATCGGCGATGAGCTCCAGAACTGCGTTGATGACAACGACAAAGTCGCCGCCGCTGCTTTGCTAGGACACTCTGTTTTGGATTTGCTTTCGTTACATGCCAACCTTCGATGGCCTGTGAACAGTGCTGGCCTAAGTCGCCGTAAGGACCCACGCATGACAAGGGTCGAACGAAGCGATATCATGACCAAGGGAGATCTAGAAGTGTAACTCGTTGTTGACCTGTGAAATGCAACGTGGAAGTTGTATTGCAAGTGCCAGAATAGAAGAGTCTCTGGAGAATCCCAGGAGACGAAATTGCCGCACAAAAAGCGCGACACCGTGCATCACGAGCAGTCAATCAGAAGTAGGAGTTGCTGAAGCCCCATTGACTGAAAACTATTTCACTCATGTTTTTGAGTCAGCCATCAGTAAGAGTGATACCGGTACCAAAGTGTGTCAAGTCCCAGACGTTGTCGCATGCAGTGAAGAGGGTCGAGGTTGCCTCAGGCCAATGACGCATGATTCGGCAGGGGTGACGCGCCGTCTCTACGCGTCGACGCGTCTACCTAAACACCACCCACAGTATGCATACCCTGACAACATGACACCACGCACGCGAACGAGCAACAAAGATGCAAATTATAAAATCTACTACTCGAAGAAAGTGCCCAAGCAGGTATATTTCCCTCATAAGAAGAAGACAGTGCGCAGACCGGAATCAGCAGAGCAAGATGGAGTCGAAAAGAGGCAAATGAACTTCTTACCGAAGAAGATGAGGCAACAAAAGTCTGAGGCTGAGGAAGGGACAGAGGGGGAGAAAACAGAGGAAGAGTCGATAATGCAAGAAGCAGCGACTGAAGAGACTGCAAAGAGCACACCAGTGAACAGAAGGAGGAGCAAGAAGCGCAACAGCAATGATGTAGGGGAGGGGTCTGTCTCGGATGAGGAACCCGTCACTACCTCGTCGAAGCGCCGAAGACGAACGACAGCGCCGAAAGAGGAACCCAGCCGCACGCTTCGACGACAGTCCACGATGACGCAACTAGCGGACGGACGAAGACCTTCAATAAGCGCTGACGAGCCCGATTTCAAGCTCGTAAAGCGACGCTCACGAGTCAGTTGGGGTGGAGTAGGCACAGAGAGAGAGAGGGACAAGAAGCAGCGAACGCTTACGCAGATGATACCGGGCATGGGACGTTTGAGCAAGAAAGAGCTCGAAGAGATGAGCGATCTGGATGCAGAATTAGAGGAAGATCAGACAAGCAACGACGTGGTATCGCAGTCTCTCATCGAGCAAGGTCTCCTTGAGCTTGACGGGCCCACCCATGGAGCAGCCGCTGTACAGCAATCTGGCGACGCCGAGGACGACTCTGCCAAAGTTCGAGAGGAGAATGAACATGATCTGCCAATCGTAATGCAAGAACAAGCTTCTGTCATTATACAATCAATAGAAGGCATGGCCGAAGACGATGATGAGGAAGACTACCAACCAACACAGTTTATCGAAGCGCCTTCTCGGAGGACCAGACAGACACCACGGAGGACGGCAACACGACAGCCCTCGAGTAAGGCAGATAGACCTGAGAAGTCCGCAAAGTCGAGATTCAACCTGCTCTCTACGCCTGAGAAGCGCCGTATCTTCGAAATACCCTCATCACAATCGCCGGCTGAGTCCGTCCTATCCACTCAGACTTCTCCGCAGAAATCTAATAGATCCATTTTACGACAATGCACAACCAACATGACCATTGTCGCAGAGACGCCATCCAAGCGCAGGCAAGTCACCTTCCAGGAGCATACCGTTCAGCGTGCACCACCTGCCAGTTTGAGGAAGTTTGAGAGTACCATTCAAGACTCTGAAGATGAGGAAGGGAGTGATATTGGGGATGATATCACTGAGCAGGACCAGATGGATGGCGCAAACCAGTCTATGCACGGTCAAGCCATCGGTGCAGATACACAGGCGGTGCTCCAACAAATTGACCTAGCATGTGCGAATGAGGACGATAATCTACATTTGGATAGCCGAGGATCTTCAGGAGAGCCAGAGGAGCCATCCGTTCGACAAAGACCGCATCAGTCTTCACCTGAGTTGGGAGAGTCCTGGGCGCCCGTCATCTACGACGATGATGGACCGGGGTACGGCTCATACCGGTCTGCGCATTCTGGATCCAAGTCGCAGTCACTTCGAGATGCGGACGCTTCGAAAGAGTCCCTTCCAGTGCTTGATCAGACGAATGAGATCAGCCAGCTGGATATGACCACCCAGCTCGTGCCGGCTGATAACATCCCCAGCACGCCGCCAATGATACAACCACAGCCAGACGAGGATCTTCCATCAACACCAATGGTAATTGGAGATAAATCCTCCGAGGAAGAAGACGCCGAACCAGAGCCAACGCCGCCACGCACGGTACAGCGCATCGTACCTCAGCCTTTATCAACCCTGCTACACCAATCCACAGATTTGGACGGCGAATCTGTGCAAGTACCACGCTCGCCATCTGCGGACCGTGAAACGCAGCAGTCCCACTCGAGTAAAGCAGAACAGCAGCTCCAGAGTGAGTGGCTATCGTACTCGCAATATGTCCATGCGCGCGCACCCAACTCGTCAAGCATGCACGCCGCAGCCGATGCATTCAGTTGCAACGCCACCCCTCAACTCCTAAGGACAGGTGCATTGGTTGCCTCATCAGCGCGCGTTCAACACAGCCAAGCTACAACGGTCGACGAAGTCACGCCGAGGAAGAACAGGACGCAGCGAGTAGTTAGCGCAAATACGACGCCACACAGAATCTCGAAGTCGCAGCCATTCGTCTCGCCGGAGAAGCCACCGTCGCTGTTTATACCGAGTAGCTTCCCGAGTCCGTCGAGAGCGGCCATGGGTGGATGGAGTAGTCCTGTGATGGCGAGGACGCAGAATGGGTATGGGAGTAGTCAGGTATTGGGGAGTTTGGAGGACTTTAGTATTCCTCTGCCGCCGCCGGTTGAGGATGATTGAAGAGCCTGGGGTCTGTTAGTGGTTAGAGAGCAGCGTAGTTTACGATGTGCGAATGAAGGCTTTTGTCAGACTTGGTCTATGACTCGTCGATGTGACGGGTTACTCTGTTGGCATCATCCTTCAGGTGTTACCTTCACTTTCCACTCAAAATCTTCAGCTGGTTCCTAAGCACATTCCCGCTCTTAATGAAGAATGTCCAAATAAACCCAACACCAGTCAGGAAGCTCACACTCCTCAAGGTCGCTACCACTCGTTAGCCCACCACTCTCCATTTCACACCCCAAAACTTACAAAGCGTATCCGTCGTCCCCGCAATATACAGCCCATTGTACGTCACCCTGCTCGCCAAATAAGCCGCAGAGAGCGTGTTCAGGGTCGAGTTACCCAGCTTCGCAACATTGCCAATTACAACAGCCGCAGCAAAGAGTCCGAGGTTTTCAAAGCCGTTTTGCAGGGCGCCTTCGGCGCGGATGATCCTTGCTTTGGTGGCCTTGTCAAGGCTCCGGTCGCTTTCGGTGTCGTGTGTGTAGGTGCGCGGATTCTTGTAGGCGTCAAAAAGTGGTTTTGGGAAGAGTTTGGAGATGGATCTGACCTTGTTGTCGAACTTGCCGAGAGAGGCGGCGTAGAAGCGCGGTGCGATGGAGAGTATCCCTGCCACTGGAATGGCGTAGAGTGAATATGGTGTTAGAGATCGTTATTTTGACGTTCATAATAAGCATGAGTAGGCAAGCTGGGTTATCTACAAAGTAACGGGGCGCGTCCAGAGTGCTGGCTGCCATATTTGACGGAGGTCTACGAGTGTACGTGGGGTTGTTGCACCTTGATAGTTCCTTCCACAATTCGACACAACACCGCGCTCCTCTGCTCCAAGCAAAACATTAGCATCTCCACCGTAAAGCAAAAAGATCACAAATTTAGCAAAAATAATGGACGCTGTGGGAATTGAACCCACGACCTTTCACAGGTTCATCAATTGATGCGAAGCGAACTATTGCTTGTTAGAACACTGCTTTAGTTCTATTGTTGAGTAGTGCAACTTACAATCATACCCCTAGACCAAGCGCCCTTATTGGTTATTGATGAAAGCATAGACGAATTTGCATAATATATACTACATAATTATCGAAAAGCAGAAAGACTCGGAGCTGTACCTGCATCCACCGGTGATGGTGATGTTGTGTTGTGGGGTTGAATTGGAAAACCAGAAGCGGGGCAACATAAGCAGCTCGCATCTCGGCAGGTCACATTGGGTCATGACAAGATGTCGAGAGAAAGAGACACGACACACTGAGCTACTGGGCATGCAGTTCGACTGCTGTAAGACCTAAATCACTCCTCAGCAAACATGAAACTCGGGCATGTTGTCAGCAGAACATCAACCCGCTTATAGTGATGAGAGCAAAAGACACGAGCAGCCAGACTTCAGTCTGAGTGACTTCAAGTCTGGCAGCAAGCTCGTGCTTGCACAGCTGCAGGTGCAATGCATTCAGCTCTCCCTTCGCCTTTTCGTTCGCACACATACATGCTTGTCTTCAAGAGCTTACTGACTTAGACTGGGTTCAAGGAAAAGGATATAAGAGTTGTTGGCAGGATGTTGATGTTCGCTTAGCCTAGCTGATTCACCGACCTCAGATGAATGCCCACTCGTTGCTTTGTAACCACGCAAGCACCAGCACAACAACAAATCTGGTCTGCTTGCAACGCCTAGGACGACACCCTTGATCATTCTTCTAGTACCCTTCTAGAACACCATTGCTCCTCCGTCTACGATTATGTCTGTCCCATTGATGTACCGCCCAGCGTTGCTGACCAGCGTGATCAGCGGCCCTGTCAGCTCCCACGGATGCCCCATCCTTCCCATAGGATTTCTCGAGTTCCACGAGTCTCGCGCTCTTTCGAGCCCCGGCCCATCGTTCAATATGGTATCCATATACCCAGGGCTCAAGCAGTTTACCCTGATACCGTAGCTGCTCCACTCCGCTGCCAAACTCTTCGCTAGCGATAGCAATGCCGTCTTCGAGCTGTTGTATGCAGCCTGCGGCTGTGGGTAGTTGGTGTGGTGCGCGGATATGGACGCCGTGAAGGTAATGCTGCCGGGTGTGCCTTGAGCGCGCATCTGTCGTGCCACAGCTTGTGCGCAAAGGAACGAACCGGTCAGATTGACGTCGTGCGTTCGGCGCCATTCGTCTGCTTTCATTTCGATGGCGTGTGTGCAGCCTACTACTCCGGCAAAGCAGCAGAGAATGTCTACACTGCCTAGTACCTTCGCTGCGCTCTCTATGGCTGATGCTATCTGAGCTTCGTCTCTAACATCTACGGCTTCGGTCATAATGCGGCGGTCGGGGAAGCGTGCGTGCAGCTTCTTGATGCTCTCGAACGCGGAGTCGGGGTTCACGTCCCATAATGCGAGGCCGGAGGCGCCGTGTTCGAGGAGCGCCGTGGCAGCTTCGAGGGCGAGAGTGCCGGCTCCGCCAGTAACTGAAGACATGTCAGCCATGTGCAAGCCAGAAAAAATGCAATGAGATGGGGCCTGTATACCCTCTTGAGATGTTCACATACTGATTGCATTGCCATGAACCTCGAACCGGTACTGCGCGCTCTCTGTTGGCTTGAGGTTCTCTGGAGGCGGACGTGCCTTGGTCAGAGGGCTGTCTGCTGTCGACAAGGTCATCTCTGGTAGCTGTCTGTTAACGAGTGATGCTCGGTCTTCTCCATCGCCAGCCATGTTGAAGCTTCCTCTTGATGATGTTCGGAACTGTGGAGTGTTGGAAGGAAGCAGTTGGATCGTGATACTTTGCTCTTGAACTGATATGATTGCAACTATTTCTATGCTGATGTCGGACAACAGAAGTCCGTTGATGAGCAGCTCTGGCAGCTTGTCCTCCGCGGTGACGTTCGTGCAGCCCCACTACCCCACCATCCTCACTGGACATATTCAAGGAAGGTTTGCCGAGTGTATCACGTAGTGAAAACGCCTTTGATTTGAGCGTCTCCTTCGCATTTATGACTGAAAAGAGGTGAAAAGGCATTTCTCGTCCATCCTCCAGTCCTTTCAGTCATATGAATGTTGTGACTAAGATTGGTATTCTTTACGCGTACATATACAGCTCTGATGCCTTAGAAGACAGCTTCATTCAAATTGAATGCCTGTGCCTCAATGGCTGTAAGCAAGCGCGCAAACTGAGACCATATGAGAATAAGCAGCATGAGGGCAAACCCTCACCATCCCCTTCTATTTTCATAGAACTCAGCCTCCTGTAACTAAATCCTTGCATTACCAGAGGAGCAGTAGCTCCTCTCGTCCTCCATATTCTCAAACTCACATAGGACGTTAAACCAATCAATCAATCAATCAGAACAAGCAGCAAGATGGGAGCCTCATCAGCTCAGGGTCCTTCAGCCTCAAGCGAACCTTCTGCTTCAGGTAACTTTGAGAAACCATCGATCAGTTGATCATTTCGGTAGCCTGCCGTCAAGCTGCAAGCCACCTGCAGCCGCAATGCACGACACCTGCCAGAACCAGCATGTGCACCTACTTCCATCGATTGCAGCGCTAAATATCACCCCTCACAGATCCACCAACAGCTCCTCACAAAAGACACCAGCCATCCCTATCTCAGCCTTACTCGCATCGTTATCCGGCGACGGCGCGACACACGTGGACAAGCATCTTCCCTTGTGACGTCTGCCCGCGTGGCTGAAGCTTGTCTGCTATCCAGTCATTTCCGGGCTCCCGTCACCATCATCCCACCTTTAGCGCAGGCTTGCTTATTGTACACCGCATTATGATACCTCGGTCCTGAATATCTTCTTCTTTTCTTGTACTCTTCTCCTGCAATTTTTCACGATTGTGTGCAACGATATCCTCAAGCTCGACTCGCTATGCCACTCTTCACGAATCCTTTTCCGCGTCTCCGCAGCAATCACAGACACAATGTACAAACGCTCAAAGCGCAACCACTCGCGGAACTCTCAGGCTCGCTCGGAGATCTTGGGACTCTGCTACCACTAATGACAGCTTTGGTTATCACGAATTCGATCTCATTACCCTCAACTCTACTGTTCACTGGAGCAGCCAATGTATTCACCGGCATCGCATTCGGGATACCGCTACCAGTGCAGCCCATGAAAGCTATAGCGGCGGTCGCCGTAGCACGGAAGTTTACGCTGGAAGAGAACGCAGCTGCTGGGCTGGTCGTAGCAGCTTTGGTGGGATTATTCAGCATTACAGGACTCATCAACTGGGCGAACCGAGTCACGCCAATCCCGGTCGTGAAGGGCATCCAAGTTGGGGCAGGCTTATCACTCTGCCTAAGCGCTGGAACAACGATGCTCAAACCTCTTGAATGGACAGGGCCGTGGTGGGGTGACAACTTGCTCTGGGCAATCGCCGCAGTCCTGTTTCTACTGGCCACATCCGCATACCCCAAACTCCCATATGCTCTCATAGTATTCACAATCGGCATCATTTTCTCCGCCCTCGGACCAGCGAGCCCAAAGCCAATAAACCCAAGTACTTCAATCCCTATCCTGCACCCCTCAGCCCACGACTTTTGGCACGCAACCTCCACCGCCTCGCTCGGCCAACTCCCCCTCACAATCCTCAACTCCGTCATCGCCGCCTCAGCACTAGCTTCCGACCTGCTCCCCTCACCACCCTACCCCCCGGCGCCCTCCGTAACCTCCCTCGGCATCTCAGTCGCCGCGATCAACCTCGCAGGCTGCTGGTTCGGCGCAATGCCCGCATGCCACGGCTCCGGCGGTCTGGCGGGCCAATACCGTTTCGGCGCACGCAGCGGCTCATCCATCGTCTTCCTCGGCCTAGTCAAGCTCCTGCTTGGCATCCTTGCGTCCTGGAACGGCGAGACCATCGTCGCTTTGCTGGCCGGGATCCCAAAATCTCTTCTTGGCGTGCTGGTACTAGTCGCGGGCGTCGAACTCGCGAAGGTAGGTGAGAGCGTGAATACCGATGCGCGGGACTTGAGGGAGCAAGATGGTGAGCTGCCGTGGGATGGAAAGAGAGTTAAGGAGTTGAATGAGCGGGAGAGGAAGGAAAGATACATGGTGCTGCTGGTCACTGTTGCGGCTATTCTGGCTTTCAAGAATGATGCTGTAGGCTTCATCACGGGGCTTGTCTGGCACTGGGGTCTTCAGGGCGCAAGGAGACTGGAGATGTGGAGAGATGAGAGGAGTGGACGGCCATTCTGGATACATGCAGAGCACAGCAGGCATGAGCGTACAGGATTGCTTGCGCAGGAGGAGAGCGATACTGTTGCTTAAGCGTTGGTGCGATGAGCATTTTGGAGCATTTCGACAAGCGTTTGGCGGCATAGCGGTTGGTAGGCGTTTGTGACTCACGGCACGGGCAGTAGTTATGAATGATTTGTTTGCATTGTGATGGCACCCTGTTCAACTACCCTACAAAGTCGACGAATCACAAAAAGGGCTTTCCACTAGCTTCACATCGTGCCCGCACTCAGTCTACAGTTTCCAGAAGCTTCCTCGCGCTATCATCTTGTCCCCTCTCTCCCTCCTCGCTATCGTAAAGCTCGCGCACACGCACGCGCACGCACACTCATTCCCTCATTTCGACATCCTCTCTGCGATTCCATGGCATCGCCTCGGTATTCAAATCCCGCCCGTCGTGAATCAACTGATCGAACTGACGATAGACGTCTCGCTTCCCAATGCCAGGCCAGTAGAGATCCGGTCCAGGTGCAGCGCCAGGCCAGTTGATAGGTTGATGTGGTAGAGCCAGCGCTATCTCAACGGTGTGCATCGTAGCCGACATCTGAGCCAGGTAAAAATATGTGTCGCGGTCAGTGAATAAAGCAGCGTTGTCAGGGTGGGTGATCCAGTCGCAGACTTTGTCGCGGAGGTGGAGGTATCGATCGGCGTTGAGGATGTGAACACCGGGTGTATCAAAGGAATGGTCTCTAACGAGGACTTCGCGACCGAGCTTGATGAGCTGCTTGAAGTAGCGCTCGAATTTGATGTACTTGGTGTCCAGCGACAAGCGATCGAAGTCCAGGCTGTCCATGCTGGTGTCGCTGGTTGAGGTGGTGTGAAGGCTGTCGGTGCTGCTCATAGTGCTGTAGAAGATCATGGCATCCATACTGTCTCGTCTGCCGGACATGTTGACGGTGAAGTGTTGAACGTGGACAGGGTTGTGCGTTGGTAGTGCTGAGTGCTGAGGTCACGTGCAAGTTGCGTTTGCTAAATACGTTTTGAATTCTGGTTTTGTTTGTGGATGTGTGTTGGAGAGTTGCGGATGATGAAAGTTTGCAGGGCGAGGAGTACCTTTACACTCCCTGACAATGTTGTAAAAAATTCAAGTTCAGGCTCGGCCCCAATGTCGACCAAGGTTGAAGAAAGCATCTGACCAATCCAACCACCGAGGAAGCCAACGCAACCAGGGATGGCAGCGCCTTCACTGGTTTCTTACGTGCAGTAATTTTGTCGTATCGGCACCCTCGAGACGAATCGTTTGTATCTTTGGACGAGTGACATCTATATTGGGTGATAGTAGGTGAAGATAAGGATGGGGTCGCTTAGCTAAGGTCCACGACCAAAAATGTGCGCTTGAAAAAGGGTCTTTGCCGACATGGTGGTCCATATTGGCTTGAACAAGTACGGGTCTAGATCGGGCTTTCATCCATGCAATGTATAATGCTTTCCAACCTTTGGCTCGCACTCCACACGTCTGAGTGTCTTGTCATACTTGACAGTGACTAAAACGAAGACGCTCAAACGCTGAGAATGGCCAGCGATACTAGGAATGGGCTTCATGCTATCGCAGACAGTCTCGAGGCCTCGATCCGTAAGGGACCAGCGACTGCCGGAAAATGCAATCTGTTGTTGAGATGTAGTTCAAGTGGCATTGCCGCCTGGGCGAGCGGATAAGGTCTGAACAGCCGGCCTCGCTGATTCAAGGCTTGAGTCGCTGTGATCAAGGCGAATAGATTTGACGTATTCTGGTAGTCGAGCATGCTCTATCCCATCTCGTGTTCGAACCCTTGGAGGTATCGCCACATCATCGGCCAGCTCAGGGTTATCATTGATAGGCTCAAGCGTCGCAACGGTGTCGTCCTTGGGTTTATACGGCGGTGGTGCTTCCCCAGACTCGTTGAGGCCCTCGACTGTTGGTGGCTGATTGCGTCTGTAGATTGCCCAGCGTTCGACATCCCGTGCCAGAGCATGTTGCCCTTCCGACCTTATCTGCTCCCGCTCGCGCCGTCTCTGACGATGTATCCACCACAACAATGCAGCCAATGCAGCCGTCAGTAGGGCCAGAAAGAGGAAATAGTAGTTGAAGACGCGGTTCTTGACCTCGCGGCCAGGATGAGATTGGTCGGCAGCGATGGACAACTCATGGTGCGTCTCGAGTGGCGGTTGACTTGGAAACACCGGGGTGAGGGGTAATGACAACGGTGTAGACGAAAGTGCCGTGGACTCGAGATTTGCTATTGGTGGCATCGTCACAGAGGGCCTGGTTGTTAGGGTGAAAGGTACAGACAAGGTGTCCTGAGCATGCACCCAGGGTAAAGATGTAAAAGAATAGAGGATGAGGAGGAGGAGAAGCAAAGTGCAGTTGTTGCACGTGGTGAGTCGTTTGTATTCGTTATGTCTCATGTTTCCCATCGGCGACAACTGCTAAAAAGACCTTGAAGAAGGCAGCTACGAAGTTGGTGAGTATAGAAAGAGCTCAAGGAAGGATAGCACACGATCGAGCATCTAGGTCAGCCGAATGAAGTACTTCGAGCAGCCCTGACACAACGCGCATGAAGAGACGATCAAACATTGCAAGTAATTTCAATATCGCGATAGACATGTGGTGTTTAAAGGTGATCGTTGCGGATCGCCGCGGAAAGCTTAGCTCTCACCTTGCAGATACGCCAAGGATGGCGCAACTCTGTTTTATCGTTGCGAAGTACCCTGTTGGCCAACCTTACACCTTACATATCCACCCGCACCCCGCATTTCGGACACTTCACGATGGTCAAGGCTATAAGAGGTGAGCGTGTCCTTTTATCTACCCATCTGCGATGCTAACGTGTGCAGGTACACTTGTGCGATGCGACGCGTCAATCAAAGCCATGCTGGTCGACATTGACAGCAAGAACAACAACGAATACATCATCGAGGAGCTAGACGAGGAGCACATTCTAGTAAAGGAGACCAAGATTAATGAACTCAAGGGTCGGCTGAACAACGTGAGTATCCGCATTGGCGGCGACATGTATCTCACTGACACTATGCAGATGATGAGAGAGCGTCTGAAGGAACCCGAGAGCTCAGATTCCGAGTAGATTGCTATCGCCATCGGTATCATTACCACGGTGCCATGCATACGGTATCATGCAACGGTCTCTGCCTGCGAATCTACGTACACCTTACGACATACTCTTCTTCTGGTCAGCGCCCTGCTGCGCGCCAACCCACTTAGGCCTAGTGTCAGCGTACAACTCAGCATTGATCGTGAGGTTGTCAAGAATGCTAGTGTCGTCTAGTGTTCCGACCTTGACGATCCTCTTGCCCGGGAAGGTGGCTCCCTCGCGCCACATGGTAGAACCACAGTCGCCGCTATGAATGTCAGCTCAGAACCGCTTTGGAGGCCGTCCACAATACATACCAGAAGTTAGAGATGATCTCGTTACCGCCGTCAGCATTCTTCTTGTGCTGCTTAGGGGTGCCCTTGATGATCTTGAACTGGTCCGCGTCATAGACACCATTGGTGCTATAGGCGCTACCACCGATCTTGCGGCAGTCTGTGCAGTGGCAGAGAATCTATTCCCTCGATCAGCAGCTGGAAACAACCTTAAAGGAACCTACATACGCTCGCTGCGGACTCTCCTCCGGCCTCGTAGCGGACATTTCCGCACATGCATCCTCCGGCAACCATGTCTACTAATACAAGAGGAACGAAGTTTGGGTGGATAGGTTGAGGTTACTGTTCAGAAGATCTCAGGATGCTTTGCTGGTGCATTCGGGTCACAATGCAACCGGAGGCTTTATACTTAACGATGTACCCCGCTATGTCGATCGGCCAGCTCAGGCCTTGTGGAATCAAGGTGGAATCATTTCCAGAGGATCACAACCAAGCGGACAGAAGGAACCTGGGCAGGATCCACCGGCATTCTGCGGTGTCTGCAGTCAGCGCGGAAATTCGGTACATGGTTGCCAGTTCCAGTTGCTGATGCTACAGTGAGCGTGAGGGTACAATTCCAAATCATGCATGCGCGTACTTGTTGGATCAACAGCCACATTGTATCTCTCCAAGAATATCCAATTCAAACCCCACCTGCTGTTAGACTCTTGATGCAACATTTCAATCTTCGGCCACCGGTTAGTGTGACATGCGGGTTGAAATGATGTGGGGCACTTCCGGCTGCACCTCCGCAAGTATGCACGTGAAGTCGAGACAATTACGCGATTGCACACGCGCTCACTCTCCCACTCTCTTCGTTTGCATCATGACATAATCTAAGACAGCGCTGCGCGCTTTCGATCACTCTCTAAACGTTCGCGCGCCTTCAACCTCCGTTCAACACTGTCTAGCTGCCGCCTTTACATCGGAGAACATGGCAAACGTGTGGACGCAGATGGGCTATGTGCCTCCACACGGGCAGTGCAACTTCAAGCAATCGATTGTATCCCCGCGATGCCCTTGTCTGCGCTTTATGCTGCACCCTCTGAAGGTACGGTTCCACTGTCTCCTTGTAATCCAACACTTACTGACGACCCTGTAGTCTTCATCATCATACGAATGCGACGGCTGCAATCACCACGCATCTTTTCACTCGATGGAAAACAAGGCCGAAGACGAAATACGCAAGAAGTGGGAGCAGGAGGCCAAGGACAAGGTCGAACGCGAGGAAGAGACAGCGCAACGGCCTAAAAAGCGCCCACGTGCAATTGAGTATCGCAACGACGCGGATGATATGATGAATGATCTGGAGCTGGGGGTGCTGTTGGATGGTACAATAGACAGGAGCAGGAGTGCTGCAAAGACCAGGGGAGGTGCTGCGAAGACGCGTCGAGCTGCGGGAACACGGGCAAAGAGCAGGATCACAGCACTTACAGAAGAGGAGGAAGAGGTTGTCGAGCTCGACTGAGGCTCATGGAGTGCATAGCACATGTTTCACGGCGTCTCCGGTTTGGCTTGAGAGGCCGTGGTCTGGAGGTTCTTACTGCATTATACCCCGTGGCAGGCGCAACGCAGTAGCGATATTATGACTTGAGCATTATGTTTCACATTCGGCTAGCGATCACGTTGCCTCTAAACTTATGTTCCATTTGCGCAATGACCTGGAGGTTGACAATGACAACTCATTGCATGTGTCTGCCAAGACATGACTCGCGCAATTCACCTTGGAGCTCTGCCCTTACTCTTCTCCTCGATCAACAACTTCACCGACATGATACCTTAATCAGAAGGCCCGACCGCCTCGCTCCTTCCCTCGGCGACTAGCGCACAAGCTTCGAAAACGTGAAACAACGCGCAATCACAATGGCGACGCCTACACCCTCCACCAACACGCCGCAACGGCACCTCCCCGCATTCTCGTCGCCCGCCCCACGCAGCGTGCCTCACACAGGCGCGACCACCGGCATGATGAACTACGACTCGCCAGCGATGCTCAATATGCTGAATGAGGGAGGGGGAGCTCTAGGAGGCGTGCCAATGGGAGGTGTAAACATGGACATCTCGTTGTCGCAGTTAGGCATACCGAGCGCAAGCGCAATGGGGCGTGCAGATGAAGCTGAGAGGACCAGAAGGCTGCACAACATCATCGACACTCTGAAGCAGAAGCCTGGGAGAGTCAGTGAGGAGAACGTGCTTGTGCTCTGCACGCGGCTCGGTATACACTACGAGAAGGAAGGAGACAATGGCTATATTCTCCCCGTTGGCGAATCGAATCTTCTGGAGGTCAGCACGCAATGCTATATCGCTGGTAGATCCATGGGTACTGACATGCGCAGATCTACTTCCGTGGTGACGAAGTTGAGAAGATTGAGCTGCAGGGTGGCTTCGATATCCACAACGATAGCATAGGCTTCGCCGAAACCGGCACGAAGGTCCTCACCCGGAATTTACAGCCTCTCCCCGGTCAGAGCAAGATGAACGTCACACTCGAGCGGTTCGCGGAGAATCTGGAGAAGCTTGTGACCTTGGACAAGCTGGGATCACCGCAGAATGGAGGAGTCAGTTGCTACAATGCCATTGCAGGTGTATACACAAGCTTACGGAAGCTATTCGAGCATGAAAAAAAGATGGCACTTACAGTCCTGGAGGAGAGCACTCCAAACCGATCTCATAGGGCGGAGAGGGAAGTGCTGTGCAAGAAGAGTGGTCGACCAAGGCCGAATACTGGAGATCGCTTGGGGCTCAACCTAGAGTATTGGATGGACAGGCGACACATCATACCGAAACCGCGAACAAAGGCGACAAGTTCTGAGAGGGGCAAGGAGAAGATGGATGTTGACTCGCAGGAGCAGAGCGAGTATCCGGAGGACGATGACGATATGAAGATCAACAGAGTATACTCGCTGACGCTCGAATGCGAACCCTCTCCTTCGGCACTCTACACGCCCATCCGTATATCGGATGACTGGATCAGCGATGCAATAGAGAGACCTACGGATGCGAACGATGCGAACGCTCTTAACAATATCCTTCTCAATACACCATCGATAGACTGGCAAGAACCCAAGCCAACATTTTTGGAGCCACCAGCATCGACAGGTGATGATGATGCAATGAACCTCGATGCTGCTCCTGGTCGTTTACCAAACATACGCTTCGTCGCCAAGTTCAACCCACCGCTTGTTGTTCCCCTCACCACCTACATATCACTGTACCAATCTGTTGGCGTCGAGCCACCGCAGGATTTCCTCGCAACCACATTCGTGGGCCTAGCATTACGACCTAACGAGCTTGATCCTGGCATGACTGGCACAGCTGGCGCCACGACACATGAGATCCGCAGCACAAGATCTGCTCTAGTACGCGACGAGGACGGGAATGAGGGAGACAGAACGCACAATCTAAGTCTGTACATCCCTAAGATGGAGTACAGCAGAAGACTAGAAAGCCTACCCTTCGCGCACCCGAAGCAGTTAGTCGAGATCCTCCCAATCCTCCGCCAATACGCCTTCACAACCTCGCTCCTCCAGAACTCCTTCCTCAAGATGGCAGAGCAAAAGAAGACCCCACAACTCCTAACACCACCTATCATCCGAAACGACAACCCTTCAGAGTCACCTCTCCAACTCGACATCAATCTCTCCTACACGCCACCCGCCCCGCGCCTTACCCTCCGCATCCCCCATCCATCATCAACACTATCCTCTGACCCGAAAACAACAGCAGCACCCAGCGCTGCAACACCGGCTTCTATCTCTGATCTGCTGTCGGGCCTGCTCTCCGACACGGACACTGCGGGGCCCACTGTTTCACACGCCTCACTCAACGTCACGCTGGATGTGCATGCCAATGGGAAGCTTATTGTGAGCGAGCAGAATGTTACTGAAGGGAGGACAGTTGGGGAGGAGGACCTGGATAAGGTGCAGGAGGTGGAGGCGAGGATCAAGAGGGTGGGAAAGGCGCTAGAGGTTTGTGGGGATTTGGGAATTTGGGGGGAGTGGTTGAGGAGGGAGGCTTCGAGACAGAGTAGTTGATAGCACCTCAGGCCATTTACTAAGTTTTACCCTTGAAGACATCGAGATCGAACACAGGGCATCATCATAGTTGATTGTTGTTGGACACGTTACATAATAGAGGCAGTTGGAACGTGGTGTGAAGTGTTCGATCATCGTGTTCATTCATTGCACGTCTAGATTACATTGCAATACATTGCAATCGTTGCGTCCATGCTTAACTCCCGCTGCTTCTAGCATGGATCTAGCAGGGGTGGGGTATGTGATGTTGAAGGAAAGGTCGCAGTAACAAACAAGCCAGCCATGAAGGCGTCTAAGAGCAAACCCAAGGTCAAGGTTTTATCCCTGATGATAGGCAAAGAAAGGTAACGCCAAATCGCAAGACATTAAAGTGTTTACGGCTTCGCAACAGGGACAATCATCTCCTGCTCGACCTCTTCCGCCTTGGCGGCGAACTTGGCTACGTCGGCACCCTCAACCTTGCCGAACATTGTCTCGGCCATGATACCGGTGATCTGGTATGGGTCGCCGTTGGAGGCGGGGCGGCGGTCCTCGAAGTAGCCCTTGTTCTCAGCAGCGACGGCGCGGGGAATGCGGACGGAGGAGCCGCGGTTGGCAACGCCCCAGGAGAACTTGTCATACGACGATGTCTCGTGCTTGCCGGTCATGCGCAGCTGGTTGTCCTCGCCGTAGACAGACATGTGCTCCTTCTGGCGGCCAGCGAGCTTCTCCATGGCGGCCTCGATAGCCTTCATGCCGCCCTCCTCACGGGTCTCCTTAGTCGAGACGTTGGTGTGCAGACCAGCGCCGTTCCAGTCGCCAGGGATGGGCTTGGGAGCGAAGGTCACCTTGGCGCCGAACTCCTCAGCGACGCGGTGCAGGATGAAGCGCGACATCCAGAGCTGGTCACCCATCTGGATGTCCTCGCAGGGACCGACCTGGTACTCCCACTGGGCGGGCATGACCTCAGCGTTGGTGCCGGAGATGTTGATGTTGGCGTACAGGCAGGCCTTGTAGTGGGCTTCGACGATGTCACGGCAGAAGACCTTGCCGGTACCTACACCGCAGTAGTAGGGGCCCTGAGGAGCAGGGAAGCCGTTCTTGGGCCAGCCATAGGGCCAGCCAAACTCGTCGAGGAGAGTGTACTCCTGCTCGAGACCGAACCAGAACTCGTGATTCTTGTGCTCCTTGAAGATGATGGCAGCGTCGTGGCGGAAGTTGTATGCGTTGGGGCTGCCATCCGACATGTAGGTCTCGCACATGACGAGGACATTGTCGCCGAGACGGAAGGGGTCGGGGTAGTATGCGACGGGACGGAGGTAGACATCGGAGTTGTTACCGGGCGCCTGGCCCGTTGACGAACCGTCAAAGTTCCATTCTGGGAGGTCCTCAAGACTTGAGACCTTCTTGAAGAGGGTCTGGAAGAATTGTCAGTATGTTGTGGCCGGATCGGGTAGGAGCGATCGCTGCGCAGTGAGGTCACACAAAGCAGCCGCCCTGCTCACGATGTCCGACTCGTGCATGCGTGGGTTATGTGATACCAGGAACGATGACTGCAGGTCAAGACCCCCCCCCCCACAGAGGTCTCGAATTGCGCCAGTTCACCTCACGATACTCGCAAATGCCGCAGTGTTGATAGTGCTGTGTTTGAGGGAAATGTCGAAAACTGCTCACCTTTGACTTTGAGCGGATACCGTTGGAGCCGTCAATCCAGACGTATTCGGCGATGACCTTGTCCTTCTGGGGAAGACTGAGGTATTTCTGGAGCTGTAAATGGCGCATTAGCCGGGTTCGCCGAGGCACGCGACCCAGATGTAACTTACAGTTGCCGTGTTGGAGATGATTGTTGAACCAGCCTGCAGAGGTTGTAGTGAGTAAATGTGCTTTCAAGACCCCAATTAGCCTGGGAGTACTGTTCGTGACCTACCATGACTGCGGTTGTGATGTGTATTAGAGGGAGGAATGAAGGATGGAGAGAAGAGTGTTGGTGTCTGGCGACAAGACCTCGTACTTAGGAGGGGTGGATATAGAGTGGTGGAGAGGAGATATGTGAATGAGGGGAGAGATAAGGGCTCCCGGGGGCCTACACTTATAAGTAGCAGGCTGCAAATGTCTCGGTCTGTGGTGGCGGTTGATAGGGTAAGAGGAAGAGTTAGGCTGGCCCTGGGCCAAGCACAGGCGTCGCCGAAACGTTTCCGTGGGATGAAGCAGACATGCACAGCAATCAGAGCGTCCTAAACTGGGGGTTTCCGACGGCCGCGCGCCCAGGATGAATGCTAGGACACTGCTAGTCACTATCCACTTCTCTAGCGCCGCCTACTGCTGTTGAACCACACATCTGGGGACGCTCGCCCAATCCCCGAGCATTCATTTCGTGCTGATGTTATTCACGCACACATCCTTTGTCTGATCTAAGCGTGGCTCCTCGCGTTCGCGGCCAGGGTTAACAACGCTGTGCAGCTCCGCCGTAGCCAGCCGGGTCCCGCTCAGCCTCAGTCGCTCCCGACTTTGACCGCTTTGTTCCTGGAAAGCGTCGCCAACTATCGTCACTGCGCCGCTAAATTTACCCATACAGCCGAGCAATTGGTCATGGCACGCAAGCTGGCCCGAAGCGTGCCCAAGGCAATGCTGGAGCTCGCATGCACACACCGCTGGCCGCCTGTGCACTGCATCGTGACTGACTGTTCGTAACTCTTCGCCGTTATCAGTAACTGCTGGCGACGCCGCCGCAAGTATGTGCCGCATTGTGACGGCGAGTCCCTGCACTCGACAAAACTCGGATGTGCAGCAGGATTCCACGCCCTGCATCGAGCGCAGTTACTAACTTGCGATGTTCTCGATAGCCGCTAGAACGAGCCCTGACGCAGGTCGTGGCGATAAGGATAAGGCCAGCCAATCGCAAACATCCCAGTGACTCGGCCGCCGTCATGCGAGCATCACTCTACACGTTTGCAACATTTTTTGTAGTCAAGCAAACCCCTTTCCGATGCCTCGAACAAATGAAGCGCAGCGCGTTGACCATCGTCATGTCTGGTTGCAAGGGATAGCTGCCGAGTTGAGGACTCCGTTATCTTCAAACCCTCGTGAATCCGTGCCTGGCTTGGCCGTCTCCACGGCAATCAGCTGCAGCTGTGGGTTTCTCCATTCTAGACGCAGAAATAGGATCCTTTCTGGCCGACTGCCCCACAGTCCCTATGCGGTCCCGCATGCATTGATAGAGAGCCGTCTATCGTGAAGTCGTACTTGCAACTATCTCTACATAACCACAACGAATGGCAGCGCAACGATATGAAAAAGCATCTCTAATTGTAAGCCCTACCCGCATTCCCTCCAGCTTTCCGTGTGTCCGAACCCCACGATTTGATAGCCACCTTCAAGAAGTGAGGTTGGGACAGCCATTATGCGATGTCGGCACGACAATTATATCGCGCATCTTTCCGCCAGACGTTGGGCGTTGGTGGGCGATTGTGGGGTGCGGGCGTGCCGCAGATCAGCCAAGAACCGGCGGCCCCTGCAAGCCACAGATAGCACCAGATAGTTACTCGATCAGAACACGTAACGGGCGCCGGCCGGGGCTCGGTTTTGACGACGTCTGTGTGCTACCAACAGCTCTTTCAGATTGTGTCTCTAAAAAAGCCAGGAACTCACCAAAATGATCCAAAGGTTGAAGGGGATGCAGGAGACGCAGTCAAGTCAAGGGTTGACGTTGAAAAGCGGATCCGTGCACGTGGCGCTGTCAAGGGCCGTATTGGGCATGGCCAGAGGTCTGTTCCACGGGGGCTCAAGGGAGGCTTTATATATCCTTCAATTCCAAGACTCGTTGATCAAAGCATTTCATCTCCATGGTTGAGGCAAAGTCCCGCCACTCGGCGTTGAGCTGTGCTACCCTTATCTCTCCGATACGTGCAGCGAGCGCTTTCAGGGACCAGCACCGTTGCGAGCGACCCGGTCGAAGTTCGCGAGCGGTCTGACGCAGGGCGACGTGAGGTACGCTTGTTGCTCGCTGGGAAACTTCATAGGCATGGCATGCACCCGAACTTTGATGCGGCTTTCTATAAGCAAGCGCCTTGCTTTAGCACAGACGAGCGACGTGCTCATTGACCGCCAGATGCTCTCGCTGCACGTCCCCTTTCCCTCTAACCCAGTGTATCTGATGACGTGCAGGGCCACTCAACCTTGGTGGGGTGGCGATTGCGGTTGTACCTGCAGATGAGCATGGGCTGTGCTGAACAGTGAGCTCGGGAAAAGGCGGATCGATTCTGGGACAAGGCCGATTCGCTCCGCGTCTGAGCGCTCGGGGACAGTGCCAGTAGCATGGTAAATCTGGGGAAGGCTAATCGAAATGTAGGGGTTGCTGCTTGTTCTCTTCTGGCGCTCTGGGCGCTGTTCCCGAGTTAGTCATCCTTGTTGGCAACTGACACCTACTTGGAGGTCAGGTCTCGCTCAGAGAGCGCTCGGGTATGGGTTTGATATTCTTTGAGACTGTTGCGAGGACTAGAGTTCCTTTGCGCTACGCAGTTCAGAGATGAGGGTCGTCGCTGTCAGTCGACATCGCCATCAAAGAAGACTGGCGACGACAAGGGCAAGGGCCTCCGTCTAGGACCTCTTCGACGACGCTTCGTGGAAATGACGCTATCCGGTGGTTCCCCCATATATACAATTGTATCCGCAGCCTTGCGTTGGTCTGTCCACGTGACATCTGTCCAATGTTTGGCTAACATTGTCACTGTACCACAGCCATCGCTCCGGCCCTCTTGTCGTTTGTCTCGATACAACGCATTTACCTCCGCACTCTTGTCCCACGATCAGGTCTTACCTCCGTTTTAGGTGTACTTTGTCTCATTGGGACAACACGCATGGTATGTCGAGACGATGGACCACGTTTGCACGGCCCGTCTTCGCGTGCCGAAAGCAGGTCGGAACGCCTCTTACGCGCGCAACGTGCGAGTAGGCTCGGATTATCGACCATCGTCTGGAGTATCTTACGGTCCACACCTGGTTCGTTCCGTCCCGCCGCGGATCCGGGTACAATGCCGTGGTGAAAACACTGTGCAACGTGTGGAGCGAACAATCGGATTGTGTCCGCAACGATGTTGTCCAAACATGTATCAGAAGAACAGGGCCAAATCCGGGGACAAAGGTCGACACAATGCTGGCCCTACGACATAAAAGGTCCCTTTTGTGTGACCTGTGTCTGACAGTTTGTTTGAGTGAGTATATAGACCCTGGTGACGATCAGTCACTGCTCAGGTTCATTGAAGCGGGATCATACTCACCTTGCCCAGACCTAGCATCAGGTTCTCAACAACAAGCTTGGTGCGAGGACAACTGTGGGCAACGTTGCAAGATGTGCCATACCGAGCACGTATACCATCGAGCTTGTTCACACTGGGGTCGTGAGCGCATTGTTGGAGAGCCTTGTTGCCGAGCTCGCATCATCAACGGCCGCTACACGCCTTGCCTTTACACCGAGAACATCGGATCAGTCAACAGTAGCGAGCCATGCTCGCAATGCACTTACCAACTTGCGAAAGGAGAAGACTGGAAGCCGTTTGCGGCCGTCAGTATTGCGGGTTGGGCAAGAGTAGAAGAGCGATTGCAGCAGAGAGGCCTCAGGCTGAGCCGGCCAGCGCTTCATGTTGATGGTACATTGCCTGTTCTTCACATCGATATTGCGTGCTCATGAGTTCTGCAGGTCGACACCGGTGGCAGAGTCGCTGGACGCATTGGTGGCCCTCTCGACGCCAGCACGGCGTGCAATGACCGCCAAACAGCATGCAGCGCCTTTAAACCCAAAGGAGGATATCGTCCAGGTAGACATTGTCTACATTGCCGAGTCAGCTGCAGCGTCCGAGACCGTTGCTGTATGCATACCTTGTGAAAAGTTGAGCGCGCACAAACCAACTAAGAGGCTCTCAGTCACAACTTGACCGAATGGCCCAACTCTCGCTCACAGGCAGAGTAGCCGCTTGACGGGAGAAAGCTATGTTGGCAGAGATTACCGCCATCGATTGAACGCAAGGATAATCGATGTTTGAGGTGAGGTTGCAGACGATGAGGGGAGTGGAAAGAGCTCGTGGGCCACATGGCAAGCACCTGGCCAATCAGGAACATCGATGGGGTAATGACAACTCGTCTCCTCCTTCCATCCTCGTCAATGCGAACGTAGACATCAGCGAAGTCTGAGAAGAAGCCATAGCTCTAGATGTTCTTTTCTCCGCTGTTATTGGTCGCTTGCAGATTTCGTTATTCGCTGAAGGCACTGGCCATGGCTGCCGGCAGTAGTATGACCGACGAGACTCTCATCACCCAACAGACTGTATCAATGCATCGAAGTGGTCGAACGGAGGTGTTCGATAATATACATGCGACACATAACAAGGCATTTATCTGATCACCAGAACATTTGACCACCACCATGTGCGTGCTCGATCATTGTGCACCTGTAACGAAACAACATCGTCCCTGCTACTACGATCGCACGTCGTGACATCTCTCAATCAACAAAGGTGGACTGAGCCTAGCAAAGGCCAATTTCAAGGGAACAAGTTGCTGAAAAGTGCCACTCATCTAAGTGCTCTGTGGCTGCCGACTTGATGTATGTCCAGATTGCGACACTCGCCGATCGCTCTGTGCCCCTGAAAGTGTCGCCGAAGTAGTTGAAGAACAAAGAAGGCCGTGACTCTGCACAGTGATGGCTACAACAACGCTGCTGATGTCGGTGAAAAATTTCGCAGCACAGTAGCTACAAGCGCATACGTCCTAGTGACAATGATGGTAGACACTATGTTGTTGCGATGTATGAGATGTCAGGATGGCGTAGTGTTGCGTTTTACGTTGCAGTGTACGAGTCAAAACAGCCAACAAGCCCTATGGTGTGACATAACGATCTCAACGTCTTTGAACTGAGCAGAGCAAGTTCATGGCCGTCAGCTGCCTTGCCAAAGCTGCCAAAAGGTCCGGCGAACCAAACTTCGCCAGTGGCCTGACTTAGGAGAGACACCAGGACACGACATGTGTGGTCGGCGAAAGACAGCCTCAGATGAGGGAATGGGCACAGCATGTTCCACGTGAACTGCACAGCTCATGCCTGGACCAGGGATGGCTGGCTGCAGCTAGAAGAGCGGTACCTTGGATCCAGCAGGGTCATCACGATGCTGCGACAGCGGAGTGTACGACATGTTGTACCAGGAACACCAGATAATCATCCGAGTCGCGGACACAGCCTGGACAAAGATATGAAGAGGAAAGCGTGTGTCTGCGAAGAAGCTACTTGTTATTTATTATCCGTCCTTGGTGCTCGGCTACTGAACGTGCACTGCCATTGTTGGCTCCTGAAAGCATCTCGGCCGCGAACCACCGATCGACGTCTGGGGTACCATCTCACAATCTCGTCGCTCAACCGTGCTCGAGCATTTATCGTCCCACGCTCCGTGTTTCTTCTTCCTTACACTCATTTACCCATTCAGCAAATTGAACAACCGCAATGAATCTCTAATCGTACCTTCGTTATTGCTAGCTTGCCTAGAGACGTCCTCTAGCGCTCCCGTCATTACGTTCTATTGTTCAAGCCTCACACTGCAGGGCACCCCTTAGCTTTGCGGTGCGAGAGCCAGCCGGAGCACTCAGCTACACATCATCATCCTTAGGTCGCGCCCATGTTTATCGACCGTCGAGCGAGCGTGGACGGAGCACGACCTGCGATGGCGTCCTCGCCCACCATGCATCGCCGTACCTCCTCTGAGACCGGGGACATGATGTCCAGGCGCTCAAGCATTGCGCCGAGCTTCTCGAGCGACCGTCCCTCAGTCGCGAGCTCTGTGACTTTTCAGATGCCCACCACGGTGCGCCCGACGCCCGCGTACATCGCGGCCTCGGTCGCGTCGCAGATGGTCACGGACAACCACAACGCGCAACTGCGCCAGACCGACTCTGAACACGAAGAGTTGGAGAACGCCATCTTTTCGGAGCAAGCCCTCTCGCTGCTCAATGGCTTCCTCGATCACTTATTATTTGCCTTTCTATCCACCGCACGCTCGCCGTCCCTTACCGCCATCCGACCTGCTATCTCCGAGGTGCTGAAGCCACGCCTAGCTCGTGAAGCAGCAGAGGCCGCCGACGAAGAGCTCCAGGGACTGCTGTCAGGAGAGGACGACGAGGAGTTCTCTCCCACAGACGGCGGTAGGGCGATTGATCGATGGGACATCGAGAAGGTATGGAAGCGCACACGTCTGCGGATAATGGTTTACACACGCTTGGGCGAGATGGAAGATGAGGACGAGGACAAGTACGTTCAGCAGGAGCGTGGGCTGAGCATGGACGACGATGAGGACGAAGAGGCTGGCCTTGTGTCATGGGCTTCTGCGATCTTCCTTACGTCTGTTGTGGAGTACGTCGCCGAGCAGACACTGCTTGTCGCAGGACAGGCAGCCTACGCTCGCATGGCGTCCAGGGCGAAGAAGGCTCAGCACCCGGAGGAGACTGAGGAAGGGGCTCTGGAGCGACTGGTTATCGAGGAGCCTGACGTCGAGAAGATCGCTCTGAACTCGGCACTTGGCCGATTGTGGAGGACTTGGAGGAAACGCGTGCGATCCTCGCTTCAGCCACTTTCCCCAAGTCGCGGCATCCGACCCAACTCGAGCTACACGAGCCTCCACCGACGAGGAAGTAGCCAAGCTACTGCAGACGACTCCTACCGTGTTGAACCGACGCACGTTTCCGAGCGTGCTCCTACCGAGACAGACATCGCGGCTAACATACCACTACCGATGGGAGCGAGGGACATCGACGAGATTGAGGTGCCAGGTCTGGCTCGGACCTATGAGGATGCAGAGAGCAGCGGCACGCAAACGCCAGTATCGCGACCTCAACGACCAAGTAGTGTTATCATGCTTGCTCCTGCTGAGACCTTTCGCCGAAGACACAACAAGGAGCGACCTTCATCAATGCCTGGCCCAGAAGTGTCGCCCTTCGCTGTACCTCCACAGTCTTACTTGAAAGAGAATGAGGGCCAACTAGAGACCCCGTTCGAAACCCCAATGACGAGCAACTTCAACCGTAACTCCTACATTGGCGACGAAAACAGAGTAGAACCTCTGCTTCTGCCGCACAAGGGCGAGGGCGATGCCCATGATGCTATGCTGGCTTCTGCTCTGGGCACCTCTCCCAAGATTGAGCGCAACTTGATCAATACCAGTAGTTTGGAGAAGAGTGACGTGGAGCCTGACACACCCAACTCGGCGACTTCGACCACTTCAGATACCTACGATGTCGAGCCGAAGGTCTTGCAGTCCAAGAGAATGTCGATCGGAAGGAGCGGCCCTCCAGGCATCGTGCGCGCCTTCTCCACACGAAGCAACAGCCTCAAGTCGCCGCAGGAAACACCTACAGTAACACCAATGGCCTCAACCCATGCTGAGGCGAGATCTTACCTTGATGATCACTCTGATGACAAAGACGTCGAAGGGCCTCAGGCTATTGGCGTGGCGAAAACATCAGATGTGCCCATTCGGTCGTCACCCACTCCTTCTGTCGAGCCATGGTCTGAGCGAGCCAAGGTCGTGCCTGCACAGGGTGGATATGTCGAAGTGCAGCCCACGCCTCGATCCGTACCGTCACGCAACACACCCACACCTGACTCGAAGCCCACGATACCTGAACGTTCTGTCGCACGCAACGATGTTCTCAAACGTGCTAGTCCCAGCATCGGCAGCGGTGTAGGTCCAGCTGCTGTCGCAGGTACCACAAGCCCACTACGCCGACGAGATACAACTCCTCCAACATCAGGACGCACATCCTTGCCGTCTCTGCAAGAAGTCGAGTACTACAGGCCTCAGCAGGTCGTTGCTAGTGAGCAGACAGCCCGACGAAACAGCTCCACCTTTAGCAACCGAAGCCGTACGCAGAGTCCCCATCTTGGACGAGATGCTGCTGTGACAAGGACCGAGCGACAAGTTCCTCGTCGTTCTACAGAGGAGTCTTTGCGCTCTCAATCTGCGGCTGGTGGTTCGATCATGGAGAAGCCAGGCGTCAAGCGTGTGGGCTCGACTTCTTCAAAGAAGTCTGGTAGTATTCATCGCTTGCCTGCCGCTCGCGACTCTGATCCTCAGCTGTCTCGCAACCTTGGCGGACGCATGTCTGAAGAAGACAGAGAACGCCAGTTTGAGGAGTTTGTGCAAGGCAAAGAGACTGTCAAGTACACTTTGACACCGGAAAACATGCGTGCTCTAGATGTAAGTAACATTCTGCTATGTATGTTCAACCGTACTAACGTTGCTAGGAGTCGCCTGTTGTTCGCAAGGCAGAACCTGAGCGCCCCACCACTGCTTCGGTGACGGTGTACCCTCGCGTCGATGCCGACAAAGACAACTCGTTCGGTGCAAACGCGCTTCCCGCCAAGCCCACCAGTAAGGGTAGGGATCCTGGCGTTCCCAACCACAAGCCTTCACTGAGCAGAAAGGTCATTACGAGGCCGCTTGCCAGAGAGCCGCGCATCGAGTCGGAGTCTATGCGAGACTTCGCCGACTTTATTCGATCGACTGGTCCTTCGCCAGGCCAAGAGAAGACTGTACAGCCTTTCGTTAACATCAGTGGCAATGGCCTGAAATCGCCTAATGGCTCTTCCACTTCTGTTGGTCGGAAGTCATCGACCAAGCAGTCGAGCACTCATACCATCGATGGACCATCGACGAGACCTCGTGTCAACATGGAGCCACGCAGCCCGGCTGGCCTCAGTACTGGTAACGATGATTTGATAGACTTCATTCGTCAGGGGCCGTCGAATGGCCCAGAGGGACAGCCCAGGATACCACGATCAGTTGCTCCATTCCGCACGACAGTTGACTCGGATCAGTTCGAAAATATGTTGGCAGGCCATGGTAACGTTGAGTCAGCGTATGGCTCTAAGGCTTCCACGCTCAACTCGCAACATTCGATCCAGACTTCCAACTCGAGGACTGGACTCATTGCTCCACCAAACGTAGTGCAGCCTGCTTACTCGAACACCTCACAGAACCAGTCCGGTAGCATGACCTTAAGCTCAGAGCCTGTAATCACCCGCACTCGCAGACGCATCAAGGACCCTTACGCGATCGACCTCTCTGATGAGGAAGATGAGGACGAAGACCAACTGACTGCTCTTCCTCCCTCGAACAAGCCATCTGCGCCGAGACAAGAGAGCCTTGTGGATTTCCTCAACGAGATGGAGCCACCATCTGGACCGTCCGCTGGCAAACCCCAGCCGTTGATGCTCAGTCAGGAGACTATCGCTATGGCTAAGACACGTGCGAACAGTTCGAACTCTTCCCTCTCTTCTTCGGCCACAGCAACACGCAGTAACGGTGCCGGCAACGGTGCTGCACCACCCATGGGTTTCCCATCTTCGAGTGGTGGAGAGGCTATGCGCGCTCACAAGCCCAAAGTTGCAGCGCGAGCACCTGTCGTCGGTGATGTGCGTGCGAACCGTACGGCAACTAGCGATCTTGCTGACTTCCTGCGCAATTCTGGACCCCCTGAGCCCGTAGGACCTCCACCTGGTGCTCGAAAGGAAGAGGAGAAGAAAAAGAGCAGCAATATGAAGTTCTGGAGGAAGAACAGGGAGAAGACGTACGGTGACTTGCCATAATTGTAATGTTTCCTTTCTTCTTGATACCTTGTTGGATATTGGGCGTACTTGTGTTGGATCATCATTTACTTTGACATCGGGCATCTTGCATAGAGCGCCATTCAATCTATTATGAAGGCACGGGTTTGGGTTGAACAGTGGGTCGGATCTTTGTTTCCATGCATCTTTTCCTTGTTTGATCTTCTATGATATCCCCAAAAACCCTTCTGTACCTTCTCATGTAGCATATATATCTTAGTCACTATAGCCTGAAATGTAAGAGACATTGGAGTCGAGATTCGGGAATTCGGAACGACAATGGTGAATGATTCCGGTTCCGGAGCACTAATACATGATCTTCCCTGAGCTAACGCTGTATAATTCGGCTTTACCCTAATGGTAATCTTGCGAATATCTATGGCCGCGTGTTTGCGGGTAATCTAGGAACTATGCGGTCCACCAACATGCTGATGGTACGATGGAAACAATAACCTTAGGCTAGCGTGGTCGACTCAGCGATTGCTACCCTAGACCCCACCCTTCTCCATCTTAAATCCATCTAAGGGTCCTTCAACTAACTTTCCTAAACCCAGGAATTAAAAATGCCGTATCACTTTGAACAATCACCAAAAAGCATCGAAAGTCTGATATCCGAGATCAGCACGCACGACATCGAGCACTCGATCGACCCATCAGTACGCGACTCCAAAGCCAACACAGCGCATTCACCTGTATCAGCGGACGAAACACCAGTCACTGTCTTCTTCCCGAAATCGACTCAAGATGTCTCCATAATTCTGAAAGCATGCAATGAGCGCCGTATAGCTGTCACCTCATTCTCTGGTGGCACAAGTTTTGGCGGCGCGTTGACATCAACAAGAGGCGGGGTATGCATCAGCTTCGAACACATGAAAGGCATTATTGCCTTGCATGAAGACGATCTCGATGTCGTAGTGCAGCCTGGCTTAGGCTGGGTGGAGGTGAACGAGCAGTTGAAGGAAAAGGGCATTTTCTTTCCTGTGGACCCGGCGCCAGGCGCAAGCATAGGCGGCATGATCGCGATGAGCTGTTCGGGCACGAATGCGTATCGTTACGGTACGATGAAAGAGTGGGTTATCTCTTTGACTGCGGTGCTTGCGGATGGAACGATTGTCAAGACACGCCGCCGATCACGGAAATCAGCTGCTGGGTACGATATCGCTCATCTGGTCATCGGGTCGGAAGGTACGCTTGCGCTAGTCACGGAAGCAACACTCAAACTCGCTGTGCTGCCACAAAACCTGCACGTTGGTCTCGTGACGTTCGATACATTTCAGCAAGGTGTCGACATTGTTGTCGCTCTGCAGAAAGCTGGGCATCAACTGGAAGCACTGGAACTAGCAGACGGCCCACAAGTCCACGCGATCAACTATTCCAAACTCGCTCGTGTGCAGATGGCTGAGAAACCTACCCTTTGGCTCAAGTTCGCTGGCTCATCACTCCAGCTTGTCAAAGACCAAATTGAGACCGTCAAAACCCTCTGCAAGAAGCAAAAGGCGCTAACATACGAGATCACGTCTGACAAAGCGCGCATCGACATCCTTTGGGGCGCTCGGAAATGTATCGGCCACGCACTGGTCGCAATGAAGAAGGACCCAACGGATCTGTTCATGCACTCTGACTGCGCTGTCCCAATCTCCAATCTTGCTGCTCTCGTGGAAGGGACACAGAAGCTCATCCAGGAAGCGAATGCAGCCAACCAAGCATCTTCATCGGACTCTAAGCACCCATGGTTCTGTGCCAATGTCGGGCATTTGGGTGATGGGAATGTGCACTCATCGATCATCTGTTCTGCAGCTGATAAGCCGAGAGTTGATGAAGTACTGAAGAAGGTGGCAAGGCTTGCGCTGAGTTTGGAGGGTACGGTGACTGGAGAGCATGGCGTTGGACTGAAGCAGAGGGATGCGCTGGTTGATGAAGTTGGAACTGAGGGAATCGATATGATGAGGAGGATGAAAGCAGCGCTTGATCCTAGAGGTATACTGAACCCTGACAAGGTATTCAGACTGGAAGATGTTGAAAATTTGGCCCGGAAAGCCAAGCTGTAGGATGAACAAGACTGTATTGGCCTTAACTATGTGGCGATGTCGTATTTTACCGTAGTATGGTCCTGCAACAGCCCATCGAATTTAGACGCATTGCTAGCCGGCTCACTTCTCCATCTCGTTACCTGTCTTTCGAAGATGGCTGCTCCAGAACTCTGCTGCGTGTCTTGCGAGTGCGGATGCCTCAAGAATTTCTCTCGACAATGGTTGCTGGAACTGGGTCAGGTACTTCAAAGAACCTGTCGTTGTCGCGTTGTGGCATTCGACGTCTTGCATGCTGTACTGCTTTGCCTGTCCTTGCTTGATCCTGTTTGAGACAAGATACTCTTGGACAGAATAGTGTGCTAGAGCGATGATCCGTTGGGCACGCCCGGGTATTCCCTCCACCTTGTTCGTTGTGATAGTGACTAGACTGGAGCAGATGTTCAGGGCTTCGAGCGGGTCTTCTAACACTTCGTTGCGGTCAAACGCTGGTTTGCGCGCAACATCAATGGCGATGACTTCGGCAATCTCTTCGACGGATAGTGGCCGCGCAGAGAATGTCAGCCACTGCAGGATGCGCATCGCGTACTCGCAGTCTTCTCTGCTTATGGCAGAGAGAATGCGATCGTATGTTTGGTCTAGCGTTTGCGGCAAAGTGGCGAGTGACTTGCGCAGCATTGCTCGATTGCGACAGTTTACCAACGTGTCAAGCTGACACACAGCCCATCGGAACCTACACATATCGTCAGCTTTTGCTCTGCGGAGAATTGGGTGAACACACGTACATTCCGCGAGCTCCGCGCATCAATGCTGTCTCGATCTCTTGCCTGATAGCAGCATCCTTGTTCCATTTTGCCAACCCCTTATCGTCAGACAGCCTTTGTTGAACATATTGTAGTACATCCTTGTCCACTACGTCCCTCTGAAGACAGACAGTGTCCTCTTCCTTGACGTAACTCTCCAAGGACCTCTCGATATCCCGCTCTTTCCGGCTGGTCATAAGCAGATGCACGATGTCAAGCTGCCATCCAGCCACTGTTTCAAGCACGCCCATTAGCTCTGGGCGAGAGCATCAGCTCTGGATCCTGTTTCTGTGTATCGTTGAAGTCGAAGTAGAAGTACACCATCACCATACTAATGTCATCATGGCAGTGCTGCAGCAAGTTCTCGATGATAGGAGAGCTCAGGATGGTCTTTACACATCCTGGGATCCCATACAGCCATAGTCGCGACGCTGCACTCTCCTTCCATTCTGTCAACTTTGACCTCAGAACGCTATCCAGAGGAGCAATTCACTAAAACATGCACACTAAGCCCAATTAGGCATTAATGCTACCGTACTACGCCAGCTACTACCGTATATGCGTTAATTTGCTTACTTTAGCACGTTACTGTATCAACTTTGATCCATACAGTAGTGCTACTGTACCAAACAGTACAGTACTACTTCCTGTTGGACACGCTGGAGAGGTCGGCTCCTAGGAGTGCTGTGGTCGGGATGAGGGTAATATGGGACAGTTGGTCCGCCAACGACTGCTCGTCACCTATTAGGTAACCATCCTTCAGATGAAAGAGTACCAATTTCGGCGCGACGAGCTCCTGCAGTCCAGCATCGCGCGAACCATCCGTTTTGCGCAAATTTCTCCCATCCGAAATCATCAAAGGTCATGTCTGAGAGATACACGAAGCATCTGGAAGCCTTCTGGTACCAATAGAACATCGAGTTCAGCGACCTCTGGAACTCTGAACTGTCTGACTTCTTGATGCAGCAGGTGTCTATCCAAAGGTAGCGTAGTTCGGTTTCGTTTGCCAGCTTATGACAAAACCGGAGTTTGTCACAACCGGGCTTGCTCGAAATATCCAATTTGCATGTCCATATCTCAAAATCTTCAAAGCTGGTCTCTTCATTGTCTTCACCCCAAGTGTGCGACAGAACGGCATAGAAGGGGATAGGCTTTCCATGAAAGTTCTCGAGGCGCCATGTCTGTGCAGTCAGATCCAAGTAGAGAAGGCGCATTCCGAGAGAGTAACCACAGAGATATGCGGGACCTTCTGTGCTTGGGAGATGTTGAACTCAGCTCAGCCTTGTTCAAGCGGGGTGCAATAGCATACGCCAAGCGCTGGGCGTATGGCTCTGCTCGTCGTTTACGTATTGCTGCTGCAAGCATGTAAGCAGCTACAACAATATTCTGGTAGCCTTGAGTTGCCGAGACCCCTGTGTACCACCTGTAGAGAGGGAGTCCCAGGCAAAATAAGTGAGGGCAGTCATTCGTGTTGCAGGAAGAGCTGGATGCAAATGTGCAATTCCAAAACCATGTAAGGTGCTCAATGCATATTTTCGTAAGCCCGACAAACCTGCAGGTAGACGAAAGGATACAAAGTACTTTATCATCGCGAGAAATTTGCTTACGATCTACCAAAAACTCCCGGGCGTTGTTGTAGATGGTCAAGCTTGACAGCTGCTGGAGCCGGCTTTTTCCTGCACCACGAGAGACACTGAGAGTACGTCTAGCGCTGATTGATACATAACAATCGCAAGAACAGTACAATAGTGAACTCTCATATAATCTCAAGCCTTGTCCTTACAAATCCTCTCTTGTGCCAATCCGTGTCTTTGTCGGTAATATCGAACATCTCGAAGGCTCCTATACGTCTGTATAGATGCTCCCCTTTATGGAGCCGTACCAAGACGAGACCATGAAGGCGGAAAAACGTTTCGCTCCTTTTTGTCGAACGTGCCATCTCAACGTCCTGACTTTTGTGAGTTGTGCAGCCCAAACACCAGGAATATTCTGATATTACGTCTTTGATTTGACCTGTATCAAGAGCGAAACGGACGGTGACAGGATTCTTGCCCTAGACATCACCTCAACTTACAATTCAAATCTGTTAAAAAGCATGTTTCCCCAACAGTGGCTGAGTGCAACATACTCGGTGTCTGGTTGACCCTTTCCCTCCACTACTCGAACGTATCCAGGCATATTAGTCGGGGAGATATCGATACTGCGGGTAGGAAGTCTGAAGCCAGGTCGTGATTCTTTTGGTAGCTGTAGCTGAAAGGCGGTCACGCTCTGAGTCGCTCATCTTGATCTCGTAACGTGGCATTCTTCCATGATTGTCTGCTTATCTTTCAGACGTTGGTCATACTATCAAATGGGCAAGTCACCTGTCTTAAGGTACAGGTAGTATATCGCAGCCTAACGCTTGTCCTGCGGCACACACACATGAAGACATGATGTCTCCTGTTTCCATGTTTGCAAGATCTTGAAATGAAGTGGTCCACGGCTATCCGAATAGAACACCGAGTGCGAAGACAATTTCGGATAAGGGGAGCAAGGGTGAAAAAGATGCACAAGCGGCACCCAAGACTCGCGGACATTTTCAACTCTGTCCAGTTATTGTGATGGATTTGACGTTCTGATGATCTCATTCGCTGGCAAGTCAATGCAACACACTTCCCGCGAAGGAAGTGCGAGCTGGCATTGTAGGTCTTCTTCTCCAGCGAGCATTTTGCGCTCGAAACCGGTACTTCGCCCAGAAAAGTAATGCCGTGCAACCTGAGCGTAAGATCAGTCATCGTCGTCAACTGAGGTACACATGCACCTTGAAGTGTATAAATTCAATCATCCTGCGCTACGGTCATGCACGCTGCTCTACTATCGGTAGGCAAAGCTGCATCGCTACTTCGGACCTGCGTGCCAGCGGATAAGAGCTCTGAGGTCTTCGTCAAGATCGAAGCCGACCCGGAGAATTGCAGGATAGGTGCCAGCTGTTCCGCGCCGCGCGGACATTCGAAACCGAACTTTGAAGTGTCGACGAAGCTGTGCAAAATCAATCATCGGTGATATCAGGACCCCTCATCGACTCCTCCCCGATCCTCCACCAATCACCTCCAAGGCCCCACTCCGCCCACCAGCAGCCGTGCTAGCTTCAGAAAGCGCCCTTCCACCTGCCGTCGAGCCAAGCCTTCAACCTGAAACATCAGAAAAATCGAGTCAACGTCCACCACTGTTTGATCTCCAAACCGCTCTTTCCAACCCCTGCATGCTGCATCTGACCGCTCATGTCTTCGGTGCATTAGATTCAGGCCCAGCAATCCACCTTCTGCACCGGTGGTCAACGGCGTTGGCTTGGCTTTTGGTGCGTTGGTATGGCTGCGCCGACAGCCGGGTGGAGTGTTGAACAAGGCAGAGCAACAGGCTGCTCGCGAACCGATGAGGAGATGCGTTGTACAGCGCTGCACGATCATTTAACAGCAAATGCAAAAGGCTGTTGCGCCTTGCGGGGTCCTCTGGGCTGAGTGACTGCATCAAGACTTCTGCGTTCATGTACAGCCTCCCACCCCTCGTTGTGCACCCACACCACCTGCACACGCGATACGAACGCGAGCGCGAAGAATGCTCACGAACGTGTCCGCCGTATTGCTCGAACCTGAGGATGTCACTTACTAATCTCATTTCTCCCAGCCTTGCCGTACAGGTGACAGTTTGGAGGGTGTCTGTCCGTCATTAGCTGCCGTCAGGATCCATGGCGGAGATTGCAAGGAGATGTCACGACATTTTTGTCGGTATTGCTCGTGCACCCGGAAGGAAGCGAACGTTGGAACGGTGCCAAGCAGATAACGCGCGGTGTGAAGTATTGATTGAGAGTTCATTACTCGTAATTCCCGCAGGAAACGGTATGTGTAGAAGTGTAGCTAACTACTATGGGATATTGAGGCGCGCCGGCCGATAGAAATATTGAACAATAATATGATTATACTCCTCCAAACGCCGTGCAATGCTATGCGTGCTATGCAAATGCTTCAAATGGAACGCCGTGTATCATGCGATGATATGTTGAATGGTTGTCCGGCAATCTTTTCGGCATATCATGTCCATGCAAATCGTTTTCATCTCTTGATGAGATCTACTGCGAAAGAAACTCGTGGGTCTAGGTGGATGATATGGGAAAGCGAATGCAATTTTAGTAGGCCGCTTGGCGACTCGCGTACGCGCCGGCGAACATCCTGTTGAAGAAGCCACCGGACGTCTTCGCCTTCTTCGCCGGCTTGTTGTCGTCGTAGATGGGAAGCGAGTGCTGCAGCCTGGTCTGGGTGACAGGTGCGTTGATATGTACAATGGTGGCGCCCTGGTCGTAGCTGTGCATGATGGCCTCGGTGGGCTCATCGTGGAAGCTGGATGGCGAGGATGTTGTGGAGACGGAGCCGCTGCGAGTGGGAGGCGACAGAGAAGGAGTGCGCGAAGCTGCGCGGGACGAGTGGTAGGCGTACTTCTGCTGGCGAGGGGCATACGAAGCATACTCGTAAGAGGAGAGGTTCTCAGCGGTGAGCTGGTACTGCTGCTGGCGGGCGTACTCCTTCTCCTGCTCGATGAGCCTGGCCTTCTCGGCCTGGCGTGCCTGCCAGACACGGATGGGCGCAAGGAAGGGCTCAAGGTGGTAGTAAAGGTCGTCGGGGTTGATGCGCAGGTCCCAGTCGAGAAGGAAGAGGAGCTGCTTCTCCATAAGGTTGACCTCGGTGATGGAGAAGCCGAAGTTGTCGTAGCCGCGGACAGCGCTGTAGCGAGCCCAGTGCTTGTTCTTGGGCGAGGAGTCGTTGAGGTTTTTGGCTGCGAGGATGAGAGAAGCAAGGAATATGCGGTGAGTGGTGCACTTCATGCCCTTGGCGACAGGAGGAAGGCGAGACCGGAGACGGGAGAGGTAGACCAAGCTGGTCATCAGAGTAGGGACCTGAACGTGCGAGCGCTCGACGAGGGATGTGATGAAGTCTTCGATAGATGGTAGGAAGGGCTCCCTGGCCTGGTGAGGAGAGGCGGGTGGTGTAGGAGGCAGGCTCTTGTCGAGCGAGGGTTCACACCTGATGACTTGTGTGGCCTTCTGTGCGAGGTATGAGATCATGTCCTGAGAGACAGGCTGCTGGATGAAGTAGTCCAGCGCAGCACTGTTCTCCCTTGCAAGGTTTGCTGAGTAAGGCATGATGATTGCTTGTGATGTGTGTTGCTGAAAGATGGATGAAGGTCGACTATTACTGAAGTGCAAGTCGATATTGAATCCGTAGTAGCAATATGCCGGTCCAATAGTAGATCTTCAACACAGATTAAGTTCCGGTCTGTTGGAGTTCGGTAAGCGCAGTCCGGGGGCTGTGGCTGTGGCTTGGGTTCGAAGAAGTTTGACAAGGTTGAAACACAAGGCGACAGTGAATATTAAGGTGAATGACGATTCCGACCGGCGGAAAGCGCAATTGAGATATCGAGGCGATACTGCTGTAAGGAGGACTGGTGGGAGGAAGAGTGGTGCTGGCGCTGCCAAGCAATGATGGTAAGGCTGGAAAGGGTGAAGTGGGTTGGGCAGTCGCGGACTGAAGAATGCAACCTGCACCGCTGGGGTGTTACAGGTGGAAAGAAGGGATGAGAGAAAAGTGAGGAACTTGCACTGACCAGAAGAGTATCAGGAGTCGATGATACTTATGCCAACTCGGGGTGAATTCAACTGTCGATGGTGGGGCTTCAGCGGCACGGTGTGGGACCCAATCAGCGGTCTGAATGGGCAGGGATTGCAACGTAGCGCGCCTCGCGAGACTGAGGCCAGCGGTTGTTGGCCCGATTTAGGAAGCCTGCGAGAGTTGTGGGAAGTCGAACTGCAGGACTGGAAATAGTGCGTTTCAACTTCAAGCCAGTCGTATGCGGGGGCTCGTGTACCCAAATCAGCGGCAGCGCCTGTCAGCCAATGAAGGTGCGTCCCGCTACGTGTTTCGAGGTCGAGCGAGTTATGTTTGAAGATGCCGCTGGCTGTTGTGGTACTGGCCGTACCAAGTGGGAAGCGTCGAGTGGATGGCAGACAGCGTGGCAGCGGTCAACAACAAGCGAACTGTCTCCTGGGGACTGCAGTACCGATATGTACTTGTGCGATGCGAATTCTAGCCGGTCTTTAACGATGGTCTGGTGCTCCTTGGGCCGGGTCACGTTGGGAGAGAAGACGAGGCGGTGAGGTGGTGCAGTGGAGAACACTGCAACGCTCGATGAATAGAAAGCGACCACGCTGTAGCTGCACACCTGCTCCCATTTATTAGAACGAGCTATCTGTCTAGCCACCGGACCATCTAGGCAGGCATCGTTGCGGACTTCGCTAGCATAGCATGACGAATGACGAATGTTGGCGGAGATTTACATTCTGCGCAGATTCCCCAGTCTCCTTACCGAGGGTACAGCGGAGGCGAATTCAAGATTACCCCTGCACGCCATTTTGGGTGAAGAAAAGCATATTTTGCCATCGTGAACGCGTGTTACAGTGCGTGTAGACATCGGCGTAGCATTGAGTGTGATGGTTTTGAGAATGAATGGCTGTGGCTATGCGATTAAACAGCTTGGCGGGGAAGAACTTCGGCCGAACGACTGGTGACTTTTCGTGCGTTGGCTGCCACATTCTGCACACCACCTGCGGGCATGCGAACAGAGTTCTTGCCCATCGTTTGACTCAATCTCCATCGGCTGTCAATGGCCTTGCATGAGGGCTGGCCTGACTCCCGCCCGAAAGGTGTTCAGCCAACCTACCAATTGGACTCCACATGATCTGGATCGACATGTCATGCGCAAGGATTGTGGGTTGCACCGGATTAGCCCAGCATGCTGTACAAACATCACCGCCGTTTCAACTCGTTTACTGTTGACAGAATGACCGGGCCTCATGGAGTGCGCATGAACGACATGATCCTTGCTATAACGCCACGTTGAAGTGTCGAAAGATATCGCATCCAACACCTGCCGCAATATTCGTGTTGGGAACTGTTACCAATGAACGCCCAAGCCTGGTGTCGAGATCCTTCAAGAAGCGCTGCACCGCCTCATGCTACAGGACCAATACTGCCGAAGCTTCCAGGATGTCTTTTCTAGAATGCTGGTCGCCAACTAAGACATTGCACCCTTATGCATCCTCAGTCAGAAGACAAAAATGGTTTGTCGTTTGCAAGTCATGTCACAGAATGTCCGCTGCCGCCAGCACCCAGGACCGCTCGTATGCGCGCTCTCATCCAACAATCTTCGTCGCTGAGACCAAACCATGGTTCATGAACATGTTTAATCTCCGAGAATACCGATTGAGCATTCCACATGGGTTACCTAAGTGCTCATTGCGGCTCTGGGCGGCTATCTTGAAATAGCGGCGCCAACCTACATACGCGCCCGTGGGCCGTACTACAAACAAATCTGGCAACGTTGGAGCTTTCTTTAGATGCTGCAGCCTCAGCTACACAACAGTACTGCACGTACTTCATCTTCAATTTGATGTTGCAGAGATCCAACTGATGTTGAACCTTGCGTGGTTCTGGTCGCCAAAGTTGAGGTCCGGGAACGCCAGCGCGTCACGTTTCAGCATCGACGTTGACATCACTCTCCAAGCGCCCAACCACAAGGCCCCACGGCCCCCAACCTCGCAACCTCCATTTTACATACCAAGTCCAGCATACTGACCTCACTTTAGCCACGGACTTTCCCTTCGACAATCAACGGCTCACCTCCTCAGCGGAATGCTGCCTTCAGCCAGCGTTCACCACAGTTACGGTGTACAATCAGAATATTGCTTTTGGCATTGACCGGACTCCAGATATGCGCTATCGATTGTTCGGTTCCTAATACACAGTATTGAAGGTCCTATCAACAAAGGCAGATTACACGATGTCCTACACCGTCTTTCTCACATGATTGAGGTTTCGCCGACATTCGGCGCTACATCACGAATCGATAGAGGCGCAGCGACTTGGTCCAGCTATCACGACGAGACAGGACGTGGCGCATATGACCACGTAGATCAGGTGCTGCGGAACATACACGTCGTCGCTACAGCCCAACCGTCCAACTTGTTCGCCATATGGCAGCTACCTGGCCGGTCGCTCCGGCCGCATCTGCGACGAAGGGACAATAATGCATTGAATGTAGTATGGCCACAACAACGACATTATTCTCGGCAGCAGCGGCCTGAGGTTCAATCTACACGTGGGCTCCAAAGTGCCTGTCTCTAATAGTAACATCTCGACACAGCCTGCAACCCTGTCCAATGACAGACACATACACAGGATGAAACCAGAATCAGCTACACGAAGCTATCTTCGACGTAACTCATAAGTCGTCAGGAAATTTGCGCAACGAATGATGCTCATATCGCCTGACAGGTTTTTCGGACTTCATCTGGCACGACTACAGGCGACTAATACGTAATCACCACAATGTTCGAAGGGCTCCTCTTGAACGACCTCCGCGTCTCGGGCAAACCCTCATTCATTATACGTAAAGTGCGACAACTTTGACTGCATGTGGCTGATGCTACCATTGTAGTCGGTTTCCGCGATCACTCTGACGGCCATCGGACTTCGTAGCCAACCACCACACTTCATGCAGGCCTCCGAGTTCGACACCGCAGATGGCGCGTCTACCTAATGTTTGAATTGGTACAATGCTAGGATCAAAAGTCTCGAAACGTCCCATGCTTTGCGGAAATGAGCACTGATGTCGATCGTGGCTACTACGAAACCAAAGACTCTACAATCCGAGCCTGCAAGTACGAGGTCGTCCGACACCAATTCCAATTTGACCTTCAATCAACAAGTGGATGACGGAAAGCACTCTTTCAAATCTTGTTTTCCGGTCTTTGCCTTCTTCGCCTCCGATCCAGCAGCATCGCCGCCACCCTTCCTCTTTCGCTCCTCCGCCTCTTCACCGTCTTCATCATCGTCCATCTTCAGAATCTGCTTTTTCGCAGTCCCAGCTTCCTCCCGAGCAGGTTTCAGCTCCTTGTCTTTGTCTTTCAGCGACTGATCAAGCATCTTGATTCCCCTGCTCAACGCCCATGTCTTCTCTTTCTCCTGTTCGTGCATGGTTATTTCCTCTTTGCGCTGCTTGTACGATGCTTGCAAGTCCCTGTGTGTCGTTCTGTATTTAGCGGTGTACTCGTCTGTGATCTTCTTGAAGCTCTCGCGGTCTGCTTTGAATGCCTTGTTGCGTACTTCTGTATCTGCTTGACAGCTTGAGCGGCAATCGTCTGTTCAGTGAGTTCAGAGAGGTCAACGAAACACGCCATAGACCGTTCTTTGAACAGGGCGCGCATGACGGGCGATGGAGTCCTGTTCGTAGTATGTAAGAGGTCCAGAAACAGAAAAGTGTAGCGATGGTGTTGAGAGGAGGGTAGAAGCTGCTACAAGAGGCGACCAGTCGAGTATATCTCCATGTGGGGCCCACTCACTGTAAACCTCTCTCACCTTACAGTCCTTCACCTTCACCTTCACCATTGCGGGCAGCAGCAAAATCATCGAGCCCTAATTTTTGTTTGCTTTCTCACGCGCACATTGTGAGCTGGTACTTAATAACAGTATCATCAGAGTCGATGAAGGATTTATAATTGAATGGGAACGGAATTGAAGTGATCGCTTTTCCTGTAATGTTCGGATGCTCCATGCGGATGCCTGGTTCCTATCTATTCCTCGACCTTGGATCCTTTCGCGGCGAAGCAGAACGATCATCGTTGCTCTCCCTATTGCGCTCCCTAGTTTCTTTGAAATTTCAGATCTTTTATCAGACCCTATCCCATGCTTCAGCGGACCTGATCGCCTCTCGCCTCACCTTCCCTGCTTCCAGCAAATTTCTTCGGCGCTTGTTCAGTTGTGCTTGCTCAGCTTTCCTGGCCGGTGGCTCCCATGCATGGTCGGTTTTCTTCCTTTTCTTGACCTCGGCCCGGACGTTGAGCATCTGCTGATCCCGCTCAATAACCTGTTTCTTCGCGACGGTGAGCTGATCGGTAGTTGTTGCGAGCTTCTGCTCACTTGCTGCGAGTTTATTCTGCGCTATTGCAAGGTCGTTCTGAATCTGCCCAAGCTGTGTCTTTGTATTCGTGGCTTCTACGATGGCGTTCTCGACTTTGCTTTTTAGTTTGTTGCAATCTCGGACTATATATATCTCTCTCGCTTAGACATGTGCCATTTGTCGGTCTTGCTATTTGAGCTTCGCTTCCGATTCTGTGACTTTCCTTTCGGCATGTCCCGCTCGAACCTGTGCATTTAACGCTGCTGTAGCTCTAATTGAGCTGACAGACTCAGTGCTGGAAAGCTTCTCCTGAGTGCTTCTGCAGAGCTTTGAAATCAGCCTGCATCTTAGCCATAGCAGCCGAAGAGACAGAGTCTGAGCCAGTCAAAGCCTGCATGATCTGAATGTAGGCCGCTGTTAATGTGGCATTTATGGCCTCAATCGTACCTGCTGTAGCTGTTGTTGGTGACGGTGAAGCAGTCATGATAGCCTTGGGAACATTCAGAGGCCCTCCCTACCTCTTCATCCAGAACTTGAAATCTTCATCTGGAATGTGCTCTGACTTTCGTAGCTGACCAAGTGAATCGAAGTTGAAAGGATAGCGATGGAACAACTCGATATACGGAAAGCGTCCCAATGGTCTATGATTGATGGGGTCCGCCATAAAAGCTGCATCATATACCACAAACGTAGGAGGTACCTTGCTCTTTCGGTAGTCCTTACCATTTCACAGCACGACACTTCTGATAAGCATCCAAGTGCGCGGATCTTTCGGGCTGTAGTGGCCGATGTAGTGCACGTCAAATTGAGCTGCATGGGCGTGCAAATTGGCGTCTTCTCAGACGAAGGGACCACCGTGAACTTTGATCACCTTGATGTTGGTGTTTGCCATGGCTGTGCAGTGCCAAAGTGTAGGATCGTAAAGTGTTATTGTTGAGTGCAAGGAATTAACAATTAAGTGGACCTGTTGGTCGCTTGCCTGTAGTCTAGCTTACCTTTACTTGAGGACCGTTGTGGAGCATGGCTTGCTGTTCCAGTGTACGCCGTAGAGATCTCTCACGTGGGAAATCCGGATCTGCTTCGCTTGATGGTTGACGCCTGTTGATGCTTGTTTTGTAGGGTGACGTGCTAGAGGAAGGCACAGACACATATGACATGGATACCCGTCGTATTCAGCAGGCGCCTTTGAGCTAGAATCATCACACAAGCAAGGAAAAAATCATGAAGGTTTTCAAGATTGATCTATAGAAGAAGTAACGCACAAAGTCGGTCGACCAAACAATCCAATCGTACCGAGGAAACTCAGCCGCATCGGCGAACGCCAGAACACCCGTCTTACCCAAGGTAGGAATGGCTGTCATCGCAATGGCGACGGGTATCGTATGAAAAGAAAAGAAAAGCGCTTCTGCAAGTCGAACGCTCTGGCTATAGGAAAGCCTGTGTATGTGACAAGAGATGTAGCGACACTCACGTCTGAAACGCTAAGAAGCGCACTGATACAGCACCGGAGGACGGTGGTATGTAGACGTAGTGATACATGTGCAGAAAATAGAAGCACCGAGAGATGTAGCCGAGGAAAAAAAGTGAGACATAGGTCGATATGGTAAGGACAGTATGGTCGATAGCGAGAATTTGCGGGATGTCGGCGGCGGCGTGACACTGAGCGGGGCATGAGGACGAAACTTAAGCCTTCTGGTTAGTCTTCTTAACACTTCCACGAGCGGAGGTGCGAGGACTACCCTTAGAAGGAGACTTGGAGGGTGACTTTGCCACACGCGTCTTGGCTGGAGTCTTCTTTGGGGTTGGTGTCTTGCCAGGAAGCTGAGGAAGGAACTCAATGGAAGGGACTTGCTCAGTTTCCTTCTCCTGCAACATTTGAAGGACGACGTCCAGGGCGTCCTTCACGTTCTGCATGGTCTTCCCCTTGCCAATGTACTGATCAAGCTCGCGCAGCACGTCGATGGGAGCTTCGAAAGCCTTGCTGGGGACAGGCGCCACAGCAGCCGCGGCATCCTCTGCGCTCATGCCGCCAGCGATCTTGCGTGAGAACTCATTAAGGCGGTCCTCCTCTGACTTCTTCAAGGTGATGTCGTAGGTAGTACCGGGAAACCCGGCCTCGATGACGTCGACCTGGCGGAGAATGAGCTTGACCTTGCGGACTTGCCAGAGCTCCTTGTTGTAGGTAGCGCGTTGATAATGCTTGCGACAGAAGAGTGGCCAGTCAGTGAGGTCGCGGGTGCAGGCCTTGTTGCGACCAAAGTGGTCCGAGATGACCTTGCGAGAAAGGGCGATGGTGTACTGGCCAGTACGGCACTTGCTGTACTCGTCGTTCATGCAGATGAACTCACGCTCGATCAGGTCATCGTCGACAACGGTTGCCGTGGCTTGCTCAGTAGCTTCACTAGCGTCGACCTCCTCAGTCAGCTCGGTGAGTTCGGACATGACTGTGTCGGCAGGGCTAGTGGGGCCTTCCTTGATGGGTGAAGGGCTGCGCTTTGGTGTAGATGGTGGCTCAAGAACTGGAACGTCGGCGGCAAGTTCGAGAGAGGTGGCCTTGGGTGGAGCAGATTCGATGAGCAAGTTGGAGAAGCTCATTGCGTCACGAATGGAGGTTTGGGTAGTTGTGGTGGTAGTATTAGTTGTAGTTGGCTCGGTCATGGTTTGAGAGGCCATAGTTGATCAGCTGGTGCTAGACGAAACAGGCTAGAACGGTCTCTGTGGAAAGATGCCAGTGAAAGTGCGTCCAAGCTGGGAGCTCCTAACGAGTTGAGAATTGGCGGCGTAGTGCGGTAGAGAAGATCTCGAAAGAGGTGAGCGAGGGGATTTATATCGACCAAAGCAGGGAAGGCCGTAGGGGGACGTTGGGCAGGCGAGGTGAAGTGCTCTTCTCGAGGTGACAATTGAGCGTTTGACCTGGTGCCTGACGACTGATCGTCACAGGATCTTGCCCCACTTACAGTTCGTCAGTCACCACTCGAAGCGTGAGGCTCGGTAACGAATAGGTTGAAGGTCTGCAAGAGCGACGTCGGAGCCTGTGTCGACCTGGTCGATACGGTCACAGCCTACAATAAACTGCGTCCACTCTTCGATTATTTGCGCAACAGCTAGCAACTTCACATGCCTCGAGGTTGGTACTGTCCTTACCACTCCCGCTTCGTGGGATCGAGTCTAGCGTGCAAGGCCTGCAGCAGGAGTATGGGAGGTGACTGAAACAAACAGCAGAGATAGATGCAGGCCTCGCACTCTGAGCCACGCCAAACAAGATGCAGAGACCACCCTGTGAAGGAACATGACAGACGAGACCGACAATCAAAATACCGTGGCCCCGGTATCCGGCGAAGGATGTGATTACGTGACCAGGGTACAAGTCAATGGACCTTGTCGCAAACACAGTGGACACGTTCGAAGACGCACATTAGTGCTGAACGAAGAGAGAGAACGATTTCTGAGAGTTTATAACAAGTGGCGTCTCTGATATACAATGTACTGAAAACGAAGCACAGTCCTGATGCAACCCGGATCTTGCTTATGAGAAACAACTTCAAGACATGTCGATGTGACCTGGTTATAGCTTGTTACAAGAAGAGATTGAAAGCTGATTGCAAGGCTGTACGTATGCGACAAATGTAGGGGCTGGAGAACCAGGGTTGCTGACGATGTATGAGATGTGGCCATACTTCACAGCTAACTTCTGGCACGAGAAGTATTGGCCATTCGCCACCGGGGCCGTTTGTCGATGAGACGTGGTAATAACAAGAATCTAGGGATGCAAGTTTGATGACTCTTGGCACCATTGTGATGTGGTGAAGGAGTCTGGGTGGTTGGAAGTGAAAGGCGGTCAGCAACGGCACTACCGATATCGCCGCCGGAACCCGTGACACTTTCGTCAGGGCTGCTGCGCCGAAGTGTGTTGCTCCTCTTTGCTCGCTCCCTCAGGCTTACCCAGGTGCGAAACGTAGGCAATTTGCTGAACACGCACGCAAACTTCGTCACATCGCTTGCAATGCACCCATACGTCACATCATCCACGCTAGTTCAGTCTACCTACTTTACCCTGCGTTGAGCGCATCTGCGGCAACTCGCCCTCCGTCGTGCTATCAGTCCTGAGCTCCCACCGCTACAATGCCTCCCACTGCAGGCACACGAACCTCCACACGGCAGGGGCGCGCCACCGTCCGCCCTACAAACTACTATGCGCGCAGCTTTGCGGGCCGTCTCGCGGCACACGGGATGGAGCAGACGCCTGAAGCTTCCAACAGCGCGCCCGGCTTCTTCCCCACCCTCACACACTTCACAGGTGCTGTCGATGCCTTCCCCAAAGAGGTCATCAAGCACTTCTCCATGTTCAAGGAGGTAGAAGCCAAGCTCCATGACCCTGAACTTCTGCTGGAGGAGCTGCTCAACGAGATCGCTCGGCAACCCGTCACCACGAACGCTCAGCAGCGCACAATCGAACTGAACGTGGATGACGCAGTACAGAACGCAAATGTTTGGCCCACGCTCATGCTGTGAAGTTTCACAAACTGACGTCTCCCAGCAGCCTCCACCCAACTTCGACAGCCTCTCCCCAGAAGAGCAGGCCGTGATCAGGAAGCGCCAACTTTTCCTACGCTTGCGTATGCTCATTCACAACATCCTCCCTACGTTAGACGAGAAGCTCGTCGTGCTGCAAGGCGCGAAAGCTACTAAAGACAAAGGTCTTACGCGCATGACGCACTCGTACTCGCAGCTTGATACCGAAATCAGCGAGGAGGCTCGTTACGGCAGTCTCACACACTGGGCATACGCGGACAAGGAAGAAAAGAAGAAGGGTGCGCCGAATCATGAGCGGCAGAGGCGGGAAGTTGCTGCCGCAAACAATCTGGCCGCAGCTGCCCAGCATGTGCACGATGTGGATTCGATCGCTGCGAAGAGCGAGGCTCGTCGCGAGGCGATGCTAGCTAAGCGCAGCCGCCAGCAGCAGGCCGACTCAGATTTCGATGACAGGCCGGCGGCGAAGAAACCACAGAAGAGGAAAGCTCACGCACCTGAGACATCAGCAGCAGATCACCGTAACGTTGGGCTGGGCATATCGAACAACGCTGCTGGACAACAGAAGAGGAAGAAGACAGAGAAAGCTCTGGCAACAGCTGCACCAACGGCTGCACCCATGGAACGATCAATGAGTGGTGCTTTGAAAGCTGCCGGCAACAACGCACGAGCTGGCTCCAGCCCTCGAGCAACTCCCAGCATTGAGAACGGTGCTCCTGCCAAACGAAAGCCACGCGCAGCTCCCGTGCCAGCCCCGCGCAAGAACCAGCTGCCAACTTACTCTCCTCCACCCGCCTCCTCGCCGCTTGCCGCGAACTTCGCCATCAACAAAGCTACTGCTGGCGCTGCAGATCGTCCACTGTCTTCGAGAGTAAGGAAGAATTCCACCGCAAACTCTGTTGCGTCCGCCAGTGTGCCTGAACCCACACCCGTCCGTCGACCGTCAACCTCACACTCTGTGCAGCAGGCCCTAAGCAGCAATACAATTACTGAGCTCGAACAAGCTGCGGGTATTGTGCGCGACCATGACTTTGTTAAGGGTGCATCAACTCTACAAGAGACAACAGAAGGCCCCACGTCTTCGCTTCCAACTGCCCTCAAGCAGGAAGATCAAGAACACATACAAGAGGAACCGGAGAGCATGGACATCGACACACCAGCGGTAATGTCATCTGCGGCTAGAGCTGCTCGAGTCTCTAAGCCTGGCACGCCTATTGTAGGAACATTCCCTGAGATCCCCATGGCACGCAGTCGCAGCACTCGCAATGTGCAGAACGGCAATTCCAACTCGAATGGCTCTTCGGAGAACAACAGCACAACAACGGGGACGGTATCGAAACGAGGCAACAAGAAGAGCGGAGCAACCACAACATCAGCAGCCGATTCGCCCGCACTCAAACCCACACCGACCGCGAAATCGAATCCTCCTTCCTCCGCGGCTAGCTCCGTCGTCCCCGAACAAGAATACCAAGATGCAGAGACAGATGAGGGCGATGATGAGCCGCGGTATTGCTATTGCAATGAGGTGTCGTATGGGCAGATGGTTGCCTGTGACAACGACGCATGCCCCCGCGAATGGTTCCATCTTCCCTGCGTGCAACTCGAGAAAGCGCCCGTTGGCAGAACCAAATGGTTCTGCAGTGACGAGTGCCAGGAGCAGCACGTAAAGTCCAAGGCGAAGGGGAAACGTCCGGGTAGTAGTAGACAATAGGAATTCGGAAGGAGTTCAAGGCGTTCTGGGACGGGTCCACCGGCGAGTGGGTCTAGGCCAGGTCCGAAGGGAAAGGGCAAGGCTAAGCTAAAGGATATTTGGGTTGGATGGAATGCTCTTTGAAGCTCCCAATCTGCTTTTTCTGGGATTTGTGGGTTTTGCGGCGTTCAGGTCCGGGTTACTTCGACTCCACTCATGATTATGACGCCTGGAACCGACTCCTTTGGAACAGGCATGGGAAGGTATTCGGTCTGGGGCGTTCGTTCGGCTTGACCTTTTGCATCGACTCGCAGTTGGGCATCTCCGCGCCTTTCTTGTGTATACGGTTACATGCACCGCCTTATCTTTCAGGCAATGGGTAGCATTCGGTTTTTTGTCTGTCTTGTATCTCTCAATACCTACAAAGAGTACATGCATAGCGATAGCAAAGCGTCACGGCCGCCAGCATTCAAGACATAGATGCTCAGTATAGTCAATGATCACGCGTCACGATCGCGCTTGAACACATCCCTGCACGACTTGAGTAATCGTCAATGATAATTGGCTACACAACAAACGGTCAGCCTCAGCTTGGACCCTGCGTAGCTATCACACTCACCGCCACCCTAAGCTCATGATACAAGTGTCTTGAGCGTATTTTTTGCTAAATCATCCCTCGAACACTCCCACGCTCCTTCAAACTCGCAATGGCGCCCAGAAACGTACCTAGCGCTGAAGAACAGCTCATTGCAGAGCCACAAGGTGGGGCGCCAAACTCCCCGCCAGATCTCCGGTTCCTCCACTACAATGATGTCTACCACATCGAAGCTGGAAGCCAAGAGCCAGTCGGTGGCTACCCTCGCTTTCAGACCTTGATCAACTACTACAAGAATGATGCACAGTTTGAAGGGCAACCAAAAGCTTTGACGTTCTTCTCTGGCGACGCGTTCAATCCAAGTATTGAGAGCAGTATCACAAAAGGTAAGTTCAAGCATGGAAGATTGCAGATCTCACGAATGCCACGTGTATTTTTGAACTCGACTGACTATAAAACAGGCAGCCACATGGTACCTGTGCTGAACACCATAGGCACCGATGTATCCTGCGTGGGAGTAGGTTGCATGAAATCTGTCGAGGCTTCAGTAGCTGACAGTCTCCACAGAACCACGACCTCGACTTTGGCGTGAAGCAGTACCGTTACTTGACTTCAAAGTGCAAATTCCCATGGCTTCTTGCAAATGTTCTCGACCCAGCTCTTGGCGAGAACGTGTCTCTCGGTAACGCGAAGAAGACTGTCATGCTCACATCCTCCAATGGCATCAAAGTTGGCGTCATTGGGTTAGCAGAGCGAGAGTGGCTCGACACAATTAATGCTCTACCTCCAGACATCATTTACAAGAGCGCATCAGCAACTGCGAAGGAGCTGATACCAGACTTGAAGAAGCAGGGTGCGGAGGTCATCGTGTGCGTTGCTCATCAACGAGAGCCAAACGACAACAAGCTCGCCGAAAACTGCGGAAGCGAGTACATTGATCTCATTTTGGGTGGCCATGACCACTACTACTCATACAGTCTCATCAACGGTACCCACGTACTACGGTCAGGTACGGATTTTAAGCAGCTTTCACACATCAATCTATGGCGCAAGACCGACGGTAAAGGCTGGGATATGAAGATCCTACGACGCGATGTCGTGAGCAGCATCAAACAAGATGCTGAAGCGCTGAAGTTGGTTGATGAGCAGACACGTGATATCAAGAAGCGACTGGACAAGCCTGTTGGCTACACGGCTGCACCACTTGACGCTCGCTTCACAACAGTGCGAACAAAGGAGTCCAATATCGGCAACTTTGTTTGTGATCTAATGCGCTATTACTACTCGGCGGAGTGCTGCATTATGGCTGCTGGCACGATTCGAGGCGACCAAGTGTATCCTCCTGGCGTCCTCAAGCTACGCGACCTGGTCAACTGTTTCCCATTTGAAGACCCTGTAGTCGTCCTCAAGGTCACTGGAAAGCAGATTGTTGAAGCCTTGGAGAACGGTGTCAGCAATTATCCTGCGTTGGAAGGAAGGTTCCCGCAAGTTTCGAACATAACGTTCGACGCCGACTATTCCAAGCCACCGATGTCGAGAGTGTCAAACGTGACGATCGCCGAAGACCCGGTAGACAACGAGCGCATTTATGTGCTTGCTACACGTGGCTATATGGGACGCGGAAAAGACGGCTACACATCACTCCTCATCGAAGAGGAGGGAGGTACTGCTGTGGAGATAGTCAGCGAGGAGAACGGTGTGCTCATCTCGACAATTCTGCGACAGTACTTCATGTCACTGAAGGTGCTCGGCAAGTGGAAGCGCTGGGGCAAGTCGATGGACAAGAGGTTCCTTAACATCCAAACGAATCTCCAGAAGAACCACAAGCACGGGTTTCTCGAGCCGTCGCCGACATCACCAGTAGACAAGAAGAAGCCACAGTTCTCAAGCCTCGATCGAGTTGCAAAGCAAGCTCAGGAGGCAGTATCCGGGAGCGAGTCGGAGGATCCTGATGCCGATGAGGACGAAGACGACGGCGCGGAGTATGATGGGAGTAGGCCGATCACATTCAATCAGCAGGAGTTGGTTCTTCTTAGGAAATCGCTGCGTAAATGGACGAGGTTGGCGAAGCTGCAAGGTTCGACAAAGCTCTGCGACGAGCTAGGCCAGGAAGAGACCCAGGTCAACTGGACAAAGGCAATTGCGCCCAGGCTGGAGGGCAGGATCAACGACATCACGCCTGCGAAAGCATAGGTAGAGAGTGTTAGAAGCCGAGATATTGCTGGGTCAGGTGACCTCCAGCCATCTCTTATATATAGTACTTCTACCGGCTCCATAGTCCATCACACACTCAATGCTGTTCACTTCATACTTCTAACAGAGAGTAGTGATAGAACTAAGTAACAGAGCTCAAGACATCCTCCGGGCTCACGAAACGCGCAATCACGTGCACGCGTCAATACTTTGGTTCGGATCGTCAATCTGTGACGTGATGCAGGAGGGCGGATACAACCATCCTACTTTCCATACTTTCTAAAAGTTGCCGCTTCAGGCAAGTACACTCAATGCAGTGATCGCCCCACAACCCAAGCCATCTCTCCACAAACTACCTTCCCCATGTCGCTCTTCAGCCTCCCAAACGAGCTCCGCCTGCAAATCTGGTCGCTCGCCTACTTCAACGAACCACCTCGGCTTGTGACGCTGCGCACCAGATCCCACTGTGAACGTCACACAGAGAAAGTTTTTTGCCCACGCTTTTCGCCAACCCCACACCCTACTGTACTTAACGTCTGCCGGGAGTCGCGGGCTGAGGTTCAGTTCCAAGCACTACGCGCTGATCACTTGATCTATTTGCCGTCACCGCTCAATTGGAATCTCTCACAGTTCTTTTTCCGTCTCGATACAGACATCCTATTCATCGACATTGAACACGGGATCAGCAAACACTATGATGACTCGCCTGACTGCGGACTCTTGGCGCATTTCCTTGAAGCAGTCGGGTGTGATGCAACATCTTTGAAGAAGATTGCGATTACGCAGATCGTCCGCGTTGCGTTCACGGATGGCGCTTTGTCGAACTGCCTGCGCGACTTTCCCAACATCGAGCACATCACCATGGTCATTGACCCTAAAGATATGCGCACCAGCCAAGAAAAGGAACGTTTCGTTTTGGCTGCACGACGCATCGTCACGCAGTACAGGCTTGATATGCGTATCAGAGCCAAAGCGAGGGGAGAGGTGTATGTGCACGGCGAACGCAACCTCGATCTCGACTTCGCCACGCGGAAGGGCACTGGCCTTGAATTGCTGGAGAAGAGTGTTTGGGAGGTATGGGGTGAGTTGGAGAGGGGGTGGTGGAAGGAGGACGTGCCGCAGAGGTATATTGACTTCTACTTCTGACCACGCAAATTTTGTATTACATCACAGTCTATGAACGCCACATTGGTGTTGAAGATTCGAGGCTACGGCACCTCGAGGTATATCCTATCTCTGGAGAAGTGTTAGTGACCGGACTAATCTGTAGACAGATGAATAAATCCTACCCTTCTTTCGGTCCTTCCAGGAAGTCATCTGGAGTCTCAGTCGGCAGCTGGTGCTTCTCAGCCCAGTCGCGGACGACCTCGAAGTTCCGGCACGTGTGTACGGTGTTGAAGTCTACGAACGGCTCGATGTCTGAGTTGGGTGGCTGGTACCAGACTTGACCCAACACACCGATATCGATGTTGCACATCAATTCCTGGCGGATGATGTCGAGGCAGTGTGCTGTTGAATGCTCGGTAAGCTTCTAGATTCACAAGCGGAAGATAGCAGGTTGCAACTTACTGACGTGCGCTTTGAGAACATGGTCGTCGTTCGCAAACGGTCCCATCTTCATTGCCTTGTAGTATTCGATGTTCCAGGGTAATGACTTGCGAAGCAGGTTCAAGCAGTGCAGGTGGTGCAGGCCCTCCACATTCGCAGGGAAACCACCACCGTACTTCTCCTTTATCTTCACCTGGTCGGCCTTGATGTTAGACTGCGCAGCTTCTGAAGCTGGTATGCGGACGGCGCTGAAGTCAGCGCCCAACGATTTCCAGGCTGCATCGACTTCTGGTCCGGCATCCTGTCTAAAAGCATTGATCTTGAGGAAGGATCCATTGAAGCGTACTCGTTCGAAGTTCATGTTCGCTTCTTTGATAATGGGAGCTGGAACATCGTCAGTGTCTACCAGCATGGACGTTTGTGGCTCGAACATACAGTACTCGGATATGTGCTGTATGCTGAAAGCATCAGCATCCAGTCCATTCCGTCCGGCCCAGGCACCGAACAGCGCAGAGAGCACTGCCGTGCAAAAGATCATGATACTTGTGGCAATCCATGGTTGGCGTCGACAGGGGATCTTTGTGGGGTGTCCATCAAGCGATGAGGTCTCGCTATTCGCCAGCAAGCCTTCGCTATCCTCAGTCTTCACCGCACTGTACGATTCTGTCCGCTTCTGTGTCTTAATGCCAAACATGTTGATGATTCAAACGAAGACAAATTGCAAGAAAGAGAAGACTTGGGAGAAGAATGACGACAGAGCCCATGGAGGTACTGAAGAGCAACGGTACGACTTTTGCATCAACATTTGATTTATTTTGGGGCTGCACGTAACGTCGAAGATATCACTAAGACAGGTAAGCCTGAAGCTACACACCATAGCCGTGTTCCAGAGCTACCCCGCCAAAGCTGACAACAAGACCAGTAGCTAGCCTTCAAAACCGAGCTGAATGAAGATCACGCCTCGCAAATAGCGCACGCTTGTGGCGCTACGGCTCATTCTAGCCGATACCTCGCTCAGATCCACGATGCTTGGTCCGCAAACGTTTCTGACATTGCTCGCCTGTTGCACGACTCCACCGTAAGACTACGTCAAGAATGCTCGGCCTCAAGGGTTCTCACATGCATCAGAATCACATCCAACAATATTACTTCTCCTGCGTTGCGCAATCGCACGAAGTTCGTAATAACATCACGACATTCGCCACCATAGCCTCGGAATCGCTTCTTTGTGTTACCCTGCATACCACCTGCATCCAGACACCATGTGGCAGCATACACGAGAGCTGACGCCCGCCCACGTGATACGTTCTAACCACTCATCGTCCGTGCAGTGATTAAGACCTCACCGGAGTATAGACGAATCCTGAATCCGGCATTGCCAGGCGGGGACCCCGTAAAAACCATACGAGCACGATCTACGCTATACAGCTACCGACAATGGTTAGCTCAGACTATTTTCAGACTACCAGCACGTCTTTCACGACCTTACAATGCAACATATGGCAACATATGTCTGGATCAACGGATAAGATGGCCCCATCAGGCAGAGCATCAACGTCGTGACGGTATGCGCAAGCCATACGAGCACTACTGTCCCGCAATCGATAATTCTATCCTTAGCTCTGCACGACGCTGATTTCATTGATGAGCACGACAGAGTTGGCGAAAGATAGCTTGGACGCTCGGTCTGACCGTCTAAGACCGCATGAATATGGATAAGCTGAGATGATTGCGGCCTGGATATACAACCTCAAAACTCGTATATGAACTTCACCCCGCTTCACAGTGAAAGCCTTCAAGCCACAACTCCAGTGGTTCAAGCATCAGTAACAACCTCAGACCATCGTTCTCAGGCACAAAACATCTACATTTTTCAACATGAAGTACGCCTACGCCCTTCTCGCCCTTGCGGCCGCGGTCACTGCTGCCCCCGCCGCTTCCCCAGATGCCGCTCCAGATGCCGCCCCCGAGGCCGCACCTGCTGACAAGGGCTACGGCAAGTACGCATCATACGGTACGTTTCTCTCAAGATCTCTGCCTCACTTCATTCACACAAACTGACCTAACATAGGCACATACCCACCGCCCAAGGATGGCTATGGAAAGTATGCCAGCTACGGCAAGTACGGAGCTTACAAGCGCGACGCTGAGCCCGAGGCCAATCCTGATGGTTATGGCAAGTACGCCAACTACGGTATGCTCAACATCAATGATATCTCACTGCACGAAGCTGACCCCATGCAGGCTCATACCCCCCACCAAAGGGCGGCTACGGCAAGTACGCCGACTATGGCAAGTACGGTGGAAAAGACAAACGTGAAGCGGAACCTGAGGCCAACCCAGACGGCTATGGCAAGTACGCTTCATACGGTATGTGTTCATATTCCCAGTTGCTTTGACTGAAAGACTAAGATATCATAGGTGACTACCCACCACCAAAGGGCGGTTATGGAAAGTACGCCAACTACGGGAAATATGGCGCAAAGGACAAGCGCGAGGCAGAGCCTGAGGCCAGCCCTGATGGCTACGGCAAGTACGCCAACTATGGCAGCTACCCTCCACCAGAGGGTGGCTACGGTAAATACGCCGACTATGGCAAATACGGCGGAAAGGACAAGCGTGAAGCTGAACCTGAGGCTGAGGCCAGCCCTGATGGCTACGGCAAATACGCCGACTACAGCTCTTACCCACCTCCTGAGGGCGGGTACGGCAAATATGCCAACTATGGAAAGTACGGCGCCAAGGATAAGAGGGAGGCCGAGCCTGAGGCTGAAGCTGCTCCCGCTGGCGACTACGGCAAGTATGCCAACTACGGATCATACCCTCCTCCTAAGGGTGGGTACGGAAAGTATGCGAACTATGGCAAGTACGGTGCTAAAAGGGAGGCTGAGGTTGAGGCTCAGGAGTGAAGTGGACTAGAGCGAGAGGGGACAGAGGGCACACCGGCCAGTACGAGTACGGATTTACAATCCTTATGTTGTTATGATTATGCTTTTAGACGAACTACGATACATTCCTTCCCCATATTGGGGTGGCGTTCTTGTCCACACGAAGTATAATCTGTTCCTGCACCTTCGCTCACTATGGTGATATACAGAGGCAGGCGAGGTAAAGGTAGATATTCTGAGAAGTAAGATCGCTGGGATGAGCCATGAGGCTGTACAAATACGTATCTGTTGGATGACTAGACCATCACTCCACATCAACCCTCAGATCAAGTCCAACATGTTCCCAACTTCAACGATAGTATCACGTCCTTCAGTCCACATGTCCAAGCGCCCAACTTTCGACAGTGCATAGTCTTGATCTCTCACTACCTTGCACTCCAACATCAACTTCGATGATCCCGCTTACAACGCCCACGATCCTCGGACCTGGCCACGCATACCACGCATACCCGCGCGTACCAACGCACAGGCTCGGCTGACAGCATCTCAAGCAGCATGGGCAGCCACGCGGAGTTGCATACGACCCAGAGTTGGCCCATACACATGGAAAGAAGTTACCAAACAAAGACGTCGTGGTGAGAAGATTGATGGATTCAGACCAATTCGTATGAATCAGCGCTTCTACATGTTCCCATTTGCCTACGACCGAGAGGGCGTCAAGAGAGAGAAAGCGATCTTGCCGGGCGAAGACGTGTACTTCTGAATCCGTGCTGAGGCTCAAAAGGATGTCCCGATCGCAGGACCGGCAGGCACTACAATATCGCCACAGCCTAAGGCTTCGACGACAGCCTTTTGAGAGAACGTCATCCGAATGCCGGACGAGAAGCAGCTCCATACGGCCACTGAGGCTGAAGCGCTACAAAATAAAAAGCCCATATTAGATTAGCCTATGGCCAGCCGTCTGAATCCTATGGCCAGATGACATGCGTCCTCATGCCACCGGGACCGGGCACAGCAACCACGTCATGGACACTGTCAAGAAGAACTTTCTCCAGACGTGAACAGTGGGCAAAACCAAAGACGAACGCAACGCTGCTGCCGAAGAGGCCGAAACCCCCCGAGCAAGAGAATCCTCGACTCCACGGCCGTCTGCAGACTCGCAGAACAAAAAACCCAAACACCCACAACGCAGTGCTACCCCAAAACAGAAACGCCCAACGACTGCCCCGCGCTCTGCACCTCGAGGTCCATCCGACGAGCTGATAAGGCGGATGCTGAGGTGAAGGCCCGCAAGGCGGACCTGCGAGTTGAGCGGAAGGCGCGTCGGTGGCTGAGAAGCAGGTCATCGAGATTGACGACAAGCTGAGGGAAGGACAGACGTGCAGGAAGGACGCCAAGGTCACGGGTGTGCAGAAGAGAAAGGCGGGTAATGGTGTTTAGCGACTAGGATCAAAGAAGAAGGCGAGGACTGGTGGTTAGATTTGGGCCGGCGTCTGGGCGTCACTGGTCTTTTCCTCTGCGCTGTCTCTACATCGTTTGCGAAGCGATCAGTCCTCTTCACAGGAAGCACTTCAGACGAGAAAGCCGGACGGTTCACACTTGACACTGTGCACCATATCCCCCGGGGTCTTCGGTTATGATAAAAATAAAGCAAGCCATAGCCCGCGGTATCATTGCTCAGATAAGTGATGTACATACTCGATGTCGTCATAAGTCGTGATAGTTAAGCGCAAAAGATGCAAAATAGCCTCCCATATTTACAGACATCCCTTCGTCTCCTCCGCCAGACCTCCCCCTCACGCAAGCTAGTAAGCATCCCCAAAAATCTCCTTGGGACTCTGCACCATTTCGTCCAGCCGTCCCAACCTCTCACTCCCCTCTTTCTTCTTCACCCTCCTCTCGCGCTTCGTCACTAGATGCGGCGTCACAGGTGTGATGGGTGTGAATGGCATGTACGGACTATATGGCGTAAAGGGCACACCGGTTCGTGGTGTCTGCAGAGAGAGTTTCTCGGGGCGGCGGTCAAGCACTGTGGTCTGGATACCGGGGGACTTGAGGGGTGCATCGTTCTGGTAGGAGCGGAAGGGCAGTTGCTTAGTTGGCGTCATGGTGGGTGATCTCGATACGTTGATGTTTAGTGGTGATGGTGGTGGTGCGATGGTCAGGCCGGGGCCGCGCTGGGGTGCGGGGTTGGGCAGTGGAATCCTGAGGCTGTGTGCGCGTTTGATCTCTGCTGGCTCCGTGGGAGAGTATGGTGTTGATGGTGATGTGGGTTGGGTCGGCGGTGAAGGTGGCGCACCGGGATCGGGGTAGAAGCGTGGTGATAATGGCGTGCGGGCATCATCGTCAGGTGCTGCGCCGCCGTAGCTTTGGATGGGACCGCTGATGCGAAGGTTCTTGAGATTGAAGCGGGCTGATTTGTCTTGTTTGCTGGCGCTTGAGAGACGGCTGGGCTTTGAAAGGATGGAGCGTGGTGATGGAGGTGGGTATTCGGCACGGAGGCTGCTGTTGCGGGAGTGTGGGATAGGTACGGCCATGTTGTTGTTGTTGTTGTTGTTGTTGTTGTTGTTGTTGTTGTTGTTGTTGTTGTTGTAGTCGGGAGGGTAGATGGCTTTAATGGGAGATGTAGGGCTGCTGTCGGTCGGTGCTCGGTGAGTGATGCTGATAGCTGACGGCCTTCTCCTCTCATGTCTAATTGCGGGTGGTGGTAGTGGCTCTTCAACAGTGGCCTGGCTGACCTGCCGCGAGTGCTTCTTTGCATCATGGTCCATGACAGCAGCATACAGCCTCTCCATATCATCTTGAGCGCGCGCTCTGTCAGCATCGAGCACCTTCTGATCGAACGACATTGGACTCTGAACAACCGGGCTGACTGGAGTGCTTCCAGAAAGCGACTCGCCCCTCTTGAATTTCCTCATCCAGCTCGTGGCCGAGCGTATCGAAGTCGGACTAATCGGTGTCTCCATGGCTCCTCTTATGGGTTTCAACTCCTGTTCAAACTCCAGCCCAGGTGGCGGATCCAATGCTTTCCGTCTCATCTTTCTCCCAACTGTGAGGAGCAGTACGCCCCAAATCAATACTGTGAAAACGTAGCCAGCAACAAGGCCGCAGATCTCGTACGGCAACCGCTGCCTATCTCTTGTAGCGTGGAACGATGCAGGTGGGCCGTCCTCAGGACTCGGTGCGGGGTGGTTGTAATTGTCCTTGAAGTCGTATGGTGATGGCGAGGCGGCAGCACGCGCAGCAGCAAGGAGTAGCGAGAACAGAGCCGGAGGCAACGCTCTGCCCAGCATCATCTTTCAACCCGCAGATGTAGGAGGGGAGGAGATTAATATGTTCCGAGCACGTCTTCGACGATCCATAGACTGCCGATCCAACACTGGTGGATCCGGCAGTGAGGACCCAGGGAAAGGTGTGAGACGTGACAGCAGGCACACATGGTGATATTTGGACAGCAGCTGGCCAAGATGCCTGGGTCGACTGAGGTGTGATATCGAAAGACATGGGTGATGTGGCTCCTGATTGGAGAGGTTGTTTCTTGAGCGACATGATGGCGTCCAGTGGTTGCTCGTTTGGAGGCGCTGGAGCGGGGTCGCTCATATCGGGCTAGTGCAAGTGGACAGTCGGCATCCACGCTTCGATGTATGTATGCCTGGCTCTCTGCGGTGAGGGATCCGAGTCGTGAGGCTGATGGATTGGCAATTTGCCTTCATTGACGAATACAGAGTTATTCCGTTACTGGTTGCTGTCAACTTCTTCGAAGGGAGAGTAGATTTCCGAGTCCGGAGATGTGCGACTCCAAAAATATCCCCAACCACCTCGCAGATCATGCGTGCAGCGTGCAAACCTGCGGCACAGCGGCGGGCCGTATGCACAAAGCCTCTTCCATGTTGTCAACCCCAGACTGTTCTGCGCACCCCTGCAGATCAAGAAACACGATTCGCTAGCCTGGAAAATTGTGAAGAAGTGATGGAAGTGACAGGGAGCTGATTCGCTTAGGCGGGCGGTTAGAAGGTTAAAGCGTGATGATGCGCAGCCAATGGGAATACAAGAGTCATGTGTGCATTTCAAGGTCGGTGTGACAGCTGCGATCTCCAAGACAGGCACGTTTGTGGTGTTTGTAATACCCATGGTCTGGACAGCACATGGTTCAAAGAGCTTAAGAGGTTAGACCAAGGGACGCGACTCCTGGTCGAGATATTCTCCGTGGGATTGGAGTTCATGCGGCGTGGGATTGGAGTTCATGCGGCGTGCCTATATGTGTAACACTCCATGCTCGTGCCAGACCTCATTGCTTCTTCCTCATTCACTTGTGACTGCAACAGACATTGGCCAACTCGGTTGGCGACAACGGGCGCGATGTGAAACTTGCGCGGCGCAGCGGCCTACTGGTCAGCGTCTGCGCATCGTATATGTACAGATGGTTTCAGGTGTTGATGGGAAGGGTTGGTGGAGCGAGTTGGTGACAAGTATAGAAGTGGCTTTGATTACTTCCGCGCGTCCCCTGAGCGGGCATGCTTCTATCCGAGCTTGAGCTCATGCCATGATAAAGATCATAAGACTACCTAAGGGGGTATCGCATTGATACTGGATTAGCCAATGCAAGCAACATATCTGCCCTGTGAAGGCTATGGGAGCTTACCCTGCCAGGACTGAGCGCATGGTTGCTCTTCTTCATCTGCACGTACGTGAAGCTCGTGGGCGCTCACTTCCCTTCGGCCTTGGCTATCAGGCCTTGGTCTAGACCGGTAGGCTCCCATAAGGCTTTGTTCTTCTTGTTCTGCACCCATAGGACATCGCCTTTGAAGTAGGCCACTGCGCCTCCTCGTCCTGTCGCGCTGGCTGTAATTCTGAAAAGTGGCAGACCGGTGACATCGTGGGCTTCGCGCAGTGGCATCATGAGCAGGTTCTCCTCACCGCAGAACTCCTCGACTACGTCCTTGAAGGTGGCCTCTTCAACCTGTGCGGCCGGTCGAGGTGGCTCTTTATCGACGGACTTGGACAGGTCTGGCATTTCGGGTGACGCTCGTGTTCTTTCGACGCGTGGCGCAGGCAGATCTGTCAGCCTTGCGTCTCCAAGGTCGAGCGCCTGGTTGATCAGCGTATACGCTTCGTCCCAGCATGATGAGACCGAAGGCAGCGCATTGATGTCGTTTCCCAATGTGTCTCTCCACCACTTGATCCATTCTTGTACTTCGTTGAAGACCACGCCTTCGCTGGACAACCACTGATGGATAATCTCCAAGAACTTTGGGAAGAATTGAGCCTTGAGGAGCTCTCCCAAAGTCTGGTCTGACAACAGTCCCTTCCAAGCAAAGACAGCCTCCAGCGGTGCCACATCCTGCTCTGCAGGGTTGATTTCGAAGTTGTCCCGCAAGTGGCTTGCGAAGCGTGGTACAAGGTGGTTGGTGAGCATGCGGTCGATTTCCGCCTTGCCGAAAACCTTCCTCCACTGTTCCATACCGGACAGGGGACCACGAGAGATGTCGATGGACTGCAGCGCGTGGCGCAGCTTGCGCTTGACCTCTGCCACGAGGCCAGAGCCCTTGGGATCCAGGTCAGCTGGCTCGAGGTATGGCAGCCATTCCACGACCCAGGTGTGCGGGCTTCTCTTGAATTTCCGCGGGTTCCATTCGTGCACGGAAGTCGAGAGCTTTCGTGTAATCTGTTCCAACACTCTTCTGGCCACGAACGGCGGCAGCACTGGCCTCCAAGCTTCGATCAGATGCACCATTGGACGAGCATCCTTTACATCCCACTGCGTCACAGCTGAGCTGACCGATGGTAGCCAGAGCTTGAGCATCATAGTCTCGTACGAAGATGTCGTGCCGCGCTTTATTGGTGCCTCATCGTCTGGCTGTGTGCGTGCAACCACTGCGTGTGACGGGTGTGTGTAGGCATCCGAGACGAATCTCCTGCTGCGCGGCTGGAGGACGTTTGACAACTCTGAGAAAGCAGCGGCTGCCTCTTCGAGCGCGTCCTCCAGTGGCGCCCACGAGACGATCATCTGAGAGAAGTGCGGGTGGATGACGGCGATCGATTCGCGATGCAAGGGCTTCGATGGGTACGCGGCGCGCAAGTCCTTCAGCCCGTCGCAAACGTCTTTGAAGGTGCCAGTCCGCATGGACTGCAGTCTGGCGCTGACGTCCGTGATCTCGTCCATCTGTCGCTCCAGCGCTTCGAGCTCCTTCTCCAGCGCATACTCCTGCGGTGCTATGGCCTTTGACTCTGTCTGCAGCTCTTCGAAGGCTTCTGAGAAGCTGTTCAAGTCTCGGCGTACGCGTGCTTGGAGGGAGTTTTCGAAGGGCACGACGTCGCTGCCGCGCAGAGACACGCCAGATGTCGGGGTGGAGGCGCCGGTTGTCGCGTCGATGATGGACTGCAGCGCGAGCGGGACATGCATGCCCGCTGCCTCGAGCTCGAACAGCGTTTTCTTCGGTCGCGGGGCAGCACTGCGCGCCTCTCGCGCCGCCTTGGCCTTGTTCTTCCTCGCGCGACGCTCCTCCTCGTCCGAGTCGATGTACTCCTCGCCGTTGGCTTCGGCCTTCCTGCGCTCCTCCCTCTTCTGCTGCTCGCTCTTCTCCGACACGATGCCCACACCGCCCTTGCTACCACGCAGGACGACCTGGATAGGCTCTGCGATGCCCTCGCCCTCCTTGCCCAGACCACCCGTGCCCTTGTAGCCCATCTTGGCCATCATCTTTGCGCCGAAGCCCGTCTTGAGCGCGGCGCTGCCGTCGCCTGTCTTCGGCTTCTTTTTGGGCTCCTGGCGGAAGTTGAGCTTGCGCTTTGGCGGCGGCGGGGTGTCCATTGTGGGGTCCGTTGGCGGTGTTGGCGGTGTTGGGCGCGTTGGGCGTGTTGGGCGTGCCGGGCGTGCTGGGTGGGCGTGTTGGCGGCGTTGGCGTTGGCGATGGTGTTGGCGGCGTTGGCGGGTGTTGTGTCGAGGTGGAGCTGGTGTTGCCTTGAAGCTTGCGGACAGAATCACGGGAGTGGAGCGCGTCGCATTGCCAAGGGGCCGTTAGCTGCAGCAGCGGCCATGGCTGCCGCGACGGGTGCTATTATTGGACTGGAGGGCGCTGAGGGATGGGGAGCGTCCATGTTTTGGGTGCGAGTGCAACACCAAAGCTGATCTTCTCTCTCCCCTGACTGCAATTTGTTTCTTCCGCAATACCCCCAAAGCCTCGTGTCTGCTCTGGCAGCTTCTGTGCCGCGCAGAGTGGTGCATCATGGCCTCGCCTCCTCGCGTGCTGCAGCCCGTCCCGACCCGGTCGCCAGAGAAGGAGGCCAGCAGCGTCGACCTCCACCACCCGCTGCCCGACCTGCAATCGCTGCAGGGCGCCTATGTCGGCAACATCAGTCGCCTGGAGGAGCACGCAGAACGCATGAGCGAGGCGGGCTCCGACTTGAACGAGGAGATTCGCAGGCTGCATACAGAACTGAAGCAGTCCGACTCGCGACGGTCCTCGCTGCGCTCTCTTGGCTTCCCCGCCGAGGAGCCTGCACGCATGTACGCGGGTCGCAGCCGCAATGTGTCGACGAGCTCGCACGCCCACTCGGCCATCGACACGAATGGCCCCGCTCGCTGGGGCGGCTACTCGCCCGGAGGCTACGTAACTTCGCCCGCGGGCTCCCTCCGCTCGGGCTCGTGGTCGAATCCGCCGGCCTCGCTGCAGAGGCACCGCTCCGGCAGCAAGGCTTCGCGACTCGGCCAGGTCGTGCACCCAGAGCAGGTGCACGAGGAAACGGAGGACGCCGGAGACTACCCCGGTTCGCCCGATTCAATCATGGCTCCGCCCCTCGAGCACCACCAGCAGGGCTCGCCGCCTCCGCCCGGCCAGCGTCAGGTCTCCTCCTTCACCCGCAAGTATGAAGAAATCGCAAACGAGATCCGGGACGAGATGCGGAACAGCGTCAACCTCGAGCGGCCGCCCACCATGGACCACTACCATGACCAAGACAACGATCGCTACGCCGACGGCCACCATGAGCCGTACCCCCATCACGAGCTTCCCGACCGCCCGCCCACCGCAGCCTCGACCGACACCACACACCAAGCGCGTACACTGTGGCACGACTTCGACGGCACACACGCCCCACACACTGTTCCCGAGGAGGAGGAGGAGGAGGAGCAGCAGCAGCAGCCGGAGCCGGAGCCGGAGCCGGCGCCGGAGCCTTCGCATGGCAGTCACAGTCGGAAATCGTCCTCCCTGATGAGGTCCGCCCCAGACATGCCGCCACAAGGCGCGCCGCCGCCAGAAGAGGGCATGGTGTTCTACCCGGCGCCAGTGCCTCGAATGCTGAATCTACCGAAGCGCCTGTCCCAACTGCCTGCCGGGGACGTGGCTGCACGACGTCGTACTCAGGTGCTGGATCAGATGCAGGCCGCAAACAGGAAGTCTGCCCCTTGGCTCGGCGGAACAGAGCCCGCGAGTCCCAACAGGAAGAGTCGGAAAAGTTTCGCCGGCCTGCCTGCGCAGCTGAGAGCCAGCGCCTTCTTCGACCAGCAAGGCCCGTCGCAGGAGTTTGAGGTCAAGGGCGAGTCCGCTGAGGATACCCTCGACAGCATTCTCGAAGCCTCCGCGCGCGCACCTGTCTCTGCCTTCACCGATCATCCCTTTACCGGCCGTGTTGGCAACGAAGTCTACAGCCCAGAACACAAACGCAAGAGCACCAAGTTGTCCCTCGTTGAGCCGGTCGTAGTGGAACCAACCAAGAGGCGGAGCTCGTTCAACATACTCGACACGAACACCAACTCCACTGGTGGCAAGCTGAACAAGCTCAAGAAGCGCAACAGCTCCGCAGATATGAACATCCTGGTCGCTAGAGCCGCTGAGAGCCGTATGAGCTTGGGCGCGGAGCTGGATGAGCGCGATGAACACGCACGAGGACCAAACGACCTCGAGACAGCACCGCGGCGCAACTCCTCTGGAGATGGTCGTGGCCGCAACCCGGATGCCGAGTTCGAAGAGCAAGCCTTGAACGACGACGACGACGACGACGACGACGAGGAGAAGGAGGAGGAAGAGGAGAAACAATTCTTCGGCGCACCAACCACTCTGCTTGCTGAGCTCCAGCTGCGCAAGGCAAAACAGAAGGAGCGTAACATAAACTACGTTACAATGGTCGAGGAAGGTCGGATGACCTCGCATCGAACGCTGCTCGATCTCAACGACGACGCTGAGCGGGAGAAGCAAAGGCGTCTCAAGAAAAAAGTGCAACTTGCCTGGGAGGCTCAAGAGGAGGAGGAGGACGACTCGGACGACGACATTCCTCTTGGCGTGCTGTACAAACAACCTCAGAGGAACGACTGGGACCGTCCGCTTGGTTTGATTGCTCAGCGAGAGCTCGAAGACAATGAGCCCCTGAGTCGTCGTCGTGAACGAATCACTGGACTGCCAAACAACAGGAGGACCACAACCCTCGGAGGAGCCTACGACAGCCAGGCACACCCTGAAGTACCCAGAGTCATCACACCCCATCCCGAGTCTGAAGAAGAAGAAGAGCACGTAGGCGAAACCCTGGGCGAACGCATGCGCCGTCTGAAAGACAAGCAGATGCTAGAAGCCGCCCTGGGCGACGACGTCCGCAAGTCCACCGTCAGCGGTGACTTTGCCGCCGAAATGCTCTCCAAGCTCGGCGTTGACGACTCTCCAAAAGCACTCAAGGACGCACCCTCCGCCTCCCCCGCCCTAGAAGACGGCGAAGAAGAAACCCTCGGCCAGCGCCGCGCCCGCCTCAAGGCCGAAGCAGAGGCTCGCGGCGACATCCTCCACCCCGGCGAACGCCCAGCTCTCAAGTCAAAAATGAGCTTAGCCGACGTTCTATCCGCGAACCCCTACGACGACCACCACCAAGCACGCAAAGTCTCCAACGAGCAACTGATGTCGCACCTGCCCACGGGCTCACTGCTGCACCGAAACGCCGTCGCCGAAGAGAAGCGAAAAGCGCAGCGCCTAACGCAGACCATGCGTGCCTCCAGCTACGGCATGACCGGCCCCGACCCCCTCCTGCGCGGCGTCGGAAGCACACAGTCAAAAGACGACGAAGACCAGCCTCTCGCTCTTAAGATACAGGCGTACAAGGATAGGATGGCGGGGGTGGGACGGCAGGAACAGCCGAGGGCGCAGACCATGATGTTTACTCCCATGGGCATGAATCCTACGCTGAACGTGCCGCAACAATCGACGCCGATGATGGGCATGAACGGCGTGCAGAGCATGAACATGGTAGGCCAGCCCAACATGATGCTCCCCCAACAGCAAATGCTACCCATGCAAACCCCGATGATGGGCATGAACAACATGGGCATGATGGGCCAGATGTCGCTCCAACAACCCGCCATGCACCCCGGCATGGGGAACCGCCAGAGCTCCATGCCCATGCAGATGAGCATGATGCAGGGCGGGCCGCAGATGAACGTCATGGGCGGGATGCCGATGATGCAACCCATGAACGGGATGGGCATGCAGGGGATGCAGATGGGCGGCGGCATGATGGGCGGCGATATGATGATGCAGCCGATGAACACGCAGCAGAGGAGTAATATTGAGGGCTGGATGAGGGGGATTAGGTAGTGGTTGGAGTGGAGGGCAGCCGAAGTCGCCGGGGGGGGGGGGGGGGGCAAGTGTGTTGTGAGATTAAGCTTGTATTGCATTGGATTTGAGGATATATAGGGGTGTGTTTATTTTTTTTATTTTTATTTTCGGGACATAGCGGGTGGGTTGCATTGGCATTGCATAGGCTGGAGTCGAGATTATCTGCATTCGGCATGGGTATGGCGTTTTGGGGGGGGGGGGGGGGCATAGATTCGCGTAATACATTCATGACATATGATTTCTCTTGGGGACACGGTGTGTGCAGAAGGATGCGTTGGTGGTCTGTCGAGCGAGCGGAGTCGAGTGATCGCGAAGTGCAACGTTTGGGAGGCGGAGTGCAAGTCGAATGATTCACGCACGTAGCCACATACATGTCTTAGTGGAATGTACGGGACGGAAAGGCTCAATTGTTCGATTGTAGTTGGCGCATCTTTCGAACGCCCGTTCAAGGCCAATCTATGTCTTCTTTTCCTCAGACTGGTTACGAGAATAACGATGCGGCGCTCTTCCCTGCGCAGCCCAACAACACCCATCCACCATTCCAAGATGCAGCGAAGTCAGAGCGCCCCTCTTCCACACGCGACGACAAAGGGAATCCGGCCGTTATAGAAGCCTGTAAAACGAAGTATCAACCCGCTGATGCAAAATGCCTGTAAAAGACCTCCGAAATCAAAGAGAAGTGTAAGTTGTAAAGACGCCAAACGCCGATCGCTGGATGAGTGGTGCGATGATGCTTGGTAGGAGAGGCGGATGTATCTGTGTACGATGATCCAATATGTATACGTTGAAGTGGGTGGAGTGTAACGGACTCTAAGGTGGATGTCTAGAAGTTCGTCGAGAGGGTGTGGGTGGATTTGATGTGTCTGAGTACGAACACCTTTGCAGACACGTTTTGGGCCTGAGGACTGTACTAAAAGTTCGCTAGCCCGTTCTTCGAGTGCCGCTTGCTGAATCGTTTCCTGCTCTTAACGGAATCGGTATCACCGCGGTCCTTGTGGAGATGTCCGTGTCGCGAAGCAGGAATGTTGACGCCGTCGAGGGCAGAGTCGCCACCTAATGAGCTGGGTGTAGATATCGAGCCGAGTTCAGATAGGGCCAGATCGTTGGTAGGAGCCTGTGATAAAGCGTATTCCCTAGCTTGTTCGATACTATCGATCCATTCCTGGCTTGAGTACTTGCTACCGTCAGGGTCGCTGGTGGTGCTCTTGGGATCCTCGAAGATGAATTGCTTGTCGCGCTGCAGTCTGTTAGCAGACCGTTGAGGGATCGTTTGTATGCACGTACTGTTTCCACAAGCCAAGCTGTCAGACCCTTTGCGTCCTGGAAAGACCTCCACGAGCAACCAGCGGTGAGAAGTGACACCTCTTCCTTGAGCTTCTTATCATTTGTGCCAGCGGCGCACATCAGTACACGAGCGTTACTAGTGATCATGACCAGACGTTGGCGCTTCTTGATAGTGTTGCTGCTGAAGAACCGAGAGAACTTCTTCGGTGCTTCGGCAGCCTCAGCCGCACCGCCAACGGGATGACCTGCAGGATGCTGCGTGATCAAGAAGTTGCCAAGCTTCAAGATCCGCTCATCCCTCTTGGTCAAAACGGGTGACCAGTCGATGTCAAGCTGACTGGGAGGTGGTAGTTCGGTGATGAGTCTAGGCTTTGGTCGCACTTGGGCAGGGGCAGGGGCTCCGGGTGTCGAGGGGCCTGTAGAGTGTTATCGATGGGTTCATGTTGACGGAACCGGAATATCTTTACCATTGAGCTTGATGAGCTCTTGCGGTGGCGGACTGTAAGCCTTGAGGCGTGGTGCCTTCTGCTTCCACAGTCCCTTGCCCCATGTGATGCCGTCAAAGAAAGGATGTGCCTTGATGTGCTCCATTGGTAAGCGCGTGAGTGGATCTAGCACTAGTAATCTTTCGACCAAATCTCGTGCAAGTGGAGGGAAGCCGTCAGGGAAGCTGTACTCCAAACCGACGATCTTTTGGAAGGTCATGTACTCGTTGGCCGCCTTGAATGGTGGTCTTCCGGCAATCAGCTGGTAAATGATGCATCCAAATGCCCACAAGTCGCTGGCTTTGCAAGCATTCTTGTCTGTAAGAAGTTCCGGGGAAACGTACTCGGCGGTTCCAACAAACGACTGGGCACGGTCCGATTCAGCACCCTCCATGGGGTCACCAGATGTCGACCCCATGGCATTTGACTTCTTCAAGTCCAGGATCTTCGCTGTTCCGAAATCGGTAATCTTGACGTGCATTTGGTCGTCCAAGAGAACGTTCTCCGGTTTGAGGTCGCGGTGTATGATGCCTTTCGAGTGCATGTAGTCGATTGCGTCCAGTATCTGGGCACCGTAGAAACGAGTGCATTCAACGTCAAAAGTGCACATCTTCTTCAGAAAGCCGAGCAGCTCTCCGCCAGAAGCCAGGTCGAGAACAAAGTATAGCGAGCGCTCGTCCTGGAACGTGTAGTACAGGCGTACGACGCCTGGATGCTCGGTGAGGCGGTTCAGTGTGTCCTTTTCGATATTCACGTATTTGACCTTCTTCTCCTTGATGATATGGCGCTTGTCGAGCACCTTGATAGCGTATTCGCGCAGCGTCTGTCGATCGGTCGCGGCCAGAACGGTACTGTAGGAGCCTTCACCCAGCGTTCTGCCGAAATTGAAGTCTTTCACCCCCTTTTTCACCACTCGCGTGATGGGCCGCCCGTTCTGGTCCATCTCTTGCCGTGTGCTCACCGCAGCGCCCTTCTCTTTCCACTCCTCGCTGCTCGATAGGGGACCACCTTCCATGCTGTATGGCGAGCTGGACAGCTGTGGGGCCATACCAGCGCCGTCCATTGGCATCCGTCTCGAGCTTCTCCGGGGCGGCAGTGGGCCATTGAGGCCAGACATCTGCGCTGACTGTCGGTATGGATCTCGCCTGCTGGCTTCTCGGACAGGCATAGCGTTGGGCGCTATTCGCGAGCTGCTCGTCCGCCGTATGTCAGAGGCCATGCCCTCGTCGTTGTAGCGGTAGGTACCGGGTGCGGTGGTGGAGCTGGTGGAGAGGTTGGGGTGGTTGTACATGCTCGTCGAAACGGGCCGCTCGCGCATCGCTTGGGACATGGCTTGGGGCTGCGGGGCATTCCTCTGCTGCATGAGGGGGCCGGCAGCATATGGCGGGTACGACACCTGCTGCTGGGCCTGGTGGGCGAGCGGCATGCTCTGGCGGTGGACGAGACGCGGCGAATGGGATGACGACGACACGGCTGCGAGGGGGGAGGCGTGACCCAGCGGCGAGGACGGCTGCGGCGGAGTGGTGCCATAGGGAGCGGGAGCGAGGCCCCGCGACGAGGCGGGCGACGGCAGCGGCTCTGCACTGGCATGTTCGTGGGCGGGCAGGTCAATGGTATAGCTCTGGTGGGCTATAGGCCGCTGCCGCTCCGTAACGGTGCTGCTGCTCGAGGCCTGCGAGGGCGACGACGGCCGCCGGGGTGCTGTGCTCTGGCTCCCGTCAAGCGCTGTCTGCGGCGAGCGGCTCTCCTGCGTGGGCTCGGGCGACTGCGAGGGCGGCGATATGGGGTCTTCCTCGTCCGGGTTCGCAATGCGCAGCCCGCCGAGGGACTGCGACAGGCTCAGGTCGCCATTCATCGTGGCAGCCACTGGGCAGCTCTGGCGGTGAGCGGGCGAAGCTTCAGAGGCTCTGGCAGCCACGGGAACGCCCGCAGCACGTCGGGTGCAATTAGTTCAGCGGACAGGAGGTTTGCCGGCAGCGAGGGACATGGGAACGCCCCGCGACCAGTATACGGGAAGAGCAGCTAGGGCTGGAGGTGAGGATGGCAGACCCGTGACGCGGCGCGCTGATGTCGACGACCGCTCGGTCACGGCAAAACCCACCGCTACAGCTGGTTCAGGCTTCCCAACACCAACACCACTCGCCCGCCCGCAGACCCTTGCACGGCCATCTCGACGACTTTCGTCTGCCAAGGGTGTCACCATGGAGGCTCCTTGGAGGTGCACACTAGCACCTGTGCGACGCGTGGTGCAGTCGGTGCATCATCTTCGCCAGATACTGTGCCATGTCACGCACAGCCAATATAGCACATGCATCCTGCCCTGCTGCGCCTCCATATCAGTTTGCCTTGACCGAGACTGACTTCAGCCTGGCCAGTGATTGGCTCGCCTCGCCGTTTTCGGTTGCGTTGGGAAGGCGCATCGACGACAGCGCGACGACCGATCTTACACCATAGCAAGCTACCTTGCAGTGATATCTTGGAAATATCAACATCATGTACCCATACCCTGCGACTTGCGATCCACAACGAACTATCAGACTGCTGAAGGTTGTAGAAGAACATGGTGTGCGCACTGTTTGCACTTTCCCTGCCGCCCTGGGAGGCACTCACCATCTGCACTCGTGGTCAGCCGTGGGTCTTTCTTTGCTGCTTCAAGCGTCGAACACCACACTCCTTCCATAATACTACATCGATAGCAACAATCATGCGTCATGATGGCAAGCGTTCACCATGTGCTGTCTTTCTGTTGTCAAGCCACGTCCAGCATCCCAACACACCCTCCTCTTCAGCCTCTCTTTGTTTTGGTCACTTTCTGGTCACTTCTTGGGTTTGTAGCATCTTCCTATCTGTCTTCAGTCGTTCGCTCTGAATGCCATGTTACGCTTGAAACCATCAGAGCTTACCTTGACGCCCGAGGATGTCGATGAGACTCTTCGCCGCATGGCACGTCGGCAGCAGTCCAGACCTCCAGCAGCCCCAGGACAACGACATTTGAGGGCCAGTACATGTTCTCTTGCACCCAGAGTTAAGCCTGGTGCGCAACGGTCGATGAGAGATGCCATCACCGACCTCGGCAACATACCAATACTAAGACCTCAACCTCAACAGGCCATCATTGCACACGTTGACGATGAGTCCGAGGATTCTGATGAGACACTGGCCGAATCAGCGCAACGTGTTGAAAGCTCGCCAGATCCTATCACCATGCCGACGCAACCCCTTCAGCTCGCGTCTACTTCATCTGCAGCTGCGCCTCCAGCACGTCACAGCACTCGACTGGCTTTTCGGCTTGGACATTCTCATAGGCCAGGGACTGACCAAGATCCATTCTCGTCGCCAAAGGAGCAGTCCGAAGACTCCGAGGGCACTCTTGTTGAGCCAGCAGGTTGTCCAACGGAGACGACCAATGTCGCTGGTCCAGCCACTCCTGGTTGCAGGACTGCAGCCGAGGATTTTACTGCAGACTCTTCACCAACACGTCAGTCTGGCCCTTCCACTACTCCAGCAAGCCTGCGAGGTGGAGCCAGCCGTCCTCACAGAAACCGTGTTCAGTCTGTCGGTCAAGACGCACTTCACGCTCCATCGCCGCTTCGTCAGACGCAGATACCCAGCCCTACTCATCAGCCAGAAGGTGGGCGGGCCAATTCAGACAAGAAACATCCGATGATTTACCTGCAGGGTTATTTCGAAGAGAGGAAAGATTCCAACGTTGAGGTTCTAAACGTTGAGGTTCTGGACGTTGAGGATCTAGATGTTGAGAGTTCGGACGCCGAAGATAAGAAGGATGAGTACACTTATACGTTTCGACAGATGGTCCCACGTGCCCCACAGACTGAGCCATTCCGAAGGACCAGTCAACCCCGATTCCATATGCGAAGTCATTCTTCCAACGATGCTCCGCCTTCTCGTCTCTTCACGCCGACATCGAAGCCTCAGAGTACCTCAGCAGGCGAAGATATCTTTTGGACTGCTGCCGCACCCGCAACCGAGCGCCCCAACGACGGAAGGATGAGTGAACGGCTAAGACAACATAGCAGTGAGATGTCCAACACGAGCCTAGCCTTCTCATACTACGAGCTTCCTGAGAACCGACAATCGAGTAGCGAGCATTCAGCACAAGGTTCAGTTTCCCAGTCACAGTGGGATGGGGCTTCAGCTTCAAGGCAGGCCAGTCGTGGCACTTATCGCTCAGTCCGACTCTCAGAAGCGCAAGCTCTCGGTGACAGCGCGCAGAGCCCTCCAACGCCTAATGTATCGAGCTTTGCGACCCCAGTGCCAGCTAACCCCAACCAGTTTGGTACTTCTCCCCTGCCAGCAGAGCCCTACGCACGCCCACCCGGAGGCAGTATGGGGGCCCGTCACCAATCAACGGTCCGCCGCCGCATCAGTCAGGATAGCCTAGACCACAGAGTCCATTCTAACGCTATTGCGGCTGCAATGGAGAATCGTGTCTCGCCCTTGGATGCGCTCACGGCTCAGTATGGGCGGGCGTCGCAACGTCTCGGCGATCATCAAGGACATCATCAGCGACACAGCCAACCTGGAAGTGGATATTCAGTGTACAACAATGCAGGTCTAGGAACAAACACATATGGTCTTCACCAGTTCGCATACGCCCCACCATCAGGCACGTTCGGTACGCCCCAAGGTGCATTTGACCCACCCATGGCCATGGCCGATGATCCTTATACGCGAGGAGCGTCTGCCCATACAGGTCAACCGCACGGCTCCACTGCACGTCCTGTCTCCACCCAGCCTGCTCCTGCTGCCAATTACGCCGGTCCACCATATCCAAGAAGTGCACAAGGAACACGAAGCAGCCAACGCTCTAGTGAGAATGCTCATGGTGTCTCTTCGGTTCAAGGGGGACGCACTGGCCGAACCTCGCAAGTGCAGGACCAAGTCTCAGCGTTCGAGCAGATGCACAATGCAGCTCAGCCCAGGTAAGTCTGAACCTCATTTGCATACTTGTCAATCTCTCTGGCTCAGAAGCCATGTCTTGCTGCAAGCTTGACAATCCGCAACCTAGGATCTGTGCAGCAACATCATAGTTGACCAAAGTACTGACTGCTGTAGACAAACACGACAGCGACTTGAAATACCCCAAGCCCCGCCAGCCCAACGCAACAATGAGCTACCAAGCAGCCCCATGCCGGCAGTGCCACCGAGAATTCCGCCACGCCACGGCTCGCGCCAACATACAGCGCTCTCTCCGGGTCTCGGCAATGCCGGGCGGCGGTCTGTTCGTATGGACCCACGCCTGCAGAATCAAGAAAACTCAGGGGAAGCTGAGATGGAGATGATGAGACAAGACTTCGAATCAGCCAGGATGCGGTACAATGAGGATCAGCAGGGTGACGTGATGGATGAGACGCCTCCAAGGATTGGAAGGGTGGAGAGACACATGTGATGATGTTTTGGTTTGGCTGTAACGATCAGGGAGGTATAGGTAGTATACATGAGAGATGATGTAGTCTATAACAGTATAGATAGCGGAATATGCAACATTGCCGACCATTTTGTACACAACAAGTGATCCAATAGATCTCGGGCCCCTCACCGTCCTGTGTCCAGTCGCGATGGCCCTAGCATCATCTGCATATGATGTGTCCGCCATACCTCGTCTTCCTCGTCTACACATATGGTGTCGAAGCCGTGCTTTCCCCAGAACCGGATAGCGCCTGGTAGGAAGGGGTGCGTGTGTAGGTACATGCATTGGACTCCTGATGCTCGTGCATGGTCCTGAAGGGATTGGAAGAGCGATGCGGCGAGGCCGTGCCGGCGGTATTGAGGGAGGACGAACAGGCGGAGGACTTCTACGATCTTTATTGGGTCTGAGGGGATCTCAGGTTGGGGGGTGGTAGAGGATGGGGTAGCCAAGAGTGCCAGGGAGGACGAGGAGGAGTTGGCAGTGGTGTTCGTGGTGGATGAGGAGGATAGGGATGCAGAAGTGTTTTTGCCGGTCGTGATTTCAGAGTTGCGGTTGTTTTGGGAATATGTTCCAATGGGCCATGGCAGGTATGGGAAGCGGTAATCAAACGGTATGTACGCTATCGCTGCTATTATGGCTCCTTGGCTATCTCTTCCTGGGGTGGCATTCGGTCTATAGTCATCGTTGGCGCGTGCTATGAGCACACAGCTCGTTTCCAGGATCTCGGGATCGTCCAACAAGGTGTCATAGCCTAGAGATGGGAACAGTTCTTTTCGCGATGCATTGACAAATACGGAGGCTTCCTTAAGAGTGGTCCTAGTAACCGCTTCGATAGTCCACGTGGGAGCCGTTGTGACTGTGGGGTCGGTGCATGCATGTGTGTTATGCATTAGATTGGTCGGTCGGCCTAGGGCTGCAGGTGTATGGGTGTGGAGCGCCATCATTCGATGATATTTGCCGCGCTAACCAGACGGGGTAACTACCAAAATGAGGATGCTGGAATGCCAAAGTTTTGGGACCGATAAGATGCAGTTTATGTGGGAATAGTTGGAAGTCGTTTGATGACGATAAGATCAGATCCTCCTGACGACATTGCCAACGTTGTGCTTGACCAGACATCGAACGGAAGTAATGAGCGATGTCGGCGCGCCTAAAATTGCCCGGTGCGGTGCGCTTGGATGGACGTTGAGAACGGTGATTTCTCTCCGAGCCTCATGCATCACAGCTTCTCTGACCTTCACCAGATCCAAGATCTCCGGAAAAGGTTGATTGCCTGGCGCACGAGTTCCGGCTTAGAGGACGAGACAGAGGAACTTTCTCAAGGTGACTTTCTGCAATCGCAGTCTGCGCACTCTGGGTGTTCACACACCACAGCCAGGCCCAGCCGAAGGCGTTGTAAGAGCTATGTTCACGGCAGAGAGAGCGCAAAGATCGGTCTAGTTTGCGTCGTTGCTGTCTTTGGTGGGTTCAGTTGAGACAAACCCTGGTGCACCGTAGCGAGCTGCTCCCTGGTACAAGTCGTGATGTTTGGTAAACCTGCAAAGAGTGAAGTGTTTGACGACCTACAATATCTCCATGACCACAAGAGTTACGGAAGTGCTACAGAAACAAAAATAGACGCACGACGTAGCAATCCGCATACGTGGAGCTGTCTGCCTTTACAATGCGAGTGTGTGAGTGAGTCTGTTTCGCATGAAAAAAATTCGAGTAAGTAAACAAAGCAAAAGGGAAGGCAGAAGGACCACTACGCGTGGCTAAGTGCCGGCGCACGCGAAGCATATCGGCCATTAGACACTAGCGCAGCACGGACCTTCACACCCAGCGTCGGCTGCAAAAATTTCAACCATGAACATCTCAACAACCACAAGGTCGATGAAAATGATTGCAAGAAGAAAAAAAGATAGAAGGTAGCCCGACGTGGGGCTCGAACCCACAACCTTGAGATTAAGAGTCTCACGCGCTACCGATTGTGCCAGCCGGGCTTGTTGTTGCTGATTTGATGAGTGTAAGAGCGAGTGGTACTTTTATATCCTGGGCAAACCGGTCAGGCGTTGCTACTCGTAGTGGCTTCAATGCTGTCCTTTCCACCTTTCGCAGAAACTTCCTACTTTGCACCCGGCTTCAGACTGTTTCCAGTTTCTCACCGCAGACAAGCAGAGGATACACCGCTCCGGCCGCTACGGGCACCTTCTTCCATCCTGTCGCCGCAAACAAGGACATGATGGCGCCCGAGTGGGCAGCCAGGACAATGTAGTCGCGGTAATCGCCCTCGAAGATATCGTCAAGCAGCTCCATGTTCCTGGCTGAATGCTCCTCGAGTGTCTCTCGTCGGTCGGGGCTCCACAGAACGTCTTCTTCCGAGAGACCAGCTTCGATATGGATTGAGGGATAGTTCTCGGCTATCCCAGGATCTACTGCTTCTTTGATCGCATGTATGAACACCAAGTCGTTCGCGCAGCTTCTCTTTGACTGTCGGCCTTTTTTCTTCTGCTTTTGAAGGGAAAGCAAGCTGCACCGTGCGAAGACAGCGGCGTAGAGGACTAGACAGAATGGTTGTGATGTTTCCTCCACCTAGTTATTAGCGAACTTCAACAATGTTGCAAGCCTGTTGTTCTCCATTGGCTGTCAACTCTGCATCAGCCCAGGTGACGGTGCCGTCACCAGCCACTTTGGCCCAATATCGCTGCGTCAGTCAGTGAACGTCAATCCATTCGATAAGCGCATGCGCTTAAGGTGCAGCATGAGGATCTTGATAGTACTGATCTATGAGACTCACATCCCATTCAGTACGTCCAACCTCCTTCTCTTTGACGTTGTGAACTCCTTCCCCGTGCCGTACCAGATACAGGAGTTTGTACTGTTTGTTCTTGTCGTTCGCATTCAGCTCTCGAAGATGTTGCTGGAAGCGTTGCTGGAAGCGTTGCCACTGCGCAGAGTCATCCTGTGAGTGCGAGCTCCCTGGTACATCATCCATTGGATATGTTTTGTCAAGAAGCCCCAGGTTGACCCGTGTAGTGGCTCTGAACTCCCAGCTTTCGGGATCGTCGTCATGTGAGAAGATGCCACGCTGTGCGGTGTAGTTGCGTTTTGGTGTCATCTTCGGTGAGGATGGGCACAGCAAATTATACAATATCACACAGAGAGTTACTAAGAAGACGAGGATGTTGTGTCTTCGGTTCATCAATGAAGCGCGGGGTGATGATCATGTTGGTGCGCTCGTCCTCCATAGTCTCGGACTCACATAGGACATTAAACCAATCAATCATGTTGATGCAGGATGCTCGCAAAGGTGATGAGGAGGGCGACTAACTAGCTTGTTGCGCGCTAGAGCCTGGCGCTACGGCATTGCTCGAATTTCCAGCCTCAAGCAACTCCCATTCTCCATATTTCTCAACACACGATCAGACTACAACAGCGCCGGCGACCTATTCTGTAACCTGCACGCAGCTATCAAAAGTATCTCTCGACCAGATATCGGCGCTGTTCACTTAGAGATAGCAATGTCGCACGGCCAGGTAAATGACGGAATCTAGACTTCCACCAACAGGGCCAAACAGCCTCACTGCCCGCGCGCCCCGAGCTCTAATTCATGATACTTCGACACGTTCCCGATGATGATCGCCAGGAGGGACTTTCCGACGGGAGAGTTACTGCGTTGATATCTCTCCGGTTGACACGGCTCGTCGAGATTGCGAAGTTGAATGACATTTGTAACAGGAAATCGCTTCATATTCACATCCAACAAACTTCATGTTTCGGCAGGTTACAGCACTCAACGGGTGCCCGCACGGTCCGCTGTGACTGCTCAGGCGATGGCTCGGTACTTGTTTCGAAACAAGAGCCACTAAACAGAACCTTGCTGAAACAAGAGCACGAGCATGCCACTTAGATTACCTCGTGAAGGCTTGTATATGCTAAGATAACTGATGCTGATCTCGGAGCTTTAAAGGCACTTCTTCGATCAGCCACAATTGAAAGATATCTACCTTTCGCTCGTTTAAGCACACTCGTTCAACCACATCATCACCATGAAGGCATCCTGGGCAGCCGTTGGCGCTTTCTTGTCGCTCGTTCACCAGAGCTCTGCCAACCTCGACGTCATTACTCTTCCGGCGAACGGCAATACATGGATCAAGGAAGCTGTCGCGACGCTTGTTCTTGGAGACGTGCCTAACCCCATCACGGGAGACGTTGCGCTGTGGAGTGCGATCATGATGGATCAGGAGGATTTTCTTCAGGGAATCACCCAGAACTCACCGGGAAGGTAAAGCTACATTCCAGCTGAGAGATCATTTGAGTCGGTTTACTGATTACCCTTACAGCACATGGTGCCAGAACTTGGGTAAAAACTGGTGCAATTTTGCCTACACTCTGAAGGGCTCATCTGTCACCAACGGCACACCAGTCAAGGCTTCGCCTGGAGATCGCGTCAAGACTCACTGTACGTCTCTGTATCTTCGTCTTAGATCCTAGTACTGACCGTGTACAAGACAAGCTGAACTCGACCACGAACTTGTGGGATCAGAACCTTTACATCAACGACAAGCTGGTATCCCATGTCTCAACCAGCAAGGGACAGCACGGAAAGATTTTCTATGTTTCGATCGAGTGCGCAGCTCAGCCTTGCACCACTGCACCGGCTCATAGTACGTTGATGAAGTTTTCAACGCCGCCTGTACGACATACACTAACACGTGCATAGGCTGGGAGAATATCACCGTCACTCTGAACCAAGCGGATCAGTCCTTCAAGCATACCGGATCTTGGGAGTACGATGCTACCGGCGGAGCGATGTCAACGGCAGACAACGGAAAGACATGGAAGTTCGCCAAGCTGAACATCCCAGCCATGGTTGCAGCATAAACCGCAGCTCGTGTATACCGTTTTTCTTGTTCATACTTCTATATACATACCTTTTCCTGAATGCCCGTTTGGTGACCTCCAGGCGTGTGCTTTTCCTCAGCCTAGTCTCGTAATCTGGTGACATCGAGCTGCGATTGGCATGTGATCGGCTCACAATTTTTCAGAGAATTCTCGTGAGATCGATCGGACATCTTGTTGTGGTCTTCAGCTGGGCGTGGGTGGCTCTTGCAGGGACATCGATGAACTAGCCTAATCCAGAGTTAGTTTGAGCATTAATACTGCAGCTGCCCTCCATCCCCTCGGTTGTCACTTTCGATATCTGCTGCTTGTCCGCACTCTTGCCTGTAGCTGAAGAGGAGCGCAATCGAGGTCTTGTTGCGCAGCGAGCATGCCGGTCACTGTTTCCTCACCACCATCCAACGCTATCACTGTCAGCGCACTCGTCGCAATAAACAACGACGATCGGGACTGATGCTGGCGATATCCAGCGTTCGTTGTGTTATCTAAGCGATCGATCTCACTTCCATTATCAGCTCGGATGGTCGCCTTGCTATAGAAGCTGTTCCTCAAAACCATTAGCTCTACACTGAGTGAAACGAACCTTCCATCATGGGATTGTACGATCTTCCTCCCTTGGGAGATGACCAGGTCAGACTGCTTCGTGCCAAGCTTGAGGATGGCAGACTTAGATGCGCCACTACTCTACACGACCTGAGCGAAGGGAAACCACAATTCTCCGTGCTGTCGTACACGTGGGGCCCATGACATCGCGGAAACGGCGACTTGCGTAGGCCGTCCGTATCCACAAAATCATCGAGGATGGTTTTGTGGAACAAGGAAGAGGTACAAATTACTAAGAGTCTCTTTGACTTCCTCTGCTAGTGAAATTCAGACCACAAAAATTCAGCCTACATCTGGATTGGCGCACTCTGTATTGACCAACACAACATTCCGGAGCAGAGTCAACAGGTCAAAATTATGGGTGAGATCTGCACTGCTGCAAGCCAAGTCCTTATCTGGCTAGACTCTGATCGAGATGGTCAGCCTTGAGTAGCCATGTTCCTCTTCCTAACGGCAGTCGCATTTTCCAGAGGTGCTCGACGAGACACGCCTCAACCCTACCACGATGCTGCCACCGTGTGGGCGTCTACTCTCTTCAAGTGGCCTACTCCGGGCTATAAGCGAGACTTCTCTTTCTTGACCTCAGCTGATTCCCGAACCACTTCTTGGACAGCCTTGCTCAGCTCTGATGCTTCAACAGAGATGATCAGCGACCGTTCCTCCTTGAGTCAAAGCAACCTTCATGTTCAATAATCTAGATGTCAGCCCAAGAGGTGGGCCAATCTTAACCATCAGTATCTCTTGGTGGATTCTTTGCATAACACTGTGCGGCTACTGTCTGCTCATACAGACCGTCTGGGTGGGTATAACCTCCTACGCACTCAAGTGTCTCCAGGTACTTGCACACTAAGTGCTTGGGAATAGGACGGCTTAGGAAGTCAACTGGAAGCTCGTGTTGCTCAGCCACTTTGTTGAGTTCACCAGATGCTACCCATTCCCAATGACGAGGATAATCGTCATACAGACAGAGAGCCGGATATGGGTCCGGTTCTTCCTTCAGAAAATCGGCGAGGACATTGAAGGCGGTGCTGTACTTGGCGTTGAAAAAGTGAGTGAACTCAAGGGAGGTTGGTGATGCTGCCGTCAGTACTCCGGAAGACCATGGTGTGCTCTCTGCGACTGCGTCCATATCGACCTCCGGGGACGACATCCTAGAAGTTGACAATTCTCTCTCTCGCTCCTCGTTCGCCTCGATCTATTCACGCAATTCCGGTATTCGAAAGATCTCTTCCGAGTACGCCACGATGAGCTCTACAGAAGGCCCGTGCAGAAAGAAGTCTATGGCAACATTGTGACGCTCTGCGAATCTGTTCAAACCACCGTTCGCTACCTATTCCCAACACAAAGGCTGGTCTTCGTCGAAGTAGGAGCGACGCTCTGAGTCTGGATTCTCGCTTAACAACTCACCAAGGACCTCGAAGGCGGCGCCGTATTCAGGGTTGAAGTAATGAGCGAGCTTGATGGAGGTGAGCGTTGATGCAGTCATCATTGTGGGAGGTGACGATGTGTCGGAGAGGGCTGAGGGTTTGCCCTTCATGCTGTTATCAACGTTCGAGGCAGACATTACGAGTATGTGTATTTGCTTGGTGACTTGAACAATATTGGTGCGATTAGAGAGAGGACTGATGAAGGCTGCACTATCGAATACAAGACTACCTGCCTTCGACCATGGTTCGTCCACAACTGGCGTGTACCATGGTTTGTCCGAGCAGCATCTCCTCAATCTACCAAAGATGGCACTTGCAGTGCCGGAACCGAACAAGCCTTCACTCGAGAGTATGTAGGGATTCGGAAAGGCAGACTGATCCCATCCTCTGCATTACGCGATGATATGATGACGTGTCATAACTCCTCTACGATTTCATTGAAGCAATCCAGCGTGAATGAACTGTTTAGAGCCACTCGTACGTCCATGCCATCCTTTTCGAAAGTCACAGTAAGATCGTTGTACAAAGTGTCGCAAGGCTGCTAGCATGCTTGTGGTCATCAAACGCCCAAACATGACGCCAAGACTGCTGCCTGAAAGTGCATTGCTTCGCGACAAGTCTGCATCAACAGTCAAATGCAATCCCTGCCATCGAATGGAAAGCAACTCAAAGTTCGAGAACCCCGCGACACCAATCTTGAAATGCGCAGGGTGTGTTCACCGGTGTTCGCGATGAGGAGACGTGTCTGCCGGTCAACGATGGTCGTGAGTCATACCTTCCACGGCTGGGGGCGGAGAACGCAACTGCCCCCGGCCAATGAACCATGGCGCGAGCAGGCTGCGCCTTTGCAAACGCTAAATCCTGGATCGCCGGCGTACCGTTGCTTTGTTGCCTTGTCTTCTCGTGAAAGTAACTTCTGTCACCCTTCCCTTTCTCTGTCACCTCGTTGTTTGCGGTTTGGCCAGGGTGCATGCAAGGACAAAGCTGGAGACGCGCAGTCTGTCGCAACTGTTTCAGAGGATCTGCAGTGCACTCCAAGGGCAGCAGCAGATTGCGCAGCTCCTCACCGCCAGCAAACCTGCGCAGCAGCATCACAACAGAATTTTCATCGTCGAATTTGGGTCTGCCGGGAGGCAAGTGTTGTAGCGAAGGTGAGTGGTCAGTATTGGCTAGGCCCCGGACCAGGCGACAGCGCCGGTTGCAGCGTCATGGTCTGGTAATGAGAACAGCCAGCGCGCGTCTGCATCGCGAGAACAACAGCGCTGCACTCATCAGAAGCTGTGTGAAGGGCAGCTGGCACATGTCAAAGGGAGCTGGACGGCGGCTCCACGCCCTGACTGTCGCAGGAAGCGAGGCAGCGCGGTGCAGTGAAGGAGAGACGCGCCTGTGCATGTCGGGCAGCCCCTTTTTCACGCGGCAGAAACTTCCAGCTGCAAAAGCGGCGTCCGGTTGTGGCCACTAGCGCAGTGCACGGGCCCCACACCGGCTACTATAAGTACTCGGGCTGCCCCCTTGGTTTATCGCCCTTTTGGTCGCCTTGCACTCCGCTCGCCGCCTCACTCCACTCCCCGCACCACCCCACGCCGCAAACAGAAAACACCGTTTTCCATCTGCGCGCTCTCTAATTACGCGACCCGGGACTAACTGTGTGTTTACTTGCACACATTTTCACTCTCTTCGAGGTTGAGGAGCATTTCTGCGACCGGCGCTAGCCTCATTCGCTTGCGACAGTCTATACAAGCAGCCTCCCCCCAGTCGCACCTTCCGACTCCCCTTGCCAAAGGCTTGCTGGCTTCGCTTTTGGTCTCTACCACCACCACCGTACATCACTAACCACTGCCACCACTGGCAGCAATTCGCGATCGACGGCACATTCTTGTCAACGTTTGCCCGGGACTCTTTCGATAGTAGCTCTCCTGCCTCCGGTACGGTTTCACCTCTACCTACCTCTTCCATCTCCACACTCGGTGTCGACCGATTGTCGCAATACATTCGCGATTCCATAGTCCACCTGACTAGACCGCCGCTTCTCGAAGTCACATTCTGACCTGCGCAGTCTGTCAAGAACCCTCTTCAGATACTCTCTAGCTCGTTCGGCATTCCGTCGAGCTCAAACATCAATCCACAATCATGGATCCTTCTTCTCTCACCTCCCATCCGTCCACCGCCGCTCAGGCCAAGACGGTAAGCTTGTGTGATGTCTGTGTTTGCAAACCCTTATTAACATCCTCTTTAGTTCGTCGGACCTGGTTCTCTGTCCTACCCCAACAGCGGAGACCTGACCCCGCCGACGTCCGAGAAGAGCGCGCAGCCTGACGGCAGCAATGCAAACGGCGTTGCGACCCCAGCGGCTACACCCGATACACAGAACGGCCAAGTGCCTTCTGGAATCGTGCCCACCCTCCAGAACATCGTCGCCACAGTCAACCTCTCCGCTCGCCTAGACCTCAAGACGATCGCTTTACACGCGCGTAATGCTGAGTACAACCCCAAGCGTTTCGCTGCGGTTATCATGCGTATTCGTGAGCCCAAGACAACGGCTCTGGTCTTCGCGAGTGGAAAGATGGTCGTCACCGGTGCCAAGTCTGAAGACGACAGCCGTCTCGCTTCCCGCAAATACGCGCGGATTATCCAGAAGCTGGGGTTCAACGCAAAGTTCACTGTACGTTGCACCAGACTCCTTGTCTGGGTCTTTAGCTAACAGTGACTAGGACTTTAAGATCCAGAACATCGTTGGCTCCTGCGACATCAAGTTCCCCATTCGTTTGGAGGGTCTTGCATCTCGCCACCACACTTTCTCGTCCTATGAACCTGAGCTCTTCCCCGGTCTCATCTACCGCATGATGAAGCCCAAGATCGTCCTGCTTATCTTCGTCTCCGGCAAGATCGTCTTGACTGGTGCGAAGGTTCGTGAAGAGATCTACCAGGCTTTCGAGCTTATCTACCCCGTCTTGTCGGATTTCCGCAAGTCCTAAATCTCTCTACTATACCCTTGTCATTTTTGCGGCATTGCATGGTGTTTCGGTCGGTGGTCTTCCTTTAGCAGTCACTCAAATTGCGTATTTCGGGAACGGTTCTAAAATTCAGTAAACACCCTTTCGATGAGATAGACATCAGCACTCGAGGAGTTCAGCCTCCAGTAATCATGTTCACGGGGACTCGGCAGTGCGAATGTTTTCGTCTTCATTACTTCAGTACGAGTACGATACGCTGGCGACGGTGGCAGATATGGCCACAACATCGAGATTGTTTTGGGGTGCGAAGGCGCTGGTGCAGGCGTGAAAGCTTGCACGGAGATGCTCAGTACGGCCGCCTGTGCGACGCCAGAGCTCTCAGGCATGTGCTATATTGCAGGTTATGGTCCTTTTTCCCCAGCTCTTCCTTAGCGGAACAGCTTTGGTAGTGAAAGTATCATGATACCAGAACACGTTCTTCCTTTGCTTCCTGCGCGACCTCGCACTGTGTGATACACATTTTTCCTCACGTTCACCACAGCTAGGCTTGCCCTGCTCCATACCGCGATTTGCTCGTGGTGGCTGACGGCTGTTGCGTGACTTTTCTGCTCTGAAACATAGTACACACCGCTTCATCTCCTCTCCGCACCAAGATGCTGTTGCTGAATGTTCACCTCGCTGGTGCGCTGCATCAAACACCCACGATAGGTTCACAATGCGCGTGGTCGATAGGCTGGTTGTTGTTGTTGTTGTTGTTGTTGTTGTTGTTGTTGTTGTTGTTGTTGTTGTTGTTGCGATCTTAATCCATCATCTTGGCCTCACCCTCCTTGGATATCATACTGATACGGCAACTCCCCCTCATTCGGATTCGGATGCAATCTGATCACGCTCCTCCCGGAGCCCAACGAACTCGTCGACGAGTTCGGCAGTATCGTGCTCGGGCTGCGCCGAGGCTCTCTCACCACCACTGAACCTCTATCTGATTGCGTCCGGAAAGAGACTGCAGATGGCGTGCGCGGCGTACCGTAGATGCCTGAACTTCTTTGCGCTTGCCGTGAGGGTGCGGTGCGGAGGGTTTGCGGGGAGTGTGAGGACGCGCCGCTGCTGCTGCTTAGGCTGCTGGAGAGCGAGGACGAGGAGGGTTGGTGTGCGAGTTGGGCCGTGGGGTGAAGAGGGAGTGATTGTGACGAGCTACTGCTGCTTCCCGATGTTGATCTGCTGGACGACGATTGTGTAGGTGCGAGGCTGCGGGTGTCGCTGTATAGGCTATGTGCGCGCAGGTCTTCGATTAGGTCTGAGTCGAGCTCGGTCATGCCGTTTAGTATGTCCGCGAATATGGACATGATGTCTTTGAATTGTGTTTCGGTGAGGCATACGGTCGAGAAGCGCGCGTGTTCGTATTGCGCGAGGAAAGCGGGTCCGAGAGATGGTGGGTTCAGAAGGCCGAGCTCAGAGAGACGCGCAAGGTAGGAGCGCAGACCCATTGCGCGAGGACGTTGTAGCAATGTGACGATTTGCGCATCTGGGAGGAGAGGTGTTTCGTGCGGGAACTGGATCGAGCCCGTTTCGACAGTCGGGTCAGGCGGCGCAAGGGAGACTGCTTTGGCTTCGATGAGGTTGGGGAGTTCGCATATGACGCTCCAGTACTGAAGATTTGGTAGGTCGGGCACCGCTGGTGAGGCCCAACCCGGGTGAGAGATGTGACCCCATGGTGGTGACTTTGCGCTTATAGGAAGGATTGTCGCATCGGACACCCCATGACCGCTCTTATGCTTCTTAGTCTTTTCTTTCTCCTTCTCCCTCTCTGCAGTGCCTGGTCTACCCTCGTCCAGCTCTTCGTCTGTCTCCTCTCCAGCATCAGCCTCACCCCTAACATCTCTCGGTCGCGACTCCCATGCCACGATTGCGCTCCGCCTAAGATGCTTCACGATCATCCTGCGCACCATCTTCCCCACTTCGCCTTCCTCCACCGGTACATATGGCTTCGGGATAGCCTGCAGGACGCTGCGGTTTGTGTAGATGCGCGTCGAGTAAATGAGTATCACGATAAGCGCCGTGAATACATAGACCCCGCCAATAACGAAGAGCTTCGGTATCTCATTGGTTCGGATAGTCTGGTATATGATATCGCCGGGCGACACACACAGCAAGATCAGGAGTATGATGAGAAGCGTTGTGTACGTTGTCGAGTACCATATCCTGAATAGGGGGATGCGCATCGTGGCAGTCGGTGAAATACAGTGTGTAGCGTGAGGATAGGCATCGGTGTGGTCTATTAGATATTAAAGCTATGGGGATGGTATTACATGGCGGGAGTGAGCGTGGTGTTGAAGGAGCGTTGTTCGTGTTGTGATGGCTGGAGGAAGGCGCCCAGGGCACCGACGCATGCACGCTATGCTAGCAGGACCCACGGGTTTCCTGCACGATTCCTCCACCTCACATGCTTCCTGCGTGTTTGAACGGAACAGTGCACTTCTGCACCCGTCCCTCCTTCCAGATACACAACCCAACATAATATCACTAGCAGAATTTGTGAACTGGGCGGGCGACGTCATACATCCTGCAAATCAGAGTGAAACAGCATGCACGCCTCCACACATCACCAAATGTTCCCGCCTACGTTATACATCGGCTAAACAATGTTCTACTGAACGGTAACCTCGCATACTAAAAGTCCGCCATAAGTGAGTTTTGACAGATGGCATGAGAGTGGATAGCCAAGTGTTCCACACGGCGCTAGTGCGACTCTGAACGCAGCATATCAACACCGCACAAGGTAAGACTTGCCTCGGTCATTCATGCCGGGCACTGAAACGTGCATTGTTCGCGACGTTGGTACAGTTTGATCTGTTTATCAAGCCACGAGAGGCTTGATAGTTCCTTTGCTCTTCTCTCTCTCAGCGCTGCCAGCGTCCAAACCACTCTTCATGCATAGTAGAAAAGGCTCATATGGCTACTCGCTGTACAGATCAAAAGTGCAGGTGAGGTGGTTTGGTTCCGCTCTGATCGTCTCTGTTACCCTATTACTGTTCCTTCGTACGGAATTTACCTTCTGGATCTTGCCGCGTCCACCACGCTTTCCCTCCTCTCAGACATCGTGTCCAACGTCACCGCCATATCCATCAATCATCCCACCTCCACATGGCCGATTCAGTTGGAGAAACGTCACCCAGCACTACCCAGTGAAGACGTTCGCAGAGCTGCCTGCTTCGAGGAAGAAGAAGCTACCACAAGTACAGTTCGACTTCGAGCAGGGGGAGCCACCCCTCTACCATGAGCTTATGCGCAAGCGTCGTCAAGCTGCAGTCAAGACGACATTCGAGAGATCATGGAAGGCCTACAAAGAGCATGCATGGAAGCAGGACGAGCTATTACCCATTTCAGGAGGATCGAAGACTACCTTTGGCGGTTGGGGAGCTACTCTTGTGGACGGTCTCGATACACTTTGGGTCATGGGCCTGAGGGATGAGTTCCACCAGGCGGTTCAAGCAGTCACCGAGATCGATTTTGCACCCGGAGATGGTGAACTGAATATGTTCGAGACTACAATCCGATATCTGGGAGGCTTACTAGCAGCGTACGATCTTACAGACTGCAAAGATAGTCGACTCCTTGAGAAAGCGATGGAATTGGGCGATATGATCTATATGAGCTTCGATACCCCAACCCGAATGCCTATCACGCGCTGGAGTGCGAAGAAGGCTGCAGCTGGTGAAGAGCAATCTGCTGCAGCTCAGGGCATCATTGCAGAACTCGCATCCTTCAGCCTCGAATTCACTCGCCTATCCCAGCTCACAGGAGATATGCGCTACTACGACGCCGTGAAACGCGTCACTGTTGTTTTGGCCGCACAGCAGAATAGCACCAAGATACCTGGTCTGTGGCCCGTAGGCATCAACGTCCAGAAACCCGACCTTACTCGCGACAATCTCTTCAGTCTAGGTACCATGGCCGACTCAGCCTACGAATATCTCGGGAAGACCTACCAGCTCTTGCAGAGCACTGGGGCAGCGACATCTCAATACGCGAATATGTACACATCCGCCATGGATGCCGTCATTGCTCACCTCCTCTTCCGTCCCAAGACACCCGACAACGCAGATATTCTGATGCCAGCAGCCCTGCGCATTGATACACACGGTACAATCACCCTCGACCACACCGCCCAGCACCTCGTCTGTTTCGCTGGCGGCATGCTAGCACTCGGCTCCAAGCTCCTCGGAAACGCTTCCCATCTGGACTACGGCCGCAAAGTGACAGACGCATGTATCTGGAGCTACATGCATGCCCCGAATGGGATTATGCCAGAGGTGTTCCGTATGACGCCCTGTCCTACACACGAGTCCTGTGAGTACGATGAGGAGACCAGTCAGAGGCAGCAATTCCCAGGTTTCGAAAGGGTGATCGATGCAAGATACATGTTGAGGCCTGAAGCAATTGAAAGCTTGTTCTACATGTACCGCATCACAGGCGAAAGGCGCTATCAAGACGTCGCATGGAGCATGTTCGAAGCAATCGAGAGGCGGACGAGGACAGGGCTTGCGAATGCAGCTATTCGAGACGTGACGCTAAAGGTCAAGCCGAAGGAGACGGGTGAGTTGAGGAGAGGCGTGAGAGCGAGGAGTGAGGAGAGTGAGCTGGAGCTGGAAGATAGTATGGAGAGTTTTTGGATGGCGGAAACGCTGAAGTACTTTTATCTGATTTTTAGTGAGCCTGAGTTGCTGAGTTTGGATGAATGGGTTTTCAATACTGAGGCGCATCCGTTCAGACTGAGCACATGAACGGCGAATACAAGCTTTTTGGTCGTTCTATACATGTATTTCCTTACGCTTCAATCTTTGCTGATGTAGATCAGGCGCGTTGGTACAGTGTTCGAGTTTTGCGTACGTCGAGAGACGAGCGCTGAACATTTAGTATGCCCCGAACTGCACCTTCCAATACACTCTTGAATAACAGAGGCACATCCATTGGATGCCGGATGTTCTAATGGCACGCATTCTGACTTCATCTTTGGCTATGGACTATCAGTTCCTGCGAGACGTTGGTGTGCGCCATTAAGCACAGTTAACATTCAACTACCTTTAATTGCAGCTAAAGAGATCTGAAATAGCTTGCGTACTTCCTGAGGGTTGAAGATCGAGATGACATGGCACCCATCGGTCTCTCCGATCTTTCGAGTGATTACGGCCAATCCATCAGAACTAAGAACGTGGCCAGCAAGTTCCACACATGTCTCAGACACGATGGCACATGTCTCACAGCCCTGTTCTGCAGATGACTTGAGATCTGCATGAGTGAATCTCACACCAAATCTTCTGGATTTGGGATTTAACCACCACCCGCGTTCGTACAAAGAGAGGTTGTACCGGGATTCGAGAAAGAAGTCACTGCAATGAGAACAGCCAGTCATGGTCAAGGTCAGGAAGCAGAAGTCGCTATGTAACAACGAAGGATCTCGCTATGGCACAAGTGAGGTGCTCAGCCGCAGATGCTAAGGCTGGGCTGAAGTGTGATGCACGTGACCGAAGTTAGGATCGCTGTGAGCATTTTTGACGCAAGCTTCGATTCCAGTGTCCCATCGAATTCAATGGATGCCTTGGTTGTAATGTATGATGTCCTGATTGAGGGGTGCAAAAAACAGAAGGCGCGGTGGCAGCTCAGGTATGAGAAACTTCACCGCGAATCTTACACTGATTGATTTGATAAAGTGTGTGGTGTTTACTCGGCGACCCAGACAGCGGCCATACCCATACCGGTCCCAATACACATACTCGTAACACCAATTTGCTGCTTCGTCCTCCTCAACTCAGTCAACAATGTGCTAACCTGCCTCGCGCCAGTAACACCCAGCGGGTGACCAAACGCAATAGCGCCACCCTTGGGGTTGATCTTCTTCTGATCGAGACCCAACTCATTGATGCAGAACAAACACTGGCTGGCGAAAGCCTCGTTGATCTCGTAGATGTCAACCTCATCCTTGTTCAGACCAGTCTTCTCGAGGACAACGGGGATGGCGGCGGCAGGGCCGACACCCATGAGCAGAGGAGATACACCGACGATGGAAGCCTGTACGAACTTGCCGATGATCTTCTGTCCGAGGCGCTCAGCGGTGCTGCGCTTCATGAGGAGAACGGCGGCAGCGCCGTCAGAGATCTGGGAAGCGTTACCGGCGTGGATGGATCCGTCCTTTGCGAAAGCAGCGCGGATCTTGCCGAGAGACTCAGCAGTGATGCCCTCGCGGACACCATCGTCCTTGGAGACAGTGATAGTCTTCTCCTCCTCGGTCTTGGGGTCGGTCCACTTGACAGTCAAAGGAGCGATCTCCTCGTCGAACAGACCCTGCTTCTGCGCCTCAGCAGCCTTCTGGAACGACTTGGCCGCAAACGCATCCTGATCCGCGCGCGTGATCTTCTTGTCCTTGGCCATCTGCTCAGACAGCACGCCCATGGGCACCTTGCAGTTCTTAGCCTCCTGGTGGCTCTCAAGCAACTCACTAAGCTCCGACACAGCATTCGGTCCGTACTGCGTGCTCATGCTCTCCGAGCCAGCACCAATACCAATCTCAATCATACCGCTCTTGATGGCGTTGGCGATGTCGACGCAGGCCTGCAGACCAGACGAGCATTGCCTGTTCAAGCTCTTGACAGCTGCGGTAACGGGGAATCCGGCTGCAAGGGCAGCGGCGCGGAACTCGGTTGCACCGCCGCCAGGGGCGAGGACGGTGCCGACGGCGATGTCTTCGACGAGCGCGGGGTCGATGCCGGAGCGCTCGATGAGGGCCTTGAAGGCACCGTGAAGGAGGTCGGCGCTTTGGGTGTCCTTGAAGCCACCCTTGCCACCCTTTGTGATGGGTGTGCGGAGGGCGCAGGTGACAACGACCTATGCAACATTGTCAGATACTTCTCGTTAAGGAGTAAGATGTCTGGAAGGCTTCCAGCGACATTCGAAAACTTACATCATCGGCGTGCTTCTCAAGCAGACTCGACCTTCCCTTCTTACTACTTGAGCCATCAGGGCTGCCACCAAGGTGATTGCCAATCTGAGCAAGACGCTCCTGAGCTACTCGACTGTCAGCTTTCCAAATCCGTTGTAACACAGAGGCTTCTGGTCTCTATAGTATCATCTTCAGGGAGCAATGACGTAGTACATACCTTTCTGCGGTGCCTGTGTCATTGTGTATGTGTATATTGGAAGTCCTACAATCTGAGAGAGAAGGGAGGACTATGGAAAGGAAGGAGATGAGAAAGAAGTGCCAGACGCTGACCTTTCTGCTCCGAGTGAAGTCATCTGGGCTTTGGCCGAGCCGAGGCATGATGCATGTGGACTAGTCGCCCCGGACTCTGCCCCCACATTCGACTAGTTTCACATGCGGAGCGGAGGATGGAGGCTCACCTTTTCACATGCCAGTGGAGGTTGACTGATCGCGTGAATGTGGCCTTCAGCGTTTGTTGCATGTGTTCGTGGATGTCAGCAAAAAGTTGTAAGCGGTGCTTAGCTGGATCACGTGTATATGTGTGTCTTGACAGGGCAGTGGAGTGTCGCGTAAAGCACACTACAGCTTGTATTTGCATTAAAATGCGTGCGAGAAGTCGATTGCCCATCATTGTGCCAACCATAACGCCAAGCTGTCGAAAGGACATTACAGCATCCCTGCAACCTCACCGTCGAAGCTCGTCGTCCCAATGAGGATCAGATAGCCTCCTCTCCAGCTCATCCGCAATGCTACTCCTCTGCACCTCCTCATAGCCTGGCGGAGGCTCTGATGGCGGCTGGAACGGCCGTGGACTTTGTAGCGGACTCGATCTCTGCGGACTGTCTGCTTCTGGTACGGCAGCAGCAGCAACAGGCCCACCCACACCCACACCACTCAACCCCGCGCTCGCTGGCGGACTCAGCGGCTCCTCCGGCACTCTCGCATATTGTCTCGTATCCTCATACGCCGGCAGATCCTCCATATTCACGTTGCCCGCTGCAACTGTCTCGTCGACGCCGCTCTCTCTGGCAACATCGATCGTCTGGCGCAGACGCTCCTTCAGGCGCTCGAATGTGTTGTGGAAGTCAAACGCGCCGCCCTCCTTGAACTCCATGACGCAGTCCAGTTCGCCGTGTTGTGCGGGTATGCCGCCGCCTGTGACGGGGTGGATGACAGCTTCCCATTTGTTCGCGCCGAACCAGGGGGCTGTGACGCGCGAGTCGGCGACGTTGAGGATGGGGACAGCGAAGGATTGGAAGGTTGGTGTGGGGGTGACGGGGAGGTATATTATCTGCACGGTCAGTCAGTACAATCTCAGAGTTTCGGCAGAGTATAAGTGACGTACCCGTCGATTTGTGAGGTACACGACGCCCGACTTGCACTGCTGTGAATACGCCTCGCTCGGCGGAAGGCGATGACTCGTCTGCAGACTCAGCGTCGTCCGCTGCGGAGACTGGTATAATGTCGTTTCGCCGGGGAGAGGTGTGTACCCGCCATTATCAGCGATCATAACCCAACTGCGCTTCCTGTCAGTCCTGCTCTTCTTCATACTCCCCATCCTTCTCGCTCAGTATCGGCTCGCGGGGTATGACGAGGGGCAACAGCAGCAACACCACTACATTGAACACCACCTTCAAGGCCGCCTGCAGCAGCGGCCTAGCGGTATATAAGCAACGGGAAGAGACTTACTTAACCGACATGTTTGAAACGCTCCGCTCGAATCCTGTTCGCGTTTGGGTGAGAACGGTTCCCGCGGTCTCTGACAATGCAAGCCTTCAGTTGCCGCCTGGACGCTAAACGATGCTCCCTGGCTTGCCGTCCGCGACTAATGAGGCGGGCCGGTCGCCGCGTCGAATCACAGAATTGATTGCGGCTCCAACGCGATATGCGAGTGATCGGTTTAGCGCTATTTGCGGGGTGTTTGGTGGGGATCAGGCGTGTCGCGGCTGCGTCAATAAATGTGTGAATGCTGTGAAACAGTGATTGAGATAGTGAAGTCACTGTTTGCAAGAAACTGGAAGGTGAGACGGAGGATTATGAAGGATTCGTTGGAAAGTTAGTGATCCACACTGCAGCTTTAGTTGGTCTTGTGAGCGGTTGCGTCACTTGTATGTCTCTCCACTGTGTGAGCTTGCAAATCACCATGCGCGTCGGTCCAATATGTTCGGAGCATTCATGGCCTTTGTGTAAGCAAATTGTCCGAACAGGATGTGCATTTTGTAAGCTAGACGCGTACCTGCAGTAACCCGACCGACCAGTGTTCGAATAACGACAGAATGTATGGGGGTATCGAACACCCCTAGTAATTGCTCAACGCTCACGGTAGAAGTGCAAACACCCGCTGTTCCCATACAGTGCAGCTACCTAATTGACGGGAGTACTCAGTCTCAATGATCAGACTAATAAATTCAGCTTACTGGTTGTGCTCCGTAATAGTCCACCTCCTCTTAGGCCCACTCTCACGCTCAGCCACACCTGCGAGCTTCGGCGGGCCCCAAAGGCCCTGATGAGTGCTTGCCTGAGGTTTCTCGCCCCAGAGGCTACCACCACTAGCAGATTTTGATGTGCTGTTCGTTCGGTTGAGAGTGTTTAGCAGTGGTGCTACAGAGTCTCCAGATTCCCGTTCCTCATTGGTCGTTATTCTCGTCAGATTGTTCTTCGTCTCGGCCACAGTGCTTGCAACGGGTTGACTAGTTGCGGTGACAGCTGATCTTGGTTTTGGCGTAGGTTGCTGGTTCGAGAAGTTGAGCACCATGTCAGCACCAGGACTCGCTCTGCCATCACTGGCTGCATCTGATGCCACCATACGTGGGCTCGACCACAAGCCGGTTGATGATGACGATATTCCACTGTCGTTGAGATGGCTTGGTGTGTATCGCGAATTTGAGCCTGAACTTGCTGTCCTTCGCACGCCGCTGGAATTTCCAAGCCAGCTTCTGTAAGAGGCATCAAGAGTAAAGGGAGAGTCACTAGGGGTGTTCAACCCAGAGGAACCGCCGGTGAACCGTCTCCTGTAATTTCCGGTCGTTGGGCTAGGGTGCACTGCGGGTGACTGAATCGCTGATTCGGGCTGTGAGAGAACTGCTGGGTTTACACCAGGTCGCAGGTGATCCACCGATGCGAGCAGTCTCATCTCGTAAGACTCTGACATGACAGGGTCCGCAACTGACAACCGCCGCTGGAAAACAGTTGGAACGGAAGGCTTCCGAGGATGGCCCCGTCGTACGGCCATGGACAGTGAAGCCAGACCGACATCTATGAGGACAGGCTGGTTCTGAATGGCACCAAGCAGAGCGTTGCAGCCCGCGCCATGTGTGATGAGAACAAGCACGAGTTCCTCTTCTTCGTCTTCTGATTTCCTGTTCAGTAGTGGAAGAGGGTTTACTGCGAAGTTCGTGCCTTGAGGTGCAGATAGTCTCAGCTCTTTAGTAGCCTTTGGCTGGTCTGAAAAGGTGAAGCCGGGAAACTGGTCTTTTGGAGGTGTGGCCCCATGCTCTCTGTACCATTCCATCATGCCAGCCAACCCTTTGCGGAACCGCTTGTGCATAGTACTCCATTCGTCGCCGTACTCACCACCATCGCCCCACTCTTGTGGTGGTCGCATGCTGTCCCACTGGAAGTCGACTGTAACGCACGCCTCTCGCGCATGGGCGACATATCCTCTTGGTATGGGGTCGGAGGGCGACACAGAGTATGACGGAGCAGGAGAGTTGTAGTTCTTTTTGATGATATGACGTGTGGATGGATTGAGTGATAGGAAGCCGCCTCTCGTTTTCGGTGCTTGGACTGCTCTGCTACTCAGACTACTAGCACGCTCTCTGGTTGGTGGTAAGTTCTGTGCGAGGTTGCTCATGCTGGAGAAAGCTCCATCATCGACGCTTGACCGACCGAGGGTCGATACTGCAGTACCTTTGCTTGGTCCTCCCCAGCCACCGGGGAAATGACCTTTGCTGCTGTTCGCATCTGGCTGTGCCTGCAAGTTGTCTCCCCTCCGTAGCAGGTCCGCTTTCGCGCCTGCGACCATCATTGTCGAGTTCGGCGGTGGTGTAATGTCTTCGTAGTAGTCGGGTGACAGCCATTCTCCAAGAAATGCATCGATGCGCAGGAGGATTTTCTCCTCGCCTTTGCGTGGCTTCGAATAGACTTCGAGGGTGGGGTCTGCCAACGGATCAAGGTACGCGGGCTGTACCGAAGATGATCCCGAACGTGGTGACTGTGAGCGTGTCGACCTTGCCAAAGGAGAGCTTCCTAGCACGCCGCTGTGTTCCTTCGATGGTGCTGGCACTCCAAGCTTTGGAGTTGCCTCGGGCTTGTACTGCGATATGCCTGCTGCGACTGCTGTGCTCGTTTGCACGCATCGCAGGAAGGGACTTGAATGTATTACAATCTTGCGCTTCTTTTTCTTGGGTCTAAGTGGTTGTGTCTTGGGGGCGTCCAGCGCGCTGAACTCGAGATGCGCCAGGTCCTCGTTCGCCCCATTCTTTGCCGCTTCAGTCTCCTCAATGTCCTGTTGATGTAGCAGAGCTGCTATGCGCAGGCCAAGCGATTTGGCTTGTGACCAGCCGCCGTATGTGAGAGGTGGATCGTAGGGTGTCGGTGATGTGAGGTGCCATGACTTGTCTGAGGCGTCAAGACGAGCGCCATGTCTGCCGTAGCATTAGCTTGACCTTCTAAAGAATGAGATGCTATGAATGTGTTCAAGCAATCAACATACCTAGCAATGAAGACAGCTGCAGGACCCTTGACCATGGCTGCGACGAAGCCTCGGTCGTGGATGAGCTGTGAGTTAAGCAAGTTGGAGCTATTCGAGCAATGGTGCTGGGGATGTTGGACCCTAACAATACCAAGCAACAACTGCGATGAAATAGGCAAACTTTCCTTTCGTAGACCTACAAACAGATGATGCGACAGACAGGAGGGTGTCAAATGTGAAAGTGTAGAGAAGCTGCCTCAAGATTCTTTGCGTTGCAGCTATGACACCATGGCGGTCCTTCAATAAGGGCGCCTCTTGATGAGGGGTTGTAGCACTGTCGCGCGACCTGCGTGACCTGACAAAGTGGTGCTGTGACCCCTCAGATATTCTAACAAATTGCGAAGCCTCTGGATGCGTTCTTCATGCACGTGGCCGTAAAGAAAGTCGCGCTGTTTGTCCGCTCGCAGTCGGAGCGAGCAAGCCAAGCTCTCACAGTGGGGCAAGAATCAAAGCTCAAAAGCTTGGTATGCAAGCATGTGATCCTTCTTCTCCTCTGCTGGACCCTGCCATCGTTCAGCTACTCTCGCACACATTAGTCTGAACTCATCAACTAGATCTCACGACAATTCATGCTGTTCAGCCTGAAATACTAACAAACAAACATCATGGTGGCACGACCTCATTTCTTGGCTGCATCAATGTTTCGGAGACAGGCCTACTGCTCCTCTCGTCTTCCATAGTCTTAGACTCAGATAGGATGTTAAACCAATCAATTAATCAATCAATGTTTCGGAGAAAGTTCTTTCGTCACCAGTTGTTGCACCAAACAGGGTCCACATCCTTCGGCAAGGGGATACAAAAGTGTAAACGTTTTGTAGTGGGTCTCGAAGTACAAGATATCATCAACAATTAATGTTGTGACTTTCTTACTCAAGGTAATCGCCTCCTGTCTCCTTATGGATGACATCGAATAGCGGCTTCGCGCTGAACCAGCCAGCGCGCGGCGTCCCTACAGTCTTGTATGTGAAAACAGCCTCCTCCTCACCAATCTTGACAGTCTCTCCACCTCGTCCGCCTGCTGCCGCATCCGCCAGCATCTGCGCCTGACAGCACTTGTCCAGCGACACGAACCAGAAGACCGCTTCCTCGATCGACTTGCCGACCGTCAATAAACCATGGTTGATCAACAACGCGGCCTTCTTGTCACCAAGCGCCCGCGCAATGTTCTTGCCCTCTTCTTCTGCCAGCACGACACCGTTGAAGCTCTCATACAAGACGTGATCGTTGTGAAAGGCGCATGAGTCCTGTGTGATGGTGTCGAGCTTGCGACCGAGCGAGCAGAACGCACGACCGTAGATCGAGTGGCTGTGTGCGGCTGCGAGGACATCTGGGCGCGCTGCGTGGATGGCTGAGTGGATCATGTATGCTGCTGAGTTGAGCAGGCGGCATGGGCCCCCATCGATGACCTCGCCATTGTGGTCCACGAGGATCAGGTCAGAGGCTTTGATCAAGCTGAAGGCGACGCCGAAAGGGTTCACCCAGAAGGTTGTGGGATCGACTGGGTCCTGACAAACATCAGTGAACACGCTTGCTTGCGGTACAAGATGGAGAGAGGTACACGCATCGTGATGTGTCCGGCAACACCCTCGTCGTACCCGTACTTGCCAAAGATACGGAAAGCGGCAGCCAGTCTCCCCTTGAGGTATGCACGCTCCTTGTATGGGTCGTCGAACTTGGATGGGCTAGGGAACTTTATGGCCTTCATTTTGGATTCCTTCTCATTCAGACCTGGCTCGAGAGGAGCAACATTGCTCGGCTTCGTCTCGCTGCTATTCTGGGACTCGATTGCGGATGGAGGTGCCATGTTGTGTGTATGTAAGTGAGTGAAGTAAATGTAGGTATGTTACACGAAGGGGTCTGAGAGGGTGAGTTGGTGTTGAGGGTGTGAGCTTGTTGCGACTTGGCCGAATGTCTACATATCTTTAGGCCAGTTGCTCTTGCCTCGGAATTCACACGCCCTATGCAACTAAGCTTACTGTGGTACGCATCGTGGTTGGCTGGAAAGGTAATTGCTGTGCATGATGCGGGGCAGCCCGCGGGGTAAACGGTAGTGGCGACAGCCACTCTCGGAAAGCAGTGCTGATAGCTGTGGTGTGAAGTTTGCCGGTGAGCGGCTGCTACCTTGCTCCTTCGCTCTCCCGGGTAAGCCATCAAGTCATGAACACATTCTTGACGACATCCACCGCGACGAACACAAAACATCCGGCACATCTTATTCTGGAAGTGTCCTACCTCACATCAGCTCCGCTGCGCCTTGATGATGGACAATTGTGTATCGTCCTGTCCGATCTCTCGACCGACGCGTATAGGAGTATCACCTTGTACTTTGTAATAGGGCAAACATTGCGTCTAGACTGACACAGCCGATGGAACGTTCACGCGCACCCTGGAGGCCTTCAAGTATATCTGCTCTTACTTATTTCAATCCTAGAATCTGGTTCGCAATAATGATTCCATCAACCTCATCATGTCTTCTAGGCACTGCTCCATAGCTATTCCTCGAAGCATCCATAACCTTGGACGGGTGCACTCATTGAGTCACACGGCCTATTGGAAGACGGATGAACTGTTCGTTTCTCTATGTGGTCTTGTTTGAATCTGCAGGACCAGCTAGAAGTCCTATTGTGGTATTCCAACATTGTTTCGAAGGCCCTTGGTGACTCACCGAGGCGTACCACACAATTCAGGCAGACACCGCCCTTTTCTTTGAGTCAACCCTTCTGCGCTTACAACACGGCAAACGCAGCATTTGGTTGAGAACAATGACGACCATGGTCTGCAGAACTACCGCTGCTATAAGAACTGCCGGATCACTCCTTCCGTCTCTGCATCGATTCCGAGTTCGAGTCCGATCACCTATCTGAAGAACAATCAACCAGCGACTACCACCGTCGACATCAAACCACCGAGACTTATTACCAACTTTGTCATAAGGCGCACAAAACACTTAGCGTGCCAGCTAACAACACACCACTTCACCCAACAACACTATACAATACTACCACTCAACGACACCATATCGATGTCTACCACGTCTAATACCGATACCACCACCGCCAACACCACAACCACTGCTACCACCAAGGTCAATCCCGAGCAAGCCGTTGCCTTTGCCGCCCTTATCATTGCCGACGACAACCTCGCCATCACGCCCGAGAAGCTCCAAACTCTCCTCAAGGCCGCCGGTATCACCGAGGTCGAGCCCATCTGGGCCACGCTCTTCGCCAACGCATTCAAGGACAAGGACGTCAAGGACATCCTCACTGCGGTCGCCACTTCTGACCCTGGGGCTGGAGGTGACGCCGTTCCGCACGGTTGCCACTGTAATGAGCACGCGGATGGCGGGTCTGAGGCCGATGGTATTGATATCGGCCTGCAGTCTGACAGTGACTCGGACATCTGTGGAGGGTGGTTCGATTAAGATGAATACGGAGGATAGGGTGAGTTTTAAGAATAGGGAACGGTTAGGACGGGGTGAGGATTTGGAAGTTTTGAGACCTTGGGTAGTTTGCAAACTAATGAGAAGGCCTTTCTTCCAGTTGCTGTGCTGTGTCAGATAATATGATGTTTGTGACGTTGTGCAAGTGCAATTGCGCTGGGCCGACTTAGCCTGTAACGCGACCCTGGAATTTATTGTCGCTTGTTGTCGGTACACTTTCACATATCTTACGACGCAAACACTCTTGAGTCTCAAGAAAAACATCTAGAGGGCATTAAGGAAGCTCATTACTCACATAGTTTCCATTCGCAGACGGGCTGCACGCATGATGTCATGATGCATGTGGAGGCTTAGACGCAGCTGAACTCAGAATGCTGCCGCCGCATGAACAGGCTGTGCACGGCTGTCTTCTGAATGGCAGGGCATTTCTGAAATCGACTCAATCATGACTCTCCACCATTCTGCTAATGCACAGTTTCCTTTGACGCTGCCGTAGCATGGAGATTGCGCCCATTTCGTTCTTATGGAGCTCAGCCTCGCTTGACAACGATTGATCAATGCCCAACCGTATCATCTGAGGCTGTTCTGGCCTCCATGGCGACCCTTACCTCATCTCTTGCCAATCTGGCAGACTTGGCCGCGGCTGTAACCAACTCTACGGATGCAGCGGACAATATGCTATGCAGTCTTCCCCAATTCCAACACGAGCCTCTGAATCGAGCGCTAAAGAGCATCAGGCTCTTGAGAGTGATGCACAACGGAGGAAACCAGCTTCGATACGAGCTTCATAACTTCGCAATGAGCGAATGTTCGCCATACGTTGCACTGTCAGACACGTGGGGTCAGGACAACAACCAGAAGTCTATCCAATGCAACGGTATGTCGATGCAAATTTCGAGCGAAATCTTCTGATCATGCAGACTATCTCTGGATCGATACAGCCTCCATCAATCAGGGAGACACTGAGGAGCGGAATCACCAAGTCACCCAAATGCGCGACATATACTCTACCGCATGCTCTTTGATATGCTGGCTAGGCTAAAAGATGGGAAACATGGAGACCGCTTCTGCATTTTTACCAGACCCCGAGGTGGCTCTCAGGCAAATGCTCGAGGACCCGGGCCAGTGCACATCGTTAACTCAATAGAGATCTCTGATCGAACTGCTCCACATGCTGTATTGGCGACGTGTTTGGGTTGTGTAGGAGTTTGTGCTTGCTCACACATTCAGCATATGGTGCGGTGGGCTAGTTTTGGATACTTCAGGATTCGATCGGCTATATTTGCAATTACGGAGTTTGCAAAAGTGCCCTCTAGCAGTGTGTTCGCTTGTTCAGATATCCCCAGGATGGACTCTGTTCAAACATCGGACTCTGTGGCATGAAAAGAATGGCGAGAAGCGGGATCCTATGTTCCAGTCCACCATCTTCTCGTGTCCTTTTCTCACACGAGGTGCAGCGAGATTCGACTCACCGCTGACCCTTCCGATTCGCAAAGCTTTCCCTGACTTATGGGACCGTCCGTTGGATTTGGGCCTTCCAGATTTCAAGAGTTTGTAAGTCGGATCTGCCGCGACCTCAATACGTGACTGTGGAAAGGACAGTGGTCAATACCAAGGATGGGTAGAAAGGTGCAACTGTCAGCTCATACAGAAACAAGGTGAAGTGGGCAAAGTGAGCCACAACGGACATCACGAAGCGTTGAAAGATGTAAAGCTCGAATATCGTTCCAAATATCACATTGATCTCGGGGATGATTCGGGGATGATCCAGGGGACATGTTCGTTGCTACGGATGGATATATTGGACTCATTCGACCACCAGAATCGAACCAGAGGACTGCGTCTTTGCCTTGTCTGAAGCATCAAATATCCACTGCGCAATTTTTCTGCGGCATCGCAAAGACTTAGAGCATTGGAAGGTGACTGGGGCCGCAATCCTATATAAGGAAAGGTCCTTACGCGATCTTCGTTGGGTTGACCCACTTGATGGCCAGTCACTCAACAATGCTGAGGAACATACCCCTTTGCTGTGGGCCGAACCATAAGACGACTACCACCTAAAGTCTATCTGTGGAGTTCCAGGAGTTTGAGACTATAAATTACAATCATCCATTCACGCTATGTTAAGACTCGAGGCTTTCGTGCCACATGTCATGGCTCAATGGCCTTCTCAATCATGGCCTGGTCGATTTCGGTTTCTAAGTACGCGCGCTCGAAGGGAGAATTGCCCCAGGTACAAGAGACAGACACATAGATATGGAAGACGGTCCCGCAAATGTGTGCTTGTGCCTTTCAGGCAGGATACTGGCTGAAAAAATCTTCAACAACCAACTGGAGTACACAGAATCGAGCGATACCGCCCAAATTTACGTAGGACCCAGCCCGAACGGCTGACCAGGTCTCTGCTTGCATTCCGAAGTTCTATCTTGGTTCGAGAAAGGCGTAGAGCAGGGATTGAAGACTTACGAGCACAAGCTATCATATCTACATGGTCTCAGCTGTCGCTCCGACCGCTGTGGACTCCGGCCGCCATGAATTTCGATGTAGATCTGTGACTTCTACGTTCTATGAGCGAACGACACTTCTGTGCCGACGCTTACTCTCCAAACCGCCTATTATGTAGCTAAAAACCTTCACCGTCAAGTCTGTGAATGCAGCACTAGACTGTAGTAGTGATAACAGTCCGCATCACCCTTCAAAAGCGCTAGTCACTAAGAGAATCAATGCACGAAAGAGATATCTCCAACTCTTGATCTTCGGATCTTGGCTTCAAGCAAGGGCTTTTGGCGACCTTGGAATGGTAGGCTAATCGGCTTCCACAATACTATTTTGTACGTTGAGCTTTATCGTCTGCCAGACTTGAGTGAAAGTGCATCCACGTGGGTAAGACAGCAAGTTGTCATTAGCTATTACCCGCCCCTCGCGCTTGCAAAGGTTCTACAGGACTATGTCATGGGGTAGTGATATTGGGGTTTGCTATGTCCTGAATAGCCAATACTTTTCAAAGAATATGTACACATGTACCCTTGCAGATTCCAAGGCCTGTCTAGATTGTAGTAGCATCGTGTGAACTAGTAGGCTGATGTTGTAGCAGGGTAAATCGGCGACGGGAAAGCCGGAACATACGAACTCGTCAGTGGAACGAAAGAGTTCGTGTGCGTCGCATTCGCCTGGCCCGACGAGGTAAGGTTGGCAGTGACCTTCTTCTCACCCGTTGCAATGTTGTAGTGGAAAAGCGTGCGGTTGAAGTAAGCCAGTGCAGCCTCAGCTAGTAATCCTTCGTTAGCACAAGACCATATCGAGAGGAAACTTGGGATGTTAGCTTACGCTGATAGTAAGGCACCTCATGGCCCGACTCGTAGATGCGCGCAAAGCTAAAGTTACCGTACTGGCGCACCTCGCCGTACTCAGTATTGTCTACGACCATGGCCTCGTATCCTGCGGCGCGGAACTCCTTGCTGTGGGTGTAATCGACTGCGAGACTGATAGCCTCGCCACCAAACCAGTTACCTAGACGCGTTAGTGAACATTGAAGTTAGAGAGTCAGGAAAGGTTGGCTCACAGATGTAGTCAGCATCACCATACGCCAGACTGACACGCACATCCTGGTCAAGCAGATGCTGCAAATCGAGTCTGAAGTTGGGGTAGATGAAGTCTCCGGTGTTCTGGAAAGCGTAGTAGATGCCGTTGTTCCCAGAGTAGTTAAGAGTAACACCGAGAGCCTCCTGAACTTCAGGCAGATTAAGGTATCTTGGGTAGTTGGGAGGCGGGGTCGGATCGTTGTAAGGATGCCTGATATCATAGACACCACGTCCGCTGTAATAGTAGTACGGGGATTCGACGTTGTCGCGGCACATATCAGCAGCCTCGTTGCAGATCTGCACGACTCCAGGGGTCAGTTCGGCCTCCGTGATGGGTGCGTCTACATGGTAGTAGCTAGCATTGCCTTCGGCTGCGGCCCGGCACTGCTTGATCTGATCCAGGCATCCGTTGTACATGTTGTTGGCGAATTTGGCATACGAGTAGACGGTGTCGTTGTATGCCTTGATGCCGTAGGTGCTAACAGAGGTTAGTGAATCACTCGTGGTTGCAGGGTTGAATCGACTTACTTGTTGACAGCGAATTCGGGGTAGTGTTCCGCTTGAATAGACCTGAACAAGTCAGCAGAAAGCCAATGTACGTCAGACCTCAGTTTGTGCATACTCATCGATGATACCGTTAATTATACCGAGTGAATTAAAATTGAGCGGGTAGCCCGGTATGCTGCCGTTCCGGATCTTCACATTCTGGTCATAAAAGTAGTTGAAGAAAGCTGGTCCGTAATGTCCGCCGTATGATTCGGTGAAAAGGTTGAACTCTCGAGGAGTACCAATCTTGATGTCAAACTTAGGGATAGTGTTCAACAACGCTTGAAGCACGTGCTATAAATTTCACGCGATCAGCAATTGATTTTGAGGAGAGCTGATGTGTACTCACCCAAGTCGCGACGGCAGCGAGATCAGTAGTGTCAATAGTTCCAGCATTCAAAGGCTCAGAAAGAGGCCACCTTCCTGTCGCCGGCCAGTCGCTTGAATTGTAGTGAAAGTCCTCAGACAACGGATTGAAGCTGCCAACACCTTGCTTTTGATAACTGAAACCTGTGCCGACGGGCTGGGAGATGTAAAGCATGTTGGAGACATTGTTCCAGCTGTATGGGTTGTGGTACGTCGTCAGGTTGTCATTCAGCATGCAGGGTCCGTTCTCCTCGAAAAGGCCAATCAGCGAATCTGATCTGTAGACGTCAGCCTCTGATCCACAAGGAATACGAGAATGTCGTTGGATACACATACCCAGGCCCACCATTGAGCCAGAGTGTGAAGGGGTCCTCAGCTGGCTTGTTACGAGACTCAAAGAACCAGTAGAAGACATGGACCTGTACAATGTCAGAGAATGATTGAGAATGGGAACAGGTGCATACGTCTGGTGTAAGATCAACGTATCCGGAGTAGCTATCTACGCCCGGCGTGGTCTCACAAATGCCAGGGTTCTTGTATCGAATAGTGACATTGTTAGGAGCCGAAGCGGTCTTGTAGTCGCTGGTCTCCTTTGGCAGGTACAAATGGTCACTTCGTTTGTGCCATTGCTTCTTAGAAAGAGCATTGGCCTGCAACGCAAGCGATGCAAGCGCCAACGAGGTCACCGAATTCGTGAACATTGTGGTGGATGAGGATGCCTTTGGACAGTAGAGGGACGAAGAGATGGGAGACAAGCTTCCTTGGCGTATTTAAGCAACCGTGAAAAGCTTGTCGTGTAGCCTTATTGAGGTCATTATCTCGAGTACCTGCGGGGATTCGTATCTGATCCTGACTTGCGCGTGCACATTGGTTTTGCTCCTGCCTATATTGGCCTAGACGCTTTGTCTATCTCTTAACCCAAACTCCATGCGGCTCTCAATCTCACCGATTTCACCGTATGACGTGCTTGTCGAAGGTTGATTCCAGGTAATTCGTAGCAAGGACATGTTGAAAACGTTTCGAGCTTCCTGAACAGCTGTAGAGCGAGTCCGCTAGCGGTTCAGATGCCGCGTATGTCCTGGGTCCCTAGTTTAGGACCCAAAGTAATTCCGGTCATTGCCGATGCAGGGTACAGATGTGGGAATAACTCAAAACCCTCCAGTTCGCTGCGGCCGCATAGCGTCAAGGACCTCGAAACTCTGCATGGTACTCTGTGTGTTCGGCATTATAGCTCTGCGCGCCATGCGTTCTTTCCTTAGCCTGCGACTTCGAGTCTCCTTCCAGGTCACAAACCATTCCATAATGGCGCCTCCGTAGAACGCAAGGAAGAGGCTGAAACCCACAGTGCCAACGGTCAAACAGCCAGCGACGAGCCAAAAGAGTCGCTGTGTGCTTTCAATGTTTCTGATATCCGAGAAGTTCATGCCGAAGAATGATGAGATGAAGGACAGCGGAAGGAATACGATCGTGACAATAGTAAAGATGAGAATCGCTTTGCCGTGGTCTTCGAGCCGGATGTTGACGAGCTGGATCGTCCGATTAATGAGGGTGTTGCTATTATCGCGCAAGTCCACGAGGTCGGTGTATTCGCGTTGGAGGTTGGCCAGCAACTGCGCCGATGGATCGGAAAGATGATTTGAGAAAGACAACTGACGATAGGTAGACACATCTGCTGAAGGTATCGTTGCTGTCGAGGTGCATTTGCACGGTTGTGTTGAGGCGTGCGATTGACTTATAGTTCTCCCGGGCTTCAGGATGTTCTGTAAGCCGCTGACAAGTTCAATCTGCTGCTCCATAATCGAGATTATAATGTTCAGCTCTTCCTGTACTTGCAGCAGGTCCATGACTAGCTTTGTACTTGGGGCCCGATGCAGACGATATTGCAGGTGGCCGAGGTAGCTGGCAAATCTGTCTGAAAGACAGAGCGTGATGTCTGACCAAAAGCTGCGATGCAACATCCCTAATGCCCCATTCAGAGCAGTGATGACATGTGTGGTAGCCGTGTAATCCTGCTCGCCAGTGGTGTTTATATACGCATTGCGGATGCCACGAAAGGAGATATCCGCAATCCTCGCTGAGAGCTGTAACGGCGGCCATCGCGACTTCCAGCTTTGGTTGCTGGAGAAGGTGACTACGTGGCGTGCATCTACCACTAGTATCCATAGTTCGTCAACGTTCAGGCTAGTTGGGTAATGGCCATACCAACGGCGAACTTTCAAATCCAGGTCGCGATCAGTCCGCCAGGGATTGTGCCTAGTGAACACTTGCTGGGACTCCCGATCCGTTGTATCCTCCAGCCGATAGAAGTGCTGTAAGATCGAGCGCAGCATATGTGATGAGCTTCTCGATGATTGATAGCCTTCTCTCGTATCAACTTGGAACCTGAGAGGAGGTGTCTCGCCATTGACTGTCCAGTCTACAAAGGGTACGCTGAGTAGCATTGGGCCCTCGTGCCTTTCTTTGTTGTTGTAACCGTCGTTCAAGCGCTGGAAGAACGGCGCAAAGTACCTTCCGTGCTTAGAGAATCGTTCTTGCTGGTTTACGCAGTGCTCTAACTGACGAAGCGCTGCAACAATCTGCTGAGGCTCCTGACTCCAGTCCGACAAAGCAACGAGGCATCCTGAGAGGTAATTTGAATATTTGCTGGATATGTGTATCCAACGACATTTTCGCAGCTCTGGTGGATCGGAAGCTGACGATTGCACCTTGTTGCTTCTGAGACAATTCATCCATCCGAACTCGATGGCAAGCTTCTGAAGGTGCACCCGCTCGCTTTTGGCCGCATCGTCCAGAGGTATGCTGCTCGCTAGCCTATCTCTGTTTTCCAGTTCTGGTAGCAGCGAAGATGACATGACCTCGTGCATGTCCAGCATCGAGCCGGATTCATAACGTCTGTCATCGAGGCGCACATCATGGATCTGTATCTGTGCAGGTGAGAGACGACGATTGCGCCAATACGGGTCGCTTTGCCAGTCAACCGTAGGAGTTGCGGCCTTTGTAGTGTCCATTGACCAGGAATGCGCGCCCCACGGCGGTGTGGTTGTAGCGCGTCGCGCACGTGATAAAAAGAGCGAATCGCAGCCACGACAAATGCGATGACACCCAATTGGCTCAAGTCCTCATTTTTGTGGAGTCAACTTCAGCCCCTCGGAAGGCATGTTTGTTTGCTCACCACTCGATGACGACAGTAAGCGGTAATGCAAAGCCAGTTTCGAAAATGGACCTGCATTTCGGTTGTGCAGGCCGGCTCTCCGCAGCGAAGCTGTCTCTGCTGTACTTAGGAACAGCTATTCATGTTTACTGAGCTGCTTTGCACTTGTTTCCTAGCATTCATACCGAAGGACAACCTCTGAGTAAATTTGACAATGTCGCAGAAAGGGTAAGCTACATCTACGCCTGAATTGCACGAACATGTGCTTACCAAGGCAGTCATCCCTCTCATCCAGCCGTCGTGCACTTCCCCATTACATTCACGGCGATCACTGGAGGATTGGACGCGATATACTGGGCTTCGAAAATCCCAGCCACTGCAGGCTTGGTGAACTCCGTGTGTGAGTATACCCTCATATTTGGCAGGAGACAGCATCTAATCCCATATAGTCAAGTCGTTCGACAGGAGCGTTCAGCCCAACGCGTTCCCTGTATTGTCCTACTACAGCACCATCCTCACGATCCTCACCACTCTCCCGGCTGTGGTGACCGGTGTCATCCAGCTCTCGCCAGTTATCCAGCGCGATGGGTTCCAATCGAAGAAAGCAAAGGTTGGCGCGGTACATGCGTTGATCAACGATGTAGCGCTCTTCGCTACCATCTATAACTGGTGGACTCGTAGCCAGCAGATTGGCTTCACACCCAGCACCACAAATGTGATCGTCAGCTCAGCCCTGGCGCTGCCGCTGACCATGTACTCGGCGTACTTGGGCGGATCGCTCGTGTACGAGTACGGCATGGGCTTCTCAAGGGGCAACCCCAAGAAGACGCAATAGAGAGAACAATGAGAAAGAGTTGGAAATTGCGCTGCAGTCCGTTGATGCGGAGGGCGGCGGACGACATATAATTGATCCGCGAATAGGCAACGGCGACTTTGCACCCGGCTATCAGGTATTGGGTTGCGCCAAGATAGCTAAATCGAAGAACTTCGAAGCATAGCGAACTTCTTCTCCACAGTGACAATCAGCAATTGGCAAGAAGTACAGAGCTGCGAAAATTCAGAAGAGCGTGCTCAACTGTTGCCAACTGCCAAGTACAACTTATCGTACAGCCCCGCCCTGCTTACCTCCAACCTCACGATAAGACCAACCTACTCCAACTCAAGCAGATATCGACAGCCATGTGAATCGCTGTTTGCGATGCCCGCCCCATCTCTTACATTTTGGCGCACTTGAACGGGCCGTTTGGCAGTGATTGACCACTTGACATTCACCGTAGCCAGGCTTATCAGGGCTAACAGCCCTGCACGAACGTAACGTTACTGCAAGGTGCCTTTCCAGCCCAGTCAGCCACGAGCATATTATGTCCAAGACTTTACACTCGGAGACGACTCGTGTGAGTGGGAATGATATGTTACGATGCTTTGTAGTGATGATCGCCTACGGAATGTGTTGTTGGCTTTATAGCATTATGGTTAGGCAGCTAGCATGTGTACATTAACATGTACCAAGCCAAGCCTCTTCGCTCGAGGCCCAGTCATCAAAATGGTATTCTCTCGTGCCTTTGGTATCGTTGCCCTTAGCTTCACTGCCAGCGTTCGGGCTGCTGTCTCATCTACAGGATTTACACTGTCGCTCACGGATATTGACTACTCTCTCCCTCCCAACCCAGTGGCAAGCATCGCCGGCTGCGCGAGATCAAGGCGGCGTTTTCAGACGGGCCATTCATTCCATTCACTGTTATCAAGCATGATGGCTATGGCACACTGGATCTAGCACCTGTGACAGCCAAATATGCGGAGCAGGACGACGTTTGGCAAGAAGGCTTCCTCGATGGTGTGTACCAGCTTCAGTGTCTACAAGAGGTATAATTGACAGTCCTAGCTCTATACGTACATGGTGGCAGCGCGGGCAATATCTCCACCACAGTCACCACCGGCACAGTGTCCAGCGATTTGAAGCCTGGGCCTTATTTCATCAACGCAGCTGGTCAAGTGTACGAGGCATGACGGCTATACAGCGACGTAACAGGTGCTTTCACCGAACCCGCAATCGCCAATGATGATGGGTCCTACTCTGTGCTTCCTGCAGGAACTCTTGGCCAGAAGCTCGCCGTGGCCGTTCCATCTTGTCTCTATTTCGAGAAGACCGCTGAGAAGCCACTGGGCTGGTGTCCGCATTGGTATTAAGGACATCTACGACATCAAAGGACTACGCACATCCAACGGGAACAGAGCTTGGTACTGGCTGTACCCACACTCCGATAACACTGCAACTCCTGTTCAGAAGTTGATCGATGCAAGCGCCATCATCGTCGGCAGTGTCCGCGGCCCATCACAAGTCCAAGGACTCTACGGCAACAGACCTTCCCACGGCCTCGTGATCCTCGAGCACAAAATGCCCATGGCCCCCCTCCTGGACACCGCCGGCCTCATCGCTCGCGACCCCCGAATCTGGCGCGACGTTGCTCAAGCCATGTACGGCTCCAACATCACGGCCAGCACCACCTACCCGACCTCCATAAAAACCCTCACCTGGCCCGCCAACACGCTGCTAATCGACTTCCTCGCCAACGTAACCGCCTTCCTAAACGCCAATGCGACCGCATACAACGTCACATCCTCCTGGAGCACCCGACAATTCATTTCTCCACCCACTCGCAACAATGATGAACCTCACCTACGCGATCCTAATCACCAAGCAACAAGTTCCGCTAGTTCGGGAGCCCTTTCTCGCCGACTACGCCTTGAAACACGACGGCCGCACGCCGTTCATCAACCCCGTGTCTCTCGCCCGCTGGGGCTGGGGCGACAGTCAAACCGCAACGCTGGAGGAAGGCATTGCGAACAAAACGAGGTTCATGGCCTGGGCAAACTCGACGTTCCCCGCTCCTTCCGCAGAGACGTGTTCGGAGAGCTTGGTGATGTATGTGGGTTTCACTGGGCGGACAAACTATCGCAATGTGTATCTTAATGAGCCAGGTGTGCCGTTTCGGTGGAGCAACAGCCAAATTTCCGTCTTCTCAGAGGCTCCAGACTTGGTTATGCCAATCGGAGAAGCACCGTACAACTCGACTATCACAAACCATGTAGAGTACTTGCCTGTAACGGCAAACTTCATGGCGGTGAAGGGCTGTGATGGCATGCTGTTCGGTCTGATCAGCGACTTGTATGAGGTGGAGATCTTGAAAGAGGCGCTTGCTGGGAGGAGTGGGATTACGGGGGGCGAGACGCTGTATGGGCGGGAGTTCTGAGGTACATATAGCGTACATAGCTGAGTGGATCGGATATGACGAACAACGGATAAGTTGTGTGATTCGTACCGATGCATGTGCGATGCGTCGAACGGATCTTCTTCACCTGAGCATGATGGTGTCACGAGGTATTTGGTGCAGTATAAGCGGAGGTTTGAGGACGTGTCACGTATGCCATGTATGGGGGAGTAGGTGTGTGAAAGGCCGTCATATTAATCATTACACTACGATTAAGTAATTACTCATCACCCAACCCCCTGATCTCAATCCCCTCCTGACCCTCACACGCACTAATATGTCCAAAATACCACAAATGCGCATCGATATCGATCCCTAAGTCCCCCTCGTTCCCATTCAGGTTCAAGCTGCCAGTCAATACGTTCACATCCCCCGTCCCAGGCTGCGCGTCGTTCCCACTAGTAATATAGTACTCAGGACTTGTGTGCCTGTAGCCGAGAAGAGCGGGCGGCAGCTTGGGCACCGGATCAGCCTTGTGAGTGACGCGATACGTCTGTCCTTTTGACGTGTCAGAGATGTAGTCTGCCAGCCCCTGCAGCCCAACCTTTGGCGCGCCGTAGGTATACAGATCGACCGTCGTCCCCTGCGCACGTAGAAATCCTGCGGCCAGACTTGCCAAGGCACCACCGAGCGAGTGCCCCGTAACCACGACCTTGAAGGACGGGTATTGCGCTTGCGCTTCTTTGATGGCGGCAAGCACGTTAGTTTGTGCTTCGAGCCAGGACTGCCAGAAGCCGATTGATGAGCCGCAGGTAGCGCAGATGGTGGTTGGCGCGACGGGGAAATTTAGGTTGGTGAGCCAGTTGCGGACGGATCTTGAGCCGCGGAAGGAAAGCACGATGAGTTTGTTTGTCGTGTCTGTGGCGACGAAGCCGGTGATGTCGGATTTGATGGAGCTGGCGACAGTCAGTTTGTGTTTATGGTCCTAGGCCGGGTGTTAGTGGTGTGGTTTACTTCTCGAATTCTGTCAATGTGTTGGTGTTGGCTGCTTCTACGCGAGCACAGTTCCCTTGCGGACAGGTGACTTTTGTGTTGGGGCTGTTGTTGTTTCCGAGACAGTATGCTGCGGCGGAGTATTGGCTGAAGAACTCGAGTTGGGAGAGGATGTTGGCGGAGACCTCTATATCCAAGTCAGTGACGGATCGAATAAACATATGGGGATTGAAGGCAACGCACCTCTCTTCTCAAGTTCGACCGGCACAGCAGTGACGAGGCTGACAGCACCAAGGAGCACAGCCCCTAATCTCAGGATCGAAGACATAATCTTGATGTTCTGAGATGCAACTCGATACTCAAACAGGCAAAACACAGCTACACAAGTTCAACTGCCCAAGTGAAGGGTAGACAAACCGTTCTTCGCTGTCACGACTCATCACCAAGCAGCGGACACCTCTACTACATATACTTGCCCTCAACACCGCCGTTTCACGATTTCTGGTCGCTGATTCAACCCGGACAATCTAAGCGGATGGTTCACACCCGGTCCATACTCACCAAAGCGGAAGTCCGTGCTTCACTTTCTTAGACCATACTATGTTTAGACATAAATCCGTACCTGAGAGCCAAGAAATGCTCAAACGGTAAGGAGCTCGCTCCGCTTGCAATTGGCACGGGGTACAAAAGTGCAGATTGCTGTCCGGGTATCGAGGCCGCGATTGGCAGACATGCCAGGGTATTGCCGAGATTTAGTGTAGGAGCCGGCCTGAGGCGTAGTAGGGCTGTGTTGTACTCCAGTAGCGACTCTGAAACACTGGCACATTATGGTGGTAAAGAGGCTTTCAAGAACCATCGTTGCACATACCGTTGATGCTGTGTTCGCCGTCTACGCAAGTGCTCGGTATCACATGCGAAGTTCTCAAGCTGTGAGAAGTTGTTCGTAACCACCTGCATCAACGCACACCATCAGTATCTGGAGTGCAGCGGCGGCTTAGCTTAGCCTCCGTAACGTCCGCCAATCATGGTGGTGATCACTCTGCTGTAGTCAGGTGTGTAAGCCTAACTCCAGCTTGGGCCCAGGAACCGCTGCCGAGTTCCTGATAGTCCTTCTGCGGAAATAAGTCAAGTTCCAACACTAACATCAGCGTTTGCTGTACACAGGGCTTTCCATGAACATACATATATTCTCATAGCGCGCAATCTGCGTGGAGCTTCATGAACTTCAAAGTTGAGGTTTGGAGGTTCGACAACAGAATGCGGGGAAGCGAGGTGACGTCAAACATCTCCAGGTGACCTCGGGGCGCATCGACAAGACAGGAAGGCCGCATGAATGCAACAACGCCAAAAGGTACACACCGCGCGAGTGCCGTAAAGTGAATGTGTAGAGAAGCAAGAAATGCTTCGGTGTACTTACCTGTTCAAGTTAGGTTGTCGGCATATTTTCTGCGGGATGGACGATCTCCAATATTCGTATCTTGGCCAAGCGCGTACCTCGACACTGGGCACGCGACAAACACGATGAACGACTTGCGGACCGATGCGGACTATGCTGTTGATAGCGCTCCTCGGTACTTTTGACGTAGAACCGGTTGCATTGGGACGAGTCAGCTGTACACGGGCATGTGTAAGGAACAGGCAAAGTGCACGAACTGGTCGTCGAACTTCGGCGAACTGTAAATCTACGCTCGGCTGTACACGATGGGGCTACCTGACTCACGCTGTCCAGAATGGTAGTTTACGTGCTGCAAAGCTTGTCATTCGTGGGAGATGAGAGATGGCGGCATCTGTGTGGGGACCACGTGTAGCACCAAGGATAAATTCTTTCGGGAAATCCCAGTACCAGAGTGTCATCGTGTATCCTGAATCGTGCAACTCAAAGAATTTCGAGACTCAGACCGACATGGTTTGACTGAAAAGGTAGAATGCTGTAGAAGTAGATTGTTGCAAGGATGTAAATTGCCTCTAACGGGTATCGCTAAATGTACTGAATCAGGGCATCGGATCGAGAACGACAGTGCGCGCGTGACCAATGTTCCTTTGCGCAAGGGTGATGGATTTACTGAGGAGGCACAAAAGGCTCGACGAGCATTTTCGAGAAGCTACGAGCGTTGTTAGCATCGTGTTTAGTGCAGAAGATGTGAGACTTACTTCTCCAACTTCTCCTTTCCACGGACTTCTTCGACAAGCAGTGGCATCTTAACAACGTTGAACTCATCATAAAGCTCCTCGATCTGGTCGAGGTACTTCTTCTGCATCTTTCTGCGCGCATTACACTGCTCGCACGGGTTGTCCTGCTTGGGGAACAGCAGCTGGTTGACGACAATCGAATGTGTGTCGATCTCGTAGCTGTTAAGCTCCTGGATCATGCGCTCTGTCTCGTAGAGCGACAGGAACTCCGGAATGCAGACGCACACGAACGTCGTGAGGTCCGCATCCTTGAACTGGCCGTTGACCTCGGCGATAGTCTTTTGTAGCGCGTCCATTTTCTCGACAAGCTCGTCCATGCTCTGACCGTTCGGAAGACGTCCACCGCCACCAAGGAAGCCGTTTAGCATGGGTCCGAACTGACGAGACAGCTGAGAGACCTTGCCTAGTGCCTTCTCCATGACGGTAGGGAACTGCAGGAAGCGCAGTGTGTGACCGGTGGGCGCGGTATCAAAGATGATGGTTTCGTAGGACATGGACTTGACTTGCTTGAGCACCTCGGCGAAGGACATGGCCTCGTCGACACCGGGAATCTGGGGTACGTGTCAGTGTTGTGGTCTGCGCATGCTCTGGCATCGATAAAACGTACGCTGAATGCAAGATCCTGCATCATGTTTCCCATGCCACCGAGTCCAGCCATAGGGTCCTGTCCCTCTTCACCACCTGCAGCAAGCAGATCCTGTATACTGCCGTTGGGGTCGATCTCCATCGCGCTCAGATTGTCGAAGCCGTTGACTAGTCGCGCATCCTTGCCAAACTTCTGATTGAACGCATCGGATAGGTTGTGGGCGGGGTCGGTCGAGATGAGGAGGACGGATTTGCGGTGCTTCGCGAGCTGGATGGCGAGGGAACAGGACGTCGTTGTCTTCCCTACACCACCTTTACCACCCACAAAGATCCATCGCAGTGACTTCTGGTCGAGGATGGACTGGAGCGTGGGCTCCATGTCCTCGGGAGGCTGGTGAAGCTTCTGGAGCGCTGCTGTGGTCGCCATTGCGGTGACGTGAAGAGGTGTTTGTAATGTTTAGGAGTGATGCAATGGGTACGCCTGCCTGAACTACATGCGCCGTCAGTCAAGCTCGATCTGGCTTCAACGAGTGCTTCTGGAACATTCTGATCGCGGTGTGAGTGCGTGCCAAGGTGTGGCTCCTGAGAAGCGAGCTCGTGGTAAGCTGAGGGCTAGATGCAACACTCACATTAAGATATTCGCAATCTGCAGTGGTATGAGAGTGTTGCGTGGTTTGTTGTGGACTCGGGAGGCTGCACACGAAAGTTGACTGCGGGGCGCGTCATTGCCGGCGCGGGCGTCATCTCACCGTGCGCCACAACGCCACACTCCAAGATCAGGGAAGATGAGAGAAAGCATGCATTCGAACCAATTGTATCTATAACATGCTATCGCACAACTCGCTCGTGAACCCACAAGCCTTGCCATGCTAAAAGAAGCTCAACACAGACCGTTGCAGTGTTGTACAGAAGAGCCTCGCCCGTGCCAAACCTGAGCCAAAGCTCCCGTGATGAATCGTTTCCATCTTTCTATGCGCCAAAACACCGTATCAATCCGCGAGATTCAGGATCAGAAAGTCTATTTCTTCTTGCCCTTCGCCTTGCCCTTCCCAGTGGAGCCGGTTGAAGCAACGCTGCTGGCGCGCGATGTTGATGTTGCAGGAGAGGCCTTGGCCTTCACTGTGTCAAGCTGCTTGTTCTGCAGACCGTTAGTAATGGCACTGTCATGTTGGCGATACTGTACTAACCTTCACACCGTTCTTGGCCTTCTTCTTGACAGGCTCTTCCTCCTCCTCTTCGGTCTCCTCTTCCTCATATGCGCGCTTGCCCTTGCCGTTCTTGCCAGTATCGCCGCCAAGCTCACGGACAACCGTCTGGATAAGCGTTGTGCAACGTCGACCAATCTCCTGAGGCGTTCGACTAAGGAAGAACCAGTCGAAGCGGAACAAAGGCGACTCTCGAATCTCATCGCGGATCTTGTCGTAGATAGTCTCACCCTCAACGCCGTGCTTGTGAAGCATGACAAGCAGGAATCGATCCTCCTCTTCGGTGTAAACCTTTTTGTTCGTTGTCGAGACGGTGTACTTGATAGTCATCTGTTGCAGAGGCATCCTGTACATGCCGATTTTCTTCGCAAGCAGGCGCTTCTTGTTTTCCGAGTCGCGAACGCGCTGCTCACCCTCTTCCACAACATTGATATACTTTTGCCAATTCTCCAACTGCTTGTACTTCTTCCAGAAGACCTTGGCATACTCCTTGATCTCATCGGCGTCCTTGCCGTCCACTTCCTCAGAGATGCCATCGTAGTTTGTTCGCCCGTACTTAGCGGAACCGTTCAGGAACTGCTGCAGATCTCGCTTGTTCCATTCGGGGAAACCCTGCTCGATCAAGCGCTCCTTCTCAGCTTTCTCTTCCTCTGTCAGCGGCTCGGCATTGTCGATCTCTTTCTGTGCGAGCTCCTGATCGGCCTCGCGGGCCTCAAGGTCTTCGTCAGGGCCATCGGGAAGTGGCGCCTTGAGGTTGTTCTCCTTACGGTACCAGGCAGTCTCTTTGTCTTGAAGTTCTGCTAGCTTCTCCGGGAAGAACTGATAATCGTGAATGATAACCTGCTTGGGTGCACGAGGAACCCTAGGTTGTTTGCTCTCGGTTCGGCCACCAGTTGCTAACGCATTGCGGTAGTACTTGTCGATACCGTAGTTTTGCTCCTTGCGCTCACGCTTGGAGGGGTTGATCCAGTTGAGACCAATGTCCTTCTTTCGTGGCTCGAACGTCTCGCCGTTCCACTCGTACGTTGAGTCAGAAGTGAACTTCTGCAGATCATCGAGACCTAGCTTCTCGTACTTGGAGTTGAGCTTTGCGGTCGCCGCTTCACCCCGCTTCATGATTGCATCGAAGTCATCGTCGGCCATATCACCGTCTACGGCTGGTCCGACGGCGCCCTTGCTGTTGAATACCTTCTCAGCACCGTGCTGAATCATGGTCAGGAGCTCATCCTTTGAGGCAGCGTTCTTGGCAGGTTGCTGCGAGCGTCCTTGCTGGATGACCAACTGATCAAGACGCAATTTCTGAGCCGCGCGTTCCAGGACCTTTTCCTCGATTGCGCCTTCCGTTACAAAGCGGAAAACGTAAACCTGTTTCTTCTGGCCAATACGATGGGCACGGTCCATGGCTTGAAGATCGGCCTGCGGGTTCCAATCGCTATCGAAGAGTACTACAATGTCGGCGGAAGTCAAATTGATACCCAAGCCACCAGCACGAGTTGTTAGGAGGAAGAGGAACTTTTCTGAGCCTTCCTTATTGTAGTCGTCGATAGCTGCGATACGGTCCTCGTGGGCTGTGGAACCGTCGATACGGCAGTACTGGTATCCACGCATCACCGAGTAGTCCTCCATGATGTCTAGGACACGACTCATCTGGGAGAAGATGAGGACTCTGCTGCCTTGAGCTTTCATGCGCTTGAGGAGCTTGTCCAGCATGACCATCTTTGCAGCGTTGTTAACCAAGTGCTCGTCGGTCGTGTATGGCGGACCTGGCTCAGCACCTTCGAAAAGGTATGGGTGGTTGCAGCACTTGCGCAACTGCATGACAATGTTAAGCAGACGTGTCTTGGACTCCTTGTTGCCAGCACCGCCGTTGACTGCGTCAATGTCCTTCTCAAGGATTTTTTTGTACCACTGGACTTGCATGTCAGACAGACCAACATACAAATTGATTTCCTTCTTGGGCTGGAGTGACTTCTCGACATCGGCCTTGACACGTCGAAGCAAGAAAGGCCGCAAGACCTTGTGGAGCTGCTGCACAACGGTATCCGAGTCCTCGTTCTGCTGGGAGAACCACTCATCGAACGCCGATGAATCACCAAATACATCTGGCATCAGGAAGTTCAGGAGCGCCCACAGTTCGTGCAGATTATTCTGGAGCGGGGTACCGGTAATAAGGAGTCGGTTTCGAGAGTTGAACATGCGGACCATCTGGGCGAGGGAGGACTCCTCGTTTTTGATACGATGCGCTTCGTCAATGATAATGTATTCCCAAGCAAACTTCTTGAGAGCAGACTTCTCACGCAGAATCATTTCGTAACTTGTGATGCAGACATCGAAGTTCTCGTCCACCAGTTCATCCCGGATTAGCTCGGCGCGCTCGTCTTTGTTTCCTTGCAGAACAAGGACCTTGATCTCGGGAATCCACTTGCCAAACTCGCGCCTCCAGTTATCAAGAGTCGACTTCGGCACAGCGACGAGGTGAGGTCCGGTGATGCCGCCGATGAAGCGAAGGTAGCCGATGAAGGAGATGGTCTGTAGTGTCTTCCCCAGACCCATCTCGTCGGCGAGGATACCTGAGATACCGTTCTCATGCAGCGAGATCAACCAGTTGAGACCAGCAACTTGGTAGTCACGCATGGTACCGCCCTGGATGTAGCCTGGTGACTCCCTGAAGACTGTTTCATTGTGTCCACCATGCTTCTCCTCGCGCACGAGTTCAGCGTCTTCCTCCTGTTCGGTTTTGCGACGGCGCTCGGCAGCAGCTCCACCCTTGCGGACCTTGCTTGCCTTTGACTTCTTGGCCTCTTCAGCGTCTTGTGCGTCAATCTTAGCAATGATGTCTTTGATATGCGGATTCGGGTTTGTGTCGATAAAGTGGCGAAATAGGTCTGTCAAACCCAGAAGATATCGGAAACGTCGTACTGTGTCGTCTTCCTGTAATGGCACGTCGAGTCAGCGCTCTTGCTTTGTGAACGCACGTCCTGAGCTGCCAACCTACCTTTGACGCGCCGAGGCGGTCGTGCTTCTTTCCGTAGATGCTCTTGCGCATGTTCATCTGCTCAGCGCGTCGTTTGCGGCCGTCGACTGGCGCGTCCCCTGCAACGCTGCTAGCTGTTGTGTTAGGTTGTGTGTCCGAGTCCTGCGCGGTGGTCAGTGTGTGAACGAAAAGGCGCGCGGTTGCGGTCATCCATACTGTGTAGTCGGGTGTGTCCAGATTATACTGCGGTTGTGACGTTAGCTTGTTTGCTCTCATTGACCATCCTTCACTATCGCCAAGCATGCTTCAAAGCGAGTTTCGCGAGAAGGCGCATTGCGTGTGCGTGTCTCACTCACCCCGAACTTCTTAAAGCCGTTCATCCTGTCTTCCTGGTCCTGCATTTCGACGTCTTCGTGTGCCGAGGCGTCAGCCGTCGAGGGGTCAGACTCGCGTCCATTGCTCTTGCGCGCCATGTTGCCCGTTTGGGCTGTTCGCCGCGTGTTGTTCGTGTAGATGCTCGTGATGTATTGCGCAAAGACGGCTGAAAAGCTTCCCGATTGTTTGAGACGTGTCGGCGATGAGGGTGGTGGGCGCGTTGGGGTCGCAATAGCGCGAGGTGGAGTCAAGTGAGCGAGGGTGCACTTCAGAAGTGCATGGCCAAAAGTTACGCTAGCGTGTTGCTACGGCGGACCCTTTGAACCACTTGTGCCGTTCCATGGTGGCCGTGTTTCCTCCTTTTTGGCCGATCGTTGGAGCAACACCATTGATGTCTTCAAACATTTGACACGCAACGCGTCGAAGTAGATGGGCTTGGAGATACATAGAACCGGAACACTTAGGCGCTTGATATGACACGTCTACTAGACGCGTTCCCGAGACATGACGTCAATTTCGAGATCATGGATAGGTTCAGTCCTAGACATGTTTAATCAGATGCGGTCTGATAGAAACACTAGTGTATCACTTGTGGGTTAGACGCAAACGATATCATTGTGCTTGTCATTACACTCGTTTGACTTCGCCGTGTTCACCAGTCGTAGGGGTTATTTGTCAACCTCGAGACTCCCTCTACGGCGTATTAAGATCCGTCTCAATTAGATTCAGTCCAAAGTCTTCAGACAACGAAGACATCACATACGCGTGAGGTAGGACAACGGTATCGGTTTTTACGGTTACATCATGAACGTTTTCCATATCAGTCTTCAGACCTTCATACCACTTACAGCCAGCGCCTCCGGCTCTCCCTCCTCATTCTCATACAGCGGATTCGTCTGGACTTCTCTCAACCACAACCGCCAACTCTTATCCACACATTTCTCATTCATCTTCTTACAGCTTTTCGTTTCCTCCTCGCTCAGATAGCTAACCCGGTCCACATCCCCTCCTGTGAATCGCAAGGCTTTGGACAATAATTCGCAGTTTGTTTGTGTGTAGAGTGCCCTATACACCGCCTCCTCGACCGTTTTGCCCATGCATGTAAACCCGTGCTTATGCTGCAACACCACCGGTGTTGACAGGTGGAGCTTGCGAGCTAGCGCTTTCCCGAGGGGTTGATTCTTGATCAGCATGTCTGGTGTGATTTCCACCTTGCCTACCAAATCTCTATACGCGTCCTGCGCATCAAACACCGGGATACCTTTCGATGAGGCACCGAGGAAGCCGGCCATGTGGAACACAGGTCGTACGGGGATGTTGGCGAGTGTGAACGGAATCACAGTCTCACTATGCGAATGGACCACGCAATTGATGTCTGGGAAGCGACGCAGGATTTCACCGTGGATGAAGCGCTCGGAGTAGCCTTGTGGTGCATTTGGATCCACGGGTGTACTGTCCCGTACTCGATAGGATATGAAGTCCTGTTGGCTTCTTACCAGAGCGGGCGCGCCTGGGTCGTAGGCTGCGATCAGGTATTGGTCTGGTGCCAAAGGGTGCCGCAGAGAGATGTGGCCGAATGCGTCAACGAGGTGGTGCTGGTGCAGAATGTGGTTTGCGCGTATTAAGAGGCGCAGGGCTTGCAGAAGCGGTGCGGGGATGTCCGTCATGGTTTTTGTTGTGGAAGGTCGTGTGATGATGGAAGGAGCGATGGACTTGGGTGGGTTGGTGGGTGTTGAGATTTGTGGTATTGATGTCGGAGTAGTTGAGAGAACAGGGCGGTGCGTTACTGTGGTCGTGTCTATCTCCGCTGGACGTGTTGATGATTTCGTGGGTATGTAGACCGGTGTCGTTGGTTCAGAGGTATCAGTGATATCGGTGTGGAGAACAGGGTTGAGTGTGCGATACGCTAGAGGCGCGTTATGGATGCTGTAAGTTGTGAGATTATAATCGCGTATGCCTACGCGGTCGTCGAGAGCTTCAAAGGTATATGTATATGTCATATGAATGTATGGGTCCCACCAGGAGTCCTAGATCATCTTCGTCGACAGGTAAGGCGATCTTATAGTTATTGCATCGCGTTCCTAGCTCTTTCTGGTGTGACCATCGTTGTCTTAAGTCGTTTCGTTGTGGCTAAACTTGGTGAACATGTCACGAGTGTTGAAACATGACACCCAGTGCTCGTAAGGCTGTTCAAAACGTCGCCAGGGTCAGCATGCTTTTGCAGTTGCGATGCTGTTGCTGAACATGCATGACGGGAGCACCAACTGCGGGGATTGCAGCGGGATGACGTGAGGGGATCCGGACGTATTTGGTGCCCTCACGGACTCCGATAACACGACGACTCCATCGCGAAAATTGCTGCATGCATCTCAAATCATTGTATTGAGAGCGCGTCTATTGAGTGTGCATCGTGAAAGGTGCTCCGTGAGTTGTGACGTTGTTGCTGCTTGCCCACAAACGCGCGCGCCTTCTTCATGAGCAAGAACAAGAGCACACCTTCGGCTGCAAGCAATCAGGAAGTCAATACCAACAACTGATCTTCATACTTCAAACATCGACATCTCCAAGGCCATGGTCTCCAATTGGATCATCGCAGCCTCTACGGCAGCAGTACTAGCCTTCTACTACGATTTCAAGAGCTGGCAGAGCTATGGTGCGCAACAAAGCTGAGGAGGCAACCTGATGCCACAGCGCTGACGCTCAACAGGAACCGGTGGCACACCGCCAACGCTACAAGGCTATCTCAAGATCCGACGATGGGGTTTGTATCTGCTCTATAAACGACAGAACCTCCTCGATCCATCTCCGATTCCAGATACAGGCGTATCATACATCAAACCCGGCAAAGTACCAGAGAGGCCAGGTCTCCCACCGAGCATCACTCGCTGGACACTGCCTCAACGCCAATATCCGCAGCCAATCACAAAGGGTGCGTTAACAGAACTAAATAACCTCATGCAGACCTTCGCTAGCACAGCATCTTATTCAGAGTACATCGAGACACGATCAAGCAAAACAGAGGGCGGCACTGGTCCTGCAATCTACGTCAAGCCAAATGTGAAGACGATCAATCCGGTGGCACACAAGATCTTCTACGAAGTCGCTCACGTGCATCCCAAGGAAAATTCGCTACACGTATATGTCAGTCCAAAGGACGCAAAGACGATCGTGAGCAGAGGCTGGGGACAGCGCTTTCCAGTCACTTGGTTGGCACCTCCAAGCTGGATCATGGTGTATGCTCCAAGAAATGAGAGGGAGCTTGAGGTCGTGAAGGAGATTGTCAGGGCTGCGATCTGTCATGCGGTGGGTATGGAAGTTTCTGATGTAAAGCCCTAAGTGCAAGTGCAGAAGCACAGGAATGGTAGCTTCTCTTGAATGGGATTGGGAGCGACAAAGACTGAGCATGCGCATTTATAACTACGATACGGCCAAGGCTTTCATCAAGCATACTTGAATCCTCTCTACAAGCAGTTCGAAGGGGAAATGTGCTCTCTTGAGCTGAAGGCTGAAGCAACGCCCAGAACAGTTTTCGTGTTTTGTATGACACAGTGTAAATCAATGCAGCGAACAACACACCTCGCATCATGACGTTTTGCAAAACAACCAATCGGTACAGCACCGAAGAAAACCAAGCATCGCTTCAGGGCGGAGATCCGGTGTCGTGCAGATCACTGGAGCCACCCGCTAGCTCAGCTCCACCTTATGGAGACTACCCTGCATCCAAGTTTGAGACGACAGTTTTTGTTCTCTTATGTCACTGCGCATTCCTTTACCCCTCGTTCCCTCTTACTTGTACTGGGCAGCATCGACACCTTCATGAAGGTCCTCATCATTGGAGCAGGTACACTTCATGCATGCCACCACCACGATCTCGCACTGACTCTGCAGGTCCGGCTGGATGTGCCTTAGCACACGGACTCAAGAAGGCTGGCATCTCCAATCGTATATTCGACAAAGGCGAGGATGTTTATCGACACCGCCATTGGGCATTTACCCTGGGCTGGGCACGGCCATACCTTTTGGGCCTCCTACCAGATGGGATCGGTGCTCAACTAGATACGTGTGCTGTCGATCCAAGCATCGACTGCGCAGCAATTGGAGAAGACAGGATTGTGCTCTACAACGGACAGACTCGGGAAGAAGCATTCGCCTTCCCCATTCCCAGGGCGAAAGAAATGAACATCAGAAAATTGCGCATACTGCTTGCAGAGAGCCTCGATGTACAGTATGGGAAGAAGTTCAGCCGCTACGAGATGATTAAAGATGGTGGAGTCAAAGTGTTCTTCGAGGACGGGTCAAGTGAAGAAGGCGACATCGTCATCGGCATCGACGGCGCAGGTTCAAAGGTCCGTCAGTGCCTGATCGATATCGGAGCCACACAAGAAACGCTTCCCTTCGCACTGATGAACTTCAACGCATCGTACACAAAAGAGCAAGCTCTGTTCATCAAAGAGCGTTTGCATCCTCTCGTCGATATAGCAATACATCCCGCAGGCCATTACATCCGGGCCAATGTGCTCGATATGCCGGACGTCGATGACCCGACAACATGGACGTTCCAGATTTTGTCGACATGGCCGCTGAAGAACGCCGAAGACTACGATAATGAGACGGACCGGTTGAGGAGGTTGAAGGCGCATGTTGCAAGAGATGGGTGGGCGGAACCGTATAAGAGTGCGATTGAGTGGATACCAGAAGATACGCCTGTGCTCAAGGATCAGTTGAAGATCTGGAAGACGCAACCGTGGGATAATCAGGGCGGGAGAGTCACGCTGTGTGGCGACGCAGCGCATGCTATGACGTTCCGTAAGTTTGACAGCTTCTTAACCGCCAATGTGTACTTACAAGGCATATTAGATCGAGGCCAAGGAGCAAACAACGCCTTCTTCTCCGCCCACAGTCTCGTCGAAGCCCTGAAATCTGTACACAACGGAACCGCGACACTGAAAGGCGCATTAACCGCGTACGATGAAAGCATCTGGAAGCGCGGCGCAAACGAAGTGCAGATCTCGAAATCTCAGAGCTTCTACACTCACGACTGGCCAAACTTCATCAACAGCCCTGTCATGACATTAGGCACAAAACCGAGCCATGCAGCAAAGAGCGAAGGATACCAGTAAGTCTATTAGCGTATTAATGCAAAGCAAATGTCGTGTCGTCCGTAGATCTATTGACATGTACAAATTCCTGTTTCTAAACCATTTTCTTTACGCTCCTCCAGAAGATGTTGCGAAGCTTGATGATATCCGCAGCCTTCTCAGCAACAGCGTACATGGTTGCTTGCATATGAGTAGCAGGGACCAAAGGAATAATAGAGGCGTCAACGATGCTGAGCTTCTTGGTGCCGTAGACACGGAGGTCGCTGCGGACACAGCCACCGTACTTATCGGGCAACATAGAGCAAGTACCAGATTGGTGAGCGAAAATAATCGTAAGCGCGTCCTGCTTGAGCAGAGCATGGACGGTCTCTTTGTCGGTCTGGGCAGCGACACCAGGAGTAACCTCGACAGGTGAGAAGCGAGCGAGGACGGGGTTCTGCCAGTAGCGGCGGGTCCACTTGCCGGCCTCGATCATCATGGTCTTGTCGGCAGGGTTCTAGAAGGTGTTGAACTGGACAATGGGGTTGCCTGTGGGGTTCATGGCGTTGAGGGCAACGTAGCCGCGGGAAAGGGGGCGCTGGACAGCGCTGATGGCGAGACCGAAGGCGTTCATGAGAACCTCAACTGCGGCCGCCTTGGTTCCGGAGAGCAGCTCGGCGGTGATGGTCTTGGCAGCCTCGTAACCACGGAGGAGGTTAGGGTTGTTCTTGTAGACGGGGGGAAGGTGATCGGTAGAGAAGAACAATTTTGGCGTTAGGGTGATCCTGTAAGTTGACACCGACAGCAACGAGATCCTTCTTGACCTTGACACCGGCAGCCTTGACGACATTTGTAGGGGCCTACACTACTGAGCTGAAGAATCTGGGGGTGAAGACAGAGCCGGCAACGAGAACCACCTCACTGAACTACAACAGCAACCTCAACACAAGGCGGTCGAAGCGAGAGGACCACGAGTCTGATGACAGCAGCGAGAAGACCATTTTGCCCGATGCTGCAGGCTCGAACGCGCACATTGTGCCGGGGCAAATCGGTGGAGATCATGATGACTACGCATGTCAATTTGACTGTGGACAACACGAAGCTTCACTCGAATTCGAGGAGTGTGGACTGGGCTTGAACGTTTATTCTGTCTACGGAAAGAGTACTATGGTTTCGGCTTGGTCTAGGTTCTTTTCTTCATTGTATTTCGCGACATTACAGGCTGTATTTGGAAAAGGAAACTATGTTTGCGCCATATGACTGCTACTCGGTCTGATACGAAAAAAAAGATAGTCTAGAGGGCAAGAACTGAGGGAACTGAAAGAAGATCGTATCCTTTCTGGAAAGATACAACCACCAAGTTCTAGAACTGCTAGTAGCGATCATGAGCAGGAGGCTTTGTACGCTATTGTCCATCATGTCTGATGCAGTGTTTCATCGATCGAATCCTCAGCCGGTAGCGGTCAAAAATGGGGGGTGGTTTTCATGGATGTCAAGTCAACTCCACCTTCGCGGTGGCGACTGGCAGTTCGTTACGAGACTGACCACACGCGGAGATTGCTCCCTTGCTGAGCCTCTCCTTCTCATGGACGGTACGTTAGCGCAGCGCGATCTCAGATTGCAGATCCATACCATTACCTTGAGCATCGCGGCGCCTAAGACCCTTGCTCAGATTACGAACTTCTCTGGGCTTGTTACCGGTGGCATGCTGGGAACTAGCTAGTCCAACTTGAGAACCAGATGCAGCGGGACGTTGGGCAGGCTTCCGTAGGCGCAGTCCACGTTTCTTCTGTGGCTTGGAGGACTTAGTGTTCCTCTCGCTTCCAGGCGTCACAGAAGGCTTGATGATCAACTGGCTTTCGCTCTTTGCTTCGGAGGCTCTGTCATTCATGTTCCTTACTTCTTGTCCGGTCCTCAGTTCAGTGGACATTGTTTGAGAAAGTTGTTTTGGCTGTGAAGTTACGGCGTCGTTCGTAGTACCAACAGCTGCACTCGGCAATGGGTTGCTAGACTCCTGAGGGCTTGATACTGGAATTATGGTAGGTGTGTCAAGAGTAGACAGTGTATCGGTGTGCCTCTTCAAGTCGGTTGGCCCTCCCCTGAGTGAGGAAGCAAAGGTTTGAAAACGTTGTTCTGGAGGTGGTGCAATGATGGCGTTTGCATCTTGAGGTGCTGCGCTCAAGAACAGACTGACTGGCAATGAAGGAATCAATGCTGATGTCGCAATGGATGAATCGTCTAACTCGATAAGATTTGGGATCTCAGCAGATGCTTGGTTCACTTTAGAGTCCAGCGACCCTGGCATCTCTACGATGTTAGACAGATCGCGGCCATGAACAAGTGTTGAGGGGTGGAAACTAGGTGATGCTGGAGGTTCGGTTGAAAGCTGTCGGTCATTGTGTTCCAGAGTCATACGTGGTCGTAGCCAGCTCGACCCCCCAGCAGATATGGCCATCCGATCCCTGTACCACTTTGGGATCTGAGGGAATCCTAGCTCTTCAAGCTTGTTGCGGTCGGGCATCTCGTGCTTGTACCTGCAGCCTTGTTGCATATAGTCGCACGAGTTCGTCCTTATCCAGTGTGTACAGTACTCCTTCTTCGATGGATCAGGCTCAATACCGGAAGGGTATGGGCGGCGAAAGGCTGGGTACTGTACTTCTTCCGGATGGATGGACGCGATTGTGTCAATTACAGACGCTGGACATCCAGCGGAAGATGTGCGTGTGGGATGATGAATGGCTTGTTCTGTAGGAGCGACTGATGCAGGGGGAGTCTCGATGAGGGGCTGCGAGACTTGCGCTTTTATGGCAAGATCTTTGCGAGCATCATGATCGGGCGGTAAAAATGCAGTCTTCGTGGGCGGTACTGACTGACTAGGATGCAAGTCGGCGGGAGCTCGAATCGAAAGCGGCAATGCGGGCTCCCGAGTCTCTCCGATCGATTTCCAGCCTTCTTCATCACTTTGAAGAGGTGTAAGTGAGCGCGGCAAGCATTGAAGCTGGAAGGGCAGTTGATCAATCGGGATAAGTGGAACTTGGACGTTGTTGCGAAGAATGGAGTAGCGAACCCCCGGCGGAAGTGTCATAGCTGTCTCTAGTCGGTCGATGTGTAGTCTAATGAATGATATGCAGATTTCAAAGAGTACACATATACCGGAGAAGGACGGGCTAAAAGTCAGTGAGCTGAGATGGAAGCGAAGGTGTCGCCCAATGTTTATCTGTGCACGTCAGTACACGTGCTCGAGACAACAAGATTTGTCTTTTGCTTCTCTCTCAAGCATTGTTCGTTTGCTCGCTGCACGCACCCGACACGGGTGGATCTCGTGCGTGACTGCTCTCCCAGGGACATCCACGAGACAGAGTCTTACTGCACCCCCAGGCAATGACATCTTTAAGCAGTCGCAGTATTTGACGAAGCTGTATCGTGATCTTGCTCGCTGCGAGCAGACATGCCTGATTATTGTGGTCGGAGACTGTACCAAAGACGCTCCATATAGAAGATGGAAAGTAGCTTGCAATTCGGATTGTCATTTGGCTGCTTGCTTGGATATGATTGGGTCTGTTGACCGGGTAGCCAACTCTGGTAAGCAGAAGCCCTGACTTGAGCGTGGGCTGCAGCTAGGAGCGTATTCGTCTGCTTGATCTTGATTCACACTCAAGTGACATGTTGGATTATCAGAGGTGATTGTTGATCGCAACCTGTGTTTTCCAAGACGGTTGCCGCCACATTCAGTAGCCACAGCCCCCAAGGACTGCCACAGCGCCCCACGGACGCTGTACTTTGGACGAGCATACCCGCTACTGCAATTGTTCGCGGGTGTCCCACCTTCTCATTGGTCCAGCTCATTAGTCAGTTCCCGCAGTGGCACACTGTAGATATTCATCCTTCCCATAGTACCAATACATTAGATCACCACCTACCTCATCAGCAGTGCATGCGCCAGGCAGGGCTTGGCGGTCGGAGCGTGGTTGTATAAACCGGCTGAACGAAATAAGGAAGGGTCCGTGATCTCCGCAGCGCCGGAGACGGGATCTGCAGTGGGAATTTTCCGCACACTCAAACGAGCCAATTCTGGAAGGGTGCCACACAACACCTGCCACAACACAGCTGTATATACAGTATTATATATAATTATTGCGCTTGTTTAGGAGATCAAAACTGTGTTTTGAATTAAAATTTACTGCGTGATTGTTAAGACATTTACGTTGGAGTTGCTGCTGCCAGGCCAGCCCTCCTACATCACCATCCTCCTGTAAATTGACTCTCTGAAGCTATACAGTCACGCAACTGTTGAAGTTGTACTTTAAGCAAAGCTTGTAAGTACTATTTGATTGGTTCTCAAGGATGAGCTCTGGTTCTGGAACAGTAGGGGTAAGTCGCCTGGGTGAAACACCTAATGACGGTGTAACGGGGTCATGGTGCTGTAGTGAAGTAGGCTGTCACGTGTTGGGACGATGGCGCTAACCCATCAGGACGCTAGCGTGGTACAGACAAGAGCGCATAGATAATTGGGCACACAATGGCCAGGAAAACGGTAGCAATTAATCTTATGGGACCACCCCCCATTGTTACTAAGCTTGCTGTCACAGATACCCTTACAGACGGCTTGGGGTAACGATGAGTAGTACAGGCAATCTGTCTAGCTCAAAGGTTGGTTGAGATCCAATGACAAACTTAATTGACAAGGTTGAACACAAACCATAAGGGTTGTGTTCCTACATGCTATATACTAAACGTGTCTACGTGGTGATCTGTCTGCTCTGTGTGATCTGACAGCG